TACACTTTCTATAAACATGTACCGGAAGTCCTTAGACCCTACGTTGGTGTAGTGCTCCAATTTATATCGTCCACTGCGTTTGTTGATAGCCTTGATTTTGACCCCAAGCACATCTCCCAATACGATGTTCAGGAACGACAACCTGTTTTTGAACACGTTCCATTGGCCGTGCGGCGGCTTCTTCCGTTCGAGTGTAATGCACATGTTGTCCATCTCAGGCATGATGCTATCCCAGATTGTTTCGACCGCTGCTTTGAGGGCAGCCGCTGACAGCACTTCGTCCGAAAACGGATGTGCAAACCCACACGGATCCAGGGTGTCCACGGCGTACTTGAGTCGGATGTACCGCGACTCCAACATTTTGTGCATTGCCTTGACTGGGAGCCCATTCTCCGCACAAAATCGTACCGAGCGGTACAGCTGCATCCGGGCATGGTCTAGTCTGGTTCTCATGGTGCCTCCATCGTCATTATCGTCAATCAATAGGTCACGTATATTCTTGTATGTCTCTATCTCTTTCACGTTGTCGAGTGCCTTGACGAACTCAGGAGTGATGAGCTCTGGTCTTGTGATGTCGTATGCATCTTTTAGTATATATTTGGATACAGCATGATGGTCTTCTGTGGTCAGGTCCGGGTTGTTGTCGAGCTCGGTGAAAGCTTCGTACGTGAGATCCCTTGCATTGGCAACTTGATGGGCATGCTCGTCTTCAATCATGCGTTGCTGGTGTTCGGTGGTCGCCGTCATCTCCTTCAGCTCTTTCTTTATAGACTTGATCTCATCCTTACTGGAGCCCTCGGCAAACCGCTGTACGCCCTTGATAATACATCCGGCGTCTGACATCTGCATAATGAACCGCTTTCTGAAGCCGTTCTTCGACAAATGTTTCTTGATGCGTGCGTTGATGTACAGGCGGCTGTAGAAGCTGTCTGGTAGTATGTAGCCTCTTCCACGTACATACTGCAACCCTAGACCTGATACCCCATGCACATGGTTCTTCTGATTGCAGATCCAATCCTGGAGAGCACAAGTTGTAGTGGGAAGTTTATTTGTTGCGCCGTCGACATGGACCATGTATGTCTTTGATTTGACGTGACGGACACGCCGCAACATCTGTCTGCATGTCTCCACTGTGACACCGCTTTGCGTGCTGAAGAAGCCTACCACATAGTCAACGTGATTCTCGATATTACAGTCGATGCCGACACTGATAGTTGGTGCGTGGATGAAATAATCGAGGTCGGCGATAACTGTGTTGATATTCTCGGCTACATAGCGCTTCTCACTCTCAGGTATGTTCCTTGTTATACAAATCCCACGGTAGCCTTTGCTCGCGAGGTCTCTGTGTATCCCCATGGATCGCTTGGCGCTGAGAGTGCTCGATATCCAAATTCGATTCCCTTTACGCATCAGATCACATATCTCGACCTGGAGCTGTATTTTAGTCCCGTACATCATTACGGTATCGCCATCCTGTGGTTTCGCCATATTGTGGATAACTTGCACGTCATCGCGCAGACTTTTCACGAGTTGCACATCCTCATTCGTAAGATCAGCGTCGAAACAGACGACCCGGGCCGCGCCCTCGATCAATGCATTCAGAGCGACGTTGTTCATGTCATGCTTGTCTCCCATAGTAGATTTGCTGGTCATCTGGTCAAAGAGCGAGCTAACTTCATCGAGGATCAAGATGACATCGTTGTCTAGATAGAAATCCAAGTCAAGTCTCCACAATGACTCTGCTTGGATCATAATTCTATCCTCTGTAATAATCGGCTTGCGAATATCTTGATAGTTTGGGATGTCGCGGCGCTGTCCATTGGCGTTTGCCAACGACTTTTTGCAGGTGACGCAAACGATTTGGCGTCCTGGATTTGCCTTGACGAGCGCATCAATATACATTGTTTTTCCTGTTCCTGTGGCAGAACAAAACATCAGGCTTGGTGACTTTTCCCTGGCTGCGTTGAGCTTGCCATTACCGAGTTTCAACGACGGAAATCCAGGTGCCAGCAGTTCGTGTTTGATGTATTTTTCGATGTATGTGATTGCTCCATCCAGAGGAACGGACGGTCGTTGTTTACATGCCATGGCACAAAGCTCGATTACGGCACTAAAGCCAAGCTTATCCAAGAGTACACCTAATTTTCTAGCGGACCTGTGACAGTGTAGGTGAATTTCGCCATTCGTCCACAGCTGTAGATACGCATGGTCGCTTGTATGGCAACGCTTGCATATATCACAATGACCCGAACATTTGCGTTTCAGCTTAAAGATCATGCCGCCTTCATAGTGCACTGCATACTGGTCCGCGTGCTTATACTTCAAGTATCTGTTACGTACAGAATCAACAATATGAGTAGGTAAAGCGATTTGTTGCTGGGTTGAAAATGCCGCGCTGGTCTGCTCGACTTGCCGAATGCGAGGGCGATTTTTCGAGGGTGTGTTGGCTATAGGCATGTCGACTTCAATGCTGCCAGGACGGAGGTTGGTGATATAGAACTCTGCATCCTCTGCATTCACAGATGCCTCATGCCATTCAGCACGCACAAAACGTCGGTGCATCTGATTGCGCTTGCAACTTCCGAGGATCCGGATGTTCCTGTTCTTGCTGTAGACACTCATGTCGATGTAGCTGCAAAGTCCACTGTTCGGCCCTTGATCCTGAGCTGACCTCGCACGCTCAAAGTCGAGCATGAATGCATGCATGTGCTTGTTGTTGTTCTTGAAGGCGTACGTTGGTATGATGATGTGCAGCGACACCTTCGAGCCGGACGATGCACTCAAGACTCGACACTGGTCAACTGTCACTGGGTATTGCGGTGCAAATTCATTGCGCGCAATAAGGAACGCCGCAAACATCTGTTGCTCCCGCTGCTCACTCGATTCAGTATCGTCTTGGACTGATTCGAGACTCCAATCAACATCATAGTACTCCGAACAGGCGTGGCCATCCCTGAGAAGCTCCCCGAAGAACCGGTCCTTGGCTGGTATGTCGGCATATGCTTGCAGAAATGCAGACAAGTTTTTGTAGCTCGCATGTTCGTAGAACGGGCTTCCTTTCTTGGATACCCCCGCCATGTACGCCACAAAGAACGTATTGGAGTTCTTGTCGGCTTGGGCAAAGGATCTCGCTTGCGGACCCAAGGTCTGGCCCTTTTCAGTAGCAAAGTATACGGATCCGAATTTACTGGACATTTGGCTGTTTGTGTCGTCGATTCCTGATAAATGGTGTGTAGTTTGTGTTATATATGTTAGGAAGCAACAGATCATTTTATCTGTCAGTTTCTGCCCACTGCTTTTGAGCTGCGCAAGCTTGTGACTCGCATTTTTTATGACTGCGTGAAATTCTGGCAAGTCCGGACGCGTTACTGCCAACAATGCTTGCTCTTTCTACTCTTTTCTCCCTCCATCCATACACACACACATCACATTCACAAGCGCACTACGTCTCCATCCGCACACAACACCGAACCTTTTTTTGACGCTGGTACTCTCTCTGCTCTTTACTCCCTCCATCCGCTCGCACACACCCCACATTCACAGGCGCATTGCTTCTCCATTTACACGTGCCTCGTTCCTCCATTACCAAAAAACATCCATCCATGGCGGCAAATACACTCTCCCTATTCTGTCTCGTTAGCGGCGACCCCTCATCGAGTGCGTTTCCCGTGAAGATATCTTCAGACGAGACCGTCGGCCAGCTCAAGGACGCAATCAAGGCCAAACAAACACCCGCCTTCGACGACATTACCGCCAACGACCTGGTGCTCTGGCGTGTCACGATTCCTGTCACTGCTGGCAACATCCATAAGGCAATCCTCCTGAACGAGATCGATCCCAAGACGGAGCTTGTGCCCACTGATGACCTTTCTGACGTCTTTGAAGAGGCACCGCCGAAGAAAACTATCCACATCTTCATCGAGCGACCCAAAGGTACATCCCGGCTAAACCCAGTTTTGCCGGTGGCCAGAATCCCATATTTATATTGAGAAAGACTGGCATTCTGGCCACGCCCCTGTGACCCGTGCGCGCTCCAAGCCTGCTTACTAATCAACTGGATTTTATTTAAAAAAATAAAATAAAAAAAAATAGCTACGAGCACGCCACACACTCTCGACCTTCATCCCGAGGTGGCTGCATTACGCAAACAGTTGTCCGAGCTGGAACAGCTCAACGTGGATCTGAGAAGCACTTCCATTTGTAAGTGAGAATGGTCCCGGCGAGCTGAATTACGAAGTCCTTGAAACCAGCAAGCTAATTTTATTTGTTTTTTTTCGGTAGCAATGGCAATCATGGACAAAAGAAATGGAGGAAACAGGAAAATTTGCCAATACGTGGCCGACACAGTGACATCAACTCTTGAGGAACTGCGACAACTCCTTCGGCCGCATTTTGAGCAGTTTGAAGGAGACGACTACGTACAAATTTATTTGTATCAACCCGGGTGTGCAAAACCTGTTTTGGTTAGCCACGACGACGTGCTCCGCTCTTGTTTGAAAATAGCCAAGGACAATGGCCACAAGAACTTCACCATATCTTTGGATAGCCCGGCCAAGAAGTTCTCGTCGTACACCTGGAAGGATGCACAGATCCAGTATGGAGTCCGAGAGTTTGAACTCATGCCAGCGTTCGATATTCAGCCAAAGTCATTGCTGGAAGACGAGAAAACGATATTGAAGCACGTCGTTGAGGACTGTATTTTCAAGAACAAGGCGTACCTGCTTGGTCCGGGTGCAAGCGAGGCAACGAAGTCATCGGTTGTCGATACATTCATGGTTGGAGCCATGCAATCCTACGGTTCCGAGATGTTCCTGGCACAACAACGGCCAATGAGCGGTATGCGTGGTCACGGGGCCGTCGACTTTGCTGTTGTCGACCGAGTACATCAGTCGCAAGTTCTTGGTGTTACGGAAGTCAAGAAGGAGGATTATGCGCAAGGCCTAGCTCAAAATATGGCGGAACTCGATGTGGCCGTGCAACAAAAGAAACGAAAACGAATTGACGAAGTGGACGAGGACAGCGGAGAGAGAATACCAACTCGCTTCAAGTCGTATGGGATTGTGACGGACTCATTCAAGTGGACACTTGTGGAATGTACATTGGATGAGGGCGACGTCTTGTCGTTTCGAGTGAAGGACATCCCAGGCGTTCTTGACTTGAAGCAGACCAAGAAGGAAGACGTGGAAAAGGACTGTGAGAAAGTCTTTAGCTATGTTCTTGCCCTGTACCAGTTGATGAAGGCTGAGATTGTGAACAGGAGCGCTTATGGCAGTCCTTCGTCTGACACCCCACCAAGCAAGAGAATGGCGACTGGTTCACCTCCTTCATAGTGGTTGGTGCCTTCCGACGGAAATACTCTGTATTTTGCTCATATAAACTGTTGCTGTTGCTACACCTGTTGATTTATTTTAATCGGGAAGGACGTGTTCCCAATACAATCAATACCAGCCTTAATTTGCAACCCCTCCTTATTTGACTGGACCAGGTGGATCAGGATGGTGCATCTTTTTAAAAAAAGCAATCACAATCTCATCTGTCGCATCTCATCTCATCTCTCCCATGTCCACCCCGATGCTGCGGCACCCATGCCCTACAAATGGGCTTGCCAACCCCATTTCATTCTCTTCATCCTCTCCTTCCTTCCTTCACCCATTCACCCAGTCCTTTTTTTCCTGCTTTCCTCCACCATGACCGTCAGTATGTCCTGCATTTCGAGCATAACACACCGACCTGCATGCGATTGACCTTTGCAACCGCGTACTGAAGCACACCTGCCAACCATTGTTCCTCCATTCGTAGACAAGCCGAAGTCAGAGGAGTCTATTGAGGCACTACGCAGGAAGCTGGAGGCTGTTTCACTGGACCTCAGGAACACACAGCGGGACCTCCTGGAGGCTAACGACAGCCTTGCGTCAACACAGGAAGAGCTTGAGGACACTGAGACCAAGCTCGAAGAGACTCAACTCGAGCTGCAGAACACTCGTGATGCTCTTGCCAACACCGAGCGTGCGCGCCAGGCAGCCAACCTCGACCGTGTCCTCGCGCGGCCAGCCAGACAGCAGGAGGTCTTTGTTGTCTTGAAGTTCCGGTCGCCCCAGCCATTGCCCGTCGGTGGATACCAACTTTTCACGCGGCAGCAAAAGGATGTTGAGCGCAGCTTGAAGCGATTTATTTCTGACAATCCGGAGCTCGATGCCGTTGTGATGGACAAGTTGCGATTCGATCGCTCTCCTCGAGGGCACCGTGTCTACCAGCGCATCAAGGACGACAAGGATGCACCGATCGAGTTCAGTCGCCGCAACTTCGCGCTCAAGAAAGGCCACTCCGAGGACGACATGATTGAGTATATCGCCAGTGTCTTCAACACCCATACTCAGGACCAGGAGAACATGTAGCTCTAGACTCGCCAGCTCTCTAGCATTTTAAAAAAATCTAGGATTCAATGAAGATTGACTATTAAAAAGGTGCCATTTTTCACCTGGTATATTTAAATAGCACAGGCATTCACCACGAGAATGGCATGGTATATCTCTGACGGACTCTCCTATTGACAACCCTCTCTTATTGGCGACCCTCTATTATTGACGACCCTCTCTTATTGCGCGGTGGGTAGAATTCCGAGTCGCTATCTAAGAATAACAGATATCTGAAAAACTACCCACCACGCAATAAGAGAGGGTTCAATACTCAGTCAAATAAAGAGGGTTGAAAAACAGAGAGGGCTGAACGTGCTAAATGTACGGATGGCCATGTTTGCATGTCGGCCCACCGTGCTACTAATAAATGAATCGACCCAATGCTTGTTTGAAGCAACGGAATCATGGATGAGGCTCTTGAATACGATGCCATCGTGCAGAATCACTGGAAGTTCTTACACAAGGACTGGCCTATCATCGACAGAGTGAAGCATCACCGCACAGAGATCGCTGTTGTGAATAACATTGACAGTATCAAGACGTTTGTGCTGAATCGCCTGGGTGTTATACCTGTATTCTTCTTCTTGACCGTGATCTTTGGCACTAGAGCATACTCTTGCCCGTACAGGAATGTCGAGAAGGGCGTCATGCTGCTTTATGTGCTTGTGAAAGGGGTTTCCTTGAGTGATATGGCACAATACATGCCGAAGACATCCTTCCACACAATCCATAAGGAGTTCTACATGTATAATCTTTCCGCACTAAACCGCCTTTTAACCACGATGTTGTCTGAGATGTTCTCTACATTGAAGTCGCGTCATCTCGCTGCCGAAAGAAACCCTGACCCCTTCAAGAACGTGACACTCAACTTGGATGGCCATGATTCTAGGATCATCTATGTGAACGCAGATAAAGCTAGTCTGTATTCATACAAGCTTAAGAAGTCTGGGTTCCGTGTGCAGGTGTGCACAGACATGAATAACATGGTCTATTTTGTGTCTGCACCCGCGCCATGCCGTGACTACAACGATGGGACCATGCTCCTCCGAATGGGCATCCAAAACAAGATCCACAAGCTGGACTGTGTTGCGTTGGATAACGGATACACTCTGTTTATCGGCAAGCTACTAGAAAGTGCGGACGAGCTCCAGTACGAGAACTTCTGCTACCCAATCCACAAAAGGCGCGGAATTGCACTGACTGAGGAAGAGAAGGCTTACAATGAGATCTTCGGGAGCTTCCGTTCTCGTATTGAGAGCTACTTCGGGGAGATGCAGTCGACGTTCACAAAGTTCAGTCATACAGTTGTGAACAAGGCGGCAGAGAAAGAGATGTTTGGCGTTCAGTACAATCTGGCATGCCTCCTGATGAACATCAAAAGGTTCGTTGCACTCAGGAATATCCCCACTGAACAACATCACACTTTGTGGCTTCAGGACGGCTTTGACTACCCCAACAAGGCAGAGCAAGAGACCATGTACACTCTTCCGAACATCCAAGTTAAGCTGTCACAGAGCAAGGATTTGCTTGCCACACGGAAGGCGTTCTTCGACATGGCTATTTCCATTCACACGGTAGCCGATGATGACATGGAAGATGGAAACGAAGTGAGGATCACTGGTCACCGCGGAGAAGGCAAAGAGAGAGAGTATCAGATCCTTCAGGACAAGATGAAACTCGTTGAGTACTTAAAATCCGCTCAAAGCTTTGATTAGCTCCATAAGGGGGTCGTTCCAGATCTGAAGGGCAGTCCAAGAACACTCGCACAGTCCAGTTTCCAGAGGGCCATTCGCGTGGTACATCTTTTTAAAAACAGCCCCTGTCTATCCGGCGACACTGGATCGCTGTGAGGTAACAAGTCACGTCTCGTCTTTCTAACCTAGCAAGCTAGGCCCGCATTAAAAACTAAAGCTTGGCTTCTTCACAGACCGCCCCACAAAACCCATTCACTAAATCAGAGGCACTGTGCTTAGTCTGGTTGCCTCAACAGTTTTATAAACGTGCCGCTGAATCACGTTCACCCAATACGGTCTTAATGGTGTGCTGAGTCAACAGGGTGGAACTACCTAGTGTTCCCGTCCTTTACTCCCTCGCTGACCATCTAAGTGATGTGCGACGAGCCAGACCTGGAACAGCTCTTATTTGTTGGCTGTCGTTTCGATTGCGGCTGTAGCCACAAGCCATCGAACAGTCTGAAGGGCAGTCAGAGTCCATCAGACCGAGAACAACCCCCTAGGATCACGCTAAATAGAAAAGACCGTCCGGTGACCTCTATAAAGGGGACCGGACGGTGCTATTGAAGCTATTAAAGATTCCTCTCTTGTCTCGCGGTTAATTGTAAGTATAGATAGACCTTGATTTATCGCAGGCAGCTCGCTGTTTGTTTCCTGTCCCACCTGCAGGTTTCATTCAGACCACAGTTAATAGACCCCATGTCTTTGACGGTTCTCGTTAAAAAAAAAAGACCTTTATTTAACTAGTTTTGATAAACTTCGATCTACAACAGTTTAGTCTGGCAGTTGTCCTTCCCACTTATGCAGAGCCGATTCTCCTTTTTTTTTGAGTGGTGTGAGGTGGGCGCGTCTAGACACCCCTATCTCTCGCTAATTGATGACATTGAAACTAGATGTCTCGAGCATTTTTTTTATAGCAACTTGCCTCTGGTGTCGAATGAGCCTACGAATCTATCAGACCTAACTAGCAATTATCTACAACAGCCGTCCTTTTCATCAGTGCAGAACCGATCCGCATTCGCCAGAAGACAGGGGACAAATTACATTCCCCGGGTCTGTGTAACAATTGTAGCACCTTGTTCATGGTTGTCAACCGCCTCATCCCCTGCAGGCAGTCCAGTAGCGCTCAATTTGCGGTATCCGGATCCAGCATGGAGCCAGGGCAACACCCGTTTGCGCGGTAGATGAGCTATGCGTCGCAAATTTATTTGTGGCCCTCACTTCAATCCTTTCGAGGACCCTTATATGGCGTCTGTTTCATCTTGGCTGTGGTCCCCCATCCCCCATTCTTGCTCTCGAGCAATGATCGCATCGCAGCGTGGCTTCAAGAGCAGCTCCATAGCCTGCGTTTTACCAGAGCTGACGAACTTGTGGGTGGTCTGGCGCGCAATTGAAAGTGTCGAGGTGAATAGGCTATCTTACTCCTTGATAAAGCTGATGGGTGCGATACCGCGGTGCAGCTTGCTGATGTTCCAGATGAGATTCGGGGAGCAGTCATTAAATCGACGCTCAAGAACAATAACTAGACTCGAAGATGTAAGACAGATCCTGGATCAAGGACCGTATGGGCTTTGGTAGAGCAGCGTGGTTCTTGTTGCGGACAACACTGCTGTTTCCTGGACTTGTTGTGTACGGCCGTCGACCTATTGCAGACTGTTGCGCCAGATCCGCTTGTGGATGTTATAAATATTACCCTTCCCTCAGTTCCACTTACAGTAGTCTCCAATCCATCGTTCTCACCGATATTTGGACGTGGACGATAATCAAAATGAAAGCGCAGGAGGGGTGTTAGGAGAGAATTGTCCACTAGCCTGATACCGTGATCCAAACAAGAGCCCAGCAGCATGGCAGCATAATATGTATAGCAATATAACCAGTTTCTGTGCAACGAAGCAATGTAATGAACTATTGGGGACTAGCAGCGCACCAAAATACCTTTGACAGGTCATAAATTCAAACTCTCCTTGGAAAAGAAACCCAATAAGTAGCACTATTCCTTTATAAAGATATTCGAAGTTTTGATGCTTTCAGGGGTGCACAAAGAAACAAGGTAGACTAGCAACCAGAATATCAATCGGTGATTATGGTTGGTTATGAATGTTTATTGAACTGGATGGCTAGGAGTTCATTATGATTATATAAAGAGGTAAGGCTAATTGCTTCTATCGAACGAATGGAACAAATAAGCATTGGCCTAGTCCAAGGAGACTGTCTGTACGTGCAGAGCTCCGCTGCACCCCAGCTCTGTACCTGAAGAAAAAGAATACCGAGAAACGACTTTCCTTATTTGTACTGAGGGCACCCATCGCGTTTGAGACCCTGATCTCCTCAGATGCCGTTGCCTCTCTTCCTCTTCTTTCTCTTTTCTCTTCATTCTCTCCTGTCCCCCTGTCCTCTTCACGATCCCATATCCCTTGACCCAATCCCTAGCATACGCCCACGCATCATCCAAACAGCCATCGTCCGCTACATAGTCTATCATCGTTGTCATCATTATCATCATTATCATCATCGCACACTTCTTCATCGACCACACTCTGCTATATCTCATCTCTCCCCCGCTTCTGCATCGTACCTAGAATTCTCGACATTCTTTTCTCTATTTCTGTACCTGTTTCTGCCTCCGCACCTTCATCACCATTTCCTTTTATAATACGTCGCGTGGTGACCATCTCTTTATACATCTATACTCTACCGACCTACCCCCTCTCCCCTCCAGTCCCTCTACCACCTCTAACCATCCCCTCTCGCACCAACCATGCACTATAAACCCCAGCCTCTACTGCCGCTCCAGAAACCATCCTCATTCCAGAAATCTGCGGGTCGCTTCAAAAGCTCTGGCTCGCTCCCCTACAGACGCGCTGCCTTCCTTCTCGTCGCTATATCTTCTTCGCTGCTCGTCTTCAACACGACCCATTTCCAGCCCACCTCTCTTTCATCCTCCACAGTCCCAAGCAACCCAGACTCATCTCTTTCGGCCACAACGTCCTTATCTGGAAATGGGCCTCACGACTATGAGCACGGGAGAGAACCCCACTTGCATCTTTACGACGATCCCGCGAGTGGGGATACGGAAGATACGCGCGATGATGGCGACTTGTGGGATGAATTCGAGGACGACATGGAGGAAGAGCTTGACAATTTGCCAGGGGCACTAAGAACTCCCGGACGACAGCCACCAGTCCGTATTCCCTTAAAGGCAGCAGATGGTGTGCTGCCCGCTCACTGCCCTACTCTCTTCCTCACGACAGAAACGTCTTATTACCCACCATCATACACAAGCTCCTCCACTGTTCCCTACCCATCATCCACCAACTCTTCCTCTTCTTTGCCAACACTTCTGCCTGACCAAGTCGCCTGCAAGCCCATCCCCTCTCAGCTCCAGGACTACTCTTTGGCTTTCTGTGTCTCCACTCAGGATTGCAGCCAAGGATTTATTCAAGTTGTGCGCGATGCTGTCGTAGATGACTCCCTGCTCCGTTTCAAGGTCTCAAGCAATGCGGACCACGACTGGCATTTCCGCCATGTTGCCGGCCCTGAGGACTTCTACTTTTTGCTCGAGGGCGCACAAAAACTCGCCCTAGGCGCGCACTTGGTCTCGAGTGATCTTTTGGTGAACATGGACGGTGACCACCATATCCAGTCTTTCTCCGCCTCTAATTCGACAGATTCCGACTCGAACACGACCTCTCGCAAACTCGTCTACAGAGCCGACTTTCGCATGACATTACCAGGCACAGTCCAGATTTCAGGATGGCTCACGTACGAGAAATTCAGGGCCATTCGCGAGAACCGGCCGGGTGTCTGGCCCCAATGGACGCATTCAGTTCTGATCGATCCCAAGACTAAGATTGACCTTCAGGAGCAGAATTCGACAGGCGCCGCCACCAAATTTACTATTTGCCCTGACTGCGAGCTGGACTCTTTCCTGGCTCAGGCGAGAGCATACCGCGAAGCCCATTTCGAACAATGTGACCGTATGGCCCCAGTCCGAGGATCGTATTGGGAGGAGGAGCTGGCGCTCAGGGTGTACTCAGAGCTGGACTCTGTTAACAGAGCGCGTGGAGCAGGCGCTGGTTTCGTTGGGAACAATGCAAAGAAAGATGAGGACAGAACGACAATGACAAACAATGACAAGCTAACCAGAGGTTGGCGTTTTGTCCCCAGCGGATGTACCATGACCAAAACATTAAGCCAGCCAAACGCTTCTTCGCAAGATCCCTTTGCACCAACTTGTGACTCTATCGCGTCCCCAGCTGCAGTGTTGCGCTCCCCTCATCTCCAGAAGATCAGTGACACCGAGGGTGGTGATGATTATCCAAGGCGCCGTATCTTTTTTACGGGCGACTCGCAAGTTCGGACGACATACAACGCCATTCTAAACCACTACCGTCCCAATGACCCAAGGCACCAGCAATTTCCTGTGCACGACGAGTACTTGCCCGGCCTGTATACCCTGAGCGACGATGACGACATCACGGTCATGCGCACTGCTGCGACAACCATCCCACGAAAAGAGACCGACACAGAGATCGAGCTTGTTTACAAGGCTGATCAATTCCTGGATGTTTTGATCGCCTCGACTGACGAGGAGTTGGACAGGTACGATACCATCTACCTTAATTTGGGACAGTGGCCTGCGAGTGGGCCTGCTGGCGGCGGACAGTGGTCGACAGCTCGTTTGTTGGAACGCTGGGAAGCTGTTATCGAGCGACTGAACCAGTGGAGGCAGTCGAGAAGCGACCGGCTGCAAGCGCTGTCGTTGTACTCAGACGAGGATGCCGCACGCAAGGATCCTACGTATGGATCTGGGGCGTCCTCGACCGTCATCTGGGCCGGCATGAACGCTTTCCCTATGCGTGTTGATCCATCGATCCGGGTGAAGGGCGACTGGAGGACAAACGCGCGCTTGGGCTATTGGGACGATTGGATCGAGACCATCTCTCAGGAGACCGGAGGATGGTTCCGACGAATGAACGCCTGGCAACTTACCTTTGTAAGTAACACTATGCGGATGTTGTGTGTCAAGTTGATTGCTACGTACTTGTGTTCTTTCGAGTGACTTACCTGGTTATTTTTTTTTTTTGTATCTGTTCGATGTAGCCCATGCTGGACCAGGTAACTGATAGGGCCCATTTCCAAAAGACAGACGCCATTGACGCGCTCAAACTCGAGGCGCTTTACAAGCTGGACCTCTGCTCAAAGATGGCTCCAGACAGGGCTTATTCAAGTCCGCTCCACACAACAGCGACAATGACAACGCCGGCGACTACGACAGCAGCAGTCTCATAATCACATCCTTTCATGTCTAATGATTTTATTATTTTCTTTTTGATGTTCCCATGTACTTTTAACTGTAATTAAAGCTGTCTACGAGCACTGATTGTTGAAAGCTGTAGAGTTGCCAGCCGCGCTACAGATGGCCCTTTGTAATATTTGGTCGAGTGACATTTTTCGGCTTGTGAAAGAAAACGTGCTGTGGCTGGAGATGCATGATTTGATCTGTACCACCCCAGAGCAGCACCCATCATGCGCACAGGGACAGTTGCTTTCAGTCTGATCCGTAGAGTAGCAGGTCGCGGCACAGGAACAGGACCATGCTCCATAGAGCTGTCTGTCTATAGAAGGACCAGGCCAGGGACGAAAAGATACTTTTTTTTGGGGGAGGATAGGGAAGCAAAGTGGCAGCCGAAGAGATGTGCATTGTTAACTGAACACAAAGAAGCAAAAAGACACGAGGGAAAGCCCTGCAGAGGCGTGTATAGCCATAAGCCGAGGAGCCGTTTCTCTATAAGAGCCGAGAGCTGATCTCCCCTTCGCTTCTCATTCGCCATCGCATCTCTTTTGTTCCTTCTCATCCTCTCTCATCCACCTCCACACACCCTCCACTCCACACCCCCTCCACTCCACACCCTACAGAGGAAAAAATAAAAAGAAGCAATATTTTACCAATGGCCGAGTCACAGAACAAGAAGGACCTTGCCCACGCGAGGACCAAGGTCAGCTTCAATGTCAAGGACATGACCAACTTCCTCTACCAGGGCGCCGCCAATGTCGACCAACGCAGATACATCATGGACCTGGTCGCGAAAGAGCCTATCTTCAACAAGGACGACTGGTAAACATACAATTTCCATTACTCTCTGTCCATTGATCTTGATGCATTTCGCCCTCTGCGTTACATAAAGTGTACATTTTCCACCGTATTTCCTCTTTCGGGTCGCAATGCAGTATGCTAACGGCCCTTTGGAATGTGTTGTTGCTGCAGGGGTTGGTTGAGCCATACGGACGCGGTCAAGCGCGGTATTGCCATGTCGACTCGCCTGGCCGAGCTCATGATGGAGCACGACCTCAACGATCTCGACTTTGCCACCATGATGGAGGCCATCGATGACACCCTCCCAGTAAGAAACACCTGCTTATTGATTGGCTCGAAATCTTCTGCTACCAAGCAGACAGTGGTTCTTAAGAAACATCATCATTTCCTGCTAGATCGTCCTCCACAATGGTGCTTTCATCCCGGTCATTACCGCGCAGGGGACAGAAGAGCAGATCGAGAAGTGGATCCCTCCAGCTCAAAAGTTCCAGATCATCGGCTGCTACGCCCAGACGGAGCTTGGTCACGGATCGAATCTCTCGTGTCTCGAGACCACGGCCACGTTCATCAAGGAGACGGACGAGTGGGAGATCAACAGCACGACCTTCACGGCTGCAAAGTGGTGGATCGGTGGTCTGGGCGCCCTGTGCACCCATGCCGTCGTCCAGGCAAGATTATTCATCGATGGCAAAGACTATGGTGCACATGTCTTTGTTGTGCCTCTTCGATCGCTCGACGACCACAAGCCCTTCCCTACTGTCCAGGTCGGTGACATCGGACCCAAGGCATACAACGGTTTCAACAAGATGGACAACGGATGTAAGTATCGCGTCTCCATTGAGATTGTGATTTACTTGCTTCTTTAGAGAACGTCTTGCTAATCATTCTTTGCTTTTTTTTTTTTGGTGGTTCGTTTACACAGTCGCCCGCTTCACCAAGCATCGCATCCCTCGTGAGAACATGCTGATGCGCTTCTCCAAGGTTTCCCGCGACGGTGTCTTCACCAAGCCTCCCCACGCCAAGGTACAGTCAAAGTTCTCTCACTCACACCTGGGGAAGCCGTCTCGGAAAAAAAAAGCGTTAATCCTCATATCTTAACATACTCTTCTATTTTACCTTTTTTTTAAAAATTACACAGCTCTCGTACGGCTCGATGGTGTTGCTGCGATCTGTTCTCATTAAGCAAATGGCCCTGTACCTCTCGCGCGCCACAACCGTCACGACCCGCTACTTGACCGTTCGCCGTCAGTTCAACAACCCGACGACGCGCAACGATGCGGATCTCAACCCCGGTCTGGAGACCCAGGTCATTAATTACCCCATGGTCCAGAATCGTCTCTTCCCGATGATCGCCCAGGCCTACGCCCTCTTCGCCGCAGGCTCCGTTATGATGGAAATGTACATCAACTTGATGACGAGCATTTCCACGGGTAACATCGATGCCCTGGCCGAGGTCCACGCCATGTCTTCAGCACTGAAGTCTTACTGCACAACCATCGGAGCTGCTGGTACGGAGGAGTCCAGAAAGCTGATGGGCGGGCATGGTTTCTCATACTTTACGGGATTGGCCCATCTGTTTGCCTCGATCGTACCCTCGAACACGTATGAGGGTGATAACTATGTCCTCACGCAGCAGATGGCCCGCTATCTGCTCAAGGAAGTCAAGACCGCGCGCACGAGCCCCGAGAAGGTCACACCGTACTCCAGGTACTTGCTGCTGGCCCTGAACAAGCCTGCGTTCGAGCGTACGACGTGTGCGGTCGCCCGGCCAGAGGACTGGCTGAAGCCCGAGATCCAGCTCGCGGCGTTCGAGCACCGCTGCGCGCGTCTTGCGTTCGAGTTGAGCGACGCCGTCGATGCCGCTGGAGCCGACCCAGCGAACAGCAAGACCTGGTCGGACCACAACATCGAATGCTACCGCATCTCGCACGCTCATGCACAGTATACCATGGTTCTCTGGTTCATCAAGGCCGTCAAGGATGCCCAGGACCCGGCGGCGGATGAGGAGCGTCGTGCGGAACCCGCATCTGTCAAGGTACTCGAGATCCTCTCGAACTTGCATGCCCTGCACACCATCCAGACCAACCTAGTGGACTTTGTCGAGGATGGTTACCTCTCGCCTGCTCAGTGCCTGTCACTCAGAGCTCAGGTCAAGGCCCTGGTCGCGTCCTTGGCGGACGACGCCATCGGCCTTGTGGACGCGTTCGATCATCCGGATTTCCTGCTGAACAGTGCCCTCGGCGCCAGCGATGGTGATGCCTATAAGAGGCTATGGGAGAAGGCCCAGACCGAGCCCCTGAACAAGAGAGAAGTCTGTGATGGTTACGAGGAGTACATCCGGCCATTGCTGAAGAAGCACGGAGACTTTAAGATGTAGAGTATATGGATAGACAGTGTTCTTCTTTCTCTTTTAGAGCTTTCAGTATAATTGCCCTAGACGGAGATGGTGCTTATCATATATTTAGCACATCATCCAAATAAAATAAAATAAAATAAAATAAAATAAAATAAATAAAGTTGTATGCAAAGAGCGACCGAAACGCGTCTTGTTCTTTAGGGTTAATCAGACGGAACATCGGCGCTACACATTCGTCGTGGTCCATACTATTATGTATATTTTATTATGTGCGCGCGAAAAAGCAGGTCTATTAGATGTTATCATTAGTCAGTTACCGATAAAGAAAAAAAGAGAAAGAAAAAGAAAAAAAGAAAAAGGATGTTCTATTTGTGAATGGTGCCAGCTCTCTTTCGGGTCTTGAACACACCCAAGGGCGAGAAGGAAGTCGAACCCATGGCGGACGATGCAGATGAAGTCGGAGCAGAGGTTCCAGCAGATATGTCTTGACTATCATCTATCTTACTATTCATCGTCGTCGCACCATTGGCCGAGAACACAGATCTCCGCCGACCCTTCGACGCAGCCGAGGTTGAAGTCGAAGTCGAAGCCGAAATCGAGGTCGAGGTCGAGGTCGTTTTCGCCCCTGACCCCGTCCCAGCTGCTGCAGCATCCATCGACTCTGCAGTTACTGCAATCAGCTTCTGGACCGACTGCTTCCTCAGCTTGATCTGCAGGGCCGCCTCCAGCAACGGTTTCGGCGCCAGGTTCTCGAGCGGGATATGCAAGATGTACGCGAGCAACTCGGACGAGGTCGGACACTTGTTCAACAGATGCTCCCGACACAGCTGCAGGATCGCCAAACCGACCCGGAAGAGTGCTTTGACTCCATCATAATAGAAAACATCCCAGACCCGCAGTACCGAGGCCCACGGCAGACTCATGGTGTAGAGGGTCATGAACCATTGAGTCATATACATCAACGGGATCACATCGTTCTTCTCCAGATGCTCTGCCAGCGGTGGGTCCTGATCCCGGAGGAGCCGCTCAAAGACCTGAGCATCGATCCGCAGCTGTCGGAGGGACGGCGTATAGTAATCCTGCATGTATCCCTCGATCGTCGCGACCAACAGCCAGAAGGCGTCCTCGACGGGCATCTGCATCAGCATCATCCCGACTAGTCGACCCATGCCCTGACAGTATCCGACGCTGGGCTTGTAGTGCGCGTAGGCCTTCAGGACTGCGTGCAGATCCTGTTGTCCTGTGCCTCCCATCCCGTTCCGGAAGTGGACGTGGTCCGGGTAACAGCGATGGATGTCTCGTTCGATTACCTCGTGGATCGGGAGAGGCCCCCGTTTACAGAGTTGTTCAAAGAGTCCGGGTTGGCGATAGAGATCTGCTTTTGCGAGGAAGAGCCATACGCGTCCACGGACGGACGTTGGCACGCCGTGTCTCACCAGCTTCTTGTACTAGTGGTCGGTGGAGAGAGGAAAAAAAGACAGTTAAAACGGAGATGTCAGCAACAAGAGATAAGAGATCTGTACTACTTCAATGGTTCTACAACGACAGAAAAAAGAGAGAAAAAAAAGAAAAAAAAGCGGCTTTACCTTGGTTGATTTTTTCACATTGTCGGCCTGAAGCCTCGTACAAGCATGGATCCACTTCAACTCGTTCTCGCGGTTATATTTCTGCCGTTTGACCGCCTTCTTGCGCTCCGTATCCGACACCGACAAGTTCGTCCCCGTCGACCCATTCGCGCCCAGCGCAGATCCCGTCCCCGTCAGGTCCTGTCCCTGATTCATCTCATCCTCAAGGTCATAGATGAACCCATAATCGTTGATATAGAACCTCGAGTTCTCGCCCGACTTTCCTCCTTCTTCCTCCACATCCTCCTCATCCTCCTCATGCCCATCAGAATCATAATCTTCATCATCCTCGCCGACCAAGGCCGACAGGTGCCGACTAATAATCCCACCCTCGATGCCATGCCCCAAAGGATGCGGCTTCCTCGTATCATCTGGATAATGCCCTGAATTCCGCTTGTTCATCCCAAACCAGTTCTTGGACCGGTTTTTCGAAGCATCCGCGGCTGCCCTCCGCTCTGCCGAGATGGCGTGCTGGGACGGTGCCGAGCTCGTTGTTTCCACACTATTGATACTACCGGCAGTGATCGCCGTCGCTTCACTGGGTCGCCTCTGTCGGGGCACCCTCTTGGAGTCCTGCTGAGCCGCCTGCATCTTGATCTCCTGAAGTTCATCCATTTTCTGTTGAATGCTAGAGTCCGAGTGCCGTGCCGGTCCTGAATTAGACCGCTGACGCGGTTCTGACCGACCCCAGGGTCGAAGTTTCGCAAACATGGGATGAGGTGCTCCAGAATCTGTGGATCCAGTCGCAGACGTGTCTGAGGCCGATGATGGCTTTACAGGTCGGTTGTCGCCTCTGACGGATCGACTCCGAGGACGATTTATGGGCTTGACAGGCGCACTGATGTTGCCCGTATTACCCTTCGCCCCCGTGTCTCCGGTTGTTCCCGAGATAGCAAAACTGATGCCCGGAGCTGATGTTGACGATAGAGCTGACGACGCAGCCTTTAACCCTGTGGCGAGAGACGAAGCAGCAGCAGTCGACGCTGCACCATTCGAAGACGAGCCATTGGAGGCGGGCGGCATTTGGATGACCGTCAAATCCATCTCTTTCGAGTCGCGATCCGCATAAAGTCCCGCTGTCGGCGCCATGGTGAATCCAGTCTTTTGCAAAACATGGTTGGTCCTTAAGCGAAGACCCTCCAAAACCGAAGACAAGTAGTGGTCATGAACCTCATGGTGCTGCTCCTGTTCAAGCCGCTCTTGTTCCTGCGATTGTGTGTCCTCTAACGAGGGACGAAGACCCTGTCGTGCCCTTGATTTTGTTGGAGAGCGAGGCGATCCCATGTCATCATGGACACCATGGCCCGATGTCAAGACCGTGATCTGGACGGGTGATACAGCCCTTGACGACAGTGAGTTTTTACGAGAAGACGGTCGGGATTGCTGCTGTCGAGACACAGACACAAGCCGATGCTGGTCTGCACCAAGCTCATTCGACTTGATTTCAAGCGATTTGGTGATCATGGTCGCCGAAGACCCATAGGGGTCTGCTGTGAGTGAATTCATAGAAGACGTTGAAGATTTTGTCGCCAACGACTGCAATCCCGGCGAGTGTTTTTGAGATCCGGTTCCCTTTGACTGCCGTGACGACGATCGTGGTGGGATAGCAGGCGCACACTCTGGGTGGGGCGCTGGCGGAGACGATAGGGTCTGTCTGCGCCCTTCGACAGTATTCTCAGTCGGTGTAGATTTTAAGTTCTCCTCGCTCATGAGTTTCCTCGGCTTGTGTCGTTCAGATACGTTGTTGGGATCAATGACGCCGGATGTGGCGGGTACGTGCCTGGCCAAGGCAGCGATCATCGATGGATTCTCGTCCAGGGCAGAACTCTTCTTGCGAAGCCGTGGTGGAGGTGGTGCTGCTACTGGTGCTGTTTCCTGGTCGCGGGCCTTTCTGTCGGATTGGGCCGAGGTTGCTGAACCTGCCCTGGATCGACTCTTTGGTGGTATGGGTGGAACGGTTGTTGCGGAAGTCCTGGGGGTCGAAGGTGCGAGCGTGAGTGATATCGGTGTTGCTGCAGTGAAATCAACATCCGCCTCTTTAAATCGCCCCACAACGCCCTCACAATACCCCTATCGAGTTCAAAAAGTCCAAAAATAAAAATAAGAATGAGTGTCTATCGCGAAGGTCATGCTGGTAAATTACGCCTGCATCCCCTTTCTCGTGGATGCCCGACAGCATGATCCTACACCACCTGCCCGCCTCTTTTCCTTCCCGACCTCTGTTCTAGATCGTAAATATATATAATTCATGGCGATAGGGTCCAGGGCGGGGGAAGGCACCTAGATCGGATCTGAGCACCATAAGAGCACCACTACGACTACAATCACCGCCAGGAGAGCACTGCACCCAGGAACCATTCACCCCATTCAATGGTAAAATGGTCCAGGGTTGCTCAGTTCTGATTGTAACCTTCGCATAAATTAAACCACAAACAACCAAATTTAGTCTAGGATACAATTGGGGTAAGAAAAAAAAAAAAGAGTAATGGGTGGATGAAAGGGAAAAAAGAATTTCGCATATTCTCTTTCATCCAAGGGCTGAGGATTGGGGGAATACATAATGCATTGCATCCTATTATTATAATTACCATGCAAAGCCCATCACCTAAACGCTGCAGCAACAGCACGTTCTCACCTGCAGGATTAAAAAAACAAAAAAACAAAAGAAGAGAAAATGCAATGTCAGGACAGGAACATGGACATGCAAAGTCCAGTTGTGTAGTAATATAGACGAACAGCCAAGAAGAGGGCCAATCGCTTGTTGTTTTTTTTTTCTCTTGACGTTCACTTACCGGCCATAAACATCAAATCTTCATTACTCTCTGCAGTAATGTTGCTCAAAGCTACTCCCTGTGCAATTGCCTGCAATCCTCCTTTTCCTGTTCCTGTTCCTGCTCCTGTTCCTGCTTCTGCACCTGCTCTTGATCCTGATCCTGCTTCTACTCCTGATCCTGAGCCTGAGCCTGAGCCTGAACCTGAACCTGAACCTGAACCTGATCCGCCTGTGCTGCGTACTGGCGAATGCGCCCCCTCTGTTCAATTGTTACCGCATAACAAATCAAAAAGAAGAAATGGTACGGGAGAGACTATTAGCATCACCAATTGATCGCAAAACAATACCCTGTTCTGGGCTATTTGTTCTGGTAATGAGGGAACGTCAGTTTACCAGCTAGGAGAACACCCATGTGTGCGTCAGTATCGGGGTTGGTACGGACGACAGTTGAGGGCTCGTTCATTTGCTAGAGGACGTCTCTTTTGGTTGCTGCCGCATGTAATTGCGGATAAGACCTATGGATCGGCTATCGAGAGTGGATGATACCGAGGTTGGCAGTAGTGGTGCGATGGTGAAGGTCGTAACAGAGGCAGTGGTGGGTGTGAGAATGTGGAGTGAGTGAGTGTGTTTGTTGAGACAGAAGTGAGTGGGTGAGTTAGTGCTGAGGTGAGAAAGAGTGAAGGAGAGAGAGAGAGGGAGGGGAGAGAGAGAAGGAGAGAAAGAGGGATGGGTATATGAATGAGAGTGGAGGAGGGGAATTGGATGAGAAGCGTGCGATGTGATGCGATGTGATGCGATGCTAGTGGTGATGTGTGATGTGTATGTGTCAGTGATGCTGATCACTTTGGTGAAAATGTCTCTCGACCTGAACAGCTCTTTCTTCTCTTTGACTGGTTTCCATTTGACATCATCCAATTGTGGCAGCCCTCTAAATGAATGCGGCGCCATTGTGCACCTTCTTGGTCGCAATTTAAAAAAAGGTTCAAGCATAGACGCAACATGGCTACATGCTTGCAATGGTTACATGACTACATGGCCACACGGCTGCACGGCTCCATCGATTGGCCTGCTTGAATGCTACACTAAAAACACAAAAGGAGGGTGAAGCCTTGCCCAACACACATTGTCTCGAAATAAAAACGCATCAGGCCTTCAGAAATTCGCTCGTAGAATTGTTGTTGACACGCGGTGAACAAATTACTTCACAAAAAAAGGGCGACTTGGAAGACGCGCAGGTGTCATGCGAGAACGATCGATAGACCAGGAAAGCAGGAGTTATATCTAACCATCGCGCACTGCGCATTGACCATGCCGCGCCATGCAGCATAATAACGCCATCCATCTGGCATGACACTGCTTGAGGACGCGGTCATCAAGAGTTTTTCTTTCTTTTGTTCGTTGCATGTCGTACTTCTTTACTTTTTCGTTAAATTAGTGAGTGCTAGGGGTTATCTTTTTGACAGGTTCTGAATGCCAGTATCCTCCGTTTCAAGTCTAGTGCAGTCGCTAGTCAGCTGTGCAGTGCAGCAGCAGCACACATCCCTTTTTCTTCAGAGCTCCTGTCGATCCAAAGCCATGCTGCTCCTGCGTCGCGCAATCTTGCCTCCTCTGATCACAAATCCAGACTCACGCGTAAACTCATTATCTTCTCCCGCTGCGAACAAGGGTGATCCTTTTGAGCCCTCACTCTTGGCATGCCGCCCAGTTGTCTCTTCCTCCTCAGAGTCCGATTCCGATGACGAATCTAGTCTGCGTCCATCATCCTCGTCAGAATCCACCTGTGAACCATGCGTCGATAACTAATAACCAAGTCAATTAGAATTGAGCTAGTCAGAACGAAAGAACGAACGTAAACAACAATAAAAAAAAAACAAAAAACAATGATAGTGCAGCTTACGGCGTTGTACGGATCATAGCGCTCTTCGCCTTCTTCTGCGGTCCAGTGACGAGGCTTTTTGCCTAGCAACTCCTTCCAGTTCCACTCAATCTTATAGTTGGAGAACCCAGTGTCGACAGGTGCAGTCTGCTGTGCCGACTTCGTGATTGATGTGGTCTTGTTCGGCTCTTGCTTCAGCTCGAACGTCCTCTTATACGTGGCCTTGGGCGTACCAGGTCCAAGTCGAGACGGCGTCCCAGGTCCAGGCGTGGTCGGGCGACTACCAGCTCGACTACCTGCCCTACTCGAGTAACCAGACGTAAATGCTCCATATCGCTGGGATGAGGACGCCAGCGGGGTAGATGGCATGTACGGCGAACCTAGCGGAAGGGCTGCCCGTGTATGGCGTTCCCCAAAGTACTCTAGCTCATCCATATCCTCCTCTCCATACACCAGATTGTCTTCATCTTCCGATGAGTTGTAAGCACGCACCGCATGAACCTTGGGTGGCTTTCCTTTACTCGCACTTGCCGAGGTCAGAGCAGCTTGGCGCGGCAAGTTAGGATCGTTGGCATACAGAACCCCAGCGGCCGAAAGCCGGCTACCGGTGCTGCTGGTACTGCTGCTAGAGACAGGTCTTCCATATCGACTCGTTGCCTGAGGGTATTTAGACAGAACCTGCATCGCATGCTCGACTGCTGCTGCTGATGCGTTCTTCTCACGGATATCCCGTAGTCGTTGTCGCTCTGCTGCTTCGAGAACATCCTCTTCTTCATCGTCCCGATCGAATGCACGGCTCTTGGTATCAATCTGCAGGGAGAGCCCACCTTGCCTTTTCTGTTCGCCTTCGTCAACGAACGTGTGCACAGTTTCTGAGGTGGTTACATCAGAGATACTGCTCTCAGAAGAGGTCGTTCTGCTGCCGAACTTAGACATCACCGACATTGTTGCCGTGGCCGTTGTTCGTTCGCCCATCTTGCACAGATCTGAAGATGCGATCGTTCGCTCGGCATGCTGCAATTCTCGAGAGTCGCCGTATCCTTCTATACTGGTGCTCATGCTCTCTGCAACTTGTCTCGATGTGCTCATATGCTGAGAGGTGGAGGCACTCTTGCTCTCTGTCGACTGCCCTGATGTGATCAGACACTGAGAAGTAAATGTGTTACCGCTGCTGCCTGATGTGGTCCCCGTTGTAAGACGACTGGCTTCCTTTGAACTGTTAATCGTCTCTGTGCGCCGAGCCTGTTCCCCAAAGTAACTGCCAGAGCGGGGTCTTGCCGGGATCTCAAACATCTTCTCACCGCCGGTAGTACTGCTGTTTGAGCTGGAGCTGACCATCGCACCGTCGACATACTTGCGGCGAATAATCGTCGTAGTCACTGTTGTTCTCACGAATCGGTGGGAGCCTGGGGCGGTCATTTTCGTTGTGGTGATCGATGACGAAGAAGTGCTACCTCTGGCGGCGCTTGTGGTCGTTGTTGTACCCAACCTGCCTGCAACAGCGCCATGTGCCTCTAGAAGGGATGCCGATGCGTCGCTTGAAGCGGCACCTGATGCTCTGGTAATCTGTTTGGGAGATGGAGCACTATGTTTGGCCTGGTGTTGAACAATTTCGACTGCCATGTCTTCTGATACAGTGTCCCTGGGCCTTGGAACTCGGCCTGAGCGACTGCCAGCAGCAATGGCGATACCAGTCTCACCGGCTGCTGCCGCTGCGACTGCAGATGCCCCATGGCCCGACCACGCAGCATTTGATTGTGAAAGGCCGCCGCCGTTAGCGCTAGCGCCACCAGCACCAAACTCCAGCGTCGAGCGACGGTCGCGTCGAAGGGGTAGCGCTAGGCCTACTTCCTCGTCCTCGATTCGCAACTTCTTCTTAGTCAACGCTACATTGGGCGGGTCCCAGGCGTTCCTAAAGGCATAGGGTGACGTCTGTTCCTTCTGACGCTGGCGCTGTTGAGCCCTGATCTCGGCAAGCTTGGTCAGCCGTAACTTCTCCTGACGAAGTTCCTCCTCCTTGATTCGAGCCTCCTCTTGCTCCCTTTGCCATCTGTCCTCCTCCTCGAGACGCTTCCTGACGAGTTCTGCCTCGTACATCTCCTGACGCTGCCTTGTTTCGTATGCCAGCATGTCCTCCAAACCATAGCCCTTGCGGATTCCACCAGCGCTACTCTTGCGGCTCCGAGGGCGTCTCTTTTCAGTCTTTTGCAGGATAGACATCTGAACGCCGATATCGACATCCCAGGCATTGACCAACCTAAAGTTTTCGAATGCCTGACTGCCCGTTAACTGCTCCTGGGCTTCTTGTTTTTTGCGCTCACGCTCGTACCGTTCGTGCTCTTGTAGTTGAATGTATTGCAGCGCCTTCTCCTCTCTCTCTAGCCGCTTTGTTTCTTCCAATTCCTCTTGTCGGCGACGTTCCTCTGTATTAGCGGCATAGTTATAGTACGTCCTGGTGGGCGTCCGAGCAATTCTGGGTGTGTTAGGAGCGCTGGACTCCCACGGAAAGATTGGCCTTCCCTTTCCAGAAGGGACGGGTGTGTTATCGGCATTTGTGGTGTCCTCAATGACCAGCGGCATCACGGGTAATGGCGGATAGACCTTGCGAGGATCCTCAGGAAGGTCCCAGGCATTGGGGTAGTACATATCTGGAAGTCCGATGGGCTCGGGTATGATAGCTTTGAAGGCCCCACCTGCAGTAGTATCCTTGGATGAGTCGATGGTGATGGGGAGACGGTAGCGATAGTCTGTCAAGTGGTGTGGATTGAGCTCTCGATCGGTTATGCTCTCGGAGTTCTGGAAAGAATGATGAGCCTGTCTCTCATCTACACCATTCGCGCCTTCATTAGGACTGTACCGATTTGCGTCAGGCTCCGGCAGGTCGGGGACCTTGGGAGGGGGAGGAGGCGGCTGGTAATGATAGTCGGTCAAATGGTGAGGGTTGTGTACAAACTGGGGATGGTGATGGTGGTGATGTTGCTCGTGCTCCTGCTCCTGTCTCTCTTTGGCAATATCGTGATGTTGGCTATGTTCGTGATGTTGGTCCTGGTGACCATGATGCCACTCTATCCTCTCCGCCACGCGCGGCGGGATTGGGGGTCGCCACTGCTCTTCGCGCGGAGGATGATGGTCGGCCGGATGACTTTGATCCCCTCCTCCAGCTCCTGCGGGGTTATGTTCATGATGCTCTTCGTGATGGTGATGCTCCTGATGGTGGTCATGGTGTTGCTGGTGCTGGTGGTCGCTGTGTTCTTGATGTTGGTGTTCGTGGTGTTCGTGATGGTGTTCCTGATGTTGATGATCATGGTGTTGGTGTTCGTGGTGTTGGTGTTCGTGGTGCTGGTGCTGGTGATGTACAGGAGGCGGTGGTTGCGTCTGGCCCTGATGGACATAAGGCTGGAACCAGCCGTCATAGTGTGGCATTTTCTTGACCTCTGGTTCGTGTACCTGACGATCCATACCGATACGGTCCCACTGACTCTGGGGCGGTAGATCATAGCCATGTGTCACCTCATGGATATCGGAAGGCTAGCAACAGATCGAGATAAGCAAAAACTAAGATTAGTGCCCCTTCACTGGAGTCTTCGGGCTACGCATGCAGCCACTCTTGTTGGATATGCAGGGTCAATTTGCCACCAAAATAACCGCGGTAAACATCCATCCCTATCCATTCGGCTGTGATTCACGCTTAAGCATATCCACGATCCTATTTGGCGGTTTTCATTTGCGTCCTTCACGCACGATCGTCCTCGCCATCTTGAAAACATTCGTGCCATTTCTCCTTTTTTTTTTTTTGTCTTTATCTTTCGCGTTCCGCTTCCACATTGTACACCCCGCCAGAGATAAAGGAATTTAGAGAGCAGGCAAGAGCTCAGACCATCCCAAACCCCATCCTGGCATTGCTTCATTTCATGTGAGCCCAAGCACAGATAAACAACGAAAACCCTGTTCTCGACGATAAAGAACCACGCTGTATACTTAGGGTGGATACGGTATCACGATCACCTCTTGTAGACGAATAACCCCGATCTGGAACTCCATTAACCAAGGTTCCTCTTTTTCCCAACAGGTGCATCATGAGAAAATCAGCATACCTTGCCGCCGACAAACATGTCAAAGACATTCCACCATTTTTGGACAAGATCAATCGAATCTGTAGAAGAGGTGTTGCGTGGAAAGACCGCTCCGTCTGCGAAGCGGAGCCATTGCCAAGGCTTGAATGACCCTATAAAATGAATGACCGCTAGCTTGTCCTTGTTTTGTTGGAACGCAGGAGCATAACTGTGAGAGACGCAAAAGAGAGAAGAATGCCGCAAATGCGAGTGAGTAACTTGATTTCACGATAATAACCACAAGACCGGGATTAGCATTGACAATGAGATTGTCATGAGGTTAAAAAAAAAAAGGAAGAGTTGAGCCTCATAGCCGTGGCGGCACCGTTTTCATGGACACAATGGCCCAACAAAATTCAGAAAAACAGTGTTTATTATTTTATGAACGAGGAAGCACAGGGCATGAAATCGACTACCCGATGGTGTACGACGAGAGAAGATAGCCATAGGAAAGAAACCAAAAGATAGCCGCGCGTTAAAGAGATGGTGCAAGCAAAAAAAAAAAAAATCTCCCCACGCTTTTTTGTTCTTTTGTGCTGTTTAGCTATAATACTCAGGTCCTTTTTCAAAGAAAAATACACTCATGCGGATCGTCAGCTTGCCACATGGGGTGGGTTAATATCAACAACAGGCACGATTTTCGAAGGCATCCCTCCTACTCACGTCGTCTTCATGTGCCAATCCAATTGTGGATAAAGTAGCAAAGGGGGAGAAAAACTCATGGGATACACCAATGTCATCATCACCCGCGAAAAAAAAAAAAAAAAGAAAGAGCGCGCCTTGATTTTTTTTTTTTGAGAGAATCACTCACCTGTAAACGGAGGTTGGCGTCGTGTTGTAGAGGAACGGCAGACGGTTACTGGCGTCACCCCTGGACCAGCCGTCAAAGTAGCTGTTAAGCAAGCCCTGATCGCCACCTGCGAAATCGTTACGAAAACAAAAAAGGAGAAGGGGCGGTTATGCGAATAAGTTTCTACACATAATTCTCGGGCAGTGGTGGAGGAGGAGAGAAACGATAACAAACGCGCTTTTCTGGTCTCTCTTATTACCATCAAAGGTGCCATGTTGACCTGCCATTTCGATCAAGCCAACGTAATCCTCGTATTTGGGCCGACAGACAAAGACTCCTGAATTGAAGCAATCCGGCCATCCTGCATCCGGTGCTGCTGCGAACCGTGTGTTCCGATCCTTGTCGTCGAGCGATCCATTGGCTGCAGTTTCAAAGAGATCATCGATATTTCGTAGGACCAAGGTGTCTGCGTCCAGGAAGACGACCTTGGAGTACTGAGTCTGATTGAAGACATGGATCTTTGTGAGGGTGATGCCGAGTTCAGGGCGACCGAGCAATTGTAGGTTCTTTGTGGAACGGGAGTCGATTTCGCCAATCTCGATAACAGCGTCATAGACCTGGGCCAGTCGGTCGCGGATGGGACGCGAGACTGCAGCGGTGATGAGGACGGCGAGTTGCCTTGTGGTCTGGGCAGCGCGGAGGGAGTGGCCGAGGACAAGGGCGCCACTGGCGTAGTTGTTGTTGGTGAGGAGGGTGATGTATGCCTCCATTGGCGTGGAAGGGAATGCCAGAGGAATGAGGGGAGGAATGAGGAAGGAATGAGGAGAGGCAATGAATGACAAGACAGGCAGCGAACAGGAAGGAGAAAGAGAAGAAAAGAAAAAGAAAAGAAAAGAGCAGAAAAGAGCAGAAAAGAAAGAGAGGAAGGGAAGAAAAGGAGAGAAAGGGGAGCAAAGGAAGGTGGAGTTGCGGCGGGGAGGGAAACGACGCGAGAGAAAAAAGCAGCGGGAACGAACCATTGCATCTGCGTATGCCGCATTTACACCTGCATATGCAGATGCAAATGCATATGCATGTGTGTATGGGGTACGATTCCCATGCAGCGCATCTCCTTCTTCCCCTCATTGGGCCCCTCCTTGACAGAGACTCAACACCTAGTACCCATCTTCCTTGGTCCAACTTTTTCTGTGTCCATCATCCGAGTCGGAAGCGGGTAGCTGGATCGACGGAAACCCTCTCTAACCTTGTAGCCGATACATGGAAAAAGGTTCTTTTGATAAGAGAGAAATGATAGGCACACCAATACCTCCTTGGACATGCCTTCATGCGGATAAGAGGAAAAAAGCCGGCGGCCTCATTCTTTTCCTTTTTCCTTGTCCAACAAACACCAACCCGACGCACTGACGCCTTTTTCCTTCTCTTCTTCTTCTCTCTGTACAATCGTAACAATTGCTGAAAGTAGAATGAGCCGATTTGTCGTTTCCTTCCTTTTATCATCTTTTTGTGGGGGAGCGTATAGTGTTGGCGTAAGGATGCAAATCCCTTACTCGTACCTGAAAATTAAAAAGCTTTTGTGCTTATCTGGAACCCAAAAAAAAAGGGACAGTGAGGAGGATTGATTGTCTACTCCATGGTGTGTTTGTTAGTCTATGCTGCTGCCTCCTTTCCCTCCCGTTGGCTCGGTCTACATGACCTATCCATGCAGCCCAACAGCTCATTGTGGAATTATATTGCATAAGCAGAAACAACAAATAACAAACAAAAGGACGTGCGTGCGCGTATTTATGCTGTTCAACTAGACAAGTTACAGTATGAATAAAAAGGTGTGGCCACATTCTTGCATCTACATGCATACACTGCAGCCCGCGTTTTTTTCCTTTTTTTACTTTATTTCCTTTTGCTGCTGAACTCTGTGAGTTGGATGGCTGTCTAGAAAAAAAATGATACCGAGTCTATTCGTCGAATCCTGAAGCGAGTATATCGAGTACATATGCTCAATATGCTCTGTACGCCAGCAATGCCTTTCATCCATGCCGCCAAATGTGCTCTGTCCCTTCAAACCGCTTAGTCGCTGTCCGTGTCCGCCTAGAACATTACAAAATGTAAAATAAAATGGCGCGTTGGTGTGCGTGGGTGTGAGAAAGAGAGAGAGAGAGAGAGAGAGAGAGAGAGAGAGAGCGTGTATATGGTAGTCAGTTTGAGAAAGAAGGAACCATAAGCATCAGACCGAGCATTTAAAGAACGAAAAGAACAGGTCGCCGCACGTACCGGCTTGGGTGTCCCCTTGTCCGATGCCAACCATTCCAGATGTCGCAGTCGGCGGCGTATCTCCTGTGCCTTAATATCATTTCGGCTCTTCTTCTTCTTCTTATTCACTACCACAATCGGTTTCTCAGAGTCCTCAAAGTTGCCCTCCTCTACCGCCGTCTTGCCGTTGATCGTGATCCTGCCCGCACTCATCGTCCATGTCTCCGGACAGAGCGCATTCAAAAACTCCTTGTTGTGTGAAATCATAATCACAGCGCCTCCCCAATTACGGATTGCAACCGCAAGGCCTCCGAGCGCCTCTCGGTCTAGGTAATTGGTTGGCTCGTCCAGCACAAGCATATGTGGGTTGTTCCACATGGCAGCAGCAATCACCACCTTGACCTTTTGGCCGCCCGAAAGTCCACTGATCACATTGTGGTCCGCAATATCACCGTCCAGACCAACATCTTCTAAATGCCGACGAATACTTGAGGGTGTCAGCTCGCGATAGCCAAGTCCCTCCCTCGAGGCCTCCCGGTCATCAAATTGGCGCACCAACTTTTCAAATCCAAGTTCGAGCAAACGTTCGCGCGGCATCCAGGTGTTGAACTTGTGCACATGGTTCTTCCACTTGACCTCGTATTGGTACGACTTTCTGAGCTTTTGACGTCCCATCAACATCTCGACCTGACGTTTGCTGCCATCCTTGCCCGTGACCCAGGTCTCCATCTGAGTAAGTTCCTCAGGACTCATGGCCACCGTCGACTTCTCCAGCACTTCGCGATCCGCACCTCCTTGATAGCGCCATTGAATGTACGCATTTGGTGTTTTTTCCAGGTGCTGCTCCAGATGGTGGAATGCGTGTTGAGCCACATATCCGATACGAAGATTGGGATGTCTCCATGAAGTGCCCTCCTGTGGCGAGGCCTCTCCTGTCAGTAACTTAATCATAGTCGATTTTCCTGCTCCGTTAGGCCCGATGACGCCAACGCGTGACGAGAGAGACAGTTGGACAGAGACATTATACAGCGACGGTTTGGCGGCTCCAGGGTATGTATAGGTGCAGTTAGTCATTTTCATGATCGCTTTGGTATTGGATTTGACGCCGACCAAGAAGCTGGGCTTCGGGAACTCAAATTTGACGGAAGTGGCTGCCAGGGTGTAGTAAGATTTGGCCTCGGGTTTGATCTTGACAAACTCGGACAGGTTACCCTTGTACATCTTGAGTTTCTTGCGTTCATAGTGGAGGATGTTGGTGCAGACATTGTCGAGGAAGCTCGAGTCGTGGGAGACAACGATCGACGTGACATTAGTTTGACTCACGAGATAGTCCTCGAGCCACTTGACGTTGGCGACATCTAGGTGATTCGTAGGTTCGTCCAGTAGCAGGATATCCGCATTCATCAACATGGCGCGTGCGAGTTCCAGCTTCATTTTCCATCCGCCAGACAAAGATGCAACCTTACTCTTTTGCATCTCATGCGTAAACCCGACAGACGACAGTGCTTTTGTAATCTCCTCCTTGGATGTGTTGGCCAACTTCGAGTCCGAGGCGACAAATTCGGCGACGCCCATTTCTCCTTGTTCTCCTTGTAGCGCATGCTCTACAAACACTGTCTTCAGGACGTCTGAAGAAGGGAATCCATCCAACTTGCCCAAAGAAATTGCCCGCATGAGAGTCGACTTTCCGGCACCATTGGGTCCACACAGGCCATAGCGATGTCCACGATTCAGCTTGAGTTTGGTATGGTTAAGCAGCATCATGCCTCCGTATGCCAGCGAAAAGTCGATGTTGCAAAGTTCCTCGCCATTCTCGTCGTCATCCACAGATCCTTCGCCATTCAGTTTTCGATCTAGCTCCACATAGTGATCCAAGATCGTCTTGACCACGGCCGTTGCGTCAGTCAGGGGCATGAACGCAGTGAAATAGGGAGTTACGATCTGGTTCCATTCTCGAGGTGACAGGTTTTCTTCCTTGATCAGCACAATCGACAGGCTCGCAACATGGTTCTTGACCACATCAAAGAACGACGGATAAAAGCCATGCTTGCTGACCGCACGGCTCACAATGGTACGGGCTTCTGTTTCAGTTGGGACAATGGATCCTGTCTGCGTTGATGGGTCGACCTTTGTGGCCCCTCCAGCCTTGATAAGCGTATTCTTGGCAGCCGTGGCCAAGGCGCGAATCTCAGGCGCGGCTGCCACATCAATGATGCGCTCCAAACCAGGCAGTAAATCCGGCAGGAATTGACCGGCCTCTGCTGGATCCTTGACCAGTTTGCACAGGTTGTCGACGATGATTGTGGTCTGTCGTTGCACATGTGCAGATCGCTCGTTGAGGGCACGGACCAGGAGTGGGACCATGATAGCGAGAGCTGGACCGTGCATATCGGCGACAAAGGTCGTCGCTGAGAGCTTTTCCATCATGTCAGGTACTTTATCTGGATGAGCCATGCAATCGCAGAGGTCCTTGAGATGGCGAGAGATATCGGGGTTACCGCCAACGTTGCAGACGCGCAGCATTGTCTTGTTAGCTTGCTCCACAACCTATAGTGATATGGGTTCATATTGTTAGGAATGCTCCACATCGAAGGGCTCTGGATCAAAATTAACGGCACGACGTTTTCGTACCTCACTCTTCGTATCCGAGAGACAGTCCTTGACTATGGGAATAATCTCTGGAAGCGCAATGCCGACCTGGATAGGAGAAGCATTCGAGAGGTCTGCCAACAGCTGCAGCGCCCCTACTTTGGTTTGCCATTTCTTTCCTGGCCCCGTTATACACTGGAACAGAACTGGCAGAATCATGGGAGCTGACTGCGAGGGCATGATTGCCATAATGGACTCCGCTGCTCTCGCGGCTGCGTCCTGCACCACGGGACCCTTGTCGGCATATAAATCAAGGATGGTCGGCAGCATGGGTACCAGGTATGGTTCTGAAGGTCGCCCAATGACATCGGCTAGAGCACAGATCCCAATCAGAGCACCCTCACGCGCCAGGCCTGACTTCTTGTTCTTCGCTTCCGTCTCGAGATTCTTGAGCATGTTTGTGGTCTTGAGGTGGATAAGTCCGTCCTTGACGACCTTGGCGGCCATATCGCGAGCAATGGCATCGCATTCCTCACTTGTTGGCGCAGTGTAAAGTTGGCTCAACATCTCGGTGAGCTCGTCCACGTCATTGCCTGAGGGTGTACTCGCCGGTGCTCCTGATGAAGGCATCATTATTGTGCTTGAAGGGCTGTTTCGATCAATAGCAGGGCAAAGAACAGCAGGTGGAACGGAAATGTAGGAAGTCGCGACTATGGTTTCGAGGAATGTAGAGGTAGATGAATGTAAGGATGCAAGAAGATGGAGAGAAGGAAGGCAAGGAAGACGCAGGAGGGAGGAGGCGGTGGGTGAGGGATTTGCACTGCGGTTTTGATGACCAGGGGCGTGTGGTTGTGCACACAATCATATACATATTTGTCGCGTCGAGTGCGCCTATGTCTCAGTCTGCACTATTGGAATACGACACATCGAGCAAAGCTCTGCCTAACATCCCGTCATGGCATTGCACCAAATCGAACTCATTGATAGCAAAGTCAACGCTGCCGTAGTATATCAGCTTTATTATAAACGCCAGTAGGCAGGTTGACTAGAAGAGATCCAGGAGATCATTGACGGCCGAGGGTTGCCCTGAAGCAGGTTTCTGTTGTCGTGGTGGTGTCGGTTGTCCAAACCCTCCAAAATCGCCAAACAGGTTGTCGTTCTTGGAAGCTGACGAGACTGGAGACGACTGGACATTTGAAAAATGCTGCTGTGATTCACCCATACCGCCCATGATTCCGAGTCCTTCAAACCCACCCGTGGAAGACATGTCCGACGACATACCAAACAGATCTGCACTGTAATTAGGCCCGCCTGGCTTGCTGCCAGAAGTTGGCTGAGGTGAGGCATATGCAGTTTCAGAAGGTGATCCAAAGTCCAAGTCCAGCAAGTCTGCCACTGCATTCTTGGGTGCCGCACTGCCTCCAGGCGTAGACGAAATTGGTGATTCCAAACCAGCTTCGCCAACAATCTGTTCCTGGTCCCTTGCACTACATGTATCGTCATAAAAGTGTCAGCTCAGTGCTATTTTGAGCGAAAAAAAAAAGCGGATAATGAAGCAGTACAGGACTTACTCGGCAGCAGCAGCTTTCTTAACAGCGTCTGCGCTGTACGCCTTGGTGCCCATAAATGCCGTCGGAGGTTTATGGTAAACGGAGGCAAGGGTCGAGATGTTATTGATCAACTCATCCATTATTCCCGGAGAAAGCGTCCTTGTCTCTACTGAGATGGGTGGCTTCTCGGACAAGACCACAGCCTTTGCTGCCTGTGGATCCGTCGAGAGAAGCCGCCAATAGATATAGGCACGATCTCGGGTGTCTGGATTGTCAATCTCCTGCGTGGCAGTTTGCAGCACTCGGTGCACAATCTCTTGGGACTGTGAAGGCTTTTTCAGGAATAGCTTCACGGTGGCGGTCAAGAGTTGGAGCTGGACTTGCGAGTTTTCTTCCAGGAACGTTTCCAAAAAGTTTTCGATCAGCTCGTCTGCGTTCTCAATCCGTTCAGCGTATTCTCCGACGATCCAAATCAGCGAGCCCTTGGCCTCTGGTTCGTCAAGGGAGTCCAAATTCTGACAAAGGGTCGGAATAATGGCTTCGTAGCGCTTGGGGTATTTGCGGATGATGTCCTAGAGACCACGACACATGAATTAAAGCATGCTGGAGGATACTGTCACAACATTGGACCTAGCCTAGCGGAGCACATCGGACCCTTACCTTGATCACGACAATGGCCTCCTGGACAACATAGTTGACCTTGGTACTGATGAGGTCCAGTAGAACATTCACACATCTTTCGGAAGCCTCCTCAATTAAAATCGCACACCGACCGATTGCTAGAATCGCCCTGCGGACAAAATCGACATCGACCTCAGACGCATATCTAGATATTGGAAACCATGTATTCGCGCCGTCAGCTACAATTTTGCTCTTCTTCAAGATGACATAACAACGATAGATACTTACTCTTTGAGTTCCGATAAGACTTGTTCAATATTTCTCTCATTGGACAATTTGATGATAATCTCCAGCTTTTCTCTTTTAACATATGGCGGGTCGTTGTACTTGCAAAAGAAGACCCGAACATCATTTTGAAGAATATCGGGCCGCTTTTGAAGGATCAGGTTGATGTTGCGGAGAGACACGTATTGGACCTCAGGAGCCGATGCAAGAAGCGACACTGTGGATGAATAGCAATCAAGTGTTAATGAGCAACCCTGAGAGGTCGATATCTTGAGCGTTTTGCAGCAAACCCTTACCAAGCGGAGGTGACATCTTCTTGACCAGACTCTTAATAAAGTCGTTATTCGTAATGTATCGCATGAAAATCATGAGGATTCTAATGGCTGACAGGACTACGGATCCATTGGCGTGCTGAAGACGGGGAATGACTCGCTCACAGATATTTTCGGCCTCCTTAGAGTCCAGTGGTTTGTATTCTGCCAGCGAAGTTAAGACAGCAATTTGCCCCCATTCTGTGCATTCGTTCAGGGCTACAAGCATCTTGTTCATGACCGAAACGTTCACCACAAAGATATCCTTCGTCACAGACGAGTCTTGCATCTCAGCTAAGGCCGTGACAGCATTTGCAACAACCTAAGATATTATGAAAGTGCAGTGTTTGTTAGACTCCATATTTTGTCTGTGCGTCTTGCTACAGGAGTGGCAAGCCATCAGCAGTAACGTCTTACCATCGGATTAGAATCTGAGACTAGATCCTGAAGGATGGTGACAAAACCGTTCTCCAACGCCCTTTCCTGATCCAGGTCCCACAGTTTTGCGACGCAGATTGCAGCGGTCTTGCGAACATATGGATCATCGTCCTGCAGACACTTTCGCAATGGCTCACACAAGTGGTCCAGAATCTTGTCGACGCGGATGCAACCCATGGTACGAATAGCCAGCGCACGCATCAACGGATTGACGTGGTCTGTGTCCTGAGAGCCATGATTTTTTTTTTTTTCGATTGCAAATAGACGATTGAAAATGAACATCCTGAAGGCACAACCAAGAGAACCATGATTGCCAATCGATGAGCACAAGCCAAATACCTTCACGAAAGTATTAACGCAAAGAATGACCAGGTCCGGGTTCGATTTTGCGTAGTTCATCAAGTACAGATACACCAATTTTTTCTGTACCGTGTGAAAATGTAAGATATGCATGGTCAGAACAATGCTGCAAAACCAGCATCAAGAAGCCAGACCCGTACTTCTGGTACCCACCATCTCTAGATCCTCGGTTTGCATATTCTTGACCACCTGCGGGAAGAGCGAGCTGACGTCCTTTCCCACAGTCATGTTGGCAATGACGCGTTTCACTGCATCCTTGCGTCGATCTCGGTACTCGCTATTGAGGTCTGCCAGTAACTCGGCATTTTCGCCTGTATCCATATATAATTGTGAAAGTATGGTTCATATCAACACGTTGTCAAAGTGCAGACAATGAGCTCAAACTTTCACGAAGCCGCGGTCATATTGAGTCAGTCGGTACCCTTTTTGTTGGTGGCAAAGAACCTGTGAGCGTTTTGTTTAATAAACTCGGCAGCCATATGTGCTTATCTCTGAGGGAAGTAGTTTGATAGAAAAGTGCACTGTGCAGGGCTTCCAAGACCAAGAAGATGAGTGATTGTTATTGGAATGAGAAGCAGGACAATTGGTAGGCATCTGGCTTCATTGCGCTTGAGGACAAGCTGTGCCACGCTGCAGGGCGCGCTCAAGCTCACGTGCAGCCAATGCTAGGTACGCATTTTTTCACGCAGGCAAAGAGGTAGCGTATCGCACAAAAAGACCGAAGACTGAAGAGTGCTTAGCCCTGCTGCCATCGATTGAGAGTGTCGTTCATTGAGCGAACGGGTTTATTATTATGATATGGTACAATATTGAGTTGAAGAATGAGGTATGCAATTGCGATGGCAAGAATCAGGATGAAAGGAGAGTATCGGCTGGCATTTGACACTGAATGGGCGTACTCGGAGGCCAGCTAATAGTGATGGTGCGGATCAAATTCTCTGCGATTAAGTCGCTTTTACTCCTTCCATTGCCAGCCACACTTAAGGTCACAGCACTTGTAGAACGTCGTCATGGGTTCATCCGCAGAGCGCGTCTGGATCTGCATGTAGTATGCTCGGTCGTGTTCGCATCTCGGGCAAGATGCTGGTTGAATTTAGAGCAATTAATGAATATGTTAAAAGCATGGTCGACGACGGGCGAAAATACATGGATTTTTATCCCAATAGTAAAGGTAACCCATGCATGGCTCCTCTAATGCTTCGTACCTTCCGTCTGATCCACGTTAGCCCATGCATCGTCTCCTCCGAGTACATCATCCACTTGCTTCCTGTCCAATGTCTTCCTTTGCACAATCTATTGCAGCGATATTCATGAGGGACACGTTAGATGCGTTGCTGTGATGAATGCTGCTGCGCCTAAAGCAGAGACGGAAAAAATAATTTAAACATACAGTCTTGACGACAGGATAGATATATGGGCATGTCTGACAATAAAGCTGTTGTTGTGCACCGTCAGACTGCACTAGCAGGAGGTTTGAGCAGGTTGGACAAAAGTACATGGTTGATGTGTAGCTCAGAGACCAGTGAGGGATGCAACGAATGTCTCCGCAAGAAGGTGGAGCTGGTATTTTTTTTTTTTGCACAAGCTCAACTGCTGCGGCTTAGTGCGGCAATTTTTTTTTTTTTTGCGCGGTATAAAATCAATTTGGCGGCGCATCCCATCTTGTTCTCCCTCCCTTTTTAGTAGCCATCTAACACCATGAGGCATGTGTTACACTCCACTTAATGCGCATCCGCCAGGACTTTCAGCCATCCATCCATCCATCTATCTATATCTTTATCTAACAATGGATTAGTGGACTGATTATTTATCGATTGCTGGAGATTCGCTCAGGGGATACCTGCCACCATAATTAACATCGACCGTCTTGGACCATGATCAACAACATCTGGAATCAGAAAAGACCGTTGTTCTAAGCAAGCTGGAAGGAGCAAAGTTTGCATAGACGACATCAATTGGACACTCCTTCTACCTTTGAAAGAGAGTATCAGCGCCATATTCAACGCTTGAGGAAGGCCTTCACTTAGATTCAGCGATGCGACTTTGTCTAGGTGGTGTGATCTATCTCACACTGGAGGCACACCGCAGTTCAATACGACAGACAAACTATCAGGACCTGTTCTCAACAACACTCACATACACCTCACCAGGCACGGCCACGAGAGAACAAACGAGTGCAGTCTTACTAACCGTCGCTCTTACCTCTTGTTGAATCTTTTGTGTATCGTTTCCTTCCAACGTTAACAGCAGCAAAATTCAGGTTTCGGCCGTCCGCGAGAGCGTTCGCCAGGTCAAGCAGCAGTCCGAGGAGAAGAAGCGTAACTTCGTCGAGACTGTCGAGCTCCAGATTGGTCTCAAGAACTACGATCCCCAGCGTGACAAGCGTTTCTCTGGCTCTGTCCGTCTCCCCAACATCCCCCGCCCCAAGATGTCCGTCTGCATTCTCGGTGATGCCCTTCACTGCGACCAGGCCAAGGAGATCAGCATGGAGTACCAGTCCGTTGATGACTTGAAGAAGCTCAACAAGAACAAGAAGATGATCAAGAAGCTCGCCAAGAAGTACGATGCTTTCCTCGCCTCCGAGGCCTTGATCAAGCAGATCCCCCGTCTCTTGGGACCTGGTCTCCACAAGGCCGGAAAGTTCCCCACCCCCGTCACCCACGCCGATAACATTGGCGACAAGGCCGACGAGATCCGTGCCACCATCAAGTTCCAGCTCAAGAAGGTTCTCTGCTTGGGTGTTGCTGTTGGTCACGTTGATATGTCTGAGGATGAGCTCTTGGCCAACATCATGATGTCGGTCAACTTCTTGGTCTCCCTTCTCAAGAAGCACTGGCAGAACGTCAAGACCTTGTACATCAAGTCCTCGATGAACAAGCCCGTCCGTCTTTACTAAGCGGATGTCGTTCTCTGCTCCCTGGTGACTGTGGTCTAAACCTACTCTCTCGGTACGGCACACCAAAGTATTATTCACCTTACACACATGAAAGAATCAATTACTGTTGGGAGCTGCATTAACTTGCAGCAATCAAGCCTGCTTATTTGATGGTTCAAAATAAAAAAAAAAATACAAAAAAAAAGCGGGTATTCCTGCTTGTGCGATGTATGCTTCTTCATGGACTCTGGGTTATTGCGAGCTGCGCAATTTTGTCCGCGCTTCTTGGAGTAGCGTGAGCTATGCTAACGGCCACAGAGGTGTTTAAATTAAAATGCAGGCACAGGGCGGAGAACGACGATAGACTATTTGCTGTTGTGTGGTATCCATACAAATAAGCGGCAGCTTCTTGCCGCTGGGAAGACAAGCTCCAAATGTAATGTAAGGCTATCTTCCTTTCTTCCCTTCTCCTTTTCTTCTCGATGCCCTTCTTGCTCCTCACATCCTTCAAGTCGCCACAGCCCCCTCATTCTTTGCAATTGTACGATTGCATGCATGACTGATATGGCGAGCGCCATTGTGGATGCACAAATTTCGCAGGCCTTTCAGTTTAGTCTTTCCTCGACCACCGATTGCTGCAAAATACCATAACCATCCCCACGCGCCACGACGTTAGCAATTTGTTCTCTGGAGCGATATTCGATTATTTTTCGAGAGTGTCAGATGTATTTATAAATGCCGGGGGATGCTGTTGTGTTACTGGTCAACGACGATATTGAACAGTAAGCTGCAGCAAAAAAAAAAAAAAAAAAAAAAAAAAAAAAAAAAACAGACCAGTATTGGACATACCTGTTCAGGACATACCTGTACAAGATGGACGATCACCGCATCGTTGTCACAGCAATCTTAAACTAACGTGTCCTAATTAGTTCGGATCACGCGTCAAGAATGTTTGTAAGAACAGCCCAAAGATCGAAGAAACGTCAGACGCGAATGTGGCGAGGCACAGCAGTAGTAAGTGCTGAACTGGTAAGACATTCATTGATGACAAAGCGCACTGGGATGAAAGTCGAGCCAAAAACGAGGTGAGGAATAGAAAGCAGGAAGGAAAGAGAGATGAAGGGCGAGAACACAAATATGCTAGAATAGAAAGGTTTGGGTAAGAACAATCCTCCTTTGAACCACTAACCACACTGCTACATGAAGCAAAAGGCCGACGTTGGAAAAAGACCGGAATTGCCCGACTGTTTAGATATGCTGCCCTGTGTGATCTACTGCTTCGCGTGTACTTCTTTTCCGTTGCCACTGCACTCGTAGTTGTTCCGCGATCTATTGCTTCCAAGTATCCCACGTCTATTTGAATTGTAAGGTTCATTTACAACAAATAGCTGCTCTCAAAGAGGGTTTATTAACGGCGATGATTACTATATTTGACATTTCCAAACTGATAATACAGCCCACAGAGCGCAAGACTGATCACGGCCGGAAGTAGGTGTAGCTGGACAATACAGTAGACGAGGATGGTGATAATACCAGGCGCGCGCAGCATGATACCCATGGCTGGGGATCGGAACATGGTGTGCAAAAAGTAGCATCCACAGAGGGTCGAGATCGCAAACATGGCTGTCTGCGTGAACTTGCTGGTCTTGTGCTTGTTGCTGAAATACACCATGATGAGGATTGCTTTGGAAAGAGAAAAATGAAAAACTACTGTGTAAACACTAGAATTCCTTATTTCAAATCTTCCGGCGGCTGTTAATATGTTTCGACTCTTTGAATCGCTTACCAGGAAAGATCTTGATGACCTTACGGAAAATATCGCCACCAGCATAGTTCTCACCAAACTGTCGATGGACCAGGATGTCCATGACGATAAAGAGACATGTTGTTGGGATTGAAAAGAAAACACCCTCAAAGATATAGTCCCTCTCCACATCCTCCTCCTGTGCTTCGTCCCTTTGACGACGCAATCTCGCAGCCCTGGATTGACTTTCTTTCACATCTGCCTGTTCCATGATTCCTGATTCCGTGATAATTCTCCACTTTTCTGGTTCTAATAAACAACGAACAGCAGACGGAAGAAGGTTTGAGAAGGCTGTTTGTGGTACAATTGACAGCACGAAAAGCGACGGCATCAACTGATAACTACCTGGAATATCGTCAATATCACTCAAATCCGATGCGTCTGAGTCCTCCTCGTCCTCGTCCTCACTATCGTCCTCGTCCTCACTATCGTCCTCATCCCCATCGTCATCCTCCTCCAGGTCCTCGTCGTCCAGAATTTCTTGTATCTTGGGGGTTGCATTGTGCTGATCAGTCCTGCCCTTGGAGGAGACATTGCGTTTTGTGGCAGACTGCAAGGACGTTTTGGTTGCTGATGAGACAGCAGTGTTGGTCTTCTGCCCTGGTTTCTGTCCTGCCATTGTATGTGTTGATTGTGTTGATTGTGTTGATTGTGTTGATTGTGTTGATTGTGTTGATTGTGTTGATTGTGTTGATTGTGTTGATTGTGTTGATTGTGTTGATTGTGTTGATTGTGTTGATTGTGTTGAAGAGTTGAATGGGTGATGGAGAGAATAAGATGAAGAGCACACAGGCACTGCATAACCTATATCTCCACACATGTACTTTACGTCACACAGCGTGTACTATGTATGGTTTCTGGCAAAGAAGTTCCAGGACGCAGCGTTCAGTAGTAGAGGCACCAATGGACGGCTCATTGGCAGATTATGTGGGTCAAGCAGATCGTGCCTCTGTGGAGGCGCGGTGAGGTGCGTTGGGTATACAACAGCCTGGACTTAAACGATTAACGCGCCCCCGCCTCTACCAGTGTCCCCCTTTGAAGCGGGGATACCCTGATGGGCTGTACAATCCGTAGCTCTAATTGTGTCGCTTTCAAGCATAAGGGTTCGTGACCGGTAGACCACTTGATGAGGAGCAGAGGTATAAAAGGATGTATATTTCCTTCATCCACACACACTCTATCTCCTTCAACAAGCCCTTACTGTACCCCATATCATACCAAATCAACACCATGATATCCGTCAAAGACCAAATCAAGGCTCAAAATGCCACCCTCGCCGGGAGAGCGAACGCCAAGGAAAACGCAACGCATTTGATTGTAATGTATTAAGAAAAGATATGGTTAACAATGTTGGTATGGCATAGACTAGCTCGGGGAGTTTGATGTGGAGTGCTAAAAGCGAATGAGGAACTAACTGATGCATCCCATTTTGTTTTCATACAAACCCAATTGCGATCAACTCTGAATCCAGAAAGATGCCAAGGATGCGGCACAGGAGGTCGTCGAAGTTCAGGACCGCAAGGCATTGTATCTATTGAATTGTGAGAACTGTGAGTACACGATCCAAGGCAAGCCCATCAAGCTCTCCATTGGTAAGGGACAACTAGGGTTTTTGGTGGCAAAAGTTAACGCTTGCTGAACAAGCACTGCATAGTCTATACACTGCTGAACACGTTCCGAATCTAACAATGCTGCGTTCCATTCCAGAAAATTGCAAGAATGTTGTCCTCAGGATCGAGGGCAAGGTTTTGACTGGCACGGTCGATATCTGGAAGAGCGAGAACGTCTCCTTGAACGTATGGTTTCTTTCCGCAGCAGCTGTGCTATTGTGCTACAAGGAGAAAGTTTTAACGCCATTTTTTTTATTCGTTTGGCGCAGTTTGATCGTTCGGTGTCCATGTTTCAATTGGACGACATCCAATCGATCGCTATCCGGTTGCCTGATTCCGAGCATTTTGGATCGATGATCTGGGCTGGAGTCGAGGACCTCCAACTGCACCTCGGTAAAGCAATGCTTTATTATATTCGGTTGATACACGCTGCTGGAGGATGCATTGCTAATTTTCTCTCTCTTTTAATTCACCATGCCATAGGCGAGGACACGCATGCGCTGAGCTATAGCGAACTGCAGTCCAGAAACCCGAATTTGCGTCCGGAGACGGACCAGTTCAAGACAACAGTGGTCGATGGCAGCATCATGACAGAGGGTAAGGCTTGCTAGATTCACAAGACCTCCATATGCTCAGAAAGTGGAATACCATTGAAGCTCACCATCTATTTTTTTCTATTATAAAGCAATTGTGCGTCTCGATAACGGATACCCGGCCACGCGCGCAGAGGAGGCGAGCTATCGACGAGTGGAGAAGCAGAAGGACGAGATGCTGCGCGCACCTCAGCAGCAGCAGGAGCCAGCGGATGACTAATTTGTTTAAAGCTCGAATTCGATACATTGTTTGTCACTAATCTGCCGCAGGCATTTGTCGGGTGCCTTTACAAGAGCTTCGCATGTAACTGAAATAAAGGGTGCACAAACAACTGAATGGATGGACAGTGCTAAAAGTACGGCTTGAATCCACATGAGATCATTCTGAGCATAAACAAAAGGGCACCGCACCCACCCTCTTTCTACCGTAGGAAAAAAAAATTCACATCCGCGATCTTGCTTTCGCCTTCACCTCTCATTTATTCATCACACTCACCACTATCCGCCAGTTTTGTAATCAACTCCCCTCAGCAACCTGCACTACTCGCCAATCCAACCCGCTACCGCTTACAACACTCCATCTCTGCAAAAACAGTAGTGCCGAACCACACAACTCTATACATAAAGCAGCCATGGACCCACAAGAAAAACTCGAGGTAATATCAGAAGGGCAGCCTTCTGTCTATAACCATTACCATCGCAATTGGCTTCCTTTCCTAAGAAAGCACAGCCAAGTGCTTTAATGGTCAAAAAAAAAAAACACTATTAAACAACAAGCATTGTATCATTCTTCAATTGACTGACATATGCTACGACTCCGACCAATCGTCTCCAGGCAATGTTCTGCCCCCGCCTTGACTCTACGCTAGTCGCATCCATCTATCACGATATGAAGGACTTCAAGGCTTGCATATCCATCCTTTCCGCCCTCGCTGCTGCTGCACCACCGACGGATACGGACGCAACCGCCAAGAACAACATCACCACCACCAACAACAACAACAACAACAACAACAATATTAATAATGATAGCGCCAACCATACCGACGCTGGGACGAGTCGCAATGCCAGCAAAAAATCGACTACATCCAACGGCAAACAAAAGAATTCCGGCAGCAAGAACATTTTGATCTGGAGCGAGGAAGTCGCGGACGCGGCCTCTTTGGCCTCCCCCGCCGCAGGCCCTCCACGCCCCAGCGGTCTCTACAAACAGGGCCAGGTTTTGGACTCTAGCCGTCAGCCGGCTACATCTTCGACTGCCCAGACAGCAACTACTACTACGACTCCACAATCCGGGGGCACAAGCGCGACCGGGCAGCCTGGGAGATTCAGAGCAGTGCGGAATCCGAATTACTTGAAGAATCACGGCATAGTGGAGGTACCTTCAGCAGCTTTCGAGGAATCGGATGGGCAGTACGAGGAACAGGTGAAGGAAGAGGAGAAGGACCGGGAGAAGGACCAGGACCAGAATGGCACCTCAGAACAGTTCTCGGCATTGCAGCCATCTCAAGGATCATCGCAGGAAAAAAAATCAAAGAACCGGAGACAAAAGAAGACTGGAAAGACAGGACAGCTCGCCTCAACCTCGACCCCAATAACAGCAACAACAGCAGCAACAGCAGGATTACCACAGCCAGACAGGACCTGGAAGAAGGATTCTTCAGAGGCACGAATTTCGGATCAGCTTGCAGATTTGAACGTGTTTGATAGTCAATCTATGGAAGAGGAGCAGGATGCGGAATACTTTGATGCGGAGGAAGAGATCTCGACTACCGACAACAGCAGTCAGTATGGGAACGGTACGCGAGATCGAAATGGTGTTAAATCAGAGGAACTCGAGTTTTTGAAGAGCTGTTTCCCAGACCGCGAGCATTCCGACGAGTACTTGATCCAGGTTCTGGAGGACAGTCGGAGAGATCTGGAGGCCGCTGTTGAGATAATTCTCAGCCAAATGTTCCTGGAGAGTGAACAGGTCGAGACGTCCTCTTCTAGTTCAGGATCTTTCCATTCATCAGGATCACAAGTAACCACTGCGACAACCAGCTCATTGGATGACGCCTTTTACCATGGAGTTCAGTCCCCAAAAAAGAAGTCCAAGGCCGGAGTAAGGAAGAATGGGTCAGCTTGGGGAGCTCGCTACAACCAGACCTGGGACAACAACAATAACGATCTACTTCTCAAGACGCTTGATCATCAGGACGGGTTCTTGATTCCCGAGAGTAACGAATGGGCGACATTCGAGCACCAGATCTCGATCCTGATGGATATCTTCCACACAGTCCCCCAAAAGACCATCGTGTCCGAGTACCACGCCAACGGGGCACAGCTGTTCAAAACGGTTGAGAGTCTGGAGAAGCGACTCAAGCGCGAGAACCACTATGGATCTGCACAGGGACAGGGGCAACAAAGTCGGTTTGATGTAAGCCTGGCCCAACTGATGGAGATGTTCCCGGATCACAGTGTTACGGCCTTGAAAAAGATGCTGGTCTACAACGGAGGCAACGTTCAGGATGCGATGAATGCCGTCTTGGCGGCGGACTTTGCGCATGCGGAGCAAAAGGATCAACCCTGGCAGATGGTATCGTCATCATCCAAGCGTGGAAATTTGATTCCATTCCAGGCGGATATTCGCTTTGGGGATAAGAATCATGTCCAGACACCGACCAGCAGTGGCAATCGTCTGAAGAGTCTTCCTTCGACGAGCAACCCTGTTCCAGGTGGATCACGACCGTTCCCGAACACGCTTTTGGAGAATGCCAACACGGAGCTGTATAACGATGAGGATGACCCTGAATGGTGTCGACAGCACGCTCAGGAAATGTTGCAGCAGAGGAACGAGCTATTCAGGAAGGCCGCTCAAGCCTATCAGACGTCCAAGGGTAAAGGCGCAGGGATGGGCGGAATTGCGGCCTATTATGCGGACGAGGGTAAGAAGCTGGACGCCCAGGGGAAGCAATGGCACATGCGCGCCGCCCGTGCCGTTGTTCAACAGCATCGGTAAGTTCTTCCGTCCTTGTTCCGACATGCTGCTGTACTCATTTTTTATCCTTTTTTTTTTTTTTTTTTATCACTAACCCTTTTCTCCTACACATATTCGTCTTTCTACCTCTAGTTTGGAGAACAACGACCCTAACTTGGTGGACCTACACGGATTGACGGTTGCAGAGGCCCAGACGGTGGTCAAGGAGGCGGTTACGCAGTGGTTCGCGCGTGCGACCATGCAGGCCTCCAGGATCGCCGCCAAGCCTCTCAAGATCGTCTGCGGTGTTGGTTCGCACTCCAAGAATAGGATCGCGCGTCTTTACCCGACGATCTTGAGTCTTCTCATGAAGGACGGTTGGAGCTGCGAGGCCGAGAACGGTGTGATCCTCGTCAAGGGCGTCGCACGACTCGCGCCTACATCTTCAAGAGCAAAGAGGTAGCTGTCTCTTTCTTGTGTATTTTAGTCACTCGTTTTTTTTTTTTACGTGCTTGTTATACTCATTGAGCCGTCATCATTGTACTTGTAAAATACAAGGTGGTTTTCCATTTTGCTGGGGGGTTTTTTTTTTTTTGTAAAATACAAGGTTGGATTTTTTTTTTTTTTTTTGTAATAAAATAGGTTGTATTGGGTTCCTAAAGGCAGCTATTTTTCTGTACATCAACGTTCCGTCCGCTTGCTTGATAAAATAATCTTTCCTTGCCGGATTGTTCTTGCGTATCCTTCTTCTTTTTTTTTTCTTTTTTTTTCAATTGAAGCTGAGACGAGCTGTCGATTTAAGGACCCATCTTCTTCTGGCCCTTTTGTGTCTTTGACAGAAGTGCCTTGTGAATATGCTGCATGACCATCACAAAAAAAAAAAAAAAAAGAACACGAGTGTTAGCCAAAAAAATAATAATAATAATTAAAATTCAGGGACACACAAAAAAGGGTCCACAGCCCAACGAAATAAGCAACCAGTAAGTGGACACGTACAGGAAGAACACCACCACCAGCAATGGTTGCGCGAATCAATGAGTCCAGCTCCTCATCTCCACGGATAGCAAGTTGTAAGTGACGGGGTGTGATACGCTTGACCTTAAGATCCTTTGTCGCATTTCCTGCCAACTCGAGAACTTCGGCCGTCAGATACTCTAGAATGGCGGCAGAGTATACAGCTGCCTTGGCTCCGACACGGACATGGTTCTGCGTGCGATCCTTCAAATAGCGGTGAATACGACCCACAGGAAACTAAAAAAAAAAAAAAGACATCACAAATATTTTTAGATCATTGATCCCAAAATGTCGCTAGGCTATTACATAGGACATTATTACCACGCGCATAGAATGAACAAAGAATTTGCTTCGAATTACCTGCAGACCGGCACGGGCAGAACGCGACAGTGCTGGCACCTTCTCACGACGCTTCTCTGTGATCTTTGTAGTTTGGGCAGCAGCAGTAGCCTCGGTACCGAGATGTGCGTCAGCCTAATATGAATGTGCAGATATGTATCGAAAGATAAAAAGTAAGAAAAAGAAAAAAAAAGGGCATAGTATGGTTAATATAAAACAGCAGCAAAGACGCGTTTGGAATAATTCATCCTTGTAATTTTTTTTTTTTTGTTTACACTGCTTGACACTATAAGGCGAGAAAAAAAAATGAAAAAAAAAGTCGCGTCCAGTTGCAGGTCGACAATAATAGCATCGATATTCACGCGTCTCGTAAAGTATGATGGTATCCTGTCCCTTGCTCTTTTTTCATCACATCCTGAAGTCCTGAGCATGAATGCTTCCTCGACGTGAAAAAACATGGCCCAAAGTAGATCCAGTATAAAAAAATGGAAAAAAGTAATGGCGATAGAGTTGAAGATGGTTTCAGTCAAGATCGGCTCCTCCCATTGCTGAGTAGATTCCAGACCAGGCTGCGGCAATAGTCATGGGGGCTGCTGCTGTTCAGACTGAGTGAGTCATAGAAAACTGGGGTTGTAATCCTGTTGTTTTGATGATTGTTGCTGGGATGATGCGCTGTGGACGTGGGCTGTCCTTGAATGGGCGTGTTCCACAAAATTATATATAAAATATATATCCAGCTGCCACGGCGAGAGCAAAGAAAGAGAACGATAGTTGGAATGCCAAAGAGAATGGTTGGAATGATGGATCGCGATGAGAATGCATCCGCGATGCCGGCCTTGGACAGCGCATTCTTACCATGGTGAATTAAATGAAGGAGAGGAAGGAAAGAAGGTTTGGAAGGGAGGAAGGAAAGGAACAGGAGAAGAAGAAGAAAAAAAGAAAGAGAGAAGGACGGAAAGGGAAGGAAGAGAAGGTGCAACGAAGTGAGTGAAAGGCGTGAATGAGTAAAAAAAGTAAAAAGAATTTGCTCGTCTGCAGATTCGAAAGGCAGCATCTACCTACCTATTTTTCTCTGACGTAATACTTTTTTTTTTTTATTATTTGACTATCTGCGCGCGCCTTTCCCATTTCATCAAGGAGCATACAAATACGGGCGAAAGATACGAACGAGGAAGACAGCAGAGACCATTAATACAATAAGGACTAGGTTTATTATAAAACAACACTGCGGAAGAAATTCTCTCGCTTCTTCACTTCTTCATCATCATCTCTCGCTCAGAAAAAGATGGTATCCTTGCACGCGAACCTAGGCAGCTTGCGGTACTGTGGCTCCTTGGCGACGCGCCAGAGATACACGTCCAGATCAACGTTCAACATGCCCTTCTCTCCGTAGTTCACGCTTCCAACCTTGCTCTCCTTGCTATTATTCGCGATCTCGACAATCTCGCGGCACCCGTCAATGGCCGCTGCCCTCAGTCGATACGACTCCTCCACCGTGGTAACTCCGCCTTCTTCAATCGCATGCTTCAGGTTGTCGGGCAAGATCAAGATTCCCAGGTGTGCCATCAACGACGGGATCACATTATCCGCAAAGATTGGGCTGTCCTTGATGTCCGTGAACGCAAAGATCTTCTCCGTAGCCGCGAACCGACGCTCCAGACTTGACGCCAACAGCAACGCCTTCTTGAAAATATACACTGTCTGGCCATCGATCTCTGCGTAATCCTGAAATGCTGGGAAAGTGTTGATCAAAATCTCTGCAAACTTCTCCCCCGATCCCTGAGCCCGCTTGGCGGCGTCGATGACAAACGCTCCCAGGGTCTCGAACCCCTTCTCCTGCAAGATCCTTCCTGTCTCATTGAGTACACCCTGGATCTGTCCCGCCAGCTTTGAGGCGACCGAAGGCTTCGAGAGCGTGACATGCTCGAGTTCGGACGGCATATCCTTTTGCATCGTAATACCGAAATGAGATCCGACCTCCCAGGCAGTCAGCTTCGAAAGTCTCACCGCCGTGGTTGGCGTGTTGGAGATGTGGAAGGACATGGCGCCAAAGACGATGGTCTCAAAGGCGCCACGGTCAGAATCCTCGTGGAGCTCCTTGCGGAAGCCATGGCCTGTGTTGAGGATATCGATCAAGGAGAGGATGTTGACCTCTTGCTCGAGCGACTCGAACCGGAGTGGGAAAGACATGCCATTGGCAATCGAGTGCTTGGACCAGGACTCTTGCGTCAAATTTGTGAGGAATCGAGTGATGGCATCACGTTCAACCTGGGAGATTCAAAGAAGATCGTCGTTAGTTTGGGCCATTCACCATTCGGTCAAGATTCATTTTTATAAATACATACCTTGATATTGCTACGCTCGCGACACTGCTTTGAGGTCTCAAAGACAGAGGCGTAGAGGTTGGAGGGGCAGGAGAAGGTCATAGTTGTGTGTGGAAGTATGTGGATATTGGGAAACTGAGTACTGGCTACAACGTCTCACGACCTGGTCCTTTTATACGGGCTCCGTGACACGCAATTAGTCTACTGCGGGTAAAGATCAGTATTTTTTACAGTTTTCTCGTCTCTCAAAGACTTGCCTCGCTGCCTCCTGTCTATAGTTGCAGAACATTGCATAGTATTCAACGCGTAGGATCATCGTTACCGAGAGTTTCTCTCTGGGCTCATGCAGTATCCACGTCCACGGGTATGACAGTATCCACGTCCACGGGTATGCATTGGACAAGTAGACATATTAATGTCTGTCCGATATGCCACCAAAAACAGACCTTAGGGCAACCACGCACTTAACCCCAGTGGGTTGCCCGCCATTTTTTCTTTTTTTTTTTTTCTGCAGCGCCGCCCGCAGTTTCGAGGCTTGCCCACTGGCTGCCTGTACTAGAGAGAAACGGATATTTTTAATAGTGTTAAGATCCGGTATTATCTGGCGCCCCAATCCTCTCGTTTGCACATATCGCCTCCCGAATGAGCTTCGCCTCCTCCCGCGCATGTTGCTCTCCCTTCATACGCGCAACATGTTCCTCAACCGACCCACCGCCCGTACCCGCGCCTGTGCCTGCACCTGTACTGCTCTCCCCTTGAGCTTCGTTAATCCTATCCTGTCGCTCCTCATCCTCCGTTCTCCAAATCTCCTGCAACGGGATCTCATCGTGTGTCTCGATCACCGGGATATTAATCGCCATCTTTAGCTCCTCCTGACCTTGTCGCGCATTCAGACTTTGGCGCCTCATCCTATTGATCTGAGATAAATCAGAAGGTGGTGAGGATCTCCTTGGGGAGACGCCGCGTGAGTTCGATCGTGGGGATGCGAGGGCTGAGAGGGTCGGTGACCTCCAACGGTCATGGTCGCCCAGGATTGCGTAGTCGGGCGTAAGTGACACCACCACTGGCGAGTCTATTAAGCACATGCGGCTGATCTCTGGAACTTGAGTAAAGTCGTTGTCGTTGTCGTTGTCGAGTTGCCCTGCTTGCGCGCTTTTGTTCGACCGCTCTAGAGTAAGGCCAGGTTGTATTTGCTGGACATCATAACCGCTTTGCTGGAATATAGGATGTGCGCCACTCGACGGGAGACGACTCGGCGAGGTCGCTCGTGAAGACGCACGAGAAGAAGCTCGAGAGGTCGCTGCCGAAAGTGGGTTCTTTCTCGAGGGCGAAATCGATGGCCGAGAACTCGTATAAGGTAATGGAGGTCCCAATGACACAAACACCTCCGGCCCTGATAGTTGCTGCTCCTCGTTTGTTTTCTGCTCCGTGCTATCAAACTCATTCCTGTCATTGCAATCTCCTTGACGACCACGGTCCCCGTCCGCTGCATGCTGACACATCCGCGGCTTCATCAACGATGGCATCGTCAACTGTGGTAGATCGCCCGTCGTTGCTAGAAACTCGAGCTGCTTCTGAAACTGAGACGATTCTGGATGTCCAAAGAAGCCTTCGTCACAACGTTCGTTTCCCTCATCCTTGGTCACCATCGTCAAAGACGCTTGAGCTGTCACCTCGGTCTTGCCCCCAACCGTCTGGATCGAAGGTGAGGACAGAGACTGATGTCTTGTGGTCCGCCTACCGCCATCGAGACCATGGACATCGAACACAGTGTAGTTGCACCCAGATAGTGGGGAATCCGCCTTGCAAGGCTTCCGATACTGTACGTCAATCTGGGGCGGATCTGCATGTAGCCGCTGAAGATGCTTCTCCATTTGGAAGGAGAACGACGGCGACAGAGGCCCGAGCACAGAGTTTCGTCGCCGTTCTGCCGGTGAGGCGGGGGCACTTGCCGCGACCGTTGCTGCTGCTGCTGCTGCTCTCATGATTCCTAGTCGCCCTTGCACTTCGGATATTCCTCCACCTACAGCCCCAACACCCTCCTGAATGGGCTCCAGTCGATGATGATCCACAGGGACATCCTGGTCCCGTTCTTCATCTTCTTGCCGAAGACTGACGGGTGGTGGCGGTGGGATGATATGTGTCGCACCCAGGGACGAACCCTCATCCATCGAGAGCCGGGCTAACCGGACTTCTAGTGCGGGTGGCCAAACCCGGTCAACAGAGCGTCGATGATGTCGCATTGTTTTTGCGGGTGGACAGTCACCAGGCTATGTGGATGAACAGCCGTTGTTAGATGGCGCTAGATGCCAGAAGCAGCAGCAAGTGCGAGCAGAACCAGGGGAAAACTAACTTTGTATGAAGACAGGTTTTGTGGGTCGGAGCTGCTTCTCTCTCGGGCGTTCATGCTGACAGGAGAAGGTACGAAAAGGGATATAGGATCAGCGGTGAAAAAAAAAAAAATGAGTCGAAAGGGATGGCAGCGTGAGAGTGAGTGAGTGAGTGAGTGAGTGAGTGAGTGAGTGAGTGAGTAAGAGCGAGTGCGTGCAAGGAGGAGGATAGGTGTGTGGGGGGATTTATAATGAAAAAATGTAGGCACGAATGGAGCACGAGCCCAGGAAAAAATGTATGACACCACATACAGAACTATGGTTCGATCCAGCCAGCAGTTGCCAGAAGGGACCAAAAAAAATCGGGTTTCAGCTCTCGCCTCACCCATTTCTTTTATTTTTATTTGTATTTTTATTTTTATTTTGTTTCCCAAAAAAGGTCGAGCCTTTTTTCCTCGCTGCTACTTCACTCCCTGGGGGGGGTTCTGCTTGAACGGCCGTCGGTGTTGTATGACGCATGGGGATGCACGGTATATGGTTCCTCGCTGGTGAATGTCAAAAGGAAAGCGAGTGATAAATTGGCAGTGATCGTTTAAGCCCATGTTCATGACTTTCCAGAACGACGTATCCGTATCTTCGTATTACTGGACTTTGAATGGGAACTTTTGGGCCCGTGCTCACGGAACGATCCAACGCGTTTCCGCTAACCAGCTTTATATACTATATGTATGAAAGAAAGGCTTCATGCAGTTCGATGCCACTTGGAGGGCGAGACAAAAACTAGCTTTTAGTCAGCATTTCACAATGCAGTGCATTCATTTTTAAGATTGAGTGATATATTTTAATGAGGGGATGAACTATAGAAATTACAGTATGATGTACAATACGTTGCATGTGTGATATGCTACGATACAATGGTCATAATTAGATATTAAAAGGGGTTCGATTGAAAAAAAAAGGAAGCCGGTTCTTTTGCTTTAGTTGCGACGACGGAACATGCCTCCGAATCGGCTGGGCTTCTCGGTGTAAACAACATTGCCGGCAGGAGCACGAGCGGGGCGGAAGTTGCGACGACCCCACCAGTGAAACTGAACAGCCATGCCCAAGAGGGCCAGGACAATAAAGGTCGCCAACAATGCATACTGTGCACCGGTGACATTGCCAACACGGTTATCGACACTGCTCTTGGAGTTGATGAACGAGTTCGTCTGCTGGATGAAACCAGTGTGGGCAAAGAAATCAACACCGGCAACGAACGAGTAGGCACCGAGGAGGGCCGAACCGATGATGACCATCTCTTTCTCGCGGATGAATCCGAGGATGAAACCGACAATAGCGAGAACACCGAGGAGGATACCGCGACCAACGCCCGAGGTGATCACACCGCCAGACTTCCAGCCCAAGATCCAGAGACCCAAGGTGTACAAGGCCAAGGCACCGAGGATAGCGACGCCCAGACGCGAGCAGCAGACCATGAGGAGACCACCAAAGATACCGACGACGATCGAGATAACGAGGAGGAGAGTGTGGGAGCTTACACCGCCGTTGGCCATGCCGACGTAGGCGATATTAGCGAAGAAGTAGAAGCCGACCAAGAACATGGTGATGCGGAAGAAGCGGACGCCGAAGAAGCAGAGAATCAGACCAAAGACGATGAGGATGGCGCCCATGATACCGCCCTGGACTGTGATGTTATAGGGACCCTCACGTGCGGTGTCGAGGGCTGCCTTTTGTGCGGTGCCAACGGGTGCTGCCTGTGCCATGAAGTTGATGAGCATCGACAGGACGCAGAGCATGTAGACGGGGATGGAGCGCATCCATGAGCGCGGACGCGTTGATACTGCTGTAGCGGACGACATTATTGTTGGATGCGTGCGTATGTGTGTGTATGTATGTGTGGATGAGGTTGGTTGGTTGGTTGGTTGGTTGGTTGTAGGATGTGGGAAGAGACTGAAGATCAGGTCCAGGGGCAGGAAGCCGTGCCTTATATACACAAATCCATGAACGACTTGGACCTGAAGAAGGTTGTCCAGTAGAAGGAGCCCTATCACGATGGGTGTGGAGAATCAACAAAGGACGCGGCTAGGATGATGTCAATGTCGTCCTATGGACCAACTTTTACACCCAGATAGCATTTAGCACCTACACATTTACACATGTACACATGTACGCATTCGAACATAACAATGTAAGCAACATACACAATCATTCCATCACCATCCTCTCGCTCTCATTCCTTTGCTCCGCTGCTCTCTGTTTATGTCTCTCTTCTCCCCGCCAGAGTGCGCCCTCCTTGCCTTTTGCTCATTGCATTGCGGTCACTGTGGCTAGTGCATGCAATCCAGTGGTAGGACATGACGGATACAGTGACATCATTTCCAAAATAAACATTTTTAAATTTTTTAACTTCTGGGCTCATTTTTTTCTCTCAAGGATGGGCCTTAAAGTGTCTTTTAATATGTTGCTGCCCTCATCCTTTCTGCCTGGCTCGACCATGACGACGGCAACAACGACCACTATCCTACCAGAGAATTACTTTTCTTTTACCCATGGGGTGCTGAAAAGATGATCCGGCCTAGTCTTAAAAAAAAAAAAGGCATTCATCTCCTTTCAGGAACAGAAATCCGTAAAATAGAAAACCTCCTTGGGATTGGAGACTGATAGACAACCCCTGTAACGGTTCTTATTCCTAGTAAAAATAAAAATAATAAAAATAAAAATAAAAAAGCAAGGGTTCAACACAGCACATGGAGCTTGTTGTGATTATGTGAGAATCATTTTTTTTAACTCGAACACAATCTCGTCATTATGTCTCCTCCTCACCACCACCGCCCCACCGTTCTCTCGTCCATTATTCATAGACAGACTATATAATTACTCTGTCAACAAAAGAGAATCCAGTATGTCTCGCTCTCCTGTGTCGTGTGCCTGCCACGGTCCATCGTTTTTACGACGAACAACGGAATCCGCGTATTCTCCCCCTCTCCACACACACACACACACACAAAGGCTACAGCCCTTGGTCTCTGGCTGTGGGGCGCGAGCGTTCGTGTGACATCATTCCTCAAAGTTCTTTTATAATCTTATCAACAGTTTTATTGACAACGTCCTGCCCTTTGGTATGAATATGTAATAAAACGCGTATTTTTAACAAAAAAAATGCGTTCAAAGTTGACGCGTCCCTATTTCATGAAGCGCATCGGGACCAATGCATTAAGAAAAAAGAAAAAAAAAAGGAAGAAACACGCCCCTTCTTTCTATGGTACTGGCAACCTCCTTGGGAGACATATTTTTCCTCCCTCTCTCCCTCCCTCCCTACCTATCTATCCTAACGTCCAACAGGCTCCACCGTTGAAAAGTACTCAAATTCAACCATACGGTAGTATTCCATTAGGGGAACACTACCTCCTGTTCCAAGTCTCATCTCGATCCTTAGCGGGTCTCGACTCAAGGACGACGGCGACAACGGCGATGGCGACGGAGTTGCACTCGCGGCCAGAAAGCTCGACGAAGATCCAGACGCGACCGCCGCTACCGCTGCTGCCACTGATTCCGGTGCTGATGCTAATGCTGGTGCTGCTGTTGCTCCAGGTCCTACTGTTGCTCTAGGCCCTGCTGCAACTGTAGACGATGACAGTGCTGGTTCTTCAAGCTCCATAAGCCTATTTGAGTACGATCCACCGATATCCGCGTCCACTGCCATTGTTGTTATCACTTCATCTCCATTCCGACTCAAGTCGTGATCTGGGTCATCATCATCTTCACATGGAATCATTGTAATAAAGGGCCTGTCTCGGGCTTCGGGAGCTGATCCTTCATCGCTCTCTTCGTCTTCGTCAACTTCGAGGCGCATAAAGCCACGATACATGTTCACATGCGCATTCAGCACCTGCAGTCTTGCATTGTAGGCCAAAAGATTAACCTGGTCTGTGTGTGAAAAAATGAAAAAAAGTAAGGCGACATGAATTGCAAAAAAAAAAAAAAAAAAAAAAGGATGAAAAAAGAGGCATACACCCTTAAAGAACGGCGGAATGGCGTACCATTCTTGAGGTTCAAGAGGATGCAGGCAGAATCATCGCCTACAATAGCCTCTGCGGATTGAATGATCTTGCCGGCTGTTGAATAAAAAAAGAAAAAGAAAAAGAAAAAAAAAAAGTGGAAAGGAATGATGGTATATTAGTACAATCAAGAACGACCCACGTTCAGTTTCCCTCACCCACCCACCCACCCCCCTTCCCCTTCCAACGTTTTTTTTTTCCTCGCTTACTTTCAGGATGAACAGTTTCCGCGATCGTTTCGACAGAAAGGACTCGAAGTTGGAGGTTACAGTGGTGTTGATCAGGGACCAGAGATGCAACCTTGACAACTATGAATCAGGGTGTTATTGCTACCCGTGTTAACGGTGTGCGAGGCACTAGAGCATGTTGAGAAGAGAGAGAGAGAGACAAGATACCTCAGGATACGCATTTGAGTGCTTACATTGAATCGACATGCTGTTTGGTGCAAAAGGTATGCGATGGACGTGATGTTTAAAAGAAAGACTTGGGTGTGGAGCTGCGGTACGATGTGATACGATATGGTCGATCTTCTTTGTTTAATAAGAATGGGCTTAGTCAAAAGGAGGTGGAGGAGAGGAGCAAGTCGAGGAGGAGAGAGAGGAGGGTTGACGATCCAAGGTATCTTTCCACTATTACTAGAACTAGTGGGAGACAATGTCCCAGTTGACGAGATCGATGGACAGACAGCGGGATGAAAACAAGGGGGAGGGGGGGTTAACGGGCCAGGCAAGGGGTGAGAGCCCAGTTGTGATGGAGTGGCTGCATTGGAAGGTCCTTCACAGCCATGCCTGTTTAGCAGGAGTGCAATAACATGGTTGTGTCTCAGTGTGAGTCCTTCCTCCGTTCCTTCTACTCCGTATTTCTCAAGGCAGGAGCCATGGACCACAAAAGGACACAGGAAGGAGTAGGGGAGGGATTATTTACTTTGCAGAAATGTAACTGGCAACTGTAGGACAAGAGAAGAGAGTCTGAACACGAAAGGAAAAGCCGATGCTGTGTTCACTACACACATCGTAGTCAGCACCAGCAAGCGCACTGACCATTCGTCCTTATTTTATTTTGGTGTGGGATGCCATGAACGGAAACTCAAAATAAGGCACGCTGTATCTGTCTTACTGCCTTATGCCTTGGCCTTCCGCATCATGCATCCATTCCTCCCTCCCTCCTTCTTTCTGTGCAAAGTCTTTCCGCCTTTGCTCACGGTCAACAGTGACAGGCGCTGTTCGACATGTCTACATTGCCAAGTATCGCTCAGGAAAAAACCCGCAAATGAACCATGCATCCAGCCCGGTGCTGTCATCGATATGAACAACCGTAGATCATATTGGTGCTCTGTCAAAGGAGATTGCCCCTTCATTCATCTCCAATTTCATTTTTCATGTTTGATGTTTATTTCACTCTCAACCATGCCCGAAAAAAATAATAAAAATGATGGTCTCTCAGCGCGAGATGCTCTTATGCTGTTTTCTTGAACATGTGTTCATTTTTTTCTACTGTCTCTTAATATGATAACGTCTTGCAACTACGCCGCTGTCCTGATTACTCCTAGCCGAGTTCATCCTCCTCCGATTACGTGACCTTGGCCATCTCCTTCTTTTTCTTTCCTCTTGGTGGTGTTACTGGCCGTCCTGACCCTAGTCCTCCGCCGTACGAGTACTTTTGTTTCTTCTCGGCCGGTTTCAGGATCTATGTACACAGTTAAGTTAATTCAGGGCAGTGCCGTTAGCCAATCACTTTGTTGCTTTCTTTTTCTTTTTTCCAAATACAGAATAACGTCCATATCGTGCCCTGTCAATTGAAGCAGGAACAAGACAGGGAGTATAGTAAGCAAACAAACAAGAAACGATGCAATGTCGCTTACCTGGAAAGAACACATCAGGGTCTCATCGACGCTCATCATTGCTCCCGCATTGTCAAACTCGCCACAATAGTTCGGAGCCGAGAACAGTGTGACCAACTGGCGCTTCGCAAAGAACTCATATCCATCCTCAACAACCTGGTGGGCACGACAGATCAGATCCATGTCGTGTTTCTGCAAGAATCTTGTCACCACATCCGGTCCGAACGTAAACGACACTCCGCGGTCATTCTCGCTCCATCCTGTGATGTCCTTGTCCGGATCAGACCAGAGCAGATCGCAGAGCAGACCTAATATACCAGATGAAAAAGAAAAGCGTATCAAGATGCATAAAAATGCCACGACATAAGACGTAAGGTTAATGTCCGTTTCAATCAGAGAGAGCAACAAGGTTCATCTCATCTGTTTGATTTATTTTTGCATCAATTGTTTATCGCCGGCAGCAGGACTTACCAGTGTCAGGAACATCTGTGGGTCGCATCACTCGCCGGATCTGCTCCATGTTCAACAGGTCGGGCGAGAGTCCTCCGTGCATGGTAAAGATCTTTTCGTCGATAATGGCCGCCACAGGGAGGCAGTTAAAGCAGTCTGTAAAGGTCTTCCACAGCTTGATGTTGTATCGGCGCTTGCATTCATCGTAAAATCCATAAATCCTGTTGATGCTAGCACACTCGTGGTTCCCGCGGAGGATGAAGAAGTTCTCTGGGTACTTGATCTTGTAGGCAAGTAACAAGCAGATGGTCTCCAGGGACTGCTTGCCTCGATCGACGTAGTCGCCTAGGAAGAGATAGTTCGCCTCTGGTGGAAACCCTCCATACTCAAAGAGACGAAGCAAATCGTAATACTGTCCATGGATGTCGCCTAATAAAGTGTTTCCAATGAAATAATGCCTCACTCAGTCCATGCAAACGCATTGATAGGCAGACAAATGCCGCCAAATAAATAATGAAATAACAATAAAGATGCGGTGTCCCCCCCCCTCCTCTTGTCCCTTGATATCCTTGAAAACTGAACCCCTGTGTTCCTGAATGAGCCGAGGCGAGGGACAACGAGACGACGCAACAACGAGACAATGTAACAACGAGATGCAATGATGGGATGCAACAGCGAGATGCAACTGACAAGGTGTGACCTGAATTCTGAATGGCGGAACAGCACAGAACGAGGAGACTTACCACAGATCTTTATTGGGGCCTCCAGTTCGAGCAGGATGGGCTGGTTGATAAAAACCTCGCGGGCCTCGTTGCAAAGGAACTTGATTTCATGCTCTGCCAATTGCACTTGCTTCCCAGGGCGCGACCCTCTAACTAGTGGGATTGGAAGAGAGGTGTGAGCATCGATAGTTATGTCATAGGAGTTACAAGAGGGAGGTGTTATGTAACGAATGATAACAAATGAACGAAATGCGAAGGTGATGAAAACGTTGATAGAGAGATGAATAGATAGATGTGTATCCACATGAGTGCTGGCTAGTCTTTCTTTTCTTCTTGGCTGTATGTGTGTGCGTGTGTGTGTGCGTGTGGTGGTGCTTGTTTGCTGTTACCTTCGAGCAGTCTCTCGATGATATTGTCCAGGTTGATGTCGGCAGAGTCGCCCATGTTGATTGATGCCGTCGATCGAAGGGCAGGGGGGGGGGTCAGGGCAAGGCAGCTGTTGACAAGGACGCTGGAGTGAGGAAGAGGGAATAAGAGAGAGAACGAGCGATGGAGAGCGGGAGGAGGCGCAGGGAGACAAAGGGACAAAGGAGATGACAGGATGACAGAGGGCGGATGGATGGAAGAAAAAGGAGTCGGTGGTCTTTCGATTTCGCCATTTGAAACAGACCCGTGACAAGCGCTCCAATCGTGTGTGATCGTACCCATTCCTTCCGCATACAAACATGCCAGACCTCCACACACACACACACACCCCTCAACTTCCAATCCCCAACTCCCAAACGGCCAAAACCGAGTCGAGGCGGTGCGTGGAGGCGTGCGCGTGTGGGTGCCCAGACACCACACATCCATCCTCTTGCGACCCATCTCCCTGCAGCGCATTCCCTACACGTGTCCCAAGGAGGGTTTTGTTTTTTGTTTTTTGTTTTCCCCATCTCATGTCATTAAGAGCAGAGCAAATTATTGACAGTAAGGGTAAGCGTCGAACGCGTCAACAACGCCAGACTCAACCCATTGACCACAGCATGGGATGTGAGTCAAACCATACCATTCCTCTTCAGGCATATGCTTCCTTCCCAGGGCAAGCAGGGCCCCTTTCCCCACCCCCACCCCTAGATGCATTTGTCATCCACTTATAGTTGACCTTTACGCCCTCGGATGTTTGTCCTGGTTAGACGCTAGAAAGATAAGAAATGTGGATGGACTTGAATGGCTTCTAAAAACAGACGACTGCCTTTGGATGCAGTCGGATACGGGTACCTTGAGCAGGATGGGTGCCATTAGCAAGAGCATAGCAGCCGTCGGTTACGTGGCGGAGATCAGGGCGGCCAAAACCAAACGAAACAGCAATAAAGCTAGAAGGAGATGCCTTCTTTTTTTGGCAGGGTATATTATTGGCTGGATCGAGGAGTAGCCCCCCCAACTGGCCAATCGGGGCAAGTGGAATCAATGCACCCGGGAAACCTGAGCTTGACAAGAAGGTCTCAGCGGTTAGACGGCCAAGTCCAACGCTATCTGCCTGTAGGCGTAAAGGGACCTCACCATACCCCGCAGGGAAAGGCCCACAGGAATGCCCTGAGTATATAAAGGAACCAACCGAACACCCTTCCTTCATTCCTCATCCTCATCCTCATCCTCCCACTCCAGCGCTCTTCTCATTCATACGCCACAGAACCCCCTCCTTCTCGCCACTAATATGTCCGCCGCCACAGTCATTATCGACGCTGTAGCCTCATCGAACGGCGCCAGCTCCCTCGCAGAGACCATCAAGACCATCGAGAAGGATTCCAAGCTCATGTCCGTCGAGGACTACGCCACCAAACTCGAGGCCAAGCACAAGTTCACGCCCCTGCGTCTTGACCTCGATCACACCCAGAAGCAGCGCATGCTCGATGCAAAGGTCTACAACCCCATGGACCCCTTGCTCGTCTTTGAACGTCAGCGCGCCCGCGACATCATGGCTGTCTACAACCAGACTACCCAGAATAGTCCCGAGGAACTGCTCAAGCGCCAGGCCCTGCTCCATCTCTTCACCCGTGGACAAATCGGCAAGGGCTGCTGGATCGAACCCCCATTCAGCAGCGATTATGGATGCAACATCACCCTCGGCGATAATGTCTACATGAACTTCAACTGTGTCGTCCTCGACTGCGGATACGTAACCATCGGTGACAACGTCATGTTTGCACCGAACGTCCAGCTCTTTGGGGCCGCTCATCCTCTAAATCCCTTGATCCGGCCCAAGGGCGTCGAATTTGGGATGCCCATCAAGATTGGAAACGACGTTTGGATCGGCGGTGGGGCTATCATCTGCCCTGGTGTCACCATTGGCGACGGCGTCACCGTCGGCGCGGGAAGCGTCGTCACCAAGAACGTGCCCCCTTATACCATTGTTGGAGGAAACCCCGCAAAGATCTTGAGGGTCCTCAGTAAAGAGGAATGCGAGAAGGAGGATCGAGAGTTTGAGGAATTGAAGGCATTGGGTAAGGCGTTTGAGGATTGGACTCCATTGCCCAAGGGCACCTTGGCTTTGCCTTCCAAGTAACAGAAAAAAAAAAGTGCACCTGATAACATCCCTGGGGAAAAAAATAATAAATAAATAAATAAAAACGATGGCTCCATTGAGCTTTAGAGACGACTTTTTATATGTTCAAGTGTGCTGGTGGTCAGCTTGTTGTAACTCGATGAACTGATGGAGATCGCTTTGCTTTATTGACGACAAGATAAATACAGTTATTGCAATCGCATGGTCCGAAACGTATTTCATTTTAGTAGACAGTGGCGCTTGGAATCTCGTCGAGCATGGCGGGGATAGGATCTTGGAGCGAATCCCCATGGCGCTTATTGACAGCAACACCCCTCAGCTCTGTAGTCTGAGTCCAAGGCCGGCTATAGATCCTGACGTGGATGTACTCGTCCTGTTGTGTCGAAGCATCGGAATGGATAACACTCAGCTTTACAAAGTAATTGGTTCCTTCAACGACCTGGGTTGTGAACGACACGGGCTTGAGCTGGATTTGGTCTGTGGCAGTCGAGGCAGGGAGAAGCTTGGCTTTGCGATAGGCTGCCAGAATCTGCGAGTTCAGGGTTTCGAGGACGGCGTTGAGCGTGGGATCGACGGTGATGAGAGGGTGGTCCTTGTCGATAATAGTGGCATTGGGGTTGATACCGCCTGGAAGACGCCTTTTCATCATTGGCTCAAGTGGGTCAAGTGGGGAAGTTGGGGAAGTTGGTGAAGTTGGCGAGGCAGCGTGGTCGTAGGTCATATTGCGGTCGAAATGGTCGTGTAGCCGGGGGAAGGATAGGGGAAAATGTGGAAGGGAAAGGTTGAAGGAGGAAGAAGAGGAGGAAGAAGAAAGGGAGCATATTCATGCTATTGGCGGAGCGAGTGTCCAAGCGCGTTAAGGGTGAACATGTACACATCCCATGCATTGACCTGTAAAGTGCTGAGCATTGTCTGATAGACCGCAACGCTGGAACCCATCCGGATAATTATGACAGTGCGAATAAAATTTAATAGGACGCGCAAAGATGGATGAATATGTGCTCGCGTGGACCCGCCCAAGAGTCCGTTGCCACCAAAAAAATAATCTAGGCCACCCCAGCTGTCGAATTCGAAATGGACTGCACATATTTTCATCGTCACATTCCCAAAAACACCTCCGAGCTGATCTCTGTCCCGCCCTTCCCCTCCTTTCATCGCCACCAAACAAACAATCAGCACCCTAATCAGCCAATGGTTCCCTCATCCATCGTCGCCAGATCAGGACTCCAGGCTGCACGCGTACGTTCAACCGCAAACTGTTTCGGGGCTCAAGAGCAATCGAGTCTATGAGATCTCACCGGAAGATCGCGCGTGTGGAACATCCTCAAGGAATGCAGGAACAACATCTTGAAAGTAACAAAAGCGCTAACCCCATCCCCAACCTGTTTCTCGTCCTCTGTTCGTTCGATACACATAGAGCGCTGCCAGGACATCATGCTCAAAGCCTTTCTCTGTATATACAACGCGAGTAAGTGGCCAAGGTTCCTCTTAACCCTTCAAATCATCAAATCATCCACTAGCTCTTTTTTACTGACCATTGTTAAACACCCTATTTCAATAGGCCTTTACGACATCATGGGCCCACTCAAAGCAGGCAACGTCTACAACATCATCTACGCCACCACCATCATCTCCAGCAGCATCACCTTCCGCTAACGAAACCAAACCCGCTTCAACAGAATCCTCAGCAAAAGCTGAATCCGTCGGACTCTATGGCGGATTTCTTCGCAGCCTTGCCATGATCACCGGTCACTACACCATCAGCCAAACCGCCATGCGCTCGACTCACAATTTCTACGAGATCTGTGCCGCACAACTACAGGAGAAGCGATCCTTCTGGATCGGCAGTACGTCTCTCATTGCACCATGCGACACTATTATTTTTTTTGCACGCATATATTATCTCAGGAGCGATTTTTCTTACACACATATATTATATATATATATTAATAGCATGCGGATTGCCGGACAACTTTCAGACATGGTTTTCGGTCACACATCTGCACGTCTGGTTGCTCATGGTCCGTATCCGTGCAGAGAATCATGGCAAAGTCTTTCAACAGCAGCTCGTCAACCACTTCTTCCACGACATCGAGGATCGCATGAGATACAATCATAAGGTATCTATTAGTAGTCAAGACTGCAAATGTAGAGCCAAACATGGACCATCTGGATATTGGATATTAACGCCAACACTTTTTTTATTTTCTCTCGAATGTTAATGCAGATCTCTTCAGGACGTATTATTACTACATATATGCACGATTTCTTGGCCCAGTTCCACGGAGGAGTCTTGGCCTACGACGAGGGCATGTGCAAAGACGATCCCATCATGGCTGCAGCACTCTGGAGGTACACGACTATAGCCTGCTCTCATAACCTCATAGTCTCTCATTCTCAAGCATTTGTCGTCAAGTCGTCTATATTCAATCTTCTAACGATTATTCATTTATCTTTATTTCACCCAATCGCTCTACAGAAATCTATTCACATCGAGTGGTACGCCAGACCAGATCGCCATCCTGGTCGACTATGTTCGCAAGGAGTTGCAGATCCTCGACAACATGAGCTCGGACGATTTCTTGGAATCCCGCATCTTGTTCGACACCCAAGCACCGGCTCTCAGAGGCGTCCCTGGAAAGTAAATCAGGGAGGGACAGACTCCATCTGCAGCATTGATAGCCTTCAAGCATGGGGAAGGCGACGAGCATCACAATAGAGAGTAATAAAAAATAACATTATACACAAAACACCATCGGCACTTTGATAGGAACGTTGTAATTGGGGTAAGGAGGCGTTTATTTGAAAGAGAAACGATGAGGATGTTACTTGGCATCGAGAGGTCGATTGAATCCTCCACGTCGGTTCATGTATTGGCGATACTGTCTTTGCTTCTTGATATCTGCACCACTCACATCTGCACCTGCAACATGCTTGCCCTACAATGAAACCATAGAATTCGAGTCAATCGACATGGGTAACCGCACACTCAACCCCTCCAAAAAGACAACAAAAAAAAATGCGGCTACCATACATACCTTGGTCGAATCAAACCCTCCAAAGCCCATCAAGGCCATCATCCTAGCCTCCTCGTCCTCGGGTGACAATTCCTCCAAAGGTTTCTCCAGATCCACTGCTGCTGCGTTGGTGCCACCCTTTTTGCCCTTCTTACCGCCTTTCACAGGATCATCATCGTCACTGTCATCGTCCCGTCCCCTTCGCCTGTGCTCTGCATCCTCCATATCGACGTCGTCTCTGTACCGTTTTGATGAAGACCTTGGGCTTTTGGATCTTGATACTCCTCCGCGACCTATATCCTCCAATCGAACCAATGGTAGCAACATCTCTGGTCAGTCATAACCTTCCCTTCCCCTCTTTCTCGAGAAGACCATCCCATTACAACACACAAGAAACATAACATAACCACAGAGAATCATCCGAGACTTACGGTGTGGTGAACGAGATCTAGACCTTGAGCTTCTCCGTCTCCTGCCATCACGATCCCTCTCCCTCTCCCTCTCCCTCTCTCTGTGATCCCGTCGATCGCCTTCCTTATACCGTTCGTCGCCTCGCCTCCTATCGCTGGCACCACGGTCTCTATCACGTCCATAGTCCCGATCCCGTTCCCGTTCGCGGTCGCGGTAATCCCTTCGATCACGGTCTCGATCGCCGCGACCACTGGGAGGCCCACGACGACTCGAGTAGCTGATCTCGCCCTCCTCTTCTTCTGGCGCATCCCAATCCTTGGGAGCACCGTGGCGATCGTGGTGACGATCAGGACTTGGACTGCGCGGCATGTAGAGAAATAGAGGCTGGAGATCGCAAGCGGTTGGAGATGAAAGTTGAATGAAGTCTCTGTAGTTGAGGAGACGGAGTGGAGTGGCTGGGACTAGCGGCGATGTTGCGGTTATTGATGTTGAGGTCAAGGAGTGCACAGATTCTCGACATAGAAAAAAAAAAAAAAATGTAATTTTGAGGTCTGCGCCACTAAATTCTGATTGGACAGAGAGGACGCGTCTTATTTCAGGAACAAAACTATTCATGGCCACGAACAAAAAAATATATATATATATTATTACTATTATTTTTATCTAAAACTAGGAATGAATTCTCATACAAAAATACCCTGGACCCTATTGAAGATGGAGTCACACAAAGAGCGGCGAGGGTCAGTCCAAAGAAAGTTATTCAAAGACCACTCCTGTTCAAACGAATGCACCATTGTACGTCTGAAGCCTTACCAATCCCAGCGTCCTGAATTCTCGCCGCCCTTCTCTTTGATATGCCCTGGATCGGCTGCCACCCCGCGCATCCGCGGGTTCGATGCTGACGATGTTGGGGAAATCACCATAGGAGATGTGGCCAAGGATCGCCTCCGCGCATTCGCAATGACCCTATCACTCGATCTCTCGCCATGGATATTAAGCATAGTCGTGCTGCTGCTCAGCTCCAAGAAATCTTCCGTCGGCATGGTCGTGCTCGAGACTGGACTTTGCATACTACCAGCGCTGCCATGTCCACTTCCGATCGAGTGCTGCCGCTGTTGCCGCTGTTGCTGCTGCTGGGTATGATACATAGAAGGCTTTATCGTGGGACTCAGCGTGGTCCCCGCGGACGATACACTCGAGTGACCAAATCCTCCAGAAACGATCCCGGACGCCGAGCTGATTGAGGCTGCTGCTGAGGACGCCGCTGCTGCTGCCCATTCGAATGGACTCTTTCGGCCGTTGCCCGATGGGGCTGTCAATCCCGGACCTTGGCTTTGGCGTTGCTGTTGATGTTGCTGCTGATGTTGCTGCAGTCTTGCCACGGGAGAGACGATAAAGGACTCTCCCGATTGACGACTCGAGCTTCCGCGCGAAAAGAACGGTTGGCTCATACCGAACTCATGGTTCCTGTTGATGGGCGTCGAGGACGACGTGGCAGAGCCAAGACCATGTCGGCTCACAAACGTAGCTGAGGTAGCAATGGATGACCGATATTGGAAAGACGTGTCGTCCGAGAACGACTCTGCTCTAAAAGAGCTGCCGCTGTCATCATCATCCTCCGTCGCAGAGTTCATCGAAACCATTGTGTTCTTTACGTCCATAACTGGTCGGCTTGGAGATCGATTTCCATCTCCAATCTCGTCGCGCATGTCCATGAAAAGCCTCCGAAGTTGTCGCAGTTTCTGTCGACGAGTAAGTGCTCGAGGCGCCTCTGAGTTCGCTGTCTGGCTCTGGTCAAAATTGATGTTCGCTCCCTCTCTCTCGGCTGATTTATCCGAAGGGTGAGCAGGATCTGCTACAAAATGATCCGGCATATTCTCGGACGCATACGAGTTGTGGTGTGGTTCGTTCCGTCTCCTGCCACGTCCCTGCGATGATTTGTCAGCAGCAGAGAAGACTCCTTTCAAGGACGGCATAAATAAATGGTCGTTTTCGTGGCGGTCAATCTGGAGGCCCCCCTGACGTGAGTTCAAGCTGGCAGCGCAGTCTTCGTCATCATCATCCTCGTCATCGTCCTCATCAGGAGTGCAGTCCTCCCCTCGCCTTGCAATGTCCCGGCCAGCATCCAATCCAAGGTTGTCATCACGGTCTGGCGGACATTTTGTCAAGCCCAGCCCGAACCCATTCAACACACTGCCGGGGCTGTATCCATAATCTATGGTTGAGGTCTCATCCCAAAAGCTCTCGTTCTCATCGCCCTCGATGCTCCCTATCTCGTCGGCGGCTGATGACATGTCCCGGACACTACGGTCTCTGTCGATGCAAGAACTACTGCCCAGCGATCCTTCTTGGTATCCAGAACTCGAATGACATGGAGGGTTCAAACAATTCAGCTCTGATCGCTCGTCACATGAAAAAAGTATTGGCTGGTATGTCGGACGATCCTCAATCTCGAGCTGGAACATGCCTTCATCCCGGTCGGACTCGTTGACTTGTTGACCATGATGGCAGATCCGCTCAACATCATCCTGAGAAAATAGACGATCTACGACCCGCATGCGCCCAGAAACCTGTTCTGCGCTGAAGCCCAAAGGACGCTGCTGAGAATGACTCAAGGCGTCGGCATTAACGGGTATAGGGCGTCTTAAAGCTGTGGACGAGTTTCCTGTTGGATTTGTTTGGTCGATCAGCTGGTTGGACCCTGCAAAAAACGAATGATGACAAACCTGGCATATCTGCGGCCCCGCTTCTTCACGCCGTGACACTGCACCATCGCTAACATCCCTGCCTAATTCATCCTCTCCATTGTCATCATCATCACTTGTCAGGTCCTCCTCTTCCTCCTGTTCCTTTGGGTCCCTGTCACCTGCATCCACATGTGAATCCGGTTCGCCAGTGAGTAGGAGTCCGCCATCAAAGGTTGATGCTCTCTTGCGAGGTGTAGCCTGTCTCTCCCTCGCAAGCTCTCCTTTGCCATCATCGTCGGCTTCTTCAATTTCCTCAGTGCCTTGACTCCCCGCCAAATTAGGAAAAGTGGCAACCCTTGTAAACTCGGGTGCAACGATTCCTTGTGTCAGGTGCTTGGACTCGTCTGCAAAGAGATCCGGAATGCTACTGGAGGACGACCGCCTCGCAATGAACTGTTGAACGCCGAGTCGGCAGCGCCCATCCGCTAACCCTAAAGGGCTCGTTGCCTCCCGAGGGTCAGAATCAAGAACTCCCTGCTCCGTCGCGCCCCTGTCATTCTCGGAGAATCCAGTCGAGTACGAGTTACGCTTGGCTCCCAGGGGTGAGCCTGACGCCCTTGTCATGCTTTGTAGCGTTGGTGCAAAAGGTGCCCGAGGAGATCCATGTTTGTCGCGACCAGGTGGAGTCGAGAACGTGACCAGTTGCCAACTTGAAGCTTTGCCGTCAGTTGAAGTTGCTGCTTCCTGGCTGTTATTCTTAGCGGAGGTCATGTCACGACCGAGCGGTTCATTGGATTTTCTCAACAACTTGCAGTCCTCGCAGACGAATCCATGCGCGTCGTCAGCGTCTGATCCTGCGGATGTACTAAAGTCGCCTAAGCCTTTGAGGCGTCCAATGTTCTTTAGCATGGGTGATCGAGATAGAACTTGCTGAGATGTTGGCTGACTCGGACTCTTGGCCTTCTTGGATAGGTTGGATATGGAATTTAAAGAGAACTCTTCGTCGTAAATAAATTTTAAGAAATAGAAGCAAAAGTAGAATATATCCTCGCCACGCTGACTGCGGTCAGCTAAGAGATGACTAGAAGAAGCAGAAGCATATAAAGCATTCATTAGAATCTGAACATATAGAAAAAATGCTGAAGAATACAGACCGCTTACTCACTTGAATAAGAACCAGTCGTAGCCCATAGTCAGATACAGCATCTCTGCTGCTGTTAAAGACTGATGTGCTTCTCCGTCTGCCCAGAGCGATATCCTGAGTAAGGAAATGAAGAGCGGCGTACGATCCCACCCTAGAGGTCATATGTATAGAAACACCATCATTAATTTTTCGTTAACATATTGGTTCGATTGCATGTTGATTTGAGCATCGCGGAATACAACTCTACCTGATATGCAATGAATCAGGAGGCCCTTCGGCGACAGTGCCGGTGTGTTTGACGCACTTCCTATTGTGCCCAACATATCCTGATCCGGAGTGTCGTCGGCGATATGTGTCAGGTATAACCGAAGGTAATTCTGCGTCAACTCGACTGTCGTGCCGTTCGTTTAGTAACAAAATGAATAGAGTAATAAACGCCGTTAGATATTTCCCCACTTGACAGCAACTCATGACCTTCGGCCAGACACCTACTCAGATCCCAGCTCTTATAGTCTCTCCATCGAATGCTGAGATGATCGATGTGTCCCGTTGGAAGCTGCAGCTCTGCATCTGCAAAGGTTTGTGACCAGTCAAAGCAGAGCTTGCGAGCCGAGTACTTATTGGCCTTGAACTTTTGGAAGAACTCGACCCCAGGATACGGCGTTGCCACTAACTTGAACTTGGAGTAGCGGCCGAACGAGTCAACCTTTTCAGATGATGTTACTTTGAGGCCATATCTAAGCACGTTTAAACCCAGTTCAAGTATAAGTGAATTAGAGGCGTGTTAGTGCTGCTCGCTCTTTTTTTTTTTTTTTTGCCACCATTGGACATTCGTACTAAGCGATGCGTCCAAACTATCTGGTTTCTCCGTACGTACTTGACTTTACGGTTCTCAACCATGAGATCGTTGATATATGTGACTCCGAGCTGGTGCAGTAGTTCGATGTCCTCCATTCGCTGCTTTTCTAGCGAAGATTCGCGATCCTCCTTATCTGGACTAGTTGTTCATCCAACGTGTATAATGAACTCATTGTTAATACTTTTTCGGCAGTACAGCAATCGACATGCGTTTCAAATTAGCGTACCTTCGTTCGCCTGTGCCGTAGAGAAACATCTTGCGCTTTTGATTCAAATCATTGATCTTTTGGTTGACACTGTGCATAAAGACTTCGACCTCGTTCGAGAGCGTAGCTGATCGGCATATATTCTTCCCCCGGACTAGGATGCATGGTACCACAAACCGGGCTCGGACGCGTGCAAAGTGCGACTTTTCAAACTGCTTTGACAGCTCCAGAGTGTCGTTGACTGTAGTAAGAAAACGACCAAGCAAGATATGAAAAAAAGAGGTGAGAAATAGATCTGGCTGCATGATATCGGTGGACACGCGTTTTCTTCCCGCCCCCTACCAAGAGGGTAGATCAAAGGAAAGGAAAGGGGGGGAGGGGGAAGTTATACGAACCTTTGTCCTTGTCTACAGCAGACTGAACAGATTCCTGTGTCCTCTTGGTGTGGGGTATTGAGGGGGGAGCCTCGTATTCTTTTATTGCAACGTTCATTTTCTTCTCAGGTCTGGGTATCCGGAAAGGGAAGGGCAAGATGTGTCTTCTGGATCGATCTTGGTCAGAGACATTGCTCAACCCCTGATCTTCTTGCTGCTGGTGCTGGTGCTGCTGTTGCCGCAGGGGTTGTGGGGGATGTATCATATCGAGCTCTGTTTTGATATCCTGAAAAGACATCATCCCGCTCTCTCCCAAATCGAAACTTTGGTCAGCAGCCTCGTCGATCAAAGAGTGATCCATATACTGTTGATTTGTCATCTCGTGTGGCAAACCGTTGTCGTTCCCACCATCACTGCTGCTTTGCTGACCAACTATGCTGCCATTGATTACATTGGTGTAGTTGCTTCCTATTTGTGCTTGCGAAAACAGGAGAGAGGCCGAGGAAGATGGTGCGTTTGAAGGACCCCGTAGAAATATACTCTGCGATGACGGTGCCGATGGCGACGATGAAGTCGAATGCAGGGCCGGGAGGAGCTGGTTTTGAAAAGGGGCGGGGGAAGGCTTTGATACCGACGCAGACGCTTGATCTTGATGTTCTTTTGCAGTGCGGGACAAGGTCTCTCGAGACAAATATTCGCGTTCCTCCTGGTTTTGTATTCCTCCGCGCGTGCCTGTTACTGCTGCCGAAGATTGATGTGAAAGATCTCTTGGTTTTTCAAGGATGGCAAGTTCAGATGGATAGGACGAGCAGAGCTGCCCATTGTGGTTCGGTACAGCCCCGACCACATAATCTTTCTCCAGTAAGGCAAAGCAATGCTGAAGAACTGCTTTGCACTGTTTCGAAACCGATCAGGTATTTCAAGCGCAGGATCGTATAGGCAGTAGGGGCGGTTAACAAATCGCACCACGCCAAAAGAGGAGTGTAAACCATGCCGTGTCCATTTGGGAAAAAAAAATAGAGGGTTGAAGAGAGAGAAAGAGGGTGAATAAAAAGGCTGCTTCGCGTATCAGTCCTTTGCATGCAATTATATATCAAGACAACTGATCTCCATCGACAGCCAGGGATAACCATCACCCATGAAACGACAAGGAAAGCAGTCGACCATGGTTCAGTAAACGCTGAGATACAACAGAGGAAGCAAGCAATAAAACAAGGGAGAGCATAACTAAGAAACGATTTAAAGGGAATAAAATGATTCTGTGACAGGCTGTCGCACCTCTGGGTCTTCGTGCTTTGCGGTGTGTGAGGCGTCGTAGTGAAGGTAGAGGCTATAGAGTCGATGGGCCTGGCTCTGCTGGCAGAGATTCGAGCTCATGAGGGGCAGGTTAGGGTGCTGCTGATGTCTTGATGCTGATGCCGATGCTGATGGAGGCAGCGAATGAACGAGGAGGCAGTGAGAGGAGAGATAGAAGGAAAGAATGAGGGAGGAGGAGAACGAGGGAGAGCAGAAGAGGGCAAAAAATCGTCCGAAGGATGAGATATGCGACCGAAACCAGTCCATGTCTGGTCTAGTCCATATCTTCTGAAAAAGAAACCACAGAAATTTTGCCCATTGCCTCGTCTGTGAGGCTATTGACCGAGGCGGGGGCCAAGTAACTAGGTACTGGCGCTGTCAGTCAGCCACGGAAAGTGTGTGTGAGCCCGGCAAGGATGTCCACCCCTCTTCCACACTCTCCACACTTTGAGCTCAAAGAAACAAATAAAAGAGGGGTGAATAAAAGGAAGTCGTCAGTCCTGTTTTCATTGTCGTGCTCCCTTACAGAGCTGTGTTGCGCATGCACAGAAATCAGAACCACGTCTATGCCCACGGCCACGTTGTAAACGAGAGCTCTTCGCCAATACCAGCTTGATTATTTTCTCCACAAATTTGCAATTGCACGCGCCAACTTGGCAACTCTTAGCTTTTTCAGTTGGAGTTGCATTCCACAGACGTCCGTGCCATTCGTGTCATTTGACCTTTTTAATTTTACGTGTAGCTGGAGACGATGAATAACGATGATTATAGTCAAATGTTCTGTTATAATCTTTTCGCCGGAGTGGGAGAAATATGAAAGAGAAAAGAAGGTGAGGTGGGAGAAAGCGAGGCAGGGAAGTGCAGAGCAGAGCAAGGTAGAGAGCAGCGCAGACCAGAGCTGTGCTTAAAGATCGGAGGAATACCATGGAAGGGATAGAATGACGAACACAGCCATTACTGCATATTGCACTCTGGCATATCTGGCATTTTAGGGACACCGTCTATTAAAACATCAACATAACAAATCACAAATCATGAACGGTCAGTCATCAAACCCGTATATCATCACATTCGCAAGTAAATGATACTTTTTTCATGAAGAAAAAAATCAGAATAACCAACTTACCAGTGCCCACTTCCATGCCAGGTGCAAGTTCCTCCAAGATATCGGCAGGAGGCTGACCGCAATCTTGCATCTATAATTTTTTTGTGGTTGTGTCGAATGGCGGAGTATGGCGTTAGTTCTCCGGTGCATTTTATCAAATCAGAAAAGGAGATAGAAACTTACACCTTGCATGAGCTCAATGACGCTCTTGGCCTGAGAGTCGCTCTTGTCGTCAAAGTCAGGGCGGTCAAAGAAATCGACGATATCCTTGACATAGCCGTATTGCTTCTCGTACCGGGCGTATTCATCGGCCGAAATCTTGTCCTTGTTGTCCTTCAACCATTGAGGATACTGCATAGCATCACGCAAGGAAATTAAATTGGGCGTTAATCATCTGCAAAGGAGAAAAAAAATGGCGGCATGTGCAAAATACTGCCAGCGATCCCTTCCATTACCTTCTGCTTCAAATCCAACATGGGCTCGTAGAGGATATCCTTGGACATCAACTGCTCCATCATGCCCTCGAGCACGTTCTGGAAATCGCCACCCTCAGCCATGCCCTCCATCTGCTTCATCATCTCGGCCATTAATGCTTCCTCGGATTCCTCTGCAACCTGGGCCTATTTTTTTTAGATATAAACGTAAATCATTAAGTTCATTTCACATTGATTCATTCGTATCAGATCAACAACCCGTTCGCTTCGGCTTCCGAGCCTCATTTCGTCCGATCCAACAGGCCATGAGCCCGACGTGAGAATACACGGGCAAATCCCCCACCCTCCCACATGCAGCGAACCAAAACCAGAAAAGCGTTTCCCCACGAGTCCTAATATTGCGAGGCAGGCCTAATCCCCCTCCCCGCCAAGAGAAAAGTATGACAAATTAAAGAACTTACTTCAACCTGTTCCGAACTGTCCTTCAACTTATCCATGGTCTTTGCGATCCTGTCCTGGAAGCTGGCGGCTCCTGCACTTGATGATGATGGTGCTGCTGCTGCTGAGGGTCCTGTTACAGGTGCCTTGCCATTGACATCCAGCCCCTTGAACATTTCCTCAAACGACTTTTGCAGCTCGGGGTTGCCGTTCATCTCCTTCATCAGCTCCTCCATGCCCGAGGCGAGTTGTTTCGAGAACTCCGCATCGAGTCCACCCAGGGCATCGTCGTCATCGTCGTCAGGAAGATCCTCTGGACTGAGCAAGAGCGATTCTGGTGTCCGTTCAGCCTTAGGCGATGTAGAAGAAGAGGTTGATGCCACACCGCCGGCCTTTTGGGTCGTAGTTGGCTTGACAGGTGTGGCGGGCTTTGCGGAGGTGAAGCCATCCAGGGCGCCTGTTATTGCATGTGTAAAAAAAAATAAAATAAGGCAGAGTGAATACTTGAAGCAGCAAGATAAGACTTGGCTCGGTGTTCATGGGTCGAAGAGCGAGGTGTGATTCAGATGGAGGTGTGATTACCATCCAAAAAGTCATCATCAAGATCATCCTCGACGACGGTTGGGTTCTTCTTGACTTCAGGCATAGTGCTAGTGTTGGTGCTGTCGTGTGCTGTGTTGTATCGTGTTACTGGTATACTTGGAGAGTTGATTATTGACAAGCTGTCTGGACTACTGAATGAGATTGGTAAAGAGAGAAGAAAGGCTCGGATGGGGGAAAAGGAAAATAGTAAAGTGCAGAAGTGCGTGGATAGATACTATTCCATCAACAGCGTGCACTCCAATTGAATCCAAGAACCTTGTTATTGCCCCTCGGTCGGCAAGATGAGACACATTCGATCGATCACATGGCAGACCTGGCTGTTTCCACTCAGAGCATTTGTCACTTTGTCAGTCTACAAACAAGACTTTCTTCGCGTCCGCCCGATGCAGCTGTGTTCTCCACACCGGCCACAGAACTTCTTGGCGCTGATGAGCATCAAGTGCGTCTTCACATCGCGCGTTCACCCATTTAAAGCATCTGTTGCCTTGCCTCGTAAAGTGGTCCCTTGGAGGATGCCAAGTGCCAAGGCAGCTGTAAAGCACCACATTGTTTGTGTAACATCGAAACGACGCGTCAAGAACATTGCTCATTTTTCGAAACAATATGTGTTATTATTACTGCTACCGAAGGTACTGTACAGGAGATGCTCGAGATGATGGTAAAGATGACAATGCTGGCAATAAAATAGATAAAGAGTGCTTCGATGCGTTACGAGGGATTCTGCTGATAATGCACGAAGCGGGTATCTGTTGTATCTGTATTCCTCAATTAGTCCAGTTCACCGTGGAAAGCCTTGGCCAGCTCCTTGACCGCATCGATGGTTCCAATGACAGAAGTGGCTGTGCCGATGACGACCACCAAGATCATGACTACGAGTTCCAACTTGTGGACCTTCCTGAATCCATACAGCTTCAAGTAGAAAGCGATCGGGAAGACAAACGTCAACATGCCATCGCTCAACGCGCCCAGCAAGGACATCATCTGTCCGAAATATGGGAAGAACAGGGCAATGGTTGCACACAGGACCATAGACAGAGTGCGGATCACAGCGCGGTAGACGAACTCGGTCTTTGCAGAGAACCCACGCGACTCCAGCTTCAAAGCCGTCTCGATCTGGAGATTAAAAGTCGTGAGGAAAAGGGGGATGGCCAGGAGGACATGCAACGTGATGATGATGGTCGAGATGGTGCGGGTAGCGCCTCCAGGGAGATTCAGGTAGATGGGCGACTTGACAATGTCACCATAGACAGCGTATCCCGAGGTCGAGCACATAATGTAAAGGACGGTGACGGTCATGATTCCCAAAGTAACGATCTTGTTCCAGGAGCGCTTATTTTTCATGCTCTCCTCGACGTGTGGGAAGATGACATTGCCGCCGTATGAGAACGCAAACGTAGCGAGGGCGAGGGGCAAGTTGCGAGCGATGGCGGCTTCATGGTGAATGGGCTCGACTGCGCCGTTGGGCTTCGTAACCAGATCAAGGTCTTTGGAATTGATGATGGAGGCGATCGTGACGATAACGACGACAATAGCGGTTGAAAGGGCGCCAAAGATACTGAGGAAAGCGACCTCACGCATAGTCTTGGTGAGAACGATGGGTACAACCATGACTGCAGCCGCGATCATAATCCATTGCTTCAATGTTATGGTACTACCAACAGATGAGGCCAGATCATGGATGTTGGTTCCTGTCAAGATCAGGTACAGCACGGGACCTCCGAGTGCGATCGAGTTGTAGAAGAAGGTGACAACAATTCTTCCAACGACGCCGAATGCAGCATGGGCAACATCGGGGTATTCTCTTAGGCGAGTACGACTATTTTCGAACAATATGGAGTGTTGCAAAAGGGTTAGCTCTGCAATATAACATGAACGTTGTTAAAAGTCGCTGTACATATAGAACCGCTTACTTACCCGTCGTAGTAAAGGCACTGAATCAGCTTCTGATTGCCATAGATGGCCATAGCACAGGCGAGGGCCAGGATGACCAGACCGACCCATCCTGCGTCGCGAAGAGCTGCAGGCAGGCCAAGGGTGCCAGCACCAGCAAGTACACTGACAACGTTGACATAGGCCTGGAAGTTGGTGGCCTTTCCTTCAACTGCGTTGGAGTAAACGTCACCAAGAGAGCCACTGGAAACGCTCTCCACGTCGACTTCCTGTAACTTCTCAGGGTTGTGTTCAGCTTTAGACATTTTTAATGGGGGTTATGGGCGTAGATCGGTGAAGGAGAAACGAAGGTGCGGAGGAGAGGGTTTTAAAGTTGAACGGGGGCAAAGGTTGTGGGGGAGGAGTGATGAGTGGAAGGTATTATCCCCAGTTGGGATGTGTGTAGAAAAGTCGAATAAGTGATAAGGCAATGAACCCCAAAAAGACTGGGACTAACGGCTTCTTTTTATACAGCGCACGATAGCCTTTGCCTTCCTCTTTCCGGTGCGATGACGGACGGACGTTAGCCGTTTTCTTAGAGTTAACTCTCCTAATGCAACTACCCCACTCAAGAGTCGGCCTATGGGCTGGTCGTTATGAACTGCCAAGCACGCCATAGTTGCGCAAGTCAGGGTTCAGCTGAAAAGTGGATATGGTGCCATACAACCACTGCCTGTAATTTCTCGTCAGACAGACCGGAGTTTTTATTTTCAACACAGGGACTAAGAAGGAGCGACGATAAGCCTGGCGGGTTTAAGAGCAGTGCAGTCTGTCTGAGTACCGACAGGTCTCCTCTTAGAAGGGTCGCCGAATTGCCTCCGCAAGTAAAAATTCTGGCCCTTGGATTCAAGCCAATCGCAGTGCGCGAATGCAACCCATCAGATAACGCCATTTCGAGTGTGCTTTGAGATCATTTCAACGAGCTCCGACAGTTTCACCCATTGTGCAGTCCGTCCAGATCCAACAGGTGCCGGAAATGTCGAAAATACTCCGCTAGGCGATGTTCCACGATAGTCTAGTTCAATGCTGATAACGAGATGATCGCAGTCGATGAACGTCCAAAGGGCCCTCCATGCGCGAGAGCTGCTATTTGGTATGCTGTGATTGGGTTTGTTCCCTGGGCTGTCTCCTTTGTCCTGCCCCGTCTGTGCGTGGTGCCAATTCTTATTTTATTCCCACCTTTGTTTTGTTTCATTTCTGACCGATCGAGGCTCTGGTGTCCTTTTTTTTTTTACTTGTACTTCTACTCTGCTCCCGCAACTACGATTCGCGACCATAGTGGCTGCTTGATCCTTTCCATCCTTAATAAAACTGGAACGCAGTGTGCAATCTATGGTATGGACAAAATATCCTGACACTCCTCGTGGCAAGGTATCAGGACATTAGACGACATAAACCGATCGTATCCGAAAGGTGGAGCAAATGGGTGGATCCGTGTCTTATAGCTGCAACTCGATGGGTATGGAATACATCACGGTCTCGAATCGGTAAGCCATGTAGACTAGAAGGTGTTGTATGTCGGCTGTATGCTCTATTCTGCAACTTCACCAAAAGGGCGAAATGGTGTGATTTTGCACGAAAATCGTGCACACGAGGTGGCCTTAGAATTTCATCATGTATACCACGATTTGCTTCCACGGCCACACTAATATAGAGCCAAGCCTTAGACAGCTCTACAGACGCGTCAACACGTGCTTAAAGACGCAGAGCAAATACCCAAACCCATTCTCGTTTTTCTCCTAGACTTCAGCCAGACAAAACGGCCTTATGGTCACATAATTAAACAAAGCACGAGATCATTAGCCAGGCTACCTTCAAACTATATCCGACCATGGATCATCCCTTTAATTCATAGCACGCACGTCCTAGCACGATCAAGATAGCATCATCTTCCGGTTTCTTTACTATGTGTGCGCGCTTACTGTCTTCCATTTCCGCATAATTCCATTCAATACGTCCGATAGACAATCCTGGCGTGGGCCCTGTTTTCTTTACAAGCGCCCCGCAAGCACCTTTATTCCATGTCATTCGCGCAACTGTCGATGCGTCAAGGCCCTCTACCATCTAGACGCGAGTTATCGAAGAGAAATCCTTGATAGTTCATGGCTCCAACACTATTCTGTGCGACAATTCCAATGTCCTTGCAGCATACAATCTGATTTGGAAGGTTAACTTTCTACTTAAGCCGATCTAAGAAATTAGTGGCGTCGAAAAGCTGCATAGGAAACGCTCAAATGAATGCTCGGAAGAGACTATCCTCGGCCGATCCTTCCCATTTATGGCGCTCAATCCGATTGTTTTATTCATAACGTCGTACATGCCATGTTCATCTTTTTTTTTTACCACGAATACCACAGCCTCTACCTCTTACCCCTGGCTACTCTGGAGAACGGGTGATTGCACAGAAACCACGCCAGTAAGTAGCGAGCGTCCTATATATTTATAGAATACATTTTTAGTTTCCAGGGGTTTCCCCTCTTTCTTCCCCCGAAAAACGATATATTTTTCCAGTACTCATCGTGAACCTTATTGAATTTGAGTTGTAGCCATTCTATTCTTCGCGTCTACGCTTCCTGAGGCCATCCTCGGCCAGACAAATCCCAACACCATCATCGCCGATGGCTTAGTAGCCGTCGTGGATATTGTCGCCGCCGTCTCCTAGATCATCCGTTTACGACGGTTCCATAATGAAAAGGTTATCATTTTCATAGAGATCAGCAGTGTTGACCGCCTCAAGGGCTCTTGTCCATGCCTCTTCTCTCGTAACATCCTCATTCAGCACCACCCCTTCATGGTCCTCCTCATCCTTCTCATTCTCCTCAGGTCCTTCCACTAAAGACATTGCTGTCTAGAAGGCTTGCGCTGGTTTATTATCGACTACATACTGATCTCGTCTGATTCTGACACTAGCTTTCCACACAGAGACAAAGGTACTGGGAAGTATGTCTACAAAGTGTCTATCAAGCATCGCCTTGAGATTCGAGCGCGGCAGGTTCCCTGTGGTTTAGCTGGAGACCGGCTGTTTGACGACGACGACTCAGATCTTCTCAATTGGCTGGAGCTCGCAATGGTAGGGAGGGGGTTTGTATATAAAGTGGTCACTATTGTCAACTGCAATATCATAAATGGCATAACTGGATCGACCGGGAAGGTCTTTGATGTGCTGCAACGTTTCCACTTTGGCTGGTATTCCATTTGGTCGTGTAGTCGCCGGCAGTTCATAGCCCCCGTCCTGAATCCATTTGATCATATCATCCACCTTGGTAAATCTGGCAGGCTTTTTGTTGATTTTGCGGAAGTGGTATGAAGTGCCGTCCAAGTGAATATTGCTAGGACCATATCTCATTTTGCCAAGGTTGACGCATAGCTGTTTGAATATGCTGTCGAATAAATCCGCCGAGAAGTTGCCAAGACAATCGCGATTGTCAGTAATGATATTGAAATCTCGGGTCTCCTTCGGGACATTGCACCACAGCGCAGAGTCGTACTGTTTCTTGCCTTCTCTCGGCCTCGTCGCAAGGTGGGATTTCCCGATCACTGGCTAGATGTAGACACTGTCTCGCACAAATCGGGCCTGCAGCTGCCGCTTGTTCTTGTTCCATGACACAACGAATACGGCGAATATGACAAGGAGCGGTTTCCAACCTGGTTCCGAAACGATGCCGCCCTTCTTAGGAACCCATCGGTTTGCTGTAGCATGATCGAGATGACAATACGACTCGTCCAAAAACACCTTGGGGCGACGTGGTCTGATCTCATCGCCCTTGCCAATCAGGTTCTTCAAGCGGCGGTTCAAGATAGTTGGATCGATAGGCAACAATTTCCGGTGAGTCGTGCATCATGTTCTGGCACACACCTTTTCCCCAGTACATCCCAACTTTGTGGAGGTTGCGTGTAATCGATCATACAGGCCTCTCGATGTCGTATTCCATCCTCAGTTCATTCGAAATACAGCTAGCTGAGCTGGGGATGCCTTTTTTGTTGGATTGAGTGATGATGTCGCGAATCTTGATAGCAAGGCTCTCGTCCAGTTCTTTTATAAGTCGTCCCGGTCGGTCAGTCTCCTCCTTGTTGCCAATGGTTCCAGTTCTTGCGAAAGCTATTGCCTTCCTGCAGGTGCGCTCTCCTACACCAGTCAGAGATGACAGCTGATGCGATAGTCCTCTCCCAAAGGGTTTCACTCGGTCTTGAACGGCAGAAGAAGTGTCAGGTGAAGTCTGCTTCTTGAAGACATGTGCCAGGAGTCGGTTCTCAGAGGGCGCGTAGACTGAACTGTCATGCTTGAACATATCAATGCCAATGCTGACGTCGGCGGGAGACTCGGCACTCCAAAATGTGTTGCCCTCTTGACCGACTGGATTGACTGCAGGAGGATTGTTGTCATTTGTTAGAGGCGGCCCCCTGGGTCAAGTACAGGAGCTGGAGAAGAGGTGGTGACAGAGTTGTTGTGCTTAGGGATGACTTCAATGGAAGTACGGACGTAGCGATAGTCCAGCGTTTTCTGAAGGGGGGAGATGTTTTCTGAAGGGGGGAGATGTTTTCTGAAGGGGGGAACATTTCGCCCTATGCATCAGTGGCTTAACGGGATTTTTGAATTGATTTTTATTGTAAAAAATATTAGGGGCGTTACTTCTTGGCGAGGACTGCGAGGACTCCAGTGGCGATGGTTCATGGCGCACCCTCGGGACAGTCTAGCGATAAAGTTTTTAATTGCCTGACCGAGTTGAGCAAGAGATATCAAATCTTCAGAATCGTGGCAATGAGGGAGGTACCCATTGAGAGATTTATCTGCCAACTAAGCATGCAATCCGATGCTGAACGTTCTACCCCCTCCATTTGCGCTCCTCCCGAACGGCATGCATGCGGGGATTCAATGACTTCCATGCTTCATGTACACGTAACATGCGGCGTATGGGATGTCTCTATTTGTCTCCATTTTTTTTTTTTATCCTGGCTATCAATGTTCATCGGATCGTGTTCCAAGAGGTCTACGAGTACCAGGGTGATTGAACTGATTCAGCCCTTTTGTCATGTTCCTTTTCTTCTTTTTTCGTTCTTTCTCTAGAGCGGCGTCGCTCATGGAAATCAAGCAGCTGAAGAAGGTCCACTCTGGCAAGGCAGATCTACTCGATCACTAGGAAGATGGTAGCTGTATTCTCTTGCCAGTAGAGAATAGATTACAACTCGCCGAATCAGTCGAATGATCCTGCAGCATACAAGTCCGGACCTCGCAGCTTTCATGCGAGCATGAGTGTGCTACAAAGAAGGAGCGGATCCGGTTTAGAGAGGTGAATTTTTGCCGTTTTTCCTCTTGAGGGTGTCCCATGCACGCGTTAGCGCAAGGATGGGTAAGAGCCAATTTGAGCAATAAGACGATTGGCTGCCATCGTACGTGATCGTGCTGCACAGTCGGTTATGCCGAATATTTTAACCTACTGCACTCACCGGGATAGGACAAGCCAAAACGTAATAAACTTGTCTGTTCAGTTCACCAAACAAACAAGGCAGCAAGCGATCTAGTCGAAGATCAGCCCGCAGTAGTAGTCCATGACATCGTGTAACGCACTTGTGTAATAAATATGTCTTTTGTAGGCGCAAGGATTGCACGCGCTAATGGTGCCTACAAAGAGTCAATGCTATAAGTCCATACGGGTGATATGCGCTCTGTATGTTGCTTTTGTGGTCAATCCCTCTCTCGTGAAGGGTTGACTTGCCTGCTCGCCTCTTGAGGAAGAATGGGTCAATGGGAATGAGTGCCGTTTCTGATTCATGATCGGATTCAGGGAGCATTGGCGGAGAAGGGGCCGAACGAAAGAAAAGATTACAATGGACAGTACAATAAAATGCAATGAACTTTTGGCCGTTGTATCCACCCGCTTGGCTCTGTTTGTTCCAGGTTTTCCACGCTACGCCGAGGAAGCAATTGACTAAAACCGCGCTTTCTCACGGCAGGGCGCTGGGAAACAAGCCAAAAAGAGCAAACGGCTTCCAGGCACGCATACACATACTAGGATACCACTGCATTCATAGTAAGTCTACTGGTCATTTCAATGCCTTCCGGAAGTCGCTTGCCTCGTATCATCCACGATGGAAAACTAATAAATATCAATCCAATGTCATCACCCATCCGCCTTCTTCTTCCTTTCCTCTCTCCACCTCGTGAACCTCTCCTTATCACCTTTTGACTCGGCGCGTTTATACTTTTCTTTTTCCCCCACCAACCTTCCTTCTTCTCCACGTTATTTCAGCACTCTTTGGTTCACACCTCTCTCTAGATACATAAACCATGGAAGCCTCACACACTGGCACACCAGCCATGGTGGACGACACAAGCAAGCCCCGCAACTTCGGCGACGTAGAAAAGCAAACCACCGGCAGCGGCTTCTCAGACGAGCATCATCACATGAAGGAGGTTGAGGTCAGCGAAGACCTCGACAGCAACATCCAGGTCGCTGGACCCATCCCCCTCGCCGCCTGGCTTATTATCGTCAGTAAGTATCACCTGTCTTTCTCCATCTGGCAGCTGTGTTTGCCTTCCCTACGATTACTCTGACACAAAGCTGTACAATCTCTCCTCGCTTCGTCATTCAGCTGAACTTTGCGAACGTTTTGCATATTACGGTGCCTCGATGCTGTTCCAGCGTTACATGCTGCAGCGCCTGCTGCTTGGCAAGAGCAAAGCAACGGCTATTTCCCGTGGCTTCAACTTCTTCTCCTATATGACCGCTATCTTTGGTGCCGCCGTCGCTGACAAGTGGCTCGGAAAGTTCAAGACGGTGCTCCTCTTTGCCATCATTTACACTCTCGGACTCGTCCTTTTGACCGTTTCGGCCATTGACAGCCTCAGGGAAACAGTGGCTCTCCCCGGCTTCCTTGTTTCAATCTTTTGTCTTATCTCCTGGGGTACCGGTGGTATCAAGTCCAACGTCTCGGCCTTTGCAGCAGAGCAGCTTCCCATCGAGGACTATCCTCACCCCAAGAAGGTCGGCTACACTGTCAACCATGCTGTTACGGTCGAGCGTCTCTTCCGCTACTTCTACATGGCTATCAACATCGGAGGCCTTCTGGGCCAAGGCATTACCCCTGCAGTCTCAAGCTACGCCTGGGATATCGCCTACATGATCCCTGCGATCGCTTTCGTTGTCGGCATCATTGTCTTCGCCCTGGGCAGAAACAAGTATTATGATCGTCCTCCCAACGGCAATGTTCTTGGAAAGTGTATCCGCTGCATTACCTATGCGTTCCGTCACCGCCATGAACGTCCTGAGGGAACTCACTGGGTCCAAAGTGCTTTGCCCCGCAATGGCGAGACTTTTGAATGGGACGCCAAGTTTGTGAAAGATCTGGAGCGCACGTACCACGCCTGCAAGGTTTTCTGTATCTACCCCTTATACTGGGCCTTATACAACAACATGACCGACAACTTTGTTAACATGGGTATCAACATGACACGTCCCAACTGGCTCAAGCCCGAGATGTTGTCGTTCGTCAACTCCCTTGTCATCGTCATATTTATCCCGATCCTCGACACGTTCATCTTCCCCATGCTTCGCAAGGCCGGCTTCCGCCTCGGACCAGTCAACCGTATCATCATTGGATTCTGCATCGTCACCTTCTGCTTTGTTTATGTCACGGTCCTCCAGCACTTTTTGTACAAGTCCGGACCATACTACAACTTTACAGGCAAGGATCCCAACGGCAACCATGTCGACGTCCCCACGGATATCTCGTTGATGATTAACGAGCTTACGATCTGGGCTCAACTCCCCGCTTACATCTTGATCGGCATCTCGGAGATCTTTTCGTCTGCGACCGGTTTGGAGTTCGCATTCAGGTCTGCAGCACCAGAGCTCAAGTCCGTAGTAATGTCGCTTTTCCTTTGCACGAACGCCTTTGGATCCTTGATCGGTATGATCCTGGCCATCTGGTCGAGCGATCCTAACTTTGTGTATTTGTATGCTGCTCAGGCTGTCGCTATGGCCATCATGACCGTCCTCTTTGCCTGGCGCTTCGCTAGGTTAGACAATATGGTCTGAACGTCACCGCATCTAGTCAATCTACATAAGTAATAATATCTTTTCTATATGTCAAAACGATTGGGTTTATTTTTCTACTCCAAAGGATGATGAGAGAGTAAGAGAGGAGCTGTAAAGTCCAAAAGGCGCGGCTTTAGAACCCGAGAATGCGCAGGTTACCCTCCGCAACAACGGTATACGCCTCCGTCTTCTTCCACTCCGCTAAGGATGGGATCACATTCACTTTCTCCCAAACAGTGTACAATGCAGGTGTTTTTTCTTTTGACACAAACCTGTCTCCGGTCAGCGTCACGATCATCTCCACTGCCAGTGCTAACTTGATATCGGCCAGAGACAGCTGTGTAAAGCAAGGTATATCACCAAATTAATAGCTGGAAGAGTGGTAGCCAAGTAAATCCTTGGAGATGTTCTTTGCATACCTTGTCATTGACATAATGCCCATTGGAGCCATTGGCATGCAGATGCCGCTCATGCGTCAACACAAAGGGTGGCAAGGCCTCTGTCAGGAACCTCTCCGTCATCGTAGCCTTGTAGGCTGCATCTCTCACAACGGCGATCCTCAAAAAGTAGTACGTTATGATCGCTTGGATCGAAGATGTGAAAGTGCGGACCTTGATCTCATCAAAGTCATCGTTGCCATAGAGACCAAACTTCTTGGAGAGATAGTGCTCGATCACTTCGGATTCTGGGACTTCGATGGTCTGTCCTGACGATGTGGTCTCGTAGAGCACAGGAAGCACTCCAAAGAGCGTTTCGCTCTTTTCTTTGTTTGCCCAGTCCTGTGCAACATTTCATTCATTCCAATGGGGGATGATTCTATTAGTTGGCGTAAAAAATTAGAACGGACGATTTCATGGGACATGCATGGACCAACCTCGGGAAAGACACATTCCCATTTGGCGCCCGTCGTCGCTAGGATCATGCGTACGGTTGCAGCCATGCCATGAAGCTTAAAATACTTGAGCTTGAACGTACTGTCCTGATTGTAAATACTTTCGTTCAGGGCAGTCCGAGCATTGTTGTCGAACGTGCGAGACATGTTGTTTGCTATTGTCTGATGAAGGGAAGAAGGGCTTTCGGTGCATTGAGGTCCAAAAGTGGACGAGACAAGCTCATCTTATATAGCGATTCGGATACGCCGCGTTTGCACAGTGCTCCTTCCTAAGGACCATTGAAGTACTAAGCATCCCGGTCCGAAGATGAATTCATATGGCATCACTCTTTTCCACAATGAAATCGATACAGGTACACTGAAGTGTAGATGCTGAGAAATCAGTCGGAAGTACACAGAGACGCGCCGCGTCTGTGTTTGTTGACTGATCGTCAGCGCACCTGTCTTATCTGTGTAATTGCGCATTTCAAAGGTTACCCTGCGCTTTATTAATTTTTCCTAAACAAGCTGTCAGATGCACACCTGACGCGTTTATATTCAAAGAATCGGGTCATATTTCGCAAGAGTTGTTGAATCAGACACGCTCTTTACGCTGCCCTTGTGTATGAAGGCCCAAATATAAGTGATGTTGGTGATGGCGGTGGCCGTGTTTGTACTTTAGAGCGGGCGCAGCGTCGCCATCAAAGGGCGGATACGTTGAAGCATGCTCGATCCTGTGGCGACCGTGTTAGTTGCCGTCGTCTTCGTTGCTATCACCATTGTCCTTCTCTTTCCTCTTTTGTGATGAACGTTTGTTGTGCTTTATCCAGAGATTTTTCGATTTCCTCCCATCAGGACCCTCCATATCCTCATCATCATAGTCATCCTCGTCGTAGCCATATTAGCCCCTCAATGGCGCTGTTGGTGTCTGTAACACCTTTTCTGTCACGGTAGCCGTCTTCGTGACGGTCTTATATACGGTTGTCGTCGTCTGGATGTATACCACTGGGCGGATTAGTCCTGCCTCTCCAATCCCTGATCCACCACCCCCAGCAGCCTTAATATCTACTACCCCCTCGAGCGCGTAATCCACTTCGGCTGTCAGATCCACGCCATTGTTGCACAGGCAAAGGACGCGAATGGAATCCGAATTAGGCACATGAATACAACGATTGATTTCGCCTTTGCCATTGTATTTGGAACGTGCGCGTTCCTCTGATGACAAGGAATTGTTGATATTGCCCGGGTCTTTGGCATCACCCCGCTGAAGACATCGGACATGGCAGAGGAATGTGAAGGATTTGCAAAAGGGCGTGACCGCTGTCGCGGCGAGCTCATCATCTGAGGACTGGGTCATATCAAAGAAGGTATGGTCAGGGCTGAGCTGAATGGTTTGCTTCAGGTTATCCAAGTTCTTCTTCTTGCTGCGCAGTGTCAACTGTGATGGATGGGCGTCGTTGATGCGCTGCTGGGTTGCCGAAACCGCGATAAGAGAGCTGGCGAGAAGGGTCCCCAGAGCCATGGCAATCTTTATCTTCATGGTTGTGTCAGTGTGCTGCCCGCGGAAGGTGGGCCAAGTCAATAGTTGAGAGAACAGAGGTCGATGAAATGGATTATGAGACGAGAGAAAATAAGGAGCGAGCTGTCTGGGAATGGGGCATTTTGTATTCATCTACATTCCTTTGTTCCCTCCCACAGCGATCATTCTTTATCTCCTCTAAAGACAATGGAATGTTATGCTCGTATATCTCCATTTTTCCCGGTGCCCCACGCCCAGAAAACATGCATACTTCCACGTCAGATACGCGCGTTCTATTTGATCGGCATAGGGCCCCAACTGGGTCTTTTACAAATGATGGCGTGTCCATTGACAGCATTTCCAATAGCAGGTGACCCATTCGTCACGCATAAGGTTGAAAAAAAACCCAGAGCTGAGTTAGTGCACGGCGCCACTCCACACGACTGCACATTGCCCAGGCCGTGGAGTGTTGTGGTCTAAGTGTGAAACATGTTACACCATGCTCTTCGCTCTGCGTGCGATGAACAATTGGCCCACGCAGAGATGAAAAGCCAAAGAAGAAGGAACGAAGGCTAGAAGAAAGGCAGTGTTTGTGAGCCCTGTATTTGCGTTTTTTTTTCTCCTGTCATTTGGTCAGCATTCTGCACTCTGGGGTGGCATAGCAACACATTGTCCATCTTTTGTACATGTAGTCTATCGCTCACCTTACTACATTTAAGCAGCTGCACACGATAGATCCTCGCTCATCTCTTCTTTTTCTCCTCGTCTTTGACAATACTTGTAATGGCTCTGCCTCCCCTTAAAAATACCATCCAAGGCATCCAGGACCAGTCCTTGGATGTCCTCCAGACCTTGATGATCCCGCTGAACCAACTCTCTATCTCTGCAGACGAGGGGTTTATTTGTTCCCAGCCAAAGCATGCATTGTCGCAGGTCGTCCCATCACCTCTCACGCCTTCGCTGTCTGGATGGAACAAGTTGCCGCCAGAATGTCTAGAGATCATCGTCCAAGTTCTCGATACGGATACTAGTACTCTCGCATCCCTCCTTCAGGTCAATCAGCAATGCTTCTTTTTGGTCGTGCCTCGACTCTACAGAGATCCTTTCCTGCGGATCCGGGAAATGTCCATACGCAAGAGCAACAACATTCGACTTTCCTCAATTAGCGAGAGAGCGCCACAAACCTTATCGATTTTAGAGGACCAACCACAATCCGCGACAAATACGCTCTACAATGCCGCGACAGAGACGACGGCAACAACAACGGTAACTGCAGCAGCAACGGCGGCGACATCAACAACAGCGAGCACAATGGCGGGCACGATGACGAGCCCAGCGAAGGTTGGCGTAGGCGCCATTAAGACTCAATTTGACGACGATGTGAGCAAAATTAATCAGATCCTCACGGCCCGACTCGAGGCCCGGGAATTTGCCCTGCTCTACACGTTGCTGTCGACCTTCATCCCACAGCTCTGCGCTAGGTTCCCTGACCTGAAAGAGCACTTCTTTCCAACATCGCCTTTTCGCGATTATTGCTCCTGGAGTAGAGAGCCTTTTGATTTTGGTCCGCATCACCACTCCGTCACATGGCCCCGTCAGCTCTACCTCCGCCACCTCGTTGTCCTAGATCTAGAAAAGCTGTGTACCCGTGCTCGGCAAAGTCGTGGGTCATGTCATGCAGGAAGAGCCCCTGTGGTGACTACAAGAAGGGATGGTGTTTTTCAGCGACAGTTCACGCCCGATCGCAGCAACCACAACTTGACAACAATTGGAGTACTGGATCATCTACAGCGCGCACTCTTAAATCAACCTGGTGCCGATAGAATTCAAAGTATGAGGATCCCGACACATCGGATGAGGACCTTCCAGCTGAGGCAGGAACGCGTACCCAGGGCCAGAGAGCGGAAGGGGCCGCCACCACTATGGCAACCATACTACCCGGAAGATGATGAAGAGGCTGTTGCTCCATCCCTTGAGCCTAGCAAAAGTGCTCCTATCGAAGAATTAAATCGACCTTACTGCTTCACCTTCAACAAACTGATGCACCTACGCCGCTTCGAGGTTTGCGATATGACCGAGAACGAGTGCGACTGGGAGACCCTTGATCGAGTACTTGCTACATTGCGGTTTGGACACCATCTTGGAAAGTCACATACCGAGGCCGAGAAGACCGCCAGAGGCGAAAGTGTAGCTACTTGCCAACTGAATAGAATCCAGATGTTTTCGCTCGAGACGCAAGCACCACTGACCTCTCATTTCAGCAAAGTCCTGAGTCACTTTGAGCACCTCGAAGTTTTAGAACTTAAACCAGCCTGCTGCCAACGACCGTGGTTCGCTGATTCACATCCAAACCTACATCGCACGCTCAGAGTCTTGAGGATCGGCACGACTACCTTTTACCGGGAGCACACCGCTGCTTTTGAGCATCTGGGTCAGTTTTTCAATCTGGAAGAGCTACGGATTGTCGTCAACAGTCCGCATCAGTTTCAGTGGGTCGTCAACACGAAGAAACAATTCCGGCTCGGTCAGCAGCAGAAGCAGCAGCAGCAGTGCCGTTCAGTAAACCAAGTCAATCGTACAGGAGCCGGCCTTGGACCCGCACCAATAACGTACATCAGGGACCAAGACAATCCTTTGCAGAAATGTCTTCCAAAGCTCAAGAGGCTGGGATGCTCGGTCGAAGGCGATAACCAATTCGTGAGCGTGAATACGATCATTGACGCATTTGGGGATCAGCTTGAGGAGTTTGTCGTCCGTGTGTTGAATTATGCTGAGAGCTCCCGCTTCGAACATCCATTCAGCCAACTCCGCCGACTTGCACTCCGTGGCGATTTTCTTTTTCGGTTCGATTACGAGAGCCTTGCTGAGCAGTGTCCCACGCTCGAAATGTTAGCTCTACAACACAACCGCTTCCTTCGATCCGTTGCCGACGTTCAAGATGATGCAGCCATGGTCGCAGCACTGGTGAAACTTACAAAGCTGCGGTGCCTGTACCTCGAAGGATTATGGCCCATTGATGATATTCAGCTACTCAAACTGGTGCAGGAGCGCCCGTCTCTGTACAAGATCGGGATCCATTACTCCGAGAATCTGACGTTTGCCGGAATGGAACAACTCGACAGAATACTGAGTGCTCGGGAGACAAAGTATCCACTCAAACCCAAGGGCCTGTATCGGCTGCCAGGCTACATGTCGGATTTCCTTGCGAAGGATTACGTATGGCGAACTACGTTTTTCGGCCATGAAGACGACTGATGCTCAACATAGCCTAAACTCAAACAAAATGAAAGCTTTAAAAAATTGTTTTCCTATTGAATTTTGCTGGAGGCGGATCAGAGGGGCTCATAAAATACGTGTTGACTATCTTCAGTGTTGCTCTTGATGGACGTGCAGCCAGACGATGCGACATGATCTGAAAGAGTCGCTTCTGGATCGTCTCCTTTGTTGCTGGTTGTGGTTGACCGTCGCTTGATCCGCAGTACCTCCCGGTTTCCTCGTCAAAACATGACACCAATAGTGCCAGCGCAATACCGACTGATCGATCCATTCCTTGCTGACAATGGATTAAGATTTTAGGCTTCGTCAGTTCCTCCTGCCCTTCACGTACTATTCTTGACGCATACAGTGACTCAATGGCCTTCTTTGCAATAGGTATCATTTCCAACAACTGGTGTTGACCCTTCTTTCCCTCCGCAATTGGTAGATGCAGGTAGTGGAACTGTTTTGATCCTTGAATAGGAGCTGGCAATACAGTCGCTGATGCCGTCGATGGCGTGCTCATTGCCACCAACTGATGCTCTTGAATGATACATAGCGATGCCTGAGCTCCGCCTGCTCCATTACCGCCCAGTTGCGAAATAATTTGCGAAGTCTCTTCTCCCTCAAACACCAGGTTGCGCCTGATCTCTGCAGCACAGTTGATCACCATGTCAAACCCTCTCTGCCAGCAATCAGGTATCTTCCCGCTGAAATTATTCCCGATCCAGATCGGACTGGGCTTGATCTCTGAACAAAGCTCCATAGACGGCGTGAACAAAATCCGGTCACTGCTGTCCTGTCGTCCCTTGCTCAGCTGATGTCGACCATCCTGTGCGATCTCATCTACCTGATGATATAAGCCCTCCAGTTGCTTCTTCTTTGCCTCGCGGACAACCTCCTGTACACGTTTCTCGCATTCTGTAGATGTGATGCCCTCCTCCAGCAAGTACTCTTCGTTCTCCCAGAATAAATCTGGAGTAAGTCCCTTGGACCACATCTCTTCATCGTCACCTGATCCCTGGACGTAAAGATATCCGTCGCACTCCTCCATTCCGTCCGGAACAACCCTGGAAGCGCTCAAGCAGATTACGGGAAAAAAGGCTACCTGACTGTAATCTGGAGGGTCGTTCTTAAAGATAAAACTCTGTGGGGTAATCCAGATCGGCCGGATCGGCTTTAGCAGACGTGTGGTCAAAGGCGTCAGGTCAGTGAAGCGCTAGTGTGACATAGAAATCGAGTTAGGTGAACATACTTCGAACGCATTGAAGTAGGGGAACTGGATTGACTAAGACAAACACTGCGCGATATACCATTAGTTTCTCTGCGAATCCGTCAATTTTCTCCGCAATCTGGGCATGCTCTGACCGAGAGATTAAACTTGGTAATGAATGATAGCGTATGTCCCAGCGTTCAGCATCTAACGAGGGCATAAGCAACGATGAAGCCGCAGTTACAGAGGCATCTCCTGGAAGCTCCAGGTCGTCCACTTGCTGTGGGGGGGCCATGCCTGGGGCTACCTGCTCCTGCTCTCGTAGTGCTGTGCAGGTTTGGAGGGCGCGTTTGTGTACGGCATTGTTGATGGTGGCACACCAGATGGGGATTGTTTTCGAAAGAGCATCCGGCACTCGCTTTCCCTTTCTGGTCGAGTCTACAATAATGCATCTATATCATCGTTGTTTGGTATTGAATATCGCTTATGAGGACGGATGCTCAGAAAGAAAAGCATTTTCATGGAGATATTTGCAGTGTATCTTTTCATTATCAATGATTACCCTCCGTTGTTGACGATCGTAGCGATCAAATGAGGATTATATCGGCGAAGGTTAAAGTCCCAACTACCCGTGTGTCCATCCGTCGACTTGAAATATACCCCAGGCTTTTGGATCTAGCACGTATCGAACGCAATTGAGAAAAAGTAGAAACGTTTTGCGCCTCAGTACAAGACTGAACTGCCGATCGGAAGGATATACATGTATATCGATAGAAGAACGTAATCGTTACCTTGAGCGGATGGACATACCATGTCCCACATCGCTCGTTGGCTAATGTTTAGGCACAAGGAGTTGGAAACCAAGCAAAAATGGTCCTAATCAGCTATGGCAATTTACTTCCCAAAGATGATGGCATAACCTCCGTGCTCCAGATTGCAGGACGGCCCAAATCTGTACGACTTACCAAGCACCGGAAACTGTGGGAAGAGGTTCGCTGTCTCGCTTACAAATGCCGCGTCTGCCTGTATTGATTTGAGTCGATTCAGCCTATGGACATACAAGATATATGAGGTTGCCTTGTCCAAATGTCCTAGAGGCCGGTTTTACTTGACTGGAAGACTAAATACTTACAGGCTCTTTGCATCCCTCCTCATGTCATCCCTATTGCTGCCATGTCCACTGTACTGCGTTGCTCTGATGCGACTCGTCATTCTTTTTCATCCGCTTTCGGGTTCGGTCAATCAGAGTCAAGAAAGAAAAAGTAGTGAATAAGCTGCACATGCCCAGTTCGGATCAGCCACCTGCTCCAGATAAACCTTATATAAACATCCTCATCAAGATCAGGGTATCCGCGTAACAAGGTTCTGCTGTGCAAAACCCGATTATTGAAGATAACCGATTGCTGTTGTGCTTTATTTTCCAATGCCAGTTTATTTTGTTCGGCTATGGTTTACAGGTACAGTCCTTCAGGTGTACCCTCGTTCTTCCTGTACAACACCTTCTCCTTTGCCTTCTTAAAGTCATCCGCCTTGACCTTCATACGACGCTCACGCAGTGCCAACAAACCGGCCTCTGTGCACACAGCCTTGATATCAGCTCCAGAAAGTTCGTCCTTTGACATAACAAATTCCTCCAAATCCACATCGTCCGCGAGCTGCATGCGCCCAGTGTGAATGTTAAAGATACGGCGCTTGGTCTTGACATCAGGCATGGGGAACTCGATCTTGCGATCGATTCGTCCTGGACGAATCAGGGCGGGGTCCAAGGACTCAATCTGGTTGGTGGCCATAATGACTTTGACGTCTCCTCGTGAATCGAATCCGTCCAACTGGTTCAGCAGCTCCAACATGGTTCTCTGGATCTCACGCTCTCCTCCAGAATTCGATTCATATCTATTTCGAGCAGCAAAAAGCAGCAGATTAGCTGCCAGCCATCCGCATGTTGCACAGAGAGAAGCATGCGTGGTGCTCTGACGACTTACCTCTTGGTACCAATGGCGTCAATTTCATCAATGAACACAATCGACGGTGCGTTTTCTTCTGCAACTCTAAACAGCTCACGGACCAACTTTGGACCATCTCCAAGGTACTTTTGGATCAGCTCCGATCCAACGACACGCAAGAAGGTCGCAGAGGTCTGGTTGGCGACAGCCTTAGCGAGCAAAGTCTTGCCTGTTCCGGGCACACCATACAAAATGACGCCCTTAGGAGGCTTCACACCCATGTCTTCGTACAACTCGGGGTGGGTTAAGGGCAGCTCGACAGCTTCCTTGATTTCCTGAATCTGTGCCTCTAAACCACCAATGTCTGCATACGATTCCGTAGGAGCCTTTTCCAACTTCATGACGCTGACCATAGGGTCGGCATCGTCCTGAAGAACTCCAATAACGGACATAGTCTAGGGATTACGATGAAATGTCAGTAAGGATTGTCTATGCATGGCCTCATATCACATCGCACCTGTCGCTAAGAGACTACATACCTTGTGGTGAAGCAAAATCGAGCATCCGGGCTCCAGCAAATCTTTGTCCACGAAGGAGAGAATACTGACATAATATTCGGGTCCATTACTTGTCGAGATAATGGCATGGTCGTCGTCAATAATTTCCTCAAGCGTGCCGACGCTCATGGGTGTTCCCCGGAGATCATCGACCTTGGATCGCTCTTCCAATGTCTTTTCCTCCTGAGGCTTCAGTCTCTCCTGGTTCACTACAAACTCTTCTTCCATGAGTAAGTAGTCCTTGATACGCTCCATCTTGAGCATCTTCAGGCGGCAGCGTGTTGTCGGGAACACTATGGTGACAATCGAGAAGGGCACATGTAAGTCTTTACTGAGCACGCAATTCAACTCTGCTGTGGATTAAATGCTGTAAATACAGAGAGCCCCTTGAACACACCTGCAGGGAGCTTTGATGATGCGTCAGGGCCCTTTCTCATCTTCTTCTTTCCGACGCGAGTGGGCAGTGGAGGCTCCCATTTCTTCTTGGGTTCCTTGTCCTAGAATGTCATAAATTCAGCAAGGCGCGGTTAGCCGCCTGGTTGTTACGAGCCTAAGTCTGGAGCAAGCGGCTTTCGAAGACGCATACATCTTTTTTCTGGTTCTTATTGGCGTTTGGTGGCTGTGATTGTTGGTTACCCTATATTAGCCAAAAGCAAAGAGGATTCAAAGGTCAGCACTGTGTGTTCCATAGAATGGTGTGCCTGAGAAGATCTGTCTGCGAACCTCCAACACGCTATTTTTTTACCATAGTGAGTTTCGAGGGCGTGCGGTAGGTACTGTGTATGTGTTATGGGAAGGATATCCAGCAAAGGTCGATGCGAGTGGAATGCACAGTTGAGGAGGACAATGATAAGATGCAAAGCAGACAGACATGCGAACAAAAGCACGAGCAGACGCGGCCCCTCCGCCGAACCAGGTGACGTATGCACATATTATTCCAATTATATAGTTGCCATTTAAGTAGGGTACGATGCTCCCACAGAGTTTATTCAATGTATACCATGTGCATGTGTATCCGGTATCTTGGACCTCTACTCGTCATCGCTCGGAACACCGTCCGATTCATCATCGTCGTCGTCTCCAACAATATCTCTCGCATCCTAATGATGAACTTCAATGGGTTAATGTTGCTTTGAGGGAGCCATTTCTATCATCGCAAGCTCCATGGCCACTTACATATTGTGCTCCCAGAGCAGCGCGCTGCAAAAAATCCTTCACTTCTCCATGAGTATCGCTAGGCGCTTTGTCCACGGGCTTTTGCTTGAGTTTATTCGAAGCTATTTAAGAAATGGTAGTGTACTTTTTGTCAATATCTCGCCAAGTTAATCGCATCCTGTGTGCTGCCGCAATGAACCACTCCAAATACCGTTGAGCGAAGCGCCGTGGTTGACAAGGACTTGAACCATCTCCAGAGCAACATCGGGGTCCTGGTATGCTGCAGCCTTGTGCAAAGGCGTATCTCCTTCAATGCGATTCGCAATATTGACATTGATCCCGTCAAAGTACAGCAGGACCTCTAAGCACTCTGTCGAGGCGTTTCGCGCCCTATTAATGTTCCAATGTGTCGAATAGAGGATCAGTAATCGAGAACTTTCGCAGAACTGAGACTCGTTCCTTGGCTCAAAAAGTGCCTACAGTCGACTCGAGACACATACGCATAATGAAGAGCAGAATTGCCGAGTCCATCAGTATAGTTCACGTTGAAAGTGGTAGGGTCAGACGAGAGGACCTGGTCAAGTAAGTCGAGATTGTCGTCTCTGCATGCGGCCATCAGGAGTTCATCTACAGGACAAACGACACTAGGTTACATTCATTGCACAGGAAGAGTTCTACTTGTAAAATAAAGCATGTGAACGTACTGTTGCTTGCGCCATCCTCGTTAGACATGTTGTATAAAGTCGTCAGAAGTTGAGGTAGGTGATTTTGAGAAGTTTGCAGAGAAGACTTGTGGTCAGAGCTTAGACGTCATTTCTTGAGACTTGAATTTTATTACTATCTATAAGGTATCCATGGTCCGGACACGTCGTACACGATTCATCTTCCAATCCAGGTACGCCCAGATTGTGATACACAGCGCGCCTAGGGTCATGGTGGCACCTGCTGTTAGGGTAACAGGTAGGTAGGAGATATTTGGCCGAGTAACATCCAGAAGAAATCCTGCCAACGGTGCTCCTCCCAGCATGCCTATACCACCTGCCGCGTACATCAATCCGATGGTGGATGCGATCTGCTTCGTGCCAAAGGACTGTGCCACTGCAACTGGAACGAGAGAAATATAACCACCTGCAAAGAAACCGAAGACCAAGCCCATCAGCAACAGAGTACCAAAGGACTTCGAAAGAGTCCAGAGAACCATGACCGCGAAGGCTGTGCACCAGGAGCAAATGAACAAGACTTTAACATTCGAAAAATAGTCCGAGATTAGGCCAAGTAGAATTCTGCCTGCAAAGGATGCTCCATTGGAAAGGCCGAGAATCAGGGCGCCTTTTTCGACGGGCACACCCACAAACACAGCATATGCTAGAGTAGAAAGTCGTGATCCAGTATTAGTTCTTAACGTTCCCTTTTGCCATTGTTTTTTGTTTTTATTTTTATCTGTGAAACGGGGTTCTGAAGCAGTATAGCTTCGACTTACTTTGCATGTAGTACAGCGGAATAAGGAAACCGACTGATGCAGCCAATTCTGCCAGGGATAAGGAGAGGAACCGTGGGTCCTTGAACACCTTCAACGCCGCAAAGAAGGATGGTTTCTCCTTAGATGTCTCTTTTACTACGCCCTTTTCAGCACTCGAGTCCGCTTCAGTCACCGAGCGGCAAACTTCAACATGTACCTTACTCTCCGCAATGAGCATGCTCGCGCCGCCACTACGTTTAAGAAGAGCGGAAATGAATCAATATTCGGAAGCATATACAAGATGGATCAGTATTCATCTTGGCCCATCTGATGCACAAAGACTCTTTAATCTTGCAGCATACCAAACAACGAGGCATAATAACGCAAGGATGCGTAGAGTCCAGTAGATGTCAGTTTTCTCGATCAGCGACTGGGTCAAGGGAGCAAGGATCAAGCCTCCTGCACCAACTCCAGAGACCGCCAGACCAGTAGCGAGCCCGCGTTTTTTGGTAAAATAGTGCGATGGCACCGCAATGGCAGGATAATATGCAAGGGATGCGCCGATTCCGAAAAGGACACCCTGAGTGAGGTACAGTTGCCAGAGCTGGCGGTGGAGGTATCCGAGCATGAAATGACTGTGTTAGGACAATGTTACATTAATAAAAGATGTAGGTATTTTCTAGAACTCGGTCATCGCCAGCGTACCTGCTTTGCAAAAGACGCGAGGACGAGGGACAGGGTCATCAGCAGAGTGCCTGTAATAGCTGTCAGTCTGAATCCGAAGCGATCGGCAACAATACCAGCCAAGAATCCAGCAAGGTAGGTGACAGCAGATCCTGCAGTACCCACAAAAGCAATTGAAGATGCATTGGAGCTTGGGTACACTTCTTGGTAATGGTGCTCGAAGATTCCAAAGATATACTCAGTAGGCGCAAAGGCGAAGGAGTGAATTAAGAACGATCCTGCGACCACAAGCCATGCTTGTGGGCCGCCATCTCGAGACGGAGCAATTGTTCCTTCTTGTTCGGAAGATGAAGGTGTCTCATGAGTGAGAGTCTCGGGTGGAGTCAAGGGGATGGTTCCTGGTGCTGTGGATGTAACGGTTGGTTGCGGCGGATCGACAGCTGTGATTGTGGAGCCAGCACGCGCCGGTGCAGGCTTCTCGAGAGTCGCGTTCATGTGTACAAAATAGAAAGGACAGATATGAAGGAAAAGCGGGAGGACGGCAAGATGTTCTGCCTAGATGATAAAAACAAAAAATACTAATAGTGTTTTAGAAGTAAAGAAAGATGGTACAGGAAGTAGCAGGGAGCCAAGATGGTGCACCAAAGGATGGCTAGTGAAAAGCGAGAGCTGGATCTCTTTATTGAACCATGCAAAATAATAAAGTTAGGAGGATAGGGAGAAGAAAGAAGAGGGAATGAGGGGAGCAACCGCACCCTTTATAAGTGTGGAAAAAAAAAGAGAATTGCCATTTTCAGCAGCAGTTCTTGTTCCTTAGCATCCTTTGTGTTACTATCACCTTGCCCCCACGATCCATAATCCACGGTCCGTGATGTAGTATAGATAGAGATTAACAGTAGAGATTTTAAGCTATCGCATGCCAATCTGGTCTACATGTGCTGATCGATAGGAACGAAGGAGGTTCCCGAAAGGGTACTGTTGTGCAACAGCTCCGGAAAGAGTGCTGCTGCAGTGGCAATTCGGCTTTTTCTTGGATTTCTTCTTTCCAACAAGGTTGGTTTATGACTCTGAATGATAAAAACAGGGTGCAGAACTTCAGGCACTCGACGCCAACGGGTTAGGTATCGGATGGTTTTCCTCTAGGCCAGAACAAGGTTAACTCCCACACCACACACACATCGACAAAAACGAGCAAATTATTAATGGCGGATGCAACGTTATATTCCGCTTTCGATCTTACAGTGCAGTGCTCTCTGCTGGCATGTAGAAGAGTACTTCCAAGGTCCTGGCAGTAACTCCTCTTCGTTCTTGTTTCAAGGATGGTAATGCCGCCAGTTGTAGTCGATCATAGCAGATGGGCAGCTTGTCAATTACATTTCTGCACTTAGGGCTCCCCGGTTCAGACAAAGGCCGCCTTCGAAGACAGGGATCGTTTCCGTTAATGGCAAACAAACAACGCATCGCGACTTCTCGTCCAATGACGAAAACAAAGTTCTCGCTCCCACGCGATGTATCGTTTATTTACAGCGAATAGGGGACTTTTCCTCACCATCTACCTCCTCGGTATATTAGAAGTCTTAGAGATGGAACTGCAGCGCACGTCGTTGCTTTACCCAAAGCACTTATACCAAAATTAGGTTCAATATTCACTGTCAGTATTAACAGACACTTTACGTACTTTCTTGATAAATATCTAGCCTTCTCCTTATGGGCGGGTGATAACTCTGCTAAACAAGCGTCCTGACGGCATACTGGTAATCTAGGTACTCTGGATTTCAAGGCTGTAATACCAAGCACAAAAGAAATCATTTCTGTTCCGGCATGGTATACGGGACGAGGATCGGTAAATAAGTCTGGTACTGTATTCAGGTCCATCCCGCTGCTCAGCCTTCATGACCATTAAGTATCGCGCCCACTGACTGGAGAACGAGCATGCATAGCACTTTTGCAAGTAGTAAACTTTCTATGTAAGTCTGCACTGGTGACTTCTTCAGAAAAGGAAACTAGGTGCCTCCAAAATTTAAATGCTTTTAGGACCAGGATCCAAGAACTGCACGCTTCTTTCATGACCACCCAGGATGCGCAATGAATGTCGCATATGTTGTACCGCGCGTCGTGGAAGTATCTCCCAGAGTATCAGTTGTACTCGTGTGTTTATACGAACATGCACGCCATCTTAGCTCGCGATACCCAACAAATCGCGCCCATGCTAGCTGTATCCACGAACCGTAGCTCAAAAGTACAAGTCGCTGAACCCCCGGTTCCAGAAGCAATACTATTTCTCGGTTCCAATGACTCACTTTGTGCTAAACGACGACATCATCAGTACTTTAATGAATAGGAACGCTGGTATTGAGTCAGCTGTGAAGGGATCACTGGAAATAATCCGTAGGTCCTGGACAGTAGATCTTAAGGTCGCTTGGCTTCATTGGTCTGTCCTTGTCCTCGCGACTCGAAAACATGTTCTACAGATATGAAAATGGCACACGTCAGTCAAGTACAGCAACGCGATATTGCTATTAGAACAGGCGTGACGTATTGGGCTTACATTCCATAACGCAATCGCCATAACTTGGTTGGCGCACTTGTTCGGGTGGAAGCTATAGTATTGCGATTAGAAAAAAAAAAAAAAAAAAAAAAAAAAAAAGTATCAGTTAATAGCTGCGGCGACCTCAGTACATGTCAAGCGAGTATCCGCCTAGCGGTCACATACCAGTCCAGACCACTCATGTATCCTTGCCCATAAGCGGATGAGCTATCCTTGAACTCCGTAAGTCCAGGCTGGAACGCGACGCCAAACGTTCCCTCGTCCTTGCTCTCTTCATTGATTTCCTGGGCGATCCTCTCCATGACCTCATTGTACTTTTTGGAGAGATCTCCAGCCTCTAATATGTATTTGCGTTTTTTCAGTGTTCACGCTACGGTACTTGCAAAACCCTGCTCAAACAATTAGCAATTGCTTGTGGTACTTACTTTGCCGATCCGCTTCATCACCTGTAGCGCATCCACAGATAGGAAAAGGCAGCTTGTCAAAGAGTAGCTCGCAGTAGGAATACCCACGCGAGAGTTCATAGACCAAGGTCACATCGAAGATGCCAACCAAGTTCACGAATGTCGGCCCAATGGATTCCCTCAGCTGCTGCAACGCTAGTTTGAGAGCCGCACCGTATTCTTCTGGATCAGCGATCTCGGACAACGCCTCATCATCCCCACATGCAGCACAGAGATTGTTGGCGCCAATAAAGACAGTGGCTAGTTTCCACTCGTCTTTGTATTTGTGATAAAGTCCGCCGAGCCCGAATAAAAGCCTTAATCGTTCGATCTGTGACGGAAGCGTTTGGGCAATAGCTCCACTTACCTATGTGAGTTCCAGTATCGGATCGTTAGTGGTAAGGATGAGTAATAAAACAAAGTTATTGGGTATCACGCGCACTTCTTGGCAAGGAGGTGGCACTTGATTGATATTCGATGCAAAGAATCATGCATCAAGGGATTGAAAGGGATACACATTTTGAACTCGTACTTACAGCTGCGTTGAGGCCTTTGCCACCAGCTAATATGGGCACGCGGGCGAGGAGGACATCGTCAGGACCGCCATCCAAATTTAACAACTTTTCACATGGACAGCTGCAGTGAGCAAATGTGCTTACAAAGAGGGAGTGTGAATCCAGACGCGCTTCCCTTGACGTGCTTCGTGTATGTCTTCAAAAAGTTTGTGAGAGTGTGCTCGTCGCTGTCGCCTCCGCCTGAGAAGACCTTGCCTCGGAATTCCAAAACTGTTGCGAAGGGAGGTCGACCTATGTTGTAATTTAGGTTGTTGAAGGTTTAAAATCGTGCGACACCTGCATGGTAGCACCAGTTGGTCGACATCTCACGTACCAGATACCATGGCGAAGCCTGCTGTGATACTGTCCCCGATAGAGACCACGGCTTTGATGTCCTATATATATTACATTGACATAATGCAGGGTAGTATGGACTCAAGCAGACAATTGTTTCTTATCATAATTAACGGTCGTGGATTCGCCTTACATGTGGGCGAAGACGCCAGACATTTGTCGGTCTGACCATGTCCTTTTCAGTAAGCTTATACGGTTGGCAGGACCATTCCTGGATCGACGTCGGACATAAAGATTCGTTCCTGGCCTCTCCAAACGTATTATATATGGCCTGTAGTTCGTTAACCCATGGCGTCGTATAGGGTGTCAAAGTCTCGGTATTGGGATGCGACGAAGAGTCAGCTTGGCTGTGTTTGAATATTCTTTGAAAGGGCAGTTGCAAAGGGAATGCGGGACAAGGAGCAAGACACAGGAAAAGTATGCTTTTCAGGGCCAAAGTAGGGGCCTTCATGATAGAGGTGGTGGAAACGGTGGAGACGGTGCTGATGGTTGGGGGTAGAAAGTGAATGAAGAGCGAGGACACGCCTTACCAGGCTTCTTTTCCTGGCAGCTGGCTCCACAGGGGCCACGTGGTTTAAGGCAGTCACCCAGGGCACTGTAAACAGACTTTGCCCATCGATCTTTGAAACGACGAAGATCGTCTCCGACTGCTCAAGCATCACAACCCCTACTTGTATAATGTCATTCCGTGTTCGAGCTGTTGCATTCAGGGCGCCTGATCTCGGGCTTTTACCAAAGTCATCACCAATCTACCAAGCGATCCCGGCTCTCCAGGTTCGCGCGAAATCAACCGCCAGCATTCTTCGCAGCAGCGACCTCAACAAAAAGAGTACTGGCAATAATATCGACGACTATGATACCTCAAAGAACAAGGTCCTCTCTCAGGTACCTATATATACCACTGGCCTCAGTCGACTCAGGGAACACTTCACAACATCCATACAGGAGGACATCATGATCACATCGTATCGACACCATCATAAGAAAAAGAAGCAGATCCCTGAAGGCGTCAAAATTGAATTGAAGGGTAAAAGACATCTCAGGCCAGCACCTCGGCCGTCGTCACCAACCGAAATTCCTGAACTCGTCAAGATCGACATCCATTGTATGATGAAGGAAGCGATTACCAGCAAATACAACCTTTTGAGCGGCATCATGGCTATCCAATCTATTACAGGAGAGACACCAGAGATCATTTACGCGAAAAAGGGTGTTCACAACTGGAAGTTGCGGAAAGGTAACAGGCATAGTCCTTTATATCCGGGAGGAGGAGGGGGGAGGGGGTTAAACATTAGGTCTTTACCGAGTAACTAACTAACGCAGTGCTATGGTTTCTTTTATTCAATAGGAATGCCCATTGGTTGCCGGGTAACATTGAAGGGAGACAAGATGTATCAGTTCTTGGACAAGCTGGTGGAGGTGGTCTTGCCAAAGATGAAGGAATGGCCCGGTCTTCCAGAAGGATCAGGGGATGGCACAGGAAACATTGGCATGGGGTTCCAGCCCTCGGCACTTTCATTGTTCCCTGAGATCGAGAGCAACTTTGACATGTATCCACGGATGACAGGATTTGACATCACGTTCAATACGACGGCATACACGAACTTAGATGCGAGGCTTTTAATGAGCGGTTTCAACATGCCATTCCAAAAATCGAGTACCGCCGCAAGGAAGGAAATCGCTGGATCTACAAAGAAGCTCGATGTAGCTGAGAGCTTAGAAGATCGGAGAACTCATAATGCATGAATTACATATCATACTACCCATCATATACGCACAGCCAACCCACGATTCTTTGAAATAAAACATTCGTGTCACTTTCAAGCTCCTTCAGCCGATCTGATTTCAATGGTTCCGTTTTTCTTTTTGCAGGTCAGGCACTCAATCCAATTTGGTGCAATTACCGCAAGCCACCAAGAGCAGTCCTTTTGAGCGTGGCCGCCAACTTGTTCGCCTTTTGCTTTTCTCTCACCCAAAACGCTTCCCTTTCCCCCCACCTCTTCCTTCAATTCTCCCGCTTAATCACTAATCCCATCTGTCAGCTTGATTGAGTGCATCTGCTCCCCGCCCTTTCTCTATCATTTGCCATCGCCTTCTGTCTTAACGTAACTGTCTGCTTACTGTTCCCGACTGAAAAAAAACGCGGCCTGTCTTCGCGCGCTCGATTCCACCTTCCCTTCTGGTTACTTCACGAAAGGGAGCTATAGTCTGTTCTCCTCAGTCATCCTCAGTAATCGTCTTCCGACTGCGAACATCTAGATGCCTGCCCCACCTCCACCTCCTGAGGAAAAGTCCCAGTGGGTTCGGGGCTCTGTTCCTCAGCAGGGGTACTCGTAAGTTCTCCTTACACACCTACTCTCTTTCTCGACCATGGTTTACTTCCATCCGTTAATTACAATGATTACAATACGTAGCACCATTTGGATCGTATGTTGACACCAGTATCCTTCTCCCATACTATTTAGGTCGCCTTCGGGGTCTATGCCGCCTCATCCCTCGTCTCCATACGCGCATCATCTTCCTCCGGTTGTAGGGGGTTCACAAGGACCTGACCAACACGCACCAAACCAAGGAGGGCCAGTTCTACCGCCGCCTCCACCCATGTCTATCATCGGTGGACCACCTCCAAGATCAGGCCCATCTATGCCGTCGTCGCGTCCCCCATCCAGCCCGTCGCTCAGCAGTGTCCACGGCAGCAATGCACATCCTTCGGCCATCATGCCGCCTTCGTCTCATGGCCCTCCACCGAGCCACAAGGCATCCGATGCCCACCTTCACCATTTAGCATCGTCTCCTCAACCAAACCACATGGTCCCATCGCCACACCCAGTGCAGTCTCCACACGGTCCTCACCCAGGCTCGCACATCAATCCACCGCCGCCCGCTATTACACCTGGGCCTGGACCAGGACCGGGGCCTAACCCAGGTTCAGCTCCTCCGCCCCCTCAGCAGGCTCTCCCAGCCCCAAGCGGTGGACCAGCTTCTGCATCTTCTGCAGCGAGCAGCTATCGACCCTTGAACGTCAGAGATGCGCTGTCATATCTCGATCAGGTCAAGGTGCAGTTCCAAGATCAGCCAGACGTTTATAACCGCTTCCTAGATATCATGAAGGACTTCAAGAGTCAAAAGTAAGTGTGGTGAGCAACGCTATCGATCACGGTAGGCTCCGTGTGTACAAGATCGAATGGGATCCCCTGAACTGCCCTGGGAGAGTTTTGTACATTGAACATCTTATTTTTGTGGCTGGGGCGGACGCGACATTCGTCCTTGAGAAACGAGGGGGACAAGACAGCGAAATGTGAAAGTCACTAACATAATGATCGCTGCCCCGGTATGATAGCATCGATACACCAGGAGTGATTGAGCGCGTTTCGACACTGTTCAAGGGACACCCAACTCTTATTTCCGGATTTAACACGTTCTTGCCTCCAGGATACCGCATCGAGTGCCTCAGTAGTGCCAACGAAGCCAACATGATCAGGGTGACGACCCCTTCCGGACACACGACAACGCAAATGGGTGGACCAATTGTCATCCCGGAAAGACTACCGCCGCCTGCGCCTTCGCACTACAACCAGTCTTCATACCATATGCAGCAGGGAAGCGGCTACCAGCCCTCGATTCCATCCATCTCTCAGATCCAACTGCCTCCTGTCAATTCGTCTGGATACATGTCGCAGCAATCTTCCCAGGCTTTGGGGCTATCTGGATCGCAGAATGGTGCTAGCAGCAAGAAGACCCCTGTCGAATTCAATCATGCTATCAACTATGTGCACAAGATCAAGGTATGATTTGAAGACACACAAGGAATGGATGCAAAGTTCTGAACGATTGATGTCGAACTTGCCAAGTATTCATCGGCTCTGATGCGCCACTTCTAGAATCGATTCGCGAATGACCCCGAAACATACAAGCAGTTTTTGGAGCTGCTGCAGGCGTACCAAAAGGAGATGAAGCCCATAACCGATGTATGTCCTCAGCGTGTGCAGATAAAAGGCTTTTGGCATCCATACAAAAGTCAACCAGGCTTACTAACACCTTTTCTGTTCACTCTTCAATCAGGTCTATTCCCACGTCACTCTGCTATTCAAGAACGCACCCGATCTTTTGGACGAGTTCAAGCAGTTCTTGCCTGAGAACGGCAATCCCCCCAATCCTGATTTATTTGACGAGATGATGCCCCAGCCTTCGACACTGGCACCCCCTCCACGATCTATGCCAGTTCTGAGTACTCTCAGCAACGGTATGGCTGGTAAGTACAAATTCAAACTCTATATGGTGATATCTATCTGTATCCGCATATCCTCAATTACTAAGAATCCTTAATCCTATTTCTAGTCGGCGACTTCCCCAGCCCATCTTCCAGCGACATGTATGCAAAGAAAGGGACTCAAGTGCCTCCTACTACAGTCATGCAGGGATCTAGCAAGAAGAAGAGGCCTCCCACCGCCACAAATGACCGACCGATGCCAGAAGGCACACCCGGATCGAACAAGAAGCGGTTGAAGCAGAGCAATGCCACTGAGGGCGGCATTTCTCCCCCTATTTCTGCTATACAGCCCACCGTGGTAACCAAGAACCCGGCCAGTGCAGAGGAACTCGCATTTTTTGACCGCGTCAAAAGATTCTTAGGCAACAAGCAGACGTACAACGAATTCTTGAAGCTGCTTAACCTGTTCAGTCAAGATATTTTGGACCGCAAACTTCTAGTGGAGAAGGTGGAGACGTTCCTCGCCCCTAACAAGGAGCTGATAGAGTGGTTTAAAGCATTCGTAGGCTGGGATGGCAAGGACGAGGTTATTGAAAACGTTGCTGCTTACCGAGACAAGATCGACCTGGGTAGCTGCCGAAGATACGGAGAGAGCTACCGTCTGCTTCCCAAAAGCGTAAGTCGTGTTTTCGTTTACAATGTTATTCTTAGACAGTTGGTGTCCTTGGCCATTCGTTCTTCTAACACTGCAGATATTTTATACCTTGTAGGAGACGATGCTGCCTTGCACAGGTCGTGATGAGATGTGCTGGGAGGTCTTAAACGATGTGTGGGCTTCGCATCCAAACTGGTCTGTGGAGGGCGAGGGATTCATGCCGCACAAGAAGAACCAGTTCGAGGAGGTTCTCCACAGGTGCGAGGAGGATCGTTATGAGTTTGACATGAATATTGAGGCCAATCTCCATACGATTGCTCTTTTGGAGCCCATTGCCAAACAGATCCAGAACATGTCGTTGGACGAGCGTGCGCGCTTTAAACTTCCGGAGGGCCTCGGAGGTTCATCCAAGACCATCTACAAGCGCATCATCAGGAAGATCTACGACAATGAGCGCGGTGCTGATGTCATTGATGCCTTGCACAATAATCCAGCCATCGCTGTGCCCGTCGTTCTCAAGCGATTGAAGCTGAAGGATGAGGAATGGAAGAAGTCTCAGGTATGTTCCAGTCTAATACTTTTTAACATTTCCTACTCCTCATGGGCGTGAGATGGCTTACGCGTTCTACGCCTGTTTCTGTAATGTAGCGTGAATGGAACAAGGTGTGGCGGGAGATCGATACCAAGAACTTTTACAAGGCATTGGATCATCAAGGCTTTACGTTCAAGACAGCTGACAAAAAGTTCATCACAACAAAAGCCCTTACCGGCGAGATTGAAGCTCTTCGCCGTGAACAGATTGACAGACGTCTTGTGCCATCTGTTCGCCCTCGCTATCAACTCCAGTTCCTTTTTAAGGACTCCAGCATCTTCCGAGACACCAACAACCTCATCATGTCCTATCTTGACAAGCAAAACTCGTTCGTCAACAGCGATCGGGAAAAGATGGAAAGCTTTATCAAGGAGTTCGTGCCTCAGTTCTTCTGCTTGGACAGCCAGTTCATGAATGATGACGACGTTGTGATGGGTGGCGACGATGATCCAGACACCGGAAGTACTAGCAAGACAGGAGATGCTCAGGTTAAGATGGAGCCCAAGGACGATGCTATTCCTGTCACTGGTCCGAGAGTGCCTGTAGCGGCTGATAAGGACCAGCAACGGGCTACATCCCCCAGCAATACATGGATCCAGGTCGGCAACTACGATGTGAAGCCCACAAGTCTTGGTGCGGCTCCAGCCTCGAACGAAATCAAGCGCACAGCGCTCAACTTTTTCGGAAACCAGACCTACTACTGCTTCTTCCGCTTGTATCAGGTAAGTTGAGAAGTTGTCAAGATGGCACACGTGATTAAAAGACCTTGGAGATCTTTTCTAAACACTTTATTTCTTATCTTTTTGCCCTCATTTCTGCAGCTTGTTTACAGCCGCCTGGAGACGATCAAGGTGGCAGCATCTGAGATGGGCAAGAACGTGTCAGAACGCAGGATGGTCAACCCTGCTGCCATTGACCTCGGCTTTCAGGACCCTGATGGTAAAGCACATTTTCCTAGTGTGCTTTTTTTACAGTTACTACCATGTAATTTGTAATCCTACTCTGACTCACGAACTTTTATACGACAATAGCAACGGTTGAACCGGAGCAAAGCAATGACAATAGCGACAACTATGCGAAGTTGCTTGCATTCATTCACAAGGTCTTTGATGGCGAGCTGGAGCAGACAGCTTTCGAAGAGCAGGCACGCCACCTCTTCGCCACTAAGGCATACATCATCTTCACACTGGATAAGGTCATCGGAGCGCTCCTAAAGCATGTAAGTCATCGAACAGGAATACCTCTTTATTTGGGCCTGACAGGACAACGCGTCCGAACCAGTTTTGATATTAATCAGTATTACAATTTGAATGCGATACTTTTAGGTGCATACAATTGTTGTCGACCAACGATGCAACGAACTCATTGCCATGTTTGTCAAGGATCGTCAGCATGAGAAGAACAGCAGGCGGCAACAGATAATCTACCGTATGCAGGCTGATGCCGTTGTTGGAGACGAGAACCTATACAAGATCGAATATGTATGTACTTTGCTGGAGAAGCATTTTCATCTTAAGCTAGAAACTTGTGTTATTGTAATTGCTAACGCTCGTTTTATCTTTGTTAATTATAATTATAATTATAGGCCAAAGATGAGGTAGCGATGAGCATCCAGCTACTGAGCAAGAACGACTATACATTGGACACAGCTATCTCATCGGAAGAAAAATGGGGATACTACATCGATAGCTATGTGCTCTTGACGCCTACGGAGGGAGTGCTTCCATCAAACTTCCCCACATTCTTGAAGAGGAACCTGCCAGCTCATATTCCGGAAGAGCCCCCACAGGATATCATCACACACAGTGGACTGGAGGTCAAGATTTGCATCAACACGTACAAGATCTTCTTTGTGAACTCGACCGAGGATTTCTTCAAGCGCAAGGGATCGAGTGTATCGAGGGAGAGACTAAATGAAGGGCGCGCGAAGCGCTCAGAGAAGATGCAGGCATGGCTGAAGGCGACGCTGGAGGAACAAGAGTTAAACCAGGAGGAGCTGGATACGTCGTTCCAGAAGTGGCTTCTGGAGGGACCTGAGGATGCCAAAGAGGGTCTGGTCACGGCCGTGAAAACGATACCGGCGACGGCAGACAGTACTGAGAAGAAGATCTATAGCACCACCGCAACGGCCGACAAGGATGTGACGATGACAAGTGCGGACGATGCATAACCGCGCACGATGGATCCGACCACCTGTGCCTCTGACGGAGGATTGTAACGACTTCTCTCTTGGTGCGCCGGAAACCATCACCATTGACTTCGAGTGAGGTCCAGCTGAACGATAATTTTTCATTTTTTTCGTAATACATTTTGTCAATTGAAACCCAAGCGGGCAAGAGTGACGTGATATGCGTATGAATACATAAGAGAAAAGGTGACAAGAGACGAACACATACCCCCACTCCATGCATCGCTTTCTTCGACCAACACTCATCGGATTCATTCGTACCCATCCTATACACAATATAGACTTTGTCCATTCTAGCGCTGCTGTATCCCCACTTCATACCACTTTCACACGCTCACTGAACAACCCAAGCATTTTGTGCCAGTCCTTGAGAACTATGACTTCACTCAGCGAAGAACAGCAGCGTGCTGTAGGCACCCCTACCTATAAACAGTACCGCAGTCTGATACCCCCGCTCGCGGCCAGTCTCCACAAGGGTCAAGGAGGTAAACGGTGTTGAAAAAGTCGCGTTCCTTGTTTGCACCATTGATATAGCACTATGCCATATGTAACCATGGTCTTTTCAACGCATCTTAGGACGCATAGCGATCATCGGAGGCTCCAGCGAGTAAGTGCAAAAGAAGTAGGAATATCGCAAAAGTCAATCGACAGGAAGCATGGCTGATATGTGCGTATCGTCGTTCTATTAGCTATACTGGCGCGCCGTACTTTAGCGGGATGTCAGCGTTGAGACTCGTAAGTCGACAAGAAAAGAAGCCGTTAGGTAGTACGTTATACTGCTGAATATCTTAACTAATATTTCTTCGACCGCTCACCTCGCTCAGGGTGCGGATCTATGCCACATTATGTGCGACGAAGACGCAGCGACGGCCATCAAATCGTATTCTCCTGATCTCATTGTTCACCCTTACATCAAGATTCGCGCCACAACCAGTGAGGACAACAAGAAAAAATCCGACCAGATCTGGGCGCAGACGTTTGATGATATCGGTACATTGTTGAAACGCGTTCATGTGCTCGTGGTCGGTCCTGGATTGTCCCGTGACGAAGGAATGCTTAATAGCGCAAAGCGTGCCATTGAGAAGGCGAAGGAGCTTGAGATGCCCATTGTCATTGATGCTGTAGGTTGCAGGGCGATTTTTTCTTTTGTTGAGCTGTCTATTTGTTGGCTGCAAATTTAATTTTATGCTGTGTTGTGTAGGATGGACTATTTCTTGTCCAGAACAATCCCGAGTTGGTGCAGGGATATAAAAACGCAGTGCTGACGCCTAACTTGGTCGAGTTTGAACGACTCTGCAAGTCCAAGGTAGGCGACAATGCTTCATTGCTGGACAATGCCGGTCTCAAAAGACTCCGCCTAATTCTCATTTCATCATTTTTCTTGGGACAGGATATTGATGCGAACAATAAGGAATCAAAGGAACCAGTAGTTCAACAGTTGTCCAAGGCGCTCGGAGGCGTTGTTATCATCCAGAAAGGTTCTGCAGACGCTATTTCCAACGGAAAGATCGGTAGGCCTTTTGTTTTGTCTGGGGTCATAGTTATTTCTACATTTTTTTTATGGGCTAGTTTCATTAACATTGAAATTTGCTTTGCGGGCACGATTCAACCAGTGTACGCTGTGACAAACGAAGGTGGACTCAAGCGATCGGGAGGCCAGGGCGATATCTTGACGGGATTTCTTGCCGCATCAATGGCGTGGGGTGTTGCATATGAGAAAGACGTATGGGAACATTCGCACCCGGTTCCCAAGGAGGAGGTAGCTTTGGTCGCGTGCTTTGGTGCCTGTGTGATCAATCGCGAGTGTTCCCGTCTTGCGTACGAGAAACATAAGCGCGCTATGCAGGCGTCTGATGTTCTCGCACAGGTCGGGCCATTCTTTGAAGACTTTTACGACAAGACTGACCCAGCAGCCAGCTGGGCCGATGCCATCCACGGTTGAGCGGGCGTCCGCTGTTAAAATGCTGTTGAAATAAAAAAAAAACCATTCAGTCAAAGCCACGACATAATTGCCCAATTGGGTTCCGGTGGAGGGAACGATCTACACATTCACACACACACCCCTCTCATTCTTTCCTCGGCGCGACTCGATTAACTCGTATAATCATGATGCTGCGGTGCGCAAGGACAAAGACTGCGACGGCAGTGGCGACCTCCAGCCTCATGACTAGGGCCTTTCTCCCGGCGATGGCATCCACTTCTAGGGCACAAATCCATTCTGTATATGCAAAACGTACCAGCAGCAACACGGCGACCGCTAACGACTATATACCAGAGAATATTGACGCTCCATTACCCAGGAGCATCCACAGTAGTCTGGACAACGGCACCTTCGAGCTGCAGAAGAGCAGACTCTTGACGTCAATGGATATGCTATATCAGATTCAGGACGCGCCCACGGAAAAGTTGGATATCACGCCGCTGGATGATCAGGAGGCACAGTACTGGGCACGGCGTATGAATACAGCTATGACGGACCTTGAACAGGAGAAGACGCGTCTCCGTGTTGTGGGTAGGATAGGGAAACTGATCGACTTGGATTGCGGTGTCGCCTTTGGGACTGTTGCAGGTACTGACGCACTCAATACATTCTGCATTGCGACCTGGGCTGGATTTATGAAATAGTGGTCGGAGAGTCAAGTGGACAAGAGTCGATCATGGACCTGTTATTGCCTAGTGAGCAGAACATCAGACGATCTGCCAAGGATACAGGAAAGGTCCATCGTGTTCGTTATGGCTCCACGTATACGCTCTTGGAGGACGGATTAGAGAACATTGAAAAGGCGCCGATCAGCTGGCTGCAAGGTCTGACGGACGAGGATGGAGGCGAGATTGTTGAGATCCCAGGTAAGCCCTGTTGAATCCGCACAAGTCCTCTTTTTTCTTTTTTTTGTTTTCTATAAAAAAAAATGCTTGCAGGATCTAACTCACTCGGTCTATTATTTGATATCATTGTCGACGTCTTTTACTACATACAGGTCTGGATCTGGATGACTTGGCGATGGACGACATTGTGTACAGCAGCGACCTGATCCTCTTCCGAACGGACGCACAACGTCAACTTTCACTGGAACGTGAACAACATTTCCTGAACCGATATCGCCATAAATCCCAGATCCTCATCGTGGCCGACATGAGCAGCGCGGATAGCTCCACTGAAAGCCTGACGCTCTCGAATTTGAAGGCCAATATGGTCCATGCAGTCAAATCGACCGTAGGCGGGTACAGCAACATCCCCCACGGAAATTCAGCGGTCGCCAAGGTGCTTCGCATCTCTAATCCAGAACCCATCCCCCCGGTGGTGGGACTCGTCCCGCGCGCTCAGTCTGAGGATCGTTATTTGGAGGCAGTCGGTGCGTTGCAAAAGCTGGTTGCGGGGACACTGCTGCTTGAGGGTGCACAGGATCAACATCGACGTACGGCTTTGTTGACAAGGTGCCGTGACCTAATGGTCTCGGGTATTGAAAGCATGGAGACTCGACTTCAGGGACGGTTAGATACGTTTGCACAGGTTGATAAGCTGTCAGAGTTCGCGACACGGGAGATCAAGAGGATTGAGGCATTGGAGCAGGAGAGGATGGTGGCACAGGTGACAGACGGGGATGTAGATAAGGATGTGAAGCAGATGAGAAGAGTCCTGGACCATTTTTTCAAGTCGGAGGTGCCCTTCTGGATGCTGTTTGCTCGAAGCGGCGAAATTGCGGAGAGGATGCATGAGCAGTGGACGGTCGGGGCCTTTGCAGAGACGGAACATCGCGTAAGTTCTACGGCATCTATGGGTGAATGATTGAGTGCTTTTTCTTTTTTATATTTTATATTGTGTTTTCTGACAGAACGCATTGAAATTTTTAGATGGCATATGCATTGGGACGTTTACATCAAAGCTCACAGGAGACATTCAGGACTACTCTCAAGGCCATTGACGCGCTCAGCGCCAAGCTCGAGCAGACCAAGCCTATCGGCAGCACCGCTGTTCTCCAGGATCTCGCCAGCGCGCGTCAGCTGTTGAGTCATGTACAGGACGATACTCAGCAGGAGATCAAGGACAAGGACGCGTTTGTGGTCAGCAATGTTATTTGGAAACACCGCAACGCCTATGGCGCCGTGGAGCGATCTCTAGAAGCCGGGCGGCCGGGCGCATTGGAGCGACTTCAGAGGCGAGGGCAGGTCACATTGGCACAGGGTCTAGGATTGCAGGGAACGGCATTGTTTGCAGGACTAGGATTGGCACAACAGTACCCACCAGAGATCTATCTGACGAGCGGAACGCTGTTAGCGGCCCTTGGATTAGGGTATATGCAGATCCGATGGAAGGCAGCGGAGAATGAGTTCAAGGCGGAGGCGGATGCACTTGCAGAGCAGCTGAAGCAGGACATTGTCGTAAGTTATGCGTTTTTTATTGTTTATTTTAAAGAACTTGATCTAGTTGCCGACTTAATATTGACTATATCTTTTTTTTCTCCTCCCATGTAGAATACGTACCAAGAACAGGTTGACAAGACGATTGTTAAGCCGCTTTCGGGTGTGGTGCAAAAGCTGGACAAGAGCCTAAGCGAACGGCTGTTTAGATCGCTGGAACAGCGTAAGGTTCTGGCGGGAATCAAGCGCGATGCTTGGGGCGAGGATGAGATTAAGTACTAGAGTGGATTTATACGCATTATATCAAAAAAAAAAAAAAAAAAAAAAAAAAAAAACTTCCCCCCTCCCCTGTAGATGAACATGATTATATAACGTGTATTAGGAATTAGAGTATATTTGTTACTAGAGAATAAGATGTTTAAGCAAAGAAAAGACCGACGGCAGTGGCCAGGAGCGCAGTGGTAGCCATAATGACCCGGTTGGTCGATCCAGCACTAGGGGTGGTGGTTGCCTTTGGAGCAGAGCCCGTGGTCGAACCAGAGGCCGCCGCAGCGGGTGCGCTCGTCGTCGGTGCCGCGGTCGCGGTCGCGGTTGTGGCACCACTAACGGACGTCACCGGAGAAGAGACGGAAGCCGTGGGGCTGACGACTCCAGAGGAGGGGGACACAGTGCCGTTCCCGGGCTGACCGTCGACGCAGGTCAGGGAGGCGGGCAAGGGACCATCAGCACGAGGACCCGAGTAGTCATATTGGGCACCGAAAATAACACGGACGCCATAGGTGGATTGGCGAACGTTGCAGTCGGCAGAGTTCTGGCAACATCTCATGCCGTAGACGCCGTCATAGGGCTCGATAACGTTCACGAAGGCGCTGTAACCGGCACAAGAAGCTCCGACGGGGGCGCGGATGTCGTATTGACCGCCTTGGTCGCAAGGGTTGAGGTTGTACTTTGTGGGGTCGATTTGGCCCTGGGAATTAGAAAGAAAAGGGAATGGTTGGGGAGGGTCAGGGTATTAGCGCGAAGGGATTTCAAGACAAACAAAAGAAGTATCCAAATCAAGTATTTGATATCGATTTTCCGTTCGTGCTTACAGTGATCTGGACCCATCCATCACCGGTGGCCCAGTGGGCGGAGAGGACAAAGCCGTCGGGGAAGACCTTGGCGCCGGGAGCTTTGGGGTTGGCCTGGTTACAGAAGGCGATGGCAGAGTCTTCGTTGGCGGCAATGTCTCCACCGGCCATAGGTGGGAGGAAGAAGCAGTAGTTGGAATCCGAGTCGAGCGATGCGATTTGACCCTGGGCCGAGGTACCGATGGCCATCAGAGCGGCGGATGCGGCGAGGAATGTAGTCGTGGTTGAGGCGCGCATTTTTTTTATTTTTATTCTTTATATATTGACACTTCAGTTGTGAGAGGGGTGGGTATAATCGAAGGATCGGGCGTAAAATTAGTGGTGGTGTGGAATGTTCAGGGTCGTAGGTGGCCTGAGATGCGTGCGGAATGTGTAGTTAGCGAGATAATAAAAAAAAAGAAGTCGAGGTAAATAGGATCGACGGTAGGTAAGGGTTTGGATGTAAAATTAAATGATCAAAGGGACGAAAAAGCGAAAGGAGGGGTTTTATACATCTTCACCGAGCTGGACACATGCCTTTGGCTGTTTTTGTTCTTCGTTTTTTTTGTCAGAAGGTTCAAGAGGAACCAAATGAAGGCACAAACCCTCCCCCCCACTCCTCGTCTTCGTCCTCCTCCACGGCAGGCGGGCTCTAATTGCTCTTTCTGGGTGTCTTCTCAGTGTCCCTTTGTTTACCAAGAATCATTTTGCCATTCATGTAATATGTTCTCTTAGTTGGGAACACAAGATTCTCTTGTAGACCATTTCCCCCACCCTCATGTGAATGGTGGGAGGTGTGTGTGTTTATGTTGACGCCGGCGACAAAAATAGGACGCATGAAGAGCTTGGTCGGTCATCGTACAAAGGGCATACATAGCGAGTACAGCGGACGGGCGTATCTCTCGAGGCGCTAGAAACGGTGCAGAATTGTAGGGTATTTGTGCTAGACTAACACATGAACTGTGATTTTACGCCTTGCGCCTTGCGCCTTGTATCCCCCCCTCCCCCTCTTTCGGAGAGTCTGCGCAAGGATAGGAGGATGGACAAAAAAAATCGAAGGGTATTTTTAGAGAGCTTTTCTTATTATCTTTTTGCCCGAAAAAGTGCAATGGGTTGCGAGGTGCACAGTTTGTCCTTCAAACCCCGGCTGATCTGACTGAGGTTCAGCTGTCCAAAAAAAAAAAAAAAACGAGGGAGCTAAATGTAAGTCTAAATGCTGGGCTGAACGAAAGAATGATCGAGGTTTGGGCGTTCAGCAGACTCAAGTGGCTCTCTGTCTCATACCGCCATTATTCTTATGAATACTTGTGAGCATCCATCAACTTTAACATGACTCGCTCCAACATGAGCCCAGCTCGGAAACCTCGTACAAATTGAACAAAGAACAGTGAGAAGAGAAAAAGAAAGGTCGGGATGGATTAAGAGACGTGTATTTGTGCGGAGAAAATTGACAGGAATTATCTAAATGTACCCAGAATTGCTCATGGTCCTCCCGGGCGGGTTGCTTGTGGATTTTGTTGGTTAGTGAATAAAAAACTATTTATCTCACCAGAATTTGTACCTTGCGATTCCGTTGGCAAAGCACGCACGTCCTGTGAAGGTGGGCATGGTGAGAGCAAGAAAGCTCACGAATCATATTCCAGGGAATGGGCGCGTGCGCGTGGTTTTTTTTTTTTTTAAAAAAAAAAATTATAATAGCCACAAGGCATCGTATCGTGGAGACCTCCCTACAACGCACGCGTCTTGTCTTATCATGCTGTAGATCCGCTCTACGTTTCATTTTATTATCAGTAGCAAACATAGGATAACCTATCCATCCCGTGATCCACACTAGCTTTTTCATTCTTTTGTCAGCATTGTGGCATCTACCGATACTTGTGCATGCCTGCGCGGATCAAACTCTTTTTGATATTACAGGCGTCTGTTCAAAGTGGGTTGTAATCCTCTTTCACTTTTTTTTTTTTTTTTTTTTTTAGTCCACCTTATTCTAGAGGGGTTGTCCGTATTCCCTAGAGCAAGAGATTGAGGTACTGCGGTATTATGTTGCATTTGTGTGTGAGTACCTATCCTCTATGGTTTTTTCATTTTATGGATATTGAAGTCAAAGGGCAGCTGTCGCGAACTCCGAAACCCTAGACGCGTTTTTGTCTACGGCTGGAAAAAAAATAAGTTTTGCGCGTACAGTCATGTCACGGGGAAGAACTCTTTTTTTTTTTTCTGTAGACAGAACAGCATGCATGTTTCTTCATGGTTGACATATTGAGACATATTCATCCAAGATCGACATTCCTGGATCCTCCGAGGTTGAAAAAAGACGAATAAGCTACGTTCGTTATGACTCTTTCCTACGAAATGAAGCTGCACCCTCCATGACAAACAATGACACAGAAGAGATTCATATTGACAAGTATTTTTTTTTTCGGGATGTATTCATCTAGATAACAGGGGTCTCGACAAAGTCCTATGGCATTTGGGCGACACGGGTTCAAAGAATGAAAGAATGCGGAATTAAGCGAAAAGAAGCTTTGCAGATTATTAGGCGAACAGGGACCATAGAAGCGTGGTGTTAAGCAAGCACGTAGGATGCAAACAGCATGAGGAAAATCGATAACGATGGAGGCACGTAGAGAGCAAGCGTCGGCCCATTTTGTTGTATACATCAAAGACATGTCCGATATGCTGGATGCACTGTGAGGAGATGAGTGCAAGAGCGGGAATCAAAAGGACAGGATAGAAAACCACTATGTTGTCTGAGAAGGTGTCCATCCACTGTTTGGACAACGTTGGATCGTAATGGCCAGTCCACTTCGGCATGTCTTCCCGGTTTGGCTCTGCCAAAAAAAAAAAAACCACTGAGAATGAAAATATTGCGGTATCGATCTACTTATTCGCTAACATGTGTTTAGACACTCGAAGTTTTTTTTATTGTTGTTGACATGCAACCTCGGTGCTGTCGTGTGGGGTAAAAGAGTAAGGAGCTGTGGCCACAACAAACAAAACGACAACGTGTCGAAGGAGAGCCAGGGTAGTCTATGATAACCATGATTTGGACCATGATAATTCAGGGACCAGCGAATAAAAGGAGTATCCAAGCAGGATGACACCCTAACCTTGTGCAACCCTGATAATGCAATCGGTCTCTTCATCTGTGATTTCCCGATGGGCTGGGCGGATTTCATTTTTGATAAAAAAAAAGTCAGAAAACACTTCTCTCTTTGGCAGCCATAGCTAGGCTAGCGCCCTTTTTCACCACTGACAGGTTTTACTTCGCGTAGAATCAATCAAGATAAGAAATGACCGAGCTCCGCTTTCTTGCGTGAATAATAATAATAATAATATATTTATGTTCCATTTCTATCTGATACTTCGACCAGAGGTGCGGCGCGCCATGTGCCGTGGTATCTCGATAGCGTTAGTCAGTGATGACACCGTACGTACAGTACATACATATCCTGATCCTAGACCGTACTAATAATGAGCCAGCGGTATGGTGTTTGTTTGATTCATTTTTATTTTTTATTTTTTTATAGCCACCAAGGGTTTCCTGTCATCCACATGACTTTTGTTGCAGATCAGCCAGTCCTGAGAGGTGCAGCATCTGCCAATACTACAAATGGGCAATCGATGTGTGGGTCTGCAAACTATGTTCCTGTCTTGGGTTTCGTTTTTATCGGATTTTGCTTAGAGAGAGCAGCAGGGGGGGGGGGCGGTGGTATCCTTATCTGCTCCACATCGCAAAAAAAAAACAACAACAGACAAATCATTTCTCCCTTTTTTTTTTTTACAGTACCTGCTGATGGAATGGCGATCAAAGAATGCACCTATGGAAATCTATGAAGATAAGGACTTGCGGTCGGAAGGCCAGTATGTAACCCTCTCATCTATTTCCTCCTATGCCCTGCAATAAAAAAAAAATTAAAATTAAACGTCATGTGGGAGGCCCTTGTCATTTACAAGCGGGGTAAAAGATTCTTATCTTGCTTTGGATGGCACAGTGGGAGGAAACCATGCGAGATGTCCGAAAAAAAAAAAAAAAAAAAAAAAAGAGATGAAAGAAAGCAAGAGTAGACGTTCGTTTACATAAGGTAGGAAAACAAAAAAAAAGATGATGCACCTTTGCCCTCGGAAATTCATGCATCTGCCACGCGCCCGCGCTCTCCACGGCAAAGTGTGCTTCCGAATATCGTGTGGCCCCACGTATCCTATGCTGTGTAGCGAGATTCGGCCGTCATTGAAGAGTGGTCACCCTACTTTCCCACCCCACCCCCTCTATAAGATTGCCCCAGCCGTCTCTTGTCCGACCCTGTCGTCGCCGCTTCCTGATACCCACCTCTCCCCTTGTGGGTCCGTGGTGTCCCATACAGCCGGGTTTAGTTTCCGGATTCTCGGAGCAAACGTAAAAAAAAAAGAAAAGGGTGCCTGGCCAAGAGAAACAAAGTGGGGAGTAAATGTTATTCCCCTATCATCAGACCCTTCGCCACCTTTTTTTTTACTTCTCCACCCGTAAATGCCCAAGTGCAAGTGGTACGAAAACGAGGTGACACGTTATGCAGTTAGTGTTCCGGACTATACTGACTAGATGAATATGAGAAGGTTAGTGGCGAAATAATCGATAGTCCATGGATCTGGGGGGGGCAGATCCGGTGATTGACTCCCCGTAGCCGCCCCAGGGATATACGCGAGAAACACAGCTCGTGGCTGTGGACGAAGTAGAGCGTTCGGATAGAGTCGCCAGTAACGCAGTAGAGCGAATGGTTGCAGGGGTTGGATCTAAGAGAGCAGTAGAGATATAAGCAAATGAGAGATGAAATGAGGTAGCGGAATCAACCATAGCAAGGGAACCAGTTTCATTTACTGCAAAATGCGAAGGGGCCTGAAGAAGGATGCGCGATGATCTATCACGGAGAGAGCATGTGGGGGCCAGCGTGGGTGTGTAGTCTACGATGGCGGATGGAGGTGTGTGTATGTGTGTGCCGATCCACGTACGCGTGTACATGAATCAAGGAGGGAGGGGAAGGAGATGGAGGGTGACAGGGGCGGTTTGATTCCGATATCTTCCTTCGCTCACTCAGAATAGACTGTGCGACCGATATCGATGGCTGCGTGGTTGGACGAAATGATAGTGCAGCTTTGCCTTTTTAAGGTTCGCCCTTCTATCTCCCCCTGTCCACTGTGTGCCACCGCCGAGGACCGCAGTCAGGCAGTCAGTCATCCAGGGCGAGCAGTGCTTGCCAGCCCCCCTTCCTTCTCTCGGACGGAAGAGGGTTATCTCCACAGTCACGGCCAGCGAACCTATCCGCTTGCCCACCGCCTGCTTGCCTGCCTGCTACTACTACGCATCCTCGACTGATCCCCTCATTCGCTCTCCTTCCCCTCTCCCCCTCCCCTCCATCGAGACAGCAAGAAAGCAAAGGCATTTGGATCGAGCATGGACAGGGAGGACATTGTAAATAATAAAGAGGGATACACCAGGCTAATGCAAGATGAAATCGTATCACACAATGTAGGAGAGAGTACCAGCCTACCTATGACGAGGAAGTGAGAAGGAGGATCCGAGAGTGCGCGTAGTCCGTGATCCTACTTGCTTGCCTCATAAGGTGTGTGTGTTCGTTTGTTATTGTTTTTGTTGTTGTTGTCTTTGTTGTCCAACCTATCCACTGGTTCTGAGGAAGGGCAAAGTTGCCCGGGTTGCATTTTTTACACTAGGACTACACTAGGACTAGGACAGATAGCGCGGATCGAGAGGAATCAGGGTGGGTGACGGTGGGATGTGTGTGCTGTCCATGAGCCAGCCGGAAAGTTTAATTATGTCTCTTGTGCACTAAGGGGGGAGAGAGGGGGAAATATAATCGTCCTCTTTCATATGGAAATCTCTCTTTTCGTCTCCCTTTGGTCCGATATGGATTTGGCACCTTGACATAGCAAATCGCAGCAGAACCTTGAACTCTGAACCCAAACTCTATTTCACGGTATTGAGTTGTGCTATACTATTCTATCCAATACTATCGATACATCCGAAGAAATAATAAAAGAAAAAAAAAGCGGGTCGATCCTCCTCCCCTCTTCGATCTCCCTCTCTCTCTCTCCATGTCGCGTTGTATGCCTCGGCAGTGTTCTTCCCCACCACCAGTGCAGTGGGGGGGAGGAGAGAGGGAAGAGGATGCAGCGCACGCACGGGAAGCAAGGAGGGGATGGGTGGACGCACAGTGGCCGAGTGTATGAGTGTATGAGTGTTGAGTGTGTGTGCAGATGCAGGTAGATTTTGTTTGGTGCTTCCAGGACCAGTAGAGCACCTCCTCTGAGATAATCAGCAAAAGAAAACCCGACTCATCGCTGTGGCTGTCCCTCTGTCCCCCGCGCTGCGTTGCACAGAGGGTGTCTCGGAAAGTATATAAACCTCGGCCCTCGACATTGCCCTGCCTCGGTCTTTTTTTTCCTCTTTCTCTTCCTTCCTTCTTCATTGCCACTGCTGCTTGCTTCTCCCTCCCACTCCTCCCTCTCTCTCTCTCTCTTTCTTTCTTCTCGTCTTTACTTTGCCTGTACTTCTTTCTTCTTTCTTTCTTTCATTCTTTCTTTCCTTGTACAATCCTCCCCTAAAAGCTACATCCAACTTTCCATAATACCCTCAAAGAGACTGCTCACCTCTTTTTTGTATTACAAGTCGGATCGATCCCTCTTCATCTCCTCTGCTTAGCCATCCATACCTTGTATTAATTACTCCCCCCAGTCTTGTATTCATCTGTCGCTGTCGACCTCGCCTGTACCATCTCCTCTTCCTTAAGCAACATCAGTAGCATCCCCACCCCAGACACCCCCCACTCTTTTACTCTTTTCCCCCGCTTCTCTCGCTTCGTAAACAAAAATGGAAGACTTCATGAACAAGAACAACGTCGAGAGCAACAGCTCCTGGGCTGGTGCCCTCCCCGTCGCCCAGGGTCTCTACGATCCCGAGAACGAGAAGGACTCCTGCGGTGTCGGCTTCATCGCCAACATCAAGGGCGAGCACTCGCACCGCATCCTCAAGGATGCCTCCAGCATTCTCTGCAACATGGTACGTTTCATTTCCATCGTCATCTCTTGCGCCACCATTTCTCTTTTTTAATGCTCTCGTGTGCTTGGTTTGTACATCGTACTTACACCCCCCCCCCTCTCCCTCTTTTCATTTCCCGTCATACATGGACTTCCTTTTTCTTAGACCCATCGTGGTGCCACCTCTGCTGATCCACGCGACGGTGATGGTGCCGGTGTCATGACTGGCATGCCCCACACCTTCATGATGGAAGAGGCCCACCGTCTCAACATCACCCTGCCCGCACAAGGCGAGTACGCCGTCGGAAACGTCTTCCTCCGACCTGACGAACCTCATGTGCACGAGCAGAAATCCATCTTTGAGTCTATCGCTCAGCAGAACGGACTCAAGGTTCTTGGCTGGCGTATCGTCCCCGTCGATAACTCCATCCTCGGACCCTCTGCAAAGTCCAAGGAGCCCTCGATCCAGCAACCTTTTGTCATCCTCGACCCTGCTGTCCACCACGCCTTTGATAACAAGCGCTTCCAGCGCCAGCTCTATCTGTTGAGGAAGCAGGCCACTCATGCGATCACCCTCAAGAACTGGTTCTATATCTGCTCCCTTTCGAACCAGAACATTGTCTACAAGGGTCAGCTTTCGCCCGTTCAGGTGTACGACTTTTTCTACGATTTGCAGAACCACAAGTACCTGACCCACTTTGCCCTGGTCCACTCCCGTTTCTCGACAAACACCTTCCCCTCCTGGGATCGTGCCCAGCCCATGCGATGGGCTGCTCATAACGGTAAGCATTCTTTCTCCGTGTGTTTTGTTTATGGAATGGAATGACGACTGTTGAGTGTGTGAGTGTGTGAATGTGGGGCATAGCACGGTACATGGATGGTGTGCATGGGAGCGAGGACATGGCTCAAGATTATCGTTATGAGTAATTTGGATGTTTTTTTTTGTTCGATTTGCCTTGTTTGCCTGTCTGGGTCGGCTCTTTTTTCCCTTTTCCCCTCCCTCTGTATATGGTGCATATGATGCGGGATGGCATTTGCAAGTGTGTGGTCGTGTTTTGTATTTTCGGTTGTGGCCACTCCCCACACGATGCAGCGGTTCCAAACTTTCCAGCCTTATACGGCCTCGCAGAAAGAAGACTTGCCACGCGCGCTGCAAGGGGGGTCGGAGAGAAGGGTGACTAGCCGCATTAAGGTTCAATTCAACGTAATTCTCCTAAGACTACTTATTCGCATTGGCCAATCACATCCACGCATCTTATCTCTTTGCGCGGGGAGGCAATGTTTCCGAAGCACACCGCACACCGCATTATGTGGGCTCGCCAAACGCTCTGTTTGCTCCCATGTGACACTTGCCCTCACTCGATCCACCTATGAAATCACTCCAACAGCTTTCAATTCAATCACACTAATCTAAAAATCCCTTTCTATCCCTCCCCTTTATCTACAGGTGAGATCAACACCCTTCGCGGTAACAAGAACTGGATGCGCGCCCGCGAGGGTGTCATGCACTCGGACTACTTTGGCAACGATCTCCAAAAGTTGTTCCCCATCATTGAGGAGGGCGGCTCCGACTCCTCCGCCTTTGACAACGTCCTCGAGTTGCTTGTCGTCAACGGTGTCCTCACCCTCCCCGAGGCCATCATGATGATGTTGCCCGAGGCATGGCAGTCAAATGCCAACATGGAGCCCGAGAAGAAGGCTTGGTACGAATGGGCTGCCTGTCTCATGGAGGCCTATGACGGTCCTGGTAAGTCTCATGCTATCTCCAACAATTGCTAGCATTTCCTGTCTGTCTTATCTATCAAACATGAACGACTAACAGATAGCTATCCTATTTAATCACGATATCATGCAGCCCTCATGACCTTCTCGGACGGTCGCTACTGCGGTGCTTCTTTGGACAGAAACGGTCTCCGTCCCTGCCGCTTCTACAAGACCACCGATGGCTTGATGATCTGTGCTTCCGAGGTTGGTACCATCAACATCGCCCCTGAACGCATTCTTGAGAAGGGCCGTCTCCAGCCCGGAAAGATGCTTCTGGTTGATACCTTGGAGGGTCGTGTTGTCGACGATCGCGAGCTCAAGCTGTCGATCGCTTCCCGCCAGAACTTCCGCCAGTGGGTTGACGAGCAGATGTTGTCTGTCGATGACGCCGTCGCCAACGCTCCCAAGTTCGACGTCATGTCGTCGGTCGATGATGTTCCTCTGACCCAGGATCCTCGTCTTCTCGCCTTCAAGCTGACCATCGAGCAGCTCAACCTCTTGCTCATGCCCATGACCACCGATGGAAAGGAGGCTTTGGGATCCATGGGTAACGACGCCCCTCTTGCCTGTCTCGCGACTGAGCCCCAGATCATCTTTGACTATTTCCGTCAGCTGTTCGCCCAGGTCACCAACCCTCCCATTGATCCTATCCGCGAGGAGATTGTCATGAGTCTTGAGTGCTATGTTGGACCCGAGGGCAATCTGTTGGAGATGGACCAAAGCCAGTGCCACAAGCTGAAGCTGCCCACACCTGTCCTTTCCCTGAATGAGATGGAGGCCATCAAAAACTTTGACATCACTCGCGCTGACTGGAAGACTCGTGTGATCGACATTACCTTCCTCAAGTCCGACGGCCCTGCCGGATATGTTCCATGCCTCGAGCGTGTCTGCGAGGAGGTCTCTGCTGCCATCCAGGACGGTGTCAAGATCGTCGTCCTGTCCGACCGCGGTGTCTCTCCTGAGCGTGTTGCTATCTCCTCCTTGATCGCTACTGGAGGCGTTCATCACTACCTCGTCAGGGAGAAGAAGCGTTCTCGTGTTGCTATCGCCGTCGAGACGGCTGAGGCTCGTGAGGTCCACCATGCCTGTGTCCTCCTTGGATATGGTGCTGATATGAGTAAGTTGTTGCTCAATTGAGCTGTAAAGTGAAGGTTTATGGTTGGTACATAGTCACGAAAACTATAATTTCTGACATTTCTTCCTGTATTGATTTTCCATGATCCATAGTCTGCCCTTACCTTGCGCAGGAGGCTATTATCAAGCTGTATCGTGAGAATTCTCTTCGCTCGGAGGCTGGTCCCGAGAAGCTCATCAAGAACTACATCAAGGCTACTAGCAACGGTATTTTGAAGGTCATGTCCAAGATGGGTATCTCGACACTGCAGTCCTACAAGGGTGCTCAGATCTTCGAAGCCTTGGGCCTCGATGAACCAGTCATTGCCCGCTCGTTCGCCGGCACTGCCTCCAGAATCAAGGGTGTTGGCTTTGATATCCTTGCCTTGGATGCCTTTGCTCTCCATGAGCGTGCCTGGCCTTCGCGCCAGACCGTCGCTATCGAGGGCATCCCCGAGTCTGGCGATTATCACTGGCGTAACGGTGCCATTCCTCACATCAATGACCCCGACGGTATTGCCAACCTTCAGGACGCTGTTCGTCGCAAGAACGACAACGCTTATGAGGCCTATTCTCAAAATGCTTTCCAGCAGATCAAGAGCTGTACTCTGCGTGGCATGCTTGAGTTTGATTTCTCAAAGGCTAGGCCCATCCCCGTTGATGAGGTTGAGCCCTGGACTGAGATTTGCAAGCGCTTCTGTACTGGTGCTATGAGTTATGGTTCCATCTCCATGGAGGCCCACTCGACTTTGTCGATTGCCATGAACCGCATCGGAGGCAAGTCCAACTCTGGAGAGGGAGGAGAGGATCCCGAGCGCTCCAACCCACGCGAGAACGGAGACTCTCTCCGCTCTGCCATCAAGCAGATTGCCTCGGGTCGCTTCGGTGTCACCTCGTACTACCTCTCTGATGCCGAGGAGATCCAGATCAAGATGGCTCAGGGAGCTAAGCCCGGAGAGGGCGGTGAATTGCCGTAAGTATTTGTGGAGTAGATTTCCAGTTTGCGTTCAGCACGTGAAATCTTTTTCTAACGACTTTTGATATCGTGACTTTCTAGTGGCCACAAGGTTTCGGACGAGATCGGAAAGACCCGTCACTCGACTCCTGGCGTCGGCCTCATCTCGCCTCCTCCTCATCACGATATCTACTCGATTGAGGATCTGAAGCAGTTGATTTACGACGCCAAGGCTGCTAACCCTCGCGCCAGAATCTCTGTCAAGTTGGTCTCGGAGGTCGGTGTCGGTGTCATTGCCAGCGGTGTTGCCAAGGCCAAAGCCGACCACATCCTCATCTCTGGTCACGATGGTGGCACGGGAGCCTCGCGCTGGACTGGTATCAAGTATGCCGGTCTTCCTTGGGAACTGGGTCTTGCTGAGACCCACCAGACGTTGGTCTTGAACGATCTCCGTGGACGTGTTGTCGTCCAGACTGATGGTCAGATCCGTACTGGCCGCGATGTTGCCATTGCCTGCTTGCTCGGTGCTGAGGAATGGGGTTTCGCCACCACGCCCTTGATCGCCATGGGATGCACCATGATGCGTAAATGCCACCTGAACACCTGCCCTGTTGGTGTTGCTACCCAGGATCCTTACCTCCGTGAGAAATTCGCTGGTTCGCCCGAGCATGTCATCAATTTCTTCTACTATGTTGCCGAGGAGTTGCGTACCATCATGGCCAAGCTTGGTTTCCGCAGCATCAACGAGATGGTTGGACGCACCGATGTCCTCTGCGTCGATGAGAGCCGCCGCAACCCCAAGACCGCCAACATTGATTTGTCTCCCATCCTGACCCCTGCCTTCACTCTCCGCCCTGGTGCCGCCACCTACAAGGTCCGCAAGCAGGAGCACATGCACCACACTCGCCTCGACAACAAGTTCATTAGTGAGGCCCAGGATGCCCTGAACACTGGCAAGCGTGTGGAGCTCGACGGCAAGGTCGTCAACACTGATCGTGCCCTCGGTACCACGATCTCGTACCACGTCAGCACCAAGTACGGCGAGAGCGGTCTCCCCGATGACACGATCCACATCAACCTCAAGGGTTCTGCTGGTCAGTCGCTCGGTGCTTGGTTGGCTCCTGGTGTGACCATTGAGCTTGAAGGAGACTCGAACGACTATGTCGGTAAGGGTCTTTCCGGTGGTCGCCTCATCATCTACCCACCCAAGACCTCGACCTTCAAGAGCGAGGAGAACGTCATTATCGGAAACACCTGCTTGTACGGTGCCACCAGCGGTAAGGCGTTCTTTGGAGGTATTGCTGCCGAGCGTTTCGCTGTTCGTAACTCGGGCGCTACTGCCGTTGTTGAGGGTACTGGTGATCACGGATGCGAGTACATGACTGGAGGTCGCGTCGTTGTTCTCGGCTCGACTGGACGCAACTTTGCTGCCGGTATGTCTGGTGGTATCGCCTACGTTCTCGATATGAATGGAGACTTCAAGTCCAAGGTCAACATGGAGATGGTTCAGTTCGAGACTGTCAACGACGAGGAGGAGGTTGCCTGGTTCAAGGACACGTTGGAGGACCACCGCCACTACACCGGCTCTGCCATTGCTGATCGCGTCCTCAAGAACTTGGGCCAGTACCTGCCAAAGATCGTCAAGGTCATGCCTACGGACTACAAGAAGGTCTTGGATGCCCAGCGCGCCGCCAAGTTGGCTGCTGCCACCGCTCAGCGCTCTGAAATCGTGACCCCAGTTCTGACTGCCGCTCCCTTGGCTGCCAAGCCCAAGCCCAACGAGCCCGCTCTCGTCGATCTCGAGGACTCGATGGTCGATACTGAGACTTACAAGAAGCGCAGTGAGATGGTTGACAAGGTCCGCGGCTTCATGAAATACAAGAGACGTGGCGATGCTTATCGCAACCCCAAGAAGCGCACCAAGGACTACAAAGAGATCTCTGCCCGTCTCTCTGACGGCGAGCTCCAGGTCCAGGCTGCCCGCTGCATGGACTGCGGTGTTCCATTCTGCCAGAGCAACACTACTGGATGCCCCATTGGTAACATCATCCCCAAGTGGAACGACTTGGTCTTCAAGGATCAGTGGGAGGAGGCCCTCAACCGTCTGTTGATGACCAACAACTTCCCCGAGTTTACTGGCCGTGTCTGCCCCGCCCCCTGCGAGGGATCTTGTGTTCTTGGTATCAACGAGCTTCCTGTTGCTATCAAGTCGATCGAGTGCGCCATCATCGACCGCGGCTTCGAAATGGGTTGGATGAAGCCCCGCCCCCCAAGCGTCCGCACCGGCAGGAAGATCGCGATTATCGGATCTGGTCCCGCTGGTCTGGCTGCTGCTGATCAGTTGAACAAGGCTGGTCACTCGGTCACTGTCTACGACCGTAACGACCGCTTCGGAGGTCTTTTGATGTACGGTATTCCCAACATGAAGTTGGACAAGGGCATTGTCCAGCGCCGTATCGATCTTATGGCTGCTGAGGGCATCAACTTTGTTCCCAACACCCACGTCGGAGTCACCCATGACGTCAACGAGATCCGCAACGCAAACGACGCATTGGTTCTGGCGACTGGTGCTACCTGGCCTCGTGATCTGCCCATTGCCAACCGCAACTTGGATGGTATTCACTTTGCCATGGAGTTCTTGCAGCTCAACACTCAGTCGCTCTTGGACTCTGACTTGAACGACGGCAAGTACATCTCGGCCAAGGGCAAGCACGTCATTGTCATTGGAGGAGGAGATACGGGATGCGACTGCATTGCTACCTCTCTTCGCCACGGAGCAGCCTCGATCGTCAACTTTGAGTTGCTGCCCCAGCCCCCAGCGACCCGTGCCAAGGACAACCCATGGCCCCAGTTCCCTCGTGTCTTCAAGCAGGACTATGGTCACTCTGAGGTCCAGTCGCACTTTGGAAAGGATCCTCGTGAATACTCGATCGTCACCAAGGAGTTCGTATCGGACGGCAACGGCAAGGTCAAGGGCTTGAACACCATCCGCGTCGAGTGGACCCAGGATGCCAGTGGTCGCTGGTCGATGAAGGAGATGGCAGGCACTGAGCAATACTTCCAGGCTGACTTGGTCTTGCTTTCGATGGGCTTCATGGGCCCAGAGGCCGATCTCTTGAAGGCAGTCGGCGTTAAGCTCGACGGTCGCTCGAACGTGGAGACGCCCAAGGGCAGCTACAAGACCAGCGTTGGCAACGTCTTTGCTGCTGGTGATGCCCGTCGTGGTCAGTCTTTGATTGTTTGGGGCATCAACGAGGGTCGCCAGTGCGCTCGTGAGGTTGATGAGTACTTGGTCGGAAACACACTCTTGCCCGTCACCGGAGGTCTTCAGCAGCGTTCATTGAAGGCATTGACGCTAGAGGCCCACCAGCAGCCCCCCGCAATTGTTGCTGCATAAGTTATGCATGCGGTGAACAGCAGGAGTACAACAACCAACAACACACTTTAAAAAGAGAAAGATATCCAGCGGAGAGACAGAATTATCAGCGACAAGGGGAAAATTCAATTTTCTTTTGAGGAGCATGGACACCATTGAGCCGGAGTCTATTCAACACTCAACAGCAAGCGAGGGATCCCCTTTGGAGCCGCATTTTTCTTTTCTTTTCCCAATATACATAGCCATCTCGCTCTCTTTTTTCCCCACTAATCGCAAACATTTGTAAAATAGCAAAAAGAACAAAAATACTTGCAGTGCATATTGAACCATAGAAAATAAATATTCCAAAAAAAAAAAGGTCATATTTTTTCAGCTAATGACTTGACTAGTATGAGATAGCAAGGGCCGAGGCAACGATGGGTGGAGTCGCAGCGGCTTCTTGTTGCCCTTGTGCTGGAGCTGTCGTGAGACTGGCGGTGGACCAGTCTGGGACGGAGCCATTAAAGTTCTCTCTCAAGATCTCTGGCCCTGAAGCCTTGAGTGACCCAATCAACGAGCCTCCAATCCAGGCGCGACAATTGGGCATAAAAACCTTGCCGCTGCTCTGGTAGATCTTCTTGTCCTTTGAGCTTTTCCTGTCTTTCTCACGACCTCCAGCCGTAGCGGCCGTGGGCAGGTCCTGGTCCATCATGGTACCGCTGCTCCGACTTGCAGTGGCCCCACCCACAAATCCGACCGCCGTCGACAACGACGCCTTATCCTCCTCTGTCAAATCGTCCAAGAACCTGACCGAGTCCGCCAAACGGGCCAGTTTTGCCCATCGTGGGTTCACCTGCAAGGACCGTTTGATCTCCTGCAACAGTCGACTCTGCAAATTCGGCAGCTGAGCAGTCCCTCCGATCAAGAGCATTGAACTGACCAACGGCCGTCTCAAATCCGAAGGCGCCTTCGCCACGGCCTCCAAAATCACGTCCGTCAGACTCTGGGCGTCCTCGTCCCCCGTGAACAGACATTCACTGGCCCTCTCACGGATCCATCCTGGGATGGCCATGATGCCCCTCGCCTGCTCCTCCTCGAGCCAGACCTCGACATGGACCTCTGTCGAGGTCGAGAGATCACGATAGTTGTTGTTCATCTCCTCGTCCGCGACATTGTCACGCGCGTTGACGATGAGTGGGGACGCAAAGAGGAGACGTGTCTTGATGGTCTCGAGAAACGCGCTCGTGAGCATGGACTCGGGGATGATGCGTAGGTCCGTTGGGTTATCAGCGAGTGAGATCGGGCATTTTTCACGGAGAAGTTGTTTGAGGTGCTGGGAGAGGAATTTCCCGGCTCGTGGGGTCGTGCGGATGAACGGGGTCATTGGCCTGGATGAGTAAATCTGTTAAGGAATACATAAAAAAAAAAAAAAAAATAGGGTTGCGAAAGAACATGCGGAGGCAGGATTATGAATATGATTGTCAATGAATCAGATATGATCGTAGTGGGAAGTGAGACACCCGGACGTACAGGGAGGACGGAGGTCTCCAGGTGCCCACAGTCAATCACCAGACCGGTTGCGGTGCCTGTGGTCAATAGTGCCAGCAGATGTGAATTCGTAAACGAAATGGAAGGTGCCTATGTTATATATCCATGGCACAGTAAAAGCGAGAAAAAAAAAAAAAAAAAAAGGATGGTGAGAAAGCACTTTTGAGTATACACGAAAGCGAGTATGAGACTTTGCAAAGCAGCAGAATGCTTTCTTTTTTTTTTTTTTTTTTTTTTCGTCAACGGTGTTACCTGCAGCTTCTCGAACAGCACTTTAGCGATGGTTTGTTTCAGTGCGATGGGTGCTAGGGGCGATTCGCAGATAATGACCTTCCTCTGCTTGGGATCCGTCAGCAAGTGCCTATCCACAAAGAAATGAGAAAAAAAAAACGGACTCAAACCCATCAATATCCTGCATTGCATGAAGTAATCGACAGCGTCCTAGAGTAAGATGCCAAACGAGCTACAAAGATGGAGAGAGAGGAGGAGGAGGAGGAGGGGGGGGGGGGGGGGGGGGGAGGAAGGGGTCGGACGTACTTGAAGTAGACATCGTATAAGTATTCTGAGAGACGCTCTTCCAGAATCCTAAATCGCTGCTCCTCTGTTTGTCCACGGTGATTCTTCCGCATCATATCCAGTTCGTATAATTCTGCGTACTAAGTCAAGACAAGAAGAATACGCATGTCCTTCAGTCAGTCGGTCAAGTCAGTTAGACAATCAGTCAGTTAGACAGTCAGCCAGCCATTTCCGTTGTTCGTTATCATCATGTGCACCATAAAAAAAAACAAGAACACCCACTGCAGACCTCCCCAATGGTTCGCCATACACACACACACACAAAAAAAAAAACGAATAAAAGTGTAAAGCCTTGACAGAAAAAAAAAAAAAAAAAAAAAAAGGGCGTGGAAACATTCGTTACCTCCAAGGGATGACAGGCAGCGTTAGACTTTTCGTTACAGACTTCACTGCACTCGTGTCCGAAATGCTGCTGGTGTTTCGGTCGCAGGCCCAGATAATCATCCAAGGCTTCGTCCGACAGGAACATGGAAATGAAATGCCGTGGCCGGGCCTCTCCCGAGAGTCCGCATTTGATGTAACAGGATCCAATGTCGAGGATGATGCGTTCTTCAATGCCATAGATCGACGTCTTGAAGGACAGATCGCGGATCTTTGAAAGCGGAAGCGTCATGTCTTGTCTGAGTCTGTGTCGTCTTTTTTTGTGAGAGGAATGCTTATTGTCGCTGGAGGTTCCTGAACCAAAGAATAAAAAAATAAAAAAATAAAAGTGTTGGGCTGAATACGAGGAACGAGAGAGGAACGAAGGGAGTAAAAAAAAAAAGGCGATATGCGTCAAGCTGTCCTGCTTTTCATTCCTGTAGGGTGGTGGTGATAGTGATGAAGAAGAAAAAAGTCGAGAGCTGGAACCGCGCGTTCTGTCCAAAGGGAGATGAGCTGAGAAAGAAACGAGTTCGTGAGCACAGTCCCGTTTGCCCCATCATCATCATCGCCATCACGAGCAATAAGCGCGTGGCGATATAATTTTGGATTCAGGGGAGGGGATGGAGGGTGGGGAGGGGAAGAGGGACACCAAAAACGCGCTTAACTTAACATCATACACACGACATTGCAATATCCAGGTCCCATACAATTCCAGCCCATCGAGAGATAAAAACATATAAAAAAATATAACCCGGGACTACCATGATTACCAGGCAAGGCAAAGCAAAGCCGGGCGGTTCTAGCAATCGCGTTTATTCTTTTATATAATTCCGCTCATGTTTTTTTTTTTGGTTCATTTTTTTATTCGTCAGCTTTCCTCCTTTTAAACTTCTTCCAAGCAGTTTTGCGGCAGAACACAAGCTTAGTTCTTGATGGTCTCGATCAAGAGGGCTACAAGAAGAAAAAAAAAAGAGATGATGCAGATGTACAGCACGAATTAGCGGCGATGCGCCTTTGTTCTCCGTCGCACAATAAATCGTTCGTGAAAAAAAAGAAGTTAAACTTACTGGGAGGGAGAGACTGCTTCAGCTTCTCAGCCTTGGCGGCATCGTTGATGACGAGGGTGTACAAGTAGCGGGAGCAGCGAACCTTGAACTTTGTCTGGCTGCCGTTCTTCTTGATACGGCCGGCTACAAAAATCAGTATATGGAGATGTAGATTGTCGCAGGCAATATGAGTACTAATGTTATCAATTGCTCCTCTGTGAATAGCCATTGCTTTCCGTGATCAAATCTGTAGAGATCTTTTGGTATCGACTGCTCCATGCGTTGTCGAAAATGTGTACCGTCGATGTTGCAACACGTAAAGTTCGGTCCAGATTGTCCAGATACGAGGCGCAAAAACACACAGGGCGATTGTTTTGAGCTGGCAGCTAGTGCGGGGATTTGGTCCGCACATTACAAGTCCATACAGCTGCTTTCCTGTACTCTGTCCATATTGTCACAGCGTATGTCCTGAGCTAATGGTCGGTAGTCGCAAATGATAACCTTGTCCTGCCAAACAGCTGTCTTTTCAGTCCGCTCGCCCTGCATGCTGATCGTCCCAGTTGTCCAGTGCTGCGCGTCTGTGATGATCGAGAACCAATTTCGTTCACTTTGACGGATCGCTTTACGTACACTTGGCGTCCTTTCTGCGGGCGATCTCGAGGAACTGCTTGATGTCCTGAACTTGCTTAGGCTGAAATCAAGTGGGAAAGTAGACAAAAAAATATCCAGCATTAGACAAAGAACGGACAATTGTAGTCTAGACGGTCCCGATCCTTTCTCTGAGCAGGTTTGGCAAGAGTGTGATGGTGTGCAGACGTGTCAAGATATGCTTGGTCCTGAAATGATTGGAGCTTTCAGTAATAGCGAAAGTATTGAGTCCTGGCAAAGACATAAAAGTCATGATAAAACTTATGGTGTTATATCCTGGTTTTATGGGAGGTGTCAAGAGTGATGGATCAAAGGTTCGACATGCATGTTTTTGTCCTTGGTGTCGTTCATCAAAAAAAAAAAAAAAAAAAAAAAAAAAAAAAAAGGTCCCCGTTTCCGTGGCCACCTAGCCCTATGCGCCTTCCTCATATTGCAGTGGCGGTGACCCTCCTCTATAGGCAGGTTACTGAAAGTCGATGAAGGAACCAGGGAACAAGATCAAAGTAACGCCATGAGATCTGGCGTCGCATAGATCCTGATCCTCAGCCGCCGAACGTCTCCCCTGCACAATGATGTCCCTGATGCCGATCGCTACCGATGTTTCGCCAAATAATCCGTTCCTGATCCAAAGTCTATATTGATGTCTATATCGATGGTGCCGATAGCCCAATGGTTGGGTGCGTAATATCGATCGATGGATAGATAGATGGGTGCGCCTGCCTTGCACACATCCACCCTGCAAAAATTGCATTTCCCTGCCCCATCCAAAAAGTACCATGACTGGTGATTAGACTGAATCAAAAGGAGGAGCTCACCCACCTGCCTGGCCAACACACAATTATGCCTCTGGCTTAATCACATGATATATTGCACAGCGCGGACGCGTCCAGAAAAAAACCCCCTTGACGATATGACAATATGAACATTCCTCTAAGCAGGTCCATGTCCATACACAGAATCTGCTCATAACTGCAATAGTATGGCTTCAGCATAACGATGTTTCGCTATTAAATAGCGTTAACCACGGCAATTGCGGATACTAAAAGATCTCGAGGTTGTCCTTATCCTTTGTCCTTCACCCATGTGTACTCCGCCATTGGTATTTTTTTGTTGCTGTTCTTTGATAAACCTAGCCGTGCTATCCACCAAAGATTTGAAGTTCTTATAACATACTTGAGTTGGCCCTCTACCGTCTCAGTATCCTTCCCAGCCATCCTTTTTTTTTTTCTTCAAGATAATGGATATTAGTAGTTAAATTCTATTCAGCTATTTGGAAGAGCTTCAGTTTGCTGCGGATGGTCTACAAACCAGGACAGATCAAGTTCCTGATGAGCTTTCCAGAATATCATTCTCAATCGGAAGAGCAGCGAGGTCGGGAGTAGTAGCAGGAGTGTCTAGACATGGCAAAGAAACAAAGGGTAGGAGCAGGAGCGATCTCGCGATCTCGGAGCTTGAAGGCACGAAAGCCGAAGACCAACGAGATGGGGGCGGTGGTTTCGGCTTATCATGGTTCGAGCAGCTGAAAATCCTCAATCGATTCCAAAAACCTGCCCGGAGGAACAAGCCCAATGTTTGACGCTGCATTTTGAACGTTCTCTGTTCAGCACATCAACTCAAGTCATTGATTATCCATGGCTGTGGTTTGTAGGCGACCCAAAGAAGTTGGACTCGCAAGAGACTTAGAGACTTTGAGACACTAGGCATCCGGTTATTTATCCATCTGAACAATTAGCCTGAGGTGAACTGTCTGTGCTGATAAGACATCTTTGGATAGATCGGGCAGTTGAGCAAGCTGAGGAGACTGGCTATCCGATCACCTTGTCTGAGGAAGCGCAGCGAGACTATAGTCTCTGGTTTAGCCCCGAACAAGATGACGAGCGAGTTAGAAGAGCTGATTTTGTCGGCGAGAACAGGCTCTCAGCAGTCGAAGAAGCTGAGATATCTAGGACTACGAACGTCGGAGAAGGGGGAGGTATTATCAGATATAACTTATACAGCCAACGCCGCACTTGTTTCCGCTTCGTGGCAACGATACTGGCACACCCGGATAACCAGGAGGCACAAGCAATTGCTGTGAATAATCTCCAATAGACTACCAGCGATAGAACGCGGTTAGAAACAGCCTCGAAAACGCGTAGCATTCTACTATTCAGGACGGATTGCTCCCAAAAATAGAAGTATGAAGGAATTATTTATTTGGAAGAGATGACAAGTATATATGCAGGCCGGGCAAGTCGATGAACAGGACTCAATATGAACAGATAGCTTGGGATCCCGGAGGAGTGAAAATGAATTAAACGAGTCGCTAATATACACAAGGATGGTGCTGTAAAAATGTAGATGATCAAGGATATGATCGAGAATCTTTGACCGGTAGGGGTGAATGAACTGCAATAAAATATCAGAGAGAGTTATCGGTCACATGCGCTTGTTTCCCTTACTTCTCCCTCCAATTTTTCAATCGTCAAGCTCATAATTTAGTGGGTCTCTTCGGTATCCTTAGCCTTGGCAATCTGGGCAGCGATGTGGGCGTCGTCCTCACGGGCATACCAGATCACAGTTCCGAGACCCAAGAGGGCCGCAATGATAGTGAACACGAGGGCGACAACTCCCTTGCCAGTGAAGGTGCCAGGGAGAAGACCAGGTCCGACGTTGGCGCCAGTGAGGTCCAAGCCCTCGTTACCGGCAGCATTGCCACTGTATGGGATGCCGAGGGCCTTGCACTGTTCAAAGTGCGACGGGTCAATCTTGAGGATGCTGGACATGATCTCGGGAGCCTCAATGAAGGTCGTGGCAAGTCCAGCCTGGAGATGCCACTCGATATGGCAATGGAACAACCAGACACCAGGGTTGTTGGCACGGAAACGGATGGCAACGTTCTGCTCAGAGGGAACGAGGACAGTGTCGCGACGAGCAGGGTTGGTGGTGTTGAAGTAGTTGGGGTAGGGAGTGCTGGGGTCGTACTTGCCCTCGCCGCGTCCGACGATCTGGAACACGTGGCCGTGCAGATGGAAGGGATGGTTGCCGGCGTCGTCGTTGTTGATAATGATCTCAACCCAATCGTTGTGCTGCACGACCAAGGGGTGGGTGAACTTGCCGTAGACCTCGGGATTCGAGGAAAGGTTGCCAGTGGACAAAGCAGTATACAGGGTGGGAACCTTGGGCATGACATAGGTGATGTCGTTGAACGTGGCCTTGTTGCTGTAGTCATCCAAGACGCTGAAGACGGCAGTCAGGGCGAAGACCTTGTCAGGGAGAGCGGTTTCCTCAGGGATGACGGGGACGAGCTCAGCATCATTAAATTCATCCCACTGGGAGGTCTCCTCGGGGGCGAGAGGCGCAGCAGCATCATAGACGATGGTTCCAGTAACGTTCAACTGCAACTCGTCAGGGACAACGTCGAACATGGCGGGATCCATGTCTGCGTGCAAAACGTAGTTATTGGTGGTCTCGTTCCTGGCAGTGACAAGAACAGAGTAGCGTTGAGCAGCAGTGATGGGAAAGCTGGTAACCTTGGTTCTCTCGACATCGATACCATCGATCTCAATGATCTCCATCTCATGTCCGTCAATGTGGAAATGGAACATGGCAAGGGCAGACATGTTAATGATACGGAGACGATAGGTCTTGCCGGGAATGAACTCGAACTTGGCATCGGTCTGCTGGTTGATCAAGCCGGACTCGGGGACGGGCTCGGCGCCGCTAGGGTTGAAGATGGAGAGGTACTGCTCCAACATGACGCTGTGATCCTTGTGGTACCAGTCTAGCAAATAGACATGTAAAAAGACAGCACTATGTTAGGTCGCTATCGATGAACTTGCACGCGATTACTGTATGTTCATACAGGATCAAGAAGAGGGAAGTCAAAGCACTTACCAGCAAGAGCAATGGTGTACTCGGCATCGTACTTGTAGGTCTCGTTGATGTTATGGATAACCAGAGGTCCACGAAGACCATCGACATACTGGCCCTGGTAATGACCATGGATCCAGTAGGTACCGTGTTGCTCGATTGGGATGGTATAGGTGAAGTTGGCGCCAGGAGGAATGGGGCACTGGGTGACCATGGAGGGACCATCAAACTGGCCGTTGCCGGTCTGGAAGAGACCGTGAGAATGCAAGCTGGTGGGCTGGTCGATCTGGTTAATGACGTTGATGACCAGGGTGTCGTTCAAGGTGACATTGATGGCCGGGATGCTGTTCAAGGACAGGGAAGGAATAGTATGTTAGCTAATGCGGTAGAGGCATGTCAATGTCCTTCAAGGCACAGCGAAGGCAGGACGACAAGAGACACGTACGGGAACTGTCCGTTGACACCGATAACACGGCGCTCGAACAAGCCATCGGGGTTGGCGTTCACGTAGGTGATGTTCCAGTTGTAGGTGACGACGGCAGCCTGGGCGACGGTCGCAGCCAGGGCGAGGGCGGCGAGATTCTTGATCGAGGTAAGCATCTTTCTGCTTCTTTGGGGGGAGGGGGAAGGTGGGGGAAGAAGGAAAGGTGTTCCCAGCAGCGAATGAACGAATGAGGGGAAGAGGGGATGAGCGAATGAATGAGGGATCTGAGCTTTCTTGTTTCCTGATCCAGCCACTCGAGGGAACGAAAGGAGTTATGGAGGGTGAAGAGAAGAGGGGAGGAGAAGAGGGTGGGAAGGCGGAGGAGGTCCTGTATTTATGAATGAAAAAAAAAAGACGAGAAGAGGAGCCCTCCCTTCCTTGCGCGCCCTTGCCTGGAGTGCATGTAATTGGGTGTGTGGCAGGAATGAGTTGAGTGAGTGGGGTACTCTAAAAGGTTTATACTTCTCGTAAAGAGTTGAATTGTTTATCAGATCCAAACAGTAAACAGCAGGATAGGGGGAAAAAATTCAATATCAGATGGATGCTGTACGACTGGGCAACCCCATTCCGGGCGGTGTTTGGTCTGATTTGGCTTGGTTCTTTCGGGTCATACACACAAACACACACACACCAACACCTGTATAAACACCAGCACCTCTATTCTCACACTCACTCACTCACTTAATGCATTTACCCTTCATATATCTAACGAAAGGACGACCTACTGCAGAGATGGAGATGAGATCGAGGCGTAAAAAAAAAATATATAGAAAATGGTACCAACGTTGTTGTTGAGAATCAAAGACCCCGCATAGACTTCTTATTTTTTTTTTTTTTTTTTTTGCAGTCAGCACATTGTACCCTGGACTTAGTATGCAGAATAAAGTACTCACACTTTCAGTTAGCCGTTGACGTGCCACGCTGCACACAAGCGGGTAAATCCTGCAGCATTCTATCCGCATGCAAATGGGCGACCAGGACTACAACAACCAACCATCGCATAGCAGATAGATTTGGGCTAGCGATCGGTCCCGAGTCAGTAAAAAAAATCTTCTGTCGCGCTACGGTATCGCACCAGCAAGGTCTTGGATCTGATAAGATTGTTCATCTCAAGAAAGGGTTCCCAGATCATTTTATTTTATCGCCACTTGGCGGCTCTCCATCCTCACCATTCACGGATTAGCCGACATGGTTGAAATTCTACTGGAGGTGGTGCAACATCCAAACTAGCCGATACTTTCCTTCTTGTTTCCTTGGATGTTTTGTTTTTCTACGCATCTGCACGGTGACACCAGCAGCAACACCGGCGTATCCGAGCATAAGTCTAACGACCTGCATCTCATCTACAAAACAAAACATCTTGTACAGTTTCATACATATCTCTCTTAGTCATGTAGATTCTCGTTCTAGCTCCGGTTCTGGGTCCAGTTCTGATCCTAGCTCTAGTTCTAGTCCTAGTTCTGTTTCACGTTCTAGTCCTGTGGTTATCTCTCACCCTTAATAACCGTGTCAAGGTACGACATGGAGTCCTCATATCAGATCCATTCTGTCCCGGGACACCTCCAACGGCGAGCCGGGACTCAGGTCTACGGTGGACGAAACTGCTTCTGCACTTTTTCAGGGTCAGATCCCTTAGCCATTTGTGGGACACAGCCAACTTGATTTTACAAACCGATGGAATTCCATCCGGTTTCAAATGCACGCGTCCTTTGTACACTTTTGTGTTGCTTTTACATGAACAACTTTTTCACGCCCCGTCAAGGAGCAAACAGCCATTCGTGGAAACCGTTTCTGTACTAGCACTTTCCGTAACACCTACCTTCGTATGTACTTGTACACACCATCTTTTCTTCTATCCCCTTCGTAAGCCTACGTTTAGCTAGGGACCGTATTGAGGCAGAAGAGAAGAAAATAAACATCGCATGGCTCTTTTTTCTCAGGGGGCGTTACAAAAAAGGGCGAGAACAGATGGGATGTTCTAGGCCGCGTTTGTGGCCGATGCCTTCTCTTGGTTAGTCTGTCTTTCATCACTTTGTGTCCCTGTGGTTTTCCATGCCTTCTTAGAGGCTATGCGGTGCCAACCTACTGAGTTTGGTACACTTAGTCCAGTCTGCTCTCACAAATAAACATGCGAGGCGAAAGAAACGATGTTGCGCCTGTCTTTATACGGCGGAGACCGTGACATTTTAGTCCAGCGCCAAAAAGACGCATGTCTCGAAAGTACGAAAGTGGAAGACGAGTCCTATACGATTTAGAAGAGCTATGTCCTTATTCTCAAGGTTTCGGCACATGAAAAAAAAAGAAAAAAAGCTGACTCTGGATCTGATAACTGGTTTCCCACACAAAAAATTTTTCTCAGCTGAGAGCTTCTGTGCGTGCCTGGATTTGTTTATCAGATCGAAATTCACTTCGTGTAGTCTGGATGAATATGACTCTATCCAGCAAGGACACAACGGGACTTTTGTGTTTTAGTGTCTTAACGGGGTTGTTTACAGTCCATCCATCTTGATCGAGAGCTTCCGGCTAAGCTCGTACCTTTCATTTTGTTGACCGTCCAACATTGATTCTCCGTCATTTGTGAAGCTGCATCCTTTGTGGTTCGATACCCGGGAAAGCGCGATGGTCTCCTGCACCAACTGTAACCCAGACAGCACACACTGATTCTTTGAGTGTGTTTGTGTATGCTTATGCATGAAAGACGAATCAAAGAAGTACGAAAGGAAAGTACACTTTACTGCAAACACATTTATTCTCTACAGTTCGCGTTGTGGATGAGTACCGTCGTCGCCCATGCTCTTATAAAGGACGCCCACTTTTGCACTCTTGCCCACGTTCCGTTTTCTTGTCCCCCTTCTCTTTCTCTCACCCTTCTCCCACCTTTCCTCTCTCTCTCGGGTTTTGTAGTCTCCCCTGCTTTCATCCGTGAGCTAGGCTGTCCTTTTAGAGATCATCCCTTCCTCTCCTTCTCCCTTCCCTCTATCACTTATTCCATAACATAATTCAACATGGGGTCCGTGTTCTCAGCACCCATCTTCTTCATTATGTTCAGAGAGACGACCGAGGCAGCCATCATTGTCTCGGTCCTCCTCTCGTTCGTCTCCCAGGTCATCGTTGATGATCCTGTCCTCTACCGTCGCCTCAAGTGGCACATCTGGATCGGTGTCTTGATCGGTCTCGTCATCTCTCTAATTATCGGTGGTGCCTTTATTGCCATCTGGTACGTCCCATTGTTCACTTGGTATAATGTCGCTATTGTTTACACGGACGCGTACTCATAGCGTCCTCGACTATCTATTTATGTTCTAATAGGAACTCGCTGGCCAAGAACGTCTTCATGACCAGTGAGGAGCTGTGGGAGGGTTCCTTTGCCTTGATTGCTTCTATCATGATCACGGTCATGGCCTTGGCCATGATGAAGTCCCAGGACATGCAAGAGAAGTGGCGCGGAAAGTTGGCCCAATCGATGGACAACATAGACAAGAAGCAGAGCCTGAGCAAGCGCTCCCGCAAGTATGCGCTCTTGATTTTGCCCATGGTCACTGTCCTTCGCGAGGGTTTGGAAGCCATGATTTTCGTTGGTGGTGTAAGTTTTCGCTGCCCCTTGCTGTGCTGCTACCATGCATCTGAAAGCCCTGGAAGCATCTGTATTCATTTTTCATATTCGATCGTTATCCTTTAGGTTACATTCGAGACGGAGCCTAAGTCCATTCCTCTTGCTGCGATTACTGGTCTCTTGGCCGGTGCCTTGGTTGGATTCATCATTTACCGCGGAGGCAGTCGCCTGGCCCTTCACCGCTTCTTCGTCGCCTCTACCTGCTTCTTACTCCTCATCGCCGCTGGTCTCTTTGCCAAGGCCATTAATGCCTACGAGATGGACAAGTGGAACAAGATCGTTGGTGGTGATGCCGATGATGCCGGCACCTACGATCCCCGCGGCAACGTCTGGGCCCTTAGCTATGGCAACCCTAACGATCCCAATGCGGGTTTCGCTGCTTTCTGCAACTCTATTGTTGGCTGGAACAACGTCGCCTCGGTCGGTACCATCGTCGGCTACTGCGTGTATTGGCTTGTGATTGTCGCTTCGGTCATCTACATGAAGATCAAGAGCAAGCGCGCTCGTGCTGCTGCCGCCAACGTCGATACTCCATTTGTTGACGAGAAGGCTATCGCTGCTGCTCACGTCGAGAAGACTGCCGCTGAGAACCTTTAAATTTGATCGAACCTTGATCATAAAACACACATCTACTATGTCATTGTAATCATTAGCATTATCCTCCATCTATCATGTTTATAGCTCTTTTTTATTTTGTTTTTGTTTTTTAACAGGGTAGACACCATTGAACACTTCCTTCCCACCTTATGTATAGTTCCTTCCGTTCATAATTCTTCCCGGTCCATGGTGTTTTCGCTCACTCTTTGTAGTTGTTCGACTCCTTGCCGTGCTTTATAGAGTATAGAGTTGGCTGGAGAAGCGTAGCTCAACACGAGAGAATAAATCAACAAAAAGCAATATATGAAACGCGATTGTTATTACGCAAGAGAGGCAATGGGCCCACATTGTCGATTTCGTTGTAGTGCTCGATTTATTTACGCAATTTTCCGTATCCTGGCCAAAAAGAACCCGCTCGTATTACTCGCTATGGGATCGTATCTCAGGCACAAGTTCATGATATGATTTTGAAATTGCTCCATCTCGGCCTCCTGTCCAGGTGATCCCCTCCACCCTTCTTGAGTAGCAGATACCTCGGACTGAAGGTCCAGAGCGCTGGCAATTATTGAGCGGCATGGTCTCTTACAGCTGGCGGTGGGGATTCCGAGTGCATGTTTTGGCAAAGGCTCCAACACGGCTCTTCCTCTCATTTTTGCGAGGAACCATGCTACAATATCTTCATTTTGTGCCCTCGAGAGCGAACAGGTGGAGTAGACAACAATCCCGCCTGCTTTCGTCAACCGGAATCCATTCAGCAACAGTCCCCTCTGTAGACCCGACAGTGAGTCGAGTCGGTCCTGCGCCATGAAGTTCTTGTGGAAACTGTCCCAGCCCCATGCCTCGTATTTGAGAATATGAGCGATCGATCCATCATGTGTACCTATTTTTATTATATTTTTTAAAAAAGACAAGCAAATCTGTTAAAACAAGTAAGATAGCGATGGCAGGTAATTTGTTCCGCACCTTTTACAGTACTCACAGGATGGATACTTACATTCTGCATCGACTATGACTTTGTCGTACTTGTATCCTTCACCTCCGAGTTGAGGGTCGCTTCGAAGAATCTTTGGCGCATAGAATGGAGTCAGTTTTTCCTGGTTGCTTTCGATTTCCGTTCCATTGAAGGTTGTCGCCTGTCCCTCGTCCTGCTGACTAGACATCGATGACAGCGCTGCCAAGGTTGCTTTTTGTCGTTTGACCGAGCCCTCATCATCCATGGAATAGTTAGTGTGGAACTGCTGGAGCGCTTCGTGTCCTACATCACCATCCAGAGCAGCCTGTGCCATGCTCTCCTGTGCTTCTTCCCCATTTTGCCCATCCTCTCTCAGCGATCTTTTTGCTGGTTGGGCGCTCTGTCCCTCCTGAGTGCTGCTCTTCTTGCCAGCCATGATCCTCGCCCGAATAGTGTCGATGGCGCTTGGTCTCATGACCCCGAACGTCGTGCCATCTGCCTGGAAGAGCCTTGCGCACTGCTGGAGTTTGTGGCGTTTCAACAAACTTCTGCATGTTGACAATCGATGGGGTGAAATGTCGATCCCTGTCACTGTTCCTGTGATATCCATCCTGAGCTGATTGCCGTCCCGCAATCGGTCTGAGCGAACATGTCCAGAGTTGGTCAACAGCCCAGCAATCATGCAAAGCTTTGCACCTACCAGCAAAGGAAGAGTGAATAAGAGGACATTGAAGAGACACAAGAAACCAGCCTGAGATAATTAGATAAGAAATCCAGCTCGGTGTATTACCTGGAGCACAACAGATGTCGAGGACATGGTCTCCTGGCTGAATATCCAATGCATAAACCGCAATCCCCGAACTGAGATCCATCCCAAATATCCTACCATCCTTGTATCTATTGTAGTCGCAAAGAAATAGATAAAAACAGGACACTAGATCCATCATTTGAAGCTTGGTCATCGCACGCCCGATTTCCTTTGTCTGATCCAGCTACTTACGCCTGCGTATTTCTCAATTTGACATGTCCACTCAATCTGCAGAAAGCCTCCAATCCAGGAACAGGTTCAACTTTGGTGCCGAGCTCCTTTTCCAGTGCCTCGGGTGTAATGGTCAGATGCGGATCAGGGTTTAGGCGCACATATCTGGGAAGATCTGTAACAGTGTATATGGCTGAGTCGATCTCGTTCTTGGCCAGGAATGCAACGAATTCCACAGGGAGGTTGTCGAGAGAAAATGTCCTGGATGCAGAAACGCCATCCGCCTGGATTGATTCGTCGATGATGAAGTCGTCGTCTTCTGAATCCATGTGATGTTGTTATGCTATTGAGTTTGCTGATCTGGTCCCTTGCAAACTAAAAAATTTGTACTGTTGTGCTGTGCCCAAGGGCACTTTGCAAAACCGGCATTTAGGCTAGCTCGTGAAGTAGATTTGAGCGCCCGGTTTAAAAGCCCTCGCAATGTGTGCTAACAGGATTCCGTAAAACTCGGGGGTACAGACAGGGGCTTTTCATTTGGGGTCAGTCCAGGCAGCATAGACGGTATCGCTTGCGTTGGTTGTGGAGAACCTTTTATCGCTATGGTCGGGAAAAACGCGTTGTCCACCAAGGATCAAGAGAGACCATAGTCGCTCTCCGTAGCGCCAACAACTCGCCCCCTTTTTTTTATCCGGATCAGCAATAGTTCTAAAAGAACTCGAAGTGCCGTGTGGGCGTTTTGCAAATACCCTTCGATGGATGAGTGATTCAACAACATATATAGTCGTTTCGCAGCAACCAACAAACTGGAATGCTAGGCGCATCTGAACATTAAACGCATTATTTTGACAAGCCGTCCTGATTGAACTCGAAGTGCTACTGTTAGGAAGACGATCTGAGCAGCCAATCGACGTGTTCTTAAAGTCCCCTCTCTCACCCACAGTGAGCTCTTAAGCTTAAGAGCAATGGCACCGTTACTGCATGCAGGCCCGGGACCCTAATTACAGTTTCACGCTGTAGAGATTTTCGGGACCCAGTCTGTGGGTTGCTCATCCTCATTCCAGGAAAAGAACCTTGTGCACAAAGATTTGCTGATCATGCATGTCTCCGTTCTGTTTTTAGGACGCGTCTGTACAAGGCCGAGCGGCAGCGGCATAGACATGGGTGGAATATGTGCGGTACTGATGGAGCCCAAGAATAATAAGCAGTTACAGAGCCGGGGCTTCACTCTCACTCTCCTCTTTTTTTTTTTTTTTTTTTTTTGCTCATGGGGGAGAAATCTCGGCGTTCTGGTTCTAAGAGCATTGGTTTGGTTTATGATAAAGAAACAGAAGATACTGCGTTCTTGAAAGCTATAGGACTTGACGAAAAATTATTTTTTTTCCTATCTCGACTACCATATGCTCCATGCTATCATATGCCATGAATGTCCATTTATCGCCGTCGTATTGGTCTGTGTCGTTGTAGATACGTCTCTGTCGTAGACTGTATAACCTTGCAGGTATTCGTCCCGTCCTTTCGTTTCCGAGAGCTCCAATGTTCGGCTACGCTAAGAAAACCAGAAATCTAGTTTACGGATGCGATGCGGCATACGTTGTGCTGTTACAAATCAAATGAGCCAAGTTGAGCAAATTGAAAACAATGCAAGGCATAAATGTAGGAAGGGAAAGTGAACGGAGCAAAAATCCTAAGGACAGCCTGATAGATGCCTTACTGTCCCACAAACATCACAACCCCATTTAGGTTGATCGAGTACAAGCCCTAGGAGAAGGAAGTGGATGACCATTTCGCCTTTTTGAAGTCTGTAACAATTGTCCGCGTGAGCCAATACACAAGTCGTACCGTCGACTTGAGCCTTGTGTAAGCTGCCTTGCAGATGCAGATGCACTAAACAGCAAAGGAGAGCTAGGCTAATGCACGCGTTTTCTCGGACCCTGTCTGCATGCAACAATAGGTAGTCATGGTGGCAAGGCAGGCGGGCGCGTGTCCATAGTTGCTACACATGTCTCTTCGGGAGCATCCCTTCTTGGCTCGTCATTCCACTGAACGTCCTTATTTCTCCCTGTTACTTTCTCTGCAAGAGAAGGTACATTGCATTGGGGCAGGACATACATAATAAAGCTACGCGGATAAGCTTTTTTCTTTTTCACTGCGAAGTAAAGCGACGAGCATTATGGTGCCTTTCTGCGCGGAACGAAGCTGGTAAATGATTGGCCATTGAATACAAATTACTTTTATGACCCATCCCAAAGGTTGGACCCTCTGCGCCCCTGCAGCCTACGACCGACATATTAATCTCCTCCGCGAAAGTTGGGGGAAAAAAAGTGAATTATCCGGAGTCCAGTGGAACTCTAAACTATTTAGAGTGAGCTAGCTGGACAGAAAAGGTACGATGGGAGGCCATGGGCTGTCAGCTATCCCAAGAATGTCGGTGAGAACAACGACTTTGTGACTATAGCTACCTTGAAGACAGGGTCAAACATGGGCCCATTTCCTCCTGATAGTGTGGTGTCAGGAGTGAGGCATGAACCGAGAAATGAAAGCAATTGGTGGTGCGCGCGGGGACAGGGGTTCTGGCGTCAGTCGTACTCTTCGACATATATGCAAAACATAGGGCGAAGACACTAGAGATAACAACAAGGGATGCAGAAGGGATGGGTCCGGGATCATGGATCAGGTCTGGACTGAGAGCAAGGGGCCAACATACCGGTTGGTAGGTTGTTGCAAAAGTGGCGCCTCAAAGTACAGTGGGTCTCAGTCTGTATGGACTCTGAGACATGGTACAGTGGAATGAATGCGGTCCGATTACGCCCAATGGCCGCCCTAGACGAATCTCGCGCGCGCTTGTATTATCGTTGTTATAATTATTATTACCATTATCAGGCTTTTTTTCCCAACCTCAATGATATTGTGGTGCCGATAAAGATTGCGTGGCGAGGGAAAGTGGTACCGGGACCATCGTCATAGTCATCGTCATCATCGAGAAAGATGGGCTTGGACTTGCACTTGGATTGGCACCCGATCCTCGCCTGTGCCGCGCACTCAACGGCTAATATCTCCTCGAGTATCTGGGGGAGGCAAGGGTTGGTTGCGAAGTACATGCCCTGCTGCAACCTGTATCCCGCGTAGATGTAAATGAATAGAGGGCAGGGATGGCGGACTATGTCCTACATGATTGGAAGGGGAAATAGCACTAATTATAAAAAAAAGTTGGGCACATTGAGATATAAAGATGGAGGAAAGTCAATTGTATGTTGCTACTAAGGTTCAGGCTATCATTGAGAAAACAATATGTGCTATTTTCATTCTGTTTTCTTTCGCCTAAACCCCTTGGGAACCGCTGTTGATGTCCATGTTCGTGTTCACGGACCTGTCATCATTACTATGATGATCATTAGCCCTTTGTTTTTTTTTGCTGCTGCTGTCGTGGCTCTACATGGTCTATGGACAGTACAAGAGTCATTGATTCGGCGCATCCACAAGGGAGGTGAGGGAGAAACATATGCAGATCACTCCTGGCCAATTGCCTGCTGTTCCTGAAAAAACATGCGCCGGTACCTGGATTTAGGAAGTGGATGATGTACATTCGACGGGACCTGGCCCTTGCATCTTCCTTCTTCAGTCCCCTCCTCTTTTTTTATTCCCTTCCTTCCCTTCCTCTCTCCTTACTTACTTTTCTTTCTTTCTCTCGGTCAAATTCAGATTCAGATTCAGATCCAGATTCAGATTCAGATTCAGATTCACCCCCACCTCATTCACTTCTCGCTCCTGCAACGCCCCCCTACGCTCCTTTCGCGCACACAACGTCAGTACCGCCTGCCCAACAACACAAACCCCAGACCCATCATCGCACACGGTCACCGATTCCGCCCCTCCATCATTTTCCTATCGACACTCCGATTTGCGGCGCACACACCCTTGTTTTTTCTACAGACGCCCGATTCTGCCTCGCCAGCTCCTCACACTACATCATCTCCTTTCAGCGCGGACCATCTCTCAGTGCCCCCGCACCCCCCCTCCCATGCTTGTTTGTGCTACCCGCGCATTTCAAACCCAGTAACACGGTGCGCGCACCTCCCTGCACTCCTCACCTTGGTGTGTTTACCATTTTCGCATCTTCCGATTTGGTCTATCCTCACTTTTCACCCTCCTCTATTAATTTTTTGCACGAAAGCAACCCTACTTGTCTTGCTTCTCTGCGTCTTCCGCCTTTTTTTTTTTTTTTTTTTTTTTTATCCCTCTCTCGCTCTCACTCTCACCACATTTCCTGCAATAAAATGGCCAGCAAAGTGCCAAAAATGCACGTCTTAATTGTCGGAGGAGGGATCGGAGGACTGATGCTAGGTCTAATGCTCGAAAGGGCCGGCATTGACTACCAGATTCTCGAGCGATCCCCTGAACTTCGGCCGTTGGGCAGCGCTATCTCCCTGAATGGCACCGTTCTACGCTTGTTCGAACAACTAGGGTAATTAGAATGACACGCTCATGTTTGAATTGAGACAGCCGCGATGTAGGGCTCAGTGAGCGCGGCATTGAACATATATTGTTCAGGAACAGCGTCTCACTCACGTACATCCGAATGTTGTATCCCGAGACATTGTTTAAAACGCCAATAATCCTAATTCTCTAACGCGTCGGCCTGGATTTCTTGTGGTCCGTTTGTTTTCTTGCAGACTGCTAGAAGACCTGCTCAAGATCTCAAAGGCCGCCGGCAGGCTTCATTTAGTAAAAGAAGACCTAGAGACCCAGGGTCATATAGATCTTGAGCATTTTCGCGAAAGGTAACTACATCGACTAAACTTGTATACGCGTATTGAGCTGCATCCTATTGCACTATCTCACGTCAATGACAATTTGTCTTTACTCTCTTGCTCTAAAAAAAGATACGGCTACCATAGCATCGTGTTTGGCCGCCCAGATTTCTTTCAGATGCTGATCTCTCACATCCCCGCAAAGAAGATCCTGATGGGCAAGCGCATTCTTTCGTCCTCCCAGACAGAGCTTGGCGTGATAGTCCGGTGTTCCGATGGCTCTGCTTACCATGGAGATATTCTCGTTGGTGCAGATGGCGCCCACAGCTCAATACGACAATGCATGCACAAAACTCTGAAGGAGCAGGGCTTGCTACCAAAATCAGACTCGGAAAAGCTCAAATTTGATCAGAATTGTGTCGTTGGTATCACGAACGAGCTTGATCCTGAAAAGTTTCCAATCCTGAAGGAGGAGCTGTGTGAACTGTATGGTGTCATAGGCAAGAAAAATCCTTACACGGTAAGCCTTCGTACCTCTCTCCATTATCGGATTTTGTTCGCGTCATTACACAGTTGGACGCGTTATTTGCTCGATTGCTTCGGTTGATGCTCGATGATCCAGGCACAAATGTTACAGCACATACACCTGTGGGACATTGCAGCTCATCTCTGAAACACTGCCTACTATTTATTTCGGATGGTGCTCACCAGTGCCATCTATGCATTGCGACCCTCATTTTGTCTCACAGCTCACAGGCCACAGCCGCAATACTCTACACCATCGCTTTTGCTCACAATTGTGCTTTTTTTTTTTTTTTTTAAAAAAATCAGATATGGCTGGTCCCAATAGTTGGCAACCGGTTCGCGTGGTCCATTGGCGGTCGTGTTCTCGATTCAGAAGCAGGCCAAGAGGACATCCGCAGCTTCTCCTTTGCAGAGTGGTGGCCAGAATTAGCTACAGATGTCTGCGATCTTGTCCGCGACTACACCTTACCCGATTTCAAGATCCCCTATCATCAAAATGAGCATTACAAGAACACCTTTTTGGGAGACGAGGACATCCACGGGGGCCATCCCACGAGCGACGAAACCAGCTTGAGCGACGACGAGAGTTACCGCAGCGGCATCCCATCAGACAGTAGCCCGATGTCCTCAAGTGCCAGCAGTACATGTGGGAGCGATCATCCTGCAAACTACCGCAACAGGAAGTTCTCTCATCTCTCAGCCCCAACGAGCCCAGGCATTCAGTTTCGTGGCAATTCAACGCCTCCTTTGTCACCCTTCGGTCCCAGTTCCGCAACAGCACACGCACAAGGCATGTCCCAAAAGCGCAAGTCCTCTCCCGCCAAGCCTGGAACAGTGGCAGAGATCATTGATGCTACGAATACGGAGCGCATCTCCAAGGTGATGTTGGAGTCCAAGTTATTCAAGGTATGGCACCACGAGCGGACGGTCCTTTTGGGCGACTCGTGCCACAAATTGCTGCCCTTTGCAGGACAGGGTGCCACCCAAGCCATCCTGGACGGCATTTCGCTAGCGAATGCTTTGTACGACATGAATTCTACCTCGATCGAGGACATTACCAAGGCTTTCAAAAGATACTCTAGTGAGCGGATGCCCATCGCGCGCAATGCTGTCGCCGGGTCACGTTCCTTTAGCAAGCTACTTAATATTCAGGGACGATTGTCGGAGTTTATTTGTAGGATCTCATTCAATCATGTCCCACACTGGATTTTGAGATTTGCCACGGACAAGCTACATCTCCATCGTCCACAGCTAAGCTACCTCCCCATGGTCCCTGATCGTGGTACCGCCAAGGCTTACAAGCAAGAGTACTCGCCAAGGTATTTGGCGCAGTTGGACGAGGAACGACAGGCGCAGTTGGAGCAAAAATACAACGCTACACATACGAATACTCTCATCGAGGCTATGACTGCTCCTAGCGAGTCTCGACACGAAGATCAAGATGACCTGGATTACAAATTCAAGCATCACTTCGAGCCCCAGTCTCAAAGTCGTCGTTCTTCGGTTTCGCGTGAGTCCGAGTCTGGCAAGAAAATGTCCTCGAGGTCCTTGATCCCACCACCTTTACCCTTGCAAGCACCACCTCGCCATCACCCCACGGTCTATCTTCCGCACCGCTCAGAAGATACGATCGGAGCCATCACATCATCGCGATCGTCTTCGGCGTACTCGTCTCCTTCTTCCTCCACCTATTCACTGTCGTCTGCCGCATACCCCGACGAACTGGGCCCTCAGTCAAGAGCCAGACGCCACACCGTGACCCAGAATGGTCGCCCTCAGTCCACGTCTCCCCGTGTCATCTCCCGCAAGGCCTCGTTTCCACAGCCCCTGACAATGCCTCTTCCGTACGAGACCCACAACCATTCTCCATTGAGATCGCCTGATGCAGCCGGCGTTAGCAGCCAAAACAGGTTCTACGAAAAGACGCCCTCAACACCTCCTCTGTCGCCTCGTTTTCACACTGTCCCGATCATGACTCCGCACAGCCGCACCAAGAGTTTGCAGCGGGACGATTCTCTGGTGGAGGAGATCCGTGCGCTGGAGAGGACTACAGCCATGATGAAGGAGCGCGCAGCACTGCGCGAACAGCGGTCATGGGATCAGATCAAACATGCGACGCGTAAGTAATAGCACCATCATCATCAGCATCGGCACCAACATCAACGCGGTCATGGCCACCAACCAAGGGACGCGTACGAATACCTGTAATATGCACATTTCACAAACCTACATCACGTTCCATTCTTGCGTATATACTACGTCTTTCATGTACACATCATATAACTTACAGCATAATCGCTCCTCTGTCAAAGAAAGGAGTAGCTAGCATAGCATTCTTGTATATCTCTTTCATCGCTATAATTAAAATAATCGTGGCAATTATATTAAGACCATCTCGGTTTGTGAGAAAGCAGACGCCTTACCATTGGCTGGTGTGTCTTGTAGAGCGGTGTGAATATTGTTGTTGTGGCCACCGTGCTCTTGATGGCCAATGAACTTATGGTTCTAGTGCTTTAATGGTAGGCAGTGAAAGCATTCGAGTGGAAGTCTGGCTGCTACTGCATCTCTTGACTATGCTCATGCTATATATCTATTTCGAGCTCGTTCATCATGTTGAGTTAGGCCCATTTTTCGACGGGGCCGATAAACATAAATCCAAATCATCGTTCAGGTTATATGATATGCGACCCTCTAACAAGAAAAAGCAAAAAATATGAATTAGCAGCTATTTCAACACAATTAGTGTCATCCATAGGTACCAGGCATCCTCCTCGACTCTCTTCAGGGTTTCTCGACTGTACACTACTCGACGTCATTACTTAATGCGATGTCAACGCGCCAAAGAGATAGCAATAAGGTTATGGGAGGCATACGGAAGAAGATTAGATTGCTTCTTGGCCATGAGCCAGCAGCGATCAATACCCACGCAAAGCTTGTTGTATTCAATGGGTCTTATGGGACAACGCGTTGGCGAAGGGTGTGAACATTGGGTGGTGAATCGATTGCGCTCTGGAACGTGCGTGCTTGAAGACTAGGACGCGTCTGATTCGATTTCAAAGTAGTGTGCCGATCTATTCGTTCGTTCAGAACGTCTCGGTCCAGTTTTCCGCAAGCAGAGCCGCATCTGCATTGGAGTTGAATACGTTCATTCGAGTACATGGACACAGGCTTTGATAAACCCCGCCGATCTAGGTGACTAGCCCATTGACTTTTGAGCTGGGAAACCGCTGCGCACTTGCACCGGCCCGGTTACTTCTAGGGTAGATGGCAACGTCCTTTTTTTTCTTTTTTCTTTTTTTTTGAATGAACGTAGAAACCTTAAAATTCCGGCGAGTGTATAAAACTGTCTCATTTCTTCCCCATCTTTTTCTTCATTCATCTCTTTCATCCCTCCCGCAATCTCTTTTTCTTGAAAAAAAAAAAATGGCTACTGAATCCCTTACCCTTCACCCAAGCGGCAGCAAAATGCCATTGCTCGGGTTTGGCACCTGGAAGATCCCAAAGGACTCGGCCGCTGATGTTGTCTACAAGGTATCCCCTTGTGGACCGAGGTTACCTACGCGTTATTGTCATCTCCAATGGTCATATTGACATTTTTGTTCTTTCTCGATGACACTCTATGTCGAATAGGCAATCGAGGCTGGATACAGGTATTGATATTCATCGATCGTAATGGCGGCAATAAACCATATCTATGGACTCGGCAACAGATCTGACTAACTAGTTGAAATCGTAATCAATTTGCGTGTTGGTAGACTGTTTGATTGCGCCTGCGACTACGGCAATGAGATCCAAGTTGGACAGGGAATCAAGAAGGCCATTGCTGACGGTCTTGTTACTCGCGAAGAACTCTTCATCACCTCCAAGGTAAGAGCGACGTATGATGCTGTGCTGCGTCAATATTTATATTTTTTTATAATTTACCCAGTTTTAAATGGTCCATCGAATCTCATTCCGCGCTGTTGTCCGTTTGTCCAAATAGCTGTGGAACACCTACCATCACAAGGAGCATGTCCCTCTCGCGTTCAACCGCACCCTCACAGATCTGGGACTCGACTACATCGATCTCTACTTGATCCATTTCCCCATCTCGCTCAAGTTCGTCCCCTTCGAGGAGCGCTACCCTCCTGAGTGGGGTAACATGGAGCAGGACCCCGTCCCCATTCACGAGACCTGGGCCGCCATGGAGAGCCTCGTTCACTCGGGCAAGGTTAAGAACATTGGCGTCTCCAATTTTACTGCCGTTCTCTTGATGGATCTGCTGTCTTATGCCAAGGTCAAGCCTGCGGTCCTTCACATTGAGGTCCACCCTTACCTTAACAACGCCGATCTCATCAAGTATGAAGTGCTGGTCATTTTGCTGTAATTACTTTGAGTCTCGGATGTACGTTTCCACAGAATACTAATTCACTGGTTTCAAAAACTTGTGTCATTTGCAGGTTCGCTCAGAGCCAGGGTCTCCAGATCACGGGCTACTCCAACTTTGGACCTACGTCCTATGTCGAGCTTGGATCGCCCGCTGCTAAGAATGCGGTCCCTCTATTCAAGGAGGAGAATCTTTCCAAGATCGCTGCTCACCACAACAAGACCGTTGCTCAGGTTATTCTGCGCTGGCTGGTCCAGGACAAGATCGCGGTCATCCCTAAGTCTGTGAATCCTGTCCGTCTGGCCCAAAACGCGGATATCTTTAACTTTAAGCTGTCGACCGAGGAGATGGACACCATCAACGGCATGAGCATCCCCTTGAGATTGAACGACCCTGGCGTCTATGCCAACATCCCTATCTATGCTTAATGGAGCGAAACCCTCCTATTGTAATTAGCCACCAACTTTCTCTTCAGTAAATTCTGGTGATATTCTCTTACTGAAATGGATGATGGTTTTATTTGACAGAGATGCGTTTATAGACAGAGAATACCAAGAGGAGTCTGTCTCATCTAAAAGGCCCTTCCACTGCTCTGGCGACGGTTCAAAAAGGTCATCAGATCGTATTTAGTTGCAACGCCCAAGCACCAGCGACGGTCGTCATCCGTGACCACAGCAAACGAATGCTTCTCAAAGAACTTGGATAAATCTGCCAATGGGGTATTGGGCGTAATAGTCTCGTACCTACGTGCGTTTTGAAAACGGCAGAGGACACGATCAGTAAATTGCGCTCAAAAACAATCGTTTAGCCAAGGCAAAGTGCATAAGGACTTACGTCGAGGGAGCACCGCCCTTCTTGCCCTTCTTCAGGAACGAGTACATCCACTTGGAGACTAAATCCGACTCTTGTGCCCGACCATCCTCCATGAGAGTCGTCAGGGACGTCAAAGAGATGTATCCCATCAACTTGCGGTTTGTGGGATTAATGACAGGCAACTGCGAAAACTCTCTGGTCAGCATCAGATCCAGTGCATATCCCACAGTCGCTGTTGGAGGGATAGTGACAGCAGCGGGTAGCTGAAGATCCTCCACACTGGCAGCGCGGTATTTCTCATGACGGTGGTATGCGGCAGATTTAGCCATAGTCTCGTCCATCAAGTCGTGCTCCAACAGCCAGTCATCCGAGAGCAATGTTGACGAGTAGTTGCGCGCAGTGTCGTTCAGGATAGTCAATACCCGGGGTTTTTGAGCGCCCTCTTTGGAAAGCGATCTAGAATAGCGCAATGCAGCAGCGACAACGGTTCCAGAAGAAGGACCTGCGAATACAAAAGAAGACGAGCACAAATGCGATCAATACAAATAGCATATTTGAGGGATGGAAGATGCAGTCATGCATCCAATTCCGAATATCTCACCACAAAACACGCCTTCCTCGCGAATGAGTTGCCGTGCAGTGGAATAAGAATCCTGATCAGAGACCTGAATCCATTCGTCCACAAGACCCTTATCCAGGATCGAGGGCGTGAAGTTGCCTCCGATATCTTCGACCTTCCAAGCGCCCGTTCTGATGACGCCATCATGCACAGAAGAGTGCTCTGGTTCCACTCCGACGACCTTCAGTCCAGGAATCTTAGCCTTCAGGGTCCTTGCAAGACCAGTGATCGTTCCTCCGGTTTCCACGCCCACGACTAGAACATCCAGGCGCCCTTCGCACTACAGATGGATTCAAAGCAAGAAATGAGTATCCGGATAAAGCGTTGTGTCAAAGCTGCTAGGTTCTGGATCGACTCAGCATACCTGAATAAGAATCTCATCTGCGGTCTCTTGGCTGTGGACCTGTACGTTGGCACCGTCCGCGAACTGAAGATAAATGAATCGATTTGAATCACTGCCATTGTCTTCCCGTTCGAGACATCCTCACTTTAAGCATGCTTCTTTCTCTCACCTCATCAACCAGAATGGCATTGGGCAGATCCGTAGCAATCTTCTTGGCGATCGAGAATTGGGACTCTGCAGACTCTGCATGGGCTTCAATTGGAGTGCGCACGATCTCCACGCTCAGCGACTTAAGCAACTGGATCCTATCCAGGCTAGTTCTCTCGGGGACGAGGCCAATGACCTTATAATGACCATTCTGAGGAGACAAGAGTGCGAGACTGATGACCAAGTTGCCGCTGCTGGGGACAACTAGAGTGGTCGACTCACCCTTGATCTTGTTAGCAACCTGCAAATTGGCGAGGATCCGCTGAGCGACTCGGTCCTTGATCGATCCGCTGAGGTTGCTGAATTCGGTTTTGGCGAGAAGCTCGACTACAAAGGGACAAAGGGTGAGAGCGTAGCGTTGAAAACAAATCCAACAAAATGTCAATTGATGATGATCTAGGACTCGAATTAATACGAGCGAGCAATATGCGCAGCATCTTCAGCCTTTACTTTGAGCTCTGTTGCCGGTGGCGTTGAGTCGGACAATGGGCGTATTGCCAATAGTGCCTATCAAGAAAGGTTTGCAAAACCCGCGGCCGCCTATTAGCTGTGCTGGTCAAGTCTTTGAGACATCTGTAAAGTTCAATTCGCTGGATTCTGAGACGTGCCTGCAACGGCGTCGCTGATAGCTGGGGGTGCGATTCTGTTGGATGCCATGCCGATGGAGTGGTGGGAGAGAGAGATGTTTCCCAGGGACCTGATTCCAACCGTCAGTAAAAAAATGTCGTGCTTGGGACGGCCCCTCTTCACCCCGCACTCCTTTCCTGAGCGTTTGCCACCAAAATTCTTCCATGTCTCATTTTGGACGTTATTTGACACTGTTCTCACACCTCTTAATCCAATGCATCACCTCCAACTCGAATCACCAAGTTGACATTCACATCCCTTGGCGCGACCGCAGGAATTTTCTTTATTGCTAGTATGAGCCTTATACCCCGTCGCACCCGTGGCAATATCACTCGTTGCAAGAATGCGTTTCTCCAGCTCGAATTGGGGCTCGTTCGACCTACAGTGTTCCAAAAAAGATTGCTTGCAAAGCGGATCATCGATATCGAACTCGACCCTTCCACCTCAATAGAACGGGAGCATGCTGGAGCAGTCAACACTATCGACATCGAGGAAGCTGAGGGTAGATAGTAAGACGGTCCACCCATGAAACTTGACATGATCTGCTACGATAATGGGTCTGCGCTGTAATATACTGACAAACGTTCTTGGTTCAATTGTCTTAGTTTGGTCTCTGGAGGAGGAGATGGCAATGTTCATGTCTATGATCTGGACGAATCTGAACGCGAAGAACGCCGGATTATCAAGAGCATGGCTTCCGCGCATGGGTAAATACTTGTTACAAAGAAGGTGTGAAAGTAGTAAATGAGAGTTTACCATTTAACGCCATCAATTTTATATTGTTTTAGAAGTTCAGATGGGCACAAAGGAGGCGTGTCGCGCGTGCGCTGGTATCCGTTCGACAACGGTCTGTTCACGACCTCTTCGTTCGACAGCACTATCAAAGCATGGGACACCAATACTATGGAGGTAAGCCCTCACTGCACGCTCTACGTCATTATAATTTACTCCGCAAAATACTGGATCCCTGCTCTGACAGTCCGTTGCCCATACGCGTAGGTCGCATGCACGTTTGATTTGGAGAACAAGGTCTACAGTCATGCTGTTTCGTCTAAAGCGACCCATGGACTCATTGCAAGTGCGTGATATATTCCGTGGTTAATCGAAAATAATTTGGCAAATCGGCCTAACGTAGTGTATCCTTCAGTGGTACTAATATCTAATGTACAATGCTTTTTGTAGCTGCGTCGGCTGACCCAAGAATACGACTTTGCGACTTGAAGAGTGGTGCATTCACACATTCACTTCCAGGACATCAAGGGACGGTTCTGAGCGTCGAGTGGTCGCCTCGTCATGAATATCTGTTGGCTTCTGGAAGGTACATACACGAATTTATATGTGAATACCTCATTTCCTTGATAGTAAGCTAGTTCATTAATACTATCTAACTCTAATGGCATGTAGCACGGACACGACTGTGCGGCTATGGGACATCCGAAAGTCCAGCTCCTGTTTATGCTCACTTGATCTACATAACTCAAACTCACCACCATTAGCAGAGACCAACTCTGCACATACAAGAACAGTCAATGGACTCAATTTCACTCCTGATGGCCTCTATCTTCTAACGACTGGTCATGACGACAAAATGCGGCTTTGGAATTTATACACCGGTCAAAATACCCTCACAAACTATGGCACGATGATTCGAAACCAGTTTGTGCATAATCTTTCGCCCCTGATATCGCCTATTTCAGCGGGATCGTCCACGTATGTTTTTCACCCATCGGACGATCGGTCGATTTACATGTTTGATCTGATGGACGGCGCACTTGTGAAGCGATTGACAGGATCCTATGGTCGGGTTACTGCCCTTGCATGGCGACCAAGAACACAGGTATGCTAGGCTCGGCCTTTTTTTCTTTCTTCTTTTTTCTTTGGTTGACCAAAGAAAAACACAAAAGATAGCGGGTTTACTGACACTAGCACTTTGCACAATAATCTAGGAGATATACAGTGCAGGAAATGATCATGATATTTTGGCATGGTGTCCAAAGAGCATTGACCGCGATGATACCCTGCGGGCCATTGCTGACCAAGATACGTGGTCAGACAGTGACTGAGCGCAATGTTTGTTTTTCAAGAAAACTCCCCCGAATAAAGCTCGTTCTAGAACACTTGTCAAATGGGATGTCTCATGCCGAAACGAATCTCTTAAACCCCGTAGTCTGTCAAGAATACACACGATCCGTCGTGGATAGCGCGTATTATTTGGATGATAGTATGTCATGCATCGACTCCTCAAGGCAAGGCAACGTGCTGCATCTCTTCATTAGGACGGAAAACTCTTTCAACCACATTAATCTTCAATGGCGGACGAAAATATAGCCGCTGTAGGCAAAGTCCTGAAAGGACTGAGAGTAGTGATGATTCGTCCGATATCGGATAAATGTTTGGTAGTCGCACATAACTTCTGTCCACGGATCTTTTCATTTGATAAACATGCATGAATGAATGCCATGGAGTATTCTGGCTACCACTATATCAACTTATCTACTCGTTCCTGCATTGGGGGGGGAGGTTGTGAATGCTCGCATGACAAAGAAGGCATGCAGCCGCCTCCTGCATGCCGCATCGGATTTTCCGTGTGCCATTCCTTACAACAAAGAGTTGAGATGGATGCAGATAACACGGAAAAGTACGACCATGGGTCATGTTTGGGATCCATGACAGCGAAAAAGATAAAATGCGTGCACCTGTAAGGGTTTTATTCAAACAAGACGAGCACGCTAAATGTCGCCAGAGGCCGCTTCTTGCCCATTTTTGGGTTGCAGGCTAGAAGTAATGCCCCTATCGATCGTCCAACCCAATGCATGCGCGAAATAAAGAAAAATGCTCTGTTGAAAACTTCAGGAGCATACATGCCCTTTAGACTTGGCTGCTTTCCTCCTTAGCTCAAGCACAACATTATTCCTTTTTGCCGTCAACAAGCATTTCCGCACTTCATGTGGAATGCATCTATATGATCTTCTGTTAGCGGCCCAAGTATCTTCCCATACCCAAAACACTAATTTACTAAGCTCCATGCAATAGCAAGGATGATAAACTGTTACTGAGGATTAAATGCAGCTGGGGTTATATTTTAGCATTTCTGTTTGAGATTATGCTAGTCTATAGCCTCCTCTCTATCGATTACCAAGGAACTTTGTATTCCGTAGTTCTTACTGAGAGCCCTCCCCCTCCTCCCCGGTCATGGCGCGTGTATGACATGGGAGACTGATCGCAGTCGATTCTGATTGTAACAATCGAGCACACGATAACGATCAAACTTTTCGTTTACTTCAATGGACCTGCTTGCCTGAATGAAGCGCACTCGCAGCAGACAGGATAAACAAAACAGCAGCATGGACCCTGCCTTTGCCGTCTGTCCCTCTATTTCAGCACTTTGTGTATCCCACGGCTCAAAGAGACACAAAAGAGGAGGCGGCTTACGATCGCGATCTAATCGCGTTCGATGGATCCAATCAGAGATGAATGAACATTGAGCGGGTAGTGAAATTTGAGAAACGGCATCTGTGGAGAATAGACCAGGGGGCATGTCTGTAACACAAACATAGACAAAAAAAATTCGCAACAATCCGGTGAAAGAGCTCAACGTAATTGGCGCAGATTATTGTAATGGACTACGGACCGTAGACCGCGTTCTACTAGCGTCCCTTTTTTTGTTACACTGCATGGTGCGGCATGTACATTACATTTCCACTCTAGAAATGAGTCCGAGACTGAGAGCCATGCACACTCGCGTTATTATTCCGCAAGTGGGACTACCTTTACATGGCAGGGAAAGGTCCAGTGTGCTGATATAACGAAGATTCAGGTACGCCGAGTGGATCTTGACCAAAATGAACTGTCTTCTATTGTGTCCTTGATGGCAGACAGATAAACTATCATCAACGTTGGTCTCCTGGATGCATTATCTCGGGGCATGTTTGTTTATTTGGTCGATTTGTTTACTTTCATCTCACCATGGGATTCATGGCAGCAACGCAAACGGCCTCTGACGATATAGCTGAGAAACAAAACAATTGATTATGCACGATTGGTTTTTTATCCCTTGGACATCCACAGAGACAACAAACGGCTAGTTAATATGGCTCATCATTAGATACCATCCACTCAGCCATCTGTTGAGGTTCGTTCTTCATTTGTACAATAGATTTTCAACTTCATCTTATTACATTGCATGGTCTGAGAATGTACCTGAGCTACGGTAGTCTCGAACTGAACGAGGGATATTGGTATTTAAGATGTTTTCGCGTATAAAACGCAGAGGGTTCCACATACTTTCCGCTTCACTTAACCTCAGACACACACACTCCACTCCTACTAGTTCACCTCACTACTTCAATTATAATCATCATGAAGCTGCTCGTTTCCGCCGCCATCTTGGCCCTCTCCTCCATGGCCATGCTCTCGGATGCCCACATCTCCTTCAGATACCCATGCCCTCGTCGCGGTCCTTACTCCGAGTGCCCTCAGCCCAAGGATAACGAGTGGAACTTGGTCGACTACGATGTCCAGTCTCCTCTTGGTACCCACGTAAGTAGTGGCATCAGCACTCTCAGCTTTAAGGACTGTGATGGCAATGATAGAGGTGTTATTCATCACGCCTCGTTATTCCTTTTATGTGATTTCAGGATAGTATCAGCGACCCCATTTGCAAGCACCCCAGCTCGTTCGCTGGAGTCCGCCCCACCTTCACTGCTGGTCAGACCGTCCAGACCAAGATGGATGTTGATGTGAACCACAACGGAGGAAGGTACGGAACCTGGAAGATAGGCGCCGCAACATATAACCATTCATGATACCAGTAATCTAAATCGCTCGTCATTTAAACGCGTGCCTTGTATTACATTAGCTGCCAATGGGCCCTTTCCTACGACAACGGCTCCACCTGGGTTGTAAGTCATCAAAGCAAACTACATTTCTTAGTCATGTTTAATATATCCCCATGAGTGCTTACTCACTCTCGCTCATCTTGTTCGATATCCTCTCACAGGTCATCCAAGACCAGTTCCAGAACTGCCTTGCCAGCGCCCCCGCTAGTAGCACTTACACTGTGCCAGTGACGATCCCCGCCAACGCCCCTACGGGCAAGGCCATCCTGAACTGGATTTGGAACAACAACGAGGGCAACCGTGAATTGTACTCGAGCTGTGCTGACGTCGTCATCCAGGGCACGAACGGCGGTTCGCTCTCGGGTGTTGCTCCCCTCTTTGCCAACTATGGTCCCTCGAGCCCACTCATTCCCGAGAGGGCTGTCTCGGGTGGCGACTGGGGCAAGAAGTACTTTGATGCCAGAAAGCCCATCACCGTCACTGTCCCTGCCCAGAAGTTGAAGAGACAGGTCGTTGACATGAACTAAATAACCACAACAATAACAACAAAACGGAGCTGCTGGTCACTCTACACAAGAAATTGAAATGAAGGACAAAAAAAAGAAAAAAAAAAAAGAATGAGAGAGACGTGGTAGTTGATATGACGAGGAGAAAGACCGTGTCGGGAAGTGTTCCTGCTGGAGGTTCTTTTTTTTTTCCGAAGCCATTGGTCCTTGCTATCCATCTTTGTATATCCCGCTTGATCTGTTCATTTTCATTTTCATAATAAACAGAAAGATTCTGTAAATACCATTTGCGCACAGACATGAAGAACAATCGCGTCGATCGCTGTGGCATTTTAACGCGTCACGAAGACAGCGGCCCCCTGGTAAGGACAGCAATTGGCCGAGAGACAGTGAGATACACATGTTCGAGTACATGCGCATAAACACGGCAGAGAGGCGAAATGGTGCAGCTAGTCCTATCGGAATATAACGTGGGAGATGTTTGCTCGCAAGGAAAGGGAGTGCATGGCATACCCATTTGCAATGACAACGTAGAGGGAAAAAAAAAACAAAAAACAAAAAATGTTTCACTGAGCTTCACGCTTTACTGAGCACAAAACAAGCCAGCTTTAATTCTTTCCACGGGTATAGGGCGTGTCCGTATAGAGAAGTGGAAGTGGAAGTGGAAGAACAAAACAAACAAACAAACAGATTATGGGCGTACTTGCGTACTTGGTATGACACTGGCAGCGATGTTTATTAATCTTTTTTGGTGTTTGAGCGAGAGAGTGAAGGGTGGGAGTGAGGGTGAGCTGCTGATGCAGACTAGACTATGCGTCAATGAAGAATGCACACATGCATCTTCCTGACCTTCCCAGCCAGCAAGCCGTCCCTTTGTTCCTTAGTTCCGTAGTTCCCTTTGTCGTTCCGACCGCCCTTTGTTGTCCCTCCTTCGCCTGTACTTCCGAGCCATCTTCTTCTCTTCTTCTCTTCTCCTCTCCTTTCCTCTCTTTCTCTCTTTCTTTTACGCCACCATCCCATCCATTCGTTCCACCCCCTCTTTTTTCCTCTTCATTCGATACCCCATAAAAAGACGAGATTTATCACACGCCACCATTTCCGATTATCCCATCCTCCACAGCACCCCCTCACTTCTTCAACCGCACATTCATTTCATTTCAGAGCATACCACAGCATAGCATAGCATAGCATAGCATATCATTCATTCCATCCACATACAATGTCAAGGTTGCAGATCCTAATTGCAGGTGGCGGTCTCGGTGGCCTGGCTATGGCCGTCATGCTCGAGCGTCTGCCGGAACACAAAAAGGTCGACTACCTGATCCTCGAACGATCCACATTTTTGAATCCTATAGGCAGTGCCATCTCCCTGCATGCTTCAGTCATCCCACTTCTCAAGCAGCTCGGTATCTGGTCAGAGATCGAGAAAGCAAGCAAGCCCATGAGCCATTTCAGCATCAAGCGCGAAGATGGCTCTGATCTGGGTACAGTCGACTTTGCATACGGCCAGCTCGAGTAAGCGTCTATGTTTGAAACAGACCCTTTGATGCAAATCGATTGTCCTACCACTTGACTCCTTTCTGAACAAAACGTGGGCCTCTCAAATGAATTTTTATAGCTATTCATTTTACGGCATGGTACTAGCAAGACCCGACCTGCACGAGATCCTCTTATCTCATGTGCCACCAGAAAAGATCCTGACAGGGAAGCGCATTGTATCGACAACACAGGATGACTTCGGTGTCTCCTGTCACTGTGCAGACTCAACCATCTACCACGGCGATATCCTCATTGGAGCCGATGGGGCGTATTCGGCAGTGCGACAGTCGTTGTACAAGGACTTGAGAGCTCATGGAAATTTGCCAAGACAGGACTTCAGTCCCATTAAACTGGATCAGGTCGTAGTGGTCGGGATTACATCGCCATTGAACCCACTGGAGTATCCAATGTTGAAGGAAGATGTGTGCCAGTTCAGGATTGTCCTTGGAGGACGGGATAGGGCTTATACGGTAAGGATAGAAAATGAACGAGCTCTCTTCTGCTATTTCTGAGCTTGATCGTTTAATTGTGTACCACCCGTCAACGCTTACTGAAACCATTTGTGTCCCTTTTTTCATTTATTTTCGACCTATGCCATAACAAGATGTGGATGGTGCCGTTGACCGACAACAGGGTCGCATGGTCGATTGGTGGTCGCAGCGATGCTTTGAACGGGTCGTCATTTTGGAGTGAGAGTCAGGAGGAGGCAACCACATCGTTCGGACTCAAAGCGCACCAAAACTCGCGATTTCCTGATTGGGGAGAGGCCGAAAGCGAGTCAATCGAGGAGATTTGTGACTATATGCGGACCAAGCCCAATCCCTTTGGATATGGGACCTATGGGGATCTGATTGACAGGACACCGAAGCATTTGATCTCGAGGGTTATGTTTGAAGAGAAGGGGTTCCGGACGTGGTATGGTGGGCGCACAGTACTCATTGGTGATGGTAATGATGTTTAACGTGCGAATGGTTATCCATTGTCGTTGCAGGCAGTTCTGAACGGTCTGGTTAACTAGCCTCTCTAACTTTTTTATTATCTCCTTTTTTTCCCCTGTTACCAGCGTGCCACAAGGTAAACATTCTTCAGAGATGAGAACAAAAAGGGTTAAGAGTAACATTGAAGCCCAGATGATAACATCTCTTTATTCCCTCTCCAACTGCGCTGCTGTATTTGCGAACTTATTCAGAGCGTCCCATTTGGAGGGTAAGTTGCCACAGTTGCAGCTGCTATGTTATATTTTTATATCTGATAAGGTCGAACTTTTGTTAACCATTCTCAACTTGATCCTATTGGGCATCACATTTATGCTCTTTAGACAAGGCAAGCCTTTGAGCAGGATGGTCATATTGAACACAGCTCGTCGCAGCGGATTGGGAGAAAGGTATAACTAACAGTCTACATGCAACTGCAATAGGAGTGGTCAATGCGATCTTCGACGGCGCATGTCTCGTCAATCTGATCCATGATCTGCCCTCTTATTCATCTATGGATGACCTCGGGGAGATGTTCCAGACATACTTTGAGAAGCGATATCCGGCAGCCCGGATCGCGATCGAGGGCAGCAGCCAGTTTGCAAGGCTCTTTAATGATCAGGTAATGGTGTTTGGCATGCGTGTTGAGACAGCTTATTTGCTGTTCTTCGTTAGCTTGACAAAACTTTTCTTCGCCTTGGGCGACACTCACTTTTTTCTTTTCTTTTTTTTAGTCTCAAGTCGAGGAAGATGGTCGTGTGGTCATGTTTAACAGCGTCCCACGGTGGTTACAGCGATGGACATTAGACAGGACGAAGCGGGTCGACCCAAAGCTGGATTTCGTTCTTTCAAAAATGTCGCGATCGCCCTCGCTACATTCGTTTTCGACAGTCCTTGATGGCGTCAGTCCGTATGAGGAAGGAGATGCCGTGCTCACGAATCGATTGTCGACGCGGAGAAGGCGCACTGGTGACGTGGACGCTCTGTTCCAGTCGGACGAAGAATCATCGCAGGAAGAGTTCAAAGAAAAGGTCGATATAGATTCTGGCTTGGGCGATGAAATCTTTAGAGGAAGGACAATGGAGATCCAGCACAGCGCTACGGTTCTTGAATAGAATTATGACGCAAGGGTTGTCCTGCGCGATGTGCATGTTTATTTGCTGTTTTTAAAAACTATACGTTCTGCGACCGACGCGTTGTTACTATCGATCTACAAAAAAAGCAAGCAAAGATGCGTGTGGATGCAGGATAGCATGTTGGGATGAATACCATGTATGACCAGCGTCTGTCAAGTGACCCTTTGTCAGACTAGCATTCCCAATCTTCCCAGTCGCCCCAGTCGCCCCAACCGCAACCCCCTTCGCTGCCATAATCGTACCAATCGCACGTGTTTCCAAGGACTTCGTCGCCACGGAAGCCTGCTCCAGGACTTGATACCGGGACGCCGACGGGAACAGGCACATTATATGGGGTGCTCACAGGGACTGGTACGGGCTGCAGAGCATGCGGTTGGATATTGACGATTGGCTGGATCAAGGTGTCGGTGGAGATGTCATTCGGTGCGCCAGAGATGATGTTTGGAGGGCTGGCACTACGGCCTGCGGGACCGGGGACGGCGGGGATGGTTGGGACGAGTTGGCGTTTGGCGAGAGATCCAATGGTTCCAGGTAGGAATTCGGCGGGAGCTTCAAATCCGGGAGCAGATTCAACAAGTCCAGAAGCAGGTCCGCCTGTAAAAGGTGCGACAGCGTTAGCGCCTGGGAAAATGCCAGCCTCAAAACCAAGAGGACCGTTTGGACCACCAAGAACATTCATCCCATAAGTCTGGAAGTCGCTCACGATCGGGTCATAGAGCTGGATGGCAGGTTGGAAAACAAGATTCGGAAAAACACCTGTGGTGGGGATGATATTGGTCTCGCTTCCGAGTGAGATGGATTGTTTGGGTAGGACTTGACTCGCGACAGTGGGGATGGGTGAGGAAGCGGAAGGTACGTTGTCAGCATATATGGAAGATGCAGGCGCGTTATGAATGGCGGCGGGGTCTGCAAGATCGAGATTGCTGAGGAGGTACTGGGGTGCCGCGGAGATTTGGCTGGCAAGGAGTAAAGCTGTTGCTGCCACGAGGAGTGGGTAGAGGAGTGCGCGGGACATGGTGGTAGAGATGGCGGGTGAGGCTCTTGCGGATCTGAGGATGGACGGGTCTTGCGGTGGTTTATATAGACAGGCATCGGTCGAATGCTTGCGCGCGCTGTGCTCGTGGGTGATCAGTTTTTAGAAGAGATTGAGTGATAATTTATCAGTGTTCGTAAAGACAATGTATCAATCGTTACAACGACCCGACTTTACCATGGGCTGGAGATAACTGGGATCAGCCTGCGCACGGCCTTCCTTGACCCCTACGCACCGAAACGTGCTCTCGTCTCGGTAGGTGACTGCTGCTCTCTGTTGCAGGATAGGAACTAGCCCACGGATGACAACCCTTGAACGATCACACACACACACCCCTCTCCTATAATTCATGTCGCTTTGTCTCCATCAAATCACCGCAGCGATCCCTCGTTCGACGACCAGATCCCTCACCCCTCTTCGCTTCTCCTCTCGACATACAAATTCCGTAGAAATGAGTCTTACTTATACCTCTGAGCGCGCACAGGAGCTGGCCGACAATCTGGCGAATGTCCAGTCGCAGATGGAGGAAACTCTGAAGAGCATGGGCGATGCTGCTCCCAAGGTAAATCCTCAGGAAATTCATTTGATACGCCGGTCGCCCTTGTGTGGATATTTTCATTGGATGGGCAACATGGTCCTTTCAAGGCATGATACTGATCCGGATGTTTCATAAAAAAAAAAAATGTAGGCGCGTTTGGTGGCGGTCAGCAAGTACAAGCCCGCATCGGATATCTTTGCCACGTATGAGAAGACCGGACAACGCCATTTCGGAGAAAACTATGTATGAAAAATTATACAGTTCATAGGACCTTTACTGCAGTTCAATTTGATCGTGTAGTGGACATCATCTCCTAAATTTCAGTCAATGCACTTTTTTTTTTCTTTTTTTTTTTGGATGTCCTAGGTTCAAGAACTGGAAGATAAAAGCTCGAAGGTATGGACTGCCTCTTTATCTATTTTCAAAACCCATGGTTAATTCTCTTGACAAATTCATAGAACTAGTAACTCATCTCGGCAAACGTTCTTTCGACTCGGACCTAGCTGCCAGGTGACATCCAATGGCATTTTATCGGGACACTGCAGTCGAACAAGTGCAAGGCCGTAGCTGGTATGAGGTTTTTGACGCGTATCATGGACATTATCATCATCATATCATCATCATATCATCCTGGAGCAAATGAATGTTCAGATGTTACATTTTTTTTTATTAAATAACATCTATATTTTCTTTTGTCCTGGACTTGTTCTTTTTTTTTTTGCAACATGCTAGCGATCCCTAATCTTTTTGTAGTAGAGACGATCGATAACATCAAGAAGGCTTCAATGTTGGATAAAGCCTGTGCCTCTGCTTCTAGACCGGAGCCCCTTCGGATCTTTTTGCAAGTGAACACTAGTGGTGAAGAATGTATGTATACCGCGAATCGAGGAAAATATGAGTTCCGAACGTATATCAGAGCTCTAACCGCTTTTTTTTTTTTTTGTACTTTTGTTAGCCAAGAGTGGAATGGAACCGAGCAAAGTTTTAGAAGTCGCACAGCACGTTGTCTCATCGTGTCTTCATCTTAAACTTGCGGGGCTGATGACGATCGGCTCGCCAAATCCTGATCTGGATAACGGGGAGAATCCGGATTTCAAGACTTTGAATCAATGCAAAACAGCAATTGAGGAGACACTGAAGATCGCCGATCTGGATCTCAGTATGGTAAGTAAACCTCTTTTTTTTTTTGTTCTATTCGCTTTGGACCCATCATTTTATCTCTGGATCCATCATGTTTTATCTTAAGGAAGGGTGTGATTACGGCCTTCATCTTTGCCTGATACTTGGTGTCTAACTATAAAACAATGATATGACGGATCTTAGGGAATGAGCGATGACTTTCGGCGCGCTTTGCTTCAAGGATCGACTAATATCCGAGTGGGCAGCACGATCTTTGGATCGAGACCTCAGTCCGCAAAGCCGACTGCATAGTTTCTCTGCATCAGCGTCCTCGGAATCTAATAATAAAAAGATAAATCTAGTCTATTTTATTTTTTATGCGGATGCAGAAATGAATTGAAAGGAACCCCAGCAGTCGCGTGAGAAGATAAAGGCAGAACTCCGCTTAGAGCTCTCCGCTTTGAATTGTGTGGCGAGCGAGCGTGTGGTTGTGTGGTTGTGTGGTTGTGGAAGCAGGCGGTTCGTTGTCCACTCCAGACGTGGTGTTCAATGGCTGGAGCTGTGTAGTATATATGAATATAGTCTATATTGTTTTCTTTAGGCAAGAGGGAATGGGAACATTCGCAAGCAGCCTTGAATGGATCCATTTTGCTGTGTAGATCTACCGATTGAGGGATGTGTTATTTTTGTTTTTGTGTCACCAAGAAGTTCCGATTAAAGAAACAGGGAAGAAAGATCTTGCCTTTATCAGGTCAACAATCGTAAACACTTGCATACAGCAATCAAAGGCCGGTTTGGCCCCCCTTCCTCTTGACGCTGCTTACCTACACGAGAGAACAACAGCTGCCACTGCCTTTTTTTTGTGGCTCTGTCACTCATCAGAATAAGCCGGGGGACTACCTCCACCTTGGTTCTGGACAAAGGACGCGTAGGCACAGCAATAGATCATCCGTGATCTGTTTTGATCTGTCTAAAGACACAACACTTGGCCAATGGGGGCTGTTGGTAACTGATACGGTCCAGGGGGAGAGGTCGGCCATTTCTTGTTGAGATGGATATGGAGGTGAGGATAGTTGGGGCGAGGGTGAGGATGGGAGTGAGGACGAGTGGCGGCTGGGAGTGAGGATGAGGGAGTATGCCTCCAACAGTGTGTGTGTACGTGTGTGCATGAATGTGTGCGCATTCCTTTGGGCAATGTTGTTTCTTTTTATAACGCGCTCTCACTCCACTCCGCTTCTCTTCTTCCCTTTCTCTTCTCTCTATTCTTCCGCCCCTGACTCCACATTCCTCTCATCCCACACCCCCTTCTCGCTCCATGGCGGCCAGTGTCTCTCCAACGATGCAAAACGGAGCACTGCATCCGCAACTCGGACAGGATCACTTGAATTCTCAAGAGCACACTCACCAATCACCACCACCGCCACCACTGAATCAAGACCATGACCAGAACCAGCAGCAAAACTTCTACAGCGGTCCGGCCTCAACGCCCCAAGAAAATGATCCCTCCGCGGAGCCGTCACCGCAGATGCAACAATCAGAAGACCAACAGCAACTGCAAGACGATGGTCCATTGGACCCAGAGACACAGCTGCAGATGGAACAACAACAATTCGAATACGAACAACAGCTGTTTATGCAGCAGCAGCAGCAACAACAATACGAAGAGATGATGTACCAGCAACAAATGAACTCTGGCCCGATCGACTGGCAGCAACAACCACTCGATCCCTCACTTGCACAGGACCAATCCGTTCTGTCCCAGTCTCATCTCAAGCCAGGCCATAAAGCAACCCTCCTATCCTACACACAAACACTGGAGCTCTATCGCCAGAACGCCAAAAAGACCAATGACCCGGAGCTGCAGTTTGAGTTTGCGGCCTTCATGATCGACGCTGGCAAAACGCTGGAGGATCTCCAGACGCGGACAGAGCTCTTTGATGAGGCTATGAAACTCCTGCGCAAGCTCTCGACGGGTGGACACGCAGAATCACAGCATTACCTGGCAGAGTGCTATGCCTCCGGATTTACCAAGGGCAAGCCCGATTTTGACAAAGCTTTCCCTCTTTGGGTCCAGGCATCGAAACATGGACATCCTGATGCCGCGTACCGAACAGGGCGAAGCTATGACGAGGGACTAGGGACTCGCAAGGATAATGCCAGAGCTGTACAGTTTTACAGGTAAAACACGTTTTTTTCTAAATCCCCCTCTCCCTTCTCTCTCTCTCTCTCCCCCCCCCCCCCAGTCTCAGTTTTCTAGGATCAGTTCCAGCCTTGTCAATTTATATTTATCGCTTTTTCGGGGGGATTCGACTGTCGGTGATCTTAACTGAAGAGGGACGGATCTGACAGGAGCACAGGAGTCAAGAGAGGATAATATAGGGCAGATCACAGCAACCAGCCCAGCTGGTCTAAGAGAATGGATCCAGCGACAGCCTTTGATGATGGTGACGCAGAGGTACAGGTCCCTGCAGGAGTTTTTTTCGACACATTGGAGGGGGAGGATCATCGCTTCATGTTCTATTTTGTTTTTTATTTTCAACTCAAGAGCGACGACAAAAAGCGTTAAAAAGGAGGAGAAGGAGCTTGCAATTAATAATTTACCAAGGAAATGGCGTGGATATGTGGCACGATGTCTTTGTGGCAAACCGTGCCTCAGCTTTACAATTAGGATTGGCGAAACGCTATCTGCTCATCGCCGGAAATGACTAGGCACGATACCAACACGGACGCATGGACCTTTTGTCGACACCGTTTTCAATATGAATACCTTTTTTATGGTAGCATCGCTCTCAAATAATACGCATTTCTCCAAAAGATTGAAAGATCGCTCTGGGGATCTACATGACATTAATACGATCTTTTTCGTTCCAAAAAAAAAAAAAAAAAAAATAGGAAAGCTGCATCGGCTAATCATCCAGGAGCAATGTGGCGACTTGGTGTAGTAACACTGTATGGAGAACTAGGCGTAGCACCATCGCCACGCGATGGAGTCAAGTGGCTGAAGCGATCGTCCCAGGCAGCTACGCCCGAGTTCCCCTTTGCACTATACGAGTTGGCACAGCTGCATGAGCGCGGTATCGAGAATATTGTGTTTGTCGACCCCGAGTACTCTGTCTCGCTCTACTCACAGGCCGCGGAGCTTGGACACGCGGCATCGGCGTTCAGATTGGGAGAATGCTGGGAATATGGCAAGTTGGGATGCAAACAGGATCCGCGACTGTCGATTCATTATTACACGCTGGCTGCACAGCAGGAGCATCCCGAGTCATGTTTTGCGCTTGCGGCATGGTACCTGGTAGGATCCCAGGGGGTGTTACCACAGTCGGATGCAGAGGCATACATCTGGGCCAATAGGGCAGCGGATAAGAATCTGCCGAAGGCATTGTATGCGATGGGGTACTTTACGGAAGTCGGCATTGGTCCTCGCAAGGACATGGACGAGGCGGTTGAATGGTACAAGAAGGCGGCAGCAGCGGGAGACAAGCGTGCGACGGAGCGTCTGGAGGGAGTGCCGGTTGATGCGAAGAAGGAGAAGGGCAAGGACGAGAAGTGTATTATCATGTAGTTTACCTTTGTACATGTTTTTTTTCTTTTGTTTTTTTTCTTTTCTTCCCTCGCTGTCTTTTTGTTTGTTTTTTTCTTCCATAGAAGCACATAGTAGAGTGCGTTACCTGATTACATATCTTGTCAAGCAATAACCAGCAGGGTTAGGGGGGATGGACAACAAAGTTCTGCACCAAACGAGCCATACGGCCAATTGTCACATTCCAGACGCACATAGACTACATACACAGACATGCACGGATCGGAGTGTTCAAGGTGCACCATCTATCCGAAAGAAAAGAATAGAGTAAATGGAGGGATGAACTCGGTACAGCGTGTCATTGATATGAGCGAGCGTGGCCACGAAGGAGTCGACACGAGAACAAAAAAGTCGATGGGTCGTGTTCCCGTTATAGTATCGACTCGCTTGTCCTTTATTCTATATCTATGTCTATATCCATATCTATATCAAAAGCAACGAAACGACAACAAACGACAAACGACAAGGAACAAACAATAAACAAAAGAAGGACGCACGCATCTGCATCGTTCCTATCTCTCTACATCTGTCCACAAAAACTGGTCTCCCCGTGGACAGACGAAGAGGGAACGTGCTCGGGAAAGCAGCCGACAGCAATAGGATTAGTCAAGGAATATAGCTAGGAAGATGGCCGTCAGCAGGACAGGTTCAAACTTCGAGTAGCAATTGCGGACTTGAGTTGATGGGTATTGTGGACGGGTGTAACCCACATGGAGTGCGCCCACGATACACGCCATCTTTGGCCATTTGATATCTATTATCTATCGAAGAGAAAACGGAGGGGGGGGGGGAATGAATGAAATCTAAAAACATAGTTTGGATGTCTTTATTGCGGGCGAACTACAGTCCATACAATTGGCGCTTGCATCACTGGCGAACTCTCCCTGGTGTGTGTCTTTCTAAGGACTCGTGGGCAAATAAAAAAAACTCCCAACGAGCTTTGAACGCTTTTTTTGGCTGTCCACACCCGCTCTTCACAGGGCAGCGCAGCAACAACCACGCTTTCCCTTGCAGCCCGCATGTCTCTCTCTTCCCTTTCCTTCTCTCTCTTCCTCCCCTCGCACTCCACACCACACTCACTCACTCACACGGCAACCCCACGCCCGTTGATTGCGCCCCTAACAATCCGTCGGCCTCTGTGGTGTGGTCCTGGGTTCCTTCTTGCCAGTCCCTTCTTGCCAGTCCCGTCTTTTGCTGGCGTGCAACGCCCATCCTTCCTTCCTTCCTCACTCCCCTCTCTATCTGTCCGTCCACTCAACGCCGCCACCACCGTCCTCTTCCCCACTCTACAACCACCACCCATCCCCCACAGCTCCCTTTCTCTTGACTCCCAACGCCTGCGATCCTCCACAAAAGAGATTACTAGAAAGCCATCCCAGCCGACCAACCAACCGACCAACCAACCATCCAACCATGGCGCTTCTCAAGTGGATGGGCGTGGTAGGTCATCTCATCCCAAACACCAATCGACCTGCAACCCCAGTCCTCTTACTTCATTTTCCTTCTCCCTTTGTGTTCATACGTCCCGTAGATAGTAATGCCCACACTTTCCTTCCCCCTCATCCACGCACCGTTGCAGCTTCCATTTGATGCATCACACAAACATTCTATTTTATTTATTTCTCCTGGCCAGGTGGATTCTGCCTCTGCCTCCACCCCTCGCCCTGAATGGTGTTGTGCAACTTGCAATGGCGCATGGCGCAAAGGAGTAGTAGACTCACTCACACAGACACAGTCATGCTCTTCTTTGTGGCTACAAGAGAAAGTGCTCATGAACGCCTTTACTAATTCTGTGGAGGGGGGGTTTTTTTTTTTTTTTTTGCTTGGTTGAATCAATAGAGCCAGCCAGAGAAGCCGGTCGTGAATGATATCCCTATAGGTCTGGAGAATGTAAGCCGCAAGCAGCAATTGGAATGAATCAGGGAAACAACACCCATGGGATGGATTCTGGGTCAGCACAAAACTCTGTTTGACTTTGCTTGGCATCTGTTTACTGTGTGGTGTATGTTCGACAACCCCCAACAACAATAACTTGATATCAGCTTAACAGCAACTGGGATAACAGCAGGCTAAGAGTTGACTCGACCAGCAATGTAGCAATGGAGCAGCAGCAGCAGCAACAATGACAAAAACAGGATTGATTCTCGAAAGTAACACGGACAATGGAATACAAAGTCGCTCATCGCAAGGCTGCAAGGTCTATACTCTCGATTGCCAGCTTCCTCACTTCCCAACGGACCTTCAATAAAACAGATTCTGTGGAACTTTGTTGGATAGACTGCTAACAAAACATCGCTCCTTTTTTTCCCCTCACTTTCGTCTATCTTCATACTCCTCTCCTGGATCGTCCTCCGGCACACAGTTTGGCAACACTTGGTAAGGACAACACACCAGTCTCGCACTTTTATTTCTGTCTACGGTCGCTTTTTGAAACAAAAGAGCAGAAAGCTGCTAGGATCGTTTGCGTTAAGCAACTAACTGATATCATCAATCGCTTGTTTCATTCATTAGTTATTGCAACTCCATCTTACAAGCCCTATACTACTGCAAACCCTTTCGAGAATGTGTGCTGAACTACCAAAGTGGAGCTGGCTCCATGGTCTCACACTATCCACTCAGCCCTATGACGCCGGCAGTTAGTAACGGCAGTGGACCCACCTCATATTTCGCACCGCAGCACACCTCAGGAACATCTAACTCATCTGCGTTCATGTCGCCCAATGTTGCCCACTCACCCGCGTCAAGCAGAAGCCATCAGCGGGACTCTAGTAGTAATGGGCCATCAGGAAATGCAGGCCCAACTTCGACAACGCAGCGAAACATTGTCGGAGTGCTTTTACCCAACGGTGGCGGACCAGACCCTGATTCCGCTCCCCAGGAATCGATGTTTCTCTGTCTGCAGGATCTATTCCAACGAATCCAGAATCATTCTAAGAAGACGCAATATTTTACCCCAACTGCTTTTGTTGCCAAGGTCAAGAAGGAAAATGGTATGATCGACAATTCTCGGGAAGACGATCGTGAGAGAGTTTAGTCGTCATAGTCCACACAGCATTGATTAGTGTGGATTAGAAGACAGATTATGCACGCTAAACGTCCAATTTTTTTTTTGACCCATGTTTTTGCTGCTGCGGTAGAACTATTCAGGAGCTCGATGCATCAGGATGCGCACGAATTCTTAATGTTCATTCTCAGCACAATTTCAGAAGACATTGAGGCGGATGTCAAGAAAAGTCAAAAGGAATTGGAGGAGAGTATGCCCAAAGCGACCGCCAATGGGACGCACAGCACGCAGAACGGCCATGGTGTATCGAACGGCTCAATCGGTGCTCAGTCTAAAGGATCATCCGAGGAGGTTTCTATGACATTAACAGGAGGGGATGAGGTCAGAATCAGGATCAATGGCGCTGACATTAACACGGCCTCGACATCAGGAGGAAGCACGCATGGCAACAGCCATGGAGGAGAGTCGATCGGCGATCGGTCCTCGATACAATCTGGGAGTACGATAGCGAAGCCGAAGGAGAAGATGTGGGTTCAGAAGTTGTTTGAGGGCCAGCTCACGAACGAGATCAAGTGCCTCACTTGCGAGAAGGTACTGCATTACTAGATTTTCTGTTCTCGGGGTGGAGTGATGCAAAATTGGCGTTTATATATAATATCAGGACCTAACATCTACTTTTTTCTTTTTCTTTTTCTTCTCCTGTGCCTATTAGACCACGAACAGGGCAGAGTCATTCATGGATCTGTCACTGGATATTGAGCAAAACTCATCTGTGACAAGCTGCTTGCGACAGTTTTCCGCTTCAGAGATGCTTTGTCACAAAGACAAGTTTTATTGCGATGAATGCTGTGGTCTACAGGAGGCTGAAAAGAGGTGAGGGATTTGATACTTGACTAATGTTCTCAATCGAATCTTCGGAAGCATCTATGCCAATACTAATGTTTTTTTCTATTTTGACGTTTGCAGGATGAAGATTCAAGTGCTGCCTAATGTCCTGTCTCTTCACCTCAAGCGGTTCAAGTATCAGGAAACACTTCAGAAATACGTCAAGCTGTCGTACCGCGTATCATTTCCCATGGAACTACGACTCTTTAACACTGTTGATGACATGGAAGACCCTGACAGGATTTATGATTTGAACGCATTCGTGGTCCATGTCGGAAGCGGCCCTCATCATGGACACTATGTTGCTGTTGTGAAACACCAGGACCGCTGGCTCCTCTTTGACGACGAAACTGTGGAGGTAGGTTACATTTTGGCTGCATTTTTTTTTAGGGGGTGGGGAGGGAGGGAAGAACAGGTACCAGCTTATGTCTAAGGGCCTAACATTGACAGTTCAAATTTTTTGCATCCCTTCTAGACGATTGACGAGTCTGATATTCACAAATATTTTGGCGACTCTTCGCAACTGGGGTCAGGATACGTACTTTTCTATCAAGCACGCGATCTGGACATGAGCGCGATTGCACCGTGGCAATGGGCGCAGCAACAGATACATCAGTCATTCTCATTGAAGACTCCTCTCAATGGCATGCCAACACCCCTGAATGGACTCGGACCAGGCGATCTAGATCATTTTGGAGGGCTACAGCCGCACACTCAGCAGCAGGAACTGATCCATCAGCAATTGGCGAGCCGGCAGCAGATGCAGAACGGCGGAGGAGGACTTGGATCGTTCTTCAACAGCGGATCGTCTACAGCATCAGGACCTACACCGGTTGCAGCGGCGCATCTGTCAAATGGGCCACGGAGTCCGACGCATATCCAGGATCCCAATATGCTGAACGGCCAGAAGATTACGAGCGGGTCGTACGTTTACACGAACGGGATTGCGGCGGCGGCAACAGTAGCAGCAGCAGTATCAGGGCAACCGCAGTATGCATCCACGAACGGATATCATACGAATGGGTCTGCAGCAGATCCACCCGGATCGTCGTCGTCATCATCATCATCGTACTCGCCATTTAATAGTCAGCATAGTGGTAGTAATGGCGTACCGCATTCACCGACGACAGCGGGGCCGGTTTCTCAGCACATGGCTTCAAGATCGTCATCGTCAGCGGCACCGACGATGATACCACATACAACAATTGATCCAGCGAAGCTGAAAAGGGCGCAGAGCACGCCGAGGATCAGTTTGGCATCTGCGGCCAAGACCTTTGGATCCTCGGGCGGCAAATCATTCATAGGCAGTCTGAGAGGCGGCAGCGGGTCCTGAAGAAACGGTGTTAGGAAATAATAGTATGCGAAGAAGAACAAAAAAGAAAAAATTACAGCACCCTACATCATAATGGACAATAAATTCACGCGAGGCGGAGAAGAAAGAGCGGTTTAAGTTTGTCAGAATTAACACTCGTTTTTGTATGGGCCTCATGCGGATTCAAAATCAATGGTTCTTCACAGTACACTGTACCTGATTTTCCTATTCAGGCAAATAAAGACGAAGAGGAAGTGGACATGGAAGGCAGAAGGGAATGGAGAGACAGCGCTTTTTTTTTTTTTTTTTCCTTCAGCCCATTCCACAGATTTAAAAAACGCGTGTTGCAGATAGACTTTAATTAGAGCTATATAATGACAGGGAGATGTATGAACGAAACCAAGTCAGGCTCCTCACTTTTTGGTGTCATTCTTTGGAGCAGGTCGGGTGCGCATTGTTGATGGTAACCCAACAACATGATGTGCCCATGTGGAGATGGGTCGCACAGTAGACTAATTCACAGGCCTATGTTCTGCACACCATAGGGTACAGTACAGTAGGGAAATGCATGGGGAAGAAGCGAAGAAAAGAAGAGATGGCTCTCATTCCAAGAAGTCATCGTCATAGATTGAACGAAAAGGCTGAACGGATCTACTCTGATCCTTCCTCTCATCCTCTGGGTATCATAAAACTTTAAATAGATCCCAACGCCTTATGTGTGAGAGAAAGAGAGAGAGAAAGAGAAAGAGAGAGGGGAGAAGAAAGAGGCGTGGATGGAAAGATAATTCGTCAGTTCCTTCATTGGCATTCTTTCCTCATATCGAAACTGGGGCCGTCATCTGTAGTCTAAAGCAGGTTGGGAGGATGGAGTAAGGTCGTGTGGTGTGGGACATGTGTGTGTATACAAACTCGTTTATGTCTTTGCTAATACGATCCTCCCCTTGGCTCTCTTATTTTCTTTTCCTCTGTCGAGTCGAGCCGAATCAAGTCCGGTAAAGTCGACCGAGCACATCCTTGGGTTGCGGGAAGGGAGGGGCTCTCTGAAATGCAAGTTGTCCAGCAGTCTTTGCTCTCGTTCTTGTATCCTCTCTGTGGTGAGGGAGTGAAATGTGTTCCTCCGCCGCAGGGATCAGCTTCAAAGAAAAAAACCCCTGCACTGGGTACGTCTATTTTTTGTCCATTTACAATATTGCATTCTGGTGACAAGAATAGATTGAGTCCGACGGTTTCTTTTCTTTTTCAGGCACACACACGCACATTTCAGGAACCACATCCCTATACTCATACACCATATCATATCATTCCCTCTCCCCGCCGCTGTTGTTTGTCCCTTGCCTCTTTCTCTCTTCCTTGCTTGTTGGCCGTAGGCGCCTTCTTTCTCTCTGCCTTTCCTTTTCGTCCCCTTTCCTTCACGTCCCCTTCCCTTCTCCCTTCCCCCTCGCCCTTCTCTGCCAACCGCCCATCATCCACCCACTTTCCTGTCGCGAGTACCAGCAACGTGCTTTTCATTTCCAACGCTCTGACCAGTCCCAGCCCTGTGTCAACAAAAGCACACCCTCGCACAAACACATTTGTCTCCAAACACCCGCTCCGCACAACCGCCCCGCACAACTGCCCCTGTCTCTCTCCTCACACTCCTTTATTTAACGACCCTCCTCTCTCCCTTTCCTTCTGATCCATTCCATTCGATCCCCACAACAACCCTCCTCTCCACCCTGCACTCTCAACCATCGTACTTCCCTTTGGGTGTCATCTCGCCATGGTCAAGCTATCGCTCCCTCTACTCGACAACACCGATAACGAGAACGAAAACAGCACCCTCCCAACCTGCGATCCCTCCCAATCGATCTACGACTCGCGCTCGTGTATCAAAGACTTCCTCTTCTGCTCCGACGACAACCCCTGCCCCTCTTCCATCCCCTGCGTTGACCGGGTCTGCCAATGTCTGCCCAACACCAACTCCTTCATCACTTTGACCCCGCCCCCCGTACGGATGTACACTATCGGATGCAACTTTAATACAAAGCGAGATGTCGATGTCTGTCGGGACTACGAATACGGGGTTGAGAAAACTTGTCTTTTGAATTATTGCTCAAACCAGGTACCGTGCTATGCGGGGACCTGCGATAACCAGAGAAATGTCTGCGTGAATATCACCTCGACGAGAAGACCTCTGCCACAGAGCGCGAATTCGCTGATCACTTTGGGCGACGATCCGTTTGGGACGCATAAGGAAGGGATGAGTCCGGTGTTGATTATTATGATGGCCGCTGGAGGAGTGATGGCAATTGCGCTTGTCGGCTGTATTGTCCGGACAGCCCATAGCTGGACGAAGACGACCCTCAATTGGGCGTCAAAGTCTCCGAAAGTCGATGCCGACAATGATGAGGACGAGAACGAGAACAACAAGCCGGAGAAGAAGATTAAGGAAGATGTGGACTCCACGGGCGAGGAGTCGTTAAGCACGATCGGGAGGATGCCCTCAAAGTTCACTGGATCGCACTATATGCCGACACCACCACCAGCGTTGTATGCGAACGAGATCTCGCCATTCCCGTCGCCGCTGCCATCGCCGCACTTCTCGCCGTACTCGCAGCCGAACCAGAGTCAGGTTAGCAATAATAGCTCGTTGTTGAATCCGTTCCGGCATGGGGCGGACGAGATTCAGAGCCAGGGCGGGGTGGCGATTGAGATGAATCAGAAGGGAGATATGATGACGGGGTCGTATGGGTCCTTGCCGGCGAGCACCGTGATCGTTACACCCCCAGACTCCTCCTCTTCGACGCCAGGTTTTGTCCAAGCGCAGTTGAATTTGAGGATGTCGCAGTCGCAATCGACATTGTCGCACGGGTTCGCGCCCAGACCACCATTTGATCAGTCCAGCGGTGTGTTACACAAGTCCCTGTCGATGCAACAGCTCGGATCCAGACCGGCGCCTCCACCACCGACACATTCGGCATCAACAGCAGCAGAAGCAGGATCATCGTCGATGACCCGGTCAGGACCACTACCGACAATTTCGGTCTCGCGGCCGTCTTTTAACTTCTCCCGGCCCTTTTCCGTTATTGGGATCAACGAGCCTTCGATCTCGCTGGATTCCTTCATGGACCAGTCCTCTTCGTCTCCAGCGCCATCGGCAACAGGCGAGATCAAAAGCGCACCTCAGCGATCATCTTCAACGCCTTCGAGACCTTCATCCGTACATTTGCAGTCGGGTGCCGAACGCCGAGCATCCGTGACAGTGGTGCCGACACCACAATCGATGTTGAAGCATAGTGCGTCGGTGCCCCAGATGTTTGTGCAGGCGCCTGAGGGGATGACTTCACCGCCGCATTCGCCGAATTCGTCCGCACCAGCTCAACGGAATTTGCCAGCCGGATTCGCATCCGCACCTGTCGTAGGTCGATTCGAGAACTAGGCAAGGTCATTTATCAAGTTAACATACCGTCCATCTTTTTTCTTTTCAAAGAAAAAAAACCCACACATCTCAGCATACACATAGAAATACACATTTCCCCCCCCTCTCCCTTACTCATAATGCATAGAACTTAATACATACACTTTAACGACCCTGTAAAAAACGCCGATAATGATGTTGTTATTGTTTTTTGATGTTGCTGTGGACATGCTTGGATAGGTTTGGCATCATGACACGCCAGCGCCTCAAAAAAAACCCCATTCTAGTGTAAGGAAAACACCCTGCTTACAATTTACTGAAACAACCAACCAGAGAGAGTCGTCTTCAATAAAGTCCACACTGGTGCGCAGATCTCTTTTTTTTTCCTTCACCACGCATGACCCAATCAATGTCACTCAAGGCGACCGCCAAAGAATTCATCCCGTCATTCATCGCAAAGCAGTCTGTCCCTGCTCCAGTCGGCACTGGAGGAGCATTTATACCTAAACAGCAACCGCAGGAGGCCTCCACCGCCACTACGGCAGCATCGTCTTCGCCGTTGTCTTTATTGAGTAAGAACCAACGAGGAGAGAATAACGCCCATACCAGCACCGCAGTAGCACCAGCACCAGCACCAGTACTAGCAGGGAGCAAGGCACAGAAGCACCAGCAGCAACAGCGTAGGACCCCGAGAGACCATCATAATCAGCAGCAGCAGCAGCGGCAGCAGCAGAAAGAATATCCTTCACACAATGGCGCCGGCGACAGCAGCAACAAACCTTCAAAGCCTCACAAACCTAGTAACGGCAGCGGCACCTCGCAAGGTGGACGTCCTTTGAACAATAATAGTAACAACAACAACACCATTGCCAAACAGCATCCAGTTGACCACCAGCAGAACCACCAACAGAAGCAACAGCATTCAAGGGCAGGAGATGCAGGGAAACAAAAGTCGAATGACCACGGTCATGGCGCTGGCAACGCTGCGCCAGCGGGAGCGGGAGCACCAGGGTCGGGATCTGGAGCTGGATCGGGATCAAGGCCGGCGTCGACGAAACCCCATCCACAACATCGATCTGGATCCTCGACAAAGACCACGGCTGCGCAAGGAAATGGGCTACGTAAGGGATCGGTCGATCATGCAGCGACTGGATCTACAGCAGCCGCAGTCGCAGCGCCTGCAGCCGCAACGACAACAGCGACAACTTCCACAACATCAGGACCGGGTCCAGGATCGGGATCAACACCGTCCAGTATTATCCCAGGCATGGAACCGACAGCATTCATCTGTCTCACCGATGTGATCCACCCTGTACGCCAAATCCTCAAGGACGGTGTATCGACGACTGAACAAGGATCTGATGCCTATCTGGATTGGGTATGTCCCTTTTTGTTAAAAAAAAAAAAAAAGCCATTGCGAATTGAGTGTATGAAACCGAGAAAGATTATTCTTTATGTTTGACTGAGGGTTATTGACGATCTACCCCTTTTGTTTCTGTGGATGATATACGTGCGCAAATAGATTATCAGGTCTCTCAAGAAACATGAAGAGATCACACTTATCGGCATGGAGGCTGCGATCCCAGACATCATTGCCCTTGTCCTTCGCGCAGGAAAACAGGGTATTGGATATCAAGGTATGTACAGCAGATATCCATCACACACCTTTCAAATCTTGCTCGAGTCTGTCGTTTCTTTTGCTTTTTTTTTTTGCCTAGAGTCCTCATATACTCAAAAATCAACCGCCGACGGTTTTATCTGCCCTTTTTTTTTTTTCTTCTTCTTCTGTAGAGATAAGAACGTTTACAACGCAGGACGGTCTTGGAGGGAACAAGAGTTGTCTTCAATTTAGGATGCGCCGAGGACAAGGATACATAGCCCTCGAGAAGCGTCCTCCACGCTCCTAGTTTTTTGTCATTCATAAAAGAACAAAAAATTCCTTATCCTTCATCTGATCGAGCAGAACCGGTTATGATTGTGTATTGTACAAAGTCTATACAGCAAGAACAAAGCGAACCTGCGGCTGAAGTAGTAGTAATATATGGATCGAGATATTCAAAGAAGAGCAAATAGAGCAGGAAAAGAAAATCCAATAATGAAAAAAGAAAAAAAATGCAAAGATTCGAATGCTCTTTTTTTTTTGGAAGATTGCTGATATGATGGGCGGTGGCAAGAAGGAAGAAAGGGACGATGGGTCTTGGAAGGATAATGGATAATGGATAAATTAAAAGATGGCGTCCTTGCCAAATGCCCAGATTCCAGCAATGACAGCACAAACACCTCCTGCTGATCCTGCAGCACGCAAACCAGCTATTTGAAATAAATATAAAAGCAAAGTGTGAGAAAAAAGTGGTGGTTCTCAAAGTATCATGACAGATTTGGCCATAAAGGGTATCGTCGCCTCTCACCTGTCGACTTGAAGAGTGCACCAGTCAAGGCGCCGGCAGCAACCGAGTTCAGAGGATCCTGGTTTCCGCGGGCCTTGCCGATGCCTCCGTTGATTCCGTTGTACATCAAAGCTATGCAAAGGCAATGACAAGAAAAGATCAGCATTGGCACAAGAAAATAAAAAAAAGGCCCACTAATAATGGTTCCCAGCGCCACCCTCAGCTTCTTTTGGTCTTTTTTGATTCAAAAAACGATACTTACCCAAGACACCGGCCGAGTTTCCGATGAAGGGTCCACGACGAGTCATGGAGTTCAGGACGGTGTTGAGACGGATCTTGAAGGCAGGGCTTGGTGAGGACCGAAGACCCTCATAGAAACCATAAGCACCTCCCACACTCAAACCTACAGTTGTTTTCCCACACGGAGTGTTGATATTCGATTAGAACACTCGTACTTGTAAAAACGCAATTGAAACCAAAAAGGGACCTCATACATACCAGTGATATAGGTGAGACCGGTTCCGTAGGTGAGGTCGTCGGACCATCCTCTGCTGGGCAAAAGACCGCCCTGGGTGCCGGGAAGGACACCAGGGTCGTCGTCGAGGTTAAGATAGTCAAGTCCGCCACCGAGGCCGGCCAGAGGGTGGAGACGGGTGGGGTCGTATGTGGTGTTGAGGAAGGAGCTGACAGTATCCTGGGGGTTGAAGTCTTCCTGGTTGGCGTAAATGGGGGCGAAGGACTCCTCCTCCTCAATGTTGGTGGTATGTTGCGACATGATATGAAAGTGTAGGCGTGAGCTGTCGGCTGTTTTACTGGGTTGTCCTGAAATCGACTGATCTGATTCCTGTTGCTGTTTGTTTCTTGTGAGTTGCTACGAGCCTTGCCCTTGCTTTAGTTCACTTGTTTGTCTGTCTAAGTGGCTCTTGGCTTGCTCCACAGAGAGAAGAAAGATGAAGGATGGGGCGGGTAAAGGTGTAAGGAAGACTGAAGAAGAAAGGGAGAGAGAGAAAGAGGAGGACCCTCGGAAGGTGGTGAGTCTTGTTTATCCTGTGACTGTCCTTCCTTCTTTCGATCCACTTTCCTCTTTTGGGGGAACCAAAACCTTCTTCCCCGCGAAAGACGAAAAAGACGGCTCACTTCGGCTACTTTGGCGAGAGGACCAAAACGAACATTACCAGAGACCGAGCCGTGTCTACTCCTTCTCCACCTCCATCCTGTCCCCATCCTCATCCTCCTATTCTCCTCTCATTCTCTCAAATTCCACTCATCGTTACCTAGTGCATCGCTTCCCTTCACCTATACAGCGCCGCATAATACAATGTCGGTAAACTCCGCAGACAGGTCACCACTTGAAGTGGCAGCACCACCTCAGTCCTCAGGAAACACACCACCGCCACCCAGATTCAACCTGTCTCTTCCAAGCGCATCTCAACCAGATATCAGTAAGGAAAACTCAAGAAGTAATTGAAAGACATGGTTCAATATCCATGGATAAAGACCGCTAACGTCTAGTTATCCCTGTTTAGTTCGCGCGAACCAGAAGGATGCCTATTACCAGCAGATATTGAAGGACCAGGTCAAGGATGCTGTCCGGGATATCTTTGGGAGCCGCATTCAGCACATGTACCAGACCGAAGTAGACGTCTTCTCGGATCTGTGCTACTACTCATTGACGACGCTGCTTGGCATGCAGACACTCGGAGAAGAATACTGTGATATCATGCAGATCAAGAGCTCCGCTGGAACATTCCCTTCGCTTCCTGTAAGTTCAAATAGGATATGGACTACGGCAGGATCATCAGGATGCAATCTCTTACCAAAGGCCCACTTTTATGTGTTTTGCTCGGGTAGCGTCGATCGGCTCTTGTATTTTGGCACGTGCTTGTGCCATACCTCTACTCAAAGGGAGCTCAGGAACTGCGAAGGCGCACAAGATCTCAACCACAGCAGCAGCAGCGACATACAGGACACCGACTGGATGCAACCCTTTCCGAGACAGAACCCAAGAAGGAGCCCTCTGCCTCCATGATCAAATTCAAGGCTGCCGTCCACAACTGGTTGCCGACGCTCCAAAACTTTTTCAAAACTCATGGACATTCGGCTCACTTGGCAGTCTTTTACTTTTTCGGCGCCTACTACAGTTTCTCGAAGCGTATCACTGGGATCCGGTATATATTTAACAGGAAACTGTCGCCAGGAGAGGAGAGATCGGGATACGAGGTCTTGGGCGTGTTGATCGTTATTCAGTTGGTCATTCAATTTATTCAGTGGAGGCGACAGATCGCGGCGCAGGCTCAAGAAAAGGCGGCGGTTACTGCTCTAACTGCAGGAAATACGATTGGCGAAAAGGGCGTGGTTGCCCAACAGGACAAGGTGGAGGAGGAAGACGAAGACGAAGACGAAGACGAAGATTTTACGCGGACGACTGCAGAGATCAATGTCCGAAAGTGCACACTCTGCCTAGACCCAAGGACCAATACTACGGCCACGCCGTGCGGCCATCTTTTCTGTTGGACCTGTATTCGAGAATGGTGTCAGAACAAGGCAAGACTCGCATCTCGTTGCTCTTTACCTATTGTCCCTAATACAACATGCAAGGCAACGAAAGTCTAATGCTTTTCTCTACCTTTGTTTTGTTTATTTCAATAGCCAGAGTGTCCACTCTGCCGCCAGCATGTGCAGTTGTCAGCGCTATTGCCGATCTATACCAAGCTGTACTAAAGGAACGCAAAACGGAAAAACGTGCTTTATGGATTTGTCAATAAAGCTTGCAGGGATGCATTTCCTTTTTACCATCCCAGATACGCAAAGCGATTAAAGTTAGAGACCCGCGCATGCCAATGACCCCTGTTCCAATTCCACCACTCAACATCTCAAGACATTCAGGGTCTTCCTTTGCACAGCCTGACCCCTGAAAGTACATGTACCTTGATTGGAATAGGAGCATGCCAGCATTGCAACAGCACAGAAACGGGGCCTGAGCTGCAAAACGCAAGTTCAGCCGGTCCGGTGTATTCACTCGTCATCGTCCAACGTTTGCGTTCGCGTCGTTACTAGTCTATCGTAGAATCCATGCATTCAGACTCCAGGGACCGAACAAACCAATGTCCCTGAACCAGAGCGGTCGTTTTTTTATCGGAGCCCCCCCCCCCCCCCCCGCGTCTCCTCCTCGACCCGCAAGGGTATTCTTTGGCGAGGGAATAGTTGTTGCGGTTATGACCTCTGGTCCATCACACACACTTCACCACCGAATGTCCTCCCGGACAAGTGCCATAGTTCTGATGCACATCATCTGCTTTCAGGCAGATGCAGATCGGGAGCGGGAAATGGCCGAACTGAGGCAGGGCTCCCGTTCCCTTTGATTCTGCAACTTCATTAACCCTAAACGAATGAATCACTTATGTATCCAGCTGGTCTCAAATATCGATCTCCTTAACCTCCTCTCCATCCCCCAGCCCAGTGCATGCAGATTCACGCGCAGCATCTGATAGTCTTCATTACACAAACATCATTTCCTGCCTCGAACGAAAGAAAAACTTTATGCCATCTACTTACTGGACAATGGGGGAAGAAGGACGAAAATTGGATCGGACACTATGATGTTCAGGCCTCGGGGCTGAAGCTAATATAATCGAAATGAGGATCCTGTGGTCAAATTGAGATCAAATAATAATTGATGGCAGCTGGGATGAGGGACACGCCTGTTTTGTGACCCATGTAAACAGATCCTTTCTCCCGTCATGTTCATTCCTTGCAGCATGCAGCTTAAACCGCTCTTCCCATGCCATGCCGAGCATCAATAATTGTTCTTTGGGGTTTGGCTGCTTGAAAAATGGACCGGAGAAGAGATGGCCACCTACATCCATGGCGGCGAAACCGAGGATTCTTAATAAAAACAAAGATCACAATTCATTTCCAAGGCGATTAAACTTCCGTGTATCACCCATGCGAATGACAATTAAAAAAAATTGGAAGAGATGCTCTACGCCCACACCCGCCCGCTCTTCTTCTTTCCTCGTAAATTGGTCGGCGATCAGCTATTCATCCCGCACAAATTGGGTGTTGTCCTTCTTTTCCGTCTGCATGCCCAGCCTGCAAAGGAAACTGTTTGTCTGGCAGACTGGCAGACTATCATTCAACCCGAAACATGCCCCTGTCCCTCTTTTGGCACTGACACAGGCACAGGGACACCTCTTTGAATGTTACTTCACCCATCCAAATTAAACATGGAAAACCAGTGGCAACGGGTCCCTTCACTTCCTCGGGAAGCCTTACCATAGATTCCTTGCGCCTTTATAATAGTCTTTTTTTTTGTCGCCTTCCACATACTTCCTTGATGGCGTATAAATTGCCTCTATTCCCCACTCCCCACTCTTTTCTTTATTCGTCTCTCAACGCTTCTTACCATTTGTTTGCACACTCCCTTCAGCTCACCTTTCTGGAATCTGGCCCTCAATTAAAATCTACATCCTTATTTTGCTCATACTCGCTACTCGTAATTATCGTTCCTTCTCTGGAAACACAAGTTTTACACTCCAGAAAAAAAAATGAAGTCCATCACCCTTGTCAACAGCCTACTGGTCGCTACCACGACTCTACTTTCGTTCCTTGCACCGACCTCGGCCCACATAGCCATGTCCAACCCACCTGGTCAAGGTGGTCCCTGGACTAGCGATCCCCACAACACTGTCCACGCCTGGATCGGTTACGAGGGCAAGAAGTTTCCCTGCGGTGGTTACAAGAAAGGCCCCGTGACGATCTACAAGGCCGGTGAAATCGTCAACGTCCGCTTCTGGACCTTTGGCATGGACTACAAAAAATTCCCGCCACCAGGTGGCCTCAAGCCCGCGCGACATGGTGGTGGGGCCTGCGAATTCTCGCTGTCGTATGACGGAGGCAAGACCTGGAAGGTCATTGGGCAGTACACGAAGACCTGCCCAGATATCTATTACCAGTGGCCAGTACAGATCCCCAAGAATGTTCCTTCGTGTACGGATTCGAACAAGTGTCTCTTTGCCATGTCCTGGACCGCCTATGCCACGAACCAGGTATATTTACAAAAAAAAAAAAAAAAAGACGCGTTGATATTCAAAGCTCAGCGAAAAGAACAACCCTAACGCTTTTACTTTCTTTATCCCCATCCTCTTTTTTATTCAGTTCTATCACCACTGCGCGAACGTTGTCATCCAGGGCGTTCAGAATGGCAAGCTGCCTACCTTGGACATGACCGTTGTGGACGTTTCCCAGCTCCACCAGAAGATGAACACCCATGCCATTGGCGACAAACGCAGCGGCAAGTCCACTGGCCCAGATAAAAAGGAGAAAGCGATGAGTACCAACGGCTACTATGCCTTTGGTGGCCAGGCTGGCGACCACGGCATCGACCTCGGCCTGATTCAGTCTTAAATCATTATCCTCCTCTCTCTTCACGGGTTAAGCTTGTATGATGCTGCAACACAGCAATCAAGAAATACATACAAGCGTACCTAAGAGAAAAACAAAAAAATTGGCCGCATACCTTTTAGATACACACTCCTCTTTTGCCTAACTTCTCTCAACAGCAATAGCCGCCCTTAGCATATAGAATTAATTACTCCTCCCCTCTCACCATCCTTGTAGAATATCGTTTTCAAATAAAATCTCCATTTGTTTTTCCTATTGGCGTTGTCTTGCTCGACCGATACGAAAACGATCGATAACATGCGTTATCGTAATGTCAAATTACGCGTCGAGCATTTAAGCACATGTACAATCCTTCGACCACAACACTTTGTAGCATACCTATGAAAAGAATAACTCACCTATATTTCTACACCGTGTGTTAGAAATTGCATATATAGAATTTTATATTTTTTTAACTTTTTTTTTTTTTATTAACATAAATCCCCATGAGAACATATATAGAACATTTTTTATATGCGTGCATATATAGAACTTTTTTTTTTTTTTTTTTTTTTTTTATAACAACTTGTCTCTCGAGTCAATTGACTCTGCGAATCTATCAGACTAACTAGCAAAGATCTACTATCGCTGTCCTCACCACCAAAGCGGAACCGATCCACAGTCGCCAAAAGACAGGTCACATTCCCCGGGCCTGCCCCTTGGGCCTGCGCAACAATTGCCACACCTCATCAGTGCGTTAAAAGCTGAAAACACCTTGTTACAAGAAGGGTATCTTCCCCATCCCCTCCATAGTTGTCAACCGCCTCCTCCCTTGCAGGCAATCCAGCAGCGTCCGATCCGCTGCGTCTGGGTCAAGCACGGGGCCAGGGCAGCTCCCGTTTACATGGTCAGCGAGTAATGCACCACACGGACATTGGTCATCGTCGCTAATGTATCCATACCCATCACTCCAGTCCCCTCTCGGTCCCTTGTATGGAGTTCGTTTCATCTTGGCTGTGATCTCCCATTCTCGCTCTCGAGCAATGGTGGCCTTGCAGCGTGGTTTCCAGAGCAGCTCCGTAGCTTTCTCCTCAATAAAGCCGACGAACTTGTGAATGACCTGGCGCGCAATCGACGATGGCGAGGTAAATAGACTGCCCCACTCCTTGATAAGGCTGACGGGTGTGATGCCACGGCATAAATCGCTGATGCTCCAGGTCAGATCCGGAGAGCGGTCATAATACTCGTCGCCTTTGAGCATTGATCGGGTCCCGGCAATACAGGATAGACCTCGGATGTGGGTCTCGTTGTTAGGACAAACCCATCGAATGGGTTTCGGTGCAGCAGCGGCGGCTCCAGCGCGGATCCTATCACGCTCTTGCTGCTTCTTGCTGTTCTTGATGTATGCGGTCGTTGCAGCTCGTCCCCACTTATCAATCTGCTGCAGCCCTTCGCGCCAGTTCTCCTTGTGGACATCTCTAGTAGCACTGCACGTCCACAGGTGATGGTTGTCCTCGTCCTGAACATCGCAGACGCAGCAGACACGGTCAGGATATAGACTCGGGTGGCGAGCCTTCATGGCATTCAGGGTAGGCAGCATACCATGCAGCTTCTTAATATGATGTGTCCTCTGGGAGGTATCAGCAGCACTGCTGAAGAACGTGTGCACAGAGCGCTTGTCGTGGACATGGGCAAGGGTGGACCGCCACTCCACGTCGGCAAGATCTGGTATCGCTCTCTTGACACGACGTTGGGTTGTCCAGGCCTGATGACGCCTGATTGTTGCGTGCATATATAGAACGAAATAATGCAAATAAGGAACTTGCACTTATAGAATGAATAGAATAGATATATTAATGTCAAGAAAATTGCTTTCCCAAGCCCGGCTAGCTCAATCGGTAGAGCGTCAGACTCTTAATCTGAAGGCTGTGGGTTCGACCCCCACGTTGGGCGCTTCATCTTTTGCTTTTATCGTTTATGACATTTATTCGCCAACTCCTGCCTGCCATGTGCCAGTTGACGGGGCGATAAACAGACAAGAGAGGGTATGACGAGTCGATCGGGCGGCATATAACTTTTGCATGCAGCCAGGGAAGTAAGGATCGGCAAATAGCAGAGGGGTCGTAGGCTCGACCCAGCCCTCTCTTCCAGTTAAGGAGGTCGGAAATGTAATTTCCTTTTTAGGCCTCCTACTTCAGAGGGGCTGGTAAAAAAGAATGGGTCGCTGGCAGGGTTCGAAAATGGAAGGTTCTTAAGGGTATTTTCAGGCTAAATCATGCAAATACAGGATACAGGGCATACATTCCATAGTCGCAAGGTCGCGCTGGCATGCGCTGGCATGCGCCATGGCCATGCATAACAGCACAATAAAATATTAAAAATATGCTGCTCCTCCCTCACCTCACATCTTTCTTCTCTCAGCGGCTCGCCTCCTTACATTACTTAAAACTGGTATGTTGCTCATCTCTGAAGACATTGCTAAGCAGTCTAAAGATGAATCGCGTAAAGCTCCCAGTGACTTATCAATTCAATCTCAGTCCTCAGTCCTCAAGAGCGAACACTATGGCGTACATTTTTGCAAACAACATTATCGACGAAACTGCAGCTGCTAGCATGTCGCGCGACTACGCCCCAGAGAACGTTCGCCTGGCCAACGTATTTAAGGCTATCCAGGAAAATCACTTCACGCTGCGCTCATTTTTGCTGAAGGCTTTCCGGTCTGGCGACAGTAAGGTTCGATTCTTCGTTGGCATGTTTATCGCCCAAGATGGTCCAGCTGTCCTGATCAACGAATGGGCAGGCAAGGTCGAAAACACGAAGAACGACGAAACTTTCACGGAAGCTGTCACGGATGTTGTCATTGGTCGAGCACGGAAGGATCTCAGAAGAGTCAATAACGGGGGAAGTTTGCAAACGAGCGCCAGGAGTGTTACCCACGCACATGTCGAAGGATTTTCCTTGGATCCTATTGAGGAGGAGCTCAACTCTTCAGCACCCTGCCTCATAAGACTTTTAAGAGGATTGGCGTACAAGGAGAAGAAGCTGCGCAAGAATAAAGCAATGAAGAGTATTGAGAAGAGGGAGAAGAAGAAGATGAAGGGGAAGGAGAAGGAGCAGGAGAAGGAGCAGGAGAAGGAGGAGGAAGAGGAAGAGGAGGGGTGCGACGACTTGCCTTATCACCCGCGGGAGTTAACGACAATTGTATCAACCATCGCCAGCATGCTGGTAGTTCGTCAGAGCCAGCAGTCAAACCGTTTGCAGATGATCTTCGGACTGTATTTCGCGGCCACAAGATGTCCAAAGCGCGTGGTGAATGTACTCGCCTCTATCGGTCTATGTGTTTCGCCTATGACGACCCATAACGCCCTCACACAGTTATCAAACGATATGCTCAGCAGAGTCCGAGAGGCAGTTCGGAACCATCCGTTTTCAATTCTTTACGACAACATCAACATCGCGAATCGAAAATATGATCAGCGGACCTACAATGGCGACACTTTTGAGAACGGCACCACCGCCACCATTGTAATCGGCGAGGATCTCGGCACGCCAACCTCAGCTCAGAGTCTACTGAGACCGCCCCAACTTTCGGATTTTTTACCCGATCAGCAGAACCGTTCGCATATGAAGCTCGTCTATACATTCCACCTCTTTGACGTGCTACAGCGGCATTACAGCACGTACGAGCGCTGTTCGATCCATGTTCCTGAACTCGAGATTCTCCCAACCCGCCAGACGCTAACCTTTCCACTACCTGCGATGAGGCACGATCAATCGACAAATGAAGGCAATCTCGACGTCTTGCAGGATATCACCCAGATCATGCTTAAACTGCCGGAGGACTGGTTCAACAGCAATACAAGGATCATAGTTTCTGGAGATCAACTGACCGTTTCCAGGGTCATATCCCTTCAGGAATTGCGTGCAGCAGACACCACGCCTTTTAATCGACTAGAATGGGCGGTCCCTGTTATGCAATTATTTCACCTCCAGATGCTCTTTTGCAGCACGATTCTTCGCACGCATTACGGACGTATTTCGGAGCCAGGATCACTGGCTTTCTTCATAACTATGCTGGGCCGTAAACGCGTGAACCTAGACTCGCCGAACTATCACGCTGCAGATGAAGTGCTGAGGCATATCTTTGATGCAATGGTGAGACGGGTTTATGAGGTTGAACTTAATGTTCAGAGACCAGATGCCAAGAAGCCGGATGCCGAAAAGCCAGACGCCCAGAAGCCAGAGGTACTGGATGATGAGATACTGGATATCGATATGCTGAATGATGAGGTATTAGACGACAGGATACTGAATACTCAGAAGCTGGAAACGTTCGGGACAAGCTATGAGGCACCGCTTGGGAACGCAGCGCTAGACAAACGCGTCCGCGAAGCTACCGAGGCCATCTGTCACCAGTATCTCACCGATCCGATGGAGAACCCTCGCAAATTCGGCAATGCAAATGCAAACGCGGCCTTATTTCTCAGGGACATGATGGTTTATATGGAACTGGGTGCAGCCATCAAGGTTGGAGACGTCGGGCGGATCCTCGAGGTCATCAAGGTGATCACTGTCATGTTCCAGTCCAAGGAGACGAAAAATTACGCGAACGAACTCATGCGCCTCGCTTACGGTATTCGTCATGCATGGTCACCGCAATGGACAAAGGCAGTCGTGTCATCTTGGTTGATTAATACCAACGGCAAGGCGAGCGGGTGGATTCCGGCGGACTTGTATCAGGAACACAACAATCTGCTGACCAAGACTATACATTCAGGGAAAGGGAGCAACATGTCATGGGAAATGCTAGCCAACCAGATATCAACAAATATCCGCTTATTCTCGAAGATCGCCAAGACGCTTGAGTCAGAGTACGACATAACACACAACAGCTCTTTTCACTCAACACTGTCCGCAGAGCGGGACATTCAATTAATCCAGCAGTCGCTCAAGGACCATGACATTCTCGGCAATGCGCGGCCGGGAGACTGCAGTGTACCGCTTGTGAAAAACCTGGTCAGTGAAGGTCTGGAAAAATTGATAGATGGACGCTTCGAGAAGTTTGTCGAGAAAAGCGTCAATTTAGGTGGCGATGAACAAGACGCTGTTGTTGTTGATGGTCTGAAGAACGAGGACAATCAAGCGGAGGAATATATTAGATCGCTTTTTAATGCCGGATATGTTTTATAAATTAGTTTTTCTTGCTTTTCTTGGGACTAAAGAAATTTGATGCAGTCCTATTCTTGAATAAACTCGGTCGTTTTGATGTAGGCTTTGAAGTCACAGCAGCGGGCGTTTGATGAGACTCATCTGCTTCTCGATCAATTTCTATATTTGCTCCGCTTTGACCGTCAATGAACTGGCCCGCTTCCTGTGGCGGCTGTGCACTTGCCATGTCAATATCCTTGTTCAGTCTGATGAGAATATCGGCTACTTCCTGCCGTTGTAGCTCAACCACAGGTGTCCAAGTGATGATAGAACGAATATCTGCGGGTGTTGTGATTTTTGCGAAATTCTCCCCAAGCACCTGGATCATATTGTCCGTCATTACGCAGCGCGGCTCAAAGGAATCACAGAGTGGTGCCAAATCGCGCACAAATGCCATTGCTCTCCAGTTCCGCAGTGCTTCCTTGGCCAGCTCATTCTGCTCAAACGTGCGCTTGGGGACTCGAGTTTTTGGTATGTAAGCGGTTGTCAAGGTGACAGCGGTGAGCACTTTTGTGAAGGAGATCTGCCCCTGCGGATATGAAGATTTCCGTGTAGGGTGACAAAGATCGCAGCAATTCTCGTTCGGATGATGCACATTGCCATAGACGTCATTGAGGACTTTTCTGCGACATTTTTGAGTGACGATGTACTCCTTGAGATGCTCGTCGGCGTACTTGGTCTCATCGGATGGTGGTGGTACCAATAAAATACCGAGCCCCTGACGTTTCGGATCACGAGCTGCACGACCAAGACGCTGCACAAGGGATGAAATGCTAGTGGGGCACCTGACCTGAACGACACGGTCGACGTCGTTGATATCACATCCCATTCCAGCGGCTTCTGTAGATAGCAACAAGCGAATGTTGCCTTGCCTGAATGCCTCCATGGTCTTCCGCTTGTAGTCCTCGGACATGAGTGCATGATAGAGGGTGATGTCCTTCTTTGTGGCCGAGGATTCCAAAGCTTCCTGAGTGCGCTCCGACCCCAGACAGGAGGCAATCCTGCTATCGTTGACATCGGTCACCAACCCTTGCAAGTACCTCATAGCCGTAACGGTCTCATTCCGGCTTTCAAAATAAACAATGGTCTTTTGGAAGTCCATAAGAAAATCAAGATGCCTCAGCTTGTTGTTTGGCTTGAAGTGTCGCACTTCCAGTCGTATATTAGGGCGATCGTTACCGACATTGATGACAGATGTAGAGCCCTTGAAATGGATCCTGTGTTTGAGATCTGCAAGGGCTTGGGGCGGAAGAGTGGCCGATACAGCAATGAACGCCACGCTGGGAAGCACCCACGTCCGGAGTTCTCCAAGGCGGCCATATAGCTTTCTGAAAGTGGTACCCCAAGAGGTGACACAATGAGCCTCGTCCAGGACAACGGCTTGCAGTCGCATTCGCCATCTCTTGTCGAACCAGAGTTCCTGCACGCGCTTGTTCTCAAAAATGATTTCTGGTGTCATAAAAATAACCCTATACAATCCTGCGGCCACTCCAGAGTCAATCCCGGTGATGTCTCCGCCCATGAGGGCCGTGCTGCGGATGCCCAAGCTTGCAAGTTTCAGCTGCTGTTCTTGTATCAAAGCCCTCAGAGGTGATATTACAACGATGATCCGATCGGTCCAGAGCACCGTCGGTAGAAAATATACAAGGGACTTGCCCCAGCCGCATCCAGCAATCAGAATACAGTCCCGACCGGTACCGATGCATTCGACGACATCCAGCTGCAAGTCTTTAGGGGTGATATGGAAGACATCTTGACACCGCTTGATAGCTTCTTCACGGTTGAACGGTAGGGCCATGTTGATGAGTTGCTGCTGAGGACTGAGATTGAATTGATAAGTCACTGGGAGCTTTACGCGATTCATCTTTAGACTGCTTAGCAATGTCTTCAGAGATGAGCAACATACCAGTTTTAAGTAATGTAAGGAGGCGAGCCGCTGAGAGAAGAAAGATGTGAGGTGAGGGAGGAGCAGCATATTTTTAATATTTTATTGTGCTGTTATGCATGGCCATGGCGCATGCCAGCGCATGCCAGCGCGACCTTGCGACTATGGAATGTATGCCCTGTATCCTGTATTTGCATGATTTAGCCTGAAAATACCCTTAAGAACCTTCCATTTTCGAACCCTGCCAGCGACCCATTCTTTTTTACCAGCCCCTCTGAAGTAGGAGGCCTAAAAAGGAAATTACATTTCCGACCTCCTTAACTGGAAGAGAGGGCTGGGTCGAGCCTAGAGGGGTCGACGAATAATCACACATCTACATATGGTAGGTAGGGGTCGGCAAATAAGCATTTTCGACCGGTCGGCGAATAAATAATTTGATAAATAATAAAGCACAATATTATTCAGGACGAGCAGACCCCTGGTTCAGGAACCACACCGCTTATTAGCTTATTATTTTGCGCTGGGCAGATATCCACCTAGTAATAGATATTAATGAGATGATAACGCGTAAAGGTGTAAAATAGTCAATCCAAGAGGATAACCGTTGCAGCTCACCAGGTCCTCTTCCTCGATTTCTTCGTCATATGCTGCACCTTCATCCCCTTCTGCTCATCGTCTGTCTAGGCATAAACCATGCAGTCGCCCAGAGGGGAAGCAGAGGCAGGCGGAAGCTAATGAAACACACAGGAGGATACCTTAACAGTCGGTTAGTGAAGCCTTGGAAGCTGCTAAATGGCCGATAAGGAGCTTGAGTTTAGTGTTCGTATTGGTGAGGAGAGGCGGCTGGGAGTCCAAGCAGGCACTAGGGAGTTTAGTCGCGTGTGAACAGATCTAATGTTCACGAAGAAAATAACCATGTCGATTCAGGAACAGGTACTACTTTTAAAATCATGCAGATTTTAGAATGTGTGTAAACCACTTCCTTCAAATGCAAGGTTGATTGACAACCAACTGGCCATTGAGGATTTTTTTTTCCTAGAAGTCTGCTGACCCCCTCCTCGTCCTTTATTAGCCCCTCTACACGTAGTGGTCTGATAAGACACGCCTGCGCCTCTGGAGGAGGATCTGTTGTCAATAATAAAGCAACAAGGATAGTGGCCTAAGAAGGAAATTCTGGATTTCTAGGCCGCCTTACAGTTAGAGAGAGAGCCGAGAACGAACCTATTCACACGCCGCAAGGCGTAGTTCTATCGCGGAAATAAAGAGCGTCCTTGAGACGGGACCACGTCTTCTCCAACGTCATGTAGTACTTCTTCTGTCAGAGTTATTCCCGCTTGTTTACCGTCGTAGTATAGGGCAACTTAACTGATCCTAGCCCGAGACGGGTTCACGGCAGAGCTCAGCCCTGTACGATTCACATCGCTCGCAAAATTTCCTTTTTTAACGCGGACATGATGTATAAAAAGCGCGTCGGTGCTTCTCTCGCCTTTCCTTTCATTCCTTCATTCAGTCACCATTTCACCCATAAAAGCACCAGCAGAAAACATGCTTCGCACTACCATAAAACTTCGTCTTCCGACGGCTGCTCCAGCAGCTCTGGTGAGGTCGACGCGTCCCGTAAGTGCTTCAAGCTCTCCTATCTTCCTATCTTCCGAAAGACGCATTGATCGAACAGCTTAATGCTTTATCTGACGCGTCTACGAGTCTAATGTCTATGTCCACACAACACAGAATATCCCACTCGCCACTGCTTTTGTTGCTCAGCGATCCTACGCCAGTAATCACGGCACGAACAGATCAGGTTGGGGAGGGCCACGAAAGTCCTTGCCCATAAACACAGTAAGTCCTACATTGACCTGCTGAGATATCATATTTCTCAGTCCTTCCAGCGATTCGGTATGCTCAACTGCATACGGCCTTATTGATATACATGTAGATCATTAAATTTGTGCCTCAACAAGAGGCGTGGATCGTTGAGCGCATGGGCCGATTCCATACAACTTTAGAACCTGGTCTTCAGTTCCTGATGCCCTTCCTAGATCAAGTCAAGTATGTCAGAAGCCTTAAGGAAGTAGCCATTGAGGTTCCTAGCCAAAGCGCCATCACTCAAGGTATGCATTCAATGCAGTGCAATACAATGCAACGTGAAGCTCCTTACTTTATTGGACGACAAAAGGCGGTACCACTGACGCTAGTTCTCTGTCTTTCAATCTGTCATCTTTTACCGCTGCGCTCTGGTAGACAATGTTACACTGGATTTGGATGGCGTGTTATACTTTCGAGTAGTAGATCCATACAAGGCCTCATACGGGGTCGAAGATGCCGAGTTCTCGGTCTCTCAGCTGGCGCAGACTACTATGCGTGCTGAAATTGGCATGATGACTCTCGATCGTACCCTAGCAGAGCGCGCTCATCTGAATGCCAATATTGTCGAGGCTATTAATACTGCAGCGGCGGACTGGGGCATCCAATGTCTTCGCTATGAGATCCGAGACATCCATCCTCCTACCAAAGTGGTCGAGAGCATGCACCAACAGGTTTCCGCGGAACGAACCAAGCGTGCTCAGATCTTGGATTCTGAAGGTAAAGTCATTTCTTTCAAACGCCAATATAAACAGTAATCATCCTTGCCACTACATGGGAGTTTTAAACGATATCCATAATTCCTCTTCAACTGCGACAGGTTCACGCCAGGCTGCTATCAATGTAGCTGAGGGCCTCAAGCAGTCGACCATCCTTCAGTCCGAGGCCGATAAGGCGGAACAAATCAACAGAGCCACTGGTGAAGCTGAGGCTATTCTGCTACGTGCCCAGGCCAATGCTGAGGGGATTCGTCGCATCGCAGAGGCGATATCAAAGACTCCCGGCGGACATCATGCTGTCTCGTTAACGGTCGCTGACAAGTACGTCGACGCCTTTGCCCAGCTCGCCAAGGAGACCAATACGCTTATCTTGCCAGCGAACGCCAGCGATGCTGCGAGTATGGTTGCACAGGCATTGACCGTCTACGACAATATCACAAAGAAGCGCAACATTGCCCCGGATCAGATTATGCCTTCTTCCGGAAAATCCGCTTAGAAAAGTATCCGACTGTATCTAATAAACGACACGCGCAGATTGTGTTGACAAGTATCATTGCGTCCTGCATGGCTCGAGAAAGATCAATTTATTTCCTGTATTTTTTTCCTGAAAAACAGCGCTTTATTCCAGCTATAGTCGATATTAAATCCGATCTGTGACTGAAACAATTCCTGGCAAGAAAAGAAAAATGAGGCGGACCAGGAGCGACAAAGTCATCTAAGAGAACCAGCGATGTCCACAGGCCTTGTTGCAGCAGATGTAATACAATGTCATCTTCATTTCAGCGCCGTTTCCTTGTGCCTGGAAGAAGACCGCCTCTTCGTGTCCACACTTTGCACATCTCATCCTAGTCCGTGGCTAGTTGATATTGCGATATTGAATGACGAGGCGCAAAGCGCGCGTAAGCAATGATGTGGTTCCTAGGAGTAGAAAGAATCCACAAATACGGATAGTCGATCCAGTATGACATACCAAAGTGGGATCTGTGCTCAAGTCTTGTACGAGAAGCGTTTGCTCTCTAGAAGATTGTGCCGAGAGATAGAAAGAAAGCATTGTTGAGTGATCCCTGTTGCCTGATTCTCTCCTTCCTGATTGACGCCTTCCACAACAATATCTTTTGTCAGACAGTGCCGGCACTAAAAGACATACGCTGGTGCGTGCAAGATCTCGTTCCTGTATACGCAGTTGTTGTCGGCCTTCTCCTGGTAATCACAATTCCTGCAGGCAAACATCAAGCTCCTGCTGCGAACATCTGGATTGGATCTGTCCTCTCTAGGATACAACAGATTGTTGCTGCAAACCATTGGTAGTTCGACATGGGTGTTAGATCAAGTTCAAGGATGCCATGCAGCAGGCAAGCTGTTCGAGATACATCGTACCACTCGGAGCAGTAGAGGAAGGATGGCATAAGTATGGTCGACTTTATTGTTCTTTTCGGTTGCGGGCAGTTGCGATGGTGTGGTGATGCGAATCGGTTCTCGCATAGAGGTACAAGATCATTTTTCTTTATCCTTGCGTTCAGGTGCTACGTCACTCTATTGGCCTGGCGCCAGATCGGCGGTGCAACGTTCTGCCGAACATGCCTGCAGCCATTGGTAGGCCACAAAAACAATTGCTTCCAGGACAAATCAGCCCGCGGCGTGCTTTCTTTTTTATCATATTATCATCGTTGTTCGTATGCGTCTTTTCTGAAAGTAAGGCCAGGCCTTTTTTCATTTGGCAGCGCAAGTCGAGGGGGTGGACAGGTGCTCTGAAAATTGACGTCCCAGCCGTATTCCCGTTCTCTCTCTCCCCCTCTTCCGGTCCGCAGCAGCCGGGAGCGCTTGGACTAACCCCAGAGCATCAGTTGTACTCTTCACAAACGCGCGTATTTTTCCGTGGCCACCGCGGCTGCTTTTCTAAGACAAGGGGCAGGACATCTCCCATTTCATATTTGTCATCGCTATTGGCTGCCATTAAGGTTCGTCCCTTCCAGCTCCACCGCACTCTACCCTCCTGAGGTCATCTCTCACTTCATCATCTTTCTCTTTCTACACCATCCCCAGCAAGCACCAGAGCCAGCGACGGTCGAACGACGACCAATACTACTAACCATTAACAGCAACGAACGAAACTAGAGCGAAAGCTACCCTTGCAGCTATATCAAGTGTCAAATCCAAGGTCGAATCGCCAAGAAGGATTTTGCAGCATGGACATCCTCAGTTCTCCCCACATCCCACCATCACTCATCGGAGCCCTTACACTCTACCCGCTTTTGTTCACTACTCTCGACAAGCTGCCATGGACCAAGCGGGTCCTACCACTTAAGGCTGATACCCAGAAGCACTACCACCTCTGCAACAAGATCGTGGCCTCTGTTCACTCGACAATCATGACCATCACCGGTACATATCTCCTCCTGACCGTCGACTGGTCCAAGAACGACATGTCGACCTACATGACCGCGCTTACACCCTTCCTCGTCGGACTCGAGCTGGGCTACTTGACCCAGGATACTGCCTTTGAGTTTTATCAGCGTGCTCGGTTCGGTGTCGGCAGCAACCTGATCCTTTTCCATCATGTCGCCGTCATCCTCGGATCCGCCTACTATCTCTACGCTCTTACTCTCAACAATCCAGGACCGTATTTTATTGGCATGCTTTCTCTCATGAATATGAGTACGCCGATCCTACACTTCCGCTGGGTTCTTCAAAGTCGAGGCCGCACATTCACCAACTCAAGGTTGAAGCGATTTATTGATACGGCTCTGATGGTGACCTACTTTTGGTGCAGAATTTTCGGCAATTGGTGGATGGGTGTCGCCATTGGTGCCAAGCTGGGCGTGTCCTGGTACCAGGCACCACTCTACATCGGCAAGAAGTATACGATCACGACAACTATCATGTTCCTAATGAATGTGGCATGGTGGCTCATTCTTGCCAAGCAATGGGTCAAATCCGTCAAGGGCTTTTACTTCACGAAAAAAGTTGCCAAGAAATCAGAGTAAATCTATTTGGCCTTATCATTATAGAACTCTCTACTCGCTAATAATCGTTTGGTTCGTCCTTTACGTAAACGTCATTGTTTTTGCACAATAAACTGTTCAGGTAGTAAACTTGGATTCCGCCGTTTTTTTTTTACTATTGACGCCTGATTCCCCCCAGACGCGGCCCGCAGCGATTCGGTCTAGGCGGGTCACGTGTAACTCCAGCATGCGTGGGAAAAATGGGGGGAGAATAAAAAACTTTCCCCACTCCTTACCCCACTCTTCCTTCTACGCACTCTCCACCCCTCTCATCAACACCATCCATTGCACATCATGTCTTCCTTCATGCTGTCTGCCAATAGGGCAGCCCTCCGCATGCGCTGGGGAACCTCCATCAACCCCGTCTCAATGAAGCCCTTCCGTTGGTACACGACTGAGATTGGTACCTGACCCCTCTTTTTGAATTCCGGAATAGAATGGGATCGTAGTAGAGACCAAGCTAAAGATGGCAAACCCCTCATACTAACTATGGATTGCAAACCTCCACGTTACATCACAATGTAGAGCGCAAACCCCTGTTCGACAAGATTCTCATTGCTAATCGGTAAGTGGTGGATGACACTGATCTCGAGAATTTTAGGGCCACTGTTCTATTGTGCTCTAAATATCTCCGCTAACAATCCTATGTCTTGACCCTGGATAAACGCAACCGAACAGTGGTGAAATCGCCTGCAGAATCATGAGGACCGCCAAGAAGCTCGGAATCAAGACTGTGGCCGTCTTCAGTGACGCCGACAGGAACGCCCTTCATGTCAAGATGGTAATAAAATGTTTTCTTCTGTTTGACCCTGATCTCGACCGATTAACGGTTATTGACACCGTCTTGTGGATCGATCGATCATATTCTCTACCTCTCTGTTCTTAGGCTGATGAGGCCTATAACATTGGACCAGCTGCATCTGCTGAGAGTTACTTGAAGGTCGACAAGATCATTGAGGTCGCCAAAAAGAGCGGAGCTCAGGTAAAAAAGCTTTTTTTTTTTTTTTTTGCACGCCTTGCTTTATTAGGCACACGAGCCGCGAACTCTTTTTTTCTCACGCTCTCCAAAATTTATGTAGGCCATTCATCCAGGATACGGTTTCTTGTCCGAGAACGCAGGGTTTGCGGACCGCCTGGCCAAGGAGAACATTACTTTCATCGGACCCCCTGGCAGCGCCATGACAGCGATGGGATCCAAGAGTGAATCCAAATTCATTATGGAGGCCGCCAAGGTTCCTGTCGTTCCCGGCTACCACGGTGAGAACCAGGACAATGCTTTCTTGAAGGTTCAGGCCGATAAGATTGGATACCCTGTGTTGATCAAGGCCGTCAAGGGTGGTGGAGGAAAGGGAATGCGTATTGTTGAGACCCCCGAGGAATTCGACATCATGTTGGAAAGCTCCAGACGCGAAGCCATGAAGTCCTTCAGCGATGACAAGGTGTAAGTGGAGTATCGTACATGTGCTTATGTCTAACAGTTGTGAGCTCGGTTCGCTAATTAATTGATTTCCGGTCCGACTTAATAGTCTGGTTGAGAAGTACCTTGTCACTCCTCGTCACGTCGAAGTCCAGGTCTTTGCCGATACTCTCGGAAACGCTGTCTACCTCTTCGAGCGCGACTGCAGTGTCCAGCGAAGACATCAAAAGATTCTGGAGGAGGCCCCCGCTGTAGGTGGATTGATTATTGTTTTTTAAGGGCTCTAGATTAATACGACTATGATCACTTTGTACTGACCTACCGTACCATTCATCCCAATCATTAGCCCGGACTTTCGGAAGAGCTCAGACGCGATCTGGGAGAGAAGGCTGTTGCCGCTGCCAAGGCCGTAAACTATGTCGGAGCCGGAACAGTTGAATTTATTATGGATAACACAGATCAAAAGTTCTACTTTATGGAGATGAACACCCGTCTTCAGGTTGAGCATCCCATCACAGAGATGATCACGAACACAGATCTTGTGCAGTGGCAGCTTGAGGTCGCAGCCGGTAACAGACTGCCCAAATTGCAGAACGAATTGAAGAAGGATGGCTGGGCATTTGAGGCGCGTATCTATGCTGAGAACCCCAACAACAACTTCTTGCCTGATGTCGGTCCCCTGCTTCATGTTCAAACTCCTGAGCCCTCAGACAGCGTTCGTCTGGAGACCGGATTTGTTCAAGGAGACGAGATCTCGGTGCACTACGACCCCATGATTGCCAAGTTGGTTGTTCACGGTGAGAGCAGAACTGCTGCCCTCCGCATCTTGCGCAAGGCCCTCAGTGAGTATGAGGTTGTTGGATTGAACACAAATATCGAGTTCTTGAAGACTCTCGCCGCGCACCCTGCTTTCATTGCTGGGGAAGTCGAGACTGGATTCATCAAGAAGTACGAGAGCGATATGTTCAAGCCAGCTCCTCCTCTGGATCCCGCCACCGTTGCCCAGGCCTCGTTGACTATGATTCTTCGCGACTTGGAGGCTTCCCAGCAGGCCGCCGAGGCTGCCGAGGATGCATCGTCGCCCTTCACCCTCAACTCTGGATTGCGCTTGAACCAGCTCAGCGAGCAGACTCTTGCCTTCAAACTCGAGGACCAGGATGTGAAGGTCGGGGTTGAGTTCAATAGAGATGGAACATACAACGTTCGCGTTCAGACCCCTAACAAGACTACGGTCTTCTCCAAAGTCATGGCCAAGTTGGCTGGCGAGAGCAGCGTTCTTGCCGAGATTGAGAATCGCCTGTACAAGACGAGTGTTGTCCAGGAGGGGGATCAAGTCCATGTCTTTGCAGAGGAGGGCAAGGTCACATTGGATATTCCCCAGCCAAAGTTCTTGACTGTCGGAAAGGAGGAGAAAGCAGGAAGTTTGCGCACACCCATGCCCTGCAAAATCTCTCAGGTTATGTGCAAACCTGGAGATAAGGTCGTCAAGGGACAGAACTTGGTCATTTTGGAAGCCATGAAGATGGAGGTAAGGCGACTTGTTTCGTGCATGCCCACGTTTTTTTATTTATTTTATTTTGGAATCAAAGCTCTAACAATTGTTCTCTCTGAATTGGTCAATTCTAGCATATTATCAAGTCCCCCGTCGACGGAGTGGTCTCTGATGTGTTCTTCAGTGTTGGCGAGATGGTTGGGGAGAACAAATCGCTCATCGCATTCGAAGAAGCTGAAGGTGCCAAGGAGGCATAAAGTAACGAGCAGGAGGTTGATATTAGAGCGGAAAGTGTGTATCATCTAGAGGGTACCCTCATCCACGGGTCCAAATAAAAAAAAAATATTTATCGTATTTGTTTGCCGTATCCTTGAAGGAACTTTGTCCGGTATCCCAAAACCATGTGTGCACGAAACTCTAAGCATTCAACGAGGTCCGTTGCATTGACGTTAGTTCATTGTATGTGGGAGGATCCCAAAACCAAACAGCATTGGAGTGTCCGGCGTGGATCAAGACAAATCGAGGGAGCTCCATGATACCACGATATTTTTGGAGTTTGCACCGCCCGTTTTCATTCCCTTAAAAGAGAGGAGGCGTAGAGATATTCCTTTCAACTCGTTACTGCTCCTCTTTCTTATCCGTAAACTTCTCTTAGCAAAAATGATGCCGCCAAATACGATTACTATGCGTAGGAGCAAATGTACTCTTCTTCTACTTGCCCTGCTCGTGGCAGCGAGTATGCAAGGCGCATATGCCCACATGTCTATGATTTACCCGCTCGCCAGAGGACTTCCCATTAATCCCTACACGTAAGGGTCATCGATTTGGTCGTTTGCGCAAGGTTTACTCTTCCACTGCTTGTGCAAATCGCTAATAATGGGCACTTTTTGTCAATGTGTCCACAGTACAGCTCCTGATTACAACTGCCGCGATGCACCGCTGTACGACGGCTGCGGAGGCGGTACCGGCAAGACGTTCCCCTGCGGCGGCTATCCGCCTGACAAACAAGTCGTCCAAAGCTTTGAAGCTGGTCAGATGATCAATGTAACCTTTGGCAACGCCGCGTATGGCTCTCCAGGAGAACCAGCCCTCACGCCGACATCAGACCAAGCGCGACATTCAGGTGGACTGTGTGAGTTCAGCTTGAGTTATGATCAGGGTGGGACGTTTGGTGTCTTTGCACGGTACCATGTCTCCTGCCCCGACATGTTTTATAACTGGACTATCAAGTTACCTGATAATCTGCCTGCCTGTGATAACTGTATCCTTGGTAAGTTATCGACAAGAAGAAAAATAGGAGAAGCATCGAATGAGGTTCATAATGTGCTAACTGACACTACAACACTCCACGCTCACGCTTGTTGTCATTATGTCTCCCAGGGTGGAGCTGGATTGGTGCGGTTGGAGCGCGCCCAGAATATTACATGGGCTGTGCGGATATCAAGATTGTGAGCACTCTTAATGGTTCGCTGCCTCCCGAGCTCGCCAGCACGCCACTTCGAATGGCCAACATGCCTGGGTATCCTTATTACTTTGCTCCTGGAGATAAGTTTGGGAATTTGAGGGGCAATGGGCCCAATTCTTCGGAGCTGGCCGCCAATATGAGGGGCGCAACCGGTGGACCGGACACTCATCCATTCCCACCCGGTGGACCGGACCCTCAGCCAATGCTTACCAAGAGAAAGAAAGGCAAAGGCACGCGCAGAATGCTGTAGGGATAGCTTTTTTTTTCTGCAAAGCCACTTTTCCCACTTTAAATTCAGATCGAGACCAATGTTTACATTTTTTCTCCTATTTTTTTTCTTTGATCGAGATCACACCGCAGAATCGCACAATGAAGCATCACAGTTCTACGACAAGGCTGGAGGCTTCAACCTCCAGACCTCGCACGAAACATAATTGAAATGCTTTAGGGAAAGTCCCCGGACCTCACGGCAGAAAGTGCCGCCAATAACATACTGGCTTTTCTGAGATTCCGCAAGAGACGATCGTTTCGTTCTGGGCCAAGACTCTTTTCTTTTCCTTTGGAGAAGAAGAGAGAACGCTCCTCAACGGTTTGATCTTGCGGCTCAGTGTTTGTCATGGTTACAGTTATGCGATTGCGGTTGTCCTCTTCTTATGGAGAGGATGATCGTAACTCAACGGGGCTCACTCGCGGACGTGATCTCGATCTCGAAGAAAAAACACTTTTTTTTTTTATTATATTACTATTAAAGTCAATGGGTCTGAATGGAAGAATGTGGGGACGGTGGTGTTGTGGTGTTGTGACTCATGGAGACGAGAGGCGAGGTTAACAACGAAGAGTGTAAGAGTGTGGTGGGGCTACTGCCAACAGACGAGTGCCGTTCTACATTCTACATGGGCGGTAGTGCTTCTTTCATTTGGTGCAACCTTAGGCATGTGCATTTTGCGTTCCGTACTTGACATTGATGTTTTTCCCTCATGATAAGATAGCAAACCTCTTGCCCTTCTTTGGAAACAAACGCGGCATTAATGAGAAGCGAAGAACTCCTTTCAAAGTCTGGTCTTGTTCTCGTTTGTTGAATCCGACAGGTGAGATGCGGCGTGTGAGATGTTTTGCGTAACGTGTGCATGCTTCTACTTCTTTAGCTTCGCCTTTGCCAAAACGTCTACTTTCGTATTGGCAACACAATAATAATCGCGCTCCCAGCCGAAAACAACAAATGTCTAGTGCTGAAATGCGCTCTTTTGTGACCAGTTGGCCGTCTATCTCGCTCTCATAAAGTCGAACACAAGCAAGGCCGAGTAATCATCCCCATCTACCTTCCGCTCCTTCATCTCTCTCACTTTTTTTTTTTTTTTAATTTCATCATCACGACTCCTTTCTCTTGCAACAAACTCGCGGACTGACTTCTTTTGCACAGTCCAAAACGTGAACCAGTCTATCAGACACGCGACAAAAAAAAAAAAAAAAAAAAATCCCGCACTTGCAAACGACTCAGCATGTCCTCTTTTACACTGGAGACCACCCTTGATACCAAGACACCTGATGTCATCGAGTTCTTGGGGCCACCTAGCGCGGCTATACAACATCAGATCTCAGGTACTCTTCGCCTACGTGTTCAAAAGGCCGTTCAATTGAAGCAGCTCTCCGTTGTGTTTCATGGAGAAGGTCAGTCGCCAAGGAATGAGCAAGCCGTCTTGACTCGCACTGGAAGAGTCAAGCGCACTAGAGCTGACATCTAGCTTTCGTTTACTTCGATAGCCCATTTCTCATACACCACATCCGTGGTTGGAGTTGCCGTGCAAAGCGATGGGGTCAATATTGCTCACATCGAAGTTCAACTCATCAAGTCAACTACTCAATATCAGCCAGGAGAATACACATTCCCTTTTCAGCTCAGTCTTCCTGGTGATTTGGTTACAACTGCTTCCTCGAGCTTGAAGTCCAGCATTCTCACGTGGACATATGAACTCATCAGCACTGCAATGCCCACAGGGTTGTTCGCCAGACGCAGAGTCGCTCACCAGCCTCTGGCACTCAAGAGAGTCAACGTGCAGCCATCAGATACATCGAGCGTACGGTATGGTGTGAAGCGGCCAGATGAATTCGAGTGCTCTATGTACGCGCCAAAGTTCATCGGCGCCCAGGAGACAAAGATCCACCTCAGTGTATATTCACACCCCTATAAGCACACTTATCGAGTCAAAGAGATTCTCGCACAAGCAATCCAGATGGAGAAGGTTTGCTTTGACTCGAGGCAACTTGAAAAGTCGATACGGAGAATCAAGGAATCGTAAGTCTTCTCTTTTCTGTCAATTGATATTTTTTTTCTCTCGTTGAGGAACAGTTTTTAACAAGACGTGTCTTGTTATGGTTGCAGTTTACCCTCTGGGATAAATCCTGACCCGATTGCGATCAAGACGGCTGGCATCACCGATGAGGATGATCGCCCTTCCTTCGTCAAGACTGACAATGCCAAGGCCCTCAGCAAGACCATCACTCTTGCGAACCCAGATCAGGAAGAGTTTTCAGCCGCGTGGGGCCGGGAGCATCCCATTGAGTTCGAATTGGATATAGACCCTGGCGAAATGGTTCCGGACGAGACACTAGACTGGATAAAGATCGCGCACGGTGTTCGCTTCACCATTGTTTTTGTGGATCCAAATGTCCGCAACCTGGTTGTGATGGCACCATTCCAGGTCAGCAATGTTCTTGAAGAGGGTTGGTCTACTCATCCTGCGCCCGAGGGCTTGACGCCTCCGGACTATGGCGTGGATGATGGCCACTCGACCCTGTTGGATTCTAACACGACTCGAATGAGCCGCCAGCAGCTGCATCGTGAGCTATATCCAGAGAGAGAGCTGATCGTGCCAGATCTGGCGGACGACTTGCCGCCGGTGTACGAGCACGAGGAAGAATCACCTGTACCGTACACTGAAAAGCAAGAGCCATAGTTCTCCACGCGATTTCTCTCTAGTCATATCTATCCTTTCTATGCCGTATACCTCCTCCTCAGAACTGTAGCATAATAAATTGAGCACGAGCTGTCTTTAAACCATGTGCCACGCGAGTAGTTTATTTCTCCGGAACTTCCTCGATCCGTACCGCGTCCGCGTTAAAGTTGTCCCTGGTAAATGAAACCTCGCATTTTAAGCACCCCATATGCTATGACGATATACATGAAGCTAGGAACAAAGTTGTTGCCAACTCAGGATGTCGCCCTCGCCTCCTGGCGGTGGAATTATTCCGCGGAGAAGATTTGTGTTTAGTTGGTGTGGGCATCAATTGCATCATAGAGGTTACTAGATCCAGCCATGGAGAGCGCCAATTTCATGCTTGCAGAGAAGGAGCGAATTCATAAAGTGAGGGGATGCGATGTCGACAGAGGCAATTCCTCCTATTTGGAAATAAAAATACCGCTCGGCAGAGAGTTGGGCTGAGTAAATTTTTCATGCATGCGCTAAACCGAGGGGCTCACACAGTACGCAAGCAGACATGTACACTCACTAAGTCATGCTGAATGACATGGTGGCAAAGCTGTTTACGACTGAAGCTGGCAGGAGAAGATCTAAAACGAGAGAGGGGGCGTATCCAGTAGAAGCCGATGATCCTGGTGTCTCTACGAGGACGGCCTTGGCTTTCGCCATGGGAATGAAAGACAGCAAAAATGTCCCCTATGAATGCTTTCATTGCTCCCCCGCGAGACCATTGCCATGTCGCCACAGAAGACGATGTTATAAACACAAGCACCAATAGCAGACTAGCTGTGCTGTTCCTAGTGGAGGATAGCTCGTGAAATGTGTCTAGCACTCTGCGACTGGATGTATTTGTCCCTCAGAAAGAGATAAGGCCAGGGCTAAGGAAAAACGGCACCGATCAACTGAGCAAACACAAAAAATGAGCTTAATCTGCCACGGTCCTATTATTCTGCGCCTCGCCATAATAAAACGGCATAAAAGGAGGAATGCTTTTCCTTCATTTTCGTTATCCACCGCTCTTCGCACTCATATCTCTCTATCCTTTTCAACCCCTCTTCGTTACAAGCACTTATTATCAACATGACATTCACATTCGACATCGAACTGGACACCGAGCAGCCCTTCGTCGTCGTCCTCGATCAGGACCCATATCGTACCCAGGTGTTGCAAGGGGCGATTGTACTTCAGATGACCGAGCCCGAAAAGTTCAAGGTTGCCACTATCGCCATTCACGGACACAGTACGTGCACTACAAAGCGAAATGAAAAGGGAGACAGAGAAGGGATGCTGTGAGTCTCTAGCGACTAATAACCATATCCTTCTTTCTTCTTTCTGTTTTTCACTGTATTACAGTCGGTGTGGCCCTGAACATCGATACCAAGCCCACTGTCGTTCATGAGCGCCTAATTGAATCTAGTGTCGACCTGGTTGCAGCCAACGACACCGAAGGCCAAGGCACGATCTCTATTAGCGGGTCTGGCACACAATATATTCCCTTCAGAATCGATGTTCCGCGATCGCACGAATTGCCTCCAACCCTTCTCAACAAACTGGACACACACTACATTGACTGGAAGTACGAGATCCATGCGACCCTTCAGCGAGATTCTATTTTCGCCTCAACCAAGACCGTCAAGCACGACTTGATCTTCCGCCGACCCATTGCTCCACTAGGCGAGACCACAGCTACTCTCACCGCCTCGACAGATATGCCAGGACAGTTCCGTAGCAAATTGACGGCGCCTTCGAGGACCGCACTGGGTGAGGATAAGTTGGCTGTCACGGTCGAGATGAAGGCCCGCCATAAATCGTACATGGTCAAGGAGATTGATTGTGCAGTCGTCCAGACGGAGGACATCAGCTATTACACTCGACGGGGCCATCCCAAAGTTGAGAATGCGTAAGTGAATTATACGAAACTGCTCTTCTTAACGGCTAAGAACAACAAAGTGGAGCTTTGCTACAGAAGTAGGGCTGGTTTATACAAGCTCAATGCTCCCTCTGACCCTTTGTGCCTAATTTGGACGTCCTTTGAGTATGTACTACAATGCTCACAAACAAACTTCTGTTCTTCGATGATATTATTCTAGCCATGTCCCCGGCGTTCCATGCAAGGTCAGCGCCTCTAGACTCGTCTCTGCCTTCAAGAAGATCCCTAACGATGATAACGACCTCGATTTCGGTCGACACAAGCCCATCGTTATCGACCTTCGCCTCGACAATAACCAATTGATCCCTACTGAGCGTGGCTTCGACTGGCTCGAAATTTCACATGTGCTTCGATACACAGTTCATTTTATGGACGTAAATCTGCAGCCCATTGTCACAGAGTTGCCGCTCTTTGTCGGTCATGAAGGCGATATTCCTGTGGAGGAAGTGGTAGAAGTGAAGGGGACAGGAAGCGAACGCAAACACGGTGTGGCCAGATTGATGGAATCCCTAAAAACTGGTGGAACGGACAACAACACGACTCTCATGGCAGCATAAAGAAGAGCCCCCGAGCCCATTTGTTATTTCTCATTTCATCTCCTGTACATATATCCAATCCAATCACCAATAAAGAAAAAGCTTTAGCCAAAATACTTCTGCAGCCCAAAAGACACTCAAACAGCTAAGGATTTGAGGAGAACTCAATGCTGTTTAGCAAGCTCTTTTTTTTTATGAACCACGAATCCAGAGCCGGATTATCAAAATATGAGTAGATGCTACCCCTACAGCGACGAATGTGCATATATAGAATACAAAACGCATATAAAGATTTTTTTTTTTTTTTTTTTTTTTTATAACAACTTGTCTCTCGAGTCAATTGACTCTGCGAATCTATCAGACTAACTAGCAAAGATCTACTATCGCTGTCCTCACCACCAAAGCGGAACCGATCCACAGTCGCCAAAAGACAGGTCACATTCCCCGGGCCTGCCCCTTGGGCCTGCGCAACAATTGCCACACCTCATCAGTGTGTTAAAAGCTGAAAACACCTTGTTACAAGAAGGGTATCTTCCCCATCCCCTCCATGGTTGTCAACCGCCTCCTCCCTTGCAGGCAATTCAGCAGCGTCCGATCCGCTGCGTCTGGGTCAAGCAGGAGGCCAGGGCAGCTCCCGTTTACATAGTCAGCGAGTAATGCACCACACGGACATTGGTCATCGTCGCTAATGTATCCATACCCATCACTCCAGTCCCCTCTCGGTCCCTTGTATGGAGTTCGTTTCATCTTGGCTGTGATCCCCAATTCTCGCTCTCGAGCAATGGTGGCCTTGGTTTTTTTTTTTTTTTTTTTTTTTTTTTTCCAATGGACAATCTTTGCCAGGGGTTTATTGGTTATTTTATGGGGGTTACTATTTCTCGCTGGTCAGGATGTTCCTGTTTGTCCCGAACAATGGTAGAAGGCGCCATATAAATCCCCTCGGTCGTCCTGTTCCTGCTAACTTGATATCTTGATCCTTTGGACTGGCTCTCTCCTGTGTGACTTGATTCGGCAAATATTCAACTTATGTTTCGATCCGGCATATATGTACGGCTTCCTTACGATGTTACTGCGGCCCTCGAGTGATTTCTGAAGTAAATTCTTTAGTGTCCTCTCTCAATAGTCCCCCCCGTAACCTTAGTGCTGGAGAACGGCTCTGGCAAATCCGAGTGACAGTTCTGAAAAATCTCCTCGTAGCCCACGGTGGCGTGCGAACCTGAGCAGAATAGAACATTCTCTCAGGAGGGAGCCAATCCCCTGCTGCCCGCAATCCGAAAGGTAATTTATACACGGCCCCCCGTGCCGAAAAACAACCGCACCAAGCTGGATCCGAAACTAGGATCCACAGCACTGTTCTCTGGAAGCTTCGCGTGATACTACTGTACCACACAGGCTCGCCCGCCTGAAGAGCAATGGTGGCCTTTTTTTTTTTTTTTTTTTTTTTTTTTTTTTTTTTTTTGATAACTAGAACCCACGAGGATATGTGAGATTTATTAATGAGGGACTCTAGACTAGGGAACCCTATTGCTAGAGGCATAGTAAAGGGTGCTCAATATTCTAATAAACGGCTTTTGCCGCACCGCTGCTGGTCACTCGCAGCTCCAATCCCCTTCACAATCCCAGTCAGCATGAGTGGTAACTCGACCCCGCCTGGGGTCGGTGACTGAGCCCTGCTCCCTACTTGGCCTGTTGTGCGCGAAGGTCATCCTTTAGCCGCGTTCCTCAATCATCAAAATTTACAGTTGCCGGTGCGTTCCATTACGTTTAGCTCCACTTGCTGCATGCAGCTTTGCAGCACTCGCTTGTCCGCTCGTTCCTCGATCTCTTTCACATCCAATGCACGTCGTTGTCTCCTGGAGGATCCAACAAAACCACTACCACTACGTCTGTGCTCTCCAACACAGTTGCGTCCCCGGGCGCGTTTGCTCATGGTAGTGATCCCATTTTCTCTTTCCCAGTCGACGGTGACTTTGCATCTTTTGTTCCAGATTTCTGTCCGTCCGAATTCCTCGATGGCCTTAACGAATCGGCCGACCATGTACCTCGCGATCGAGGTGGTCGTCTTGAATAGGCTCTCCCAGTCCTTGGTGAGAGCCGCTGGTGTCAGTCCGTGGTACAAATCTTGAGCCGTCCAGGTCCCTTGATCGTTGTCCCTTGTCTCGTCCTCCACACGGCCGAGTGTGTTGCTTGCTTGCCGGATCGCCGAAGCTCCCTTGATCTTGTTCTTGAGTGCTGTCCAAATGGCCTTGTCTGTCACCTGTGTGAAGCTTGGTCCCTGTCCTCTCGCGGCTTGTCCTCGCTCCTTGGCTTGCTTTTGCTTCGTCTCCCAAAGCTTACGCTCTTTATTCCATGCTCTACGTCCATCCGTGTTGACCTTCTCGATTGCTTCCTGCCAACCGTCCAGCTGCTGCTGCATCGTCATTTCGCAGCGCCATAGATGCTGCGTGTCCTCTTTGTCCACCTCACAAAGTCTGCAGGTGTCTGTGCTATACAAATCCGGCCGCCACTGCTTCATGTACGCCAGTGTCGGCAACATTCCGTGCAGCTTCTTGATCCTGTGCGCACGACGCTGACAATCGTTAGGACTAGTGAATAATCCCTTCGGTGTGTTGCCGTTGTGAATGATGTGCAGTGTTGCTTTCCAGTCCACCAGGTTCCAATCCTTAATGTTTTCCTTAGTCCTGTTCTGCTCTGTCCATAACGCGTTCATCCTTACCGTTGATTGGCGTTTAAGTACCTGCCTCAGATCACCCTCAACGACCGCGCCTTTGAACATGGCGTGGCACTGGATGTCATTGTGTTCCTTTTCATTGATGGCCCAAAGGTCACTGAAGTGCGCCTCTTTTGCTGCCTTGTCCGCTGCCTCGTTGCCCTTATGGCCTGCGTGCCCTTTGATCCACTCCACCTTGATCTTCCCTCCTTGATGTACATATGCGTTGTGCACTGCCGACCGCCAGATCGCGTAAGTCGACCGCAGCCTTTGGCGTTCCGTGCTTCCTTGTCTCCCACTCACCAAGGCTTTAAATTGCGTTACCACAGCCGAGTTGTCAATGTAGATGGTTGTTGGCGTGTTCCTTGGACTGGCCAGGATTGCTGCAAAAAGCCCTGCAAGCTCCGCTTTAGTCGATGAAGCAAATCCTGCGATCCTGCCCGTTACCACTGTGTGCATGGCGTCTTGATTTTCCTGCGCTACCACGCCGAATGCCATTCGGACACCCTGTGGCATATAGCCCATTTTACACGCTGTATCTGTGTTCGATAGCTAGACTGAGTCCAGATATTAACTTAAGCCACTGAGCAATAAGTAATTGCTCAGTCGCTGTAATTAAAGATCCCTCTCTTGTTCTCATTGACTCTCTGGACAGTTATATTTCTCACACCCTGCTTTCCTGCTTCTTCCATTGAACCGTCCGAAAACATTACAACTTTGTCCAGTCCTTGCAGTCGGGTACGCTGTTGCTGGATGTGGCGCAACACTGCTGCTGGAATACTGACCCCGAATGTGTCTCCTATCGGACGTTGCGTATCGTCTGGCAGTGCTCTATAGCGTAACGTTGGCATTGCATCCATCTGCTCCCGCGCCAGAGTACGGAGCCTTGCTCGAAGTGTCCCATTGTCCAATCCTGGATCTCTGCCGCGCAGTTTGGTCCTGAGTCTCGCATTTTTGCTTGCTTCCCTCTTCCTCATGCGCCGCTGTATTCGCCGCCTGTCAGCACGTCGCCTGTCAGCCTCACGTTTAAGCCGCTGCCGGTTTGAGTTGTGATCCCGTGTCTGTTGCCTCGTGTTCCTGATACTCTCCTCCTATCTTCTCCTAACCTGTGCCTGCATCCTTCGTACTGCTTCCGTTTTTCTCCTGTGCACTTTCGTAGCTGTTTCGTTGTGTTTCCGCCATATCCTGCTGTTCTCGTTGGCCTCCCACTCTTTTTCTTCCCGATACTCGTTGCGTTCGAATGCGACTCCCATTGCTTCCTCCGCTTCGGCGCGTCGTGTTGGGTGAATCTCTTGGCTCTGCTGTAGTCCTGCTTGTACATAATCTTCCTTCCTTCGCTCCCTGTCTGCTGGTTCCTCTGCTGGTCTCTGTCTCGGCATTTCCTGCGCTACGTTCACCTCCCTATACTCAGCCATCTCCATCGCCTCGAGTTCGGCTGTCACTGCAGCGACTGCAGTCTCCTCATCCTCCGTTGCTCCTTCGACCTCAGTGGTGTAGCTGTCGTAGGCTTCCTGTACTTCCTGACCGTCCCCAAATTGCTGAAGGAACTCCAATTTCTCGACGCACCAGTCCTCAATAAAATCAGTTGCGTAGTTTGCCTGGCTAAAGAGGTCCTGCATTGTATTGAACCAGACAGGGGACAATTTCGGATCCTTTCTGCCTATCCTAATTTCCCTCCATGCCTTCAGTGACCCGTCTCTTGTAAGGAGTTGATCTACAAAATAAACCATCCTTTTTGCTAACTCTGTGCGCATGCTGTCGTCAATCTCCTCTCCGAAACACTCGTCAATGGTGGTGGCGTTGTTCTGCAGCCCAAAGTCTCCTGCCAGTTGTAGAGCAAACACGATATTTCTGTCTGCCATGAGCTTGCATACTCCTGAAGCGAAGTTGTGTTTGAATTGTTGTACACTGCTGGGGTCCGCTGTAGGTAGGAGAGCCATCCTCTGCTGCTGTTGTAACGCAATGATCCGAGCTCTGCAGATTTTTCCCATGAGTCCCTTGTCGTTCAGACGTAGTTGGAGTGTTGATATCTGTTCCTCAGCCTGTGCGTCTTCTAGATTTTTTACCCCGTAGAATCGATGGTGGTGCATGATGCTATTGGGCGTGGTAGACGGCATCCGAGCCTTCCGTTTACACAGCTTCATGTATTTGCCTGTCATCTTGCGCGTAAATGTGCGTGGCATAATTTGCGCCGAAATCCTGTATAGCACTTTGGGGATGAGGACATTGTTGACAATGTACGTCGTCTGCTTGTCCGTCACTGCTTTCGGCGTGAGAATGTTGCAGATCATGTTGACCTCTCTCTCTACAATCCGTTCCGTAGTTGTCACTGCTCCACTCGCCGTGACCCAGACTCCTAAAATCCGCACTGCCTCATTTTTGTCAACCGGTGTGATCGCCTCCGCTGGTGTTCCAAACATGAGGCGGTTGTCGCAGTCCTTTTTGTGGTTCAGTGCCACAACCTGTGTCTTCTTGGTGTTGATTTCGACCCCATTCAAAACAAAGAAAGATGTTGCCACGTCCAGTATCTCTTGCATGTTGTCTCGTGAGTTGGAAATCCATGTTGTGTCGTCCACGAAAGCCAACCCCGCGACCTGTGGTGTGTCTTTGGGTCCGTGGATGGTGTATCCTGTTGTATGCTCCATGACCTCGCACAGCAGTGGGTCGTACGCCACGCGCCACAAAAGTGGACACTCCACTCCGCCCTGGTCCAGTCCGTATTCCGGGTGGTATTCGTCTGTGAGTCCGTATTCTGTGATAACTTGATTAGTTTTGGTGATAGCAATATTTTCACACATCTCGATGAACGCTTCCGGGACACGCAGTCGCCTCAGGCCTCTGGATAGCATGCTGTCAGGTGTACAGTTGACCGAGTCAAAACATCTTTTCATATCCTGGAACACGATCCACTGCTCCTTCTTAAATTCTCGTGCGTCCTCCATTGCTGCCTGGAGGATGTGGATTGGGTCTTTGGTCGTTGTTCCTTTGAGTACCGAGAAGTTTGGTCCACGCAAAATCTCGTGCCTTCGCATGATCTCGCTTAACCTGTTTGTCAACACCGCGAATATGATTTTCCTTGCGTGTTCAAGCAATGCGATTGGTCGGACTTCCGCCATACTTCCTGACCATTCCGCTGCCTTAGGGATACAGTACAATAATCCTGTCCTCCAATCCTTTGGGATATTTTTCTGCACAATGGATGCTCCCACGATTTGATATAAAATGCTGTGCCCTAGCTCACCCTGATGTTGAAAGAGGTCGTTTGTGACTCCCGAGACTCCTGGAGCTTTGTACTTTGGTGAATTTTGAATCACTGCCTGAAATTCTGATTGCGTTGGTGGGTCCATGAGTCCATTGTACCACTCTTCTTTGATTTTGTCCGATGGTGTGTACTGTCGCTCCCATCGCGAGCCTGGCTCTAGCGGTTTGGCTGGTCGCGGTCCATGCCATTTCTCAAACCACTCCCGGACATATTTTTTGATCTGTCCTGGTTGAAGAATATTAGATGTAGATCCGTCTTCCTCCACTTGAATCCTATCCAGAACTATCCGTCCTCTTCCACGGCCCAACACCTTGTCAATCATCCTCCCTGTTGCCGTAACCATCTGCTCGCATCTCTTCTCAATCCATTCCGTCATTTTCCTGCATTCGCCACCTTCCTCTCCACCTGCAGCCCTCTCAGCGCCCTTCTCCACCTATTCCTGACACTGGTGACCCATTCCTCCCAGATTTCCTCCGCGTCATGCCATCCTAGTACCGCTTCGAGATCCTCCATTGGCGTTTTCATTTTGTCTCGCCACCACGCTGCGTGTTGATTAAACTTGACGTGTTCTTCCATGAGTCGCGCCCGCGCGTCGTCCTCCAAATCAATTTGTCGTCTCTCCGTAATCGATTTTGCCAGCTGTTTGATCCGACCGAGATCGCGGACCAAATGTAACGCGGAAAGATCCGATTCTGGCTTCATTCCTGACCTGCCCACAATCTTTCCTGGCAGAGTATCCTTTGCGCACTGAAGCATGTTCTTGGAGTACCACCGCCACGCCCTTTCCACGTCTACTTTGTGAAGATCTTCCAGCGTGTTCGTGTCATTGTCCTCGGTTGGCTCCTTGAGTCCTAACTCTCTCATTTTTTCCTTGTCGCTGAGAAGGTCGTCCAATGCTTCCTTGAATGCAGTCCACTCTAACTTGCCTGTGTCACGGAAGCTGAATCGGAATCCCTTTGGTTTCTTGTACTTGATCGGGCTGGATGGTGCCTCCGTGAGCCCGTGGAGTGTCAGTTTTGCCGCAACCATCTTGTGGTCCGAAGATATACCGTCAATTGAGCTGTGCTTGACCTCGAGCAACCTGTCCACCAACAGGCTGTCGAGGAAAATCATGTCAATTCTGCTAACCCCTTGGCATGTAAAATCTTGCTTGACTGGGTACATTATGCGGAATGCGTCTTGGAGCGGCTCAACCTCCAGCCACTTGAGTAAGTCGGTCTCCGGTGTGGCCCTGTTCCTGGCTGTCGAGCTCCTGTCTATCCTTGGGTTACATACTCCATTGAAATCCCCCAATAAAATCACTTCTCGATGTTCTGCTTTCGCTTCTCGGTATTCTTTTTTCACCCATTTTGAAATCGCTTCGATCTCTCGTCTTTTTAATGCATCGTTATGCGTCTCGCTCGGCACGTATACGTTCATCACCCTGACTTTCAGCCGCCCTTTGAAGTTGAAGTCCCGCGCCTGACCGCGACTCCCACATGTTGAAATTCTACCCGCATGCTGCCACTACCAGTTGGACATCAAAAGTCCAACCCCAGTGCCTCGTGTTTTTCCTTCTTCTCCACTGACCCACCACGAATTGAAATATTCCTGGTCAATGTTTTTTGCCATGGTTCTCCCGCCATGGTTCATGTTCGTCTCCTGCAATGCAATAATATCATACTCCTCATCGTGCCCCCAATGGTATAACGCCTCTACCTTTCCTGCTGTCAACAGCCCTTGTGTATTGAACGACCCTATCCTGAAATTGTCCGTATTTTTCATCTCCTGCGTCGATTCATTCTCGTTTTGTTGGGTCGTATTATTCATTTTTGGATGATGTTTTTGATGTCTGTCCATTTGTTACGGGGTTGGTGGGTAGCTGGGTGTTCAGTCGTGCCAGCTTAGGCGTACTCAATAATGTCATCAATGATGCCAGTGTCTCATTCGCAGGGGGGATGTCCTGAGTCTTGGTAGAGGGATCTCTCTTTGACTTCATGGCGTTGCGACTGACATCTGCGCTCAGACCAGCAGCCAGCAGCTGCTCCTTTGGGATAGTGATCCCCATCTGCTGAGAGAACATCTGGATCATGATAGACATTAGGAGCTGATTTGTCTGAGCTACCTGTTGCTGTTCCTGTTGCATACGGACAATTGTCTCCTGGAGTTGCGTGACCTTCTTTTCCAATGCGTTATTCTGCTTGATGGTGCTGGTGTTGTTTACGGTGCTATTGCCGCCTTGCTGCTGCTGCTGCTGCGCTGGTTGCTGCTGTGGCTGTTGCTGTTGCTGCTGCTGTCCTTGGTGTTCGTTGCCTTGCACATTGTCTGCTCCACTGCCTTTCGTGATCTGTGCAAACGATTTCTGTGTCGTGACCCTCATTGGGCCTCCTTTCTGGTATTCCTTGACTGCCCTGATGTGCGCCTTTGTTCTCTGATGTTCCTGGAAGATGCTACACTCGCGCTGGATGTGGCCAAGTTTACCGCACTCTCTGCACCTCTTTTCTTCTCTGTCTCCCCACACCGTATCGTAATTTCCGAGGCGCAAAGGCACCGCCATATTTTTCTCCATGTCTTCTGCGGACGTAAAATAAACAAATGCCTCTCTTTGATTTCTCGATTGTCTTCCATCCCTACTGAAAATCTTTGGGATGATGATAAACTCTGCCTTTTTTTCACCCAAGAGGGACTTCAAGTCCAAAACCGTGGTTCCCACTGGGAGATGGGAGAGCTTTGCCACAAAACCAAGCTCCCACTTGATCTTTTCTGTCCCAACCGTGCTTACACGAGCGAGATCTCGCCCAATAAAGATCCACTTTATTCCCGTCTGTAGGAAATTCCTAACGACCTGCACGTCTTCAAAAATCACTCTAGCGGTGATCTTGATTCCATTCTTGCATGGGCGGGTGATGATCTTCTCCACTACGCCATATCGCGCCATTGCAGATTTAATCCTGAAATCGTCTGTGAGTGGGTGCAATCCGTACACCTCAATGGTCCTCTCCTGCTCTGCCTCGCGTCTCGTGTTGTCCATGCGCGTGAACATCGAGTACTTCTCCGTTGTTCCATCCTCGAGAGTGATCCTGTCTTCGAATCGGAGGAGCATATCCAGCTCGCTCTGGGTTTCGACTGCGATGCGGAAGGCTGCCTCGCCTGTGGGCAACTTGATGCGGGACGGGCCTTCTGTGCAGTGGACAGAAGCACGCAGGAGGATATCCTGCAGTTCGGATTTCTTTTCCGCGGCGGTGTTGCCGTGGATGCTATCCAGGTGGATCGATGCCGCGAAAAATCGGTCTCGGGCACGTTGGACTTCGATCCACTCCTCCTGAGCCTCTTGCTCCATGGATTCGTCCTCCATGGCTACCGCCTCGGCGACATCTTCGTGCTGTTTAGCGTTCATGGCTTTAAGCCCCATCTTGGAGCTGTAGATAATGGGGACGGTCGGTGGCAGTGCAGTTCCTGAAGGACCTCCAGGATTGGGCAGTGCAGCTGAGGTGGTGGCCTCAGCGGCGCGAACAGGTTGGCTAGGTTCCAAAATGCCTCCTGTGGGTTTCAATTTTTTGGCATTCGCCATTCCGCCATCATCAGGCCGATCGTGTTGCGGATTTCTCGAGTTTCCGCTTTGCATCCTTAGAAGGGTCGTTGGCACTCTTGTGCGCTAACAGGGGATGTGGAAGGGGGGTAGATAGAGAGGGGTGTGTAAAATGTAGCGTCCGACTTGGTAGAACGGAAAGAGTTTCCGCGGATCCTATCACGCTCTTGACAGGGACGAGCCTGGAGGCCTTAAGAAGCCCTTTGTGTGTTATCACGTGATTTAAGACTTATAGTATAAATTAATCTAAAACCTTTACCGCTGGAAAGCAATAAGAAAGTGTAGTATATGGGTATCATTCCGGCCTTCCAAGCCTGAGAACCGGGTTCGAGTCCCGGCACTTTCATATCTTTTGCTTTTTCTTTTTTTCTTCTTTTATGATTCTGTTTCGGGCTTTCATGTGAAGATCGGGCTTATTGATACTTGGACACAAGTACTCGAATGTTTAAACGATGTTATTCCACTTTTTTTTTTTATAACAAAATTGTGAAGGTCTATGTGCTAAAATAAGCAGCCAAGGTGCTTTCCGGGGATGAGTAGCTACTGAAGGGTGATGTTTAGCTTGGAGATATCGATACCGTCACTCATGAGATGCTCTAGGGGTTTGGATGCCTCGACCTTGTTGACCGGGAAGTATGCGTCGCCGCTCATCAGGAACCGCTTGATATTACGAAGAGCAAGTTTCTAGCATTGCAAATGGACATTCAATAAAAATGGTAATCCGATAAGTAAAAGAAAAACCGCTTTTTCCATGTGAGGAGTATAATGTGTGGATGAACTTTTGATGCGTGCAGGATGAATGTTTGAATGTATGTATATACCTCCATATCCAGTCTCGTTTCTTCAGCGTCAGTTCCCATGTGGGGCAAGAGCGTGCACTGAGGATGCTTGAGAAGTCCCTCGTGAATCTTGGGTTCATGTTCGTACACATCCAAACCTGCGGAAGCAACCTATTAACAGATAAAGAATCCAGATCAGGTCAGCCATTGATTCACAACAATTAAATCAGATTGGTCGCGAAAAGTTACCTTGCCGCCCTCCAGAGCCTTGACGAGAGCTGCCTCGTCGACAATAGGGCCGCGGGAAATGTTTATGAATACAACGCCCTGCTTCATCTTCTCGAATTGCGCGGTGCTGATCAGATGCTTCGTCGAGTCGTTTAAGGGCACGCAGATCACGATCACGTCGGACTCGCGGAACAGGGTCTCGTACGCGACATACTGGACGTTATACTCTGCCTCGACTATTCAGTAATAAATAAAAAAAAGTGTGGAAGGAACTCAGTACCCATGCAAAGTATTAGGCGCGATCCAGGACAATAACAGCTGTGTTCGTGGCGCGTACCTCGGATGTCCAAACGTTTCCTGTTGTAGTAGTTGACCATCATTCCGAATGCATTCGCGCGTTTAGCGATTGCCTAATTAATAATGAGAAAAAGCAAAAACGATATAGGACTTCAGCTTCCTGCATTAATGTAATAGAACTTACTGCATGATTATTGAACACAAACCCAGTTTCAGCCTGTTACCTTGCCAATGCCGCCCATGCCGAGGACACCAACGGTTTTTGAAGCAAGATCACGTCCAATAGGCACTCCTGTCAACCATTTGCCTATGCAGCATTTAATCGAATCCAATACAGTGGTCAATTGCTTTTCTTCATTGAAGCATATGATCATCATGAAATGAGATATCGCGTACCTTCGCGGAGATTGTTCTGTCCCTGAGTGAAATGGCGGAGACAGCCCAGGATCAGGAACATGACCGTATCGGCGCATGCGCCAGACACGACTCCTGGGGTATTGGTCACCAAAACACCTGCACAGAGAAGATAAAAAGGTGAAAGATAAGAAGAGATATCAGGGCGTTGACCAAAAAACACTATCCACTTATCCACTATCCAAAAAAAAAGTCACACGTGTTCTAAACCATAGCATGTCATGCGGATTTCTTTGTGTCGTTGAAAGTTACCTTTGGCGGTGCAGGCTTCGATATCATGAGCATCGTATCCGGCAGAGGGGAGAGAGATCACCGATAAGCTGGGAGGGAGGTGTGATACCAGCTCCTTGTTCAGGACTCCGAACTGCATAGCAGGAATGCAAGAATGAGAAGGATTGTGAGACGTTTTTTTGTTTCCACATATTTGTGCCTGAGATTCCTTTTTTTTTTTTTTTTTAAGCGACGTTTATGCGGTCTGCCTTGAATTAGGTGACTTCGTACCTGACTGCCGTGATGGTTCCAGAGAATACCGGCATATCCGTCGTATTTACCCTTCTTGCAGCGCTTGATGAGCTCCTCATGGTCTCCTTCGTGATACTAACAAGAATAGAAAAAAAGTGATAGTTAATACCTTTGGCAAAAAAAAAAAAGCCTAGTTATTGCGATTTCTGGATATTTTTGACATCACGGCATTAGTGAGGCATTGAACCCGATACCTTGACGGTGAAGTACTCCTCAAAATCTTCGAGCTCCTGTGTTGCATATTGGATGGGTCCGAGAAAGAGGACGTTGGGCTTTTTGATGTCGTCATCCGTCAGGTCCCAGCCGTGAGACCCCATCTTTGCCTTGAGCCAGTTCATATTGGGATTGAAGTTAGTGGGGGAGGTTGGTTTCTTTGGTGAAGGTTAATGGTGGGTGAGGAAGAAGAGGAAAGAGGAAGAGAAGGAAGGAAAAAAAAAAGTCGATCACTGAACGATCGAAATAAGAAATGCTGGGCTCTTGAACCTTTCTGTCCACGATCCTTTCATAGACTACACGTGATAGCAATCCCATTCGCCCGTTCAAAGTCCAACCTTTTCTTCACAAGAACTTTCTCTTTCGCATTGGCACGAGGGTATCCTTAGCTGCATCGTGGGCATGTAACATGAAGGGAGCAGCCGTTTTATTTTCATGAGGAGATTAGATAAAAACTAAAACGAGTTCAGAAGAAAGTGCTATGCGATGTGGAGGAATTGTTGAGAGTTGCCAATTTATTGTGCGACCCTGGGACGCGTGCGCGCATGAGGAGACGATCTTTTTTTTTTTTATAGAGGAGCAGTAGCGTGTACAAGCTGCTGGGCATAGTCCCAACGCAAGTCTTCGATCCTGACGCGTAATGGAATCCAGAGGTGGGGCACGACCAATAGGTATATTGCCTGCGTATTTCTAAGGGCAGATCTTCCTTGGGTGAACTAAAGAGCTGTGATCTACGATTACGGCGGAAAAATTATCCATGAAGATAGTTCATAGCCGTAACTATATTAAACAGGAGCACAATATACGCAAGGCATTCGTAAAATGGTTCCTAGATGGATGATTGATATCGATACAGCCAGATCCTATAGTAAAAACATCTAGTCAGCTTCCTTGACGGTCTTCACTATAGCAATAACGACTTGTCGTGCTTGTCTTCTTCATTCAGTTAAGCTTGAAGCGCGTCCAGGCAAAAAAGGATATAAAATAAAACTAGATAGAAGCCCGATGAAGGTAAACGGCCGTTTCAACTTGTCTAAAGTCCTGTACATCTCGCGCAACGGTTGCCCTAAACATTCTGCAAGCGAATCATTGGTCAAGTTCGCTCGGTTATCCATGCGAGGTGTCAAAATAGATAGTCAGTCCTCCCCTTCAATGTCGCTCCGCATTCCACAGAACAGCATCCCATGTTATGTTCCTCACATACATTGCCGTAGCTTCAAATGCCCAGTATATGGTTGATCTGGCGTCACCAATAATGAAAAAAGGCCATATTTACTGTCTACCTCAGGATCAGCTTTCCAAAAGATCGCATGCAGTAGGAGGACTAGATTCGGAGTTGGTAGCAACAGCGTCCATTACAAGATTGGGCGTAGTAAAGGAGCTTATGTTGCTCTGCAAAGGACTTTTTTAAAGCAGAGGGGATGAACCTGAACTTTATTACAGTGGGGGAGGGAGAGGCAGTAAAGTGATGCGATCATACTGTCGCGAGGGACCAATCGCCTCTACGAAGCAGCAGACAAACTTATTCCCCTGTTGAGTCGTTGCCACAGGCTGAAATATCCTTGATGCTGACTGCCTCTCCGGATAATAGCGTCCCTGGTGCCTGAATTCACCTCTCCTGATCTTTTGGCCCATCCGCAGAATAGGAGAATCGAATGAACGATGGCGACGTGTGTGTCATTGAGGGTAGGCCATGGTGGTGAGGTGGAGCCAGTCATCTTTGTTCGCGGTTTACATGGCTTAAAGTGTGTGTCGTGTGGTGGCGTGAAAAAAAGAGACGGGCAGGAGAGCCTGAAGGAAAAGAGGGAGGGAGAGAGTGAGTGCGTGAGAGGATTGTCCAAAAGAGGCAAGAGGGCCAGATCCTTCCCACGGCAATATGGACATGCAAGTACATCTTTAAGTTTGGTTTTCTTGTTAGTCATTCGCTCACTTCTCCACTCCCTGTTGCACCAACGGTACTGGTGCAATTGGAGTGAATGGGCATGCAAACGCGAAGCGTCAGTTGATGCGTTATTCAGTGGGAGGGCAATGAGGTCTGGGGTAAAGAAAATGAGGGAGGACAGGGGGCAAAAGGATAACGCCCTTTTTTTCACACCTTTATTTTCTCACACCTTTTTTTTTCTTCTCTTCTTTTCTTCTTTTCTTCTGCTTTATATTCTACCCGCTCCCCTCCTCTCTTATACCGCCCACCCTTCTCTACTCTCGCCTCGGCGCCATTGTCGTCTCTCATTCCTTAGTTCACCTCATTCCAACCGTTTGCTCATTCCAGTTTCCAGTCCGTCCAAAAAAATCTACACATATTCCTCATAATGTCTGGCATCTTGCGTTTGGCCACTGCCTCCACCTCAAGGACGATCCTCAAGCCTTCCTTCGGTCTAGTTCGCTCTGCTGGTATCCACCGCCATGTACTCCAGCATTCAAACAAGCCATCACAGTCAAGAATCACCTCCTCGTCCCCAAAGCTCCTCTCGTCCCAGGTTCCAAAGACTATCCTCCTTGGTATCAATGCGATCCAGCGACGCGCATACCATGACGACGGTGCCTATGGCTACCGTGTCCCCAAAGTCTATTCCATGCCAGATTGTAAGTCTTTGTTTATCTTTTGTGCAAAGTTATCCCAATTTACCTTTTGCCTCATTCTCACAGAGTGGCACTGACATATTTGACTTCGACATTTAGATACTCCTGAGGAGCTAGCAAACAGAGTTGAGAACGCCAATTTACTTCGTTTGGTCATTGGTTACAGAACGCATGGTCACCGTAATGCCAACCTTGATCCCCTGGATATTGTGAAGCGCGAGTAAGTTTTTAAGAGTGAAGGCGTGGGAGAGGGAAAGGGGCTGGCAAGAAAGCATACTAATTCCTGCAGCCAAGGGAATGATATACAGATCAACAACATAAAAAGCCTTGATATTGACCAATGCTTTACCCCTGTTGCATCTCGCAGGAGTGTGCCAGCATTGTCAGCAGAGCGTTATGCTCTTACTGATTCGTCCAAGGTCTATAACCTTAACGGAATTCTCCATGTGAACCAGTCCAAGAGCAACACGGATGCAAAGGACGAGGCCAGCCTCCAGACCATTCTCAATCACCTTGAGAAGTCCTACTGTGGTAAAATTGCATACGAGTTCATGCACATCCCTGTAAGTTGTAGCTGCCATGGGTAACAGAGGACGAAGACTTGGCTTTATTATTCAAGAAACAGCGAATCTCAATGAGTTTTACCTTCTCTTTAGAATGCTAGCGAGCGAAGGTGGTTCGCTCGCCAAGTCGAGTCGTACCAAAAAACCCCAATCACCCCCGATGACAAGAAGCGCATCTTTGAGCTGCTGACAAAATCCGAAGTCTTTGACCACTTCATGGGCAAGAAGTTTGCCCAGGTTAAGCGTTACGGTCTTGAGGGTGCTGAGAGCATGATGGTTGCACTGGATGCACTTTTCCAGACCGCATCAAAATGTACGGATCAATGTTTAAATGAGCGAATTCATCCTTGGTTACGCATGCACTCGTTTTCCAAGCATTCCTCTAATCTCAATGTCTTTTTGTTTTTGTTTTCGTATCCCCTTTGCTCCATACAGCGGGAGTGACGGAGGTTGTCCTGGGAATGCCCCATCGTGGCCGCCTGAACTTACTCACTGATCTGATGCAGTACAACCCCACGGGCCTCTTCTCCAAGGTCAAGGGCAACCCAGAGTTTCCAGCCGGCCTCCCTGCCACTGGAGATGTCCTGTCCCATATCGCTAACTCTCCCAAGTTGGATTATGGCGAGGCTGAGCCAATCCACATCTCGATGTTGCACAACCCCTCCCATCTCGAGGCCGTAAACCCTGTGGCCATGGGTAAGGCCCGTGCCAAGCAGATGGACTTGATCGCCAACTCGTCACCAGACTGCCAGCTCGGTGACAAGGTCATGTGCGTCCAACTCCACGGAGACGCTGCCTTCACTGGCCAGGGAGTTGTCATGGAGAGTTTGGGACTTTCCAACCTGCCTCATTTCACCTCGGGAGGATCGGTTCACATTGTCGTCAACAACCAGATCGGATACACCACCCCTGCCCAAAACGCCCGCTCTTCGGTCTACAGCTCCGATATCGGCAAGATGATCAACGCCCCCGTAATCCATGTCAACGGTGACCATCCCGAGGAGGTCGTTCACGCCATGCGCCTTGCATTCGATTACCGTAGCAAGTTCCGCAAGGATGTCATCCTTGATTTGATTGCCTACCGTCGCTGGGGTCACAATGAGCTCGACGAGCCGGCGTTCACCCAGCCCCTGATGTACAACAACATTCGCGCCCGCAAGTCCGTTCCCAAGCTTTACGAGGAGAAGCTGCTTGCGGAAAGCATTCTCGACAAGGCTGCGATCGATGAGCTGCGCCAGGATTACTTTGAGAAACTGGAGGACGACTTTGCGGAGATCGATAGCTTCAAGCCCAAGGCAGATCACCTCGAGGGCAAGTGGAAGGGCATGATCCTCCCTACCGAGACCGTGAGCAAGATTGACACTGGAATCGATCATGAGGCTATGAAGGAGATTGGTCAGGCCTCTGTTGCTACGCCTGGCGATTTCATGATCCACCCTCGTCTGGAGAAGTTTCATGTCCAGTCGCGTCTGTCCAAGTTGAAGGACGGCCAGAAGATCGACTGGGCCACCGCTGAGGCCATTGCTTTCGGCTCATTGCTGATGGAGGGCTACGATGTCCGTATCTGTGGTCAGGATGTTGGCCGTGGTACATTCTCTCAGCGCCATGCTATGTTGGTCGATCAGAAGACTGAGCGCGTCCACATTCCCCTGAACGCGATGAGTGACTCGCAGGGTCACCTGGAGGTTGCCAACTCGAGTTTGTCCGAGCTGGCGGTCTTGGGCTTTGAGACTGGAATGAGCTACGAGACGCCCAAGATGTTGAACATTTGGGAGGCCCAGTTCGGCGACTTTTTCAATTCTGCGCAGGTGACCATTGACACCTATGTTGCCAGTGCTGAGAGTAAGTGCAGCAAGCACCCTAAAATTCAGATCGTCCAAATGATTTTACCCAACGTTTGACAGAATGGGTCGGCGGCATTCGCCCATTTCACTTTATTCACTGAATGTGCTCACTTCTTCACTTTTAGCCAAGTGGCTTCGTCAGTCGGGTTTGGTCATGTTGTTGCCCCACGGATATGATGGTGCCGGACCTGAGCACTCGTCCTGCCGCATCGAGCGCTGGCTGCAGATGACCAGTGATTCGTTCGATGTGACAGACCCATCGATCAAGGTCAACACGAACATGCACGTTGTTAACCCCACGACTCCAGCCCAGTACTTCCATTTGCTCCGTCGCCAGATGAAGCGCAACTTCCGCAAGCCTTTGATTGTTATTGGACCCAAGACCCTGCTTCGCTTGCCCACCGCCATATCTTCTCTGAAGGATATGGGACCCGGCACGACATTCGAGCCTGTTCTGGGTGACAGCAAGACTGAGCAGGACCCTAGTGCGGTCGAGAGGGTGCTTTTTGTCTCTGGCAAGTTGTATTATGACCTTGTGAAGGAACGCGAGAGCAAGGGAGTGGATGAGAAGGTGGCGCTTGTCCGTGTGGAGGAGTTGAGTCCCTTCCCCAAAGATGGTCTCAAGCAGCAGATTGAGACGTACTCTGATGCTAAGGGTAAGCATTGTAAAAAAATTAACCTCAAATGCGCGTTTGTTGAGTTGAGGATCTCCAAAATATTAATTTCCCGTATCCTTTGTTTTATGAACAGAATTTACCTGGATTCAAGAGGAGCCCCAGAACGGTGGGGCGTACTCGTTCATGGAGCCAAGGATACGCCAGCTGTTGCCCGAGAAGGTGTCTCTGGGCTACATTGGACGTGAGCCCTCTGCAGCACCTGCCACGGGCATTGCAATTGTCCATCGCAAGGAGAGTGCGGGCATCTTGGCCAGGGCATTTCGTTTGTAGAAGAGGAGTAGGGAGAGAGAGGGAGAGAGAGAGAGAAGCAGATTATAGAAGCATATTTCATTAGCAAAAAAATACATATGTATATACCGAACCCTACAGCAAGAAGCACGATATCTATTCCCAGCGATTGCAGTAAAATTGAGGAAGAAGACGACGAAGACAGCGATGGAGACGATGAGGAAGAGGAAGGAATGGGGCAAGGAAGAGGAGGAAAAGCACCACATTTTTTTCATTTTCATTCCTTCAACTGTCTAGCATTGTGTGTGTGTTACTGCGGCTGTGAATGGGAGAGGGATGGACGCATATGATGGGCATGGGCGCTATTCTTCCCGTTGTGCTCTTCCCATTCGGTCGTCATTTTTTTCATTTTTTCATTTTTCACTCTTCACTCTTCATTTTTCATTTCTCATTTCCGTCTCCGGGATGGATGTATCCGTCCTGGGGACCATCGACGTGGAGGAATGGGGCATTCTTGACACGCTCATCCTCCTGGTTTTATTGATGGCGATGGGCTATCTGTTCCTTTGGCCATGGTGCCATTGAGGCAAGAAAGATCGCACTAAACAGATAGATAGACAGATAGACCCATTCGGCCAGAAGAATTTTTTTTTAAAAAAGCTGACTCTGGTCCTGCAGAATACTCGGCCGCGGTGCCCTATGAGGGATGATCCCATGGACCTCCATGACGCGCATGGACATGGAGCTCATCTGAATCTCTCTCGAGACATGGTGTTTGTTCATCCGCAGAGGGATGGGGATGCGCTTTGTAGCGACAGACAGGGGACGCGTCAATAAAAAATAAAAAAAATAAAAAAAAAGCGGCGCGGAGTAGTGAATGAAGTTGCTGTTGCTCAACCTCCAGCCTCCCTTCCTGACTCCCCGAGTTGGGTATTTCACTGGTGTGAAAACGAAAAAAGGTGGGATCCATCTCTTTCCTCCCTCATTCCCCAAATCCCAATCAACTCCATCAACCCTCGCTCCCCCCCTCCCTCTCTCCCCAGAAACACGCTTTCCATCCATCCCTCATCACTCATCCCATCCACTATGTCCGACTCTGCCGACTCGTCTGATTCCGAGGTCTACATCCCTCGCGACCCCGTTGTCCCTCGTAAACAAAAACACGCGCGACTCTTTTTTTTTTTTTTTTTTTTTTTTCTTTTTCTTTTTCTTTGTCTACCGGGGGGACCAAAAAAAAAATTCTCGTTCGTTTTTTTTTGCTTCCTCAGCTGCCTTTTCTTTTTCTCATAAAATAAAGAACGCGCCGCTTCCTCTAACCATGCCATCTCCCTCTCATCCCTCAATGGCAATGCCAATGCGCTAGTCCCCGTCTCAGGCCCCCGCGAGCGCAAAAAGGTTGAGCGCTTTGCTGTGCCTGTTGCAGAGAAGCCCGAGAAGAAGTTGGCGATTCCACAGGTCAGTGCCAAAAAAGCACACCCTTTCCTAAGAAAAGAAAATTATTTCCGCTCACTGACAATGGTCTCGTGGTTGCTGGATGGCACACCCACTTCTTTCCAAACTGACTACAGGGCAAGGGTGTCAAGCTCGAGGATATCTCCACTGGTAGGTCCTATTATTCACTCATCGCACAATGCTCTTAACCACCCTTGCTGTCTCCAATTGCCCATCTGTCAGCCCATTGTTTCCTCTGAGGAAACAGCGTGTTTTGCTGTCCACCACTTCGGGCTGGATGAGCGAATACCAGGACCTGCGAGGAAACTCTTCCGACAAAATTTCAAAAAACAACAACAATAGCAGCGCAACCCACAATGCAACGCATCGCATCGCATCGCAACGCAACGGATATTTTTTGAATTCTTTGCATGACCGACCAACAAAGATAACCAAAATCAACAGACGCATTGTACATCGACACAGCTGAGCTTGCCTTCATACTTTTAACGGACAACGGATCCAAAACAACACTCTGTCCTTGAACTGGAATGAGCATCACTCGCAGTCTGCCCTCATCATTTGGAATATCTTCTGCAATCACATACTTGCACACCAGCGCTTGCCACGCGCAATATCATCTTATCCATTCCTCACCAATTGTTTTCGCTTTCATCTTCCGTACTTATTAGTCAGCGCCAACTTGGACAAGCTCAAGGTCAGCGACGAAACCGTCAAGGGTCTCCATCGCTTCCTTTACGGACGCGTTGCTCCCACTAAGAGTCCCAAAAACGACATCAAGTCCTTCCACGGTTTTGATGAGTTAAGCGAGGTTCGTATTTTTATTCTGCTCATGTCATCGATTCTTTTTTGTGATTTCCCCTTCCCTTCTTTCCCTTACTGACTGCTTTACTGACATTTCTTCCCCGTATCTCTACACTTGTCTTTTATAACCACATAGAAAGAGGAGGAGTCCTACGAGGAGAAGCTCGGAAAATGGACCGTCGGTGGTCTTCGTGAACTTATCGAGTTGTTCAACCTCGAGGAGGGCGGTGACAAGGTACGAAGCAGCTTTTTTTTTTTTTTTTTTTCTGTGCGCCATTGTTTCGGGTTCCTAAATTTTTCCCCAATTGAACACTTTTTATTTTTTTCTTTTAGGATGCCTTGATCGAGCGTTTGATGGTCTTCTTCAAGAAGCCCGCTGACTCGGGTCTTATTCCTCGCGCCCAGAAGGTAACCAATCAATCTCTGCGCCTTCTTTTCTATCTATACAACTCGTAGTAAATGACATTGCCTTACTCATTATTCTTCTCTACATCATTCACTTATTAACGACATTTAACGATTTAAGGCCGCCCAGGAGGCCAAGGAAAAGAAGGTCCAGAAACAGGCCATCAAGAAGGCCAAGTTGGCAGCCAAGGCCAAGAAGCTCGCCGAGCTTAAGGCTAAGAAGGCCGAGGCCAAGAAGCAGCAGCTGGCCAAGAAGAAGGAGGCCGCCAAGGCCAAGGCCAGCGCCTCAAAACCCGCCACCAAGACCAGGACTACTATCCCCAAGGTTCGTTCTCCCTTCGACATGTACGCAAAGGAGCACCAGAAGGAGATCAAGGAGGCTGCCCCCGACGCATCCCGTGCCGACATCTACAAGAAGCTCGTCGACAAGTGGGAGGCTCTCGCCGTGACCCACAAGAAGGAGTACGAGGTCAAGGCCGATGCTGAAAACGCCAAGAACGAGGAGAAGAGGGCTAAGGCTCTCGAGGACACTAAGAAGGAGACTAAGAAAGAGAAGAAGACCACCAAGGCCGCCGATACCACCGAGGCCAAGAAGACCAAGAAGGAGAAGTCTCCCAAGGAGAGTGCTGCCAAGGAAAAGGCCCCCAAGGAGACTGCGACTAAGGAAAAGGCCCCCAAGGAAAAGGCCACCAAGGAGAAGAAGGAGAAGGCACCCAAGGCTGAGAAGGCCGAGACGACAGAAAAGGCTCCTAAGGAGAAGAAGGAGAAGGCTGTCAAGGTTGACAAGGCTCCTAAAGAGACTGCTACCAAGGAGGCTGCCGCCAAGGAGAAGGCTCCTAAGGAGAAAGCTGCCCCCAAGGAAAAGAAGGCTGCCAAGACCGCTGCCGCCACCACCGCAACCGAGAAGGCGCCCAAGGAAAAGAAGGAGAAGGCGCCAAAAGAAAAGGCCGAGAAGGTTGAGAAGGCTGAGAAGGCTGAGAAGGCACCAAAGGAGAAGGCCGAGAAAGCGCCAAAGGAGAAGGCCGAGAAGGCACCAAAGGAGAAGACCGAGAAGGCGCCAAAGGAGAAGGTGGAGAAGGCTGAGAAGACCCCCAAGGAGAAGAAGGAGAAGGCGCCCAAGGCTGCCGCCGTTGCCTCCACATCAACAGCCGAGGCCAAGAAGGAGCCCAAGGAGAAGAAGACCAAGGCCGCGAAGGAGGAGAAGGAGAACAAGGAGGCGGCCAAGCCCAAGAAGGCTGCCGCTGCCAAGGCCAAGGTACACGATTTATTCTTCTGTGGTTTGCAGTATGGTCTTATGTGGATCGTCTGCTTACATTTTTCTATACTCTTTTTTTGACAATAGGACGAGAGCCCAGAAGCCAAGCCCAAGGCCACTAAGAAGACAGCCAAGGCTGAGGCTCCTGCTGTCGCTGCTGAGTCTCCTAAGGCCAAGGCCGCCAAGGTTGAGAAGAAGACTGAGGCTGTCGCCGGCAAGGTAAACTCACTCAACACAAAAGGCATTTCGAATATCTGTTTTCCACATCAAGACATTTTGCTGACGACGATTTTTTTTTTATTCACATTATGACTCACGTCGAGTAGAAGAGAAAGGCCGATACCACAGATGTCGCTGCTGCCACGACTGCCAAGAAGCCCAAGGCTAAGGCTGCGGCAGAAAAAGCAACCAAGGAGAAGTAAATGCACCTCTCTTTTAGGGGAGAAGTAGTCAGAGGTCGAGGAGGAGAGGCATCAGGACGATAACGCGGAGGCAAGGAGAAGACATGCATTTGTACTGGGGCCAAGAAATGCTCGATATTTGTATTGATACCAATTATCGCATTCCGATACCCAGGACAACTCATCAACACCAGCATGCATTCAAACATACATTGGTAGCAGGGGGTGACCATTCGCCCTCCGCGAGATCTTAGATGTCGGGGCTTTGCACATAGTATTTCTTTTTTTCTTTCTTTCTTCCTTTTCATCTTGGCGCCATTTTTTTTCTTTTTTTTCCCTCATCAGTAATTGAGTTTTTTAATACTATCAAAAAAATAAGAACGACAGCGAATGTGTTGTCTCTTTCTGTCTATGTTCTTACCGCTCCGTAGAGTTGATGATGGTCTCCACGGTCTAATTCACAAAATAACACAAGAGGGGAAAGGGATAATGGCGCTGTTAGTATCTCGAAAGATGGTATGGTTCATCGTGGTCTCGATAAACGAACGCGACTTACATTGAGATCCAATGGTTCGGCATCGATACAGCGTCGATAGGCGGTCTGCTGGGTCTCTTCAAGTAGCGAGTGCATCAGTCGCTCGTCGGCCGTTGCAAATCTCCACAACCAAATCTTTGCAAACTCTGCATCGACCTGGACCTGCTGGAAGCCGCCCTTGCCGAAGGTCTTCATGCGCACAGACTCAGCCCAAGCCTTAAGCAGGATCTTGATGATCCCAAACATGATCCCCGTGCGGTTCAAATCTTGGCAGCGGATGAAGATCTCGACACGATCCGAGAACAGCTTGTCAATATTGCTCAGCAACAGGCTCCGCTGATTCTCGAATCGGCTATTAATGGTGTTGCTGCCAAACGACGCGAGCGAGTCGTTGCGGTTCGACATCCGACTGCCATTACCGTTGTTGCTTCCACCGGCAGGCTTGAACACGGATTCGCGTCGTATCGATTCTGAGCTGATGTCATGGTTGCCAAGCCGATCGCCTTCGTCTCCATAGACCATGATCACCTGGCGCTCGATTTCGTTTAGGTGGCTATAAATCTGCTCCCAAGCATCGGAGACACTCTTGGGCGGAGCAGGCATGGCCACAAAGTCGATCGCCGATTGTACATTCATCACCAACCACGAGAGCTCGTTACCCGTCCTGGCAATGAACCCGTCAAGCAGGATATGACCCGACTCCTGACAGGACTGGATCACGGACTTACAATCCCACTGAAGCTGTGGGATCACAGGCGGTTCTTCATATGACTCAATGAGGAACGATCCTGAGCGACTGCGCTTTCCTGGTCGGAAGAGTGTCTTTGACAAAGTCCTGTAAACCTGCTCGACGACCGTGTTCGATAACTGGAAGCAGAACTGCGACATCATTAGGGGCAGTGTCCGAGAACTGGAGGAAGAAACTGCCGATCCCGTAACCGCTGATCTCTGCTGCATCTCCGTGAGCACCTCATCCCAGAACTGCTTGAACGCATCCTGGAAGTTCTTCAAAAACTGGGCTCGACCTTCCTTGGTTTCCAGAAACTGTGCGTCCGAGCCCATGCATTTCTCCAGGAACGGGATTGTGTTCATCTTGAAAACGTCCTGCACCCACAGCATCGTCTCCTTCAGAACAGCCGACAAATCTGGATTTGTAACAGCAGCAGCAGCAGCAGCAGCAGTTGGTTCTCCAAGAGTAGTATCCAACAGATCGTCGTGTGCTTTGTTCTTTGCGAGTTCGGTGTCCTGCTTTGTAATCCTCTCCATGAGGCCCTCTTTGACCTTGCTCAGTGCCCGATGTATTAATTGCGCCTCCCAGTTCTGAATGAGGCCGGTCGTTAGGGTATCGAATTTGACTAGCTGGCGGAGCCCACTGCTCGAGAGTGTGCTCAAGTAAAGGTTCTGGAGCACATGCACATGGATTTCAGGACGTACGCTGAAGATGTCATCCTAATAAACCATTTGACAAGAACACAGACGGCATGAGCACATTTTTGACATAACCTGTTTGACAACTTTCAAGACAGAAATAATTTGCTCCGCACTTACTGGATATTCTAGAAAGGAGTTGATGGTGTCAAGGTATTTGCTGACAATCTTCGAGACCGCTTCCTTAACGGCCGACGCTGCGTCGTCCTGCTGTTCCTTTGTCAAATTTGCCTGCGTCCTCGAATCCTTTGTGATCCATGCTGGAGGGCGCAGATCCACTGCCGTTAATTCCTCTGCGCGTGTTGCAGCGATGTTTCCTCCGTTACCGCTGCTGCTTCCCGTTCCAGATGCAGGTATAGAGATCAGGAAATAATTCCGGAACGAAGTAACAAATCCATCGACTTGCTTCAAATAGTGAGCATTCAAATACGATACTTTGTCTGCAGGTGGTGAGGAAGAGGCTTTAGATTTTGTTTCTTTAGGTGTACTCGGTCCAGTAGTTGCAGTCGACGCTGTAGCATTGGGTGTTTTCGCGGATTTCTTGGGCGTCTTTCTGGGTGTTGTTGGTGTTAGTGTTGGTGCGGATTTTAGTGAAACGACTTGAGGTGGAACGTACAGGGGTAGAGCCTTGATATCATCCAGAGTTTTTGTATTGGCCTTTCGTAGATTGTTCATTGATCTATGGCAGTAAGAAGCGGGGTTGCCGTAAGTAAAACGAATGACTTGTCTTGGTTTCTGAAACGGTAATTAAAAAGACATGACCGCTTACAGATTCAGATATTGTTTCCACAGTGAGACAGGGTCCTCCTTGAGTGCAAGTAGTAGGCCAACACATTCCGAAATATCTGCAAGCGTGGCCTGAAGCAACACAGTTAGCTGGCATCCCAAGGACAGATGGTCGAAGTATGGCGATAAATTAGTTTCCAGATATCATCTTGTAGCATACCTGATCAGAACACATCTTTTGCCGGATCCTGAGCGCGATCTGAACCATGATGGTCTTGCATTCCCGCTCAATTCCAGTAAAGACCGTCAGATGCTTGTAATGTTGGAGGAGATGGAGTGTTCTACAGTATGACCTGACGGCCTGGACATATGACTCTGCTTCCAGACACTGATGCAGATTAGTCGGCAGCTCGAAAACGAATTGAAGCTAGAGGGAGAGGATATAAATTGGAAGCAGGTTAACATCCAGAGCCACGGGAGGAGGAGGAGGGGGGGACAATGTTTAGCAATACAGTCTAAATGTTCCTATGAGACTTGTCAAAAGGCGTAATACCTTCGTGAGAAGACTGTGGACGCCATTGAGCTGCCGGATCTTTTCCCTCTTGCCTCCGAGCGAGCTGTGGATAGCTGAGGACGAGGTTGCGATTTTACTGATATTCTGGGTCAATCTTGACATTTCTGACTCAAGGTTGTCCACGTTCGATTTCATCTATGAACAAAATGTCGTAGTTTGTCGTGTTAGGACGAAAGAAGACCTCATCGAAGACTCTCAAGTCTTGTTGGGGCCGAAATCTCGGTAGTGGAGTCCTGTACCTTGTTGATGGTATCTGTCGCGCTGAGAAACTTGCTATAGTTCTCATAGACAAGTGTCTTCATGTCGCCATCCAATTGCCTAATGTCCGCCACCAACTCGTTGTCGGCCTGAACCAATCCTGGGAGCTGCTTCTCGACAAACATCTTGTGCATGTACTTGTCCACCTCGAATGCATGACTATCTATAGCGTGCCATTCCCGCGGGAAGTCGTACCGTGTGCAAGTTAGACATTGATGCGACAACCATTCTTTAAAGTCAAGATTAAACGCTGGTGCTGAGAAAGACTATACCTAAGTCATATGGATCGGCCTTGGAAACAGACCCCGCCTGCACCGAGGAACCGTCCTTTGAGCCATCCTGGTTGGCGGTGTCTGTGTTCTGGATGCCATAATAGCTACGAAGAAAACTCTTTGCGCGTCGACGTGTTGTAGTCGTGGAGGTTGGTTTTGCTGGTGCTGTTCCTCCTGTTCTTGCAGTCGTTCCAGCGCCCGTATTTGGTTCTGATGGTTTCGACCGAACTGCAGATGCCATAGTCGATGCATCAAGCGGATGGAAAGGACCGTCTGCAGCTGTCATAGTTCATGTGGCGTTTTCAGATGGAGGATGTCGAGATGTAGATTGAGGTTCGCGCGGTGAAAGGAGGTGACTACCAACGACAAATACATTCTAGCGGGCTGTCCATGGCTTGGGGGAAGTTTCAACTAATAAAGCATAGCAGGAGACGAGGCAAAGCAACTCATTCAACCCCGCATCAAGGAAGCCCACGGCAGGTTGCCCTCAGAAACAACGACGATCGACAGACATGGCAGATGAACAGAAGGATTGGTACGCCGTTTTGGGCATTGAGCGGACGGCGACAAGCAAGGAGATCACAAAGGCATATAGGTTGAAAGCATTGAAATACCATCCCGACAAGAATCCTGATCCCAGCGCAGGTACCAACTTTAGCAACACGAGTTATATTACACGAGCTTCTGCAATATGGACCTAATGCACAGTATTCACAATCAATGGCTAATACAACCGCTCTTCCGTGTTATCTAGCAAAGATCTTCCATGACTTATCACAGGCATACGATCTTCTTCTCGATCCTGCAGCCCGAGCTGCTTTCGACAACTTGCTGAATGTCAAGGTCCAGGCAAAGCAGCGAACGGACAAGTATGATTCAGCACGCAGGAAAATGAAGGAGGACCTTGAGAACCGAGAAAATGCGTTCAGGAAACAGCAGGAGGAAGAAAAGGTGGCAGCAATGAGGATGCATTACGAGGTACGGACTTTTGAACGGCATGAGTAATATTCAGCAGAGAACTTGTTTCTCTGGATGGACTACGAACTCACATTACATTTCTAAATTACTTTTAGATGGAGCGGTTAAAGCAGGAAAACAGTAAAAAGCGGGCTGAAAGAGAAGCGGAATTACTTCGGCAGGCGGATCAATTGTCAGAGGTAGCAGCAGTTGCAAGGCAGGCAGCACTAGATGGCAAGTCGGATATAGTGTGCACTTTGTTATCATACTCAGCGTTTGCTATGTGCAAGCTAAATAACGTTCTCGCTGACACTGGGTGTTTTCCATCCCTATAGAAGAGACGAAATCACTAGATACCACCTTGCGGCTCAAATGGAAGAAGAAGAAGTACACCTTCCATAGCAAGCAGTTGACGGAGATCTTCAACAAATACGGTGCGATTGATTCGTGTCTCTCAAAGAAGCAAGGGTCGGCGTTAGTCTCATTCAAGACTCTAACGGGCGCGTATACGACGATGAGAGCATCTGAGAGGCAGGATAACGAACTCGAGGCATTCGCGATCACTTGGGCTGCCGGCGTAGAACCGGCAACGGTGGCAAGTCTGCGTTCAAAGGACTCCTCAGGATCAAATTCGTCAGCGTCGACACCGAGTTCAACATCAGCATCGAATCCCTTGTCGACAACGAAAAAGCAACCGGCGACCCCGACACCAGCATTTAACGTCGGTACAAGCACGTTATATACACCAGCATTTTCTACACCAGCATTTTCTACACCCGCATTTTCAGCAACCGGAACTAGTTTTGGCGGTTTCTCTGCACAGGTATGGTCACCAAACATGGCTCCCTGAGGGTCAGAACGGATATGTCATAACAGACTGATAAAATGGTATTGACTATGTCCTTTTATTGTATTGTTGTATTTAGGTGCCTAGCTTTGGCGCACCTCCGGAGTTCAAAGTCGCGGCATCATTCGTGGATGACTACGAGGCTGCCACGCTTACCAAGATGAAGAGCAGGGACAGCGAGCGGAAACGGTTGGCAGAGGAAATGTTGAGACTGGATAAGGAAGAGGAAGAGCGTCTCCAGGCTGAAGCGAAGGATAAGAAGCAAAAAGTATAGACCGATGCATGACCTGGCCTTAGCAAACACAAATCATTGCTAATAATAAGAGCCATTTGCCCTACACCACAAGACCAAAATAAGATGAGCGCTGAGCAAGGGCTGTGGTGGCAGTGAGAAAAGGACCATAACTTTAATAACCTATGGTGGTCCCCATCGCTCCCTTACTCTTCTCATCTCTGCCTGTCCTTTTTTTTTTGTCGCCATCGCCTAAAGCATGGATCTACTCAGCATCCGATCTCATTTCTCAGAGAGTGCCCGCCAGGCGGCTGGCACGTTTCTGACCCCACTCACCAATGCCATCGGAGAACAGCGTCGACTAGTCGAGAGCCTGGCAGTTGTCTCGAAAGTTAGGGTCGAGGAATGCAAGCACATGATGACTTGGAGCAAGTACCAGGTATAGTTTGCCATCTTCGCGCTTGTGCCTGAAACGTAAGATGATAGCTTGAATGTCTGTAACACCTTTGTTAACCCTCTCTTTGATGCCCTATTTTTTTTCTTTTGTGAAATATAGACAGAGGATCTCGGGGTATGCTACAGGATAATGAACTGCTACTGTCAATAAGCACTTGTAGGAGAAATAGCCGTATCAAGAACCCTAGTCATCCTCACATCTGCATCTCTGCGCTTTCAATACCTTAGGACGTCCTGTTGAAGCTGAACCTCCTCATTCGCAAGATCAGCGACTATGAGATCCGCTTCGGAACCCAATACGAGGGGTTTCGCGAAAAGATAAAGTACCTCCGCACCAAGGACGACACATTGTGCGAGATGGGACGCCGCCAAACGGATCTGCAGACCAAGATTGTGGAAGCCTCGAAAAGTCGTTTGCGATCAGCGAAAGCAATGCTACTTCAGAAGGAGCTGGAGGACATCCAAAAGGAGAACGAGCCCCAGGAGACCCAGCTTCAGCACCTCAAGCGCAAACTCATCAAGGACGCATACACAGAGCAACTGAACGCTATTGTTGAACTTGGCAAGAAGATGCAGATCATTGGTCAACATGGATTGAAGCTGCTGGACCATATTGACTTGACCTGCTCTACTGATTCATATGATGATGGTAAGAAAGCGTTTTTGTCGGCGCTACGAATTGTCTCCGATATTTTCTTTTTTTTTGCTGTTACTGATCAATACTCCCATGCTGTATTGACATCTAGGCCGCAAGACGGAGTACATTCTTCGGGAGGCCAGGATTGCACTCGAAAATTGGGATCAGTTGATTATAGCCGACTCCAAGTTGGGACCGGTCCATCCACCTCCACCTGCAGTTGTTCTGTCTGAGGCATTTTCAGATCCGATTGCAACAAGCAGCTCTAAAAACTCTTCGTCGGCAGCCTCTTTGAAAGGGAGCGCCTCTGTCGCAGTGACAAAAAATGCCCCACCTCTACCACCTCGATCACCCGATATTACCCCGGTACCGGGAACACCGAAACCTGAGCGGGACACCACGAAAGAAGGCGTTTTAGAACAGGAGAGATTGCGGCGTCTGGAGGAACTGGAGATCAAGCAGGCCATGGAATTGAGCCTGGCTGAACGCCCTGTCAAGGGCAAGGATATTGATGATCTCAACCTTTCAGCCGAGGAACTCAGTTTTGTTATGGGCGAGCTGGAGGAAGAAAGGCTGAAGAAGACTAACAAATCTATGAAGGACAGCGGGGCCGTTAAGGGAGGAAAGAATGCCGATCACGGACATGACCTGGTCGCTGCTAAGGCGGCAACAGCGCCCAAAATTATTAGGAGTCCTCAGGTTGCCGAAACTACTGATCATCTCCAGTCGCATCAAGCCCCACGGCCATGGGTATCCGTGAAGAAGCCAAAGAGGCCCGAAGACGAGACATCGACCCCAGTAGCAGAGGAACTTGAGGGGTCATCAACTTCAGTAGCAGAGGAACTTGGGGGGACATCAACTTCTGTAGTAGAGGAACTTGGGGGATCGTCGGCACCAGCAGAGACGATGGGCGAGGACGCGCACAAGCCGATTGTGCGCAGAAACACAGCGGCATCTTACTACAAGGCGTTGAAGAGCATGAACGAACCCCCACCACCACTCGAGAGCATGGGCAGTGAATCAGAGGTGGCCCCAGAGAGTATGGGCCATGATGACGGTGCCCCATATATGGTCATGCCCCAGGTGCCGGCTTTGGACGAGATTCGACGAGAAAAGATCCAGACAAACCAACTGGCGCAGCAGCAGCAACAGCAAGACCAGCAACTATCATCGCCATTCCCACTCTCGCCTGAACTGCAGTACCTTCAGGTTCGGGATTCGCCGCAACTTCCGCACCAGACAACACCCCCTGGCTCCTTCCGTGCGGGCAATTCGCTCTCGCTCCCTACTGCACCGACTGGCACCCTGAACGCAGCACCGATGGGATCATACCAGACGCCTATACCTTACAGGCCTACAACCACATATGTTCCACATGGACCCAAGGCAAGAAACCGCCTTTCGGGCGGCCCAATCACGCCACCACCTTCTGGCGGCGATTCAGCCCTCCAGAGTCAGCTCGCACACCAGAAGGCATATCAGCTGGCGCACCAAAAGTCGTACCAGCAGTCATATCAGGAAACATACCAGCATTCGCGTCAACAGGACAATGACTCCAGACACTCTCAGCCGCACCCTCAGCCAGGTTACTCATCACAGTACCAACAACATCAACAGCACCAGAACATGCAACACCAACAGAAGCAGCTACAGGACTTCTATTATACCCCGCGCGAGCAGGCTTATCAGCAATATCAACAGCAGAATCCCGCTACGAATACATCACAGCCTACGGCTTGGAACTGGAGTTATCCGGTGTTCAACTCGGACTATCAATACAAAGAGGAGCATTATGGAGACTCGGAGGGGCCTTCTCCAGCGCCCTCGCACATATCCCTCATCCCTGACACAAGTGCATCATCGCCTGTTGGCACGCCAACGACTAGCCATGCGTATAAAATGGAGCTGTGATAGTTAGCGAGAATGAGCAAGCATTGATTAAAGAATCCAAGTAATGAGTTTTCGAGACTTTTTTTTCTTTTGTCAATGCATTTGTGGTAGAGTAATTGTTAATGGAATATAAAAAGAAAAAAAACGCTTTAAGCAAGTTGAATCCTTCACACAGATTTGGGAATGCTGGAGCCAGGCACCATTCTCCTCGACGGTTTGTTGGAATATGTCTTGAATGAGCCTCTGACCTTGACAAAGGGTATGAAGCTGGCCTGAGGGCGGTAGACATGGAAGCTGTCTGTGACACGCTTGATCAACCACTGTGGCATCCAGTTCAGGAAGAGATATCGGACGAAATCTCCCACGGTGCCCTGTTATCAGTGACAAGGTTCAGGTTCAGATTCAGGCAGACGTTGTCCTTCTTCTTGATTGCTGAGGGAACAAAAGAAAAAGAAAAAGAAAAAGAAAGAAAAGTGCATACCTTTCTGTGCAGCATGGCTCCGTTCTGATTGGCGCTGCCCACACACCACTTTGCGAGTTCATATCGTGCAGCGTAATATTCCTTCAGAACACGCGTGATTTCTTCTTGGGAGTTGGAGTGGATATCAAACAGTAGGTTTGTGAGTTCGAGGGCAGACAGGATCGACATATTTGCGCCCTGTCCTGCAAACGGGAGCATCTAAATGGTGGGTTCGTAACGAAGGGCGCGCGTGTAAACGTTGAGATCAAGCCGCTTCGATGCGTTCCAAACTGCGTGGTGTCATGTTCTTACCTTGTGGCAGGCTGTGCAGTGGATCCAAGGGGATAGTAGCATGGCATTAAGGATATGTTTGGATTAGCATCCGTTACGCGTTGGAGGCAATTTAGTGGCCATAATCCGTTTGAAAGTCGTCTTACCATCGCCAAGAAGAACCGTTCTGCCAGAGTACCAAGTCGAAAAAAACTACATCAGAAAAAAAAAAAAAGTGGTCAACGAGGGGCACAGCGACAACGATATTTTTGACACCCTATGTCATCCCGTTCGAACACTTTGTGGTACCTTGTCTTCCAACATGACCTTGGAAATCATTTCCTTGGGCGTTATATCGATAATGTCCGCAAGCGATCCACCGTAGGGACACTTGAAATGACTCACGCTCTTCAACACATCGAGTGCCGCATCAGGACCCCACTCTGAGCAGCGCATGTTTCGCTCGACATTGGTGCCCAAGTCGCGCACGTCGTGCGTCACCATCCATCCGATCCTGTTCTTTGTCATAGGCATGTACCACACCTAGAGCACCGACAATAGAGACGTTAGAACGTTAGCGCAGATCTATATGACACAAAGCGGCATTCCAGCACACAACAACCTTCAACAAATAATATAATAAACTTACAGTGAAGGGAACGTCCTTTCCCAGAACAATCTCGAACTCGCTAAACTCCTCCTTCAGGACCGGATAATCATCTGGATTCACAGGGTCGGAGATCCCCACAACACAATCAAAGCTGTACCCCATCGGCTTGGCATCCACCTTGGGCAAATGCCCGGCCTTTTGGAGTTCCTTGTACAAGTTCTGACGGACACTGCTATAGGCGCCATCAGCGCCAACGAGCAAACTGCCCGTGTAGGCCGTGTTGTCCGCACACTTGATCGTCACCTCGTCCTCGTCTTGGCGAGTTGTCAACACGCGCTTGCCGTAGTGAATACGCTTTGCAGGGACGCGTGAAAGAAGCAAGTTGATAAGGTCGGGTCTTGCGATGACGCGGGGGTAATCGCCATACCTGCAAGCGCACGCGTGCAGGACGCGAAAAAAATAAAATAAAATAAAAAGAAGCGTTATGTTAGAGCGCGAGGAGAGATTAGTAGCCTAGGCCTAGAAGAGAACAGCAAGGTTGGTGTTCTGCTATAATGTTTCCTTACAGTCCTTCGTAATCATCACCAGGAGGACGCGACCAGAAGGTACCCTTGTAATCGAGTTTCTCATCACGAACATGCAGCGCGCCGAACGGCCGTGAGAGCTCGAGGAGCTCCTCGTACATACCCAGTTGCTCGAATATCTGCATGATAGAGCTCACTGTGATGGCAGAACCGAGCAACTTGATTTCTGGGGCCTTTTCAAAGACCTGTGATTATTAATATGATTATTTTTAAGTCGAGTGAACAATGAGAGTGTTAGAGAAATGAGATACCTAGGGCAGCATAGGCCATGGTGTTTCTGAAGTGGGGCCGCAGATAATCAGTAAAAAGATGGAGACTTACCTCATAGGAGATAGAGGCCTTTTCGAGTAGCAATGCCAGCGCCAATCCGCCAATACCTGCCCCGACGATCAGGACATGGAGTTCCGAAGCCATTTTTTCTTTTATTCTTCTTTCTTTCCAAAAACCGAGTGCAGCAATGAACGAAGCAGAATATAAGGAAGGAAGGTGTGTGTGTAAGCGTAAGTGAAGAAAGAAGACGAGAAAACGAGAGAAATAAAGTAAAGCGATGGGGGATGCCCTTGCCCTGGTGTCTTTTTTTATCACGTCTCTTCACTTCTCATGGCTGTCGCCTCACGCAGGTTACACGAGCCACCAGCTTGTAGCGCCGATAGCGAAGGAAACCAATTGATGGGGACGAAAATTAAAAAAAAAATAGATGGATAGATGTCAGCCCATCGATAAAGCACAGCAATAGGCTCAAAGCTGTATAGGTCATTTTGGTCTCAACATATGCCTGCCTCCCACGCCCACGCCAATTGTAATACATGTGGTGTACGGTGTCGGTATATGCGGGTGTCGTATCTAGATTAAGACTAGACCATGCTCGCTAATTTGTATGCAGGAGGGGCGAGAGGAGGTTACCATTTCAGCCCCTATTGTGACTAACGCTCTCGAGGACGCGATGAAAAAAAAAAAAAAGAGTGTAAATGAAGTGGAGTGGTGGAATGCTTTTGTATCGCTGCTTGTTAAAAAACCCGCTGAAACTCTTCGCGTCATTCAGTGGTGTGCTCGCTTACCTCCCATGCTTTCGTCGACGCGACGGAAGAAAGAAAGTAAGGTTGATAGGAGGCCTGCGGATGAATGCTCCTACTGCCTCTATATACAAAGCTCATAAGCACACAGTAATTGCTGTTAGATTTATGGTTTATTTCCTTTTATTTTTGTTCAGTAACATGCGAATATTGTGATGCATGCATGGCCGGGGGTTGGGAATGTCTTTACATTAAGGTATATATTTGGAATGGCAGCATAATTGGTTGTGCTTTGCAAGCCCTTTTTGGTGGGTGTCAATGGTTGTGCCCACATTTAGGGGTTCGCAACGGGAGCGCCGTGGTGTACGGTATCGGCCTGGTGTTGCTGTAGAACAGGCATCCTTTCACGAAGAGCAAGGTCCAGGACGAATTCGCTACTCCTGCGCAAATGCCCAACAAATGGACATTGTAAAGTGCAAAGGGAGGTTTTGTTAATGATTCATGCTTTATAGTCGTGTCAAGCTAACAATTTCCGTTAAAGACGACAGACAGATTTTTGTTGCTTGTCGGACAAAACTTTAAGATATGCAGCATACTTTAAATGCCTTTCCTTCTGAGAAGAACCCCTTTGTTGTTTTGTTGTCGTTGTTGTTGTCGTTGTTGTTGTTGTTCTTTTTTTTCCTAACAACTGTGATAAGCAATTAACATGCCGCATGCGCTGGGAATTACTCGACCTTATCATTCAGCAGAAAAACACATCCACTCGATGGCGCATCTTGGGAGCATGGGTTGTGAAAAGAGTACCTCCGTGATGTTTATACTTTAATTTATGATCGATCGTTCCCCCGATCGCATACAACGGTGACGTTAAAGTGCAAAAACGCGTGTTTGTCTGCCCTGCTCTGCTGCCACGAGCCATGTCGTGTGGAGACTAGAATGGAAAGCGGAATCTTCACAGGTCTGCCACTAGAAACACTCCTCTCTATATGCTTCTTGTTAGTAATAACGGAGTACGCAGAGTCCTTGACCGCATTGCTCTCCGATGTCGCTCGCTCTGTTATCGTATTTGATTTGCGCGTGAAGAGAGGGCATTCTCACGCATGTGCAGCTATTTCTTTGTCAGAACAAGAAAATTGCCATGGAACAAGTGTAACGGTCGATTGATTATAAACATGCAAGCGGGTACAGACCGCATGCAAAGAGATAAACTGAAAGAGAACTAGGCGGAGTGGGGACCAGAGAGCATGGGTCTGGCCTCTACTGAATTCCATCCTCAACTCTTCATTCTCTTCATTCTCCTCATTCTCCTCATTCTCCTCATTCTCCTCATTCCTCTCCTCTCTTTGATCACGATCTTGAAAAAAAAAAGAAGCGTACCCGTAAAGAATGGCATCCCAACTACACGTCCTGATTGTCGGAGCTGGTGTGGGCGGATTAATGCTCGCGGTGCTCCTGGAACAGGCCCACATTTCATACGAAGTAAGTGGTACTTCCCTGCACAAAGTCCTCCCACAGCAGGCTGTTACAGCCATCTCACCGGCTATTTTCCGTTCCTCTGCCCTCATAGATCTTTGAGAAGGCGAAAGAATTGAAGCCATTAGGCTCTGCATTATCTCTCCATAACAGCCTGATGGTCATATTCGAGCAACTGGACATGTATCAAGACATTCTCGGTATCAGCAAGCCCTTTGGAGCCCTGCACTTTCTCAAGGAGGATATGTCTGTGACTGGAAGTCTTCTGGCACGGCGGCCAGGTGTGGACTGTGCAGAACAGTATGTACCCGTCTCGCCCATGCATGATAGACTGAACGTACTGCATTAGGCTAACTGCAGCAAATTTAATTCTCGTATCGTCGCTGCAGCTACGGGGACTACAACCGTGTCGTCGGACGCCCGGATCTGATCAGCCTACTCCTTAAAAGGGTCCCACCCCATAAGCTCCACTACAACAAGCGTGTCCTGACAACAAAGCAGGACGAAAACGAGGTCATTCTGCAGTGCTCAGACAGCACCAGCTACGCGGGCAGTATTCTCGTCGGCGCTGATGGTGCCTACAGCAGTGTCCGGCAGAATCTTTACAAGAAGCTCGCCATGGTCGGAGCCTTACCCAAGGATGATGCGAAGCCCCTCGGCTATTCCTATGACTGCGTGGTTGGCATTTCTGATCGTTTGGATCCCAATATATATCCCGTAGTCCTAGAAGAGTACTGCGAATTCCAGGCGGTCCTCGCTAACGACAGTCCATATACGGTAAGTTGATAATATCTCTTCACAGTTGTTTCTCCGTATGATGGTCCACTTCAATGGTCGCTGACCTTTATCTACAACATATATCCTTTCCAAACGCCTACAGTGGTGGTTCATGCCTTTGGTAGGCAATAAGATCTCGTGGATGGTTACTCATGACGTGCGGAAGCATGGCACGGATGAGGACAGAAACTTCAGATTCTCAGAATGGAGTCCAATTGCAGCTATGGAGATGTGTCAACAGGTGCGCCACCTGCCTTGCCCATACGGCGGTACAGTCGGGGACATCATCGACCACACATCCGCCGACTTGATATCAAAAGTCATGCTGGAAGATAAAGTACTGGAACACGTTTGGTGCCTTGTACAGACGTGCCTGCTATCCTGACGCGAGCCTCCGTTCACTCACCGATCCTCTATACTGTTTGCTCCTTCGTGAATTTTTACAGTTTTTTTCAACTTGGTACTCGGGTCGAACAGTTCTTCTTGGCGATGGTATGCGAGCAGATATATATAAAAGTAGGATGAAGGCTCTAGAGATCGACAAAGGTTACTGATGCGTCTACCTATCAACCATTTATCTCTTCTTAATAGCATGTCATAAGGTTGGCTAGGAAAGATGTTTTCGCGTGTAACTGTATTATGAAATCGAGTGTTAAGCACCATTCTTGGATATTAGATGGTGCCATTCGGAGGACAGGGAGCGAACATGGCAATTTTAGGAGCACTTCACCTCACGAACCTGCTTTATGACATGTATTCGGTCTCGCAGGATGAGATCACGCAAGTGTTCAGAAAATACTATGACATGCGATGGAAGCCCGCCAAGACTTCAGTGGATGGGTCCAAAAAGACTGGGATACTACTTCACAAGAAGGTGATTATCTCCTGCCTTTTTACCCCACAGTGTTCCACTTGTTCAGGTTCGATAGCTAATATGATTGCGTTGATGGGTCCTCTATACTACAGGGAGTTGTGGCGGACTCTGTACGGTTTATGTTCTTGAACTGGATTCCAAATTGGGCAATCAAACTGGGAGGCGACAAATTAAACGCACGGCGGGACCAAATCAGCTTCTTACCCTATGTTAAGTTACGCGGATCATATTCCGGCAGTCAAGTAAACCCACCATCGCGGAGGATTGTCCACAAAGCATACAACGCACGTGCCGTTTGAATTCTTGAAGAGTTGGACTTTAGGACTTTTACCGGCGTGGCGGACCAGGGCTTAAAGCTACGATAAAATCGATATATCCTTATATAATAAGCATTGGCATCGACGGAAGCAGGGCTCATTGCTGGGTCTTGAATAAAAATACGAAAACTAGTCTTCTCTATTGATACATTCTCACAGGGACGTATAACGTTGTAGTCAGCCAGAGAGGACACGGACGGAATAGATGGTTATTTTGTTTGCTGCAAGGTGCAGGCTAGGAGCATTCCTCTGCTAATTATACTTATCAAGGGTCAAAGTACGCAAAGGGAGGATGGATCAGCGGATTTGAGAGGGCTCAGTACTGAGAAAGAATGCACGCCTATGAGAGCCTTGTGAAGCCATCAGCAAAGTAAACAGTGCGTGGGCCGGTCGTTGTTCCTCCGTTCACATATATCCATTCTAGACGACCTATTCTCACGCTCTTCACGCAGATAGATTTACAAAACATGTCATCATAATGATACCTTCTGAAGATTGCCAATGTTCACATAGACGTCTTTGGATATCCTCTTCATGTCTAGGGATGCTGCATGCTGCCTGCGCTGCCTGTAACGCCACAGCTCTGGACCCTCCCATGCAGCTTCAGGGAGAGAGCACTCTTTTTAAGAGACTACTATGATGAGCATTTCCGTTTTTCCTAATACTTAATTTTGCCGTAAACCACAGCTACACCTCTTTTATTTCTCTCGCAGCAGCTGGACGAAGTTGAATACAGAAGTACAATCTCCTTTTTTTTTTGTCCGCCCTGCACTTTATATTCTCCTTTCTTTCTCCTTGCAGTGCGAATAGGGTGCAGTGTGTGTATTTGTGGCTACAAGAGGAAACAGGATGGATTAGTAGACTGGCAGTTAGTGTAACTAGTCTCTAGTGAAATAAAATGAGCATTTGTTTGGACAAATCCAATTCTTGGGAACATAGGCGTCAAACGATGGCGACCAGACCTAGTGTTATTCGAGGCTTCCGCGTGGAGGTAAAAGGACTGTTGTTCACCTTTCATTTTCTTTGGTGAAGGAGGTTCACCCCTGCCTACCCTTCCTCTCCTTCTACAGATGCAACCCGTTGTAGAGAGTTAGAATGCCCCCCTCGAAACGGGGGAGAGAGAGAGCAGCAGGCCGGCAAATGGACCTCAGAGTGCCATTTTAAGCTTTTGATTTGAAAATGAATCTAAATTAAGGAAATGAGTGTCCAGCTGGCCCTGTGGTGCCCCTAGGGTCGAGTGGATATTTATAGCTCCTTTCTTGATCTCTCTTGGGAGCATTTTTTTTCTTCTTCTTCTACAAGGTATGTGCAGCAGCCATTCGATTGGAGCGATTCATCTTTTGCATATTAATGTATTAGACCTATATACCTATATTTCTTGTTTATGTGCTTACAGCAGTATGAAACCGTCTCTGATACGATGCAGGCACGATAACAATTGAGCAGCGGTAAATACATATAAACGGCAGCTGTCTTCCAGTGTTTCGCCCTGTCTTTTTCTGTCTTAATCCCGTTCTCGTTCTCGTCTCATCATCCTGGCCCCCTCCCTTACTTTATACAAGTAATAAAAAAGCGCATAAAAAATCCCCTCCATTTTCTCCTCTTTTCTTTCCCTCCATACTTCACACTTCACACTCAACTCGCACTCGCACTCGCATTTTCCCCTTCCTTCTCCGCCACACTCTACCACTTCGGATTAACGCCTCCTCCTCCTCCTCCTCCTCCTCCTCCTCTCTGCTGTCATCATCGTCATCGCCATCATGTTCATGAAAGCTGCCCTCTTCGCTGTCGCCCTTGCGGCCCCTGCTTTGGCCTACGAGCCAGTTACCTGCCAAAAGAATGCCACCCAGAATATCGTCACCATGATCAAGGATGCCACCCAGTTCTGCACCATGTTGACCGGTTACGGTGTTACCCCCGTGGCCCCCAACGAGGGTTGTGCCTCCGTCTACTGCTACGGACCCGCCTCGGACCTCGGACCCCCCATGCCCAAGGGTTACATCCTCAGCACCAACTACCTCCAGACCGCCAACTACACCCAAGTCACCGGGTGCATTGACTCCTCTGTCTGGGGCCAGAACCCCACGGACGAGGGTGGTCAGATGGACTCTCACGGCTGGCCTTACTCCTGCCAGGGATTCAAGAAGTTCGTCTCGTTGATCGAGCCAGCGACCAACACCTTCTGTCTCCGTTGCTGTAACGCTGACAACAACGTCGACTGCAACACCAGTAAGTCTTTTCTTTCTATTTATTCAGTAACTCCTGTGCCTGAAAAAAATGAAAAAGAAAGAGCACGGGGGTTGACATCAAAAAGGGGAATATACACTGGACAAATATTGCCAAAAAGAAAAACCACACATTTCTCTAACAGATCTCTGTAACTAATTTGTCCCCTTGTAGGTATCTCCACCAAGGGCTGCTGGAACGTCGTTCCCGGCGCCTACACCATGCCCGACGGTACTGCTTGCAAGCCCCCAGTTGGTTCTCCCAACAGCACTGTGCCTACCACCGTTTCCGGCACCGTCTCTGGCACCGTTGCTCCCCTCCCCACCGGTACCACCAGTGCTGGCTCCGGCACTGGTTCTGGCACTGGCTCTGGCACTGGCTCTGGCACTGGCTCTGGCACTGGCTCTGGCTCTGGTACTCCCTCCTCTGGCTCGAATTCTCCCACCACTTCCGGCTCCAACACCGGCAACAAGGCCAGCGCAGGCTCGCGTTTCTCGTCCTCGGTCGAGGTCATGGGCGCTGTTGCTGCCTTGGCCCTCGCCGTTGCCGCCAGCTTCTAAAGCTTGTAGCCCATTCGTCCTACCCTTAGGGTTTGTTTAAATTGGCAGACCTAATAAATCAATCTCTAGATGGAGCTCTCCTAGCTTATTGTTCTGGCCCCTTGTCGCAGAAGTACCCCTGATTTAATTGTTAGAGGTGTGTTCCGTGCGACTACGGGTGTATATTCATCTTAAATTAGTAATAAATAAGGACATATCGGCCTCCAGGGGAATGCTCTGAAGGATCGATACTCTGCTCACTTTGATGTTAAAGCTATAGTGCATTAGGCCATATTTATTGTAACCCGTTTAAACGTTGGTCGTAATCAAGTTTAATGTCCTTCTCGTTATGTGTTTACGGGGTTCGTTGATACATTTGAGAGGGCCTACATGTTCCTTAATACTCCTCAAACTTTCCTCGGTTCCTTTCCTTTTTGCGTTGGACCTGTCGCATCTTGGCCATCTCTGCATTCAGATACTTGCGGTCGACCTTGTCCAGCTCTGCCTTGGCATCCTCTGCATCTGCATAGATTCCCATAGAAGATGATGGCCGTGAACCGGCACGTGACCCTGCCTTGGATCCGACCTGAGACGAGACCGCAGCCGTAGCAGCTAATCTGGATCCAGATACGAATGTTCCGCTTCCGACCCCTGGGGAATACAGAATTGCAGTGGAGGGCAGAATTGTGTGGATCATTGTGTTATGGACAAAATGCGTTTGCAACCCCGATGTGAGACGGTCTCTCAAATAATGCAGCTGCACAATCTCAACTATAATCATCAGGATCAGAATGAGCGCGTTCTTAATATCAGTAACAGTTTTAAGCATACCGTGTCTCTTCTTCTGCAAAACGCCTGGTTGGAAGGATGTGCTTACCCCAGCCATCAAACTCGACATCATAATCCTTTAGCTTGAGTGACTCTGTAGGCCGTTCCTGCGACTCGACACTCTTCAAGATATCCCGGAAAGCCGATCGACCCGCCGATCGCTCCTTCTTACTGCGGTGCTTATTTGAGTCCGTCGACAACGCACCCAGAGCTGCGACCAACCCATTCAGGTCCTCATACCGGAAATCGCCTGTGACCTCCTCCAGATCCTCGGGATCGTCCTCATTGTATGTTTCCTCTACATCTTCATCATCTGAGAATTCACCGTCTTCCCTTTGGCGCTGATAATGGTCCAAAATTTCGAGCATCAGTGCGATGGTCTCTCCTGCGGCGACACGGACTTCGACCGAGGGGTGTTCGAGTAAGGTCTTTGCACCGGGGATGATATTGTTGAAGAACCGGCGCGCCTGCATCGTGATTTGTTTCGGTCCGAGGTCTGGGAAGAGTCCGGCGTAGAGGACACCGAATGCCTCGAGTGCTGCGGCGAGGGTCTCGGCGTTCTGGGGCGCATTGACAGAGGCGCCTGAGGAGAGGGCAATATCGGAGAAGAAGCTGAGGAGGTCGTAGGTGGGCAGATGGGATGGTTGGGGTGTGGAGGAGATAAAGCACGCTGTTCCTAAAGCGTGAATGCACTGGTATCCGAGACCCATTCACACATACACACAGAACACACGCACACCATACACACACACACACACACACAAAAAAAAAAAAAAAAAAAAAAAAAGGTCAGCGGGTCTCACTATGTTATCGAACGAAGAGATGAGAGAGGGAAAGCGCAGTAACCTACCGCAGCCTTGACCTCAGTCTGCTCGTGGTTCGTGATCGTGTACTTGAGCAGGGGCGCCAGGTCTGTGAACATCTTTTCGTCATCCTCGCCGATCGTGATGAACACCAGGGAGATAACTAGTAGCAGACAGGTGAGGAAAGGAGCCATGACATAATATATTAATTCCCATTTTTTTTCTTTTTTTTCTCACAGTCGTAAATTCATGCGAATGCAGGGAAGGCATTACCATTTGCAGCCAGGACACTTTCGCGGGTGCCGCCCTTCTTGATACTCTTCTTCAGCAGGTCCATGAACTCGTCTCGCTGCGTGTCCAGAACATCGGCTGTAAAGCGGTTTGAAATCATTGTCTGCAGCTTGGTCAATGCATCCTCGCGAGTGCTATCCATCAAAAATTAAAACAGCAGAAACGTCTTAGAAAAGCAACCAACACGGATCGGAAAGAGAGTTTCTTTTTTTTTTTTGTGCTCGGATGGCTGCACTTGGCACTTCTCCGAATGAAACAATAAAAAAATGAAAAAAGAAAAAATTATCCGCAGTGGATGCATGATCTGCTTTGCATTGCAGCATGGTCCTCAATCCTACCTGGAGCGCTTCTCGTTTAAGTCCTCAATAGCGTCCTTGAGCTGCGCCTCCCAGGACGAATCTGCCTGCTTCAGCTCCTCAAAGTCCTCCTCTCCGTCTGCCGCATCGAACTCATGGTCGCTGTCTTCGTTGTCCGAGTTCACACGGGAACCCACGCGCGAACCCACCCTGGATGCGGGGCGAGAAGAAGGTCGGGAAGATGAGCCTGTAACCCGCTCAAGGTCTTGAAGCTGCTTCTTTTTCGAAACGGTTTTCCTGGGTCCGCTGGCGGGCTGTTTGTTTGCGAACATTGTTACGGTTGATGGTTGCTGGAAATGTTGTGTGGTGGAGTGGAGAAAGTGTGAACGAGAGAAAGTAAATGCTTTGAAACAAGGTCTGAGAAATAAAAATGTTAGTCCGAGTAAGATAAGTCGTCACGATGTCATGAAGAACCAAAAGAAACTTTATTTCCATGCTGGCATGCTGGCATTGTTCTTGGTTCAAGAATCCGTCATCTTGGAGACAAGGTGCAGATCGTAGCGTTTGCTTGAGCTTGTCCACTGCCCAATTGGCATGAGTCTTGTCTGTTGAAACAACTGTGCTGTCTCCTGCGGAGACCACTTGTACGAGTACTCCATGTTGATCAGCTCGTCCTCAGCCATATCCACAACGATTTCTTGTCCCGTCGCAGGATTCCTGTACTTCATTTGATGCGGCTTCTTAACCTTGTAGTAAGCCTCATGTCGGCCCTCCTCTTCGTTATACCGTCCATAGTACCCAAAGTTGTCGCGATCTAGAACCTGTTGACCCAGAAGGACGTTGGCATGGTCAAGACCGTTCAAGATAAACTCGCGTGTCACGCCCTTGGAGTCGTTGTACGCCAGAGTAATCTCCTGTGGATCGTTCCTTCGATCGATTCCGATGAGCCAGTTATCACCCTTGTTCAGCGATTGGCGGTAGGAGACAAGAAGGTGGGCGGCATCTTCCCTCGTGTAACTGCCAATGGACGAGCCGAGCCAAAGGAGGGTCTTGGGAATCTCGGGTCCAATAGAGCTGACGAATGCTATCCCTTGGTCGTACGTGCCCCACAAGCCCACAATCTTGATATTGTTGAACTGGCCCAGGGATTTGAGAGACTTTTTGTGTCGTAAAAAAAAAAAGGGAGCAAAATGAGCTAAAGGTGACAGCGGAGGTGGAAGATGTGGCAGGCGAATAACGATCCTTATACCTTGGTCAGCTCATCAAGCATTAAATCCAATGCATAGTACACGACGTTCTTGCGCTTTCTCTCAACCGCGTTTAGTAGCAGAACAGTCTTTCGTAGCGACCTATATACAACATGAAATGGCCGTGAGAGAACTCTTCTTGCATACAGATGGTACACGTGTACTCATCAATTTCAAAACACCATGTTGGCTTCAGTTACCCTGCACCAAGCTCGACAATGACACTGTTGTCGGGTATATGGTCCACGATCTTGTCCGCATCATGCTCAAGGATCTCGATTTCCTCATGGGTCAGATAGTACTCTTCCAGATAAGTGATCTCATCGAATAGTTGCAGGCCACGGTCGTCGTACAGGACGATCGTGGGAATGGTCTTGGGTTGACCACGTTGTTTGGGACAGAGTCCATCGAGGATGACCTTTGCAAGATCGATGTCATTGTCGGCGTCTTTGGTTGGTACTATTTCGGGCTCCTGATGAGAGACGACAGTGCCGCTATCATTGCTGACGATGTGGTGTCCTTGTGCTTTAATGGGAGAACCATTACGGATATCAACGATGCTAGGTGTTGATTCGGGCATGATGGGTGCCGACGATTGTCAGTGGATACGGAAGTTGGTGGGAAGAGAATGAGAGAAGAAAGAAGGTGAGAAAGAGAGGAAGAAAGAGAGGAATAAAGAGGGAGAGGAGGAAAGATAGAGAGGAAAGAGACATGCATCATGCACCATTGTTTTTCGTAATCAGATCGGAGTAAGGATAGCGATGTCCTAGGAGAATGTCTCTTGGGACGCGAATAAACGCGTCCGAGAGGTAGAAAGACTTCAGGTGTGCACTGACCACCTCGATGAGACCAGTTTGGCGTACAGATGTTCCGACTACAATGAGCTCATGAAACGCGTCCTTAATCTTGTTCCCAGCAGGCGATGGTCAACAGGGGGCCATGGAGATGGGTTGTATAGCCAAGCGGCCGGTGACTGCAGTGCATCCATTCACTGCACTGTGCTTGGAGCAATTGAGCCAAAAAGAACACTGCCTCGCGCCTCCCTTCTTGTCCCTTCATTCCTCCCCAAGTCACCTCAGAGAGCCCTCCAAAATGGCATATGCCCAGCCTATCCGCTCCGTCGACCGACGCTTCAGCACCACCGCGTTTGAGATCCCTGGTTATTATATCGCGCAGGCCCATGGTGTCGTCCGAGGGTAAGGCGCCGAGTGACTCTGTACTTTCACATCCGTGATCTGATGCATCGTCTGGACTCATGGCCAAGTGATGCACAGCTCATGCCGCGCCCATATTAACAACCTCATCTCACTCTCGATGAACAATTCTCTTTCCAGCATCACTGTGAGGAACCCAAACGTAGGTGGTTCTCCCCTCTCCTCCCCCCTTTTTTTTTCTTCAAGCAAACTATGGATGTCAATAACCATGCTAACCATGCCAACCATGCCCCTTTTATCGTTCAAACAACACAGGCCGGTAAAGCATTTATTGGCGTATTCGCATCCATTGGCGGAGGAGAGAGTTCGACTTATATCGAAATGGCTGAGAAGGCTCGCGAAAGAGCCTTCCTGAGAATGCTGGAACATGCCGCTGCCGCTGGTGGCAATGGTAGGGAACCCAATATTCATGTTGTGGATTGCGCCGAGGCGGGGTCTCTGCAATCTGCTCACAGCCCTGGGCCTGCTTTTCTCTGTTTGATCGTTTAGCCGTGATTGGAGTCCAGTTCACAGGACAGGAAATCATGGAGGTATACAGCACCCACATGGCAGCCTTGGTGCATCTCGTTTCTCATCCATGCTACCACTCAGCGTAGCAACGATTAACATTTTATTCAATTCTCTATAATCGTCTCATAGGGGTAAAACTTGCATGTCTGTACGAGAGAGAGCATGGACAATTTTATTACCTGGATATCAACGCACTAATGCCGATGTTCATTTTTTATATTCTTTTACTTAGGATGACTGAAGTTATGGCCTATGGAACCGCTGTTACATTGGCGCCTCTTCAGCAACAGCAGAATTACCAGTCACCTCCTCCTCAGCAGCAGCAGCAACCCCAGCAGCAGCAGCAGCAGCAACAGGTCTATAGTCCATATGGATAGCGCCCACAGCAGTAATTCACCCCAGCAATCCCCGAAAAGCAACAGCTGGGTTATCATATAGTCTTTTCAGCATACCAGGGGGCCCACGGATGCCAGCACTAATACCAATGTTAGTTTTGTCTCTTATCTACGACGCGTCTTGAATAAAGAGGAGGTTCGAGTTTCTACGTTACATTACAAACGTCATGCTCATCACGTGCGTATCCCCCGCCAGAGGGAAAAGCAGAAACGGCTGAAGGGGGAGGGTCGACCTCTTGCTTGGTCAAGCGTTGCACCCGCAGACTGCTTTACTTATCCTTTCGTTCTATCTCACAATCCACGCACACATCCCCACATGACAACCACAGTGCCATCCGCAGAAGACCAAGCAAAGTTCCTCGAGGATGCCTTGAACGTGGTCAAGATCCAGTCGTTTCAAATGAAGCGCTGTCTGGTAATGAAAGCGAATGATGCTTATTCCAACGGACACTCCGCCTTTATCCTTCCTCCCCCGCAGACTATTAGTCTTGTCCATTCGCCACGTTTTCCTATTTCGTTCTTTTCCTCCCGCTTGCAATGCAATAAACGCAGCGTGTAAACATGGTGCCGTGCCTTCTGTCTGCACTGCACGAGTCCTAACACCACCACCCCTGGTTATGTCGTGCCTGGTCTCTTCTGTCGTGGCAATAGGATAACAATAAGTTGATGGACGGTTTAAAGCACTGCTCTACCATGCTTGCCGAGCTCAGGACCTCCAACTTGACGCCCAAGAACTACTATGAACTCTGCAAGTAGACGACATTCGCTCCGATCGCTGGGATTATTATGCTGGAGCCATTGTCTTGCGCTCAATTGCTTTCTTGCCGAGAGAGAGAGAGAAAGAGGAAAAAGAAAACAGGTGCCTGTTGCTTACCTGTGCTTTTTTTTTTTTTTTTTTTTTTTTTCGAATGGATACTCTTTTGTTTTCTTGGCAATTGTATAGACATGGCCATTTTTGACGCCCTTCGCCACGTTACAACTTACCTCAAGGAGGCTCACCAGAGCGGGCGACACCACTTGGCGGATCTTTACGAGCTGGTGCAGTATGCAGGAAACATCGTGCCCCGCCTTTATTTGATGGTGACCGTTGGCAGTGTGTACATGGAGGTGCCTGATGCCCCTGTCAAGGAAATCATGCGCGATATGATGGAGATGGCCAGAGGAGTCCAGCACCCGACTCGCGGATTGTTCTTGAGATACTACCTCAGCGGCCAGACGAGGAACGGTCTTCCCTTGGGAACAGAAGATGGGTACGCTCCTTTTTGTGCCTCTTGACATGATTTGATCACGCGGCGCCAAAATAACGTTACTCCTCACACAAAAAGACATGTCGCGTTTACCCCTCGCTCTCTGCTTTTCTAGGCCCGAAGGAAACATCTCGGACTCGATCCAGTTTATCCTGACCAACTTTATCGAGATGAACAAGCTCTGGGTACGACTTCAGCACCAGGGCCATTCCCGAGAGCGCGAGAAGCGTGAGATGGAGCGCAAGGAGCTCAGGATTCTAGTCGGCACAAATCTTGTGCGTCTCAGTCAGCTAGACAGCGTGGACCTGAATGTCTATCAGTCGGTAATTTCTCTTTTTGCTTTTGCTTCTGTTTTTGCTATTGCCTTATTTCTCTGGTGCTTTCCATTGCTTCAGTAACACCGCTACAGTATATAGCAACAGTCTTTAACATATACTAACACATCTTTCTTTTCTTTTAGACCATCTTGCCCAGCGTTCTCGAGCAGATCGTCAGCTGCAAGGATGTCATTGCGCAGGAATATCTCATGGAGGTCATTATCCAGGTAACACACAGCTCATTTGTTATGCCGCATCTTTGAGCGCATGGAGTTCACCGGCAGGCAGCTAATTATCCGGCGTCTCTTTGAATCCTAGGTCTTCCCCGACGATTTCCACCTGAGAACCTTGGGACCATTATTGTCGGCTACAGCTCAATTGCACCCCAAGGTCAACGTGAAACAGATTGTCATTGCCCTGGTGGACCGTCTTGCAGCCCATGCCGCCAGAGAGGCTGACAGCAACGATGATGATGAGGTTTCAGAGGCACCCGGCTCACCAAAGGCGTCATCCGTCAAGGCGGATGAAGCGGAAGTTGAAAAGAAGGAGACCGAGGCCAATGGAGATGAGGCAGCAGAAGAAAAGGAAGGCGATGATGAGGAAGAAGCAAAGAAGGAAGACCAAGAAGTAGAGGAAGAGGAAACCCCTGCACAAGAGGAGCAACCTGCACCAGCACCGGCGCCAAAGCCTCTCAAGATCCGCAAGATCCGGGGCATTCCCGAGGACGTCAAACTGTTCGAAATCTTTTGGGGCAAGATTGTGGAGCTGGTCAAGGTACTGAGAACTGTGATCAGATGGCGAGTAATGTATGTGATCAAGTTGCTCGTGCGGTTGTACCATACTAACCGCTGTATCATGTTCGCATCAATAGTTCCGTCCTGACTTGTCAATTCAGGATATCACAGCACTGCTGGTTTCGTTGATCAACTTGTCGCTGAGCTGCTATCCCGACAATCTGGGATATGCCGACCAGGTCCTCGGATTTGCCAAGGACAAGGCGATTGAATACAACGAGAGCCCTGAGCTGCAGCACAAGGAGACTGTCGCAAACCTTCAGAACCTTCTCATGGCGCCCATTCAGCACTATCCCTCCATCCTTACACTCTTGGACCTTCCCAACTTTAACGCCCTTCTCTCGCTTCAACCCTACCAGACCCGCCGCGCCATTGCACATGCGGTTGTTGGTTCTATTCTGAAGAACGATACCATCATCAGCACTCCCGAGGACGTTAATGGAGTCCTGGAGATTTGCGCTGTCATGATTCGCGACCAGAAGGATGGCGGACACAACTCGAGCCCCTTCCGCAGCACCCGCAGCAATCGCAACGAGAGCGGCAGTGTCGATCCAGAGGAGTTTGCGGAGGAGCAGGGTCAGCTGGCGCGCATTATCCACTTGTTCAAGAGCGATGATGCAGATACACAGGCAGCCATCTTGTCTGCGGCCAGGAAGCAGTTTGGCGATGGAGGAGAGCGCATTCGCTACATGTTCCCTCCATTGGTCATCCAGGCCGTTAAGCTGGCTCGCCGCTTCAAGAAGTTGCAGGATACGGACGAGGGCTGGGAGAAGAAGTGCTCGACTCTCTTCAGATTTATCAACCAGGTCATTTCTATTCTCCACGGCAAGGTCGACAACTCTGATGTGGTTCTGCGCCTATTCTTGTTGGCGGGTCAGAGTGCAGATGAATGTGGGTTTGAGGATATTTGTTACGAGTTCTTTGTGCAGGTAAGACGGCAGAGGCCTTTTTTTTCTTTTCTTTTCTTTTTTTTTTCTTATATTGTTGCAGTCGCACAAAGTCATGAGCTACCAAGCAATGGAATAACCATTTGTTTTTTGTTCTTGTCCTTGTTTTTATTTTTTATTTTTATATTTTTATGCTGAATTGATTGTAGGCATTTACGATCTACGAAGAGTCGATTTCAGAGTCGAAAGCGCAGTTCCAGGCGATCACGCTCATGGTTGGCACACTTCAGACGACGTCCTGCTTCAATGTGGACCATTATGATACCCTTATTACAAAGTGCGCGCTTCACGGAGCCAAGCTGCTGAAGAAGCCCGATCAATGTCGCGCAGTTTACACGTGCAGTCATCTCTGGTGGGGCACCATGATCGTCGCTCAGGGAGAGGACGGCGAGGAAACTGTGCAACCATATCGTGACGGCAAACGTGTCCTGGAATGTCTGCAGAAGGCACTTAAGATTGCAGACTCTTGCATGGACTCTGTGACGAACGTGGAGCTGTTTGTTGAGATCCTCAACCGATACATTTACTACTTTGAGAAGCAGAATGAGGCGGTAAGGGTCCACTCGGGATGCAATGTTTTATTATTGTCTGCTACCTGTGGTAATTGGCACTCATTTCTTAGGAGTTACTAACAATGGGTCGTGTGTACTGTTGCGCATATTCATCTGTAATTAGGTCACTGTCAAGTATCTCAATGGACTCATTGACCTGATCAACACTAATCTGGGCAACATGGAGAACCCTGACCAGCATCCTCCTTCATCCAACTCGTCGTCGTTGCTGGAGAACGACCCGGCCCATATCTCGGAGTATGTAATGGCTCATTTCCGAAACACGATCTACCACCTGGAACGCCGTAAGAACGCCGGGGACGAGAAGTATGCGGAGCTCGATGCCAGTTTAGCCGTCTAATCGAGGAGGATCTGGAGAAGTGACACGTGTGGCATTTTTGAATTGGTGTTGATCAACAAGAGGAGCAAAGCGAGAAAGGCGATAAAGCAAGATGAAGCGCTAGCGCTGAAGTAATAAAAAAAAAAAAAGGTAAAGCTGCTTGGTTTGGTTTATTTTCACTGCTACAACTTTCATCACGGTACTTCGATCCATGATGGCAAAAAGTGGGTGGTGCCATTGGAGCACCGATGGCTGCTCGTCTGAAGATATCGCTGCTTGCGCGGCCCTCCCCCCAACACATGCGGTTTGACCTTCAATGACGGTCCCTTGACTGCCACACCCGACCGCTCCTCTCGACTTCCTCAGGAAGGACAAAGCTGTCTCGATTTGTATAAAAAAAAAAAAGTGCAGACATGCCTAAGGAGATAATGACTTGGCAACAGTTGTCTATCAGCGACGAAGAAAGTGTCCATCACGCGGTTCGCGCGATGTGGGCGAAATCATGCCGTTCCCCAGCGAGTGTCCTGAAAAATCTCCCCAGGTGTTGCCGCCAGTGCTGCCCGCATTGCCAGTAGGCGATGAACGCAGCGAATTAATCGAGTGTCGCCACTCATCCGGGACTCCAAATTGAAACCCGCCAAAGAGACTGTCGACCGAGGGCGATGGACGCGCCGAACTAAACTGAGATGATCCGTTCTGATCCAAGCCTGGCGATGACGAGTTGCTGGATCTTATGGGAGACATCGAACCTCGTCTTCCAGCCCCAATCACACCGGTCGTCGTCTTCAGATGTGCCGGCTTTGACGTGGGCTTCGCTCCGACAGTGTTGCTTCTGCCCTTGAATAAAACAACCTCCTCGTCCTCCTCATCATCATCGTTGCCGACAATCAACGACAAATCATTATCATCGTCGTCCGACAGCAGCGCGGCGACAGCCTGCCGCTGCTTGATATCCTGATCCAGAGAGCCCTCATCATCCGGTCCATGCGCCTCAGTAACCGGAGTTGGCGCCGCCGAGGCATTGTGACTATTGCGATTCAGAGCCTTGCCAATATGGAATGGGTTCATTTCTTCGTCTGCTGCCTCGCGCTCATAATCCGTCTCGTCTGCATCCTCATCCGATCCCAGTGCCGATCCCTCCACAGCTGAATGGATGGTATTCACAGTTGCGTCTCCGTCGTCCTGGCGTTCAGTAAAGAATTGCAAGCCCTGATTTCCATCCTCCATTTCCGTAGGCTTCACATAAAAGTCCAGCCAGCCGAGCCTGGCAAGCGTGAGGGCGTCCTGGAACATGTCCGCAATACGCATTTGCATTTCCGCTTTGGGACTGACCCTGCTGGGCGGAATCATCGACAGTGGTCGCTCATCAATGGCTCTCTTCAAGGCTGCAAATCCCTGGAGCTCAGCATCCTCCTTGAGCACATCCCTGCAGAAAATAGTATCCTCAGAGTAAGGGTGAACCTGTCCCAACAGTGTCAGGAACGAGGCGAGATCCTCCAGCAGTTGTTCAATCTGAAAGCGTTCCTTTTCCTTATCCGAGAGTCCATCCGAGAGGCGCTTTACATGGTGAATATTGACTTGCATCCATTTGAGTGACAGTCGCAGAGCAGGCATGGCTCGATGGACATTCGAGGGCAAAAAGTCGGCTGGACGTCCACTATTCTTGTAGCCTCCGTTCCTGTGGTTCTCCAAATCAATAGTTGAGTATCGAAGGATCGTCGCAAAGGAAGTTAAGATGAGTTGAAGCGCCTGTCTCTCAGATTCGATTTGCTGCTGCGGTGATACTGTCGGGCCATCATCTATAGAAGTATAGAGGGAGAGCTTGATGTCAACATCCGAAAGAACCTTGAACAAAGGAATGCAAGAAATATTGATGGCATCAAAAGCCCTCTTACCTTGCAGAGGAATGTAGCACTTGGTGTAGAGACTGGACATGTTGATAATGAGGATCCTGAGTAGCAGATCAGGGTCGATCTGTCTGTCCAAGATCAACTTCTCGAATGGCTCGCCCATTATTCTGCCATCGAACTCTTCAACCGAGTTCAAAAAGAGCGAGCCGTGTATAAGAATGAACTGCGCCAGGAATTCGTTCAGCTGCGTCAAGTCTTTGTTATTCGCCGCCTGTCGATCGTTGTATCGCTCCTCCCTGACAAACTTCTTCTCCTTCTCGGGATCCGTCATCATCTTTTGAAACAGCACCTTGATGTTGTTGCGCGCTGTCATGAACGGAAGACGAACCGCCAAACTTCGATAGTAGAAGTAAAGGGCCAAAAAGTTGTTGGGCGCGAACGTTGCAATGACTGCCAGCTGGTTATAGGGGTTGCCACTCGAAGGGAGAAGGTTCCTGGCTTCGTTGTAGTAATCGCGTGCCGCCGACCAGTTCTTTTTAGGAGAGTCGTTAAAGGTTTGTCGGTAGCGAGCTATTGTAGAATATCAATAATCACAAAATGGTCCTGATTAGTCAGTGCTGCGCACAACTTAAATCCATGCTTTAGTCGTGAGACAATTTCACTCGCTTACGTACCGAGGTCTCCCAAAAAGATATAGCACTTATGGCAGCTGCTGATCGCACACTGTCGGGCCGCATCCGTTACCTCCAGCATCGGGCGCTTGTCTAAGTTCGACCGCACAATAGTAAAACCAGTGAGCATTCGATGTGACCATCCATAGAAGCAATAATACAGTAAACTCCAGCCTAAGCGCAGATTACTGCTTACCTCCGATGGGAAAGGACTGCATGGTCGCTCCGGATTCGTTCAGATCATAGCACGATGCCAAGTTTTGAATCAGTCGATGGTAAAATCCTGTTGCCTCCTGAATAAAGGCCCTGAACTTCGTTGACACCTTTCGAAATTCCACCGACGAAACAGGGGGCTTGTTGCCTCGAGTCCCATGGGGACGTGACCTCCCACCATCCCTATCCCTACGAGCATCCTGTCTTCCATCCTGCTGCTGCTGCTGTTGGTCATTGTTGCTCTCCGGTCTTCCAAGCGTGGCGAGCTTCCGACGATAGCCGTCGATCACGATATAAAAGACATTCTTCCAGAGAGCCGACTCGACCTCCTTAGATTGAGCCAGGACAATGTCCGTCAGGAGGAGTCGCTCGTACTCTTCCCGTAACCTATTAAAGATCATCAAACGAACCAATATTTGGTTTCCGTTATATGTGAGTATAGGTTCCTTTTTCACGCAATGATAAAGTCGTTCCCATCCAACTCAGTCGAGTCCTGCGACATTCAAATTTGATCCACAGTTCTCAGAGCACAACATTGGCCACCACTTCTTGATTAAACAAAGGCGTGAAGCGGGTTTGCTTATCGCTGGGCCGGTAAATCCGTTCCCACATATGCTGGTTCATGTTTTCCCATGTGAAAAAAGGCTTTGTCATTATCCCAAGTACTGATGGATGTTCACGCCGTTGGTGTAGATCAGAAGGCGCATAACTTCTTGCGCCCTTTCCCTCTCTGCATGAAAGGAAGATGCACTGGCCAACAACAAATGCAAAAAAAAAATATAAAAAAAAAAATAGTCATACCTGTCCCTAGCAAGGGTAACTCCAGTGGCTCCTTTCTGGTGCAGCATCTCCTTCAAGTTTCGTTCCTGTGCCTGCGTGGACCTATTTGTTGCATTAGCAATAAGCAGAATTAGCTGTGGTTTCTTCCTGCAGGTTTACCACACATACATGCAGAGGAAACAGAGAGGATGAGGGAAAGGAACGTACCTGTAACGGTCCAACCAAAGGGTCTGGGGATCTTCTGTCATATCGGAAGGCTTAGTCTTTTCTTCCTCAAAAAGTATGCCTTGCCCTTGCTTGCTTCGGTGGCTCGACTAGACTTGATGTCGATTCAACTCGTTTGACTCGATACGAAGAATGAGGTAAAGGAAAGAAGGAGAGAGAGAGAGAGAGAGAGAGAGAGAGAGAGAGAGAGAGAGAGAAAGAGAGAAAGAGAGAAAGAAAGAGACGGATAAAGCGAGAAAGGACTATCGGGGGATGTGGCAACAAAAGACGACAGGTGAGGAGAGTGGTAGAGAGAGGGCAGACGGAATGCCGGGCGGTGGAAAGGGAAGAGAGAAGCCAAGAAAAAAAAAAAAAAAAAAAAAAAAAAGTGGAGCTGAGTAGGATCGATCGATCTTCTCTTTTCTCCCTGGAAGGGGGGGTCTTAACACCGATCCACTCTCACTTTCTCCAGGGTGATGGTGGCGGGAAGAGGACGGGGGAAGGGACTAGCGATGACCAAAGAGGCGATTGGGCATGAATCTTTCTTCTTCTTCTTCGGGCACAGAAAACAAAAAACACATCCATCCCTCAAAAAGCAAAGAAAAAAGAGGACGAAAAAAAAAAGAAATCGCTGAAGAGGTCGTTTGCGCGCTGCGGCAGCACGTGATACGTCGCTATGATGCAACGTCGTTATATCCCAGAAGGTCATGCGCCCAAAGAGTGGAGCTGCACATACATAAGGCCCTTTTCTGCGCATTCCTCTTCACCATACTTCCTCCTTTCCTTCTTCTTCTCTACTGCTTCTACTACTTCTTCCACCACCACCACCACCACCACCAACTACACTTCCACAAACATGTTCCAGAAACCCCGTCTGACCTACTACCGCACCTTCTTCCCCAGGAGCACCCGCAACAACTACAACATCCCCACCGCGAACCACCGCCACAGGGTCCCGACCATCCGTCCCAACGCCCAGCAGAACGCCATGGCCAAGATCATGTCCCTCATCGGCAAGGCCAACCCGCTCACCGCCCCTCCCAAGCCCAACCTGCCCGATGTCCACGCCAGAGTCTTCTAAAAAAGCGACTCTTTTCCTTTCCTTCTCGAGCGAGCACCTCTCCAATGGATGCTCAACAGACCGACCTCGCGAGCAATTGAACAAACTTGGCTGGTTCATGGGGACCCCACTCGAAAGAAAAAAAAAAGCACGCCCTTCGTATTGTGCTCGTAGCTATATATTTATGACACCAATCTCACAACAACAACCTCTCCACTCTCGTTTTACTCGTACCTTTTTTTTCTTTTCTTCGTTTTCGTTTCTTGTCTCTTCTATGTAAATGCCTTGTAAAACACTTGTAAAAAGACCTGTTTTTGTATCAAATCTATCAAATCTCAATAAAACAAGAAGCTTCTTCCCAAAAACCAGCTCTTTTGCTATCTCTCCTGTGCAAAACTAACTGTCCGTAGAAACAGTCGAAATGCCCAAATGTGCTCGCAAAAGATGCGCTTGTGTAAGGAATCCTCAATTACTCATATGATTCTTTTGCAATTCCTTGCTTGTCAAAGTGCTCATCTGACCTTTCCCCCTCTCCCTCACAGAGTCGTAAGCATTTCTGAATAATACTATGAAATACGGATATAGAATAGAGCGTTGGGGAACCAGGAATTTGGTCACGCACACGAGCAATGAGCAGGTCAGAAATGATTAGAAGAGCCGTAATGCAGATTGAACTATAATTATCGACCGGCAATTGACATCACACGGACACCCCCCCTTAGTCAACTGGTCATAATCAGAAATGATTCCCCGCTCTTCGCCACCCGCAGCAGCAGCGGGCGACCGGAGCTAGTCGAATATGCACAGCAGTCGTATCGAATTTACCAGAAACAACGGATGATGACAAAATATCTGCCTGTTCTGACGCGACCCCACTTTTCATTGCATCACCTCTTACCTTACACTCATCCAATTTTAGGGTAGTTTGATAGCCACTTTGCCACCAATATACACGTTGTACGATATTCTGCTGAAGAGAGAAAGAAAGAAAAAATGCTGGACGTATGTATTAGAGTGATAGTAATCTATCTATTTAGATGTCTCGCCATGTTGATGTGGACGACGTGGTTCTATGAAGGGCCTCCCGCTGCTGCTGCTGTTGCTGTTCTTTCTGTCGATCCTGTTCCTGATCTTCATCCGTCGCAAACACTGCAAACTGCCCCAAATCGTCTCGGTTACTACTCATGCTCAGTCGGCTTGGATGGATCGGCACATTAGAAGATCCAAACATCGAAACCGATCCTAGACTTGGAGAAGTACCACCATGACCATGACTCTGCGCATGTGCTTGAGGATGGCTTCCGCTCGCGGATCCACCGCTGACGCTAACCGTCGTTCCCATCGCTGAGACCGTAGATACCCCAGTAATGTGAGGCGAAGACGACATGATCATCGTCCGTGGAGGACTGCTTGCTACCATGGTCGATGCGGACCCTGATCCAGAGCCGCCTCCCAAGTGATGCGCAACCAACGATGAAACCGATCCGGAACCGCCAGATCCTGTGCTCCCCACAGAACTTGAAATCGCACGGAGGGCATTCGTGGCCGCAGATTGGTACGGGATCGTAATGGGAGCCGATCCTGACGTACTACCGACCGAGGTGCGATTGCCTACCACAGTGCTCGTCTGGCCCGTAGGGGGCAGCTGGGACAATGCACTTGATGTAGTCTCGGTTGCTTCACTTACAGGTACCGCATCGAGGGCGGGCGATGTTGAAATATCGCTGTGATCATGAGTCTTCTTGTGCTCTAAAATTTGACTCTGTGTATGCCGCAGACTACTGCTCGCTCTGTGAGAGTCCTTGGAACTTCTACCACTCGTTCCAGACGACGACACCTTGCTATGTCTGTGGCTACTTCCATGATACCCATTCCAACTCGTGGCCTCCAGCAGATAGTACTTGACCCCGTCTGCGAGTCCAAAAGGATTGTGAGGAGACACTACAGTGGAGCTCAATGAAGTGGAGCTCTCGCCTTCCTCCTCTGCCTCCAGTCGCTTATCGACAATTGCCTCGGTGATTGAGGTAATCCTGGCAACGATCCACTCCCTGTTTTTGAGTTGGTTGGCCATCGTTGGCGTCATCTGCAAAAAGTAGTGTGGAAAATTGATGTTGAACGCAGCCCATGGCTTGGAGATGGAATTCCGTGTGGGTAGGAACAGCGTCAAGTCGTCGACCTTGAAATTGCGGAACGCAATCTTTTCGTGGGCTTCTGCTGCTGCCTTGTTGTACTTTTCTTTGAGGTGCTTGCACTCACGTTGCCATCTCTTGAGCAAATGTTCTGTGGCAAGCAGCTTCTTCTTGATCAAAGTCGTCGCCTCCGCTACGTTCAGGTCTTCAAAATCAAACGTCTGCAAGATATCTTTCGAGAGCGGAACCGTTGTACTTGAGCTCCTGCTGGATCCATTGCCAGAGGACGCCACCGCCGAAGACGATGTATCTTGGATAGGATGCAGAGAGAGCACTGTACTTCCGGACTTCTCTCGTTTCTCCGACGTGCCCAGGAGTACTGATGAAGTCGGATAGGCTAGTTCTGGCGAGTCCATCCTGGAGGAAATCGTCGACAATGGGATTCCGAGATCCAAAGAAAGAGTACTCAAAGAGACTTTGATGTCCTGTAGCTCCTCTTTAGCGTGAGTGAGCGCCATCTCCATCTCATCCTTAAGCGCAGCCCTTCCCCCTTCAGCCTCCTGGCTGGTCTTCTTGAGCTCAGAGATGGTCAATTTCAGGATATCTTCGCTCGTCTCACGCTCTTTACGCAACCCGGCCAGATGATCTTCATGAGTTTTTCGCATCTCTGCCTGTTCCAGAAGATGCTTGCTGACCAACGTCTGAATGCCCTGCGCAATGTCTTGAAGCCTCTCTCGAACTCGATCCAACGTAGCAGTCTCGACCTGTGCATTGTCCTGACCAAGTGCGCCCAGACAATCCTGGATAGGTTTAGCAAGTTCCTTGGTGGCGCGTTCCATCTGGTCCAGAAGTCTGGACTTCTCCTTCCAGTCCTCCTCGGCCCGCCGCACCATGGTCTTGGCCTCTTCCAGTCGCAGGTTCACGTCGACTTTATAGGCTTCGCGCTGCGCCTCTAGGTCCGATATCTGTTTGTGAAGGGTTTCGGTTTGCTGCGCGAGCTCATCTTTCGCTTTTTGTGTGTCTGCGTGTTTCTTAAAGAGGTCTGTGTGAGTCCTGCTCAGGGCCTCGTGGTCCTTTTCCAGGCTCGTATGCACATCATGCAATTTTGCATATCTCTCCTCCAACTTCTGGCATTCCAGCTGAGCATCCGCCGCTTTCTTCTCCTGGCCCTTGAGCTGTACCAAAATATCGCTGTGGACTGCTCGGTGTGACTCAAGTTGCCTCTCTTGTTCCTTAACACGGGCTGTGACCTCCTCGTGCTGTGCAGCATGGTTCTCAAGTTCCTCCTCCAGCTCAAGGACCTTATTCTGGAGTTCCTCATTCACGACAGCCAGTTCATTTTCCAACTCCGTCACTCGCTCAGTTGCCTGCTCCGCAGTGCGCCTAGCTTGCTCCAATTGACCTTCCAGGATTTCTTTCTCGAGCCCCAATTGATTGGACAACTCCTCGATCCGGTCCTTGTATGCCTTGTTTTGCGTCTCCTGCTCTTCCTTCTCCTGTTCATTGTGCTTCATAAAGTGCTCGTATTTGAGAGTTATACCCTTGAGCTGCTCCTCTAGTTCTTCCGATCTCTTCTTGGCCGCCAAGGTGTTCAAGGATTTGTCCTCCTCAGGCGCTTCATCGAGTGTCGCCGACTGCAACTCCAACACCAAGAGTTTTTGACGCAGCTAATGATATTCAACGAAATAAACGTACAAGCAGTCAGTAATATTATCCTACCTATGCAAGCGGCACAGTAATGAACAATGAGACAATGAGAGAAAATATGTTACCTCAGCTTCAATGTCCTCTTGGTTTTGGATCTTGGTCTCGGCCTGTTCTAGCTTTTGATATGCATCCTGCAGGTCCTGCTCGAGTGACAACAATCGCCCCTCATCCCGCTTTAGTTCTCTCTCTCTGGCCAAAGACTGGCTACGAGCATTCTGGATGTCTTCAGGCGACTTCCATGGTTGTTCAGAAACAGGCGATATAGCTGGCTGATGACGGGAATCCTTGCTAGAGATAGATGAATCTGCGCTAGAACTCGCGCGGAAGTTTTGATATAGAATATCCTCCAGCTGCCGAATTCTGGCTTCATAAGCCTTGGTCTTATCGGCCAACTCAGTATTTTCCTTCACAAGTCGCTGATTCTGCTGCGCCTGCTGCTGCAAAATGTGCTGTTGCTCGTCTGTGTCTGCTCGGTGGGTGGGTGGTACGGTGCTGTGTCCCTTGGAGGGCTTCCGAGACAGTTTCGGTGAAGTCGGTGGATTGACAGAAGCGCCTCCTGATACGGCAGTGGCTGTAGATCCTTGCGCGACAGAGCCTCCTACCCCTCCAGCTGGGGTACCGTGTCGTGGGAATGGGTGCTGTGCCAGCTGCGGAGTGCCCGAGCGCTGCTGAACCTCAACTCGCGACATGTCCGCCCGAAGTCGCGCATTCTCTTCCTCTAGTCTTTGGATTCGCTCAGTCATGAAAGTCTTCTCAAGAAGCCGGTCGAATTCGCTGCTCATGGCATCCATGTGAGCTGTCATCTTCGTGAGGGTCGTTCGAAGTTTGGAAAGCGCATCCTGGTTCGTTTCCTGCCCACTGCTGATGGAGCTGGTGCCGGCGCCGGCGGTTGATTGCTCCGCGCCAAGGAAATGGCTCTCATGTCCAATGCTTAGCTGGTCCACCAGTCGTTCAAACTCTGCTACATGTTCCCGTGTGAAGGGGGGAAGGCGGTCGCGTGTGTTGAGAGCATTAACCTCACAAAACGGTGGCACATCTTCCAATCCTGGGACGATCACAGGCACAAACTTGGCAATATCGGATCTAAAAGTGTCGCGCCTGCGTTGTTCTTGCTGCCTGAACCGCGACATGACCTCTGCCAGCTGTTGGGACTTTTGAAGAAGAAGCCTCGCATATTCCCGCCTGCGGACGATTTCCACTATCAATGCACCATATGCGATCGGGATCCGCTGTACATACACAAGTTGACTGAAATCAGCGTCGCGTTTCCGGAGGGCATCGTCCAAATTGCCAAGGCTGGGTGGTATACTAGCAATAGTGGATTGGAGTTTCGAAATGTGCATGAGCTGGGTGATGAGATTGGCCGTTTGAGATCGCTTTGCAGATACGAATACGCCGAGTTTGTCCCGCAGCATGTCATCCGCACGTCTTGAGGTATCCATGTAGTCCGTGATGTAGACATTCGCCAATTGCACAAGCGCCTCCAACGTTGAAGTCGATGTCGAAAATCCAGAGGGCTTAAGAATCTCTGCCAGTTTATCTTTTACGCGGGTTTGATCTATAGCGTTGGGATGACTCTGCGTTAACATTTGTGCTATATCAACAACGCGGATAGAAAGCAGCAAGCAGAAAAAGAAAAGAAAAAAACCTCAGCGAACCTCTCATGACACGTTCCCGGATCTGGCTCTGTTGCTCGACGGTTTGAATAATCTCGTTCATGGCATCCTCAAGCTGTTCCAGGCTGAAGAAAGCAGGAGATCGCAACGTTGATGTGAGTGCCAGCAGTCTAGCTATAGTGAGAAAATCCGCAATAGTTGATAAAATGACAAAAACGTACTTGATCCCACTGTTGCTCCGGATTGCAATGGTGCCTTCTTGAACCTCTGTAATAGATCGAGAAAGATCTTTCCCGTCTCGCAGCAAGCCTTGGTGAATCTCCTGACAGCGCTCTGCCCACAGTACCAATTTTTCCGTTGGTATAAAGTCAGAGATGTAGCGGTCGGACGAATCGGCAGGGAGCAATGCTGGGTGTACCTTGATCTGTCTCAACGCCTCAATATCCCGTGGAAACCTAGTGTTGTGATTATTGTATTTCCAGAGATATTAGAAGATGACCCTGCGCTCAATTTTTCCTTACTTTCTTGAAAACAACGATCATCATGACACGAAGACATACGATTGAAGCAGCCGAGCTTGCTTTGTCAACTCCTTGGTAGCAAAGGCATTGAATTTTTCGTATGTTTCCAGCACGGACCTAAATAGCATCAACAAAATTTGGGCTCAGCTCAGTCGGTGGGCGTTCATCCTGTTCATGACACAAAATTTGTGCGCTGGGCGCCTTCGCCTTTGTGTTCGTACCTGCTATGGGCGTCCAAATTGGTCAGGGCTACCTGAACTGCCAAAGACTGGACCCTCAATTCCTCCATAATTCGCTCGCAGATTGCCGCATGACTCACGATTGTCTTGTAATAAGAGAGCACGTGCGCGGCATAGACCTCAAACGTCCGCTGAAATTGATTTCCCCATTCTCGACTGGCTGAAGGCGATTCCAGTCGACTAGGAACCGTGACGACCTGAAGCTGCGCCGCAGAGAGTGTTGGAAGTGCTGGCTCGGTCCTTGCCTGTTCTGTGAGGGTCAAGATGCTGCTGGAAATGTCTGTCGTAAGAACCTCACGGTTGTAGATCATGATTGTGTACTCGTCCTATCCACGTTCATATAAAAAGGATTATGGATCAGATGCGCTTCCGAAATGATGGGCCACAATGACCATTCGACCCGAGTTGAGGCACTACGTCAGGGCAGGACGGCAGGAATGTGATATCAACAATGAAGGCGATCGCCGATACCCTGTTCGTGACCCTGCTCATTCGTATTATGGTCATCTGAACAATGCATATTATTAAAAGATGGGGCACCCTTGGAACCATGTGATGCGTAGGATAAATGATGTGTTGTGACAAAGGGGTACGATTGGTGCTGTTTGTTGATGCATGCTTCCTCCCGCGGATCGGATCCATCGTCCCATTGGACATGTACACCCGTTTGTTGTTCGTCAAGTCAGTTTGTGTGTGGATGTGCGCGTAGATAATCGGATCGGCCGCCAAGGTTGCCACCAAAAGACGTAACAGCAGTTCATATGTAGTGGTGATACATTTTGGTCATACATGTGCCCTTTGCCACATTATAATGATGCATTTCGAGTGCGACGGTGCGCGCGTGCGTACGTTCCTGAATCAAGCAGGTTGTGCTCTCCATTTTTTGCGTCGTCCTCTGTTAGCTTGGCCCAATGTAAACATGTTACAAAAGGCCAACCAGCATCATTCTGCACAGTAAAATGAAAAAAGTACAGGCAGAGATAGATGATGACGACCAGACTCAGACAGGAAGACATGTAATTGATTGTGAGATAATGTGCGTGTTTCGACAGGATGCAGGAGAGTTGATCCAGAATATTAGCTGCATCCGGGATGTGTGACATCTGATGACCCCCCAAAAAGCTCTCTGATGTGCAGCAGAACCCGCCAGTGACGCCTGCAGCTGAATGGATACGCCTCCCTGGCTGAATCGCCTTACCTTCCCAGTGGATGTTATTGCCTCAAACATCATGCCCGGCTTGAGTTGTAGACCCTCAGAGGTCATGAGGATCTGAGAGCCTTGAGGGATCCTGGTCACCTTTTCGATGGCCAGACGCAACGTATCAAGCCTAGATATCCAGAACAGAGTATAACAGCAGAGCAACAGAGCCAAATGCAAGGCAGAGCAAGGAACAGCATCAGACGGGTTTATTTAGCAAACACTCAGTGCACCCTTGATTGCGACATTAGGAAACAGGTCAAGGGGTGGGGGAGGAGCGGAAAACATATTTGTGCTTTTACAAAAAAAAAAAATGGTGGCAACAATCAAAGTACCAAGTCAACGGGACTCCACAGGACTTACCCATCATTGGGCCGCAGCTGGGGTATCTGCACGCGCTTGCCCGTTTCTGCTCGATAGAGCCTCATGTCCAGGCAAGCGTATTGGGGGGTTTATGCAAAAAAAAAGAAAAGAAACGAGGTACAAGGGTCGAGAGGAGGTGAGTGAGGGTGTCAGGCGGGAGAGGGGAAAGGAGGTGAAGGATAGTGATTAAATTGGAACAGTGTATGCAAGAGCTTTTAACGTCAATGCGAAGATACAGAGAGAGCTCAAGGGAGGAATATGAGGCAAGGTTGGCTTTATGAAGGTGATGGGGAAGGGGAGGGGAGGGGAGCGGAAGAAAGAAAAGCGATGGAGCTCAAAGAGATGAATGTGCTTTGAATGTCTGCCTGTTGTATGTGGGGTGTATGCCAAACAAGTAAAGGGCAAAAACGAAGAACGGGAGGGAATGAGAGGGAAGTGATGGCGAAGTAAATTGACGACGAAGGAGCGGAAGAACGATTGCACACGTATTGTAACAGGGACGTCTGGAGAAGTGGGTGTACGTGTTGTTCGTTCAGGAGGTCGATGGAAGTACTGTGTGTGTGTGTGTGTGTGTGCAAAAGTGGGGCGAAGCGGACAAGGAAAGGGTCCTTTTAAGGCTGCGGTGCTTCGCACCCTTCCGCTTCGGTTCCTCCTTAGCCGTCACGCCATAAATTGCAAGACTCGCGTTTGGTCTCTTTACTTCATGAACTGACTGACTGCAAGAGCACCAACAGGAAACAATTAAACATAGAACACGAAACAAGTGGACAATGGATGCATGGCGCTTAAAGAGTGGTTCCCTATGGCGGTACAACACACCATTCGACTCTACAAGTCCAAAAGACATGGCTGTGCAGCAAATGATAAACATCCCCTTCGATCTTTAAATATAATACGACCTATTCCTAGCAATGGTCGAGAGGACATCCGATGACTATTCCAGCTTTGTCTGCTTGGCCAGCTGCTCTGCTTTAGCCTTGGCCTGCGCCGCCTCACGCTGCCTCTTTTTCTCTAGCGTCATCTCCCGACTTCCTCCTGTGCCGTGCCACCAGTCCAGAACGCCCACAGGTCCATAGTTCTTGTTGAACACCTCGTGATGGTAGTCGTGTGCCAGTGGTGAGGGGAACAATGGTAGGTGGAACCCACAATGGGAATTGATCGCATTGGTTTGGCCTACGAACGAGAAGTTATGAAGTTCGTCAGCAGTTCTTTTCAGTGCCACAGCATCAAAGGTACAAAGGGCCCGAAGGATACGAAGCACGTTATTTTGTCATTTGCAACCTACCGATCGTGATCCACAACCACAAGGTCAAGATGTGCGACTTCATTACCACCGGCCCTAAGAGAAGAGGTGACAGATTGCACATAAAATGCTCGAGAGGATGGCAGTAAATTGCTAATATTATCACCAGTAATGGGATGGCGTTTTCACAATCACAGCAAAGAACGAAAAGGTCAGCCAAATAGCCATGTCACTCCAAAGATTCAAGTACCTCAATGTACGCGTTTTTTGTCCTTCACTTACCAGCAATGCCAATGGGTGCAGTATATAGATGATGCTGCTTGTGAATCCTCTTGTACAATCGTGGATGGTGCAACAATCGATGCCCATAATAGAACCCAATCTCCTCAATCACCAAGAACCCGATCGATTCCTTGGCCAGGTCCCACACGGTCGGCAACTCCATCCCAATCGGATTGCCTCGCCATTCCATCAATTTGTACAACAGCAGACCTGTCGGCACACCAACGAGGAACTGGTTCTGTAGGACCACCCAGAGTGCTTTTTTGTACCACTCCCATGTCGGGACCTTGAGGGGCTGGATCTTATATCTCCAAAATGATTTTGGGAATTGATACAGGTCTAGGATGGCCAGCAGTGAAACCCAGAACCAGAAGCCGACTTCCGAAACAATAAACGAACCGCCGAGGACAATCACAGGCTTTGGGTAGGTGGCCAGGATGTGTGACCAGAATCGCTCGCCGTAAAGGTGCAGTCCACCAAAGAAGAGTCCGATTAGGACAGAGTAGAAAAAGACATCGCCAATCTCAAAGGGGGCCTTGGTGTGGGATATCGTGGGGCCCCATTCGTCCTGAACAGGCACCTGGTCGTCTTGGTCGATGTCAGCTTCGACGTGCTTCAGCTCCGAGGATGTGGTCATGGTGATGAGTTGTAACGAATGAGAGGAATGAGGCAGGACAAACTCTTTTAGTTTTGTTTTTTTGTGGAGAAGGGTCTTTGTGTGTACTGCCTACAGAGAAAGGTTTGTCGTATGAAAAAGGAAATCGGAAAGGTTGGATGCTGAGATGCTGAGTCTATGTAAGGCACACATGTCGATTATTTAAAGGGCTGTGGTTATTTTCGATGACAAACGCGTATTGCCATTTCAAGAACAAGATGTATGCTCTTCGTTTTTCTGCTTTTGTTCTCACATGTGCACGGGGCTGCGTGCGCTTCGTGATGGGAACCGCGCTTTATGTTCGCCGCGATACATGTATTTGTACCTGGGCACTACATACTGCGTTCCCTGAACTCGCACAAATTATTAGAAATGAACAAAAAACACCATGTACAACCTGTTCTCTTCAACTTTCTTTGCGCTCCTGGCGTTTATTGTTTCTTTTCAACACATATTCCATAAGTCATGGACACGAGTATGCTCCCTTCGTGTTTTAGCGACGGCCTCTTTGTTTACTCTCTCATCCGCGTATCTTTCGAATGCTTCGCTGCCTGTAAATAGTTTCCTCTGAGGCATAGGACCATAGTGTCGTCGTAGATGCGCTATATATCGTCCTCCAGCAGATGTTCGATAGCTTGACATGAAGATTTTAAGGCTCAACTCTAAATCGTATGTAAGATACAAAGTTTGAGCGGCTGAATTGCTCAGTCGATGGCTCATTCGCATGAACATAGTAGACTACGAACATTTTTCAGTCAAAAAGTCGACTCAGTCGACAAAGAGGGCTTCACATTAATTAAGAATAAAAATGTTGCTTCATTTTTTATTACTGTTGTGTAATGGACCCACCCTCATCTTTAAGAGAACTTTGATTCCGCTTTGTCTGCTGCAATGGCATGCTAGACGGATCCGAATCATATGTTGAAGACACCACAGAACCACGCGTCTTTTTCCTCCGCGGATAGTGTTGCTGAGGTCCACTGTCCGAGAGTGGCGGCAACGGTGGTAACGTCGCAGCACTGCCCTGTTCACTCAATACTGATGCTGCAGTGCTGCCCCTACGATTGCTGCTATTGCTGCTGATGCTGATGTTATTCTTGTGGCCATAATTGCCGTGCACCGTTGGAGCTGTAGGTGATCTCAGAGATTGAAGTGTGTTTTCTGATCCCTGCACTGATTGATTCGCAGGACTTGAGCTTAACGTAGGCGCCAAGAGGAACTTTGACGAGGCCTTGGGTGTTGACGAACTAGCAGAGTCCAAAGACTGAGCAATATCTCTCAGAGAATCATGCTCATCGGGTGAAGGGAGCATATGTCGATCGCCATTCCGCCTTGGAACAGCGACGCCTGCAGTATCCGGTGCCTTGATTCTTAGTGAAGATGGTGTTCCTTTGGTCTCCTTGTGCTCCCTGGACATATGAGGGGTCGACACTTTCCGGTGTGGCTGCTTATGGAGGCCGTCCTGTGGCAATGAGCGCTCCTGAAGATGAGGTGTCTGAAAGCGTGAGTCCGCCGTATGTCCAGTATGGGATCGTAGAGGATGCACGGGTGTTGATTGTAGAGAGGTGCCATAGTTGAGCTCCATTGGGACAAGCGAAGTGCTGGAGGGATGATTTGTGATAGACAGTGTAGGAAACACACCACTGTTGGCAGAGCTTGTCCGCGACCCAAGAGGAGGTCGCGACGGCGCATGAGGGACATAGCCGAGACTTTGAATACTGCCGCGACGTTCATCTCCTTTACGGCCATACTTGGATTCTATATTTATTATAAAAAAAAAAAAATGCTTAGTCGTGCAACGCCTAAAACTCTTGGTCGTTAATCCTGAGATATGCAAAGAGTGAATCAGAATAGCCAGCTCACCTAAACTTAAAAGTGCCGTATGATGGGTTCCGACGGCTGATCCAACGGCTGCCAGGGCATTTACGCTGCTAGTAAGAAACGACACCTGTTCCTTAGATCCAGCAACTGATTGTCTATGCGACGAGCCCAGCAATGGAACAGAGGCGGTAAGTCCTGCCGACTCTGAAGTAAGCGAATATCTTATTGGGCGTGCATAAGGCTGAGGGATAACGTATCCCAGGCTTTGGACTGGGACCCTCCCCTGCTCCATGAACAACTCTGATCTGTTTTGATCCTGAGGGTATAATAAACGGTTTGTAATGTAAGAATCCATGGAGGAGCGTTGATGGTGGGTAGGCGTAAATTGCGTCTGAGGCGCCAGGGCCCATTCGGCACCTGCTGCAGTAGGTATTGTAGGCTCGTCCTTGTCGCGATGGGAAGTGATGAAATACACGCCCAAAAAGGTCATACAACATCCTGTCAAAAAGTTGAAGCCTTTGTTGAAGTCCATCTCATCAAAGTCGTTGTAAAGAATTCCTGATCCAATGATAGCACTGGTGGTAAATAAAACGAACTGCGTTGGGATAACTTGCTATCATACCAAAGATGAAAATAAAAAGTCAATTAGTGTCGGGTGTGCATGTAGCAATTTACCACACCTCTACCCCAAAGAAGTTTTAAAACATAGTACTTACTGTTGCATCGAACCGCTGAAGTGACTTGTTCAAAAACTTGATCTGCAGTACCGCCGTTGAGACCATTACAAAGACGAGCAGATACGCGATCGGGTATGTGAACATCTTGTAAAACGACAGACTAAGTAAAGAAGAGATACCCTTGGTCGCCAGCACCGTGTAACCACCTATTGCAGTCTCCCCCAAAAAAAAACTATTAGACACGGACAACCGCATTGTTTAATTGCTTGGCAGAGTATCTTCATAATGGCAAGGAGTTCTTACCAAAGATGGCGACAACCGAAAGGTCGATGAAAATGTACTCGCTCCCGATCGTATCTGAGAGCGAGATGAGGACAGTGACTAGCACGCAGCACACGATGAAGTAAACAATAAACTGGGTTTGAAGCAACGCAGCAACGACAGCCTCGGGAGTCAACTGTTCAAAAATATCTTGGTGAGTAAAAAAAAAGGGAGCTGTCCACATGTAACATTCCGTGCAATGCCCTTCCATGCAGCCAACGTTGGTCATATGCCAACAAGCTGCAACAGTTGAATAGGGGAGACAAGGCTGTAGCCGCTCGTCGTACCTTGATCTCGCTTTCCTTGGAATTGATGACGACCACAATAGTTCCGATGATCGCAATCACAATACCGACGAGGTCCCGTTTCCGAAAGGGCTCCTTGAGCATCAGCGGTGCTAAGATGACATTACTCACTAGTGCTACTGTACCCAGAGGAGCCACGATCGAAGCCTGGGCATATCCGTACGCCAGAAAGTTGCCACATTCACCCAAAATCATCAGTGTCATCCCGAGCCACCATGCCTTGGAACGCAAGTACTCTGTTTCCGAGGCTGTATCGCTCGTATAAAACGCCTCTAGATCGGGTCGAATTGGGCCAGCAGTAATCGTGTCGGTCTGCACGCTGGTATCGCTGTTATGGTTGCTGGGTAGACTGCTTCTGCGGCTGCACCGACTGCTCTGGGAACTGTGAATGCTTGTGCGCTCACGATTGTCCTCATCGTCGCTATCGCTGCTGTCATGGTAGGGCGCACTGTTTTGTAAATGCTGGGTATCATGCTGGACACTGATGGGATCCTCCTCAAGGATGTATGTCGGTCTGGTATGAAGGAGCTTTGCATCCGTATTTGCGCCTGGCTGGAGTTGGTTATGGGCATATTTTTGAACATTCAGGGCGACCGAAATAAGAATCTAAGATTGATGATATTGCGATAGAGTAAGCAACGTGCAACTGCAATTGACTAGACTCTGCTGACGATCGAAGGCAGAAAAACTCTCTGAAGACGTTTGAGCACTCACATTTCCTGTGATGGCGATTATAACTCCAATGTATGAGTGGACCTATAACGTATCCAATAAGGAACACGGGTTAGACCATGGGCTCCGATACGGTTGTTGGCCATTGAGGGAGAGAGAATACGATAGCGCAGCCAGGGACAGGCCTCTTGATTGCTTGCGCCAAGCAGATGCGAATACAGCAGCACCCTTCCTGAGACCCCTTCCAACCATGGGTCTGGATTGTGCAGCCTATCGAGACTAGTTGATGCTTACATTGATTTCCGGAAAATCGTCGATGGGCCACATAATAGTAAAGTACAGTATTACAGAACTCAAAAAGTACTAAGAAGTGTTGGAAGAGGCAATGCGTGGAAATGCAATCGAGACGAGATGAAATGACTCGTGTTGTGATGCGCTAGCAGGGGTATAATCTCATGGGGGAAGAAAAGATCAGGAATGAAAGAGACAAAGGGAAAGGCGGGAAGGCAGAAGAAAGAAAAGTGCAAAAAAAAAGCAAGATCCACTTTGAGTGGAATAAAGTTGCCCTGACTGATAAAATGGCAATACTCTCTTCCGAGGGAATTAGGCCAGCACTTCGACAAAACACCTGGATTGAAACTTCGCCATCGCAGCACCGGCCACAGTTACAACACAGAACCTAGTCATTTTTGCATGAAATGTGGGTTCGGGCAAGCAAGCGTTGTGCACAATAAATGAACGGACACATGTGTCTATCGATAGTGCAGAAGGTTTATTTGTGCTCTATTTCGTTGTTTTTTCCGTGTGAGGACGACATGTCAAGCGTCCATGTTTAAACGTTCTTGGGTTGGTCCTCCTCAGCGGCCTTGACGAACTCACGGATGAAGTCCTCCTCGTCTTGGGAAGCCGCTTTGATGGCATTACCGGAAGCCTCTTTCTTGCCCATCTGCATAGCAATAACTGGGGCGCTTACGAGGGCGTAAGTGGCAATAGCCAACTAAACGAGATAAAATCCGCGTAGATGACACAACGCTCCTGTTAGAACAAATATGCGTTTTATCTTCCGAGAGCCCTGATCCAGCATCTGGTGAACGTTGCAGTTGCAGAGATTGATCCTGTCACAAGAGTTTCAAGGGCCGGATCCTGTGTGTCGCCTCCAGATGGCAGATCTAGATATCTCTCCTGCCAGTTGATGTTATATAACCACCCTTGTGGATCCACATGATATTCCTGATATCTGGTCCTGAACACAATGCCGGTTTTTTGATCTAGTCGATCTTCGATTCCTGAATTGATTCATTCCTGCTTCCTGAACTGATTCAATTTCGCCTATGGTAAGAGTGATCCGCGATGATTATTGAGGGAAAAGACGTTGCGTCCCAATCGCTTCAGTGAATCGGAATCCAGGGGTAGACCAAGGAGAACACTTGGTGGCAGACGACTTCTCAGTCGGCTGCTGCTTCTGTCTGCCGTCGAGCGATGTGTACCTTGTAGGTGGGGATGGCACGGCCAAAGATGATGTATTCAGCTCCCATGGTGAATGATGCTTGTTTCGATTGAGGACAGAGAAGAGAAACGAGGGTGATGAGAACCCGCTCAGGATCAATAAGGAAAACAGATCTGAGCAGGCAGAAGCCACGTCACTTCGCATTTCGCCGAATAGACCCTCCCATTCACACTCGGTTGCATTCACTCACAGCCCACCTAGACCTGTCCATTCACCTCCCCGATGTCCAGATATCTCAAGAGTGCAGCCCTAGTCCTGCAGGTCGCTTGTGGGGTACAGCTGTTCAACGAATATGTTGCAGAGTTCACTTGGGTACGTGGAAGTGTTACGCTGCGATCGCATTTCGCCTTCGTCTCATTCACCAAAGCTGACCTGGGGAATGAACCATACCATCTATCCCGTATGTCCCTCTCATAGTGCTTTGGTCCATCGATGTTGCCAACGCTTAACATGACTGGGGACATTGTCGGATACGAACACTTGACCCAACGATTCGGTAAACTGGATACTGGAGACCTCGTTGTGGCCATACATCCATCTGACCCCTCGAAGTTAGTGTGTAAACGGATCATTGGTATTCCGGGCGACAAGGTCTGTATCGACCCTATCTCATTTCATCGCCAGTATATTACAGTAAGTCGTGTTCATAAGGGATGTCAAGGGCAGCAGAAGCGGAAGTTCACTGTGCTGATGTCTCTTTGTTGACGTGGTATGTGATTAGGTTCCTCCAGGACACTATTGGCTTATGGGTGACAATCTCAACAATTCAACCGACTCGCGTGTTTATGGACCTGTCAGTGGAGGACTAATTCTTGGACGCGTGTTTGCCAGGGTATGGGAACAATGGTGTTTGTAAACAATCAATTACACAATGCGTAGCTCTTTGACGGCCTAGAGTGACTCTAACCTGCAGCATTCTTTCATTCTTTGGCACTATTAGCTTTGGCCTAGCCCCAAATGGCTTGGAAACGGCATGGAGGAGATTGTGGAGTTTGGATAACCATTAACATTCCACGGGTGCTTCCTATTTGTTTCCAACCGGCCCTCGTCGCGCCGTCTCGAGGGCTTGTATAGGATGCACACTGTTTATATACCCGCTGGCCCTGCCTCAGCTCCGCATCGATAGAGGCATTTGCGATCGATCCAAAATGGGACAACACGCCCGTCCTCATTCCCCTACCTTTGCTAGAATAGTCGTCGTGCAGGGTGAGCCCCGATGCACTGACATGATTGAATATAAAACTTCCCATTCGGGGTCAATTCGCGCAACTAAAAAGTACGCCTAGAATGAAAACCGGATATGAGATAGGGTGTAAGATGCTCGCTACATTCGATCTTGTATCCGAGGTTCTTTTGCCAGCGGGACCCGACAGCATTTATTGAGGACTTGAACACTCAGTTTCTTTCTTTTTTCTTTTTTGGATCCTGTGCCAGTAGTACAAATGTTCTTCTCAGTACTTTAGAAGCCTTACTCTATAACTCTACATGCCGACGTGTAGTATAAGTTGATACGTGACCATGAAAACTGCAAGGCAGCTTTGTTCTGACTGCCCTAGTTAGATGCAAAGGCTTAAAGCCCTTCTAATGAAGTACGTTTTCTGCTTCAAGTCGTACAAATCCTTTCCAATCATTAATTCACTAAGCAGCGTGGGCTGTATTGGGGTAGTCAGTACCGGGTATGGACCAGACTCCGTTGATAAGCTGAGAGTGCAGATGCCAGCTTCATTGAGTTACATTGGCTACTATACTAAGGCAATTGGAGGAAGTGGAAGGCAACGTTTATTAATCAATTTCGTTCTACGGTGCATTGAAGAGAACGGCAGCAGAGTGCGTCGATCTGAAGTGAGCAGGCTGGAGGTGCCAGCGATGACCATGTATAGCGATCTTGCTCCCGTTGGTCCCATTGGTACCGTCATCAACACGCCAGTGCGCAAGATGCATCTGCTTAAAATGAAAGTGCAGGTCTACAACGTCTAGTATTCATTGGTCATATCCGCTAGGCAATATCGCCTGTGCTGCTCGCGCATCTCTCCGTCTCCATGATGGACATGACCTCCTTATCTTACTGTGTATTTCCGTCCCTGCGGTGCACGGTCAGCATTACAGGAGGTACAAATGTCCAGGTCTGTGGCCACCCTTCCGGATGTGCAACAGTTGTCATTTGGGATACGAAGGAAAGGATAATAGATCTCTCGTGGAAATCTGGCACTACATAGCATCTGCACCTTCTTCCAGCCACTGAGGGGTACATACAGCCGCAGGCTATGTATACTTTCGTATCTATCCCATGTGGGAGAACCGATTGTCATGACCACTGAATAGACCATAGTGAATTAAGCCATAGACTATCATCTCGCCTAGTACAGAGAGAGGTATCGCAAGAAGGAACGAAAAGGGTGCTCCTGCAGCCCCGAGGATCGGCAACAATAGGACAATGAGATGTGTGAGACAAAAGAGAGGAAGAGAATGTGTGTGCGTGTGTGTGTGTGTGCCTGAGAGCGCTGTGTTGGTGATGATTGTCGCAAGGGCAGACAATCGCTGTATGTTATTTTGTGTTTGAGCACAAACCCTCCGAAGCAGGGAAGCACGGCCTCAGTGTGTGTCTCGCTCGGGGTTTAGGGCCTCGAAATAAAAATAAAATAAGAGACTATAGGAGGCTGGTACTGTTTACACATGTCATGTTTGCCCTGGGCGCACAGACGCACAGACACATACCCCCGCTGCAACAATTGCAGGGACAGGTGGAACAAACAAACTGCCGTGTGCGTCTGTTCTCCGCGTATGATTCAGGGGGATTCAGGAGAATTCACTCCACAGATCGCGTCTTGCCGCAATGATCTGTCTGCTTGTCTGCTTTATATTCCCTCCCTTTTCCCTTTTCCCTTTTCCCCCTTCCTTTTCTTTCTTCCTTCTTACCTCTCTTTACCTCTCTCTCTTCTTTTGTTCCTCTGCCGTTGCTCGCCCCGTGTCTGTCCCGTCGATCATCCATCCCCCTCTGCTCCCTCTCCTTCCCTCTCCCCTTCGGCTCAGTACCAGTCTATCACATCCCATCAGCAGCCCCTCTCGCTTCACACCTGCCTCCTCTTCATCCACTCATACAGCAGTCCTTCTCGATCGGTCCCTCTTCCCACCCACACAGCCTACCATGGTCAACAAAATCGTACTATCAACAACATTCTTGGCAGCATGTGCTTCAGTCACCATGGCTGCCGGTGTCTTCACGTATGTGTCGCGTCTTCACATCCCGTATCCTTACTCAACCACCACCATCCATTGCTCTCCCGATCCACCAGACACCCGTCCTAACACTCTTTTCACCTCACTTCGATCTTCGCTTGTAGTGTCCCCATGAAGGGATATGTCAAACCCCAACAAATGAACGCAGTCTCCTTGACCCACCATTACCTCCGAAAGCGCGCTGATCCCTCGTCAAGTTCGCTCACGAGCGTGATGAACGATATCATGTATAGTAAGTCAGCAAGCAGCCTTTGCACCCTTGTCACCTAGCTCGATCTACTTCAAGCATTCTGCTAATCCAAGACCCTTCTTCGCTTTATCCGCCCTGCACAGCTGTTTCTCTCGGAATCGGATCGCCGCCACAGTATTTCAACCTGGCCATTGATACTGGGAGCCCCATCACTTGGGTTGTCTCTAAGAACTGTACAGGCTCAGAATGCGAAAATGTCAACAACCATTTCAATTGTACAGCCTCCTCGTAAGGACTCGATTGCTGCTGCCTTGCTTTGGTGTTCCACGACTTGTAAATAATAGCAAGCATGCTTATCACCTAATTTTACAATGTGTTCTTGCAGGACATGCAAGCCTTCACCATCCAGCGGCCTCATAAATGCTAAATATGTCTCTGGTTCATCCATCAAAGGCTCTTACGTAACAGTAAGTATATGCAGCGCATCTACGAACGGAATATCAAAGGCGCATATGAATTATACATATTGAACATGAGTCTCAATGACAATATCAATGCACCCATAGGAAACCTTCAACCTTGGAAACATACAGTTCCCATCGCTGGCTGGAGTTGTAACCACAAACAACGCCCCTTTGCCACCAACTATCGATGGCATCCTGGGGCTGTGGTTCGCGGCCACATCTAGTAAGATTCTTTTTTTTTTTCTTACCCAAACTCTGCACTCTGCGTTTGCGTCTTCCTTTACTAACGATGCCCATCGCTTTCTTGTGCTGCTTTGCTCATGTAATAGTTAGAAACGTGCCTGAAGAAGCCGCGATTTTGAAGGTGTTAAAAAAATCAACGGCTCTTGCCAAGCTCGAGGTCGGCATCTTCCTCGATACTACTACTGGTGATGAGCTGACCGCCCCAGGCGGTGAGATCACTTTTGGAGGTGTTGATCCAGCTCGCTATACAGGCGAATTCACCTACATCAACTGCGTCCCGCACCCTCCATGGACTGTACGTTCTCCTGAGATGATGTTTGTGTATGCATATGACCCTCTTCATGATTATCGCCCACATTCCTAATATTCATGGCACATTGAACAAATAGATCCCTGTCGAGCGCTTGTCTGTGAATGGCCAAAACTTCAATGTCGCCGGCTCTCTTGCTACAATTGATACCGGCACGTCTGCGATGCTGTTGCCCAAGGAGCTGGCTGATGCCATCAACTATGCCATCCCAGACAGTGGCACCGACGTAAGTTTACGCTCATGGCTTGTCCATTTGTACTTTATGTTCCATCTTTATTTGACGTCGCTAATATATATTATATATCCTTGCTGCGATTTTATAGCCCAATGAAGAAGACCAGTGGTTCCTGCCTTGCTCGGGTGATATCCCAATTACGATCACGCTTGGAGGATTCACGGCGATTATCCCTTATACCACCCTCGCCATGCAGAACATCCGCAAAGTGGAAAAGAGCACCGGTAGAGAGTACTGCCAGAGTGCAGCCATGTTTGCTTCCGGACCTGTCTCGACGATCAACGTAAGTCTCCTTCAGACGTCGTTACGAGTTGAAGATCCATTGTTTTCAATTGAATATACCTTTTAATGATAATCTTTGCTTTTTAATGTCATATAGGAATGGCTACTGGGAGACGTGTTCCTGAAGAATGTGTACACTGTCTTCGATTTTGGTACGAATGCCGCAACGGGCGGGCGTATTGGATTCGCTAATCTTGCTGGCCCCATTGACGTCAACAGCACCAGCGGAGGAAGCAATGATACCACTACTGGTACTACTGGCAACCCCAGTCCATTGAATGCTGGCAAGATCACCAGCGGAGACAACGGCAGCAACAGTGCATCGCCCAGCCAGGCGTTGACGTCACGAGGCCTGCAGGCTATGGCAATTGCTGTATCCGCCACCCTCGCTTTTCTCTAATCCTCTAAGGAGGAACTCCGGCTAATGTCGACCGGATTGTATTTAGTCATGTTTTATAGCCAGCATACTCTACCTTATGCTGATAATAACCGTGTTCTGAGGTACCATACATAATACTATATACCCCCCGCCTCGGGCCCCTAATTAACAAGATAATAAATGACGAGCTACGGACGAAAATGATGTGTGGCATGAACTACAGTGGAGCTGAGGGCAGACGAAAGGAACACCACATTTTGAGATCAGCAGTAAAAAAAAAAAAAAAAAAAAAAACCTGTACGAGAAGAGTGCTCTTTGAGTGGTCTTTGGGTCGTTCGGACGCCAGTGAATGGATCGCCCTTCGCTGTGGTCCTCATTCGTTCATGAGGATCGACTTCCATTCCTCTCATTGCGCGCAGAGAAAGTACTGATTCCTTTTACTTCCTGACCTTCATTCCTCATCGTAACTTCCGACAAAAGCACAGCGCAAGGATCCTGCACACCCCCCAAACCTAATTTTCATCAACGCGCGCGTTCTTTTTCATACTTTTGACTGGACGTGTGAATGGCAGCGACGGACCGTGCAATGACACCAAAAGTACGCTATACATCAGGAAGGAAATCAAATAAAAGCAGGGATGCTTTTTGGTCTGGTGAATGTCCGCAGAACCCAACATCATCCTTTTCTTGCCTTTTTTCTCTTTTCTTTTTTATTTTTTTCTCCCCACTATTCTCCTCAACACAAAAAAGCTGTTCATAGCACCCAAGGGCAAGGTCAGCTCACCAACCCACCACGGCCCTACGGCCGACACACAACTGTTGCTCCTCCCAGGCGTCCTACCAAGGGCTGTAGGCGGATCCAGGACTAGACTTTGTCCTCCACAGGAACCGAATCCTCAGCAGCGTCAACCTGACTATCAAGGACATTTCCATCAGACTCTAACCACGATGAACAAGGAATCTCTGGCGGGATCACGAGGATCTACACCCAGCTCTAGAGGATCAACATATCGCCTTGACTCGGATAGCGATATCGATGGACCCAGTGGTCTCGGCGGTAGCCACAAACCGCAGAAGCAGAAGCAGGTGAAGGCAGAGACCGATCAGGATGATGATGTGGATATAGGAGGCGCTTATTCTGAAGAGGAAGAAGTTGTCAGACAACTGGAGCGAGAAGAAGCGAACAGACGAGGCCGAACGCGCATGCGAGTATGGTCTGCGGACTATTGGAGGCAGAGGGTATACAAGAGACCGGGAAGTAAGAATTACCCTCAAGGAGCTCGGTCGCAAGTGGTAAATGACGATCTACAGGATGGGTTCAACCCACACACAGGAGGCGCTTCAAGACAAGGTACAGTTATCTCAATGAGCCTTGCTTTCTCCATACCACTTGCCGTGCTCCATACTCTGCTAGGGACGGACTTTCAGGGTCACCGCTTAGCCATCTCCTATTGATACTTTTTTCCTATGAATTTTTTAATATCGTCACTTGGCCGTCGCGTTCTTTTGCCTGTTTTGGCAATGTCGTTAATAGGCAGAGTATGGAGGATGTTCCGGTCCATCGTCAGAGGATTCGCATCACCGACTTCGTTGGTTCTACCATTCCTTATGGCCATCGCTATCTTTGGCGGCGTGCACTATGCCATTACCATTATGGGTGTTCATTCGACGACGACATCACACTCAAAACCAGCATACACGTCAAGCTTTGAGTTCTCAATGACGGAGCGCTGGAGAAATGCCTGGGAGTCATGGAAACCTGAGGTATGGGGATCGACGGTCGCTCGACTTGCACGAGCTCCAGAAGTTATCAAGTTTCCTGGTATGCCAACGTTTGAGTATTGGACCACCTTTTGGAAGCGTGAGCGATCCTGTGGTCGAGACCAGACTACCGAGGACTCTATTCGTGCCATGGAAAGGTTCTATCCCTGGAAGGAACACGTTGATCGAAAATTTCATGATTTCGACATTGCAATCGAGCTTCTGCATAAGAGGGCCTCGAGGGAGGAACATCGAGTGAGCAGGGTCGAAGATGACGTTGGTTCCCTGAAACGATATATCAAAGACGGTGAATGGATCGATTCTTTTGTGCTGAATCTACTCGCAAGGAAGATTCCCGAGTATGTCGGCGTGGTCAGAGATCCTCACACGGGCGAGATCCATGTTCCTCCAGCGTTCTGGAATCAGGCGAGAGAGTTGTTTGTGACGAGGGATCAAATGGAGAATATAATTGAAAATACGGTGGATAGTAGCCTGTACAACAAGAGACATGAACTGTGGAGCGCTTTCTTGGAGGAGAACGAAAAGACGCTGGAGCGAATCGTCGATGGTCGAGTCGCCAAGGTTTCGAGTCAAGAATTTCTCAAGCTTCTGAAGACAGAAGCTAACGCCATTTGGGCTGTCATTAAGGAACGGGCGACCGGTTTGCTGGAGAGCGAAGGGAAACTGGAGGCATCCGAAATATGGACAAGTCGTGGGAATGGTCCTGTGCCATTGGATTCGAGGAGTCTGACCGACATTGAATACCAAGTCATTTCGGACTTGATCGATGAGAAACTGGAACGGTATTCGGCCGACGTGGTTGCGAAGCCTGATTATGCGCTCCACAGTGCCGGTGGGCGGATCATCCCAGATATGACCTCTTCGGATGCGAGTGTCGGCAAGCTAAGGATCTTGGGTCGTCTGGGTCTGAAGTACTTCTTCACGTTGACGCCTCTGACAGAGAAAAGTGCCACGAAAGTGATTCAGCCGGATGTGCGCCCGGGCGAAGGTTGGTGTATGAATGGCACCCAAGGTCATATCGGTATCACGCTGGCGAGGAGAATTATCGTGACCGAAGTGACGATTGAACATTTGGATCCGAGGGTTGCATTTGATGAAGGTAGCGCTCCGCGAGAGATAGAGATATGGAGACTTATTTCGCTCAAGGAGACAGGACATGAGCAGCGAAGGCAAATGCAGCAGCAGGAAGAGCCCCATTCGCCGAATGGACAGCAAGATACAGAGGATAATGCGGATGGTTATCAAGACCAGAATGACAATTTGCAGGAGACCAAGGGAGAGAAGAGCCGCAGATCGCCTGTGATGGGTACATGGGCAAGGGATGGATCGCCTGCACAAGGCGCAGCCTTGCTGACGACGGTGGAGTACCAACTGCCACGGAATAGCAAGCAAGGGCGACCTAACAAAGAAGAGGACTACAGCTCTGCATCGGACAGCAGACGAGTGAAGTTGGCGCAGACATTCCTTATTCCGCTGTCGATGCAGAACGTGCCTGCGTATGGTGTCTATTTGAAGGTGAACTCCAACTGGGGCCACTCAGTCCACACATGCCTCTACCGTGTCCGCGTGCATGGATATGAACCAACGCACTCTACATAATCGTAAAAAGGAGGTTTTATTTCTTTTGCTTGAGGCATCTATTTACAGCGCAGGATGTTGTTTAGTGTGAATAAAATAACACGCACTATCGCACTTTAAAGACGCGGTTCTGGGACGCGTTTTTCGCGTCTTGCGTCTTTGCGTTTTTGTGCCACCAATTGTTTTTGGACACAGCGGTATTCATCACGTGTAGGTCGTTTCGGTTTTTGTTTTTTCAAAGAACGCGCTGCATCACTCACTCACACTCTCTCTCCAGTTCTCAAACGCTCTCCCCATCCCACCTTTCGCATTCAGAACAACGCGGATTCTTTTTTTCCTACCACCATCAACTAAAGCATCGCAAAAAAAGGAAGAAAAAAAAAGGGATGCAGAACGGAGGATTCAACGACAAGCTTCGGAATCTCGAGGATTCTGCACGCCGGTTGGCCTCGACAGATTTCTCAGCACCCCGACTCTTCTCATCCCTCCTCCTTGAGAACCAGGCTGTGCCCGTCAGGAACGCAAAATCGTTCGAACAAAAACTGTTTGTACCGAATGCAACCGATATCGTCAGAAAGTAAATGGCGTATGTTAGGAGAACGTGCAGGTGCAGGCAGGAAAAGGGAGAGGGAGGGAAACGTAAAAGAATCGGTTGTTAATACTCTATCGATGTGAGAGAATTGACCGTTATCCATTTATGATTTGTCTATCGATCATTAGTATCAAGACACGGGAGGGCGCGAGTGAATTCGAGACGACGATCGAACTGGCTTTAGCATTGAACGAGATTTGGTACGATTTGTCTTGTCCGGTCTGAACACAACAGTCGCAGGATTATCTGTACATTTCTTCAGGGTCTCTCACCACCACCATTCACTTACATCGGAAATACGATCTCGTCTTTATATTCTGTTCTGTAGCCAAAACCCCGATGTCCAGGGACGATTGGAACAGGTCCGTACCGCATATGTGGATGTCGTAAAGTGCATCAACGATCTCAACGCAAAACTTGCCGAGGTAAGTCATGACTCTGAGACAACAAAGAAGGCCTTCATATCGTTTGGATAATCACAGTCTATTGTGTTCTTGTTCCCTTCCTTACTTGTTGCTTCTCTTTCTTTTATTTATTTATTTTTTTTTTTGTTCTGACGTATAGCTGGAAGAGTCCAATTCCGCAAGCGAGACACAGGATCCAATAGTGCAGGAAGAGGACGAGGTCATGGCGGCAATCATTCGTGAGGAAGGCGAGATCTTTGCATTAGAGGAGATGCTCAGAGAAAAGCGCAAGCTGGTAACGTAATGTGTTTTTCGTCTTCATAATCCATGGCACGCCACTTTCTCTCTCTCTTTTTTTTTTTTTTTTTTTTTTTTTTTTTTTTTTTTTTTTTTTTTTTACAGCTACTGCTACGGCTACGGTGACAGGACTAACATCATTCTTGTTATGTTTTGCAAAAAAAAAAAAAAATTAGCTCAATCATATCCAAAATGAGCTTGATGGCCTTGGCGAAGCTCCGGAATCCGAACTCATGGATGAGGACAAAACCATTGTCGAGGATGATCCAGAGCTGGAAGCGGAGACTGCGAAATGGAAATTGGAGGTAAACCGGCACAACAATGCTAATGAGGGTATCCAATTGGCGATCAATAGGTTTGATCAAGTCCGAGATATCCTAACGAGCCCTATTGTTGCTGCTATTCTTGTTCTGATTAGATTGAAGAGCTGGACAAAGAGATTGAGGAGCAACGGAGAAAGGAGGAAGAGCAGCGTAAGGACACACCTCCGGATTCAACATTGGCGCTTTTTGCCTTCCCCCGAGTTCGAACTAACCATACCTGTTTGTCAACGTACTCATAGTGCGACAATACGAGGAATTACAGCAGGAAAGCGATGAATTGAATGCAATGGTACAGGACACACAGAGCACCGAGGAAGAACTCGCAAGTCCCAACTTTGATGAGATTAAAAGCTTACTGGAAAAGGCCATGAATCAGGTAGCGTTGCGCGCGATTTCAAAGGAGAAGAAAAAGAAACAAGTCTGGGTTTGCGGATCAAATTATTGGATGGACCAGGTTGTTCACTACGCTCCGACATACTTACGATTGTTCTGTTATCTCGACCGCTCATAGGAGGGAGACGCTATTATACAACCAGAGGGGCTCAAAGAGTCGTATCTGAGGCTGGAGAGACTTCTTGATGGCCTGGAAAGGTGTCAGAGGCACATCGTGAACCTGGACGTGCTGCAGTAAGTCTCAATGACCGACGCGCTTCCGCCCACCATATTACACTACTCTCTTCCATGCATCCTGATATATCGTGTTTAATTCATTTCATGTTTCTAGGCAAATCAGTTCGACACTCATCGACACCTGTGCTGATCCCGCCACTTCAAATTTCGACCCGCCCCTCCAGGACTCGGTGATTCTGGCCGCGCGGACACTCCAATTGATCAAGGAGGCAGGAGGAGTCATTTCACTGCAGGATCTCAAGGAACAGATCACTCAAGAGACTGTGGAGCGGAAATTGGACGAGCGCTTGGGTGTGCAGGCTGTCTATGGACTAGTCGCCTCACATCTCATCCAGATCGATCGCAGCAAGAAGCCCAACCTCGTTTCGTTTGCCTGAACACTTGATACCTGCGTCTTTCGGTCTTTCGCTTCCCTTTGCCCCCCTCTCGGTTCTTCAAGGCTGGACCTGTATATAGATCATTGAGCGAAAGGAAGGAATAAAAGAAAAAAGCTTCGCATAAACTTGAACGAACTGTTCTTTCTTTATTTATTCATATTTTTTTTTTTTTTTTTTTTCACAAAAGCGCATTCTGATGCATGTAAATTCAAATGATGTAAGAAATGAAATAAAATACTTTTTTTTTTCTCTTTTTTCTTTTTTTTTTTTTTAGAATTGGCAGAGGGTCGAGATGATTTCTCCGGACTGGAACTCTGCCTCGGCCTTAAGCTCTGTGCGTCCAAAGTACAGCCTCAGTGTAAAGATGACGGGTGTGCCCGGCGCAGCACCGTTCATATGTGGCAACGGAATCGTAAAGTCGCACAACTTTTGGACGCCTGGCGAATCGACAAACTCGGGCTGATCCTCTCCATTGTACACATACAGTGGCGACGACAATGGCTCTGGGTATTTGTGGGTGATGTACTTTTTGCTGATACACTCATCCACGGCAATTGACTGGCCCGGGCGTACAAAGACCGAGAACCCATCCCGAACACGGTACTTGCCGTCCTGCATGTACTTCTTGTCGACGGGATCTCCTGCTTTGTACGGACGCGTAGTGTCGACACCATACCAGCGACGGGCCACACGCGCCTGAATCGGCTGATGGGTCAGTCCATGGTAGACCGCACCACGGACAACGGCCAGATCTGGACGAGGAGGGTAACGGATCAGAGGCACACGGCTCTCGAACTCCTGCTGCACACGTTTGTGGAGATACGGCGACGATCCAAAACCTCCGACCAAGAAGATGGCAGAACACTGTTGTGCCTGGAAGAGCTGTCCGTCGATCAATCCTAGGACCTGGTTGACCACAGGGTCAAACACGAGCTCACGCATCTCCTGTGCCGAAACCGCTAGCAAACCGTCTTCGAGCCTCATATCCAGATCGACCACATTCGCCACAGTCGCAGGCATCGAGATGAATGAGTCCTCGTCTCCATCAAATTGGGGCTTGTGCATATACACGAATTCCTCCATAATCTGGGCCCAGGCCTTGGGCTGGAGGTCATACCGCTGCAGCTTCTGGCGCATGAGCATCGAAAAGTTCTCGTCCAAGAATCCGGATCCGCAGCTTGCACCGGATCCGCGTGTCACCTCCGTGAGAGCCCGTGTTCCACTGCTGTAGTCGACCTGGAACACAATCAAATCGACCGTTCCACCTATAATAGGACACAACATAAACGAGATAAGCATACGCATCGTTAGTACCATTGTCCAGAGATCACACTAACAGATACTGTCAATTTACGACATCGCGTGTAACAGCTCCTTTACCTCCAGCATCACAAATCATGAAGCGATCACCATGACGCAGATTGAACTGCTCGCATTTCTTCTCGCAGTACATGGCTGCAGCCTCAGGTTCAGAAACAAGAAGCAAGCGGTGGGACGGGTCTTGGGGCTGGATAAGGCCCGCCTGGATGGCTGTCTGACGCATGACGCCCTTGGCAGCATCCGTCCACATGGCAGGGACCGTCAAACAGTATTGAATGTGCGACTGATCAAAGACAACGCCTCCAGCACTGTTCTTTGTGATCTCGTTAATAGCATGGGTGTGCATCGCACGAAGATAGTCGCTGATCGCGGCCTGGGGCGTAATGGTCCTGGGCAAAGGAGGTAAATAGGGCGCCAGGTCGTTGTCAAGGAACAGCTTGAACTTTTGCAACAGATCGATGTTACGACTCTGGGGTGTCAGCATCGCCGCCTTGGCAGCATATCCCCAGGAATGCAACTTGTCGTTATCCTTGTTGTATGCGCTGACAGTCGGCACCTTTCCGTACAAGTTGGCTTGGTGAGGCCTATCGCATTCAGCCGTGAACGAATCCTTTCGGTTAGTGGGGAAAAGCCTTCGGTCTTATGCACTCCGCTCAGCGATATTTCGACAGTTCCTACCAAGTGGTCATCTCCAGCACCTCACCGTTGCTCTTGAATGCATAGGCAACCCCCGAAAACGTTGTTCCTGGTTAAAATGTAGGAAACAACAAAGAAAAGAGAGCAATGTTATTCTCGGATTTTTTTTTTCTTTTTTCTTTTTTTCTTCTTTTTTTCTTTTTTTCTTTTTTAGCGCGCTTTGAGCGCGTTATCACACACAGTGCGCTGCCGCGTTGCAATCACTGTAAGACCTCGACATGAAATTGGATTCAGCAACTGTTGGTATTTCAGGAGCCGTTGCATCTCGTGTGGTCTAAGCGATGCCCAGCCGCCGTCTGCTGCTGCAGTTGCTTCCGGGTCCTTCTTCGTCGCCCCTGAATACGCCCTGAAAAAAGGTTCCGTTCAAAAGACTTACCGAAATCGATGGCGACAAGGAGAGGGTATTCACCACCAATGGTGGCGTTGGGTCTGGGCTGAACTTGCGAGACAGGTGCGTTCTGTCCTGGTGGAACCTGGCCAGGATAGGCAGCCTGACCATACTGCCCCTGACCGTATTGCTGTTGCTGCCCCTGAGCTCCCGCGCCGCTAGCAGGGCGGGTGTAGGAAAGAGGCTGGATAGAAACAGTTGCTGGAATGGGTGCTTGCTGTTGTTGCTGCTGTTGTGGCGGCGGCTGATACTGCTGCTGTTGGCCCGGTCCCGGGTATGCTCCATAGGCCTGTTGCTGGTATTGAGGATCAGCCTGAGTACCATAGCCGCCATAACCACCTGCTTGTCCAGCATACGGGTCAGCCTGGCCAGGCTGTCCGTAGTAAGGCTGTTGCTGCTGCTGACCCTGTCCCTGATAATACTGTTGCTGTTGCTGCTGTTGAGGGTACCCGCCATAGGCGGTGGAGGCGGTGGAGGCGGCGGAGGCGGGCTGTCCCCCGTTCTGCTTCTGCATTGCGGCCTGGTAAAGACGTTGCTGCTGGGCGATGTGGGCTGGAACCTGGTCAGACATTCGTTGTTTGGCTACGGGATTGCTTGCTTGCTGTCTTCGATTCCGATGGAGAGCAAGGCAAGAGCAGGGGATGAGATGTAGATTGTGGTTAGCTCGTTGCTGCAGATGTGAGGAAGGGCGTAGGAAAGAGAGGGAGGGAGGACTGGGCTGAGGTGGTGAGGCGGTGGAGAAGGATGAGGGCGGGATGAGGGCGAGATGAGGGCAAGCGTAACCTGGACACATCCATCCACGCACACGCCCTTCTTTCAGCTTAAATTCTCCCCCTGAGGGCACATTAAAGTCAATTACTCCAATTGCTGGACATGTATTATATACCTCGTTTACTAGCTGTTGACGGCGATATGGAGGAGGGAAGACGGGAAGAGAAAGAAGAGGTGGATGGGGTCTGAGGCGCGTTCAGCGGGGAGAGGAGCAAATAAGGGCTGTCGGCGCCCCATGCAGTCCTCGCTCCAGTGCTCAGTACACCACACCAAAGCATACACGGTACATCACTTCGCTTGTATATTAATGGCTGCACGTATTTTTTTTTTCCACAGTGCTCTCCTCCCTCTGCGTCTTTGCGATGGATGGGGCTGCCCACTGCTCTTCCTGTGCTTCCTTAGCGGGATCGCTCTTTTGTGTCTCCGAGACGGGTGCTTGAAAGCGCCGCCGTGTGTTTGTGTTGTTGTTTATTGTCCCTTGAGCTAGACACATCGCCGCACGATACCTCACTGTCCACGGTGCGTCCATGTGTACAGGTACGAGGCAAGGTCTTCTTTTCCGTATTCCGATTGTACATGGTCCCCTCCAAGGCAACGCAGGTCTCCCACGGTTGATGTTTATGAGGACACGCGAAGCCTCTGCCAAGAAGCCGGGAGACCCCGCACAGCGATCTCGGCATAGCCAGTAAGAAAAAGGGAAAAAAAATGCGTTCAGCCATCTATGGACATCGTTGGTTTCCCTGACGACTATTGTGATCTAAACTGAGTCTCTCAACTCCAATGGGCTGGATGCTGCGCCAATCATGTAAATCATGTCACTGCATACTTTCAATTGCACGCCGTCAACAGAATCCATTACGCCTCTCTTCATTATTTCCCCCTCCCCCCCCCCCCCCCACTTCTCACACTCTCTTCACCACACTGTCGTCCATACCATAAACCGATCCCCAAAGCTATCGCACCATCTCGCTCTGATCCGCCTTACTCATACGACTTCCCGCCATGTCCTTCCGCCTCCCAAAGTTCCCCATGCTCACACTCTTCCACAACCCCGCCAGTGATGCCAGCAACCAAGCTCTAAAGCTCCTCCATAAAGCCGCCTTTAGCAACAACTTTGAAATCGATGTCGTCGATTCCAAAACAACTCCGCCCACCCATCAACAGGTCTCTAGCATTGTCGGTTACCTAGGCAAGGGCTCCATCGAGAAGGGTTGCAGAGACATCCTCGCGCCTGATGCCCCCAAGGCTTCCACTGTCGCGGAAGTGCAAAAAATCTTGGACTCTAACCCTGGATACATGATGAAGCCTCTGGTCGTCGACTGGAACAAAGGAAAGGCTATCGTGGCCGTGGTATGTACTGTTTGTCACTATCGACGGCCTCTTTTTTTTTTTTTTTTTGCACCCTGGCATCCTGGTGCAGCTGAAATCCTAATGGCACCCTCTTTACCTTTTGTTCTCGTCATCTCTTGTAGCCCCCTACCAAGGTCAGTGAGATGGTCAAGGATGTGGGAGAATCCGAGTAATCATAGCAGACACATGTCTGTGGAACAAGAACAATAAAGCATCAAGCCGTTTTTTTTTTGTATGTTTTGCATTTATTTGGGGGTATTATTACTATTACAAGGTATGGATGAATATGACGTCTTACAGTTATACAGCATCGAAGATAGCCGCGAAGCTGAAGCCGTATTCTGAAGTCATGTGGACAATCTTCCACTGACCCGCACTCAGCACTTTGGTCATCTCGAACACACCAGGCTCGACTTGAGATAGCCTCTCAGGCATGCCACCATCAGGACCCTGGAGTGCCAATGCTGGCTTGACACCCTTCTCCACATCGAAGACGCGCACGCGGATCACCTGGGGCACGTTCTTCTTGACCTGTGCCGTGATGGGCTCCAGCACCGAGAATGCAAAGCCCTTGACGACATACTGCTGCAACAGAGGCTTGGCCGCCCGTCCAGATCCGTCGTTGATGACCTTGAAGCTCATGCACTGGGGTCCGTTCTTGGTCTGGTCACCACCTGGTGGCCATCCAAAGACACCAAGCTCGCCAGAGCCTGAACTTGGGCACCAGCACTTGATCGCCATGTACACGTACTTGGCGTCCTCGCGCACCCACTGGATCGATGTGGGGACGGCCTGACCCTTCCAGTTTAGACGAGCGACAATCTTGCCGGTCGCTCCATCCGAAGGTCGCTTCTTGAGACGAATCTCGACCTCGACATAGTCGTTCTTAGTGCGCACAACCTGACCGCGGTGTTTACCCGAAAGCTTGATACCCAAAGTCCATGATTCGGGCTTGACTGCAGGAAGTCCGCGGAAGACCCTCTCATCGATTGGTGGATCGAGATACTGCTTCATGGGGTCCTCGGGCCAGTGGGTATAGATCAGACGGTTGGGTCGAAGCAAGAAGAAGAAGGGTCTGAACAGCTTGCGGAAGGACCGTGTTGAAAGGTCACAAACACCCGCTCCCCAGGTCGAGTCGATCAAGAGATATTCGCCGTCGATCTTCACTGCATTCCAAGCGTGAGGGCTTCCCAGGCGTTCATCTCCGACCTGGACATCTACACCTCGGGCAACACCAATGATCTTCTTGACCTTGAGGCCTGCAGGCTCAGCCAGGGCAACGAACAGGTTGGCGTATCCCTCGCAGACAGCCTTGCGGGTGCGAAGGACACCCTCAGGCGATTGATCACCATAGTTTCCTGAGAGGTAGTTGGGCACGTCGTAAGCAATGTTGTTGGCGAGCCATGTGAAGATACAGCGGAGTTGAGAGACTTGGTTGCCAGAGCAGGGCGAGGTCAGGTAGTGGGAGAGACGAGGGATTGAGACGGCCTCAGAGGCGGGGCACGCACGAGCATGCGCATCCTCGCGTGAAAAGTCGATGGCACTAACATCGAGTCGCTGGCCCGAGAAGTTAGGCGCAGTGTAGGGCTGACTCTTCCTAGTATGTTTTAAATACAGAGATGACGATGGGCGGGACAGTAAGATAGGGAAAGAAGGCAGAAGATAGTTAATATGAGATCAGAGGAATATGACATCGAGCTCTAGAACTTAATCCAACACTTACTTGAGAAGTGCAATGGCGTCCTCTGACGACTCGGTATGGCTAACAACCCGCCCATTCTGGGTCGTGGTCGTGCTCGATGATGTGTGATGCTCGACAACTGGCGGTCTGTTCAATGCGGCCTGGCGCATCTTCTCCGCCAACTGATCCACTGGGCCATCGTCGGTCTGATAGCGAGCAACTGGAGCTGGGATCGGGTTCTGGGTTGGCTTTTGGTTGGGCTGAGGCTGCTGCTGGTATTGCGGTTGCTGCTGAACTGGCGAAGGGGTGCGAGAAGGAGACTTCTTGGGATCATCGGTACGGGTGATATGCTTCTTCAAATTCGAAAAGAACCCGCTCTTGCGCTTGGGCTCTGGTTCGAGCTGCTTCTGGGGCTGCGGGCGTCCCTGAGGCTGGGGCTGGCCAGGCTGTGTAGGGAATCGCTGGCCAGCAGCGGGGAGCTGTTGACCGGCTGGGACCTTAGTGGTCGTGGTCGTTGTGATACGTGTGGGCTGGCCGGGCGCAGTAACCGTGGTAACAACGGTTGTCACACCATTGACGGTCGAGGTCTTTGTGGAGGTCTTTGTTCCGGGGATCTGGTTCATGATGAGCGATTAGGAGTGTCCTGTGGTATTACTTGTACTTGTTCTTGTTCTTGTAGGAGTAGTAGCAGGAGTAGTAGTAATGTATAGGTCGTGCAGGTGGTATATAGTAGGGATGGTGTCTAAGTGTTTAGGAGGCGGAGGAAGAGTGCAAGGTGGAAAATGGTAAGTTGTACGAACGATACTTTGTCTTGAATTGGTTGTAGAATTAGAAAAAAAAAAAGTGGGCAAGCCAACCCTTTTATAGTTCTTCAGGACCATGGACCAAGGACCATTGACCAATTGACCATCAAACATGCTCCCTGCTGCGTTGTTGTGCTATTGCTGCACCCATAATACGCAGAAAAGTAAGCAGCGTGCATTCGCAATGGCCCGAGTAATAATGCAACGCGTATGAATAATCGGGCCCAATGTCACAGGACGAGGGCAAGGACAAGGACCAGGGTCTGAATGTGCTGCAACTTTAAAACCAATTTCTAGTACAGAGCCATTTAAACCATGCTACACACGCTCATACACATTCATACACACTCATACACACTCATTCACCCTTGCCACCCTATGGCCCCCCTGCATTCCAAGAGAGTTGTCTGCCAATCATTGAGCAAAGTAAATAGAGAAGTTGGGAGGGAAATATAGGGCTGGTTCACGCTGTCGGGCATATCATAAACTCACACCTCTTGAACAGTGGGTCATTTCCTCCTAGACCAAATGAGGGCCTGTTCCCGCACGCTCTAAGTCCTCATTGCATTGATGCATCCTTCTTTTCATATGTCCGGCATGATTATTATTTTCAATTAAAAGTTGGTAATGCAAACTTCCAATTGCCAATTGCCCAAAAGAATATTACGAACAAAGCGCTGTGTGTGTGAGGCTGCGGTCGATCGGGGAGTAATATAAAACTGCAGGAGGACACTAGACGTTCAGGCAAATGAATCCTATCCCGCGCGTTATGTTGCATGGATATGCTTTATGCTTACTCTGGGATTAATGAGGGTGGCCTGGCAGAGTCAAAAACGGAGGTGAGCGCGTGTAAAATATGAGGAGAAGGAGGAGGATGTGAGCCGTGTTTGAGGAGATGTAGGTGGTGGGCTAGGGAGGAGGACTAGTACGAGGAAGAGGAAGTGGTAGGTGGACTGTCGGGTGAAGAGAACAAAGCGAAGATGAGCCAGCGTTATATAAGCGAGACCACGGTGCGAGCACAGATTCGGATGGTCAAGTCGAGTCGAGTGGTAGCGAATGAGGGGATTGTGATGGGATGGAAGATGGAATGAATTCCCTTTCCCTTTCGGCTCTTGGACATATGGACCCGTGTATGTATGCATGTATGGGATACATATTCAGATTCAGGCACATTCAAGAAGAAGCGCACAATTGCCGTGTCTTTTTTTTTTTTGCAAGGCATACCCATCTCCTGTGTTTTTCTCCCTCAGCCAGCACATGAGGTATCTTTAGTAGTCTATCCACTCATTTTTTGAGTTCCTGAATGTAATCCATCTCTTTTCTACATTTGTCGCCCACGCCTGCTCTGTATCCCGAAAAGAAAGAACTAAACTATCAATCTATTGCCGCTCTTTTTTTTGTGCAACATGCCTGTGGTAAATCAAAGGGGGAGGGGGGGAGGGGGGGAGAGAAGAGATGACAGGGAGAAACAGTGCATCAGCAGGCAAACAATGCAGCCTGCGGTCGGCATAATCGAGCTTGTCAGGCATGACTTTCTATTCCTTCTTTACTAACTAAGCATAGACATCCCAGCATTTACCATGGCCTACCAGGGCAAGCTATGCTTTACATGCTTATCCCGATTCACAAGGCCATTGACTAGTCCGTTGTTAAGCAACCAAAGAAAACATTTGCTAGTCTAGTTAACAAGGCTGACGCTCCATGATTGCGTGAAAAAGACAGGATGGCGGCCATCCTTGCTCGCCATAAAACGCTGAGAAAAGCAACTGCATCAATGTGAGCTTTGTCGCAAAAAAAAAAAATTCTTCCTCCATTGTTCTTATTCTTACAAATGTTTATTTTGCGATTGCGATTTCGTTGGAACACATTCGTTTCTTTGGTATGTGTGTGCACGCCCTTTTTTTTTTTTTTTTGGTCTCATGATGGATATCAATGTTGAAGATCTTCTCCTGAACCTGCCCTTTTTTTTTGTCCGCAACAACGTGGACGAAGTCAAAATGCGCGTAAGAAATCAGATGTTCAAAGCGAATGGGTATATTGTTCAACTGAATTCCAAACAAAACGAGGCGGACAAAAAAAATAGCATCGCCCGCAACAACGCCAAAGAAAAAAAAAAGAAAAAGAAAACTTGCTAACGCATTAGAAGTGCCTCTCCGCGGATTTGCTCAGATAGACACAAAGCATCGAGTTCCTTCACCTGGATCTGTTTGTGGTGCATTGCGACCAACAGTATTTCCGAGCTATGCTGGACACTGCACTCTTCCCGAGAAATTGTGTGATTACCACATTTGGACTAGCATCCCCAATAGACCGGGAACATGGAAGTGTAGAAAATATATACGCGCCTTCTAGAGAATGCGAGTCCTCCTCCTAGGCTTGGCCTTTCTGGCTCCCTCTACGAGTCATTAGGTCAGCACGCCAAAATGGCGGGCCCACCAAGAGCAGTTCCAGTTATCAACAAGAACTAAACGCAAACATGAGCGCGCCATGTTTTTGTACTCCCACGAGCTATACAACAACGTGCTCGAATATCGCACCATAGGTTGACCTTCTTCTTTGGCAAATAAAGAAAGAGGGATAGAAGCCTCAACAACGGAGCTGTAACTTTTTTTTTGCTTGTTGTCGTGGTTTGTTGTCTGCCACTGTTACGATGCTTAAGTATCGAGCCTGGCCCTCTTTTTTTTTTGAGTTCCAGAGGAAGTAACTCATTGCCACGCCTGACTCTCTGTACTCGCTTCAAACTTGATGATCAGCACATCTAGCGAATGGGTTTTTTTATGGATTTATCCGCGGGATCGTTGCGCATGGTTATGGTAGGTCCCTGGCTCAGCATGTACCTTGCGCCCTCGAAAAATGTTCCATAATGAAACGGCATGGACCATTTCATATAAGAGCATCGTCCAAAAAACTCTTGAAAGGATCAATGGCTCTTCGACGCTATGTTGACCATTTTCATAGGTCCAACTAACTGCAGTGCATGGTTATTAGTGTCGCGGGAAATAACCTATCGAAAGTCGGCAACATGCTACTATATTTGCTTGACCTCTTTGCTTCTAGAGTTAAACTACTCTCCTGCATATCGGCATTCGGCCACAGTCAGGAACAACGAGAAAAAAAAAACTGGGATGTGCTATACTTGTAAAAGATATGATGAGCCCTGTAAACATACATACACATACCGTATCATAGTGCTGACGAGATCTCTACCGAGTCCCATGTAAAAGCGAATAGTCAAGCAGCACGACAGAGAGATTGCAACAAGGACAGAAAAGCGTCCACTTGTGAGGATCAAGAGCACGTAGGAAGGATAGAAAGAAAAGAAACTGAGACGCAATACATATTAAAGAAATATGGATGTAAGCAACAGTGAATAATATAAACCGAGGCTCTTGATCATAGAGAGCACTTGGCAGGACCACTGGTCTAGGGACCTCGTTTTTCAAGGGCACGTCGTCATCAGGGTCAAATTTACTGCTTCGACCCTGCAATGAACTCAGAAGCGATTCTCATTGCAGGGCCTTGTCCTCTTTATCTTCTTCCATGGTTGTGATCCTGCAATGACTGGTTTGTGCAGCAAATCCGTAATCTTTCTTTCACATTCACATCAAAAGTAAGTCTGGCATAGAGTTCAAAAGTGGCAACCCGCAGGATTTCACCCTTTTGACCCTTTGCGTAAGAGAGGTTATGCAGGAATTCTCTTTCAAAGGGACATACCGAGATAAGTGATCTACCCCTGTATTAAGCCCGCTGTGTACGGGCCAAACCTATTACAGTCGGGGATTACTTTTGGAACGCAATGCGTCCTGCCATTGAGGTCGGGGATTACTATGCATATCAAGTCGCAGAGGAACTGACATTTCGTAGGCATGGACATGAGGGCGCTGCATTTCTATGAAACGATCGAAGGATGCCACTGAAGCATTTGTTCCTTCACGAGGATACCGATCCTACTTGTCCAATGCCTCTCTACTCTACCGTGCAGTACATGATTACCAGCGATTCCCCAAGCATGTGCGGGAACGAGGACATGGATCAATATGAGAGCAAGGCAAGTTGGAAACGCCAACTGGCTATGGGACAGTTCATGTATTATCCTGCGCTCCTGCTTGCGCGCCTTGGACCCAACTAACCTTGTCTGCCTTTCTTTCCTTTGCGAACCGTGGGGATTTACAGTATAGTGCACTACTGGGCAAAACGTTCTATCGCAATGGAAGCGAGGTAGCCCTTGCTTGAGACAAAGTCCCGGATGAAATGAGATGCCAGCTTTTTCCATCCTCTTTTGTTCATTTTCCATCAGATAAGATCGAGGGGACCTTTTTATCTTTGCTGGACCATGTTGGTGCTCAAATTTCCCCACATTTTTCTTAAGCCATTTTGGCCCCCATTTGACCCCACACTCGCGTGGCACCTTTCCGAGCTGTTCTCGTAAAATTTCCCCGTATATTAGATTCCCCGCATTTTTTCTTCTTCTGCTGTTGTATATGTGTCCGATGCAAGGATGTGTGGTCTTTTGCTTAGCTATAGTCTCTGCTTGGCTGAGGACCCTGTGATAAAGATTCCTTCCGGATGCATTCAATTGGTCGATGCTCACGTTCCAAGGTGCTTCCAAAACTACCCGAGTGTACGCTTCTTCCTGGTACCGCCGTCAAGGCGTTCATTGCTACAGTCATTGTGGAGAGACCCTTAAAATGCGCTAATCTGGACCCTGGAACGATCAAGGTCCGTGTGATCAAGGCGATGCCTGAACCGGATCGGAAGCCGAGATGAATCCGAGATGCCTCCTAACCCTTGGCTATGGCGCGCGATGAGCCACAGCAAGATATTTAATCCGAGAACTTCTTCGGTGGATGCCACAAAAGCTAAAGGAAACTGCGATCATGAAAAGACTCTCCAATCAGGTTTGGTTGGTCACAAGAACCGAGGATTTATGAACCCCGACTGGGTATAATTGAGAAACGAAACATGAAGAGTTGCTTGTGCCAGTAATTGCTCGAACAAGACGTTCTGGTTCGTCTACCAAGAGATATGGAGTAAGTTCTTGACGTTTATGCAGCCAAATGGGATGATGAGCGCTCGTATATAATTGATGTAAGAGACGGGCACATGCGATCCTTTTGATATCTCGAAAGAAAGGACCTGAGCAACATTCGCATGGTCTATCAGGCCAGAGGTATAAAAAATGGATAACTGGCTCCAAGGGAACTTCCGTGGTGAGCCGGAGCAAGGGGAGACTTCGGGATATCAATGGTTACAGCTTTGTACTGCGGTGATAGCACTTTCCCCATTTCTCCCGAGTTTGCAACAGGACGACTTTGTATATCCCCTGCTGTATGCAGTGTTTCCCCAGTTTCTGCCATATTGCGAAAGATGCTCAGTGGCGGGATGCGGGGTTCGGGACTATGAGGGCCAACCCCAGTTTTTTTGGAGGGTCGCCACTTCGCTCTTCCGAAGGACCACGAGGGCGTAGTACAACATTGTTGGCTTGCATTCTTGCGCTCCTACTCACAGCCAATTGCTGATGTGGTGAATGACCCCAAGGCAAATCGCCCAATGGCCTCTTGTTCGGAACAAACTCCTTGTAGACTTTGCAAACCACCTCTGCATCCTGCAACGTTGCCAAAGAAGGTGCGCAAGGCGGGCCGTTAAACCTTGGCCCGAAAGAAAGTTTGCTGACGATCTGATCCCTAAGTCACTGACATACTCATGACTAACCACTTTGCCGACCTCGAAGGGTTCTCACGATGCTGCCTGAACGCGCCTTTGTCGGTGAATAGGGCGCCAGCTTGGCTGTCAAAGGGGGGCAGCATTCATACAAGGATTATAAGAAGAAACTAATGTGATGCTGTGAATACATATTCTTCTGCTCCCCCTTTCATCCCTATAATCTTCCGGAGGAGACATCTTCCTACGATCGTTGCATGCCCTGATCTTGCGCAAACAGATGAAGATTCATTCAGAACAGACTACTGCGATCCTGCCTGGTTGGTGATGTTGCCAGTGAAGGAGGTTTCTTTCTCTTATGCTTATTGAGTTTGAGCACATACGGCTCAGTGGTTTGAACTCTGTTCTCCTCTCCTTCTCTCAACTCCTTAACACTGTAAGAAAGAGTGGGAAAGTGCACACGAAAGAAGATGAGGATGCCTAGGATGGACAATAGAGACAACGGTGTGCGGCAGTTGTTGTCTCTTTACTCTTTGTTTCTTGCTGTCTCCCCTCTTTTGTCTTTGTTCATCCCTTCGACGATTCGAATCAGTTTTCGTTGGAACCAACAGCCGAATCCCCTGTCCTCGTCAAAAAACTCATCTACACCCAACCCAGAGGCAGACTCATCTTCTCATCATTCCTTTACTTGTGCGGAATAGATCCTCCTTCCCCCGCACGCCGCTTTTTTTTTTTTTTTTTATTATATCCCATCTCACTGCAGCCTTAATTTTTCTGCAACGGCAGAATTTTCAGGCACACCCATTCCCACTCTTGAACACCCCTCACATCCAGGTCAATTGAACCACTCTCTTAACTCTTGCCATCCTCCCAGCACAGCATTTCGACGCCGCATCGACGCCGCATCACCTGGAGATCTTCTCCAGCCCTACCTTAACCCTTTTTCTCTCTCGCGGATCATCACTATTGATCAAGAAGAAAGCTACACCCTCATTCTCTTCTTGATACATCTCCCTTCAATTAAATCAACCTAACCCTACCAGGCAATACCTCGTCTTCAATATGACATTCTCAGGTCTTCCCAGTCTTCGCGACCCAAAACAGAGCCACAAGAACTCGGCCTCATCAGCATCACCTACCTCCACCTCCTCCTCAGCAGCTTCCTCCCCCACAAAGTCACCTCAATCTGATCAGCAATATGCCGTTTCTAATGCTCCAGACAACATTAATCCTCCATCCAGTCCCACATCCATGCCAGGTGTGAATGCGAACGCAGAACCTATGGTATCAACCCTGATTGAAAAATCCTGTGAGGAGCTGGTGCAAGCCAGCATTGGCAGCGCTAGCAGCTTCAATATGGATATGTCATCAAGTCCATCTTCGCCGACGATCATTCAAACAGAGTCGAGACAGCAGCAGCAGATCCAACTACCAACCCCACCGGTACTTTCAGCCATGGCCACCGCCGCAACCAAGAAGAAAAGCCCCCAGAGCCTCAGTCCAATACACAGTGCTGCATACCGCAAACGGTTGAATGTTAATCAAGGTGTGTAATAAGTGATCTCTCTCTCGACTGTTCTTTTTGGTTTGCCCCCGGAAATTTTCCTGTGAACCTTATATCGGGTGCCATTATCATCGTCATTAATCGTCGCCACCAAATAAGGTCCGCTCTCAAGAATTACTAACCAAAACCGGTTTCACTCAATTAGTCTGCGACTGGTGCCGGTACCGCAAGATCCGCTGTGATCGTGAGTCCCCATGTAACTCGTGTCAACACTCCAAGCGAGAGTGCATCCGCACCCCACCCTCAGTCTTGCTCAACAACATGAAGAGTAATAGTGCCACCGATGACGCCGAACCATCCAGCCCTGGAAAGACGAAACGGAGTCGCGCAGATAACAAGGATGGTCGATTCCCTCGAGCCAGCAAATCGTATCGCGGCAGCAGTATCAGCTCTTATCACAGCTCCTCGTATACATCACACTCCTCGGATGAAAACGACAACGACGCCGATGATGAGGATGGATCGGTTGCCAGTGGCGTAAGAGCCGGAGAGTCGTCGGTCTCTCCGGCAGTCAACTCACTGACCTTGGCTGGCTTGGGTCTGGGTCTGGATACGAGTCAACGCGGCAACGAACTTCAACTGGGCAGCCTGCCCTTGTCGTTCTCAACAGGCGTACTGTCGCCAGGAAATTCAATGTCGGGTCAAGCAAGTCTACAGGATCAGGAGCACTTAGAGCGTATGAGGCGAATCGAGATGTTGCTGAGCAGTGTCATCCCGGGCGCGGCAGAGTTTATTGCACAAGGCACAACAAGTTCCCAGCTACATCAACAAAAACAAAAACAACAACAACAGTCCTCCTTGGCCTCTTCGAGCGCAGGTCTACTATTGCTCCAAAAAGAAGGCGAATCCTCAGAACAACACCAACAGCAGGTATTTGGACCAGCTTCGGACCATATCGAGCGAATGAAGCGCATTGAGCTGCTGCTGGGTACTCTGCAGGATCAACCCCTCGCCATGGCCCTCATGTCCCAGTCCCGAGGGGGCTCCTCGCAGGGAACCAGCGCCGACGTTTCTGATAGCAACATCAAATCGCAAAAGAAACTGTCCAAGGTAAAGAATGAGCACCACATTAGATTGCAAACCATTTGTATGTTGAACATACGCTGACCCTGATATCATTCATGTTCTACATTAATGCATAAAGGAATTGAAAAAGCAAAACAAGAGGGAGGCAAAGAAGGTCAGCAGTAATGGGCAGATGGTAAAGCGACCCCATGTGGCAGCAGGGTTCGCCGGTCAAAAACCACCACCTAAGCTACCACAGGCGATCGCAGAAGCCGCTCAGAAGAAGCAAGGCGTACGAAAGAAACGCGCCTCTACTGTTACCGCTCGGGCTACTACAGCGAATACCAACGCAACCTCAACTTCAAGCTCGGTTACGGAGAATACTGGAAAGGTGTCTGCACATCCTACAGCTGATGTTTCTATGCCATCCAGCCGAGACAAAATGGCGTCCCTTTCACCAAGCGCATCCTTCGAAATCCTTCAGGATATCGATAGTCAATCGAAGACAGGTCGGATGCAGGGGCAGCACCAGGCTTTGGTGATGCCACAACCAGCACAACAGCATCTTCAGATGGCCTCACGCGGAGAGACAGCTTCCTATCAACAGCAACAGCAGCGTACAACTTCTGCAATCCATCCTTTTCAGCAGTATCATCAGTTTTCGAGCTCCAGCTTTGGCTCTATGGCCATCCCCCTGTCGAACTCGATGCCTTCGTATGGATCACTTGTTGTCCCTGCATCCTCTTCACCATCGTCTTCTGCCAGCTCCTCTCCTCGTACATCAAGAGCTGAAACAGTATCCATTGACGGGTCTGTACAGGACAACATGAGCATCTCAGCTGCATCAATCGATACTGCTGGATCTGTGGACAACATGACCTTCCCGGGGTCGCACTCTCACCTGCAGAATCATGGTACCCATCTACAGCTGTCGTATTCTCAAGCGGCAGCGCAACTCTCAGGCAGCCTTCAGCTGGGATTCGACTTTTCGTCTTCAGAAGCGGCGCTCCAACAATCCAGAGACCCACAGGTCCATCCTTTTTCTGACCACACAGTCAACCAACAGCAGCAAGCCGTTCATATAAGCCAGAGCGGTTTTGATGACTTGGGACTGGACATGAGCGAGTCGTTGGAGTCGTTGATGAAGAAAAACATGGGCTCCTATGAGGGACTTGTCAACTTTGCAGACCAAGCCGCTGCAGCACAGATTCTCAATCCTCCTTTGTTCAACGGATCTCCAGTTGCCCAGTGTGGGTTCTTCCAGCAGCAGCAGCAGCAGCAGCAGCAAGCTCAACAGCGCTTCCAGGGACTTGACAGCATTGCAACTCAACAAAATCAGACCCAGTTGGCATTCCAGGACGTATCCCGCTCGATGTGGATCCCCAGCCATTCTGGTTCCTTCACCGTCCCTGCTGACCCACAGTTCTCATGGCCACATCAAGGCCGACAGCAACCTCATCAGTCTTCCCAAAGCATCAATATCAGTGTGGGTGATTCTCCACAGCCGGAGATGGAACTAGACCTAGATCTTGAGGACCACGGCACTACTGCGACTGACGAGCAGCAGCGCCAGTTGAACGCACACGCTTTGTTCCAGCAACAGCACCAACAGCAAATGCAGCAAATGCGCAAGAACTCGTTAGTGGCGCAACACCATTCTCTCCAGCAGCACCGAGCCTCAATCCAGATCCAGCACCAGCACCAGCAGACGTTTTATATCCCACAGATGCAGGACGACGATGATGAGGACCAAATGCAGACTATGTACGATAACAACAGGTCCAACCACGGCAGTAACAGCAATGAGACCACTTCATCTAATCCCTCTGCTTCCTTTGACGCGTGAGGTAACAAATTATTAGACTATCTATCCTGTATTATAACCCACTTGTTACATATCTCTCTACTCCTCCTTACGCTGCAATAAAACAGTGGTCCGGATACCTTTTGAGCACCGGACGATGTGATATTTATTTAGCATTTACAAATACGCTTTTTTATTTTGTTTTATTTTATTTTTTTGTTAAAGTTAATCTTACGCCCTGGCAACACGCGCAATCAGAATATCGACAATAGTCGGATCCGCAAGTGTCGAGATATCTCCCAAGGAGTCGGTCTCGCCCGCAACAATTTTTCTTAGGACCCTGCGCATCAGTTTTCCAGACCGTGTCTTTGGCAGGTCCTCGACCAGATAAATCCTCTTTGGTGCCGCGAAGGGCCCAATGACCTTACGAACCTGCATCATAAGCTCCTTGCCCAGGCCCCCAGCATGATGGTTCAAGCCCGGCTTGAGACATACGAACGCATGGATGCACTGACCCGTCACCTCGTCGTCCGCACCAATAACGGCTGTCTCGGCCACGGCATGATGCATGATCAGCGCAGACTCGATCTCGGCAGTTGACAGGCGATGGCCCGAGACGTTGATCACATCATCGACACGTCCACAGATCCAGATATACCCGTCCTTATCACGCGTTGCGCCGTCGCCGGTGAAGTAGTATCCCGGGTAGGGCCTCAGGTACGTCTCCAGGAATCGTTGGTGGTCACCATAGATTGTACGGGCAATTGAGGGCCAGGCACGCTTGATCGCCAACACGCCCGTCACATCGTTGCCAATCAGTTCCTTGCCGCTGGCGGGATCCAAGATCGCAAGGTCAATACCAAAGAACGGCAGGGTCGCCGATCCGGCCTTGGTCGGGATAGCGCCAGGTAAGGGTGTGATAACGTGCGAACCGGTCTCGGTCTGCCAGTAGGTGTCGACGATCGCGCAGCGGCCCTTTCCGATCTTTTCGTTGTACCAGTGCCAGGCCTCTGGGTTGATGGGTTCACCGACCGTGCCAAGGACACGAAGACTCGACAGATTGTGGCCCTCGACCCATTCGTCGCCCAACCGACGGAGGGCCCGAATAGCGGTCGGGGCTGTGTAGAACTGGGTGACTTTGTGCTTCGCAATCAGTTCCCAGTAGCGAGAGGGCGTTGGGTAGGTCGGGATGGACTCGAACAAGACCGTTGTCGCGCCCAGAGCCAAGGGACCGTAGACAATATAGGTGTGTCCAGTGATCCAGCCTACATCCGCCATGCAGGCAAAAATATCACCTGGATGGTAATCAAAGACATATTTGACGGTCGCGATCGCTCCAAGGAGGTATCCCGCAGTAGTGTGCATCACGCCCTTGGGCTTGCCCGTCGATCCTGAGGTGTATAGCAGGAACATGGGGTCCTCCGAATTCATCATTTCCGCTGGTATGTAACTCGGTTGCCTTGAAACTTCGTCTCCCCACCAGTAATCACGTCCGGCTTTCATGGGAACATCGGCGCCTGTGCGCTGAGAGACAATGACAGTCTCGACGGACGGACAAGCTTTAAGGGCTTCGTCAACGATCTTCTTGGTGTCGACGGTCTTGCCACCGCGCTTGCCCTGGTCGGCTGTGAGGACCAGGCGCGATTTGGCGTCGAGAACACGGTCCCTGAGAGCCTCGGACGAAAAGCCCGCAAAGACGACGGAGTGGAGAGCACCGATGCGCGTGCAGGCCAGGAGAGCGATGACTGCCTCGGGTATCATGGGCATGTAGATCGCGACGGTGTCGCCCTTCCGGATGCCGCGGGCACGCAGGGCCCCAGCAAGTTGGCTGACTTGACGGAGAAGCTGACCGTAGGTGATATGTTCAACTTGATTGGGTTCATCGGCATCGTAGATGATAGCGACCTAGATATTGGATCCCGATTGTGTTCATGCTTGTATTAGTTTCGTCGAGGCGCTGTTGTTGACGAACGGATGAATGTGGAGAAATTAGAGAGCTCCCAACCTTATCTGGAGTAGTGAGCGCATGCCGATCGACGCAGTTGTAGGAGGCGTTCAGTTGGCCGTCCAGGAACCAGGCCGTGTCACCGTACTTGAGACCGCCGTGACGGACGGTATGGAACGGCTTGAACCAGGTCAACAGCTCGGTGGCCAGCTACATTTCATAGAAGAAAAAATTTAGCAGATGTTCAAGACGCCGGATGGATTGACCCAATGCTTCATTTTCTTCGATCTTGTTACGTCGAAGAATCCTAGCGCACACTTTTTTTTTTCTCTCACACTTTCTTTGGGTTTGATATCCCAAAAAGTCTGCTCGCATACACATCCTGTTTAAGAAGACAACGCCATTGACTCATCTGCCGGCGCTTTTATACCAAACGAAAGTACATAGTCCGCATCTAATGTTGTTTATCTTCTTCTGGAGTATGATGTACCTTGCCAAAGAATTGGTCGGGCTCCTCGATACTCTGTCGGTACATCTCACGATACTGCTTCATCGAGGAGATGTATGGCTCCGGACACTGTGCAGGATCCAGCAGTCGCGCGGGGACCGGAAAGAGTACATCGTCAATCTGATCTTCTGCCATAGTTCTACTGTTCAGACAGGCAGTGTGTTATAAGAAAGAAAAAAAAGGCCTACCGACAAAAATGCCGAAGCGGAGATAGAAACAATGATTAAAGTTTAACAAGAAACACAGGGTCCGGGGTACCACACTTGACGCGTAGAAACGATGGCGGTTCATCGCCATTAGGACGAGGCTTTACCCAGTAGGAATGACAAAAAAAAAAAAAAAAAAACGAATGAACGAATGAACGAACGAACGACCGAATGAATGAATTGAATGAGAGATGAAAACAGGATGGAGAAGGGCGGTTGGTGGGGAAGCATATATAGCCTATAGAGCTCTTTTGATGTGGGAAAAATCGGAAAAATCGAGACGACGATACCCCACTGGAAATAGACCAACCTTCTTTAGACCTGAAGAGCTAGCGCGCTGCAACCTGGAAAAAAGAGCCCGCTTCTCTCGAAAGTCTACATTTTGATGGCACACCTTCACTGTTCATTGTTCCGACTTCTGTGTCCCTGAGAGGAGATACATCAGCTAGCGAAGTCCAAACGCTGTACAAGTGTTGTTGCTGCCCTCTTCCTATCCCGTCTATGCGCACACCAGGGCTTACCTTATTTAAATTGCTGTTCCCAATCATTAGCTCCGTTAAACACTGTCGGATAATGGCGGCGGAGGGAACTCTTTGCACGAGCAATAAAACATGGAGGACGCATAGTGTAGTGCCCGAACAACCCTCCACAAATTCAACGCTCACCATCTTTCCAGCTCATCGCAATTTCCTATCTCAGCCCACTTACCCCTCTCGGCTTGGGGCAGGGTTTTGGTGTGTTGGTTATTTGTTGAGGTTTTTTTTTTTTTTTTTTTTTTTTTTTTTGGTGACTAAAGATAAAACTCGGCCATCCAGCGCAGGATCTTCATGGCTCATGACAAAACCGATCTTCGATAAGTTTTTTATCGTGTTCGAGTCACCCTGTCTTGCCTTGTGCTCCACGCGACCATACGTTACAACACACCGTGCGTGTTACACACATGTATTTAATAAATCTATGATCTATGTATTATGGCGGGTTTTATTATTGTGGGGTGTGGGGGAGCACTTTCAAGTCTATTACAATCAAAAAAAATCAAAAAAACGATGCGGGCGATAACAGTGGTATAAAAAAAAAACTAGATGAAGAAAGTCCAAGGAGGACCAGGAGAATAAGAGTAAAAAAACAAGGCCTAGTGTGAAGCGTGTCAAGGTAACAGATGGACCATCAGACAGTAGCCCTCAGGAAGGGAAGGGCGAGTATATGTACATACACGACGATGGCGATGTCAAGGTGGTAGTGCCCGTGACGGAAGCGGTACTTGTAGTCCCTGGAATGTACAACCTACTCATGCCTTGGCTTTATACCGTCTGCGCCGGACGCTGCTGCTTCAATTGGAACTTGGCCATTGACCGTTGGTGTGCCTTGACTAGAAAGTCATAAAAAAGATAATTTTAAATATTGAGTCACTTACTTCCGCTTGATAATAGAAAGACAAGGGAAAAAAAAGAAAAAGGAGAAGATAAAAGAAAACATTGCTGCGTATACCTTGAGCAACCGACAAGGAGTCATTTAGACCAGACGCCGATAACGATGACGATGACATGGACGATATCAGCGGGTGTGGTGGCAATGCCGCAGACGTCGATGTCGGCAGTGACGTGTAGGTCGCATGGTGGAGCATCTGTGGGCTCGCCATCTTGGACTCATATGAGGCGTGATGATATGGCTGGGGGTGATGGAGATGCGAGCTGTCCTCGTTTGATGGTGGTGAGGGCGAGTAGTGTAGGTCGGAATCGACATTATGCATGCTGTGCGAGAATTGAAGGCTCTTCAGATCTGTATCGGAGTGGTACCCCGGGTGGTGGAGCGAGTCCGCCGACTGCAGGGAAGAGTACGAGCTGGGTGTCAACGACTCTTGCGGCATTGCCTGGCTCATAGGACCGGGCTGGCCCTGCTGCTGCTGCTGCTGCTGCTGCTGCTGCTGCTGCTGCTGTTGCTGCAGGCTAGATTGGTCAGCAGAGAAACCCGATGGCATGACTGGCATGAAGTGGGTCGAGATCGAGGATGGAAAGAAATGATCGTATTGTGCCATAGGAGACGCGCGCGGGGATTCGCCGTTTGGGTTCGAGCCTGGGAGGGCAGATTCGGAGCTGCTTTCGTCTGAGTACCTATGGATGTCACCGGGTGCAACGGACTTGAGATCCAGGCGGATTGTGTCGAACCGTGGCACCATGCTGTTCATGTGGTCGAGGTGATCTAGCGAGTACATTGAACCACTTCCGAACGAGTAGTTGGAATGACCCATCATATCGAATGAATCGTCGTCGTTGATCGAAGACGAGGTTCCCATGGCAGACGAGGATCGGCCCGTCAGGGTTCCATTAGGAGACACTGGAGGAGAGTTGTCGCGACCGTGCTCGGACGCGTCCTGGCTCATTGACGTGGAGCTATGGCTGCTCGGGAGATGAAGCGAAGAGTGAGGCATAAACCCTGCAAGACCATTAGGGGTGTTCTGATCTGTAGACGAGGATGGGGCCTGAGGTGAATCCTGGGATTCTTGTTTGATGCTCATGTTGCTGCTGCCATTCTCCAACCCGCGGCTATCGTAGCGACGATGCGCGAGTGCCTTCTTGGAGTGGGTTCGAAGATGGGCCGAAAAGTTATCCGATCGACTGAACGACTTGTTACATCCTGCAAATTCGCATTGGAATGGGCGCTCCTTTGTATGCACCAACATGTGTCTCTTCAGATGCTCGTAGCGCTTGAAGCTCCATTCGCAGCTTGGGAACTTGCATGGATGCTTGTTGTTAGACCCGCTTCCCGTAGAGGAAACAGAAGTTGTGGAGCAGATCGAGTTATTACGCTTCACTTTGGTGCTGTTTCCTCGGATAGCCCCAGTAGTGGAATGGACCTGACCAGCCCCAGAGTGTCCGTTGCCAATGGGGTTTCCAGACATGAAATTTTCCGGCATGGGAGAAGGACAGTTGGGTGAGTTGGCTGACGGCATGACCTGGCTCAACGCATGTTGCTGCATATGAAGCTGCTGTTGCTGCTGCTGTTGTTGAAGCATATGTTGCTGAGAGAATTGTGTTCGATAGTAGTGCATGGTCGCCGGGTCTAGATGCCCGGCATCCAGGTGATGGAGAACCGGAGGCGCAATCCCGAGGACGCCATTCATTGAGCCAGGCATCATTGAAGGCGAGGAGGAGAGCGAGGACCATGAGCCTTGTCGGTGCATATGCTTCTCTTCTGATGCCTTGCGTTTATGCTCTGCTTGATCTGCTGTCAAGATAGGGACAGAGTTCCTTCGGAATGGTTCATAGAGACTAGTGTTACGACCGTGCATGGCTATAAAGGGGGATGGGGCAGCAGAACTGGGTGCAACCAAATTTGGAAATGACGGAGAAGAAGGGGCCGACAGTGGACCGACAGATGGGTTGGGTGAGAAGATAGAGCTGGTACTGGTACTGTTGTTGTTGGTGCCGTTGCTGTTGAACCCGACCGAGGTTGGTATGGAGGCATACATGGTGTTCGTCGCACTCTGAAAATGCTGGAGAGAGTAGCCTGCAGACATGGAGAGAGGATGGGGCGCGGTCACGGAGCGAAGCATGGAGCTGCTCTTGCTGCCCTTCAAAAGGGTGGGCCTTTGCTTGGACCCGAGAGGTGTGGAGGACACTGGGATAGACATCGACATGGCCATGCTCATGGACATATCTTCTTGCTTAATATCTTCCATCGGAGATGTGGGGGGGAATGTCTGGTTAGAGTCGGCAACGTAGTTCTCGGTCCCTTGGGAGTTAGTCTGTGTCGAATCTGAAGGTGTGTCCATTAGGGGATTGCAGTCGATAAGGGCTTTAGAAGATAAGTAACAGAAAAGGAAAATGCAGATACGTCAGGAAAAAGAAAGGAAAAAGAGATGGAGAGGCTTCTTCAGATGCGTATGTCAGCAATGTATTATTACTACTTACTGTTGCTCTCAGCCATTAGCGCGTACTTCTGTGCGTCTTGGGGGGGGGGGGGGGGGGGGGGGCCGTTGTTTGAGGTAGTGCTTAGGTGTTGGCGAAGTCGGGCTACCATTTCGAAAATAGGGTCATGCAAAGAGCATTGAGTTTAGTGCATATAGACAAGCATTTTAACATTCGGAATGAGATGTGGTTGCTATCATAGCGACTGGGATAAGGCAAGGCAAAAAAAAAAACAAAAATGTATGGTGATGTCCGCAACCGGACTCCGGTTACCGCCTCTGCCTCAATTCTCCATGCATTGTATAGGGGATAGGGATATTTGGAGATTGGGTAGCAGGGTTTGTGAGATAGGAGTGAGGGACGACAATTGAGGGCTATGGTGACCCTGCGGGAAGAGTGCTTTGGGCAGCACATGAGCAGGGAGTGCATTTAGATATCGTAGCTTCTGCGGGAGGCAAAGAGGTGGCCCTTCCATCCCAATGCAAGGGTTCAAGAACGCACTTGGGTCACAATCGAAGTATGTCGTACCAAAACCACGTAAAAATTTCAGGAGGATATTTCCGATCGAGTAGGGTAGACCGTGACTGGAAGAGCTTTTGGCAGGAAAGAGAGAGTGAGCGCTTCAGCGTATTGCAGGGTGTTATGGATGAATGGGCAAGTGAGGTGAGGTAGAGTTAAACGAATGGAAGAAGAGGTAAAGGTTAAGAGAAGAAAGAGGGATAATATACATCTGGAATGGCCAGACAGGGACAAGGAGTGCGACAGGTGGGATTGGCCGTGTTATGAGCACCAGTTGTTGATAATGCTCTGTTACATTGGTCCTTACATAGAGAGCACGTAGAAGAGTCCTGAAAGACGGTAATGGGGACCTGGATTTGTAAGAGCAATGGTTTGTTTTAACAGGCCAACGGGGCGGTAAAGAAGGTAAAAGAATGAGGAAGAGAGGGAGATAAAAAGAGAGAAGGAGAGGACCAGGCAGGTAATGCGGGAATGAGATGTAAAGAGAGAAAGAGGGGGGGGGGGGCCGAAGAAAGGAAAAAAAAGTGAGAGGTGAGAGGTGGGAAGGATGGACACATGCGTACTGAATGGTGTTCAAAACCACCAAAGATGTAGAGATGTAGAGATGTAGCTTCTGGAGGGACAAAAAGGACGATGGTAGCATTCAATCCAGACAGGTAACCACTGCAGACTGCAGATACTGTAGTCTAGCGCCACTGCTTGCCGTTCTATTTATTGCGCGTACAAATGTGCTTTCTATCTGCAAAAATAAAAGAAAAAAGGGGGGATGGAGTTGGTGTTAGAGACCGAAGTGCTGAACTGAGGCCTTCGCTTCTCTTTCCCATTGACCCCCCTTCTCTTTTGTATTGTCTTTAAGTGAATGAATTAATACCCCTCTCTCCCCAATTCTAGTCCATCCTATTCTAAAAAATCAAGATACTTCGAGGCTAGATTCCGCATGCGTGCTTTCTTCTTTCTCTCTCTCTCCCCCTTCCCTCCTCCATATCCTCTTTCTGGCTCCCTCTTTCTGCCTGCAAAGAAAACATAACAACTGGCTGTCTCGATTTCGAAGCAAATTGAAGTGCAATAAAGAGCAGAGAACAGAGCGGCTACAACAGCGACAAGTGATGGCGGCTGCCTTGCTTTTGCTGCGGGAATGCGCTTTGCTTTTGACATTACAGCTATTGTTGGTCTTGGCCCACGCTGAGTCCAGTGGTTGAGGGTAATGAGCATTTGAAAGACATATTTGCGATTGACCAAAGGCACTATCTTCTATTTGGATAGACAGACAAAACTTGCATAGAAGCATGCGTCTACGACGGAGGAGAAAAATTGGTCAAAGCAAAAAAAAAAGAAGAAAAGAAGGGGCATTATTTTAAGCAGACAGGCCGGTTATTGCTTAAAGTCCTCTTCACATATTTGTGTGCTGCATTTGTGCCTTTGTGCCTTTTTCTGCTCGTGCATCTCGTTAACCCTGTTAACCCTGGGGACGTGCATGTGTTGTGTGTCTTCTCTTAGAGACAAAAGGTCTTCAACCATCATGCATATTGCTAGGGATAGGCTGTTGACGTGATGCCATGGAGGAAGTGTATCCTTGTCCTTTCTTTGTGGACATCCTGTACTACTTTGCCACCTCTCAGGGAGTCCAAGACTGTTTGTCGTCGTGAAAAATCGTCGGGGCTACTATTCGGGACTACGAGACGCGTTCCTTATCCAATCAAACACCACAGATCTCGTACTCCATTCACGCAAATATTCATGGCGTCGTACGCAGTGTTGTAGCACCTTGTCCTGCAGTCGTGCGCTTTTTTTACGGGCATGGACGAACCAAACGGGGTTCCAAGAAAAGGAAATGTACGATGACCGACAAGTCCTCATTGATACTGCGCCTCGTTCTATAAGCTCCTTATTAATACAACGTAACGTTGCTTGATCATTTTTTGTGGTGTATCGCCAACTACACTGGTGGGCAATTGGACGAGGCCGCAGAACAAGATGCATACTAGACTACCTGCTTGAGCCTTACGGTAGAAAGCAGAAAGAAAGAAAGTCATCGATAGGAGGTTGATATGCCCATCTTTTTTCCAGCTGTGAGAAAGGACCTTGACGCGTTGGATACAGTCCCCTGCCAGGTCCATAGTAGTTGGATCATGAACCTTCGATGCTATCATCATAGCACTAAAGGATGCAACGTGGATCTATGGTAAATAGGCTAACGCATTTTTTTTTTTTTTTGCATGCATTGGGACGGTTGCTTAGTTGATGGGATGAGGCATAAAAATAAACTTGCTTTTGAAGGTAAGCTTCAGAAAGCAAAAAAAAAAAAAAAAAAAAGCAAGGGGGAAGGTTTGGGAGCAAGCAAAAGGGTCGGGAGCACGGTGAAAAGCGGGGGGACGGGTGATTGCTGCACATGTAGGGAGCTATGAGACTCATGGATATGTACGAGTGAACGCGCTAGAGCACCATTCATGTGCAGGAAGCGCATATCGCCGCAGCTTTCAGTATCTGCGCTCCTTTTCATCCTTTATCGAACCACAGTGCAGCCTAAATCAGAGCAGGAAGTGCTAGGTCTGATCCTATATTGATGTATAGCTTCAAGAACAGCCACTTCCGTCCATGGTCAGTTTGGCGGACATGAGTCGCTTGCCGCAATCATTTTTTACTAGCTGGTCTATGATGTGGCATCTAAGAACCCGCCAATCTAGCCAATCGGCTAGTTTTCTGCTCTTAGCGATGAACACGCCTGGTGTATCTTCCCTCCAACTTATGTTTATACTCACTATTTTTTGATGGAAAGGCATTGGGAAAACAAACAACAAAAGCGCATGATTTGCAGCATTGTTACGGCGCACCAAGGGAGGTGTCCGGGCTAGCGGAAATAGGAGCAAGGTCATCCCCATTGATACTGAGCTCCATCTTCAGGCGCATCTTACATTTGCTTGTGGACAAAAAAGGAGAAACATGACTCTTATTGGCCAAAGGCTTTCCAGTGGGTTGAGAGCAGCAAGCAGGCGGTGGTGAAGCGTGTTTTTTCTTTATTCCTATTCTCCGCTTCGAAAAACATGGCGTGAGCAAAGGTTGGGGACCTGATGCTATTCTTGGGACAAACAACAACGTCGAAAAGCATGGCGCCAGATGGGTTTGATAAGTGAGAGTATGCGCGACGGTGCGAACTTCCATCCTTATTGCCATGGTAGCACCTACAGCTGCATGCAGAGACAACGACAGAAAATGTGTGCTCAAAGGAGGACCATGCGCGCCTAGTACTTTTCTTCGTTCTGTTGCAGGCACTATCACAGGAAGGATTCTCGACTAATGAAAAATTCAAAGGCAGAAAGTGACAAAAGCTTTCTTCTTCCTCTCTCTCCCCAGTTATGCTCATTTTTTATCTATCATTGCAGTGAAATTCACAGATCGAGTAAGCGTAGCTAAACTTTGGTTTGGAGGCGGAACGGTCGCCCAGCAAGCACCTGTGAGCTCGTTGCTGAAAGATAAAAAAAGAAAGGGAGGAAGCCTACAAAAATACAGATGCACGGTCGCCTGTTTTAGAACACCCCCAGTACGTCGAACAATCTGGATCAAAGGTCTAGTTGTCTGTCGCTTGCGGCGGAGTCCAACATAGTCTATGCAGGCAAATGCCGCGACTGGACTATAGTCGATTAGAATTCAGGATAAATTAAAGAGGGACTGGGCGCCGAGATTTCTCTCTTCTTGGGTCATTCTGCTCACTGTTTTGATAGACTATTGTAGAGTGCATGCATGCGTATATATCTTGTTTATACGTATAGTGCATGCCGTGTATTTGTTTTAGCGCAGGCTACTAAAGTGAGTTTGATTGGAAAGGTACCTCACGGCAGTAGTCTGGTCTTCGCAAGGAGTTCCGGGCCCTGCGTCGCGTTTAGTTTACACTTTTCGACCGCAATGAATGGAAACCCTGTCTGGCATCCCATAGCATAGTGTTTAGATTACTTTGTCCGCACAACGGCCGATTTTAAAAGCTTAAGACAGGGAAGGAAAATAGACGGAGACGACCATGCTGTATGCAATAAGCAGGCAGCAGCAACATCAAATGTGGTACCTCCACGCAGTACGACTCTTAGTGAGAGCGGAGTTGATATAGAGCCATGGCCCTCTCTTACGTTGCATGGTAACTTGCACATGTAGGTTCTCCTTCCCCCCGCTTCCTCTGCTTCGTCCGTTCTCCTTGTACTCTTCCTTGAACTCATCTCCATCACCATCATCATCCCATCGTCTCATCTGTGCATTTCAACTTACTTGCCGGTGTCGCCTGTATATTGTAATAATCCCCTGCATCCCATCTCACACTTTGCCAACTTTGCTCACACTCCTTCCCAACACCAATTCCTTGGTCCCATCCTGTCTTCCCCTCTCGAACCCTCCCCTCATCGCTCCTCAACGATCCCATCACTCCTCAACGACCTCATCACTCCTCAACGATCTCATCACTCCTGAGAGGCCTCATTATTTCTCAACAGCCTCATCACCTCTACACCTGATCACCCAGGTCGTTTGATCTCGATCTGATTCGCCCCTGAGCCGTTACATTTTTTCCTGCCCCTGCCTGTCACACCTCGCGATCTGTAGATCTATAAGCCTCGACGCGTGAATGTATTAATTCCCTCGACATATTCAGGAACGAGACGGAGTAACGCGCGAAGGGCGCCGACGCGGAAGAGACATCCACACCCTCGTCAGCAAATTCTTTCCATCCCTACACCGCTCCCGCTCCCGCTCCCTCCAGTCTTACCAACATCATGGCCATGTCTTCTGGCCAGTCCTATCCTCCTTTCCAAGGCAGTATGGGCTTTTGCGGTGGACCCCCACCACGATTCAACGGTACTTGGCCACCTTCACCACCACTCAACGGTACTTGGCCACCTTCACCACCACTCAACGGTACTTGGCCAGCTCCAGACGGCAACAACGATAATGGCTGGCAGCGCTATCCGCAAGGCCATGGCCTTTTCTCGGCTCATTTCCTAATGCCTGATACCAGCTATGTGGTTGCGACCTGCTATCTATCGTTTCTATGCGTCGTTGCAATTGTCATGTGTATGAAGTCGTGCACACGACTCCGTACCTTTGCCTGCATCACTACATACCTCGGACTCACCATCGCAATCGTTGGTCTTCTACAAGCGAAGTATCTTGTAAGTCCTAATTGGTTTTGGGCATGGAATTTTCTGGGCGAAGGCTTGGCCGTCGTTGCCCTCGCCTTCACGATTGTCAGCGTCGGCACCGGATTCTATCCGATGACAGGAAGCCGAAACGTCTACTGGCGTATGTGCATGGTCGTGATTACTATTTACGCTACGGTGTGCATAGTAAATCTCGCGTACTACGTTCAACAAAAATTGGTCCTCCATCCGATCACCGGCGAACAGATTCAGGCTCTGAGGCAAGACATCGTTAAGGCCGGTCTCTTTACGGAACAGGAACTCCAAATCCAGCGTTGTTTTGAGCAGCGAAGTGGCACCGTACCCAGTGGCGATACTGCCCAGACTGGCGTAGCCGATTGGAGACAGCTTGCCTGGGCTGAACGAGAGATGTTTATGCGACCAGTCTTGGGCTTTTATTTAGGACACCAGCTACTTATGTTGGGAACCTGTATGTGGGTCTCTATTTACCTCTTTATTCCCCTGATTCTACACCATCGCCATGGTCCTGTGGGTCGTCCAGTTGATAGCGACATGATGGCTGTTGGTGTCTGGTATTTGTCCAGTCTGATGACACTCGCCTTTGTAAGTGCCTTGGGCTTTGAGTATGTCCGATGTACTATCTTTGGGAAACTTTATTACTTACAAACCTTGCTTTCATCCCGCATGCATCTAGGCCTATGCCGTGCTCAACATTTTCTACTTCTTCAACCACGAGTTCTTATACACGCAACAAGGACAGGTTCTAGATCTATGCCTACGTATCACTATCGGGCCCATTTTCTTCCTTCCAGCACCAGCGTTCCTTCTGCGGTTTTATAGAGAACACTTCCGAAAGTTTAAGGGCGGCAGCAGCAATGGACGCAATGCCAGTGGAGGTCGAAATTGGGGCTCAGGAAACAACCATTTTAACGGCTCATTTACCAATTCGGAGCACCACCATACCACTATGTCTCCGGACACCACGCGAATAGGAAGCAGGATAGGCGGGAGCGACAGCATCCCTCGAGGTTCGTTTGACATCAGTTCCGACAGGTACCAGGAGCCGACAAGCCCAGGGGGTACATATGGCCGACTCAAGATGTTCCATGCAAGAGACAGAGGCCATTCGGTGGAAAGTAGCAGGGTCTTGAACAGGGATTTTGAGTGCGAGTCCTCCCATTCGCAGCATCCCTCTGAGGATCGAGCAGATTCTTTTCACCAATACTTTTCCAGTATGGATGGATCCAAACACCCTTTGCGCCAATCTGTAGCTCTGGATGACTTCGAGAGCCTCGAACAAAAGAACAGCAAACCATACGATCCACTACAGAGCAAGGAATGGCCGTATAATGTTGATACACCGCAACAACCCCAACCCGCATTGATCGAACAGCGTATACGGGGGATCAGAAACGAGACAGTAGCGGGCCTTGCAGATTTGGAGCTGCCCGTAAAGAGCCTTGCTAGACTCGCGACGCACGCCAACAATACTACGGGTGAGATGGCTGTAGCTCAAGGTAATATTCAGCTGACCTTTTGCGAAGGAAGGGATATTTACTTCTTTTTCAAAATGCCTTGAAGTAACACGTTCACAATGTGGTATTTAGTGGAGGATAACTCAAAGCCGAAGCGGAGAGACATTTCGCCAAACGAAAAAATCGCCCTGGGGCGGATCACTGGGACAACCGGATGGGAAGTCGGTGGTTTTAATGCTCAAGCAACAAGCGTGTCATCTGCAGCGGAAGACAAGCCGACATCCGAACGACCAGTAACGAAGAACGAGACATCCACCCATGATACTCCAATCGCTGCCGACGACTCTCTTGAAGGGTTGACCGGTCTGCAGAGACAGTTGGCTGAGCACCGCTCAGCGCTTTTGCCTCAGGTCATCGCCTACAAGGCATATAAAGAGGATCTTGCATTTGTAGAGCCTTTCGATCACACGTTCAAGCCCTCACCTTTCCCGCTCTATGAGCCGGAGCGTCCTCACCAGAGCATCAGCGACGTTCTGCCCTCCACCATCAATTCGAATCCCTGGTCGCAAGACGGGGCTGCTCCAGATGCCAGCAAGTTTGGTCGAGGTGGCCATGAACCAGAGTCCAAGTCTCCGATTCATGTAGTCGAACCAGGGCATTGGTCGACAACGTCATCCAAAAACAGAGCAGAAGGCGATTTGGCCTACAACAGCAATGCCAGTAATGCCCACGCTGGTAGCAGCAGATCGCGCGACAAGTCTAAGGAGGGAATTATCGCAGCCTTCTCAAAAGCCATTGTTGGGGGTGGTCATGGTGGCAACATTGGTCATACCAAAGGCTCATCGACAAAGGAGGGAAATTCAATATCTCACCCCCGATCAAGCCAAGATGCCAATGACCGTGGCTTCAAGATTATCAACAGTGGCCATATCGATAGACCGTTAGAGACAAGTCAGAACCCTACTCCTGCCACGGTCGAGGAACTGGCAGAGCTGTCGGTCAGGGTCCGCGAGGGCGAGGTTACTAGGACTTCAAGCCCTTATGATTACTCGGACCCATACGATGTTCGCACTGGGTTCAGCAGCAGCCATGCTGCAGGCGCTCATGCTAGCGCGATGACCAAAAGTCCGTCGGCCTCTATGGCCTCCAAGGGTGCATCGACCCCAAGCCTTGGGTCATTCAAGTCGCGCGAAAGTCTCTCCAAGAGCAGCACAGCCTCAAGGGAGCCCCAAATACGTCCCACTTCCCCTTCGCCGCCATCCAAGAAGTCCAGCTCAAAATCGACCTCACGCACAGCGCGGTCCAAATCTGACGCCACATACCGCGAAGGCTCTGAATCTCCGCGGACGCCAATGTCGGAGCTACCAATCACTGCTTCTCGCCTTATGTCGGCCGCTGCTTCATCAGAAATCCCATCGGTCCCTCCTGCAATGGTCAAGACATCCTTGTCGCCACCGCCTCGCCAGAGCTGGCGACGCTCGAAGTCCTTCAAGGGCTCGAACTCCCCTATAACAGCCATCGATACCAGCGTCACCACTGAGACGGAGCAGCAGAGTGGCGACCCTTTGTCATCGATCAACTTTACCAACCCCTCCACGACACACAGCTCGCCCATAGGCAACGTTAGCTCCAGTACGGGTTTTCCGGATTCTTGCTCTTTTAGCTCCATCTCCCAAAGCCATGGTCATCATGCCAGCTCGTTAGAAGACAGCACAGACTGTCGACCCAGTCAAGAACGGGAGCGAGTCGCTCCATTGAGTCCCCCATTGTCGGGACTGAGCTCTCGTCTCCAGGGCACTCGTCATCAGCGATCTGTTGACAACCTGACTTCGGCATATTTCTATAAGCGTGCCTCTGAACTTAACGGTAATAATACCGCCACGAGCTCAAGCCCGTACCCTGTTCGCGACTCCCACGGTATCGCGGTCCCATCCTCGCTGCACTCGTCCACAAGGTCGCCTACGCTCGGATCCCCACCTTCCCCGAGCCCGAACACCTACATGTTCTCTTACAGCCACGATAACCACAGCCGAAAGTCGCCCTCACCGACGCGCTATGGAGGGTTCTCGCCCTCATCGTCACCCTCGCCCTCGGCGACCATGACTATGGCAAACACTCAACTCGGTTTATCTTTTGGCGCTACTGACCTGACGCCTCCCGAGAGTCGGTCCAGTAGTTTTGCCAACTCATCCGGACCCCATCATCCTCAAAGCCGTATGTTGGCGGACGATCCGTGGACACAGGCCATGGTGAACCGTGCGCAGGCCCAAACCAATTCTTCCTCCGCGGCCGGAAAGAGCTCAGGAAAGCATGACCGCTCTATGAGTCCTGTGTACGTCATGGACCCCAATGCCAGACCGTCTATTGCCAGGGCTACATCTGAGTAATGTCGCCGACCTGTACAAATGGTTTTACATGTATACCATAATTTACTTTTTACAATAAATAAAAGCGAAAAATTTAAACTCCATTGTCCGGAATATCGTTTTCAGAGAAACAATGGTCAGCTTTGAACCTTCATAGCCACCCAGTTGGTATTCGAGGAAAGAGGATTTTTATCATTATAATCTATGTAAAGAAAAAAAAGAAAAAAAAAGAGAGAAGGTGGCAAGAAGGAACGCCTGTCTTCTTTACTTCTGCATAATGTTGATAAGCCTACGACCACAAGGAGTAATTGGACAGTGTTAGTCAACAATATTGCCACTATAGCACATTCTAGTGATCACAACCTAAATCGCTTACCAGTCCAATCCCTCTGTCAGTCCTTCACCTTTGACGGCACTCGTCTTGTAAATGCTCCACTGGCGATTCATTAATGTGCTCAAACCAAGTGCATCCGAGACCTCAGCAGCAGTCATGGCACCGGCCATATCCTGTTTGTTCGCAAAGACCAACAAAGAGGCATCCTTGAGCTCCTCCTCCTCCAGCATGGCCATCAGCTCCTCCTTGGCGGTTGATACACGATCGCGATCCACAGAGTCAACAACGTAAATGACAGCGTCCGTGTTGGCATAGTAGCATCTCCAGTATGGCCGAATCGAAGTCTGTCCGCCCAGATCCCAGACTTGGAACTTAATATTTTTATATTGTACCGTCTCCACGTTGAATCCAATGGCTATGAGTATATGAGTATAAAGAGGACGCAAGGAGGCGTGAAAATTAGCGGCAGTGAGCAGCAATAACAATAATAATAATAATAATAATGACCAAAGTAATGAATGATATTGAGGCACACAGATTGCGAACCTAACCATGGTGTCAACCGCAGCCATGGTTTAACAATGATCAGCAAAGGGATCCCATATGTGCCAGCTCAAATAGAGGCTGGAATTCATCAGCGCTCTTTGGGAAGTAAAACGTTGACAGATCTTTGGATCAAACTTACTGGGAATAGTTGTGACGACCTCACCGACCTGGAGTCTGTACAATATCGTAGTCTTTCCGGCGCCGTCCAAACCGAGGATCAAGATCCTGACCTCTTTGTCGCCCCACAGTCTTCCAAGGATGCGAGAGAAGATAGAACCTATTTTGTCAGCCGACGAGAGACGTAGAACAAGGAAAAACAAGCCGTGGGCCTTGTTAGAAATAAAATAAAAATAAAAACTGCCAAGCGCTGACGGCGAGACAGGCATCATAAGGCGATGCAGAGCAGTTATCGACGTCCCGGTGCTGAATAGTCCCATCCGGTTCGCCCCTCCCTTGGTCTGGGTCTGGTATATGAGGTTACTGTGCTGTCACTCGGGTCTCTCATTGCTGCCAGAGATGATGACGCTGTGACTTCAATGTGCGCCCTCAGTCCTGATGCTGTTGGTTCTTCCAAACGCTGCTTACCCATGTCGAGACTGAGGCAGATGCGGGATTATTATGAAAAAAGTGCGGGTGTAAGGTTGCTTTTTGTTCAGCGAGTTGGTGGTGTGCGGTACAGGAACGATGTTGCAACAAGAATGGCTGACTAAAAAAGGTCGCCACACCATGAACAAACCCCCCTTAAGCTCACTTTCAGGACGGGTTAAACAGATCTCTGTACCTGCTGTGCTCTTGATATCACTCCTAGCAAAGGCATTCTTGAGAAGTAGCAGTATGACTTGAGGAGGGTACTTTGATTAGTTCTTCGTTAATGGTAACGGGATACAGGGATGTCTGTTGAAGTACAGCAATTGAGGGACGAATATCTGGGACAGCACTGTTTGGTGTATATCCTTACTAAAGTCATTTTTTTATTCAAATGATGAATGCTGAGTATTACTTCGCCATGGGTGGAATTTACACGGCAAATTATCAGCTATGTTCTTCCACCTGGGTTCCCATAGAACCTACCTAGTATGTGAAGTCGGATGGGCATATTCATCCAGAGCTACGCGTACTTCTTTTGCGTGATCCATCCATGTCCTTGAAATAGTTATTGAACAGCTATCTTTGCTCATCACTCACAGCGAGCGAACGACAGAACTGCAAGGCGGTACGATCTCTTCACTAGCTATGGCAATTAAAAGAGCGACATGCGGCCAGTGCGGAGTGTGATACCGGCAATGAAAGGTATAATCCATTTATCTTATGCCGCCCTCCATCCTTGCTGACAGTTAGTATCTATGAATGCCTGTTTTGTTGCAATATTGCTAATATCATCTCCTATTCCGCGCTAATCGACGCTCGATATCCCATCTCTGGAAACGGATATTGAAAAGAGGACGAGGACGAGGTATAGCAGAACTCAAAAGGAAGATAACATGGGCATGCGCAGTGAAGTCCAATGGCTTGAACGGTTCGAACTGTATCGTCGACCTTATGAGTGGACTGCTCTTTATTGTCTTTCATCGATCATGGATCGAGAAATGAGTCTTCACTCAGCGTCTTGTTTTCGATAGACATATGACAAGGTTCTCCACATGATGACAGAATCTTGAGTGTATGGTCTAAGTAATGCTCTTTGTAAGGCTCGTGCTCATAGTAGTCTATCCTCTGTATTAGTCAATGACAAACAGCTTCAAACATGTGCAAGGGTGGATGGGTTGCTCTTGAGAATATGAACAGACGCATGCGCGGGCTCCAAATTAAAAACAAACCTGTTTACTCTCTCTGCACGCACCACTCTTTAAGAGCTTACATGTAGTCTTTACAATTGCCTTCTCAGATCACTCTTTTAAAAGGTCGATCTTGTGTTTTCTATCTTTTCCTCAACCCCAATTTTTGTCGTTCGAAATGAAGCGACTCGGTCTAGTTTTCATATGCATGCACTACGGCAGCGATCCACTGCAAAGAAATCGCACTGCATGTCCGCTTATGCGTCGATGTTTTTTATGTGTGTCTGTGCAACGTTGTGCAAGATAGAAGTCCAAAGTCAGGAAAAGTGCCTGGACTCGCTGGTTCTCTTTGCCACAATAAAAAAAAATGTCACCTATTCATTCTTTATGGTAAACGCCAGAATTTTTCGCCTTACCGTCTGCTACTTGTAGAACGTACGACATGAAAGGATCATTCGCTACAACTTGGTGTACAAACGCAGCAATTCCAAGAGGAAGGCTCTTCTGTGGTGCGGTGTGGAGCAAGGTTTATACCTTCATATGCACCTTTTTCTTGTGTCTTTTCTGCCCATTCCATTGTCGTTTGATTTTACGCCCACATACCTTTCGGGACAGAGTCCTGAATGAAGTATCTTAGGATCACACACTGTAAGGGAAATATGCTGACTTGTAGAAACGATGACTGGCCTTCACCCCAAGAGAACCAGCCGTACTGCCCAGATGAAGGGCGAGCCTGTCAACCTAAAACAATACGGCTATGTCGCGTTAGCATATTTTTTTTTCCCCTTCTGACATGTCCTTGAAGTTTACAACAGCCAACTGAAATTAATATCGCATACATGGTGCCCGTTTACAGACGACAGAGGAACGGATGGTCGGTATTCAGCATGGGTCTTCATGCCAGCGCTGTTTATTCGCGTGTGTTAATTCATTCTTCGAGGGTAGATGTGGTATATGTACGTGATGTAAACAAACCAGAGTTGGACCAACCACCGCGGATGTGGTGCTGGCTAACGAGGTCAAGTCTGCCCCATCCTCGGCAGCTACACGCCGATGAATTGAATTAGCACACTTTCTTCAAATGCAGCAGTCCTCATGACCTGTTTTTCTCTTTTCTTCATGCTACACGATCCATGACCTCTCCCACATTCTCCCACACGACATTGCCATGTTCAAGTGGAGTGGGGTAGGGAATGGCATATTTTTATGTCTTACTTCTCCACTCAAGCTTGGCTCTCTGACAAACTATAAATTCGATTCGCCCAATGTCAAGCCAGATTATTATTCTGGCCTATTAAATAGGTTGCACATGCCTACAAAGCATTTTCTACGGTTAATACCTTTTTTCTTTAATCTGACAGTCGACCCTGAATGTCGTCCTTGTCTCTCTTTCTTCTCCACTTCTTCGCTTCCCTCCACTTCCTCACTCTTCCCCACTCCTCCACGCTGTGCCGCCCACCCCACTTCCTTCTTGCGTTCCAACCAACCCACACATTTATCACGCGTTAATCAAAGTCCGAACCCTCTTGTCGATTCCCTTCACACCCTCACCCTTCCCCTGCTTTGGTCCATTCGACACTCTCCACCAATCGATCTCACGTCCGCCTGTGCCTGAAGACTGTTGGTACGTGAAACTTCCACCCTCTGGCGGTAGAACACGGCTTTGCCATTTCCCCTTTCTCTCTGATTTCAAAATCCTCTTCCCCTTCCTCCTTCTCCCTTCCTGTCCTGGTATTTTATAAGATCCTACTTCCTCAGAGCCCTATTTCGTTGCTTTTTGTATTGTGCAAGCACTCCGCGATATTGCCATGTTATTGCTTAAGCAGCATTGCACTGCTTACGAGCACATTTTGCTGTTTGAATGTGTTGTACCTCAGCCTTTGTGCTATCTTGTTTCTCTTTTTTAAAAATCATGGGGTCCGTGGACATGCATGCAATCGTACTCTTTTCCTCCGAGCTCAGTGCCGATGCCCAGTAGCCTCGACTGTTCGCCTCGGAGTGCAAACGGAGATGGCGAAAGAGTAGCTAAAAGGTCAACCTGACTGACTATGGCCAGCAAAGGGAGTCAAGAGAGGTCAAGAGGGGCAGCAAACGATAATAACAACTCTTAATTATACTTCCCACCAAAAAAAAAAAAAAAAAAAAAAAAACCTTGCCCTGGCTGGTTCCCACCGATCGATCGAGGAGCGGACAAGTCGGCCTTATGGTCAACTACTACGTAGACTTCATGTAGACTGATGTGCTCTCTAAACCATAAATCCTTCCACCCAACCGTCGTTTGGGTGGTACTGGGTTGAAAGCAACCAGCCGTATTTCTCCGCTTCCAGCTCCTTCTCCACGTCCTATCGGACTCCGTCTCGGTTTACTCATAGTTTAACCAGATAATACCACTGATATTAACGGCCATTAGCTTCCATCTATACACTGAACACCTAGTAGTTGACAACAAAACACACCACACTAATATACACGCATACACCCGCCATCATGACAGTCGCAGTATCAACAGTCGACCCTCAAATCCTTGAGACTCTCCAGCAAACAGCACCGCAAATCCCCTTCGAGGAGATCACCCGTCTGGTCTACAACACATATGTACCTGGCCGATTTGGTAAGATTCACACTGGCCGATGGAAGGACAACGACGTCGAGCTTAAACAGCCCTTTGGAGAGCACGCCGCGATCGAAAAAGAGGTTCGCCTTCTACACAAGCTGAGACACTGTCCTCAAATCCTCCGTCTTTACGGATACACCATCGACTCTACAACCTCAATCGTCTACCTTGTTGTGCAACACAATGAACACGGCACTCTGCATTCATATCTGCTCAACTTCCACCCTCATCTCACCTGGTCAGATCGATACAATCTGGCCATGGATATTGCACTCGGCCTTCGCTACCTACACCACAAAGGCTGCAGGCATCGTCACCTCCATTCTGCGAGCATCCTCATCGACACAAATGGCTCGGCCGTCCTTTCAGATTTCGGCAACAGCAAGGACTCTGAGGTCATTTCATCACGCGAACACACTACTCGCATGGCATATCTTGCACCAGAGCGACTCACCAAGACCGCAGCGCGCTATTCAATGGAGTGTGATATCTATTCCCTGGGAGTGGTCCTTTGGGAGATCTCCAGTGGGCGACCTCCTTATGAAGATCTCATCACGCCACAAAATATTCAAAGCGGCGCTCTCACCTCTTTGGCGCAAAACATCGTTGCTGGCCGTCGTGAACGTCCAGTCGCAGGCACGGACCCCTTGTACGAGGAGCTGTACACGCGATGCTGGCACCCAAATCCTCAGGAACGTCCATCGGTCGAGTGGATCATACAAACCCTCGGCGTGTTATTGAAGCAGCCATCGAGCGGCGTCATTTGTCAGCTGGAAGACTTGAGCATTCGTAAGTAAACTTGTCTAAGCATGTTACGACTATAACAAGGATCGCTACTCCGCTCCATTATTTTAACCGAAGTAAACTAATCCCGCCTGTTAGTAGATGACGAACCGAATGTGACGCCGTCCGCGAAGACGACGAAGGCCCCCAACAGCAGTTCAACGTCTATGGTGGTTAGTGTTGGCAGATCGCCTTCGTACGAGAACGATTTGGGCGCCCCGAGTCCCCTCATCCGATCGCGCGAAGTTCTTCTCTCACCACGAGAACCTGATTACCCACCGCCTCCGCCACCCATGCCTCCACCAATTCCTCCAGTCTCTCAACGTCGTAAGCTTTCGGTAGCCCCATCGTTTGCTCCATCCACACGTTCCATGTCCATTAGCAGCGGGAGTTCAAGTGGATCGTCAGTGAGCAGTAGTCCAGCTGTTCCAGCAAGAGATGCACGCCGAATGTCCACCGTGCACGCGCAGCACTCCGCAGAAATCCCTCAATACAACGTTCCCCTAAAGCGACGCAGCCCACAAACCATCTGGGAAGCCTGTCAGGAAGGAAACGCGGACCTTACAGAATGGCATATCCTCACGACGGGCGCCAATCCGGATGGACTGGTGTCCTTGCCTGCATACTCGATGCTTGCTGAGGTTGCACCCATTCATGTCGCGTGCTTTTTCCAGCCTGATACCCTCACGGATGTTCTCAAAACCCTTCAGCGAAATGGTGCCAACATGGAGCTTCTCACGACCTTGACAAAACAATCAGCACTCCACATCCTTCTCGAGCACGCCACCAACTATGACCTCGCTCTGGAAGTGGCAAAGTATCTCATGCTGGAATGTAAATTGGGCGTCAACGATCCTGATAACCGAGGACTCACGCCATTCCACAAGTATATCAAGAATCCTCATCTGAGCGGCATCAACTCTGTTGCGGCATCGGAGCTCTATGTGCTACTGCGCGACCGCGGTGAAGCAAACTTGAGCCTGGAATCTCATCATGAGGGCAATGCTCTCGGCATGACGGCGCGTTACCTTCGCGTGGATCTGATGAAACTGTTCTTGCTGACTGATATCTCTTGCTCGGATTCAAAGAGCCTTGCATATGCGGCTAGTGTGGTTGAGGCGCCCTTGAGCGACAGTCGTTCTTCCAAGTCTGCGCAGGATTTGTGTCGCGCAATCCTCGCCGAGTGGAAAGGAGAGCGTGGCGAGACGAAACGGATGGTCATGGCGGAGCGGATTCTGGAGCATCAAGGCCTCACTGCCTCATCTTCAGCTGGGCCAGCAGCGTCCTCTCCATCTCTTACTCCCGTTGGCCCTTCGTCAAAGGGTCGCAAGCAAGGAGGTCTTTTGAGTCTCGGCAAATCAAGCAAGGTGGCAAAAGATGACGCCACCCCGGCACTCACCCCGTTACCCGCCAAGATGGCCACAGAGGTGGACGTTGCCAAGAAGATCTTGCAGAGCACATCGGTTAAGCAGCGGAAGCTGAAGAACTTGATCGCAGATTCTGGTTTTTAGAGAACAGGCTGCATAGTCTGTTATGTATCCCGAGGATGAGCACCCTTTGCGTTTCTTAGATAGCCTACGGAATCCCTCCTTATTCAGTTGTATATACATAATTTTACCTCGCGGCGATTCAGCCAATGTTAATAAACAGCATCGACATGCCTCAATCCTTTGAGTGCCCCTAGACATGACGGATTATCGCCGCTCTTTTTTTTAAAGGCTTTGCCCTTTGCGTATACCAATCTGCAGTCCGCCGCTAAGACCTCTCGGCGATGGATCGTCCACAAAGAAACGCGCACCAAATACGAGACCAGAGGGATTATACAGTAGAGATAATGATACCTGTCGACGACAGCCTGCACTAATCTCTCCGATAGGCATTCCACTGATACGTACCATAAAATAGAAAAGACTGCACCTTTAACAGAATTCTTAGAGAAACCCAGCATCGATGATGGCTCTGTCTATGGCGACGTCTTCGTATTCAGCAAACGCTCGAGTCAACCTTTTCTCGAGCAAGGAAAAGCATAATACCGAGTCGCAATTTTCAGCGGGATTCAAAGAATAATTCGCCCATTAAAAAGTCGCTGTTAACGCATTTCGGACATGATTTCTCTTGCACTTTTGGTCCCCTTTGTCAACCGATTCTTCTGCCTCCGCCAAAATCCAATTGCCATCACTTACACCGTCGTCTTATCGGTGAGTCTGTCGATAGCTAGGTTCATGCCCAATGTCCTGTCCACCCAGCAGTTTCACATGTTTGAAAAGTGATGCTCTCTCGATCCAGGGTCCTTCAACATCAAGGGGCACGCGCTTATCGGCACAGCGACGACATGCTGCTCAGGAGGCGCCAATGCAGTCAATGTTATAGTTTTTCAGAGAAAGTATTACGGCAGTGGCCAGGATTTTCTCGCAGGGTTCATATCCATCCTCATAACCCAGATCACAGACTTCACTCTTGCGAGGATACTCAGAAAGCCTCCGATCAAGCCCGCACACATGATCTGGCCAGCTAATTTAGTAACAATGGTCCTGTTCAGGACTATACATGAGGATGCGGACACACGTACAGGTGGATCGGAAGCTCCAAGGTAAGAAGGAGGCAGGTAATGGATGGACTGGATTCTGTTTTTTGGCTGTGTCGCTGCTGGCTCATATGCATGGTATTGGTTCACCGACTATATCTTCCTGATCCTGATAGCTGCTTCCATCTTGCGCTGGATCAATCCCAAGAGCGCTATGCTGTCGCAGCTCATGACGCCGAACAGCCTGAGAATCGGAACGCTTCCGTTTGACTGGGCAACTTCGGCATCGGCATTGCCACCGTTGGTGACCGCGTGGTAGGCGCAGACGGACATCCTGGTGGGATTCGTGCTGGTGACATGGATTATTACTCCTGCAGAGTACCGTTTCAATTTATGAGGGGATTGAATATGTTTCTGACCTTGACCGCAGAGCTGTTGAAGGAGGATAGGGCGGGCTATAACAAGGCCATAGATATGACCAACAACGTCCTTGGCCCGGCCAAGTATAAAGCCTATAGACCCCTTTGCATAGACTCCTTTTTTTTTGAGAATTCATTTCAAGGCTATGAACCAAAAGAAGGACTCAAACATTTGAGATACTTTCTCCTTTCGGTGATCATCATTGTTGTTCAGATAGCTAAGGAGTCGGGTTCGTAGGAGTGACAGCGACGCTGAGACATGTCAGATTGCACCACGGAAGGATATCCGGGACCAATGCAGAGCAGCTATTTCGATAAAAGACCACGAAACCCATTCACGCTTGATGATGGAGTACAGGGAAGTGCCGCAATGGCATGGTGTACATGTTCTCAGCTGGACCCAACAAGGAGCGCAATGTAGGGTACTCATTAATGGGCCCTTCTTTACTTACAACGTACGTAACAGGTGGTACGCGCTGCTGCACATAATCTCTCTGTCCTTGTTAACATTTGTGGCCGTAAAATGGAACTACCTACCATGGTAATACCTTTCCGTCTCGTAATCGGCTTCACCGTTGCGCTCCCCGTGGGTGTCTTTCAGGCAATCACAAACCAGTAGCCAGGACTGAACATGATCACTGACTACGTTATTGAATGCCTGATGTCCGGACACCCGGTCGCCAATGTAGCTTTTAAAGCTTGCGGATACGTCATCAACATCTAGGCGTTTGCAGTTCACGCGGGATCTCAAACTAGAGCATAACGTGAAGTTCCCGCCTAGAATTATGTTCATAGTGCAAGTGATCTCAATCCTCGCTGGACTGATTAATCTAGCGACAACTTGACTGGCTGCTAGAGTCGCAGTTTAATATGTGGACCAAAGCTGGACGCCCCTGGACCAACCGCAACACGAGCAGTAAGTGCCAAAAAACGCGTCGTGAGCAAGTTGCGTGTTGGTCTTCTGCTCTACATCTGTAATCTAGGATATAATTGGACCTTCCAAAGTGCTTGGAGCTGGACCCTTGTACTTAATGGCTTCTTAATTGGCGCCTTGTTGCCCGTGCTACTCTGGCTGCTGTGTCGTTGTTATCTACATGTCTTTTTTTTTTTTTTTGCGTGAAATACATTTTCCGGTGGTAGAGGCGGTACAACTACGTGACCACCGCAGCTATGGACTACGGGCGTAGCGCTCTCGGGACTCGTGTGTTACTTCTTGCTGCAGGTTAAGAAAAGAGATGGTACTCCCAACTATGTATGGATTTGGCTTCGTTTGCATACAATACGGAATTCTGACCCATGCGGTGTCTTTTTTTTTTCTTTTTCGTCGAGTGGTGGGGAACAAACGAAAGCATCAATCACTGACCATTGGCAGAGATCGATTTCTACGAGAACTAAGCACAGCAGCAGTAGGAACAACGTTTGTTGCCGGTCGATAATCATGACACCAAGGAGATTCCTGTTCTCTTTTGAACGTGTATACTTGTTTGTATTCAAGAGCATCAACCCTGATTGCTCCTAGTCCTCCAAAGAGCTGTCCTCGCTTCGGTTCTTTTTATTTTTATTTTTATATAGAAATGATACAGTTGTGTTGACCCACCGCCAAGAGCTTGTTGGAATGGGATCAGAGTCATCCGACAAATCTGTAAGCCGAAGATAGGAAACCGTGTTTCCCAAGCTCCAGGGGCTTCGATTTCATTTGAATAGTCTTCACCGTGTGATCGTATGGGTGGACATGGGGGATGAAGTCTATGGAAGGATGCCCGGTGGAGAGTCGGAGGAGACACCGTGCTTGTGCATGTACTATACATGCCCATGTACGTTTTGCCCCTTCGCTCATGAGCGTGAGGGAGATGTGTCCAGCTACGACTGGATCAGACCTCGCTCCTTTCATAGTTTGTCTTTACCCACTAGCCCCTTTCCGCAAGCAACTTCGTCCATATCCTTGTACGCAATGGAAGACATGATGGGTTAACCCCCTGGTTTTTTTTTCCTGGAGTAAATTTAGATATGCAGAAACCACTTTCAATGCGATGTCATCAAATAGACGTCCTGCGGACACTCTCCATAGACCACCCGTCAAAAGGATTTGCCTCGTGGGGTTGCCTTTCCTTCTTCGACTATGTACAATCCAAACATACACATGGAAAAGAATCGTTCAATTCGCCCCAACGATTATTTGTTCGTTTTTTTTCACTCACCCAGGATTTCGTAAAATGTACAGCGCATTTCCTAAGCTGTGATCCCTGGGTTGCCGGTTCACCTTGGTAACTGCAGATCCACCTTGGTAGCAGCAGAACAGCTTTTCTTGGGTGCTCCTCCGTTTAGTCCTTGCACAGGTACAGCCACCCCGCCCCCTGTATCCGATGTAAGTCCCTGGTGACCGCATGCAAAACACGTACACATGCGAAGTATATGAAGTCTATGCACGCACCCCCTTCCTCCCCCTGTACCTTATTTGTGCCTGTGTGGACTCTGTTTCCTTCCCCCTTCCTTTGCCTTCTCTCGCTCCGCGTTCTCTCTATCCCTCCCTACCTCACTCTCTCCTGAGAACACTTACCCCCTTGATTCCTGTCAACACTTCTCTTTCTCTCTCTTCACTTTCTCAGTGCCTTTCTAACCCCCCTTCCTTGCGGTCCCCCTAGACCATCTCCGTTGAGACATTGCTCCGTAAGTGTTCTTTTCTCTTCCTCTTTTCCTCCTCCACCCCTCATCGTCAGTTCCTCAGCTCATTCTCACACCCTTTTCCGGCCCTCCGGTCCCCGCTTCACTCTTGTCATTCGACCCACTTGTACGTTGATCTGGTAGGGCACTTGCAAGGCTAACTTTCAACCTAAGATTGCACTGTAAGATCTGATCTGCGGCGTCCTATATGAATACACATGTCGTTTTTCTTCTCAAAAAAATTGCTCATCACTGAGCTTCAAGGACGCGAAATTCTTCGCGTGCTCCATGCAGGATGGGCCCAGTAATCCTTCCATGGATCTTCTAGGATTTCTCTTCGGTCTTGCATCATACACACAAGCCCTGTGCGCGTTGAGTTCCAACAACTGTACCATTCAGATTCGCGGGATGGGATAGGAACAAACACCCCTGGTCCATCCAGACAAATAATCCCATCTCCCTCCTCTCCCTTTCATTCTACAGAAGAAAGGCAATTGTCCGCTGTCCCTCTTGTCCATCGCCTCCTTCTCCTTGGCTCAGGTTCAGATCGCCTCTCCTGAGTTCGTATTTTTTCCTCATTCAAAGCCTCGCAACCTCGTTTACCCCTACGGCTGTACTGTAATTGAATAAGACGATACCTAGGAAGGTTTATTATCGCACGCAAGTCCTCGATGAGGCAACATCTCCCTTTCTTTCATTCTTCCCTTCTCTCTTTTTCTGTTTCTTTCCGCTATCCTTTACTTTATCCTCTCTCTCTCCTCTATCTCTTAAAGCCATAACTGTTACCCAGTCTCATCCTTTTCTCAAGGATCATTTGATCTGGGACAAGGTACTTGGGGCGCCACTATCCGGTCACGATCTTGCCCTGCGTATCGCCACCACACACTTCGCCTCTCATCCTTATCATCTACTCCCACTTCTTCCCGCACAAAGACTATCGGACCGTACAACATACTCACTCACCCTCGCCTTGATCCTTCGCCTCTGTGTACGATTTTTTAGATAGAGCGTCGGACACCATTTTTACCTGAGAGGTAGCGAGTAAGCATAAACATATCAGGATGGAGGCACTATCAGAATATCCAGTCGATTCCATATCGCAATACATAGGCAGCCGAAGTAGGTCAACGCCCAAGCGCCTCTAGCTGTATATGCGTCTCTATCAGCAATTCATGAGTTGTCAAAGAAAATGGTGGCGTCTGACAGGGCTTCCTAGGATCGTAGCATCGAGGACATCAATGCCCTATGAATATGAATGAGCTTTTGCTCCGATCGGAGTCTTGCCATATAGATCTATTGCTATTACTTGCACTCCCTCGTGCCGTCCTTTCAGCTCTTCATATCATCAATTATGGTCTCTGCTTCCTATTTTTTTAAGCTGCTGGACTTACTGATCCATGGCAGACTGGGCGCAATACAGCGTCCTTGATAACCCCATCTTCCTCTAAACACTCCTTCCGGCCGACGTCACCCTACCCCTGGATGGTTGTGAATGCACCCATGTACCCCTTTCGATCCACACAAGCGCTGTCCGAATGACTCTCCCTCTAATCCTTGTCTCGTAACCATCTTTTTTTTTCTTCTATATTATTTAAACGAACCAAAATAGAACGTGTTCGTCGAAACTCGGTTCCCGTGTCAATATCTTCAGAGCGGCAAAGCACACAGCCAGGAGAACGACGACTGAGCCAACAAGAGACATTCTCATCCATCCACAACACCCACAACGACTGGGCTGCTCACCACGAATCCAATATGCAGCATCAGCGCGCCTCACCACCACATTATTACGCCGAGCCCCGCAGCGATCATTGGCGGTCCAGTCATCGCAACAACTATTATGCCGAGACCAACATGAGATACAGGAGCAGCAATGGATACAACGGACAGTCGGATCAAGCAGGATATGTCATGCATGGTTCCTACAGCGAGCACTATGACCCCGGCGCAATGGATCACGATAGACTGGATCGTAATGGCAATTTCCATTATGAGATCAATAACCACGGCAACGGCATGGTCCAAGACAAGCACCGCAATAACTCTGTCTCGTCTAATGCCAGCTCCAACTCGTCCTGCTCTACAGCCAACAAGCATCCTTGCATGTTCCCAACCTGCGGCTGGAGTTTCAAGAGATATGAGCATCTGAAAAGACACATGCTGGTTCATACGAAGGAGCGTCCGTTCGTTTGTGAATTTCAGGGTTGCGATAAGTCATTCAGTCGGTCTGATAACTTTTCTGCGCATCTCAGAACACATACCAAGAAGACCATGCATATGCCTAGGCTCGATCGAAACATGATAATGGAGTTAAATGACTATATACCCCTGGAAGCAGGATCGGAGCATGGGACAGGACCATCAACGGGAGGGATGGTTGGATACCATGGCGGATATTCTGACTACGAAAATATGTATAACTCATCTTCCTTGTCGCGTTCGGTTGGCATCGCCCACGATGGAGATGCATCAAGTAAGTACACTTCATATTGCTGTGAAGCTGGTATATGATATTGCTAGCGCCTTGACCACGACGCGCTCTTTCTGATTATTTCCGTCTAACGCTACTGTAACATGTTAATAGTCTATGTAAATCATGGAGCTGACAGAACACCGCCTCGGGATCCACACCAGGTGGCCGACGGTGACAACGGCGCCGGACTTGAGAAGGCCAAGACTTCACCAAAGCTGTCATCGCAGGGATTCCTACCAGGTCGCGAGCAGCGCAGTCCATTGAGGATGCACCCTCTGGACGACCCATTGGCTTCCCCAAAGGAAAAGATAGCAGAGTCCCTGGTCTCAGCATCAGAATCCTACTCTACCACAGCGCCATTGAGGAGTAACCTTGGCTCCGTACTCCCAAGGCTCAATCCGATCAAGTTGGACCTAAAAGTTGTCTCTAGCGACTCAGATGACGTTCCCTTGTACAATCAACGCCGCCGGAATTTCGAACGGGACTATGAGCACAATTACGACCATAACGGCGACCACGAGAGCCGTCGCCATCTAACATGGGACTCACACAGCCTTTACACTCCAGGTCTCCGGTCCCCGAGCCCGACTTCCTCGCCACCAAGTCCCCGCCATCACCATCATGGTCATTATAAGGTCGTGCTAGGCAGCAGCCACGATGAGCCGAACCTTAACCCCAATGGCGAGTCACCCACTCAGCCTACGCGCGCCCCTTCACCGAACGTCGAGACTTCCTCGATGGGGTTCGTTGCTTCTCATTTTGTCCCTCTTAGGGATCGATCTGAGCACCACGGACGTGACTCAATGTACGGCCGCGCGGACGAGATGCTGCGAGCAAAGAAGCTGAAGGTCGAGGCTGATCCATATAGGCCATCGTACCATGCTCCATATGGTGCTCTGCCACATATGAGCGGATCGGTATCTCCACCATTGGTCCCTTCTCGAGGTCGTTCGGATGGGTACTTGAGTGCAATGAATATGGACGAGGATGGAAACCCATTCCCGGGCACTCGCCATGTAAATGCGCGGATGTATAGCGAGCACCGTCATCATCAGCATCGCCATTCGATTTCTGGATATAGCGCTGATCATCCTTCTGCGCGCCATGGAATTATGTCGCCACGGATGCATGCTTCATCAATGCCTAGTTCGGGAGGATATCATCACCAGCATTCGCAATCTCAACCGTACAATCATTATCGGCCGCATATGTCCATGGATATGATGTCCCCGCAAATGATGCCTATGCGGAGTCCTGTAATGATGTCTAATTTACATCAGGGTCAACAGCGCATGTTGGCCAGAGGAGAAGGAATGACCACTGTGGGTCAAGGGCGTGTTCGTGGCTCAACATCATCAGCCAAGAATCATTGCTGCTCGGTCCCAGGATGCATGAAACGGTTCAAGCGGCTGGAGCACTTGAAGCGACATATCAAGACGCATACCCTGGAACGGCCGTTTGCATGCACGACTCCTGGGTGCAACAAGCGGTTCTCACGTTCAGACAATCTTTGTACGTTTCGATCGCTACATGATTTACTATCTTCTCATTAAAAAATAATACTGGCAAGAGATGCTAATTTTTTATTTTCTATTTTTTTTTATCAATAGCACAACATGCCAAAACACATCAGCGCCAGATGCTGAACAAGACTCCATGGAAACAACAGCGACTGCCAATGCCAGTGATGTGATATTCTTAAGAGCAGGCCTTATACGAATGGCCACTTGGATGGCCCGCAATCGCAATATGTATTTTCGCCATGGTGTGCACGATTTTCGTATTTATTGTCATTGTTTCCTTGTACATGCATTATTGTTTTGTTTGTTTACTTTATCACTTTTTCGCTTTTCGTATTTCGCTTTCCTCGAGTGGAGCTCTCTCCTATGTACATTGCTGTTTCGCTAGCCGGCTGGCTTGCTTTTTTTTTTTTTTTTTCTTTTTTTTTTTCCGCATTCGTCTGCTTCCTTGTAACATGCCTCTTTCTGTTTTCGACAAAGTTCGTTTGCATTCCTTTCTTTTGTCTGTTGCTTGCTTGACTGTTTGAATAAACCACATTGCTACCTAAGAAAAATTGGTTTACAAAGATATGTACAATGAATGTAATTGTTCTGAACGAGATCTATATCACTGTCCATCCATCCTCGTCAAAAACCGCTGCAAGAGCATCGCATACGCTTGCTGCTGTTGATCTGGGGACAGAACCGCGTTCGACGATGGAGAGGGCATATTCATCCTCATGGCTCCGGCACTCGGTCCTGCTCCCGGTCCTGACAACTGCTGTGGTGTCGCAATGCCATTACCATTGAGAAAGTGCGCCATTGCTGCGGGAGATGGTGATGCCATGGACATAGCAGCAGCAGTTGTGAGGTCGAATGAAGGTGTTGAGATTTTGCTGTACATATTCGTGGTCGTCATGATTGGGACGGGTGGTTGCGGCACAGGCTGCGTGGTCGGTTGGGACTGCTGGAGTAATGTCAGTGGTGATGGAGATAGTGGCGGTTGAAAAGGCCAATTGTTGTCGGCGGTGTTCAGAAATAATGCCTGTTGCTGCTGTTCCTGATGCTGTTGCGAAAGGAAGACTAAAAGCTGGTATTGCAGTTGAAGTTGCTGATGTTGCTCCTGAACAAGTCGCTGTATATCAGACAGAAGAGGTGATGGAAGGGCGTCCTGTAGATCAAGTGGAGTGTTCATGGGTCGACCACTTGATGGCCGTGATGGAGATGGAGGTGTGCTTTGAGAAATCGAACCTCGAGGTCTTTGGTGTAGTTCCTTCTTTTTAGACTGCACACCAGCATCGTTGGAGAAGCGTCTCTGCCGTTTCGGAGACGTATGAGGCGCTGGAAAGTATCCAATTGTGGGGCCTCGAAGCACTGGGGATGGGTCTCGCGATGGCATGGGAGTCGATTTGTCTGCTTGTGCCTGTCCATGTCCTCCAGCGATTGAGGAATCCTTAGTGAGTGAGCCTTCCATATCGTGCTTCGCATCCTTACAACCAGCAACATCCGCTGTAGATTGCTGGTTTCGTCCAGGAGCCTGGTGTACGTAACTCTCATCATTGTTATTCTCCGCAACATCCGTCTGCTTCTCAGCCCCCGTGTTCGCCGCATTTTTCTTTGAGTTGAGTCCCCGTCGGTTGCGCTTCCTGATCACATCAGTCTTGAGACTCAACGGTCGAATGCGCCCGTGTAGTTTCAGGAACAGGCCACAAGCGTTACAGAGCGGGTTCCCTTCCTTATCTCGACGCCAGAGCGGTGTGGTCTGGGTGTCGCAGTTGGTGCATTGTGTCGATGCGATGGGCGCAGCAAAATCCTCGTCCTCGGTGTCCGAATCTGTGGATGTCGAATCGGAGATTTCTATTGGCTGTTGTTGACTTGCATCAAACGAAGGAGCCAGCGCGAGAGAGCTTTTCTCAGAAGTGAACGTTGGTGATGTGGGGATTGTCATTTGATCACGCTGATTAGCAGGTTGTTCAGAAGAGTTCGACCATCCATAAGAGGATAGTGCCCCAGGACCTGAGCTCCTTGGATGCGTTGGTGTAAAAAGGGACGAGTCCTTCGGAGGAATCAAACCCCTGGGGATTTCCATCGACAGAGAGGTGCCGCCGTAATCGCCCTGCATCTGTACTGTAAAATGCTGGTTGTACTGCTGCTGCTGGTCGAAGGGATACTGTTGTGAAGACGAGTTGGATGCCAATGGATGTCCAGGACCAATAAACTCCATTGAATTACGAAGCCCAGGAACATTTCCGAGTGATCCAGAAGTGAAAAAAACGCCTTCCGCGACTCTCAAGTCGTTGACAACAGCGTCGAAAGCTTCCATATCCGCGATCGACTGCAGAAGCTGTTGTTCAGAAGTCGGAGTGTATACTGCAGGCGGGTCGTCATTATAGTTCGATAAATGAGACGTTGATGTATCGAGAGTCGGGGATAGGAAGGGCGCAGCCAAGGATGAACAGGCGCTTGTGGCCGATGTACAATATTTGGGTGGAATAGAAGCGGTAGATAAGCTAATGGTGTTGATATCATACGCCTGCAAGGGGGGAGGAAAGGTAAGTATACGTGTTTAATACACTTTCCTCGTGGTATATGAAAGGCTCGATGATGGTTGTTCCACAAATAATAAAAGCAATTGCGTACAAGTACCTGACTTCGGGTACTCAGTTCCGCCCGGGTATTATTCTGTAATGACTGGTCAATGAGGCTAGAACTTGCATGGCCTTCAAAACGGGTGCTTGCGGCGAAAGGGGTGATCCCATTTGGCAGCGCATGCATCGAGAGTGACATCGAAGGGGTGAGTCGCCGAGGCTCAGTATCGCCATATAGATTTGTTGAATATGGGTCACTGGCTGGAAGCGCTTGTCCATCGAAGTACTGGCTGTAGGAAGAAAATGAGGCCGATGTGTCATTCCCATAATATGAAGGAGTAGGGAACACGCTTTCAGAACCACTACCTGGATTCGTGCAGGTGGTGATGGATGCGAAAGAAGGAGGGATTGTCGATGGTGCTGGATATGGAGAATCGAGCGAGCTCACTGTATCCATAGAGCTGGGAGTGGCATGATGGAGAGGTAATGCCAGTATGTTAGTCTGAGTTATAAAACGCGGTTTGCCTTAATTGCTCTCGACTGAGAAATAACATTCAACATTCATCCGTGTCGAAAAGAGAAAAAAAAAAAGAGGAGCAGTGGACGTCCAAGGACCTTGGTTCGCCAATTAGGAAAGGGATGCACACCATTGTTCGTTCTCGACCTGACCGTAAACAACGAGATGAAATGGGTGAATAGTGTCTGGAGAGTGAGATAACTGAATTTTTGAATCCCAGCTACTCGGCACGCTGCCCAGAGCTGTGAGCAAGAGGGGACCAAACTCTAACGACACTTTCAATGATAGCAAGGACCGCCCGAGTGCTTCGATCAATACCGCGCTGTCCTCTCTTATCTATGTTGTTCTAGAGACCGCGGCCTAGTTGTAATCTGTATCTGACAATCAATTATTTTTGTTGACAACAAGCCCTTTTGAGTTCTGTCGAAAAAAAGGAGATTAAGGGAGAAGACGATACCACTAAGAGGTTCAGCCCAATAGCCCCTCCACGTCTTGTTTGTTGTCATCATAGCGCTCAGGCACCCCACATTTTTTTTCCCAACTGTTGTCCGTGGCATCTTTTTTGACCGAATCTGCTTATGCTCGTAGACGCAAAGATATGCTTGAAGATATGGAGATATACGAGGGAAAAGATACAATGGTTGGTGGAATCAGTTCCCAGAAAGGAACTTGGCTTAAAAAGGATGCAGATGGGTAAGTGAGAGTCTATCTCACGCATCTTTAGAGGTACATACCCTGCGTACCATATATAGATAGATAAGGAAGTATGAAAACATTTTTGATGCGATATGAAAACTACAAACACTTGTAAAAAGAGTCGGCGAAGTGGAATGAATGCATGAGTGACGAGATGCAACGATACACACCTTGGTGGTCCGGAAGCAGCATCAGCAACAGCGAGAGATTGTCTGCTATCACTGTTCTTGTGCAAAGTCATGGACATTAGCCGCCATGTCAGGTTTTCCAATCTTTGGGCATTCGGCAACGAGTCCTTGGCCAGGGAGTACAGTCGCCATGCCTGCGCTGCTAATGGAACATCTTTTTTTGATTTTGCAATAACGTCTTCTTCATCGTCTGATCCACTGCTTTCCTGCTGATCTGACATTGCATTGTGTCGCACCATCATCGACGATTTCATGTGAAAAGATGTGGGAGAATTGAGGGAGTCGGATGGATGAGTGCGATTCATGGATCTAGGTTTAGGAAAGTCAATGGTTGGAGATAGAAGGGCTTCAGGGACCAGGGATCGCCTCGGTAACGGATTGGATCTTCCTGCATTCGAGCTGGATGCGACAGAGGATGTGGAGATGGGTAGGAGGGACGCCGAGACTGGGGCCCCCGATGTGGGTGTCGAACCCTTTTGGCCAGGGGATACCATGACTGGAAACAGCGGAGGTCGAGGATGGGATTGAAGGAAAGCGGTGGCGAATGTGGAGAAGCGCTTTGGAGAAAGAAGAGAGAGAACGAATTGAACACTGCATCTTTAAATTTTTTTCGCCCAACCCACGGACTATCTGTGGCCAATAACGTGAACAAGGAGCTGTGTAAACAAGTCAAACCATAATTTCAAGTACCTCGCACCCATGATGATACTATTTATTGGATGCAGAGGCATAGTGCGGCCCGGCTGCCTCATGCTCCTCCTCGGGACCATCGCTCTCCTGGGACTCGCGGAACTCCGAGGCACTATCAGAAACTTCAAGCGTGTAGAGACCATGGGTACCAAGCAGCTCAGACGTAGACCCGATTTCGGAAGCGGGTGAGGACGTCTGCCATATCGAAGGGGATACCGCGGGCCTAGCGTGCGGATGCTCTGCAAGGAACTCCCTTGAGATAGTACTGCCTGGGGTAATCTCCTCTATGACTAGCCGTAGCAACTCGACAGTGCGTGCACCGAGCTGCGGAGAAAATAGTGGATGATGTATCTCAGCTTGTGGTATTGTGGAATGACTGGGCAGTCCAGTTTCTGAGTGCTCTGAGTGCTCGGTGCGTTCTATGCGGGTGGTGGTCGGTGTGATAATGTGCGTTGTACCAGAAGTCTGGCCTTCAGCATGGCGAGTGAACCTGGTGCTTCCTGAGTGCTGAGAGACGTGCTTGTCAGTCTCGCTCTTGGCAGCCTCCGGTAGCGGATGATCTGTGGAACCAGCGTGCTTCCGTCCGCCATCCTCCACAGGGGCCGACTTCAAAGGAACATCGCTGCTGCTTTCCATAGGCATCGTCTTGGATTCCTTTTGACCGGAATGGCCTTGTCCAATCTCCTCCATCGGCGACGGCTCTTCCGCGATCGGACTTTGGGACGGTACGGGGTGACCAACCTCTGAAGCACTCCAATCGTCACCATAAAGGACATCGTCGGTACCCCACCGTTCCAAGCAGTGACATCCAGTGATGTATGTATATATACCTGACCGTGTCTTGAGGTGGTGATGAATTCTCTGTCCGACCAGCCTCCTAGGTCGCTTCCCAAACGGCCTTCCATATATCCGAAAAATCGCCTTGCGATCCATTAGAAGCGGTGTTGCATGGTGCCAAAACTCCCATGCAATCCCTAGGCCCGCCAGGACCAATGAAAAGCCAAGCATCAGATATACTTGAAGGCTGGGATGGTAATTGAGCGTTTTGCCCGTAAAGTCGAAAATGACAATCATCTCGCGATATCCGACCTGAGCAAACTGGTCCACCCCAAACATAAAAATGAACGCGCCGCCGCAACTCGTACCGCAGATGATAAAAACGCGCTCAAAGAATGTGGCGATGGCGGCTCCTCCAAGGATGAAGAGCCCCAGGATGACATAACGTCCAGCGTTTCCAATTGATAGATTCGCAACTGCGATAACGCCCATGGCGACGGCAAAACCACCAAAGGCGCCAGTGAAGGTGACGCCAAGGTCCCAGAATCGAAAAGATAGAATTGCTCCGGTTAGACCTGCCACTAGCCAGACCCACATATAGTAATGTTGTGGCATAAATGTCGTGTACACCAGATCCCACCGGAAGGCAACCATGATAATCATGGCAGCAACCGCTATAGAGAGTCACGGCAGAAATGAGAATACGGTATATGACCGTTATTAAGGTTACAGGCGTGTTATATTGGATTTACGATGATGACTAGCAATGACTAGAAGCTTACCCCAGGACAGAAATCCGGCGACGAAGAGAGTTAATCGGATGAACTTGAACCCATAGAAGACCTCGACGAGGCCGACCATGATGAGCGCGACTCCCAAAGCGCAATTTTGCGTCGATATACTGACATGTTGCCCAACATCAAGAGGAACACCGCTGTCGACTGGTGTCATGCTCGTGGGAAGGGCCCATACACAAGATATAGTGACCAAGAGTAGTAGCAGACCTCGTACCAGACGTGGCAATGCGCTTGTGAGGGTATTCTTGGCAGGGTCCATTGCGGATGGCGGTAGTGATATGAATATTGTCGCTGCCTTGGAGGAGTGCCGAAAGAGTAAGGATCATTTTATGTTTAGCACTGCTGTTCCTAAAGATACCCTAATAATTTCAGTCGTTTACATACTTTGGCGTGGTTATTGACTATCGAAGATCATTCTCCTGCAAAATATTATTCTGGGCTTTATTTCTTGCGCCGCAAGGAGAGTGGCCTGAAGGCGAGGTGCGGAGGAATGCTTTGAAGAAACGGGCGCTGCGAAAAGCACAGAGTCGGAAAAGAGAGAACAAAAAGTGTGATCACCCGTCTTTTATGGTCCTTTACTGTGTCAATCTCGGAGCGCTTCGTCCCTTGAGGGGGTGGTTTTTTTTCCTTCTGCTTTTTGTATACTTCTGTACGCCCTCAACATACGGTTCTATGGCCCCTTTGGCATTGACAACGATCCCCATCCCCCTTCAGAAGATGCCATATGATGAGATAAAAAAACAGTTCCCCTTATTCGCGCAGAGCGCAGTTACGCTGCTGAAGAGTCCATGCCGTGGTCATGCTACAGTCTTTACAGAACTGGTGATCCCCTAGCCCCTATTCCTTCACAACAGACCATAATATGTGCACCAAACATCAAGCACGAACCTTAATCGAAAGCACAGCCCTTAACACACCAGCGAAACGCGAGATTGGCCAGACACCAAGACATGAACGAGAAGGCTTCTTTCACACTTCAGCATCTCTCATTCCTAACCATGGATCAGGCCACCGATCTCGCCGTTCAAGGTGAGTGACACGAGGGCCAGTCATAAACGCTAGATGTCAAACGGATAGGCGTTGGAGGCTAAACTTGAACTGTCTGGTGGCTATGAACACTCCTAGGCACAAACACCTCAAGCATCACCTCGAAGCGGAGTCTTGAGCGTCTGGGCTATTTGGATCCATGCCATGTGCCGGGGGTGACTGAAAAAGACTCGCCCTTCATGCTCAAGTATGTGGTCCCAAAACCCTGTCGTCGCTCTCCAGTGATCAACCGCGCATACTACCAGCGGGTCGAGAGCATTCGCGCTCTGGTCGACGGTTGGATTGTCGAGTGCGAGTCTCTCGGCGTGGACGAGTGTGCTGTAATCAGTCTTGGATGCGGATTGTAAGCAACGTTTACCGCGCCTTATATATGCCCTTACGATTTCCCTTCAATGTGCCTGAGCTAACAGCACCACCTTATCACTGGAATTCTGAACAATTGCCTCACAGCGATCCGACCTTCTTCAGATTAGCCACGCTGAGAAAGAGCAAGCAGAGCAGGACGAAGCTAAAGTATATCGACATCGATTATCCCACACTTATTGCAGAGCGACTATACATGGTCAGGAATCAGGATACGCTACGCAGTCTTCTCCCAGAAAATCCATCCAGAGAAGATGTTGCAGAGTTTGTCTCAGAGACCTACTCCTGTCTGGGCATTGATCTGCGAAAGCTGGACCAATTGGAGAAAGGGCTTCAGGATGCGGGCGTCTCGAAGAATGGACCCATCGGGATGCCGATCTTAGTAGTCTCCGAGGTCGTTCTTGCATATCTTGAAGCAGATGAATCGGATGCTGTCATCAAGTTCTTTGCGGGATATCCAGAAGGTAACTCCATATTTTTTCAACTGATCTTTTTCTTCTAAGGATTACATGAGTTTCTATGGTCTTTAATAACAGACCTTTACTGATTCACCATAGCCACTTTCATCCTTCACGAGCAATGTATCCCGACATTTGATGCCGACCACGAAGAAAACCTCCAGCCTTTTGCCCTGACCATGTTTAGGCATTTTGAAAGGACGATGACGCCGCTTAAAACACTACGCAAATATCGAAGTCTAGAAAACCACCGCGATCGATTCCAAACGCTCGGCTGGCCAAGCTGCGACATCTTGAACATGAACCTACTCAATGACTTTATTGTCATGCCTATGGAGGAAGACCATCAGCGGATATCACAGCTCGAGCCCTTTGATGAATACGACGAACTATACTGGATCGGTTCCTATTACTTTATCGCCATCGCTTCCACAACATCCGGCAACTCGCCGGTTCCGATTCGAAGTCCAGATGTCCTTCGGCACATCAGCCTACGAACGAAACTCCAGGATCCCACATATTTGTCAGAAGAGCACGTTGATCAAGGAAGCTATGTCAATATCAACAACGCCTCTACGATGACCCCACACTCCGCCATCTCCTCTATTGAAGTCAATTGGGCTGGACAGAACCCATTCCCAAGACTGGATCTCAATCGGAAGGGCCACACCGTGTCTATTCTCGGCGATCATGCGTACATCTTCGGGGGATTCGGTTTGGACACAACAGATTACCAGGAAGACCAGAGGATATTCCATGCACGCTCGCAGCAGACACGGCTCGGTTCCATGATGCGTCTGGATCTCGTCAAAGGATCAGTAGAGACGCTGCCACGAGATGAAAATGGGCCAGCACCTCGAATGCATCACTCCGCCGTTACGACGCTCGACGGGTCGGCAATTTATGTTTATGGTGGCAGGGATGGTCCTACCAAAGTTCACAACGACGTCTGGAGATATACGCCCGAGGACGGATGGGACCCCTTGTGGCGCGCTAAAGTCAGTCAGGAGAGTGACAGCTCAATACCGAAGGGCTTATTCAAGCATACTGCCAATATAGTGACTATTGCTGACAGAGAGATGATGGTCGTCTTTGGTGGCAGACTTGAGTCTGGCGAGGCGAATGATCAGGTATGGGCGTTCGATATTGAGGAGGGCCAATGGGGTCATTTCCGGTGGAGACAAGTGGATCAAAGGCAAAGGCTGCGTGGGATATTTTCACACAGCTCCGTGGTCGTGAAGGACGAAGCAGGTCAGGATAATTTGATCGTAGTAGGAGGCATCCTCGGCAGTAGCGAGAAGGTGTTGAGCACAGTTTGGAGTCTTACCTTAGGTATCAATGATGATGACCGGCAATGTTGGGCGGAAGCAAGAGAAATCGAGGTCAAAGCAAATAATGGTGCCCCGTTGAAGCCGAGATTTGGCCATTCAAGTGTTGCGGTTGGTGAAGACCGGATTTGGGTCCTTGGAGGCGTCTCTTCTCCGGGGCTGCTTCAGTGGCAGGAGACCATGATCGAGATTCGGCCGAGCGCAGGAACATTCCAGCACCTGTGCCCATCATCCTTCAAAGAGCTGGTTATGGTGGGCCATGCAACTGCAGTCGATACGAGCCGCGGAAGAATTATTGGAGTTGGTGGTGGAGGAACGTGCTTTGGATTTGGGGCATGGTGGGATACCTCGGGCTGGGCTTTACAGATCTAGAGTAAAGCTCTCTCTACACTTCAACTAAACAAGCAACATCACGACTGGAAAATATAATATACACATCCTTGGGCATACTTTGCGATCCGTTGTTGGCAGATATCAAGGGCATGTACGTCTAATGGTTCAGCCCACGAAGAACTTCTGCCCTTCAAATTCATCTGCTTCCAGTCGTATCCTCGTCATGGATAGCTAAGAGGCTGATGACACACATATAGGAAGAGTTCTAGACAATCATGTGGTCGCAGGCATGGTCCATGCGTCAATGCCAGTTGGGATTTCCTTCTGCCCAAAAAGACGAGATATCGTCTGTGACACAAATGACAGCCATGTTGTGATGATGGATGGAAAAGCGACGAGAAGCCTAGGACAAGGCTACATCCCACGCTATCTAGTGTAACAGGACGATTAGAGCATCGACTTCTAAAGGTTAATAAGAAGCTAGCACAAAATGGCAACCGCACAATCGATCATGAACAACGTCCACCATTATGACCGTCCCCTGCAACGCTGCGCCAACGTGCGAGCCCTCTCGATGCTTTATTGCAGAACTGCTGGTCCGCATTTGCATCCACAGAGTAATCGTAATGGCATGATTCCAAGCCATTGCGTTCTCAGGAACCGTTCGGGACATCCTCGTTATCATAAGATGTATAAATCCAGTACAAGACCTGAAGCCCACCATCAGCACCCTTGGAGCCCTCGATGACGAACGCGAGCACGAATAGCCCAGATTTAGGATCCATAATGGTGTCTCTAGAGCTGCAGAAACAAGGCGAGGATACGATCTGAGAGATCCTTGAACACCAACTGTACGGTTCATATCCGATACCTGGATCAGAATATTCTGAAGGATACGATGGCCCGCCCCCACGTACGCTGCAGCAGCATCATGGCGACTCCGATCTGCATCGTTAAGTGTTTTTAGTATATATTCAATGGCAAGATTTTACGATCTGTGGAGGATCTACGGAATCTTTCTATTTCCACCTTCACTCTTGAATGCCAGTTCCCGTATCAGGTGTTTGCAGTTGATGCAAGTTGCTATGGGGATCATCTTTGGGTCCCTGGATGTGTACCTTCGCCGAGTCGAAAGATGTTACCGGTCGCGATCGTGGTCCTTGAAGCGGAACGAGCGTCTTCACTCAGTTGTCGAAGACTGCGGCACAGGATCCAAAGGCATGCATGCATACATACGTCTTGTGCAAGTGACCCCGCCTAGATGACATCGATCGACGCGTACAAGAAAAAATCGTCATTGGTCAAACGTGACAAAATCCGACTTTACTGTTCACGGAGTCAGCAGAGCATCGAAGTTATTGCTGCACTAAAATCGAAAAAAAAACGGCTAAAGGAAACGACAACCAGAAGCCACGATTTCTTCTGTCTGTACCTGTAGAAAATGACGAAACGAAGTTGTTTGTCGTGGCTGCTGGGCACAAATAACACACAAACAGACATAGCCGATGCAAGCACAGGGATTACAAATGCCCCCTTGTTTTGGTGGCAAGATAGAAATAGTTCGCCATGGCTCCTGAAAAGACAAGTTGTTGTAGCGTCGAGTGGCAGTGCATTGCAGAACATAAATACCATGGACCTCCCCTGCACCTCTTTCCTATTTTCTCTTCAATCATCCTTACGATAGAACAAGAAACTGCACAGCAAACCCCCAGTTCATCCCGACGACACAAACGAACATCGCCCAACCAGAAAATCAGGAGCCAAAAAACTACTTCCCTCAAAATATACGGTCAAAAAAAGTATATGGCCACCGAAGAAATGTCCCTCCATGCCGCTGCGGCCTCGACCTCGACCAGCAGCATAGAGATCCTCCTGACGGACCAGCACATGATGCAGTACACCATGGGTCTTAGTGATCCGCACGACGTACCCGCAAAAGATCTTTACGAGAAACTTTCCTTCCTCAAGCAGCAACAGCAGCAAAGGAAAATGAACATCAAGCCAGCCCATTCGCTCGAGGAATCTCATCACAACAGCCTCCATCGTCAGCACCAGCACCAGCACCATCATTGCGATCTATCCATCGATACCTCCAACACCGTGACCTCCAAGTGCAGCTCACAAGATACACTCATGGAAATCCTTCAACAGATCGATCACCGTCATCTGCAGAAGGATCTCGAGAAGGAAAATGAACTCGAGCTCGAGGAGGCCGCCACCTTGAGACGCCATCGTCGCTACAAGTTGAACCCGGACCTACTCAAGGATCATCCCTTTACCCTGAAGCAGAACCACGGCCTCGCCAACCTACGCCATAGCTGAGAGGAATAGGCAGCTTGAACCGCCATTTTTTTTTCATTTCGTCTCCTTCGAATAGGAGATGCTAGCCTGCGCCCTGGAGCAAGTGACTAAGATAGCTATCAACACCCGACATATGAATCGTTTTCAACTCTTCCTCGCCCTCGATATCCAATTGCATCCACCACATCCAATCCAAAGGAAATGGACCCTCTGCCTTGTCAACAGGGTGACTCGCCCCAGCACCATCAGCGACACTACTAAACGGATGATGAACATGAACATATGGGCCTACGATACCTTCCCGTACGTAACTTTCCAACGCTACACAAATTCAAGAGATGCTCCTGTTCAATATGGACCATAGATCATCACTACCCCTCAGCTTATGAGCACGTCAACAAAATAAAATTTTTGTCCGAGGATATTGCAAAGTGTCGCAAAATGTCAATGCATTTAATTCGCCAACTCGCAAAGAAACTATTGGAAGATAACAGAGGTGTCGACACAGGTAGCGTTCTGTGTTTTCATTTTTTATTACATAGTTGGTCTACTTCGCCACAGGTGACATTGCTGAACGTGTCAATGTCATCGTAGATGAAGGAGACATTGTATTGCCGCTAAAGTACAGCGATGTCAACTTTCGTACCTCATCTATCACCATTAAAAAAAAAAAAAAAAAAGGTCAATCAATACACAAGTGATGTTTTTCTTCGCAGTGGAAAGATCAGAGACAAAGGATCAGAGCACTGTACCTTCAACTTGAACAAGTGTACTATCCTTTCGCGATACAATCATATAAACCTCCCGATCCTCAAATCGCTTGCCTACAATCCAATGATTCGAGGGTGACCGAGTCGTAATCTCTGTGGCGTCCGGCATCCTAATAACACACAGAATCAAAGATTTAGAGTGCTGTCATTGTCAAGAACACCTATACCGATGCCCATGTCTTTCAAAGCAAATCACTTCAGATTTTTACCGGTCAAAGTCCTGCTTGATATCCAGTAGCGATAGAGCCATATCTGATGCCATATTAATTCCCCCCTTCCCTGTAGGCAATCCCAGTTGCGCCTTGATCGCCAGGTTCATCTTGTTGAAATACAAAAACCGAATCTCTCTATCATTCGCTACTGTGCCGCCTAGGCTGCGAGCTGCATTCGCCTCCTTAATCATCTGCCTCGATACTTCTTCCAACAACGACCGTGTCGTGTTCTCGCTAGGGTCTAATAATGGAGGATCATAAACCAGACCTAAGATGTAATCCTCCAGCTCCTCAGTAAACTGTTTAGGTTCGTCGATCAGTCGTTGAGACTCATCCTGCGTGACAGGCGCGAAGAACGACAAGCTGAGTCCGCTCTTGTGCTGTAATTAGAATTAGATACAATCAGTTAACATGACAATTTCATACAAAAGAACCCCCCCTCCTCCTCCCTGCGATTGAGTTTGATTTTCTTTACCTTGAATATGATGCCAAAATATTCCTCCACGTCTTCGCTTTCATTAGATTCTCCAAACCACAGAGCGTTCACATGCGCATTCCCGCCACTCGCCAAGATGACCTCCCACTCTTCTGATGGCCGAGGACTCGACCCTGCTGTGCCTGTGGCCCCTGGTGGAGAAAGACTGTTTGAGCTGCTGGAGATCACGCCCTCGACACTCCGGATCGAAGGAGCAGGTGAATTGACACGCGACGTTGGACGCAATGGTGGTGTCGTCGGTGGTGTTCCTGCAGAAGTCGACGCCCTGTAGAATCCAAAGATACCGGTATTGGACCATGATTTTCCAAATTTGAATGTCGAGGTCTAGATCCCAACGAAAGACACTCAATTAGTACATCGGACAAAACTTCCTCGGAAGCCTTTTGGCGCATTCGTTTGTCCAATCGATCTAGTTTACCTTCCGTTTCCGTGACTCTTCCTCCTCTCTCCGCTCCAATGCCGATTGTGCACTGTACCCCTCATATCCCGTCAGCTGCACGACATGCCTCCAGGCGGCTCTCAGATCCTCGTCCCGGATATCACTCGACACCAACTGATCTTCAAAAGTTACCATCGAATGTGTGATCCATCCTTGATACTTGTCCCGTACGCTTTTCATCAGTCGATCGACACTTAAGTATCCAGCCTTGCTCAGAGGTAAATAATTAATCCCGTCTAATGCTCGCTCGAGCGTCATGGTCTTTTCGAACTCCCAGCCCAGGACCCACGATTCAAAGAACTCTTCCAATCGGCGCTGTAGCGGCCGGGTATTGCCATTGTGTGTCTGCACAAGGTTGTCCATGGTTCCGTTGGCGATTTTGTACATCGCATAGGCCTGTTTTAACAACGCGGTGACCACAGTGTCGTGTACTTCGTGCTCGAGATATTCAGTGATGATACGGTTCTTTCCGTCGGAGCCCTTGACAGATCGCTTTATCGTGCCGAGTTCTATACACTATCCCCAGGAGGAAGTCCATGCAAATTAGTCGTTCTGTCCTTGGAGCCCATAAGGATCAAGATCGCAGTAAGGGAACCCTTCACTTACCAACTGTAACCAGTACCCAGGTTCGGCTTCATAAAATGCCAGTCGGTTCTTCTGTGAGTGCACATTCTCGCACGGCGCCGTTGGTGAGAATATCCTAACACAGTTGACCCCATGTGCTTAGTCAACACACAGATCCATACAAGCGACAATCCAAAGCGAAAAAGGCAGCTCCTTCATACCGAGCAAAATTCACGAGTCCCTGTGAGAGTCCGATATTGCGCATCTTGACGTCCATCGACACAGTCTTGCGTGCCACATAGTAGAGAAGTTGCTCATGCTGAGTTTCGTCCGTCGGGCCAAAGTCGGGGTTGTAGATGCAAAAGTAGCCTAGTGTTGCTGGTGTGGTCGATGGTCCAGAGGATGATGACGAGGGTGATGCTGCACCGGCTGGTTTAGGTGACGTGGTATCCGAGGAGCCGTACATCAGACGCGGACTGGTTGCTGGCGTAGGGATGAAGAAGTAAAGGAAATGGAGCGACGAAGGACGATGGTTGCCCTCGTTCATTCACGCGCATGGCCACTGTGGCATCTTCCTCGTGACGCGCTATTAACGGACACGATTCGTTTATATAGCGGTTGAAACGCGACCATGTAGCACAGGCAGATAGCTCGTGGAGCTTTACGTAGTTTTATTGTCCCATTATGTTGCGCAATGGGCAATGATCTATAGAAGCTGGGGTCTGGCATGGTACATACAAAGTTGGTTGAAGAGTGGGGTGGGTGTGCTTTTGCTTATATCTGTGGGAGGTGTATTTTACAACGCCCACTGTTGGATGTCTTCAGCGGTCGTTACGGTCCTAGAAAATGCGCAAAAAGGAATTAAAGAAATAGGTCAGTCAGTATATTTTCAGCAACGATGGATGCTATCTTTGGGAAATACGGATGGCCAGACACCACTGCAAATGGACATACTTGACGAAATCCAGTGGGTATTCTTTGCGGAGCAAATTGGCGAGGACTTTGCCGGGACCTAGTGAGATGTAGTCGTGAACGTTCTCCTGGTCCCGCAGATATCCAATGCTCGTGTGCCACTGAACTGTTCCTGTCACCTGTCTGACCAGCAGATCCGAAATGTCCTCAACCCGAGTGATCTACAACGAAGAAAAGAACGACAACAGTTTTGAATGTTAAAACCCATTCATATTATTGTCGCACTCAGACACCAGTGCATACCCGGCAATATGCATCGATCAACTTACAGGCTTGGCAGTGACATTGGAAATCACATCGATGACAGGTTTCTCAAATTTGATATCCTTGAGCGCCTCCATCATCTTATCAGCCGCGGGCTGCATCAAGCTGCAGTGGAATGGCGCCCTACAATTGCAAATACCGAGAGGATGAGCTTTAGGTTCATAATAGGGCAATGGCCTCGGTGTTGACAAGCAATTGATCGGCTCCCACTTACGAGACTGGCAGGTCTACAGCTCTGGCAGCAATTTTTTGTGCTTGTAGGGATCTTGACGCATGGTCGACTCCGCGAACAGTGCCGCTGATAACAACTTGGAACGACTAGAAACGGGCAGCAATGAATCCAATGATTATAAATGCGTAAGTGAATGACGAATCATAATATTCTTGCAGCTGGTTTCTTAACAAAAGAGAACCAATGAACTTACACTGTTGATGTTCGCAATCTCCGCCACTTCCCCAGCAGGCAATGCTGCCTTGATCTCGTCCATGGCCTTGAGAAGCGCCTCGAGTTTCGACGAACGCACGACCAGCGCCGACATGGCTGTGGTTCCTTTGTTGGTCACTGCTTTGGTCATCGCCTGTCCGCGAAGTCTCTGGAAAAGTGAGAGAGGGGATAGAATGTGGTGTTAAAAGGCAGAAAGTGCGATGACGCATAGTGCAACAGCAAGACAAGTAAGACTATTAAGGCACACGTACGACTAATTTGACGGCATCTCGAAGTGCGACAGCCTTGGTGGCAACGAGGGCCGAGTACTCTCCCAGCGAGTGGCCGAGGGCATGTTTGCATGATTCCTCGATTTTGAAGCCGCGCTCGCTCTCAAGCACTCGCAGCATGGCGATCGAGGTCGTCAAGATGGCCGGCTGTGCATTCTCCGTCCGTGTCAAATCCTCCTGTGAACCCTCAAACATGACATTCTTGAGCGTACCCTCCAGAGCGTCGTCTGCTTCGTCTACGACCTGACGTGCCACGGGGTATGTGTCGTACAAGTCCTTGCCCATGCCAACAAACTGCGATCCTTGGCCTATTAGTAGGAAGCAAAAGCATATTCAGTCAGCAAGGAACCATTGGATGATATTCATTAGAGAGAGCGAATAATGTCTTTGGGATCACGACGACAACCGCAAAAGACGTGCTGTGTATAATTTTGTCATGGCAGCGTCAGACCAAAAATAAATTTTGCTCACTTGCAGCGCAACAAAGTGGAGCCAACAAAGACTCCCAGTTTATAGACGGAGTTTTTCTTTTTCATCAATCGATGAATCAATGACAGACAGAAAGCGATCGTGAGAATATTTTGATACCCTCCAATTCTCTCTTTACAGCACTCGAGAGGCATTGTCGCCGTTGGCTGGCTGGGAAAGCTGCTCCCCTCCCCCCAGGAACTAATTGGGGTCATTTTATCTTCCGTTGTTCATCGATGCTTTTGGCAATAAGGTGCGATTTTATCCCGATCCAGCCAAAAAGGAATAGGAAGGTTCATCCTCCCGGCTGGTCTCTTTTTGGGAACATCTCCACGATTGTACGATCGCGCGCTTTCGTTTTTGCCCAGTCACTTCACTCAACGAGTAACTCACTTGGTTACTCACTCGCGCACTTGTTGTCATACAGATGTGCAGATGTGCAGATGTGCAGATGAGCAAAGGAGAGCGCCTGCAAATACCGTAAAGTGTCATCCTCACAATGCAGTTTTAGCCAAATACTTCCCCACAATTTTCTTTTTTCGTCATTTGGGTTTCTCTTTCTGGCAACAGAGACAAACCCTGGCTTTCTTTGCTGTTACTGCCACTGCGCCCTGGCACCGTCACCATCAATGTCATCACAGTAATTTTTTAATGCCTCTCTCAATCTCTTTCCCCCTTATGGCATCTTTGTCCCAGACCTTCAATCGCTTTTCATTTCTTTCACTGAACAGTACCTGGAAAGAGAATCGCCCAATTGTTGCTGTCGCCACCAGATGATGTCTAAATGCATTAGTGAGATCGATAAATAAAAGCAGTTTAATACAACTATTCATGAGGGACCAATTGACGTCAATTGCTCGACAGTGAGGACGGACTGAGCATGTGAAATTCATATACGATACTTACCAAGTGCCGCCTATTCCTTGGGATAAATCTTGGCCGAGGCACTGAAGGCGTGGGCTTTGAAGGGACGGCCGATGGAGGAATAGACGTGGGTGCTGAGAAAATGGGTGTTGAAGGCGTGCTGGATACAATTGGTTCGGACGCGAGTGGAGTTCTTGCTGCTGCTGTCGTTGCAGCGATTGTAGATGCGGTTGAAGTTGATCTGGAGGGAGCGCTGGTGGCTATCGGCAGCATGCGAGAGATGGATGCTATTGGCGTGGCCTTGTCGAGGATAGCCGAGCGGACTGTTGTGCACGCCATGGTTGTAATGTTCTCGAGGATGAACGGTGTTGCCGCCTTTGTACTGTGAACTGTGTTGTTTCGATGTGCGCGTAAGCAGTAGTAGCAGCTGATCTGGTGAACGATGAATGAATGAGCTAATGAGGAAGAAAGAAGGTAAAGAGAGGGAAGTGTGAGTAATGATTGTGCTGTTCTCCTTTTTGTGTGCAGAGCACAATCCAACATTTCAATCGCGTGCAAACCAAACTGGACCGTCCCATTTGGCTGGCTGGCTCTTTTCAGATCGGGGGACCCTTGCACACGCGCGAGTCCGGTCCGTCCGAATTTTTTACACGGCCCTCTCAAAAATATTTGCCACCCTGCAGCCCCACCCATACGTCCACATATGCCGCACGCATTTGAACAGGTTCTTCCCCACAAATAGCCATCCTCTGCGGACACACCCATTCAATCGACTATAACATGGTCAATTGGGCTGCCAGAAGGCATACTCTCCTTTCTTTGACTCAGCAATGTTGCCAGCCAAGAGTGTACCTTGGTAGCAACTGTACCAAGTGCGGACGAAATTATTTCTGTGCATTTTCTTCTCTGGGGGGTAAATATACCATTTGCTACCAAATGATCGTGCTTCTTCATCAACGGCGAAGATTCATCGGCTGTTCGTGCTCTTTAAGGATAGCAATCAAAGCGGCGTAAACATCCGCTTCTCACATGCTGTAAGTTCTCTCACGCCCGATCTTTTCTCTCAATCCTTTGCACCACTCTCTTGCTGCCCATTTGTTCTTGCATGCACTCTCCCAGCATCTCTTTCAAACTGAAACCTCAAAAAAAAAATTAACCATGAATCGCTGCTTAATCTGGCAGGCATAGCGTCGAGATCCAGCCGCGGTCGAAATCCTGACGAACACATTCATGGCATGTAGGTTGCGTTTTTAGAATCACGCCATCATGCGAAGAAAGACCGTTGACTGGATGTCCGGGTCTGGTTTTATTCAAATAGTAAAAAGTAACACGCTTTTTGTTTGCGGCAACATCGTCCTTTGTCAATTTTATACCGACCTACTTTTCATATCTAACCCAGACATCAATTAGTACATGCGCGGCGGTGACGGTAGCGGAAATAAAGGGATATTACGCCTCAACTACATATCAGAAAAAAGCCTCACAGGTTGAACGCCCACTATATTGCGCGGTCAGCTTTCCATTCAGCAGATTTTTGAAGCGCGTCAGGAGGCTATGCTGCCTGTTTAACGCCTTCAATACAGCCAGTAGCAGGGTGAGGTATCTGCAGGACGATTTGCAGCCACATGTGATGAGGCTGCTTTACAGCTGCCTGAAACTAGAGTGACCGGAACAAATTCGACGTGGAGAAGAGGCGGCCTTAAAACAGTGTTTATGCGCGGAATTCAATTGATGGGATTGTCTTTCATTCATAGACCGGTATTTCACCAGGGCAATCAATGAATCAGCACAACTGGATTTAGAACCCACGTGGCGAGCAGACAGGAATAAACTACTATGAACATAATGCATAGCATTTCCACATAAAGTATTCCCAAAGTGGACGTGATACTTCTCTGATATGACCCTACTATGCGTTGCCAATAGGCCCCGATAGAAAAAAGAGCCAATCAAGGAATATGGACGGCGACTTTCCAGTCCTCATTTCATATCTGATCAACAACTGGTCTATCTTATTTTTACTGTTGGCCCATTTGATCTGCTAGCTCCCATTGCAGTTCGATGATGTCCCTTTCACATCTATCTTAAACGGTTCTCTTTATTCATAGCACTGGTGAAGATTAATGTTGAATCTTACAGCGCTATTTCATTTAAGAATAGTGACCCAATAATTAGAAGAGTTTTTGTTTGGATGGCAGTGGTAATATTTCCTTTGGGATAAACAACTATGAAGCACACACACACTCCATTTTTGATCATCTTCCTCTTCTTTGTACAGTAACACATAACTGATCATGAAAATGAAAGAACGCTTGATTGCTAGACCTGACAGCGTGCAAAGCCTTAAACTATGACCACAACCCACAATTAGGAGGAATCGGTGTAAACATCGTGAAACAAATGGTTTACGACCGTCGGCAATTGCTCTCAGCATGCATACCAATAATTATGATGGAGAAAGGATTGAGCAGTGGCATCTTTGGCAATCAGACTATGGCCGGCTACCCTACTAAACCAATCGTTAGTCACTGAATGTGAGAGACCAAGAGTATAGACTACCAGACATTTCATGATTACGCCAAAACGGGTGACTTTGAGTGGCAGCCATAGAATACAGCAAAGGATTCATTAGCTCGGTGCATGATAAAGCATGGTGATGGGTATACTACCATGCCAGCTCGCGTTGCCACCAAACTTCAGAGCAGAGCCGAAAGAAAAAAACATGGGTGCTGTTCGAGATTTCGGAGAGATGTGTTCATTTATGGAAATGCGATGGTATTTTTGAACTCCATTCATGCAAATGGCTGTACATTTAAAGTTCAAGACACTCACTCTTTCATCACAGTGCTCTCTCTCTTTCCTTCTTAACCCTGGCTTGTGCCTGTCTGCTCCCTTCCTTGACAAGTCCGTCTGTGTGTGGTTCTCCGAAGAAGAAGGGTAAAGTGTAATAATGCTTAAGCTCCAGTACGCCTTGACCGTTTGCTTTGTCAGCTGATTCGGTCATTCCGGTGGGCCTTTGCCTGTAGACGTGGAGGCAAAGAGCTGAGCTGTGACCCGATATTTTTATGTAAAATTTGACCTGAGGGCATTCACAGTATAGACCAAAGATGATCGAATATTTCAATCGCTTGTAGTAGACAGACAAATTAGGCATTCCTACAGTTCAATGGCGGTCACTTCGATAGAAACAAAGGACGAATGAATGAGTAAAGGAGTGTACGATGGAGTGATGACAAGGACTAGGAAAATCGGCGAGGCATCGACCTGCCTAGTCTACCGGCTGGACCTCATTTAGGACTCGGTGCTCCAGGGAAAAACAGAAAACTGAAGATTGAGTGCATGTAACTGGTACGACAGGAAAGAACTGAGCCGGCATACCAAAAAGTGCAACTAAAAAAGTGTATGTCTCCCATCCCACCCTTGCGCCCACTGTATTCTTATTCCCTCTGGAGGGGATGTTGAGGAATAGACATCTGACAACAAGGCAAGACAAGAACGAGAGACACAGGCACAGACGACCGCTATTTTTAGCCTTGCGCTGTCTTTTGACACCTCCATTTCACATATAAAAAGACAGCCCACCTCCAAGTGGTCAATTGTCAATTACAAAATAAAAATAACCAACCACCTCACTCCTCCTCCTCTTTCTTTTCCACCATTCCGTCCATTCACTCAATCCCTTCGCTCGCGTTGACGCTTCCTTCCGCGCGCCTCACGACCGTCTCACTCCTACCCTCGGCCCTCTTCCCACTCCCACCGCCGCTCTCGCGCCCAGCCTACCCACGCTTCCTCCTCCCCTCGACAGTGTCCTTGGCCGACTCGCTTCCCACCTTCTACTTGCCACGTCTGCTGCCCTTCTTCCTCCTGCCAACGCACAGCCCCCAATTTTTAGTTCTGCACACCCTCTCGCTCTTGAAGACCCACCCTGAGACCATCGTCCCCAGACCTTACTCTCCCTTCCCGGACTTGACAACAACCGACAAATCACAATGGCGATTATCCGCAAGCTGGGTCTCCTGCTTGCTGCAGCCTCAGTCCTCTCTCTAGGCCTCGTCGCCAGGACCGAGGCGGCTGCCTGCAAATATAACAGCGGCCTTGCATGTCCACAAGAAACACCCTGCTGCAGTCCGGTAAGCGACCAGCCCACTTCACACTTGTCCTCCACACCATCGCTACCAACAATCATACCCCGCTTTTTGGTCAACTTTGCAGAAGGCATCGACGACAGTTGAAGTCTTCGAGAAAATACAATCCCCTACTGTTATCTGCTCAGGGACATCAAACCGCTCCTCCATGTTTATGAACAGTACACTAACCATTGAATGCCACGCCCATTTCCTTAAACATCATTCCTTCATAAAAATAGCATGGGCACTGCGGAAACTCTCCCATCGCATGTGGCGTTGGCTGTGACGCCTCCGCCAGCTTTGGCGGCCACTGCGCGCGCTACATCTCCGCGGATACCCTCACAAGCGGTGGCAAGCCCAAGCCAGTACCAAGTCTACCGAAGGGTGCATTCAAGGTCGTCGGCGACTCTGGTGTGGCTGCACAACACATCTCCCTGGTGACTCCCACAAGGATGTTGATCATCGACAAGGCCGAGGCCAACCCACCCAAGCTGCCCGACGGAACATCTGCATACAATGTCGAGTATGACCTTGTCAAGAACGAATATCGCGTGCTTGAGGTCCAGACCAATACCTTCTGCTCCGGTGGTGGCTTCCTGCCCAACGGTACGATGATCAGCGCTGGCGGTGCCGAATTGCGTCGCTCGCGTGCCTTCCATACCGAGTCCGGTTTCCAGTCCCTACGCATGTGGCAGCCCTGCGAGGACAAGTCCTGCGGCTGGCTCGAGAGCCCCGCGGACCCCGCCTGGCAAATGACCGGCAACCGCTGGTACGTGTCCATCACAACACTACCCTCGGGTGAGCTCTTTGTCCTTGGTGGCAGTAACGAGTCCCTAGCTGTCAACCGACTTGCCACCAACAACCCCACTTGGGAAATCTTCCCCAAGCCAGCGGGTATTAAGGCCGCTGACTACAAACCAACGTTTATGCAGTTCATGGTCGATGCTCTGCCCAACAACCTCTACCCGAACGTGTACTCGTTGCCCGACGGAAACGTTTACATCTTTGCAAATCGAAAATCGATGATCTTCAACGTCGAACGCAATGAGGTCATCAAACGCTTGCCCGATATTCCTGGTGGTCCTCGCTCTTATCCTCTTACTGGATCCCATGTTCTCCTACCATTGGATCCAGCCAAGAACTATGCCCACGAGGTTCTGGTTTGCGGTGGATCTGAGGCTCAGCTCCAGCACGCCAAGGCCCTCCAGAGCTGTGGTCGCATTAACCTCAACGACGTTGACCCACAATGGGAAATGGATGAGATGCCTACGCCTCGTCTTATGGGCGACGCTATTATTCTCGCGGATGGCAAGGTCATGATGTTGAATGGCTGCAAGACCGGATACGCTGGCTTCCGTCATGGTAACGATCCAGTCTTCACTCCGGTTATCTACGATCCCGCGGCGCCTCTTGGCTCAAGGTTCACTGAGTGGGTCCCCAGTAACATTGCAAGAATGTACCACTCTGTCGCGATGCTGTTGCCGGACGGCAGCGTCTTTGTCGCAGGCTCGAACGAAAACTCCGAGGTGCGTCTGAAGGATGTGCCGTTCCCAACCGAATACCGCATCGAGAACTTCACGCCTCCATACCTGACGACGGATCTGGCCCGTCCTGAGATTGTGTCAAAGGTGCCTGAGAAGGTGACCTATGCCCAGAAAGTCCAGGTGACGATCGATGTGAAGGATACGAGCAAGTACGAGCCAGAAGTGACCTTTATGCTGGGCCATAAAGGCTTCGTGACGCACAGCACGCACATGTCGCAGAGGATGACCAAGTTAGTGTCGACACAAGGCAAGATGGAAGGCACGAGTATCACATACGAGGTCGAGATGCCACCGAATGCGAACTTGATGCCACCGGGCCCCCATTATATCCATGCCTTGAACAATGGCGTCCCGTCCATCGCTGTCCATTTGATTCTTAACTAAGAGAGCACGTTGTATTTCTGTAAAAGATACCAAAAACATAACCTGTACACATACGAAACGATAAAAAAAGGAACGAAATAAAAACGTAGAGCATAGTTTATTTTCGTGAACGCGTCGTCAAGGACCTTATTGCTGAACGTTGTGAGAATTGAATGAAAGTGTAGGAGTGTTAGAGCGGATCAGATTATGTTATGTCATAAAACTTTGACCGCATCCACAGGACTCTTTGACGTTTGGGTTGTTGAAGACGAACTGCGCCGATAACTTGTCTTGGACCCAATCCATCTCTGAGCCGAGTACGGATAGTAGCGCCTTGTTGTCTACCAACACCGTAACACCTAGAGTTTACGGCAAAAAACAGCAACAACAGGTGTCCTCGTTTAGACGTTTCCCGATGAGCCATGGAAGGTGTGACAGACACAAGCAGGGCGCATGTCGAAGGTTACCATCTTGTTTGACCTCCTCGTCGAACTTCTCTTTCTTATCCGTATACTCGAGGTTATATTGCTTTCCTGAACATCCCTTGTGGCGAATCCCGACACGGACCATCTTGGGCTCTGGACCTTCAGTCAAAGCGCGTAGGCGCGTTACTGCTGCAGGTGTCTTGGGGATGAAGATGTGAGCAGGTGAAGAAAAGGCAGAATGTCTGCGCGTCAATCATCAGACAGGGTCCACAGCATAGCGGCGTAGATCAATGTGTATGCATGGACATGTTGAGGCAGCATTACGAGCGTGAGGACGGCTCTTGTGGGACGAGGCCTCCTGAGGGCGGCTCCTTTGATGACTTTGGCTGCCTGGGACATGGTGTAAATGGCGAATGACAAAAAAAAAAAAGAAAGTTGGGCGATTCGATTCGATGGGAATGGGAACAAGTGGGGATAAGGAACCCCTACACGTGATGGATGGTAAAATTGGTAACAAGTGGGGTTTCCCTTCTACACGCGTTCTGGGGTGCTAGGCGATAACACACTTTTTTTTTTGGTCAACATATTAGCCCTCCCAATTCTCTTCCGACATTTGTCTCTATCCTCGAGAGGTACAACAGCAGGAAAGCCTCGCAGATTAGACACGGAGTCACCTTTCACCTAGTCCTTCACAGGTCCATCACTTTTCATTCGATATACATGTCTTCTCCAGTCTTCTTCTTTGACATCTCAGTGCTCAAGAAAGCGGACCGTAGCAGACATTGCGAGAGTCCGAAGATACTCAAAATCAACCTTAGCTCGGACAGAGTTGGCCCCCATGACTGAAAAGGCGCTGGAAGGCGTACTATATGAGCTTGCGAAGGAGTTTGTTACCTTGGTCCATAGTGAGTCCCTTATATGCTGACCAAGTCCAAAGACCAAATTGAATAGAGAGCCATACAAATAGTGTTTGTCACTGCAATATCTGTAGGATAAGAATGTCTATGTAAATCTTTAGTCATGGCCAAGTTGCGTTTTAAATTCTACGTGGAGGATATCCGTCCCAGAGGTGTCCTGTCTAAGATAGAGAACTAGCACCGAGTAGCGGTAGATTCAGGGCCCAGCAACACTTTCAACAAGCAAGATAGTACGGCCAATATGCCACGGCCGCCACATCTGGTTCCTGATCTCACAGTTCATCAAGAGCCCTATGGTTCTCTCAATAAGGAGTTATGTCTATTCATTCTCAGTAAAACTACCAGGCACGCTTTTCAAGTTCGTCACAATATCGTGCGGAAGGGTAGCCTATTGTCTCGTCGCAATATTGGCTATTCTTGCAGCACGATCGTACTTGTCCGCATCGTCCAATCAGGTCACTAGGATTACGTACAGTTTCTTGAACAAGTCGAACGGTGGATTCCTGTGGGAACAAGACCAGTTACAAAATCACACTGCGGCAGGATCCATTACGGTATCTGTCTACCAGAAATCACCCAAATACCATTACAGTGCCAAAGAACCTGAGGAACATTATTTTGCTGCAGATCAGTCTTTGGGAGCAGGTTCTGTATTGAGCATATGCGGTTAGTCATGGCCTAAAGAGTATAGGATGGACGCAGATCGGCACCGAGATGGAGCAATGCAACCCGTTGATGGACAATGGGATCGAAGATCGAGGAGCGCTTTCAGGCTGAGATTGAGACGGACGTTAACATGTTGGGCATCGAGGATGAGTGTTTGTGCCTTGGGTGTAAGGAGGACGGGCCGCCGTCGTGTTTGAAGCCGTCTTCTCCTTGACGGGTGTTGCTTGGTTTGGTGCGTGGGGTGGCCCCTGCAGATAATAAGGTACTTGTGGCACTTGATCCTAACGTTCACTCACTCTTGTGCGCAGAATCAGTGGGACGGGAAGCAGGTAATCGAGCGAGCCGACAGCCGAATAGGGTTGCCATAGATAGACGATGCTCGCGTGGATTGAGCGAAAGAACCTTGATCTATGAACCGAGTGTCCGCTAGAAAATGGATGGTTATATAGTCCAAGAATATCCGGAAAACATAAGTTTTTTTTCATGGAGAAAAGGTAAGCTATTAACAGGTTGGATCAATTGGATATCTAACAGACTGTAAGACCATTTCCAGCCAACCAAAGGGCTCCAGATACCCCACACTGTTCACTGGTGCCCTCTTATTGGGTGCCTGAAGTTTTTGGAAAGTTCTATTCGCTTTATGTTTGAACGGTTTGTTACGGCGTACGTGCTTACCGAACTCTGGGGCCGTTGATCGCTTTAGACATTCCTTTAAGACAGGACAGGACTTGGTGTTAATCCAGGTCCAGGAGGGAGATTCGACGCTGTTCCTGAGACTCATCTCGCTATTGAATACATGAATCGTTTTGCATGGCAGCAATGCGCTTACTCTCGACGCAAAGAAAATCTAAAGTGCGAGCACAGCCGTCATGCTAGGTCTACTTATACATGATCGACTTTCGTGGCGGCATCTCCGGATCTGATATTTCCGCTATCATGACAAAGGTATTGAGAAAGGGACATGCATGAGGGATGCAAATCAGCGTCCACGCTTGTCTGTCATAAACTCAAAACTTGTATGATCTAGAATGTCTAGTTCATCGGGTGCGGTACACCCAACGGACCCGTACGTCAACATGTTAACAATCCAAGTTCAGTTGGCCTCTGCAGAGCAAGCTCAATGGGAGAGCGCATGTCAAGAGATAGGACCAGCAGTGGTCGAAGCTCCTCCGGAAGACTGGAAACCTTCTCTGCGTACAATAAATTTTTTTTGCTTTCCTTTGCTTCCAAAATGTTTCTCTCGACGTATCCCGGTATTGCGTGAGGTACGAATCGGTCGGCTAAGCAATTTCAGAACCAGCTGGACCCCTGGGCCCCGTTCTCGTGCTCCACTCCTGGCATCTCATTGCCCTGTTTTCTTGCACTCACTTTGCTGGTACGATAAACAGATAGCTACATCGTACATCCTGGTACTGTGCCTGTTTCTCCTCCTAATAAATACTCACGCCTCCGATCTCTTCGTTTCGCTTCGTTCGTGCCTTGCGTTTCACATTCATCCCTACCAAGCACATTCAAGCTACCATCTACATTCTCTCCATTCTTACCCCAAACCTTCACAATCCGTACCACCACTACCATCAGCAGCTCCTCATTCGCTAAGGTTATGGGTAAAATAACCGTCAAACTCGAGCCCGAGACCCCCTTTCACACCTTCACAGTCGAGCAGACCGCACAGCACTGCAACACCAGCATCCTCGAAGGCATCTCCTCTGATGAGGCCACCATCCGTCTGAAGGAATATGGCAGCAATGAACTCCGCGGTAATGGAGGCGTCAAGTGGTACAAAGTCCTCTGGCGCCAGATCGCCAACGCCCTCGTCGTCATTCTCCTGATCGCCGCCGTAAGTACACATACGCAATTCGTTTACTCATAATCATTGTGCTGCTGCAACCTCCTCCGCCGGATACCATTCTAATCGGTAGAAATCTATACTTGCACCATACAGGCCCTTGCATTCGCCACTACAGATTTCGCCGAGGGTGGTGTTATTCTCTTTATTATCGTCATGAACGCTGCAATCGGCTTCTGGCAAGAGTTCAACGCCGAACAGACCATGGAAGCTCTCCGCAACATGTCTTCGCCAACCTCAAAGGTCATCCGCGACGAGATCCGGGTTACCATTCCCAATAGCCAAGCCGTCCCTGGAGACATCATGATTTTCGAGGACGGAGATGTCATTGGAGCCGACTGCCGCCTCTTCGAGGTCTTCAACCTCGAGACTGACGAGGCCCTCTTGACTGGAGAGTCTCTCCCCGTCCAAAAGAACTTGGAGCTCATCGAAAAAGTTGATGAGGCCCTTGGTGATCGTCTCAACATGGTCTTTTCTTCCACAACCGTCGTCAAGGGTCGCGCTAAGGGTATTGTCACCGAAACAGGGATGGGCACACAGATCGGAAAGATTGCCACCACACTGATGAGCGTTGACTCAAACGAGCAGACCCCACTCCAGAAGCGTCTCAATAAGATGGCCTACCTTGTCTTCCTTGCTGCTCTGATCCTCGTCCTGATCGTCTTTGCTGTCCACAACTTCAAATACTCGAGCGAGGTCGCCATCTATGCCATCTCTGTCTCGATCGCCATCATCCCCGAGGGCCTTGTCGCTGTTGTCACTCTGACCATGGCTTTCGGCGTTAGCCGCATGGCTGAAGTCAAGGCCATTGTTCGTCGTCTATCCTCCTTGGAAAGTTTGGGCGCCGTCACCAACATTTGTTCCGACAAGACTGGTACTTTGACCCAGTCCAAGATGGTTGCTGTTCGCATGTGGTTGCCTAGCGGGGGCTTCTACCGTATTACTGGAACTGGCTTCATCCCTGAGGGTGACGTTTTCCGCCAAGGCGAGACCACCGATGGCGACTTTGTTAATCAGGAGGAACAGATCCCAGTCGGTGGCGGTTCGGATCATTATCTTCGGGTTCTGCAGACTGCGTCGCTTTGCAACATGGCCGAACTCCGTCGTACCCAGCATCCTGAGACTCACGGCGAATGGACTGCCATCGGTGATCCCACTGAAATTGCCCTTCAAGTCTTAGCCTACAAAGCTGGTCTTGCCAAGCCCGAGCTTCTTGCCGAGGGCTTCCAATTGATTGCCGAGTTCCCCTTTGACTCCACTGTCAAACGCATGTCGGTCCTTTACCAGGCCCCCAAGAGTAACGAAAAGTTTATTTTCATGAAGGGTGCTACGGAACGAGTTATTGGCTGCTGTAACTTTTGGCGCGATGGCGACGTCGAACACAGCTTGGTCGGAGAGAAGGCCGGCGCTCGCACCGCCTTTGAGGAAATGATTAACGAGAAGATGAGCGCCCTTGCCGAGAGAGGTCTCCGCGTCTTGACCCTTGCCTACCGCGAATTCGAGGCTCCACCTGGCGTTGATTTGATCCGCGGTTTGAAGCGCGATGAGATCGAGAGCGACCTTGTCTTCTTGGGCTTGGTCGGTATTTATGACCCTCCACGTGCCGAGTCCCGTCCCGCGGTACTCAAGTGTTACGAGGCCGGCATTCGTGTCCATATGTTGACCGGCGACCATCCCTCAACTGCCGCTGCCATTGCAAAGGAAGTCGCTATTATTCCTGAGGATCTGAACGTCAAGAACAACCCTTTGGTCATGACTGCCCATCAGTTCGACTCCATGTCTGACGAAGACATTGACAAGCTTGAGGAGCTACCTCGTGTCGTTGCTCGCTGCTCTCCCAACACCAAAGTCAAGATGATCTCTGCCCTGCACCGCCGCAACCTGTTTGCTACGATGACTGGAGATGGTGTCAACGACTCTCCTTCACTCAAGGCTGCTAATGTTGGCATTGCAATGGGTCAATCTGGATCGGATGTCGCCAAGCAAGCTGCCGATATTGTCTTGACGGACGACAACTTTGCCACCATTGTCCAGGCTGTAGCTGAGGGTCGTCGCATATTTGCCAACATCCAGAAGTTTGTACAGCATCTGATGGTATGTATTGTCATTCAAGCTTTGAACACTAATGTCAATCTGCCACCACATTTCTAACACGTTTGTGATGTCTTATTCTTTTCTATAGTCTGCTAACGTCGCTGAGATCGTTGTCCTGATTATCGGTCTTGCTTTCAAGGATAACGATGGCAATGCTGTCTTCCCCATGAGTGCTGTCGAGATTCTGTTCTTGAACATGATCACATCTTCGCCTCCAGCGATGGGTCTTGGCCTCGAGCCTGCTAGCGAGTCCAACATGCGTGAACCTCCTCGCTCGGCCAAGCAGGGTCTTTTCTCGTTCGAAGTCGTCATGGATACCTTTGTATACGGCTTAGTCATGGGCGCTTTGTCGTTTTTCAACTATTGCGTCGTCGTCTTTGCACTCAACGACAGCAATCTTGGATCCGGCTGTAACGGCCACTTCTCAGAGCAATGCGTTCCTGTGTTCAAGGCCCGCGCGACCTCCTATGCGTCCTTGACGCTCCTAATCCTTGCCCACGCAATCAACTGCCGCGCACTTCGCGAGCCAGGCTGGACGCGCAAGAACCTCGCGACATTGAAGTACAACAAGATGCTGTGGATGTCTATTGTGATTGGTGCGTTGCTAGTCTTCCCGATTGTGTATATCCCTGGATTGAACCATAACGTGTTCAAGCATATGTCCTTGACATACGAATGGGCGTTTGTGTTCGCGGTCCTTATCATTTTTATTGGTTTTGCGGAAGTATACAAGTGGATCAAGCGTCGTACGATGAAGCCACTTTCGCTGGAGACAGATGCGGAGAAGGGGATGAATCGCATGCGCACGTTTACCTCTGTCAACGATTCTGTCATGGAGAAGAAGCTGTAAAGATGGACATATACGGCATTCAAGGTTACCTTTATCATCGATATCGATGCACATTTTTCATTCTTTACTTTGTTCGTACTCGACGAACAAGAGTTGCAACATATACCGCCCCATCCGACATTCGAATAAACATAATTCTCAAGAATCTCAGCCATGACTTCCTCTAAAGGACGACCTAGGACAACACAACGGATGATGAACTGTTGAACTGGCCATTTTCAGTTTCTACTCTATTCTTTTGGTTTGCCTGATCGATAACAGGCGCGATACATGTCGCCATTGTCGGCGTGTTCAGCTTGTGTTACTTTACATCGGGGGCAACAGCAAGGCATCCTCGGAGAAGCTCTTGCGCCTGTAGAAAACGAAAGCTTGAAGACGCGGATCCTTGAGGAGATGATACCATGAGGGGTCCTTGTGTAACCCGGCGCTCGTTGTTATCAACAACGAGTGCATTGGGCGTCAAGTTTTTTTTAAGCTTTTGAGCGAAAATCTTTTTGTACGCTAGTCGCTCATTATTGGTCAAGATCGCACCATTTTTTAATGCCATGTCGTGCAATTCGCCGTTTGAGGTCGCGCGTAATCGGGGGTTTCGTTATTTGACGTTAAGATTCACTCTGTGCTTGATGATGGTGCATAATGACGCCTTGGAGCCCTCTCACCGCCTGAGAAAAATGCGGCTGCACTATGGAGCAGGTACCCAAGCGATAGTGCAGATCTCCTCTAGGGGTAGGGCATAGCGAACACATGCACCTTGATCTGGAGAATGACAACATGAAGCAATTAGAATACTGAGAATATAAAAAGGAATCTACTCTTTACTTGCCTTTGCTTTTTGCTCTAGTATCTACCACCTTGAAGCAACTCGTACCAATTCACTGCTCTGCCCCTCTCCTTCGCTCTCCCTAGCACCGCTCGTATCAATTTCTACCTCCACGCATTCGGATTTCCCTTTATCATCTACCCCATGTCGAAAGCACAAGAAAGCAAGGCTGACCTGGAGCGGCAAGAGAGCATCGCCAGCACGCTTGAAGGCACAGGATCAGCAGATGACTGGCTACGGATCCAAGGCGAGAAGAACCCATATTACGCCCACGATCTCACTTGGACGCCCGAAGAGGAGAAGAAGATCGTTCGTACCTTTGATTTCAAGATTCTATCATGGATCGGAGTCATGTGTAAGTCTCGCGTTGCTCAGAATGTTTGCTGCAATAGGAAAAAACAACAACCGCAGTGTATCTGACATATCTGCTTTGACCGCCTAGTCTTCTTCATGCAATTGGATCGTGGCAACATGGCCAACGCCCTCACGGACAACTTTATGGAGGACCTCAACATCACACTCAATACAGTCACCCTCGGCTCGACCATCTTCACAATCTTTTTCTGTCTTTTCGAGATCCCCTCCAATATAATCATCCGTCGGGCAGGGCCGCAGCGCTGGATCCCCTTTCTGATGTGTTTCTGGGGTCTCTCCACTGCTTGCCAGTTCTTCCTCAAGGACAAGCTTACTTTCCTGATCTGCAGGGCTCTGGTCGGAATTTTCGAGGCAGGATATATTCCCGGGATTGCCATCTACTTGACGACATACTACAAGAAACACGAGATGGCAGTGCGGTTGTCGATCTTCTGGTCCACTCTGGCGATCGCCAACTCGGTTGCTGGAGTGCTCGCTTATGGGATCTTGCACATGCGCGGGGTTGCAGGCCACGCGGGTTGGAAATGGCTGTTCCTGTTCGAGGGACTGGGCACGGTCGTGATCGGAATCTTTTCATTCTTTATCCTCCCCGAAGGTCCCACGAGCACCAAGGGCGGTCTCCGCAGGAATGGATACCTCACAGCCCGTCAGGAGCAGATTGCGATTACACGCCTGATCCGGGACGACCCCACCAAGGCCGACACTAGCAAGGGTGTAGTCTCGCGGAAACACCTCTTCAAGGCACTGACGAGTCCGAAGGTGTGGCCGAATATCTTGATTGGATTCTTTGGCTTGTTGCCATTTTCACCCCTGACGATTTTGTCGCCTCTGATCGTCAAGAACTTGAACCTGGGAGTTCCACCTTTGGTATCGAATTTGCTGGTAATCCCGGGCTATGTGATTTCATTGTCGATTATGACGTTTGTGAGCTGGAGCTCGGACAAGCATAACGAGCGCGCGTTCCATGGAGCGTTGGCGTCGACATATTATGCGCTGTGTATCTTGGCCCTGGCAGTGCTCCCGGAGGATGCGAGCAAATTCAGTCTGTACTTTGCGCTGATCTTTGCGATGGGCGGTCAGACGTGCTGGCATCCTGTGAATGTAAGTTGGATATTGTAAAGGCTAAGTTTTTATTGCTAACGTTGCAGCCATAGCAAATCCTAATTGCCTTTTCCTTTCGATAACAGGCTGCGTGGATTGCAGGGAACACAGCTCCGGTCGGAAAACGATCGATCGCGTTGGCAATGTACATTATTTCAGTCAATGCATGCGACATGGTTTCAGTGAACCTGTTCAGGGACGAAGATGCACCTCGGTTCATTACAGGGTTCTGGATCCTGTTCGGCGCGCTCCTGCTGACGATCGTGCTGTTTATCTTTCAGCGTTATCATCTCATGTGGATCAATAAGCGAAGGGAAGAAAAGACCAAGGATTGGACGGATGCGGATTGGCACCATTACAACGAGACGACGACCGACGAGGGAGATGATCATCTTTCGTTCCGCTACAGCTACTAGAGTTATTATGTTATAGTCAATAATTAGACAAAAAAAAAAAAAAGTCGATTGTAGCGTGGGTTGCGGACGCGTGCTCTGTTGTCTAGAAAAAGGAATAGGAATGCAAGGTGACGCTTGGTGGGCCTCTGACCGGCTCCATCCTCAGGCAGATCCGTTAATTGAGGGCTCTCATTCCAATTTACAGCCAATATATTGCTAGTGGTTGGTCTGAGGCTCTAATCCGGGCGCAGACGCTGTGGCTAAACAAAGACAAAGCGCGCTATTGGGCCAGACAACCCATAAGTGGTGTAAAAAATACCCTGACAAGTAGAGCTAGGTGTCTAAATTAGGTGTTTTTAGTCAGGATACATCAGAGTAAGCAGCACTCCCCTCATTGCAACGGAGGTGAACTATAAAGAGAATTATGGGGGAGCCGCTGCAAGGGACAAAAGGGGCTGCTTTTGGCCAGGCTTAGAGCAGCTGAAATTGACACCTGCTTATATAGCGGCCCCTAGGCTGCCAAGGGGGAAGCAGGATCTGACTGGCCAGGTCGCAGAATAATTTTGGAATTGACACATCAACACATCACCACACAATCTCTGTTTTGCTCCCATCTGTCCATCCATCCATCCCCTTGATCGTTCCTTCGACCGGCCATGCACACGATCCCTCCCCCTGACAATCCGTCTCATTAGAAACCTGAACTCGCACTCGCCTCTGTCTTGGTCACTTTACGCACTTTTTTTCGTTTTATTTTGTTTTACAATACGCACACCCACTCTCCTCCACACCCACTCTCCTCCACACCCTCTTCCTTCCACTGCACACTTTCTGTCGTTATCCAGCACTTTGCACCCAAGACCATCCTTCCCTTGCCCACATCCAACACACGGCTTGGCCCTAGCACATCCACATAACGCATTAACTCTCGACTCTTCAGCCTATTCACAGACCTTCAACTACTATTCCCTACTAAAAAAAAAAAAAAGAAAGAGAAATGATCATGGCCCCAATTTCCTTGTCATCACCATGCCAGTCGAACGCAACAGCTGGGGATGCTGCTAATCTGGACGGATATTTGACTAAGAAGAGGGCCTCGATCCATTATCCGGACGGTATGTCCTCGCACCTTCTCTCAGTCAGTCAAGGTGTACCGTCCGCTCTTGCATTAGGAAGCTGACATAATGTGCATTTACAACATTTACCACTACTGTAGACTCCACAGCTGCAAAACGGATGTCTTTGCATCTTGGTCTGCGCTGCCGTTCGCTGTCCGAGTCCTGGGCATTTGTCTCTCCTTCTACAGTCGTGCCTGAATTCCCAGAGAAGAAGGACGGATCAACATCAACATGCTCTTCATCATCCACCACATCGACAGAGACACCATCATCGCCCGTTGTCGACACTAGCAGGACCAATTCTAGCCGGGAAATGAATCAAGAACAGCGTGATCAGGAACTCCTGAACACACTAACCTCTTTCTTGCGAGGCGAAGGCAATGCTGTGGATTGTCATCCCACGGCCAAGGATTGCCGGACCATCAACGATGGCCTCTCGGCTGTCACGGCCTCTGTTGGGACCAAGACGGAATCAGGACTCTCGCAATCGGCTGGCCCGGTAAGCAAAAATATCTTGCACTCCATCTATGCGCCCTCCCCCTGTCCCAATATTGTCAACGGGGACATTATGATGTGATAGGAGAAGGCACTGCAGTGCCCCACGGATAGCACCATACATTACACTAAGCGCGCGTGACATAACTATTCATGCGATCGAGTACATGTTGCCAAGCCGAAGCTAGCCTAACTAACCAGCGATTGCTCTTGTTCTTTTGGACCTGTCATAGACCAACGAAGGGTCGGAGCTCTGTGATCTTGGTATGTGTACGACTCTGGATTGTTGATGAATTGTTCGTGGAAGAACAGCCTTGACACGCTGAGCAAATTTCAGGGGTGTTCTGTGCCGAGAAAACGATGATTTTGTTTGTCGTACAACATCCACAATATTCACCAAAGGTCCTGCTAATTTGAACTATACATTTATTCAATCGGTACTCTGTAGTGGTCACTATCCGCGACTTTGCCTACCCAACGGCTCACCCGTACCACTGCGGACTGTATCCACCCGAGCCAGCATATGAAGAGTCGGACATTGAGGAGGACGATGAGACAGAGGAGGACTATGACGAACAGGACCAGGATCGGGATTCGAACGATCGCACACAGGGACATGCTCGTGGTCTATATGACTTTGACGCCGAAAATTCGAGCGAACTAAGTTTCCAGGAGGGTGAATTCCTCTGGGTTCATTGCCGACAATTCCCAGGCTGGTTCTTGGGAGAGATGAATGGAAAGACTGGACTTGTACCTGAGAACTACGTACAATTGCTATAACTGGCTACTCTGCCCGAGGATTTAATCACCTTCACTCTCTTTCTGTAATAATCTCCGTTCTTCCGTACCATAGTCGCTGGTCGATTGTGGTTTAAAAGATAACCAAAAATTCTAATAAAATCTAAAGCAACCCCCGCATGGCATTTTTCTACATCCTTTAATGGTCTGCATTTTTCATATAGTATGCGGACAAAACTCTACTACTACTATATCGGCTCGTCAGAAGGAGGCGGGTGTATGGTTCTTGGGACCTTGATCCTAAAAGCGAAGACACCTAAAGCTTGGTCCACTGCTCACTCTCAATGCCAACAGATATCTAGCAGACATCTATATTTTTCATGTCCCTTCGTTCTGTACTTGATGGATATCTAGCCTTCTGTCTATGGACAGGCGATAGCTCTGCTAAACAGGCATCCTGACGCTATACTGATAATCCGGATCCTCCGGCTTTTCAGGGCTGTAATACCAGGCGTATAAGGAATTATCTGTTCTGGCATAGTGGAGGGGCCAAGGATTGATAGGTAAGTCTGGCACCGTATTCATACCCGCTCCGCTATAAACGGACTGCTCAGTATCCATGGCCGATAGACAGCGCTCCTGCTAACGCAGCACAGAACAGCCATGCATAGCGCTTTCGCAAGTCGTAGACTACGTATGGAAGTCTGCATCGGTTAATTCGCCAAAAAAAGGAAACTTGGTGCTCGCTAGGTCTCTGATGGACCGTGTCTCCAAAGTTTAAGTACTGACGCGGCGTTCCTGAAACCTTAAGTATCGTACTATGAATGGGTAGAATCCAGCGACCATTCGCTTCATCACCTCACACCACCAGAGAATGATCTTCCTCATCAGTTGCTAAATCAGCACCTCCAACTTGTCCTTATATCTATCCTCTCTATTTATTCTTCATAATAAACGGTGCTCTTTGAATGAGGGTATTATATTTAGAGGTTGTTCTTCGCTCACAAAGCGAATATGGAGGTCCAATCTACACCGGTGAATACAAGTTCTCGTCCCGCATTGTCCTTATCAGTCGAACCCCAGCCCAGCCTCTGTCGCCAACATATCCTGGTCCCTTATTTCTGCTTGGTAATGCACTGTTTTTGTATCCGTTCAGGTCAATTCTAGGCTGGAATGCCGCGTTGACCCCTCGAGCGGAATCTTCACCATAGTGTCCAATTTCACTCAGGTCGACGCTAGTCCTGAATTCAAATCGGGAGATCCATTACCTTTGCAAGCACCAGGAGAATACCAATACGATCAAGGACGGACGTCTGGTCTAATTTAACGACCAGCCCAGACTTCCGCCGAGAGAATGGCTCGCAGCAATTTACGCTGTTTCAGTGGCCCAACAGCTCAGCCAGCCAACAGCACCACTAACCTTGGTATGCTCACCAATATTAATGGACGCAACGTGTTTGTCAACTCGGGAACCTGGCTCTTGGTAAGTTCATGAGTCGTATGCTGAGGTTTTTAGAACGCTCCGCCCAATATTTACAACGCCCCGACTCCGGGAGTACACAGCTGATGTGGATACCGAATACCTCAAGGTGTACCACCCCAGACCGGTTGTCGTCACATCTCTCAAAGATAGCATTGATTCTGGCGACAATGAGACTGAGGCGACAGTAGGATCTGACTCAATGCCTACGTCGACACCAATAGTAAAGTGGACAGGCCCGAGACAATACTAGGGCCATTAGAAGATTCGGCAGATCCTTCTATTTTTCAGATCCCATCATCGCTCCTCATACCAAGTATACCCTGGGCACCCGCGCACGACGATGAACCCAGCAATGATCAGCAGACAGAATCGACCGCTCTGGAACAGCTCCGTAAGCATCACGAAGGCATCTCGACTGGACTCAAAGCAATACACCCGCCATCACGGATACGCCCATAGCATACGCACTCAATAATTAAATTGCATCCTACCTGCAACCATTGTCGTATTAAAAGCACTTTGCAAACATGCCTCCGAGTCGGTGGGCAAGAATAACCGTTTCTTTTTGTTTGAATGCAAAAACGATTGCACTTGGCCCGCAGAGAATTGCCCCTTTAGCTAGGCAGAGACGGATCCAGCTGCACTGGACTCGGTATGCATGAAACCGTTTGTTATACTCTTGTCGCCTTGATTGTTATACGCATATCAGCAGGTCAACCCTAGTTGGGATCGGCAGCGATTGTGCACGGCTTTAGCTATAAAAATATCCGTTGCATTCCGGCTATGCCCCCACACAATGGATATGCGGAGGAGGAATAGAAATCAGGGGCAGCTCTTCGAACGAGGGAACCGGAATGAACAGCGGATGAGGATGCATGAAGGAGTAGTTGCAGCATTGACGGGATTGAATATCGAAACAAATGCAGGCCTAATATTCATTTGTTTCCCAACAATGGCCCTTTCTGGCGCGTTTTTTATGTGGCATACTTGAAGACCTACACCGTTCATGAATCTATTCCTGTATTCTCTTGAAATACCTTTTCTTCTCTCCTTTGTCCTTTCTGCTGTCCCTCCCTAGGCGACATACTACAGCCCATCTTTATCATCGTCACCCTCTCCACTCCACCGTCGATTTAAATGTCCTCATTCTTGACATCCATCCAAGAATCAGCCCGTGGGTTCCTCTGCAGTCTTTCTGCCAGTATCCGCCTCCGGTCTCATTCCCTCTTCAACTCCTCACGGTCATCAAATGAATCTCATGCCTCCAATTTACCCTATAAATCAACTGTCATTGATACCGCCAGCAATTTGGGTCATCCTTCAATTGACAAAACCGCCCAGCAACCATTGAAATCCATACCGGCAACTCTGCCAGTGATCCGTGTCACAGAGAACCTCATAGATGGCGACTTTGAGCTGCAGATGCCGAGCAAACAGAGATACGAGTCCGAATTTTCCTACCAATACCAAAGTCGAAACAGCAGCAGTAGTACCCTTTTTATCAGATCGAGCACAAACATCAGGCAGAATAATCTTAAATCGATACCATTATCCATACAGCAACAACCGACGCCAACGTCGCCGCCACTGCAACAGGAACAGAAAGAACAGAACCTACCATCACAGAAGATGTCAATGGCGCAACAAGAGCTTCAGAGAGGCCAAGGGCACCGAGGGTCGTGGGAAAAGGGAGTTGAAGGTATTGCTGACACGGTTACTGCCCTCTCGATCCCCGCCTCATTGCGCTCCGTGTCGTTGGAGCCGTCAAGCCTTCTCGTCCTACATAGCACCCCCACCCTCGCTGTTCACACTGATCCATGTTATGGCGGCCATAAGGCTGCAAAAGTCACACCTGAGGCTATCACCGAGATTGAGGATGCAGCCCAGGTCGAGATGGAGGTTCTCTTCCCTGCAAACAACAGTGATGCCACACAAGGCAAGATACTGCCTGACACCGTCCTCATCCATGACCTTCCCGAGTATTTCCCAGACGATGGCTTTGGCCGTAACTCTAGGCGATACGAGAAGTATGCCAGGCTCCGGCTCGTCGCCCTGAGAGAGCACCAGCAGGCATTGGTTCGATTGCTTGGCGAGCTTTTGGACACCGACAACCTATACCGCCTGAGCCAGGACCGACTCCTTCCCCCTGTGTCAACCGCCTGTCCGCATGATCGAATCCAAGAATCCGAGACCGGATCCTCTCGAAATCAATGCGCTTGCCATATACGCCGAGTTCATCGCCGCCAGAAACGTGAAACTGCCGTTAGTGGCTACCAGAAGGCGATACTTGACCTTTGGCAGACCGACCAGAACCTGTGCTATTGGTTGAGCCGATACATCAGGACTACTCGTCGTGTTGGCCGATCACTTGACTTCATCCTCACATCGACCGGAGATTCGAATCCTTCGACTACGGCAATAGCCCCATTGGACCAACACAAGGTCGGGTCTAACAATGGAGTGTCGAATCCGGAGCTGGAGAGAATGGGTATTCTGCAGTCGAGGCTACTGAATTACGTTGCTTGCCCTGCCAGCTGTACCACATCTTACGTATCGACGACATTGCCGCCCGCTGATGAGCTCCTGAAGGAAAGATGCGCATCCACTTCGAGGTCAAAGTCTCGTAGTAATGGCAAGACTGTACCCCAGTCAACTCAGTCAGCATTGTCAAGCATTACCGAGGTGAAAGAGGCTTCTATGTCTTTTAAGAAGCCGACTAACGATTTCGCGCGCGACCCTGCACAACAGTCTTTCTCGCCAGCTGATGAATCCGCACCTCTATCTCAACAGTCCATGGCCCTAGATGCCTCTATCCCTATCTCTGTCGCTATAAAAGACATCCCTGTCATCCCTGCCATTGTCTCCAAACGTATCGTTGTCATGACATCAAGGAGTATCATGGCATCGTTACCACTCTCGCCTCTACTGCCAGCTCCTTCGACGCCACCGCCAGCTGTACCTGCACCATCGCCCCCAAGACAATATGGTACATCTCCATCTCCAAATCTATCGGCCACGATTCAACACCCTCGGTCTGCACCAGTGCATACTCCATCCCAATCTCAACAGCCAGTGCAAAGACAAGAGATGCGACAGATAACAACATCAGGCAGAGTACGAACGTGCTTTCGGGACCTTGACGAGTTCGAGACTGCAGTCTTTGTGGGCTTCCATATGCAGAGTCTTCAAAAGACGAACGAGTTCTTGCACCAGTTCAACAAAGAGGCGATCCGGTCCCGCATCATGACTGAGAGATTCAAGATCGCACGAGATATGTACGAGCATCGCGTGATGGGTCGGCCGTGGAAGACACAGCAGCGCAAGAAGGAGCTCCTTCGGACAAAGTGTTCCAGCAATAATGTTTAATGCCATTTTGCAGTCAAAGTTATCAATATAATAAAAACGCATTCCAACTAACGAGATGCAGTATATTTTATCACGCTGAGATGGGTGTATTAAGGTGATCATCAAATGCTATATGATACATTGGTTTCTTCACGAGATTGGGTTGCTGGTCGTAATGCTTAATATAGCTCCGACGACTTCGGCTCGCTTCCTCTCGTGGCCTTCTCCTGCTCCTCCTTCGCAAACATCTCACGATCTCGTTGCTCAAGTCTCGGACAGACAATCCGGACGTAGACACTAAAGATCGCGACTGACAAATGCGCGATCCCCATCAGCACAAAGGGCGCGCCCCTCATCCAGACATCAAACAGACGTCCTCCCAGCTTGACCATGATCATGATACTAATCGCACCACAGAAACTGAACACACCTGCAACGCTGCCGCGGTACTTGGGGTTGATGTACATGCCATTGACCAGCGTCATGCCCGTGACGATCATACCCATCTGGCCGATACCGATCATGCACACGAACACAAAGTTGGATATGTGGCCTGGGGCTTCCTTAGTGAACGCAAAGGGTAGGGATCCGATAGCACCAATGATACCAGCGACGGCAAGGACGGTTGGCTTCTTGAATTTCTCACCGGCATATCCGAAGAGTGGTGCGAAGGCCAGGCAGACGCCTTGGCCCATACCCGTCAGCGTGTGTGTGTCACCAGCGGCGGCACCGCAGGATTGGCCGTTTCTACACCAACCAAGATCGACATAGTGCTGGACGACCCAGAGAATCATGTAGGAGGTGAACAGAACTGTGTCTGCGCGGGCCTATGGATACAGAGAGAGAAAGAGAGAAAGAGAGAGAGAAAAAGATGTTGGTATTTGATATACATAAAAAACCCCTCTCTATAGTGCATTCATGAAGAATACGAAAAAAAAAAACTTACCACAAAACTCGAGAAGTACGCGAGCGCGATGCGTGTGGGTCGCGTCCAGCCAAGATTCCGTACTTCAGTAACTTGAGCGGGTTCTCCGTCACCAACCTCTCGAACGATGACGATAGCGACGGCGCCTTCGTCACCGCACTAACTATTTCGCTATGCACCAGCTTGAACAGCCTTTTAAAGTACTTCACAGCACCATCACCACCGCTATGACGTACATTCACATTCGGCATTGTAAACGCAAAGACGCACGCCAATGCGATCGCACAGCCACCGACGATAATCAACGCTAACTGGATACCCTCGGCATCGTCCTTCACCAGCGTGCCCAGCTGATAGGGAACCTGGATCAAGACCATGCCGGAGACCAGTCCTCCGAGTCCTGCAAACATTCCCACGATAGCGCTGACTCTCCCGCGCTCATGCTGGCCGCCCGCAATATCCCCGAGTGTACCGGTCATCATACATGTGCAGGCTGCAGAGCCGAGGGAGAACAAGAGTCGGCAAAGCAGCATGTGTGGGTAAACATTCTTGACGTACGAATAGAGGATGAGTGCGGTGCCGAGAAAAACGAATCCCATGCTGTAGACAGGTCGACGGCCGATACGGTCAGAGAGGATTCCTCAGATGATTGTTGCTGGGAGCGCGAGGATTTCGTCATAGAGGGCAAGGGAGCCAGTGAGGTCGCCGATATACCCATTGACGCCGAGGAGGACGGTGGGGACGAAGAGCTGGACAATGGAGAGGTAAGCGACAAGGCAGATGGTGAGGAAGGAAGCGATGAGGTGGGAGATCAGGTTGAGATAGCCAATGTCTTTGTTGACGATGAAGGTGTAGAACAGACGACGTTTCGTGGGTGGAATGAGGGTGGTGGAGACGGCTGGCGTGGATGACTCGAGAGTGGAGTCGTAAGGGGCCACTTTCAAGTCCTTGTAGGACTCTTCTATCTCAGACTTCATTCAGCCTTCTTTCTTGCTTTCAGTCGTGGACGGGTGTCAGGGAGGAGGCGCGACCGTTCGTTAGGGTGTTGGAGAGTGAAGGGAGCGATGAAGAGAAGGGCCGCAAGAATGCGGATTGAAGGAACGCGAAGTGGGGGAAACCGCAAGGTAGCAAAGGAAAAGAAGAAAGAAAAATAAATTATGAGCCTCTGAGAAGGCAGCCAATGGAGGAGAAGACGGAAGATATCTGATCCAAAGACAGGTACTGGCATCTGATAACTACACACTCATCCGTTTCACGGGCAACACCTTTCTCTTTATCAGATTTTAGAAGCAATTACACCCGGCGGACCAGCGCCTGTTCGCAGAAGAGGAAACATAGAAGCATGGTGAAGTTTGGAGACCAGCCTAGTGTTGAGCCATGTATCTTGGGGACAGAGGTAATTATGAAAGCACGAACCTGTCTATGGTGCCGGCTCTTTTTTTTTTTTTTTTTTTTTTTTCGCGAGATGCGGGGAGCAAATAGTAGTCAGCAAATGGTGCCACGCTCCGCCCATGTTTTTATTCTGTTGCAGTGTGTTGACGATCACGGAACAAAGAAAGGCGAGAAGCCTTTTAAAAAAAAGTGTACTACAGTACTACCGTGCGCTGGAAACCACTCTGGAGTCGCGTGGACGAAGTTTCGTCCAAAGATACTAGCTGTGTGCTTACAACCAGTTTTTCGGGGAGCTCCAGACTGAAATCCTTTGAGAAGAGCTAGTTTATGACATTCCTTGTCGAAGAAATAGATGAAGGGGAGGGCCATAAACAAATGAAAACTGTTGAGCAAGAAGAGTTCCCGGTAGAATTCTGACTGTGGTCACGGTCTAGACTGAACTAACGCCCATCTTGTGTTTTCGATGGCAGGTTTCTCGACAATGTACTTTACCGGGCATTTAAAAACTGAGCTACCATAAATGGATGCAACCGTGGAAGTTTAAAGTTATCAGATGGAAATTCCAGATTAACCTGTACGCGACTACATCCGACAGTCAGACGCTGACTGCTTCAAGAAGAGAGAGTGCGATACCCGTTTTTTTTCTAAGGCCAACCACGACTTCACCCGTGTCTTCTGGGTGCAGGTGCTGGGAGTTTGACAGCTTTGCAGGCATTGTTTGACCCGATGAAATTGAGCACAAATTCGGTTTGGCCTAGCGCCTCGTGTGTACGAATCAAGCAGGAGCGAGGACGTGGGAGAATGCCAACAACATTCCTTTCTCTCTGCAGTGTATTCGAGTCATTACTTTTGAGTCAAATTCTTTGGTAATACAAGAAAAAAAAAACCAATGTGAGCCGGCCTGGGATCTGATAACGAAAGCTTACGGTGCCTCGACATCGAATGCATATATAAGCACCACTTTCTTCTCCTCCTTGGCCTCTCCAACCCACTCTCTCTCTCTCTCCACTCCCATCCTACACACCACCCTGCCACTACACAAATCTTCAAAGATGCGTTTCTCTGCCGTCGCCATCCTCGCCGCCGTTGTCGCTGTTGCCAACGCTCAGTCGGACGCTTACCCCTTCAAGGACAACGGCGCATGTGTTGCCAAGTGCCTTCTTGTAGGTTCACATCCTCTGCCGCTCTTTATCCTCTAGTTGTTTCTAAGGTCCTTGGTGGCGATACTTACACGTTGTTTTTTATTCGTATTTAGGATGCGGGCTTGAGCATGGACCCTAACTTCACCGATGATCCCACCAACCCCAACTTCCTCACGTCCCTCGGCTACGCTCATGACAAGGGCACTCCCAAGTACACCGCCTACATGACCAAAAGTGGCACGTGCATCACTGGATGTCCCGCAGTACGTATTCGGTGCCTTTGCAGTCTTACACACACACACACACACGCACACACACAAACTCCCTAAAGGATTTAGCTTGTCCCTAACCTCATAATTTCTCTTTCCCTGACAAATAGGCCGAGCTGGCCCTCTACAACGAGCAGTATGAGAAGAAGACCGAGTGGTACAACCAGAAGAAGGCCGGTGCTACCGGTTCCGTCTCTGCCACTGTCACTGCCACTGCCACTGCCACTGTCACTAACCCCCACGGAGGCGCTACTCCCACTGGCACTGCCACTGCCACTAACCCCCACGGAGGCGCTTCTCCCACTAGCACGGCCAGCAGCGCTGCTGGACTGGTTGCTGGATCCAGCGCTATCGTCGGTGCTGCTGTCGCCTTCTTGGGTGCCCTTGCTCTCTAAGTGGATTCTCCCCCACTCTTCCACCTATTTGTACTTAGACACTCTTAATCATGCACTCTCTTATAATAAAGCCCATGTTACCGTGCGGCCATGCTGTTAAAACACATCTTTGTTTTTGCCTTGTTGAATTATTTATTTTCTATGTCGTTCGAAGATCATGAACTGAGTTCCGTCTCAACAGTTTTCATAAATGCTTCGACTTCCTTCACCAGCGCACCATTTTCACCGGTGGTGCCATGGGAGACTCTCAAAATGTTCCTCGCCAGCTTCAAGATCTCATGAGACAGTCTTACAGAGGTCATCCCACCTTCCACATCGTTCCAAAGACTCTTTGCCAGCGTGAAGCAATGCAGTCCCACAAGCGGGTGGTGCCGCGGGTAGATCATCAAGTACAGTGCCAGGATAAATGTCCCAATCTTGGATGCCAACGCCCAGGACTGATGTTCGAGGCATGTGTTGAAGAACGATGTGGCGTTGGTCATCACTATTGTCGTGAACGGCTTTGGGGTGCAGTGCGGGGTACTTTGCAAGGCTTGGTAGACTTCGAATAGCCGTTTAGTGTATTCCTGATGAGAGACGGCCGTTTGGATCAGTGGCACGAGTGAGTGGATGATATAGCTCGTGAAGGACGATCGCGTAAATGTCGATGGCGGTTGAAGCGAAGGTCCTGCGAGCTGTAGTGAACGAGCGCCAGGTAGGATGATGGTCTCGAACTGCTTTGTGAGCCATTCGCCGTCAACCTTCTTGCCATCCTTGCCGTCCTGATCACCCTCAATCAAATCATCCAAAATCCTGAATCCTGTCTTCCTCGTGCTGCTGGCATCATCCTTAGACTCCGGTATTTCTGATCCGTCGCCGCAGCGTGGACAGAGACAGTCGAAATAATACTTCTCCCTTAAGAGCTGCCTCCGCTCCGTCCGTTGAACTCCATTATCGACATACGAAGTGCAAACCTCCTGTCCCAGTTCAATATCCTCGAGTGCTTTCACCACCTGAACCTTTCCTTCATACATCACGATCGCATTCGGCCGACACGAATGGTTGAACAGCGCCCCGATCGGAAACGTTCCCTCGGCCATCGTAAACAGCTGCGTGTCATGGATTGAAAAGTTGTTGCAGTGGAACCGACACAGATACTGTATTAACTCCGTCACCGACGGCGGTTCACCCGCACTCTCCATACTCTTGAACGCAAACTTGGACTGTATCAACTGCTCCCGGACCCGCGTCGCGATCTCCTTGTATTTCGTCAGCAGCGCCGGGTCCGAAACGGTCTCATGTCCCACCAACGTCGAAAACACATACGCCGTTAAATCCATGGATTCTGGTCCGTCTCCTGATCCACGTCCCACTGCCGGAAGCGTATCTGCATCCTCAGATTCCTTGTAGGCACCGTTGCGAAGTCGCTCGATCACTATCACGACCATCTTCAACATCTCATAGTCCAGATCCTCCATATCCTTGTCTGCACAGATCCACCGATGCCAGCCCTTCCACGCAATCGTGAAACAGTCCTTGTCGCAGTAGTATCGCTTCTTGCAGACTGAGCATCGCTCGAGATCTACTACTGATTTCGGAGCTGGAGAGGATCTGACAGCTGGTCCGTTCCTGGTTCTCAAACAAGTCTCGCAGTGCTGGGATCGATGTGTTGGAAAGGTAACAGGGTTGCCCAGCGGACGGGATGTGATAACGGCAGAACCTTGTTTGAGAGAACGTTGAGCCACGACCTTGCGGTGCTTGTGTGGGTCGCTAATGAGCTCGAGGCCATGGATCTCGAGATGGCGTGCTAGATTCGCAGCTGACATGGCAGCTTCATGAGTTGAATTACTCTGTCTACAGACAGCTTGCAATGCTGTGTTATCGTGCTATTTGGCAGTCCAACATTGGTTATTATTAATTATTCTATTCTACAAATGTGCAATGTCCCAGCTTGGAACTACATGGTACCGTTATCGCACAGAGCCCTCTTGACACGGTCGCACTCCTCCTGGAACCGCTGGATCCATGCCTCCGCTTGCAACTCAAGCAGCCTCACCTGCTCCTCCGTCCAGTGGCGGTGAAACTCCTCGACTGTCATTTTGAGATCGCTCTCCGTGATATTGGCTTCCTTCATAAGTCTCAGTCGTTTCTCGTCGATTTCAGGGTCCTTGTGGAGTCGAAGTGTAGGTACTGGCTTTCCATCATAATCCTGCTGTGGTTTGCTGCTACATTCTGGCATCTCATCTAAAGCCCTTTGAGGTCCACTCAGCAGCCTTGCCTGCTCGTCCTGCCACGGAGGCTTTACGACTTGGGTATCAACATCTGACCGATGCGTCTTCCCTCCATCTGGCTCTATCCTTGATGCGTTCGACTGGGTTCGGGGCTTCTCAATAAACGGATTATCGTCGGATTTAGGGTCCCACATCTCTCTAGGCGGGCTTGGTTGATCCTGGTCATTGTGTCGATCAATGCTGCTTCCCCCGGTCTCCAAATCCTCCAATCTGAGTAGATCGATTCGCCTCTTCACCGGCGTCCTGACAAAGGGCGATGCAGGAGAGTTGTTGTTCCGACGCGAAGCAGCCCCTATGGCTGAGATTACCTTGGAAATCGGCAGAGGCGACCTTACAGATGTGGCGGGCGTTGTGGACTCTAGCAACATGATGCTCGCTTTCTTGACTGGCGTCTGCATGATGTCCTTGTTGCTAATTGCTTCCGGTTCTGACGACATGGGGTTTTCATCCCGTTGATCTGATTTGTATTTTTGGTCTCTATGGACTTCCGAGTGTTCCCCTACAACTTGTGACGCAGCAGCTGTCGTAACCCGCTTCCGCTCCTTGTTCTGTGTACGCCTCAGTGCTCTGACCTCCTCTTTGATGGCATGCTCTGCCACAGCCATAACCTCCGAACTGTCGTTTCCATGCATCAGATCCTCCAAGCGATCGACCAAACTTTGTTGCTTCTGCTTTGGTGATAGAAGATGGCCTCGGGTGGTCTTTCTAGCTGCAGGTGATCCCAAATATGACGAATGTGGTGCGTTCCCGACTATGTCCTTGATCTTCTGCCGAGGAGTTATACTTGGCAAGGGTTGCGAAGGGGTCTTCTTGGGGTTTGGTGTCGATGATGATAGCGTACCATCGGCTGCCCATTTAGATGGTGAAAGGAACGGTGTTGAGAATCGAGATTGAGTGCTCTCACGGTGGTCTTCATCTTCCCAATCGTCAGCGTCCAGGCTTGACGACGTCCGCTTAACAGGATTCATATAATCCACAGCAGCATCTTTAGCGTTCTCAATGTCCTGCACCAAGTCTTCCGGTTCCCGTTCCGGTGTTTTTAGGCGCTCCGCTGCTTCGTCGTAATTCATCCTGGCGGCGTTATCAGTATCGGACTGGGCATGGCTAGTGTCCACCTCAACCACTTCAGCTTCGTCCTGATTATCCTTCTGAACTTCTGCCGTAGGTTTCATTACTGGAGCATCGCTGTCGCTGACTTCAATGATTTCGATGGATCTGATCCTTCGCCGCTTCCCAGGCAACTGCGAACCATTGCTTGTACTCCGCTCCCGCTGTTGCTTTTGGTTCTGGTGCTGTTCCTTGTCCTTATCATCATTCGAGTTCTCATCTCCTAAAAGTGTCCTTTCCAACGATATTGCAACCGGCGGAGTAGATACGATGGATCCAACCTGTACACGAGTGTTACTGGTATCAGCAAAGTTGGTCCGTGGTATCTCTCCTGATACTTCTTCCATACCCACCTCAGTATCCTGAGTGTACGTTTTGCCCCAGTTTTTGCGGTTTAAAGCTCGCTCTTCCTTTGTCAGCTTCCGCTTCTTGGTGATCACAACAGATACATTAAGTGACTTTGCCTGGCGCGATGATATCGAGGACGCGGAAGAAGTAGACGACTCCGTATCAGCCCTACCTGCCGGCCTTCGCTTTCGTGATGGTCGAGTTGAGGCTTCAATCGGTGTTGTGATAGATGACGAGTCTGCGCTCATACTGGGGTTTGATGTGAATGATCCCACTGCTGGCTCAGGCTCCTCCACCTCGATTTCCTGGTTCAGTTTTAGTGGCACATCCGGTTCACTTGATTGTGATTTCCGCTTTGTTACAATATTTCCTTCTGTAACCTTCGTTGGATCCTTCGCTAGAGCCTCGGGCAGGGTGAATTCGACCGATCGTACTGGGGGTGACGAGTTTTCTCCTTTTGAGCTCCTCTTTAATGCGCTAGCCGGTGTGGGGGTAGATGGCCTTAATGTACCAACGTCCTGGCTGTCATTGCTTTGAAAAACTGATGAAGATGTCGCAGGCGACTTGAGCATTCGACTTGCAAAGGAAACCCTCCTGATATCTCCCATGTCCATTATCGGCGCGTGTACTTTTTGTGATCGCGGTGATAAAAGCAAGCCCTGGAGAGAAGGAGAAGGATAAGTATAAAACCATAATGATCAGAGACTTGTTGCATATCTCGAATTACAAAATAAATCCTGGAAGCCATAACGGCGTGCTTTGGTGTCTTACCTGTTCTCTAGCAATGAGAACATCCATGGATCCCGACGTATCCTTTCTTTTGATCTTTGTTGCCTTGGCTGCTGAAGCCATTGTCGGTGCTGCGGCTCTCGTTGCGAAAAAGGGGCAGGAAGGACATCTCCTTTGGTGTTCATGAACTGGATCATCCTCTGCCTCCCATCCATCCAGCGCCAACATGCAGTAAGGGCACTGAACATTGTCTATTGAGTCGTCAACTGGAGCGTAAAAGAAACCTGCCTTCGCCATCTAAATGGTCAATAATTTAAAAGCAAGGTCAACCGGATATCAGCATATCTGGTCAAACACTTAGGCTTTCATGGACGAAGATTCATGCACATACCCTCTTCATATTGCCAAACCACCCCTTCTTCCGCTCGTGCGGCCACCATTTTCCGAAAGTGTCCATTCGCGCTTTAGTCATCCTCTGACCCTTAGGGAGCTCATACGCATCGTCCCAGCGAAAGGGCAAGTCATCATCGAGTATTGGAATCGTCTTAACAATTGCCCAGCCGCATGTCCGCGAATGACTACTATGTTCGTCGTACGGGTCGTCGCTTTCGGTCCAGCCATCCAGCGATTTTCCACAAAGAAAACAAACCACGTTATCGGGCGATGTAGCAGCTGGTCTCCAGTAGAATCCTGCATCTGCCAACTGTCAGTGGTCGTAATTTTTTTTTTTAGAGACGGAGAAAATAAAAACGAAGAGAAAAGTCAGCGTCGCAAACCAAACGGAAAATGTTTGTCGATGGCGGTACACTCTATTGTTTCTCTCTGAATGCCGTCATCTATTCGCCCATACCAATTCAGGGACAGCCTTGTGTGTTGAGCTCTTGTAGGGCCAAGAGCGCCCTCGTTGGATGAATGATTTCAGCCTCGCATCTGCAAATTGCATCCTGTCCTGTCCCGGGCCGAAGCGACAGCAAGTACACAGGCAAATCCTTGCAAGAGGGGAAAGTATTGCGCTAGAAGCGATGTTCGCCTTGTACCAGCGGGTATAAATAATGGATGTCGATCGATCGAGGCGTAAGTTTACTGAATCGCGATGCGCTGACAAGTTGCGAACCTGCCTTGCGCCCAAGAAAGGCACGTCACGCATATCGTAAACATCAGAGCGCGTCGATCGTAGACGCGTTTTTCAAGCAAGACACACGACGCGTCCTCCAGATAGGTCAGTGCGAAAATGAACAATACCTCTCTCTATTCGATGGACGCTGTACTCAATCGGTAGGGTATGGTAACGAATTCCTTAGTACTATTGAGAGATGCCATTAAACTGCTGTGCCCAAGGACTCCAAGGACCCCAAGAACCAGCCTCCATCATCTTCGTTGCCCAATGAGCCCGTCTCCTTGCTTTTACTCTCCAAACCCTAGTCGCTTCCAAATGAAAATAAGCCTGGTTTTCACAAGCATCTCTTTGCACACTGCAGATATTTCCCGACACATAGCACTCTCTACCAAATATCATCTTGACACCCCGTCTCACACCTATACTCTCGACAAAACATACGCATGTGACTCTGGGCGGACAAATTACTTTTAAGGTCCGCCACACTCGAGTAAACTGTTGTCAAGAAAACAAGAAGTTTCAAACGCGTCTCGGACAATAAGTGAGAGATCTGGTGATAGTGAGGTTGGGGCTGGGGGAGATCAGGGTGAGAATAAATTTGAGAAATGAGGAAAAGGGTGAGTAAAACAACAAGTACACTCGTCCGCTTATTGCATCCTTTACCGAGGCTAAATAAGAACTCCTCGAGCATGAAGACCCTGCAAAATGCACTCCATCTTCCCGAATACAAGTCTCTGTGTGTCTGTGAAGGATGCTCTCTCCTGCTTTCTGTCCTATTTGGTATCGCGTCGATTTTAAGGTCCGCGAAACTGTCAGCAAGCATGGACACCACACCCGAGTCGTTGAAAATCTCACAACCCAAGCACAACTGAATGCACTTCTTCATCGGAGCATCAACAATGTTCAAGATATGAAGGCTTCAGTGTGTACGATGGGTGCAAATGCATTTATTTATAGATATAATAATAACTGGCTTGTGGCAGCCAAGTTCATGGCGACGTTGCTCTTTCTCTTGCCCTTTATTAGAATTCTAGTGTTTTAGGCGTTGGATTAATCATCCGTTCTGGTATGGCAAATACTTGCGCTAAACTTAAGGGATCCCTGGTTGGCGGTTAGGAGACGTCCATAGGGTGTGAAGTAGCAGATCACATACAGAAGAGGCCCAACGAGATGGTAGCCGTGAAGGCAACAGCAGACAAAGACATCCTGGACTTGAAGGCACCATTCTTGCCACTTGGAGAGGTCGCGACTGAAGTAGGCGCTGACGTGCTTGCAGGAGGAGATGCGGATGATGATGGTGAGGTCGGCACAGCAACGGCGGAGGAAGACGAAGATGGTGTAGGAGAAGTAGAAACAGGGCCGGCAGGGAGAGAACTGCATGCACCGTTCGTGGCTTCAAAGGATAAGGGGAATTGTGATGTTCAGTTAATTAATGTAATATTTGACCAGAAATTATCTTTTCATATTATTCATTTTTGAGTTTTCACTTACCGGCGAAGGTCCTTCGGAGTGCAAGCTCGGCCGCACTCATCTCTGAGCCGCCTGTAGGGGTGCAAGTACAGCTGACTGTGTACTGTGAGCAGGCGTTGTTTATAAAGGATACGTCGCAGACATGGTGACTTATATTATTGCCACCACAGACTTCTCTCGAGGCGAGTGTACAGCCGTCCGCGAAGGCATCGCACCACCTTTCTGCAATGGTTTTTTGTTGTCTCTTCTCGAGATTTGTGACAGGGGAGGCATTAACGACGTTATTGTGGTTGCTGCTAAGCACAGCAAGTGATCCGAGTGCGACCAGGGACGCGATGGTGAGAATGGACTTCATGGTGGATTGGAAATGCGGGAAGGCAGTGTTGAGGGTGAGTGTGCTTTTGGAAAGGTAGCGAGGGGCACTGACAAGACGCGCTGACCGGGGAAAGTAGAGAAAGGTGGGAGCTCGACCTGTTTTATGTCGTCTACCTCTCTAGGTCGATTAGCGGAAGAAGGATCCGTTGCCTTTCTATCACGGCTCTGGCCTGGGATGCAACTTAAAAAACATCCACCGCGCCTCCACTGGATAAACCGATTAAAACAAGGCTTGCGCTTTTCTAAATCTCGGCGCCCCCAGGGCTCTCTCGATAATGGGGGAGGGCGTACAACAGTTTCCCAGGCCGCCGATCTGAGCCCGCTTTATTGTCCCCTCGCCCTTTTTTTACCAGGAACGTTGCATTATTTGTTTCTTGTCAGTCTCGTTGGTTACCAAGGGAAAATGATCGATAACGACCAATGGCCGCACTTTCGAATGGAGGCGTAGTACTTGAAAGCCCAAGCAGTCATCGACTTTGAGAGCGATCCCCGTTGATAGAGTTCAGTGCACATTGCATGGGAACCATATTTCGCCCCTTTGTAAAAGAGCCTTGTAGCATTACAGCGCAGAAATACAGTGTAACAGAGTCCCACTCAAGCGCAATTATGGATTCTACTTTTTTGTGAAGGAAGACAAGGAATGATAGCGCGTGAACCAACACGTGTTATTCGGAAGCTAGATTCAACTCGCGGTTGAAAAGATTTAACAACTAACCCACTTTTCGCGGTTGAGTGGGGCTCAGAGCTAATGAAATGATATTAGTGCAAAATTGCTCTCACGTTTTCTCATCTACGATTTCAACGACGACCAAAGTTATGTATAAAACGCTCGCTTTCATGCGACTTACATTCCGCCAACCTCACTGACCTCATCTCGCCATCATCTGGATCTATTTGCTTTAATTTTTATCGCCGTCTCAGAATAGGTAAGGAAGGGTCTCATTCATCTGTAACTTGAACTGTCGAAACACCATCGCCAGGTCTTACTCCGTCTGTATCTTTCGGTTTCTCTCACACACTTCATCTTCAACTGCCGTCGCTATGCTGTCCAATGTAAAGAAAAATGACTTGCTGGAGCTCACGCTTCGCACTCGCTTCAACCAGAGTGGTGCACTGCTATATTAGTTAATCTTAATTTTCAATGGTATCTCCTAGCCTTGACATGAATCCAGTGCCAATTATCGCCGCCGTTGGCTCCGTTTTTGCACTTTTCTTTATATGTGTGCTTGTAATGATCTATAGAACCATTACTGGCAAACATAAGCTCATTATCACGAATGACGATGGCACAAAGACTGTTATCACACAATCTATGTTCTGATTATTTCTCCAAAGATTGTGTTGTAGTTCAAGCCCTCAACTGGCAGTCCTTACGTCTTACCGCCGTAAATCCTTTCATTTTTCTTTTATTCCCTGTCGTTATTTCTTGGCTTTGCTTGCTATACAGTATCTGTCTACCAGAAATCACCCAAATCAAGTAAAAAAATGACTGGTTAGTATTCAGAATGGGTTGGGTGCTGTTGTGGTGTCGCGAATAGAAAAGAAGGCTAAAGAATGTACACAGTTTTTATAGACAACGACGAACGAGGTTTTAACAGCCATTGACAAATGGTGTCGCCTGCACTGAAAGAGTGAACGAAAAAGAGAGAAGAAGGTTGTGGATTGTGTGGCAGGCTGAAAAGGTGAAAGAAAAGTGTGGCAGAATGCTTATAGACGAGAAGCAATGTCTGTTTACCCACAATAAAAAAGGCTTTGATAAAGAGCCATCACACTGATGGATGCTGGTCTCTTGACGTGAAGCGCGATCAGTGTTGTACAAGTAGCTTTGCCACGGCCTGACACAGATGTACACCCACATCGCCATCATCGTTATTTCCAACGTACGCGAGGCAGGCGCAAATCCAGGTCACTGGGGATGCAACGGAGGGTAGGAAAATAAGTCAAGTAGCGCGGTCAACTTTCGAAGTTTGAAGGACAAAAGCCTATGGGAACTTTCCCTCAACGGTGGTCTGGGATTGTGGTATAGTAAAATTGATATTAGATTACGGGGGAAAGCGCCGTCCCTGAATAAAAGAATATACGGTCTGGTTCCTGAACCAGAGTCTTCTTTTCACTCAAATCACTTATATCACTCCAGATTGTCCGGATTACACCGCATCATTGACAGGTACTGACTACCGTCATCAGCAACCAACGCAACGAGATACAGTCAACAGGGAATGCCAAGCCTGATCATTCGCCGCCTTTGCACCGTCAATCGTTCTTATTTAGACATTGTACTTGCCCTGCTGCGCTTCCCCGATCACTGATCGTCTCATTGAGCATCCGTCATCGGCATACCCTTGTCAAACGGCATTATAGAGGTACAATGGAGGCCTGATCAGCGAACAATGGCATACAGCGACTCCAGAGGGTTGGACTTCATTGTCACGACTCCTCACCTCATCGGATATCACATATGCGAACTCCTTGCAACTATCCCAGTCATTCCAAAAGGATTATAGTCCTAGCTCGAACAGATCCCCGCATCTATTTCCTTCCATTTCGTCTAGTCTATTTTATCTTTGTGCTGTTGCATTTCGATCTAAAGGAGGACCCTGCACCACGAACCAGTAAGTGACCGAAGCATTCCTTTGCAGAGGTCCTAATCGCGTGGCGTCTCCTATTGTAAATAGAACTAATGGTAGAGGTTACAAAACTCGTCGTTAGATCCTACACAGTACCTCACCGTGTCATCCTCTCTTTCATTTCCACGCCCCAATTCGAGAACTTCTCTGCTTCTTCAGAACCATGGTCGCAGTATTCAGAGCCATTGGCCGCGGCGCCATCGCCTCATCGCTGTTGACCTTAGTCCCTCGGATCGATGCCACGCCTTTATTAACAGTATCTATCATCCGATTCCGGTGACAGTGTTCGCTATGACCATGGTGGCTATAATCATGGTGGCTACAGTAGATGTTGCCATATTCTCAGGACCCTCCATCGAAACTTTCTAGCACAGGCGAGTGTTCAAGCTCGTAGTACCCGTCAAACAGGTTTTCAACCCCGACACTGAGTTAGGATCCTCGCCCATAGAATCTTCGCTACCGGTACACTTCCTTAATTTGATTACATGGCATAACCATAACTTGGACACGGCACAAGTCGTCCCTGCCGAGAGAATCAAGACCGAGGCGAGAATGTGCTGTCCAAAATTAGCCCGAAATTGATACATGGACAACACGGCGCCCTGTACTATACGACTTCGTAGCGAATGCCTTTGACAACTTCAAACATGTCTCCTTGGCATACGAAGAGCTCCCTACTGATATTACTGATATAATTGTAGGACTATTGCGCAGCGCATTTTATTTCTTTAGCCACCTTTTTCATCTGGAGTACGCCATTATCTTACATGCTTGCAAAAAGTACCTTACAGGAGCACAGGGCTTCCAATGTCCCAGGAGACAGCCCCACTTCGTATCCTTGCAGTAGACGCGCAGAATGTTTACGTAAAGAACTATGATCGATGCAGGTTTCCCTCAGACTCACTTGATCTTCTACTTGCTTTTCCTGTCCTCTACTTAAGTTCTTTGACGATAACCATTGGTTTAATGTCTACTTTCAAGAAATGTCATGGCAGTCTTCTCCCTTTACTTCGCTTTATTGCTTGTTAATTGTACAAATTGACTCTTTGCTGCTTGTCTACAAGTAGGTGACATGCTATCATCAGTGATTATCCCATTTGCCTGGGGTTTCCTCCTCTATACTGTCTCTGTCGCCTCCTCTCGAATATAAAAAAATTGGCCGGATAAACATCCTTGAGGGTAAAGAGATACTTGCTCCTGTGCTCTACGGTGAATATGTTTCTAGTCCATCAATGTTAGCTTTGAGCGACTTGCGGCGAATCTGCAGCAGGTGTAGATTCAACTTGTGTCTTAAATAACGCCAAAGGAAATGAAACATCTGGCATAGGCTCCGCTCCCGCTTAACTGTTGAGGAAACTTGCATCAGATAGTCTAGTCGTGGAGAGGTCAGTCTTGGGATCTGCTAGTGCAGGGTCCCATTCATGCGATCTTCGCCATTGTTTTTCTTTTCTTGTCACTCTCCAACGACCCGCTTTGGACCTATAGACCAAGCGACTACATATCCCCTTGGTTCCGTTTTCACTGCCATCCTGGCCTTTTTTTTTTTCTTCCTTTTCTTTTTCTTTTTCTTTCATCGTCGGCAAGATCGAGCACACGTTTATAAACAACACAATCTTTCTTACCTTCGTTGACAGTATTTTCTGTTCCTCACTCGTCCTCCACGCCGTTTTCACACGCAATCGTAGCCCCGCAAGCACGCTTGAACCAGACACACAGCTTGAATTGCTACACAGCACTATTCCTCTTTACGCTCTTTACGCGCTTTGGACTACCTCGACCCTCTTTCGATCCCCCGAGTCAGGCTAAAAGGTAATACTCTTATCACATCTCACCATTTGCACACGCTGCACATTCTTTCTATCCTGTGCGGCGCCTCTCTTCGCCTGTGTATCACGTTCTTCAGACGGCTTCGACACACACCGACAAAAAGATGCATAGTGGTCTATAACGCCCACATTTTTTTTTATGCATGCCCCTTCTGTTGCACTGCATCACACACATTGGAAGATAAGGGAGGCTGCGAATGATGCGATATGTGGACGGGAAGAAAAATAAAAGCAATGGGAAGGGGATAAGGATCGTGTGTGCTCAACAACTCGCAGGCGAAGTGAAACATGGGCGGTCGTTTGCTGTCGAACGGCGATCAACCACATGGGGAGAAATGGTCTTGCCTTGCAGAATGAGTGCAGAAAAGAGCGCGAGTGAGCGCGAACAGACGTTGGAGCCAGGACGAAGCTGCTTTTGCGGATAAATGATCCAATCACGAAAGAATTCCTCCGCAGGCGGATGGTCTTTGTGCCTGCATGAATGGACGCATCATTTGCCAATGAGGAGCAGTGCATAGCATAGAGACTGTGTATGTATGAAGTTATTGCTGCTTTTTTTTTGGCCTGGGACCTCAGACGCGTGTTCATGCGCCTCAGCTCATAGCACCCTGCGGAACACTTCACGCTCCTCGATTTCGATTCCTGCAAAAAAGGCAACACATATGGCTCACATGTAGAACAGAACAGTTCCCTGGTCACCGCACGCACTTTGTTAGTATGACCCATGCTGTCAGGGCCTTGCTCGCTTTTCAACTGACCAGTTGCTAGCTATTACCGTCCTTCACGCTCTTATCTGATATCCAAGGAGACCTATCACAGATACCTCCAATTCAGCTGAATGCCACGTTTTTTTTTGTTTATTTCATTTTAATTATTGGTAATTTGGTGAGCATACCCTTCTTTTATATCCCAAATTCTGATCTGGCCTTCGCCCACTGTATACTAAAAAAATGGAACGAGAAGAAAAGAAACCTCCGCGTCCGACTGGGACCAAAGACCTTGTCTGTGCTATTGAAAAGAAAAATGCAAAGACAGGAGTAATGAAGCACCTTTTGCCAGGGGATAAATGAAACCAATATATATCACCCGCCGTTGGCAAAGACCAGGATCTGATTACTTGCACTACACGTTCAGAGCTGACAGGAGGGGCCGTTTGTTCTCTTATCCTTCGTTCCCATTTCTCGCAATTTTGTTGATTGGCCTTTCCTCTCCCCTGAAATCATAACTCCCAGACCAAATCTGCATGCATGCCTTCCACACTAGACAGCTCCCCGATCCCTAAGACTCCAGCTTTTTTTTTTTTTTTTTTTTGTTATCAGTCCAACACAGCCCAGCCAAAGGATATCAGAACATTTACTATTGATTTGGGAAGCGATATAACATTCAATGTAAATTTGGCCTTACACATATGCTGTGGCCGTGTGGGGGTTTATTTTCATTTGTGTATGGTCGAGTGAGCAAACAATCCAAACAAAAGTGTGGATTTTAGGCGTGCGGAAAAGTTATTTTATGTTTGGTGTGTGTGTAATTGTGTGTATACATACATGCGTATGGGCATGGTTCACATATGGGCGGACCATGCTCCTATGCATTACATGCATGGAATCACCGCATGAATAGGAGAGAAGCACAAACATAGAAGCATCTTGCATGGTCGAAGGAGGGTCTTCATTTTTTAGCTTCGCTATAAAGATTTTCAGCAAATTCTGTACGTCCGTTGATGAACAGGGTCTTTTCTGGCGGTTTCCCCTCCCACCTGCTGTCTATGCCTTCCCTGGCCCTTTTTGAATGAATATGAAGAAATGAATGGCCGGATGATAAATGGGGTGAGCACGCGGCTGTCCGTTGCCGTTGTCCGTTGGAACAATTTGCTCCGCAAATTGGAAAACATCGTTCGTGGGTTCTTTGTTTCGACTGTTATACTATCGCGGTTGTATTATATATTATTGCCTGTCCTTGCTAGTTTAATGTCACTTCTGAAAGGCCACTCCATTCCATCCTCATCGACGATAATGGGCCACCCCTGTTCTTTTTTTTTTTTTTCGCGCCAAATGCCCTTGATATTGTACTGTTGCCCATTCTTGTACCACTCGCTGCCTCCTTCAGCTACTTGTACCGTTCATTATCCGTTAATAATGGATCCGATTTGATTCAGTACTGGCCCAATTATTTCTTTCTCCTTTCCAAATGTTGAATGCCAAAGAAGATGAAGAGAAGAAGAGCAATCTCCGGTAGTCGATTGTTTGTTTTATTGCCTTTTCCCCCTTTCTTCATTGGGTTGAGTGTGATACCGATGGAGCACTACCATCTCGGATACTGTGTATAAAAGGCAGACAGAGGAGTAGGGAAGCCGAGACCTTCGAATGCCATCTCGCTTCCGGCGCTCATTTTTACCGCTTACCTCCATCTCTCCATTTTTCCTTTATCCCGTTTGCTCAAAGAGCTGACTGAGATTCTATTGTCAATACATCTTTATCCATCTACACATCTCCTTGTCGTCTGACTAAAAGATCGATCAGTACAGTCCAACGCCTTTTTTTTTTTGAACACCAGTGGACAATCAAACCGCTAGCAACACTTTTTTTATTTTTATTTTTATTTTTGCCTTGCTTCAGTGCCCCGCGATTACCGAGCCTTCGAGAGTACACCATGCCATCATCATCCCTCCCAAGTAAGTCCAGTTTACGAACTGTTGTTAGCCTATGCAGGAGGATGCATGCACACACATGCTTTGTTTCGCTTTGTCAATCTATATCACACAATGTATCCACACCCCCTTTGCTCCACGCGTGTTGCCCACAACACATTACCACTGCCATTACCGTTATCGCTTGCAACTGTCGAAAAACAATGACAGCAGTAATACAAAAAAATTCAGAACATCACCAGGATGTAATTCCCTTGTTCTCGGCGCGGATTCTTTCTTCATTGGAATGGAATTCATACCCAGAACAGAAGGGAGGAATCGATTCAATCCAATCGAGGACAGACAAACAGAAAAAAAAAAAGCCGAAGATATACGGACAAGGAAATATTTTAATGAAATAGAATACCCTCCTCTTCCATGTCAAACAATTGTCGCGCACTCGTTGCAAACTCCCACTCTGTCCATTCCGGTACATTTACTTTCTACATTGCCGTTGTTGTTGCAAAAAATGGCGCGCGCTCTGTCTTTTTTTTTTTTTTTTGCTGTTTGTTTATTTACATCTCAATGGGCAATGACTATATGTCTATGCAGTCTATACGCACCCTTTTTCACCTTGTTCTTCGTCACTTCTTTTACTTCTACCCTTCGTTGTCTTCTCTCTTTACTTCTCTCTTTCACATTCTTTCCTCAACTTCACTCCCGTCTACACCGCACACCTCACACTTACTCATCTCTGTGGCTCCTCATCCAATTGGTCCTTGGTGTCTCACTCACTCAGCCCGTCTCTCTTCTTCCACTCCTCCTATCGCACGCATTTACCTTTCACACCATACCTCTCGTCTTTTTCTTGACTTCGAACTCGCCTTCAACCTCGAACTCCTCCCTTCTCCCTCCTCCCTCCTCCCTCCTTCCTCTCTCTCCTCCCGATTAACGCCATTTGGGTGCTTATCAATCCATTCACCACCCTTAGATATCATGACCGCAACGACTTTCACGAATAGCCTGCCTTCACCTGCTTCCTCCATTTCTGCCCTCGATATCGTCATGTCACCCATCCCAGAAGGCAAACTCACAGACAGCGCCCGTGCACAGCTCGAGAGCGAACTGGAACAGATTCGAAAAACTTCTACCGAATCTCAAGAGGCCTACAATGCTGCTCATGCTGCCATCCCTACCTACCAGCAGCTGGTCCTCACCACCCATGCCCAAGTAGCTGCAGCCAAGCAGGCCGTCCTTCAGGCCAAAGGCATCTCCTCCTCCAATTCATCCTCAGCCTCCAGTTCGTCCTCGACCTCGAATGCCTCCTCGCCTCCCTCGCCCTCGTCGCCCCTCAACAACGGCCTCGGTCAGGACGCAGAGCACGAACAGAGGGTGCAGAAGCTGGAGCAGGAACATGTAGAACTCGGTCTAAAGCTCTCGCAAGTTCTTCGAGATAAGGCTGAGGCAGAAGAGACCAAGAAGAGATTGAACGACTATATGACACGCGCCAAGTCAAGGATCAGGGAGATTGAGCAGAAGCTTCGCGAATGAGAATGAGACGGATCCATCCTGGAATCGTCTCCCAAGGCAACCATTCTTCCAGTCTGGTCCAAGAACGAACACAACAAACAACAAACAACGAACATCAAACAACAGCGCCAGCACACAATTCATACATCACAACCAGCAAGCATTAAGTATCTCAAAAAGGCCTCCGATGGATGCAATAACACAAACACAAACACGAACACAGCATAACATCGGCGCCGTTCTGGAACACGCCAATTCATTGCCGTCTTCGACTCTAGGGCTACCAGTAACTCGGCGGCAAATGACCCCCAGCAAGTGCTGTAAAAAGAACAGGGATAGAATTATCCAACCCTCTTGTTCAATTGCAAGCGACAAGAGTCCTGCGCCATTTTTTCTTCGGCTTGCTTTGCCAAAAGGCGCTGGTACTTGTTGGCTGTCTTGGTTAATGCCAACACTGCTTGTGTCCTTGTGTTCTTTTTTTCCTTGGCCCCTTTTTCTCTCCTTCCTCTTCCTCGTTTTCCATACTTTTGCATCTCTCGTTATAGTCCAGAAAAGTCATTTTATTCTTTCATATATCCTCATCATGCATCTCTCTTTCTTTGCTCTTTCTTTGTTCATCTGTCCTGCTCTCCCTTGTACACTGCATACTTGTTTCCATTCATCCGTTCCTTCGTTTTTTCTTTCTTACATATATAGTCCATTAATCACACAGCATGCCTCCTGCCCTTTCTCATATACACATCCTACCCTTTTGTTCTTGAAGCAAAATAAATAGTAATAAGAAAAATGACTTTCCACCTCTGCCTGAACGCTATTGGTGATAAGATATGAACGTACGCGCTTGTCTATCTATGCCTAGGATTATTTTGAAACATACTAAGCTGGCTGCTGGAGCTTGTTTCGTTCAAAAGAGTACAGTAGAAGGAAACACAATGGGGCACCATAGGCTGCTGCCATTGGTACAGGAACCAGCCTTTTCCAAAACAGGCAAGTAGATCTTTTCTTTGGGGTGTCTCAGGCTGTTCACGCACCACCCAGAAGCCGAGGGCACAGGGCGGGACGTCCCACACAGACAGGTTACTTTCATGCATATTAAGAGAGATATCTAGGGCGGATCTACCCCTCATGGGCTTTTCGCCTAACAGCTTGACTGAGCTTGGAGGTCTATGTTGCTGTGCAGCGCACCACAAGCACTAAGAAACAATTCTCCGTCCCTCAACCTTCGATATGACGCGTTTGTGGAGGGGTCCTCGTTATTCAAGCAAACATGTCATGCATTATCGCTGTACAAACAACTACAAGTTTGTACTATGGTATGGACGACGTTTACGATCTCATTGCTTGATATTGTCGATCCATTCTCCGATACAAACAAATAGAACTGACAATTGACAATGGCGCGAACATTCGTCAGCATTTCGACCCACAGGATATATACACAGGCATAAAAGCACATGTAATCTCTCCATTTGCATAACCTTTGGGGCCATATTTGATTCATATGGAGTTGATACGAGCGCTTTTTCATGGGTTTTCTAGAATGATAGAGCACTGGTCAATTATCGCTTATTCAGTAGTCTTTTGATATTGAGAGAGCTGACTCTGGAACTGCATATCTTTTTTTCTTCCTTCCTTTCCTTTCTTTCTTTCTTTTTTTTTTTTTTTTTTTTTTTTTTTTTTTCACTGTACCTGCATTAGCTGTAGAAATTAACGCCCAGTTCATGTGAGATATCAGGAAACCAGACAACCATTTCGACCTTAAACTGCACCTCAGTGTACAACTGAGGAGTGTGGGGTTGTGCCGGAGCCTTCTTCGGGAACCAATCGAGAAGGAGAGGCATTTCCCGACAGGGCTTCACATAGGCCCTGCAATACATGACGTCTTGTGGTCCACAGAAAGGGATGAGTTAGGTCTAGTGGCTTGCGTGAAAGGTATAAAAAAAGCCGATGCATCGATTTTTCCCTGTCAACTTTCTTTTCTTCTTCTTCAGTCAATTGTGAGAGGGGAGCTTTTTTTTTTTTTTTTTTTTTTTTTCTTTCTTGCCGAACAAGCACGCACGAGCTGCAGAGCACTTCAACCGTGCTACACCAAAACGCCCATATCCACCCAAGGCTCATTGAGCTATCCTTTTCGACTATACACATTAGTGACCAGCCAAACCATTGTTTCTCACTTCCTTCATCGAGCCGCACTCTATCTTCCCACAACCGACAATCGACTCGACTAATAGACACATACTCAGCACACCCCACCCCCCTCCTACTACTACAACTCTATCGCCAAAATAAGCCATTGCGGCCCCTGTACATGGATATCGACAGCAGTGAACGTGAAAAGGTACAACCTAGATCTTGAGGAGAGTGATGACGCTTGGTGCTGTTCGGTGAGGGAAGGGAATGAGGTTTCGGATGCATCTCGAATTCATTCTGCTTTGGGTTGCTCTCGTTTTTTTTTTTTTTTTTTTTTTTTTTTTTTGTGGGTAAAATCTTCGCACACGGACTCTCCTTGCTGGAATGGGTCTCTTTTGGGTGCTCTTCCTCGATCAATGTGTCAATTGAAATGGGTTCTTTTATGTTTTTTGTCGCTAACTAATGGGATCCTGTCTTCTGGTCTCTATAAGGGCGCCGAACGTGTCAGTCAACAGCTACACACTCAATAGCTCTGCGACCATGACAAAGAGTGATCCGGAAACAAATATAGACCAAGGTTGAAAGGCAATCGTTTATTAATCGTCTTTTTCCTGGATCTGTTGAATATTTTTTGCTAGACTGCCGTCAACTTAGCTGTTGGCATGAAGATGGCCATGGCGCAAAAGAGACCAACGATACGTAAGGTGTCTACGACTGGAGAATCTGAGTCATTACTAGGTGTAGCTGCAAACAGGCCGACAAACAAGCAAGGTGCGTCCATCGGAGGGTTGTTATTTGTATTTGACTATAAAAAATGAACTAGGCTGTCTATCATCCCCCCCTGGGTTCGTGTCACAAACTGCACAGAGCCGACGAGTTCTTTGTCATAGTGTCTGTGTGCCTCAAACAACGTGGTTGTTCAGGAACAAGGCCCAACGCTCTTTTGGAGCATTCCATGATTGAGAAGAAAACAATATCCTTATCGACCTTCTTTCTGTTGTGTTTATTTTAAAAAAAAAAAAAATCGATAGCCAAAGTATCTGCAGGAGCACGACCAAGACCACATATTGCTGTTGAGGCGCCGGTTGGAGCGTTCCCGATCTCTGGCGTCAATACCGGTATCGAGCGGAGGGACTCTATCACGACGGCCCTCGACCTTCCTCCTCCAAGTCCCGTCCTCGCCCATAAGCAGCCCAATGGCTCATCTATGCCCCGGCAACACATTCAGCACAATGGTCATCCGCACACACCAGGGCCAATAAGGTTTTCCTTTGCTTCTACGCCGCCTTCTCTTGCTGCAGACTGGCAGCCAACGCTATCACTGGATCTGATTTCGCCGGGATCAAGCTCATCAACTCTCAAGATCCGGGAGATGTTTCCCCAGCCAGATCTTCAGCAGACCTTTTTCCTTGAACGACACTATATGATCCGGGCTAGTTTACCAAGAAGTTTCTACATGGTCATGGCCCAGCATAATATCAGGCACTGCTGTGTCTTCGACTTTCCTGTTGGTGACAAGTGGTGGGGAGACCTCAGTGGTATGAGAAAGGTATGCGGAATACTATGCTCAATTGCTTTTGGAATTCTCATTGTTCACATGGTTCTTATCGGCCAAAAAAGAGATGGGTGCTCATGTTGCGTTATTGTTTTCATTATTTTTCATTTCTTGCAGAGTTCCTACATCGAGTTCAAGGCAGAAAAGACGCATGAGCAGTGGGAGTTACATCTCAAGCCCTCGCGTGATCGAACGTAGGTGCTCTTTCACAGATTGACCTTATTTGCTGCATCTGGGGCTTGAATTTTACCCCTTTAACATGGAGTGTTTGTTGGATCAATGAAATAGCAACATCTTTGGATACCTTTGCAAACACGAAGATTTGGTGGCAATGATCAGCAGTCAAAAACACAACCTGCTGAAGGTACGTAGACTTCCGCTCGTACTGGATCTGGATGACACTCTCGTGCGGCTGGTCGGCAATGAGAGGAGCCGATACGTCTCGGAAACAGACGCAGCAAAAGGTAATGTGGTTTCGGTCTATCGTACGTTCTTTTCTGTCGTCTAGAAATATTCACAATCTGTTCTGGTCCCTGTATTTGCGAAAATAGTCCCGAATCGAGTACGACGGTTAAAGGATGGACGTCAAGTTGTATTGACAGAATATGTCGAGGAGTTTTTGGAGTGGGCCTGCAAGTTGTATGAGATCTCTGTCTGCTCCCTTGGGCAAGTACCCTTTTCTTTTCCCTTAGGTTTTGAATAGTAGCAGCAGTCAGGATGTGATGATATTTGTGCTAACTTGGATTATTTGGGTTCTTTGCTGTTCATAGTGAACAATCCTATGTGGATATGGTGGCGGACGTCCTGGATCCCTTGCGAACGCGCATCCGAGGTACAAGGTATTCAGCTCGTCAGGAGTACGATTTTTTAAATGCGGCGCCACCAACAGCAGCATCTGGATCGTCCAAAGGGCCGCCGGGAAGTGTCGCAGCAAACGGGTCGGGAGTCGGAGCAGCCAGCAATGCCCAACTCTCAACGGCAGCCATCACAGCAGCAGTAGTAGCAGGAACGCAAGCGCCTACGCCACCAAAGGATCTCTTATCATTATATGCTTTCTGCGCAGTCAGCCAACCACCGTCGGATGGATTACCGGACATTGGAACCGGATTCTCGCTGCCGCTGATTCTGGACGATTTGACACAGATGTGGCCGCCAGACCAGCATGACAATGTGATCGTAGTCAAGGAAAGGAAGAACTCGCCTGTCTGGACCGTGAATCTCTTCCCTATGGTCCAGTATGTCCTCGGCGCCGTCCATCAGGAATTCTTCCGGGCCTATGACGCGTGGAGTACCGCACGGCAGACAGCATTGAGCTCGATCACGATTTCGACGCCGTCGCCGAAGAACCTGGACCTGAGTGGGATGGAAACAAACACTAGTGCGAACACGGCGAGTCTGACGGCGATTGATTTCACGGCGACGACACCGGCAAAGACGGCGTTTCTGAACATGCCGATTCCGTCGGCGATCGGGTGTTACAAGGACTGGTTGCGAGGGTCGCTGAGGGATCAGATCAGTTTGACAGCAGCTGCTCCACCGTCTAATCTGACAGCAGCAGTCGTTCAACAGCAGCAGGCACTACAACAGCAACAGCAGCAACAATTACAGCTACAACAGCAGCAGCAACAACTACAGCTACAACAACAGCAGCAGCAACAACTACAGCTACAACAACAGCAGCAGCAACAACAACAGCAGCAGCAACAACAACAGTTACTACTACAACAACAGCTGCTGCAGCAACAGCAGCTATTACAGCAGCAGCAAACCCAGCAGTAACAGGCCCAGCAGTAAAAATGATACAGCAGGCTCCGCAAGTAGTACCCTCTGCAGCCGCGACAATCATGATCCACTCAGCAAAGTTATCTCCCGTCCCAAAATAAAAATCATTCGATGCGGAGCCCAATTGATAACAGCGCATGCTCCCACGTTCTCTACAGTGAAAAACTACCTTCGTTCTTTAGCCATCTCTGACATTCGATGATTATAAGTATAATGTATGATAGTACTTTTTTCGTTTATTACTGGACTACTAGGATGGTTTATTAAGAAATGGATTATGGTGATCTACGTCTAAGCGAGGCGCTTGGGAAGACCCTCGAGGTTCAAGAGACCATGCTGAGCAGAGTCGAGAACACGGGGACCACCATCGGCCTTGGTGTGCAAGATCTGCTTGACGCTGCCCTGGGCAAAGACGGGCGAGATCCTGGTGTCAAAATACTGGGGCAGGGCGGGTAGGGTTGAGTTCTCCTTCAACAATCCGAGCGAGTCGTCAAAGGCGGCACCGGGGAAGTAGTAGGAGAGGATAGCATAGATCTCGGCCATGTTCTTCTGGGGCGCGTAAATGACAGCATTTGGGCCGGCATCAAAGGTGTAGGCGGCCTTGACGCCGTCCTTGTTGTACTCTGTGATAATGCGAATGATGGCTCTGGAGATGTCGTTCATGTAGAAGATAGGGGGGTAGGTGTCAAGGCAGACGGCGTGGAACTGGTTCGAGTCCTGCATGGTCAACCCTGCGAATTTGGGGAAGTCCTTGTCGTGGATAGCGGCGATCATGTCCTCCATCCTCTTGGGTACAACTTCCTTAATGCGGTGCTGCAACAGGGCCGAGGTCTTGACGGTCAATTGCATGCCCTCGGTTGAAGAGGTGCCCTTCTTCTCATCAGAGACGACGCAAATCATGGCCTGGAGATCGGGCCAGTGGGTCTCGGGAGCGATCTGAACAGCCTTGCTATCGGAACCATCGGCCTTCTCGCCCATTTCCCAGGCGACAAACCCGCCAAAGAGACTTCTGCAGGCAGATCCCGATCCCTGACGGGCGACGATTGACAGATCCGAGGCATCGAGAGGCAATTGGAAGAGCTGCGAGAGCGTATAGACAAGGCAGGCGTAGCCAGAGGCTGAGGAGGCCAACCCGGCAGCGGTGGGGAAGTTGTTCTCGGAGCAGATGTGAATCTTGAGTCCCGAGAGTTTGGGTGCGGTCTCGTTCTGGGCCTCGATCTGAGCGCGAAGGGCACGGGTCTCACGGAGACAGGCGACCAGGCGCTTGTTCTTCTCAATGGATTCCTCAATGCCGTTCAACCAGAGACGGTCGGAAATAAAGTCAGCAGAGGCGCGGATGGTGGTCTTGGAGTGGAGTTGGTCCTGCGAGAGCGTGACTGAGAGGGACGAGTTAGTGGGGAGGATCAAGGAGGTGTCGCGCTTGCCCCAGTACTTGACGACGGCGATGTTGACGGGTGCCGTGCAGGTTGCTTCAAAGACGGTCATATTGTGTAATAGAGGGTAAGAGGGTATTGAGGAAGAGTGGAGAGAAAGGGATGAAGATGAGGAAAGTGTTAAAAGGTGATGAGAAGTGAAGGCGAGATCTCTCTTTTTTCAGGAACAAGAAACAGGCACAGTTGGGATCCTCTCCAGGACGACCTCTGATTGGCGGTATTAAGATGGCCCGATCGCATGTACTACAACTCCTCTTCCCTTTCACTGCTTCACTGCAGCCCTTTTTTTTTTTTTTAGAGAGACAATTCCATATCACACGGCATGTCTACACATGTGTTGGGATGCTGTAACCAACGATCGCGTGTGGACGTTGCCTATAGATATCTGTCTCTTTTGGATGGCTGTGTTGTCAACAGAATGGGATCCAATGGTGCCCGTAGTTGTCTCTCCAAAGGAGCATCAGGGGGGACTGGAGGACACACCAACTGAGTATACGTATTGGATGCTGTTGTCGGGCAGAGAAGGAACAAATTGTAAGACTGTAGTCATTCCCTTGGGTGCAGGAAGACAGGAAGGAGACGAGCGGGCAAAGCAGATACAGCATTACACACTGTCATCTCATCCCTCTTCCGCCATCATCTTCATTGTCTTCATCATCCAATTGCCACCATTGTTCTCCTCCTATTACCACTGCAAGCGCATACACACACGCACTACACCTCTTGCTCATCTGTTCATCAACTAGACCTGCTTATTGCTTTCTCCCCTCCTCCCTCTTTCTCTACTTCGTTTATCTCTCTCCACTCCACTCTATCTCCATTCCATCTTCACTCTATCAGCCGCCTTTGCATCTATCTTCTTGTCTCCCCTTCTTGCTGTCATAAAGCACGATACCGCCATGTCAAGACTTCTTTCCTCCGCAACACCGTCCTTCGGACAAGCAGCCTACGCCCCTCTCCGGGATTCTAGACACTCAATAGATTCAACGCCTGAAGAAGAAGACCTCGATCCAGACTCTATATCTTCTTCTCAGCGAAACCATACTCAGTACAACATACCTCGTCCTGATCAATTGGACCACAGCCAGCACATCCTTGCAAGCGATTCCGACGAAGACGGCAGCGACAGTACTTGCCGTCAAAAGACCGATGCTGCAAATGCTCGTTCTGGAATCACCCAACATGAAGACTCAGGCGAAAGCAGCAGCACCATCGTGTCAATTGAGTCTAACCCAGAGTCGCCGCCGCCCAAGTACGGACGCGAGGCCTTTGACTTTGAAGACGCAAGCCCTGATACCAACCATGATCACGATGAAACCTGTCACCGAGGTGCAGACGACGGTGGCGACGACAGTGAAAATGGGTTGTGGATGCAGGTAAGATGCATGAGGCAATTACGTTCCAACGAAGGGCTTGTGCACCTTTGCTTTGCAATCAATTAACTCGATGTCTTCATTGCTTAATCTGGTGTCCGCAACTAGGCATCGACAACCTTGGTGATCGCAGTCAGCGGATTGATCTGTGCTGGCTGGCTTCTGGATGAGGTGCAGGTTAGTCTCCTCGAGTCTGCTCACGGTTTGGTCAATGTGCGTGCCCCGCTATTTTCGGACTAGTCCCACTAACCCACGGACTTCATTCTTTTTTCATTTCATGATTGATCAATCGTTATCTTTGTGTAGCACTGGGACGTCTTCATCGAGATCTCCGAACTTATTATTTTGATACCCATCCTTCTCAACCTGAAGGGAAACCTAGAAATGAACCTCGCCAGTCGACTCTCAACAGCAGTAGGTGTCTCGAATTACTCATTGATGCGACAGTTCATTTGACAGGATGAATTGATCTGTAGGCGTGTTCTAATATGTGAAACTGTCTTACTTGCTCGGCATAGTCGAACATGGGGTTGTTGGATTCGATCGCAACACGGAATGCATTCATCAAAGGAAACCTAGCGCTGCTTCAGCTCCAGAGTCTTACAGTGGGATCAATAGCAGGATTGTTTTCGTTTGCCTTGGGCATGGTCGTCCATCCTACCACCAATAACCTGGAAGAAATTGCGCTCATGATTTCCTCCAGCATGCTGTGCGCTTCCATCAGCAGCTTTGTCTTGGGCAGCTTCATGTGTGCACTCGTCTTGATTTGTAGGCACTACAGAGTCAACCCAGGTATGGCATAGAACATTTGCCACCAACATATCAGAAAGTTTTCAATGACGAATGGATCAGACTGTGCCGGTGTTTACTCATATTTGGTTTCCATGTCGTAATGGACATAGACAACATCGCGTGTCCTCTGGCTTCGTCGTTCGGAGATTTGGTGACACTCATGATCTTGTCGGGCATCGCTGTCTTCCTGCAAGAATATATTCGTATGTCATCTCATCTCGTTCTCAAACTTGTTGTGTACAGTCCCACGTTGGATCAGAACTAACTACGGCCTTTATTTTATAGAAACGCCATTGTGCCTCATGGTTCTGTTGGCCCAGCTAGCACTGATTCCTGTATGGCTATACTATGTACGTCGTAACAAGTATGTCTCTGAGGTCGTCAAGGAGGGCTGGGGACCAGTCTTCTCTGCCATGGTGATCGCCAGCACAGCAGGATTGACACTGGAGCGCTATATCAACCAATTCCCAGGAATGGCCATGATCTCGCCTGTTCTCAATGGGTTGACAGGAAACATCGGATCAATCTATGCCAGTCGAATCAGTACGGCGCTGCATGCCAACACCACAGAGAACTATCGTGCAACAGAGAAGACGCTGTTCCTGGTTCACATTCCCATCGAGATTCTCTTTCTCGCCGTGATCAGTCTTCTCGGACTGGGCGATGTCCAATGGAGTGCAGGTGTCGTGTTCGGCTATGCTGCTGTGTCATTGACCCTTGTGGTTATTGCGCTAGTACTCGCCAAGTCGATCACGCGTTTGTTTTGGCGCTGGGGCTACGATCCGGACAACTATGCCTTGCCCATCTTGTAAGTTATCGCTTGCACATATCCTTTTGAGCGTGTTAAATCGAGCAATTAAATTGCGTACTAATTATTGTTGTACTTTTGTTGTCAAACGAATAAACATCTTAGGACTTCGCTGATTGACGTGCTAGGCACTGCGCTGCTCGTTATGGGTTTCTGGATATTGGGATATGGCAACGCCCGTCAGCCAGCTGAGTAATGAGCACACGTGACATTCCTCACGCATCGCAATAAAGTTGCCCAAAGCTCACTTCCTTGCGATTCCATTCAACAGCCATTCCTTTCTGCTTAAAAAGACAACCTCACACTTTTCAGCGTATTAATTACTATAAAGACCATGGTGCAAACTGAATCAGACTTCAAGGTACACAAAAAACCTTTCTACAGGGTTTCTGCTGCTGCCTGGTGCATAGAATTGTTCATTTGTGAGCCGTAGACTCGAAAGAAAACCGCTGACTCACCCGAGGCGAGCAATGCAACATCGTCATTTTTTTCGAATGTGTTTTCTAGACCGAGTTCGCGGTTGAAATGACCTGCGAGTCGTGTGTCAAAGACGTGAAGAAGGTCCTCGAGGGAGCGGAGGGTATCAAAAAATTCGACATCGATCTGAAGGAACAGCGCGTTGTTGTGGAAGGCAGTGGTGAGTATTCGCATTTGGTCCCGGAGGCGCTGCGCTGCGCTGGTCTGATCTAGCCTGGACTATCTGAAGATTATGTAGGACATTTTTCTAACAGCAACTGGTAATTACTTTTTCTGCAAACAATGATTATTGACGGCTAAATAGCACCACCTTCAGCCATTTCGCGTCTGCTGAAGAACACTGGCAAGACCGTTATCGTGCGTGGATCCGGAGTTGCGCAAGGTATGATATAGATGCACCTTGTAAGACTCTTTTGTCAAGGTCGTTTGATCGCTACCGAGGACATTTGGCTGATACATTCTATCTTTCGCGCTTCCTTCTTTTTTCTTCCATTCTTTTTTTATTCGTTCAATTGGTCTACGGTTCTGCTTCCAGGCGAGCACGCTGGAGCAGCAGTGTGCATTCTGGATATCGGTCATGAAAACCCCGCGTATACAACCCTACCCACATCTGAGAAGCCCTACGGTCTTGTCCGCTTTCTTCAAGTGAGCCGAGAGACGTGTGTTGTTGACGTGACAGTCCAGAACTTGGCCCCGGGCAAACATGGTATTCACATCCACGAGCTCGGTGATACATCTGGCGGCGCGACCACGACGGGTGGACACTATAACCCGACGAACGTGGCGCATGGTGACGACGAGACGGGCCATGTGGGGGACCTAGGCAACATTGAAGTCGATGAGAAGGGATGGGGCGATCTGGTGCTGGAGTCGAAGAGGATCAAGGTATGGGATATCATCGGACGGTCGATGGTGGTGACGGAGAAGACGGATGATCTGGGTAAAGGGGTTAAGAAGACGGAAGATGGTGGGTCGGGCAAGGGGATTATTTGTGGAATTATTGCGCGATCTGCGGGAGTGTTTGAGAACGCGAAGAAGATTTGCTTGTGCGATGGCACGACGCTGTGGGAGGAGGCGCGTTTGAGAGGGGAGGATAAGGGCAACGACTTTTACTGACAGACAAAGCAGCCGACCGCAAAGCTTTGACGGCTCTTATTAGACATGACCATTCTCTTTGCAAAAAAAAAAAAAAAGAGGGAGAGAGATAGCTTCTTTTCAAAGCGTTTGAAAGCAACCAAATAAAAGGTCTCTCTTGCCAAGTTACAACTTCAACTCCCTTCCTGACTATAAAAAAATACGGAACATTTGTTTCTCCTGCGGACACGACTCGTCTATTCACAGCGACCGTATAAACCTTCACTCATCAATCGAAATGAGAAATTACGGCACTGACGAATGTGCAGGCTATTCAGGCACAGTGTGTTGACAAGCACGCGCGGTGCTCCTTTTTTTTATTTCATGCATGTAATAAACCAAAAAAGATAGAGAAAGAAAGATAGAGAAAGAAAGATGAGATGTGGGGCAGTTCTTCCTTCATAATGATGGAGGAAGAGGAGGGGATTGTCGACAAGGATGACTCGGCACAAACATAGGCGCCGCATGCAGTAGCAATAGGCAAGGAGAAGTAGAACATATTAGGCCAAGATGAGTATGTCTGTTGACGAACGGTGGGAATGGAATACGCATACAAAAGTAAGAGTGGCAAAGCAAGCGAGCACAGTGTGTTGTGTCACTGCTTCGGTTCGTAGAAGATGAATCATCCTCAGCAAAGAGACCATCCTTTCCCTTGTTTCCTACTCCTATTGATGCAGGCAAATATGTATCGCCGGTCGATCGTTGTCGCTATAGTCCTCAAGTCTCCCTCTGCAGTTGTCTGTTCGATCCTTGCAGGTAGCAGGAAGGGATTGAAAGGGACAGTCGATAGAAAGACGCGTCGATTCAATGGAATGGTGTTCTTCCGCGAATGTAGTCACACCAAAAGTGTCCACTTGGCCCTGACGTATTTGGAAGAAGCCTTTTTTTTTTGTCCTTGTCTCCTTGTGCTTTTCTACACTTCTACTCCTTCCCTCTTCTCCATCTCTTCTTCCCCTCTTTCTTCCCACTCATCTCATCCTTCCTTCTTCTCTGCGCCACTCCAACTTCCCTCCTACTCGACACACCGGACGCCGCTCGCATATTGCTGAACCACCTTCACGCCCCCTGTGAACGGTTTAACACCTCTGCCTTGCTCTTGCTTCGATTGCCGCCACCAACTGCAACTACTCGGGACAACAATGAACGTCGCTGATAGTGCCTCCACCGTGGCCATGGATACCACCGGCTTTACCAGCCCCGTCCTCACTAGCACTACCTCCACTAATGAGGCCACTAGGAACAATTCAAACACCAGTACCACTGCTGCCACAACAACCGCGACAACAACCCAGGAGAAGCCGTCCTCGTCTCCGTCTTCGTCCTCTGTTTCCTCAGCTCACGTTCCCGCCAACGAGTACTATTCGAGCAACAACTATGTCAACCGGCACAGGACACTTGGCAGCGTAAGTTTCTTTTCTGTTTTTCTTTTGGTTGTGTGCAAATCATTAAGGCTGAGTTGGCATGCTGTTTGGGATTGCTCGGAAACTGTGGAGTGATTTCAAGCAACAAAGCAATATATCAGGAAACCGTGGAATGTTGCCTTTCGTTTGTGTTCTTTCGTTTTTATCAGAAAAAAAAAGTACGGATTCGCATAAAAATAGCCGGGAAGAAAAAGAGCCAAAGGACGAACAGCGGTTTTTTGAGCGCGAAAAGGGGGGTTGAAGGGCGAAGCAGCCTTTTTTTTTTTTTTTTAATCAACCCGGGAACTTGATTCACACTCCCTTCATATTATGTTCTTGTCGACAAAAGACTATCAATTGCATACTGAAGTGTCTATCTGCGCTTACCCACCGTGTTTCCCTGTTCTTTTTTTATCTTTTTGTCAAGAACGGTCCACTTAACATTTCCTGAAAGTTATTTTCCATGTACTCTCGAGGGGATGGAAAAACGGCGAGGAGAGAGAGAATGAGGGAAGCTTGCTTATCTTAACAGCCAACATATCTCTTTGTCGTGTTTCGAAGTTCATGCTGAATAAAGCAACAAGAAGGGTTTATTGTCTTCATTGTTCTAACGAGCTGTCCTGTTTGGTTAACGTTGGTAATCTCATGGTTTTCGGATTTGAAATAGTCCAACAAGCCCTCCGTCCTGCAGAGCAATGATCCCATGGTGCATCCCGAATCGGGCACAAAGTACAGACGGCCGCGTCGCGGTTCACATGGTTAGCTGCTTTGCTCTTCTTTTTCAATCGGATCAGACATGCGTTTTGTAGTCTGAACGGAGAATATAAAAAAAGGCTTAAGTGATGCACGTACTCCGCACAACCCTTATCTCGTTCAGAGATATGCTTGATAAACAAACCGTTAGCTCGATTGCCTATCGGTTATAGGCCTCACACAACTCATCTCTACTCTTTTTCCTATCCCGCTCTCTTTCGTTCTATAGACGACAAGGCAACCAAGCCTAGACGATTTTTGATTGACGTTGAGGAGACTCAGAAACTGATTTTGGAGCAGGAAGATACCGACGGCGATTTTCAGATTACAGTCAACGATGTCGGCCCCAAGGTCATCACACTCGGAACAGCGGATTCGGCTGGATTTAACAAGTACGATATTCGGGGCACCTATATGCTTAGCAACCTTTTGCAGGAGCTGTCTCTGGCTCAGGACTATGGTCGTAAATATGTCGTTCTGGATGAGTCTCGCTTAAACGAAAATCCTGTCGATCGACTCTCGCGTATGATCAGACATCACTTTTGGGATGGCCTCACTCGTCGCATCGATGCAGAGGGACTGGAGATGATTGCGAGCGACCCTAAGAACAGGTCCAAGAACACTACGCCGAGAATCTATATCCCCCATGGCGAGACCGAGGTGATGAAATACTACAAGAACGTCAGCCTGCAGAAGCCTCATCTCAAACTCGACATCCAGCAGCTTCCTGCGAAGATTACGCCAAAGTACGTCCAGTCGATCAATGACAGGCCAGGAATTTTGGCGTTGGCGATGACCAAGTTCGTGAATGAGGAGGGTGAAGAGAGCTTGAAGGGCGTTCCATTCGTCGTCCCGGGAGGTCGCTTCAACGAGATGTATGGTTGGGACTCTTACTTCGAGTCTCTGGGTCTGTTGGTCGATGGCCGTCTAGAGCTGGCAAAGGGTATGGTCGACAATTTCGTGTACGAGATTCAGCACTACGGCATGATCTTGAACGCCAACCGCAGCTACTACTTGACCAGGACCCAACCTCCATTCCTTACGGATATGATACTCAAGGTCTATGATCGCCTCCCATTCAGTCTCGAAATCGAAAACAAGCAATGGCTCGCAATCGCCTTGACAGCCGCCATCAAGGAATACCTGACTATCTGGATGTCACAGCCCCGCTATGATCCCGAGTGTGGATTGTCGCGGTTCCACAGCGAAGGAATCGGCATGCCACCAGAAACAGAGGAGACACACTTTGACCATGTCATCAAGCCTTTCGCGGATGCCAAGGGCCTTCCGATTCAGGAGTACAGTCGGAAGTATAATGCCGGAGAGATATATGAGCCTGAGCTGGACACGTACTTTGTCCACGATCGTGCCGTCCGTGAGTCAGGACACGACACCACCTATCGATTGGATAACTGCGCTGCCGATGTTGCAACTGTGGATTTGAACTCGCTACTGTACAAGTACGAGATGGACATTGCGGAGACGATCCAAACACTCTTTGGCGACTCTTTTGAGACGCCTTTCTTTGCCAGTTACGACACAAAATCCATCCCCGAGGAGAGCCGGCCAAAGACCATCATGCACACCTCCGCGGATTGGTTTGAGCGCGCACGCATTCGTCAGGAGAAGATTAACAACTACTGCTGGAACGAGGAACGTGGTATGTTCTTTGACTACAACACGAGGACAAAGGCCATGGGAACGTACGAGAGTGTCACGACATTTTACACCATGTGGGCAGGATGTGCTGATCGCGAGAAGGCCGAGAGGATGATGTAAGGACCGGATTGTCGGGCGCAGCGTCGTACTTGTATTACACTCCTATAAGAGAGCATCTGCTAATCTCTTTTCTGTTCATTTTATATCTCCATAGGGTTTGTGCATTGCCTCTTTTCGAGGTGACTGGAGGATTGGTATCTGGAAGCGAGGCATCGAGAGGTATCATTACACTATCGCGTCCCAACCGTCAATGGGACTTTCCCTTTGGCTGGGCACCGCATCAGATCATCTCGTGGATTGGATTCGAGAAATACGGATTCATGGAGGAGACCAAGCGATGCTGCTACCGCTGGCTGTATACGTATGTTACGCTTAATATCTCATGGTTCTGCATTGGTTTATCCATATGACCTTGCCATATACCACGTCTTACTCACCGGTGTATACATTGTTGCCTGCTTATATAGTATCACAAAGTCGTTTGTAGATTTTAATGGCATGGTGCCTGAGAAGTTTGATGTGGTGAACATGACGCACAAGGTTCAGGTCGAGTACGGCAATGTGGGGGTGGACTTCAAGTTTATTCCGCGTGAGGGATTCGGGTGGATGAACGCCAGTTACCAGGTCGGACTGGGCTACATGGACCGACAGCTTCGACGAGCGCTGGGAACGGTGCTGGAGCCGACGAAGGTGTTCAAGTGCAAGGACCCGTTCTGTACGACGTACGAGAACGTGAGCATTGCGGTGCAACCTCCAGATACGACCACTCGATTAGTCCGTCCTCGCTCACTTCGCAAGGCTTGAAGGAACTGTTAGGCGGCGATAGGGCGTAGCAATCTAGCAGCACACCATCACACCATGGATTGCAGCGGCCATTTGCATGGACAGATGCAGGCGCAGACGTGGAGAAGATCGGGGACAGCGGTGCAAGTTTCTTTTTTTTTTTTCTTTTTTGCGACGGATGAGATAGTAGCCAGACAGGCAGGGAGGGCCAGCGAGTACATTGCAGTTGATCTGCAAAGCGCAGGAGGAGGAGGAGGGCGATGAGTAGGTGGAGGAGCTTTTTTGATTTTTTTCTTTTAGTTTCAAGGATATAGCACAATGTCATGTATATAGAGACTAAAGCTGTTTTCATGCCCTAGAAAATACTGAGCAATTGTTGCCTGCAATCAGATTCCATGGAGATAGATGTAGCCCTTGGTCCTCCAATGGACACAGCAACAATGCGTTCATTTACGCGGGTGGCAGTTTGAGCATCGCCGAGTGGCTTTTACGCCTTTTTTTTTTTTAATTCTTCGCCCCATTGCAGGTGAGTTTGCATCTCTTTCTCTTCATTCCATGCATCCTTGACCCCCTCTTCTCGTTTGCCTCATCAAAGACCGCGCCAAATCTCTTGCATCCTTCCATCAGATACTCGTAAACCGCTTTTCCCCCCTTCACAGACTAACAGTAACTTCGCACACGGACAATTTCCCTAATACTATACGAATAAGTGGCACACACAGAAGAAAAAAAAAATGTCTACCCCGTCGCGCCGCAGGCTCATGAAGGATTTCAAACGCCTCCAGAGTGACCCTCCAGGCGGTATCTCTGGTGCACCTTGTTCTGATAACATCATGCTCTGGAATGCAGTTATCTTTGGACCTGGTAAGTCGAATGGTCGTCTTTTTTTTTTTTTGGCATTCATTCTTCGCTGCAGAACTGGCTGGACGGGACGGGACTGGATTGAGAGACAAGACCCGGGCAAGGTCTGACGATTGTATAAGACCAGACCAGGACTAGGTTTTTTTATTATTTTGTTATTATTATTATTTGAGTTGATGACACCGGTTACGAACGATCGGACTGAGTTGGATAGACCGACTACACAGGGGTGGCGTTAGTAAGGGGGAGGGCGGCAGGTTTAAGGGCGAGGGGGGGGTATCTTTAATCATGCGTTATATTCTTTCAGCCCCATCTATCTTGTTCCTGCTCAATGGAAAAGATATATATGAAAAAAGCGATCCATTTACATGAACAGCTCCGTACATGGGATGCGGAGGAGGGAGATTAGATAAATAAAAAAATAAAAAAAAGACCGTGCTCAGGCAGTCTCTTTGTCTTTTTATTTTCAGTTTCGGCGAAGCAGTGGTACAATATGGACTCTTCTTTCACTCACCCCACATGGATCGATGCTATTATTTCCCTAACACCTAACTTTCCTTTTCATCCCTTTCCTTCAGGAGAGACACCGTTCGAAGACGGAACATTCAAGCTTCTGCTGCAGTTCGACGAGACCTACCCGAACAAACCTCCGACCGTGAAGTTTGTCTCGCGGATGTTCCATCCGAACGTCTATGCGAACGGAGAGCTGTGCCTGGACATTCTCCAGAACCGGTGGTCGCCCACGTATGACGTTGCGGCCATTTTGACGAGCATCCAGTCTTTGCTGCATGACCCCAATCCGAATTCGCCCGCCAACGCCGAGGCCGCAAATCTGTACAGGGAGAATAAGAAGGAATACACGAGGCGGGTACGCGAGATCGTCGAGGCTTCTTGGGAGTCGTGAGAGAGTCACTTGGGCTTTAGGATCGATCCTTGGGTTTCTACGATTCTAGGCTTCAAGGATTTTGAGCAAAATAAAAAATAAATAAAAATAAAGCCGAACAAGTACGAGGATGAACGAACAATGAATACGTTTTTTTTTTTTTTTTTTTTTTTTTTTTTTTCTTTGGCGAGCGACGCGTGTAGCTTATAAGCAATTAGTAGTAACATCTCCATCATTGAAGGAGCCTTTGCTTTTCTTTCGTCCCCTTCCACAAAAAGATGTTTAATTATTTTTCTCTTGATTTTTTTTTTAACATTTTACAAAAGATGTCTCTCTACATGACAATCTCGTTCTCACAGCTCTGCTTCAAGTCCTTGTGGGGCAAGACGATACAGTTCCTGATGATGACCTCGTCCTTGACAGAGACCTCCTTGCCGAGAATGGTGACGGACTGAATCTTCAATCCGCTCTTGGTCACGGCCGTGCTGTTGTGGGCAGCCGGGAGAGTACCCTCGACGCGGGTCCAGCACCCGATCTTGGAGTCCCAGCCGATGATGGCGTGCAGGATACAGGCGTTCTGTTTGATGTCGACGTTGTCGAGAATAATCGAGTCCCGGATACGGGCGCCCTTGCCCACAAAGACGTTAGGGCCGATCGACACATTCGGGCCGAGCTGTGTTATAGTAAAAAAAAAAAAAGGAGGGGGACTTAAAAAGCTGTTGCGATCTCCAAAGATGAGGGGCCATTTTTTTTTTTTTGTTCCGTACCTTGGCCTTGGGGTCAACCTGGGCGGTGGGATGAATGTAGACAGCACCGACGATCTCAGGTCCACCGGGAACGTTCTTGGCGAGCTTCTCGGGGTTGGTCTGCAGAAGTTGTTCCAGATACAAGCCGTTCACGGGTACGGCCGATCTATGACATGGAACGAGATCCATGTGGATGCGATCATTAATATCCCGTTGCAGATACATCTGAAGCCCCCCCCCCAATGCGATGATGGTATTGGAAAACTCGGCTTACCCAGCAGTCTTGATCTGTCTCCAGAAGTCCTTGGTCTCATAGACAAAGAGCTTACGGGCCTGAGCCAAGGGACGGAGGAGATCTTGCTCCAGACGCAACTTGTTGCCATCCTGGAAAACTTCCCTGCCATAGATATCTGTCTCGACGCTAAGTAAGTAAGAAGAAAAAAAAAAAAAAAAAAAGATAGCATGTCAGCTATGACCATTCGACCCCCCCAAAATAGCCGTTGAACGAAAATCGATTGTCTCCCCCCTCTCCCCCCCTTGACTTACTTTCCCTTCTTGTTCTCGAGCGACTTGCGGATTTCATCAAAGATGGCACAGTCAAAGAGATAGACTCCACAGGAGATCAAGTTCGAGATGAATGACTCGGGTTTCTCCACATAATGCAAAACCTCGTTCGTATCGGCCTTGGCAACGAGGCATCCAAAGTTATTGGCGGATTCCCTCGGCACCTTCGTGCCCAAAATCGTGCACAGTCCACGATGGCCCTCATGTGCCTTCTTCATCTCGATCAGGGGGAATGTGCAGGCCACATCCGCGTGCAAGACGAACACCTGTTCGGGGTTGCCGCGCAAGATCTCGTCGCGGAAATGATAGAGCCCTCCAGCGGTACCCAAGGATTGGTATTCGCGCAAGTAGCTAAGAACATGTAGTAGAAGACAGAAAGAGAAGGCAGAAAAAGAAAGAGAGAAAAAAAAAAAAAGAGTGGAATGGATAGAGTTAGGAGAGAGAGAGTGGTCACCGAAACTTGGTGACCAACAACCAGGTCCACGTTTCGTTTTTTTCGTCGATTGTCCCAATTGAAGGACGAACTCGTCCTATATTTCCCACAGGGTAGCAACCAACAGCATACAATTGTAATAATAATAATAATGAAAAAAAGAGACGTTACCGGATATGAAGGCTAGGGTATTCACGGGCGGCATCCTGAAGGAACTGAGAGAAGACAGAGTCCTCAAAGAAACCGATGAGGAGAATCTCTTTGAGGTCCTCGATCTTGGACAGGGCAGCGATGTGGTGGGAGATGATGGGCTTGCCTGCGACGGGGAACAGGGGCTTGGGGACGTTGAGCGAAAGGGGGCGGAAACGTGTGCCACGCGAGGGTCCGCCGACGAGGATGATGGCCTTTGGATGCATTTCGATTCGAGTTATTGTTTTTTTTTGTGAGAGGGGAGGGGAGGAGAGAGGAATGTAAAGGAACGAAGAGATGGGCGATAGAGAGGATGAAGAGGACGTTTAGAAACGAATGAATGGGTTCGCGCTTATTTGTCTTTGAATAGAAATAGAATTTTGAAGTGTGCTCTTGATTCTTTTCTTGCATGCTCTATATATCCAAGGCTACGTCGATCTGCTTTCCAAGGCCACGTTCCCATTCCCGGCACAATCAATCTCTTCTTCGGCGCGATATTTGAATCTGCCATTTATGAATTTTTTTTTATTACTATTATCATTATTTTCACTATTAGAAGCCTGCCTGCCATACGCTCTCTATTGTGCAATTGCTTCAATCCAGCGTTGTATACTACAATGGAAATAAAACAAGATAAAGCGGAGCAAACGTCAAAGAGGTGCAATTGACCCACCGAGTATAAACACGACACTAAAAGCAGCATGGCACTTACCTCCTCGTCTTCCCGCTGAGAGAGCTCCTCCTGAATCGCAATCTGTCGAGCCACCTTCCTTGCCAATGGCTTGTTTGGTTGCAGCATCTCTGCAGTAACTGGGCGACTACAACCTACACAAGTCGGGAAAAATAATCTAGTCAATATCTGCACACTTCAAAGACAGTACCTTAACATCCTCCTGTCGATACAACTAAAAAAAAAAAAAAAAAAAAAACATACCATGGACAGGACATGGCGTCTGCCCTCGACCGCGCGATCGAATCAAGTCCAGGATCGCCGCCTTCGAGAAACTATGCTTACACACCGAGCTCGTCACCGGATCCTCCAGAAAGTTCGTCGTAATCGGGCACTTCAAACTCTGCATACCCGTGTCCGCCATCACCACGATCTCCATATCCTCATCCTCATCCTCATCTCCAGCCGTCGCTCCCGAACTCGGCAACGGATCATTGCCGTGATGTATCTCCCACACCCTTGTCCTTAGCTCCAACAACTCGCGATCGACCCCTCCGGGCGTCGGTCTAATCTTCAATTCCTGTTTCAGCCTCGCCTGCTGGTGCTTGGTCTCGTTCTTGATCAGATGTTCATAAGACCCCAACAAGTCTCCCGCAGGCAATTGTGCGCCCATGCTGACCATCGACGCCAAATTGTCCAAAGCCTGCTTCTCCACCTCGTTCTGTCGCTGCATATCGACAATGAGTTGCAGTGCATTCTCCATCATGTGAATATGTGGGTCCTGACTGAACGCTTCCCTTTCTGCATGAGCTGCCAGAGCCGCTTTCGACCGAGAGGTTGGTTTCGTGGGATTTGCGGAGGGCGCATCCTTGTTTCCTGCACCCTTCGCTGACGGACTGCCAAAGAACTCTTCGTATTCTGTCGTTGAATCCGTGATGTACTGCAGACCCTTTTTGATAGTGTCCAGGTGGGGCGTATAGGCTCCAATGGTAGGTCTCAAACTGGAGACAAGTGTCCGAGGATAAGTTATTTGAGGCCCTTGGTCAACACCGCCAGCGGCTGTAGACGACGAAGACAAAGAAGCATAGGAGGATGTCGATGCTGATGCCGTCGCTGCTGGCTGGGAGGCCTGTGAGGTGTACCTGGGATTCTGGGGCATCCCGCCAGTGCGTCTAGCAGTCTGTTTCCGGTGCGTCGAGGATGAGGCGCTGGATGTCGACGGGGCTCCTGATCCTGCGGTCATGGCGACTGATGTGGGCGAATGCGTGTGCTGCAACACCAAAGATGGTGGCGATCAAACCATTGCCATTGCTTCAAACCAGGACGCCAGGACCATGAAATAACCCTTAACGCTCAGTTGAACATTGAACACATTTTTTTTTTGGAAATGTTATGTATTCATGGCATTTCCTTATTCATTTGTGTAGGGCCCTCGGCGGGTCGTTTTCTTCTATTGAGTCTTCTTATCCAGTGAGCTCAGCTCAATGTCGCCTTCGTCCTTGCCGCTGTCGGTGCGGCTCGAGTTCTGGAACCGGTTGTGGAGCTGTGAGGAGTGCTGCTGTGGCTGTCTCTGATACTCCGATTTGCCGGAGCTCTCGCGGGGCTTGTCCATGTTTTCTCTCAACTTGTCCATAGCCATCCTATATCCCTGGTCGTAAACCTTCCATGCGATCGTCTCTACGAGTCCCAGCATGTCCAGGTACCACATCGCAGCCATAGGGATACCGACCATCGCCACAACCATCAGATACAGTGGGTTTTTGATGATCGCAATGAACTCGTTCCAGCCCAAAATCACCATTGCAACGCCAACCCAGTATGGCACCTTGGCCTGCGTCGCCACTACCGAGCGCTTGGCCTCCAAGTAGAACGCGTCCGACTCGCGCTTGAACTTGGTGGTGATCTCCTGCTGACGCGCCTCTGAGAGCACCTTGAGAGACTGGTCAAAATCAAAGTCTTCTGTCGCCTCGAGTTCAAACTTTTCACCCTTGATAGGATCTACATTATTGATCTTGGCAAACAAGGGAACCAGTTCCACAGTCTAGTTTGTAATATGAAATAAAAAAACCAATCCAGGTTAGCAAATTCAGTGGCGAATTAACGTTTGTCCCAAGAAAAAAAAAAAAAAAAAAAAAAAACATACCTCATCGCGAGCCTTGCGGAAGGGAGTATCAATATCATCATCGGGCTTCCAGACACGAGGAAGACCGTGGTCATCGTACCGGAACTTCTCCTCGAATCTGTTGCGCAACTTAAGCAGCATCATTCCATCCATCGACTCCTCTTGGACCTTCTTTGTCAACAGCACCCAGGCCTGACGACGCAGGCTCACCGTAAGCTCAGCCTGTTCCTGCTCGTTCAGGTCAAATGTGCGCGCCTTCTTTTGAAGCAGTTGCTCTGCGCTCTCAATTGTGCCCTGGTAAATCGTAATCACCTTGCCCCACATTCCAGGGCCCGGGTGGTTGAGTGCCAATCCAATGGGCTCATCCAATTCCTGGCGAAGGTGCTTCTCCAAGTTCATCAGCATCTTGTTCATCTCCTTCTCGCGCTGCGATGCCGCGAACTCCTGTAATCCATGCTCTAGCTGGTACTGCTCCTCGTCATATGACCATTCGGTCTCGTCCAATTTGATAGCCTTGGCGCCTTCCAAAAAGAAATTGAGAGCCTCCTTCTTAGCTGTAGCAACCACAACCGAGAACTCTGCTCCGTCACCACGAAAAGCCTGCTGGAGGTTGTTGGAAAACATGTTAACGGCCTTCTTGTGTAAATTCTTCAGCTGTCCCAAAAAGTACGCCTCAAGCATGTGGTTGGCCTTGTTCAACATCTCTGCACGCTTGCGTTTGTAGACCTCTGCATGATAACGAGATGCGTCCTTGTCGAATGATTCTATAATCGAGTGTAATGAATAGAAACAGTATTAGCGTCTCTGAATTCATCACTAAACAGCAACTGAACGCAAAATGGAATATTCCAGACACACGTACTGATGGCTGTGCCGCGAATGTCTTTCATTTTGGGTCCGAGGTCGTCGACGATGTTTCCAGTCTCGATGGGCTGTCTGAACTCCTTGATCTTCTCCTGGAAAACAGCAAAGGCCGCGTTGGCAATCTCATCGCAACGATATTGGGCCAGCAACTCCTGTTGCGTTGGGAGATCCAGATCTTTGTTGGTCATAATCTTGTCCCAAATGCCTCCTGCATAAATATGAAGACCGTCGATTGGCACACGCTTTGAATATTGAGGCTGGAAAACATAGTTGGGGTCAGAAGGATTGGTGAATCTATGTGAAGTGAAATAGAAGAAATAATTCGCTCCTTGTCAGTCAAACTATAAGGGCTTCCGGAACATTGAAATACATATTTGTTTCTGATTCATTCGCTGAAGGCTGAGGAAAAAAAAAAAAAAAAAAAAAAAAAAAAGGAGGGGCGCTTACCGAAGGCGAAGCTGCTCGACATCGGCATCAAACTTTTCTGGCTGGAGCAACTTGTGAGCAAGTGTCGTGAACATGAAATCAAAATAGTCGGTAATCTTGCAATCCTCGAGGCCCTCAGGCTGTAACAAGGAAACAAAATTAAATACGCATTAGTGCCAAACCCCTGAATAGCACCACTACCACAGCGTTGCAAAGCAGTCGAACAAGAGTGTCCGCTGTGTACCTTGGAAAGTCCGTGCCAGATTCGCTCGAGATCAGCTTTCAGGGTGTTGGAGAGGTTGGCGAGAGGCGTGGCGCCCACATGGTCGCGGATCACGAAGAGCAATAGCGTCTTTTCCTTTCTATCGGATGCCATGGAGCAGAAGGAAGTAATAAAACGGCAGGTTAACGGGCATGAACCATGACATTGCGCGTGCCGAGCAAACCGTATCGACATGAGAATAAATCCAGCGTGCATGATCGCCATGATCGCATGGCACACAAAAATAACAATCAGACATAAATTGGATCACATGCAAAATAGACGCGTCTTATGAATATCCCCTGCCACTGTGAGAACTTACCCTCGGTTGCCTCCAAATAGCTGCAGGTTGACCTCAAAAACTGTCTTGAGAAGACCCATGTTGGCACCATTATAAAGACCGACTTGATGCTCCCACAAGTTCACAATCAAGACCTCCGATGTTGCTACCGAGAACAGTGCACTCTTGCGCTCGAAATCCTATCGATTTTTTTCCCCCCCAATGAAGCGTTATCGATGAAGAAATAACGTTAGGTTGGTTATCAATGTATACATCGATTGGCTGCAGAAGATATAGTCCAGACCTTACCTGATCTTCACCGCGCTCGCGACCATCGGTACCCTCGACGTCCATGATCAGAACCTTCTTGTCCTTATCTTTACTTATCCAGATACCCTTTGTGGTCTGCATTCTTGCCGTTTCGGACATGACATCAAAGCTGGTACCGAACAATCTGTTCAGCAGCGTACCTATCATTCATGATTGCAGTTCAGAAATTGCCCACCGTGGGGGTAAGAGGTGATCGGTTAGAGGTTGAGCCCCAGGAATAGAACCGGAATCGAATGAAAATGAGCAAAGGGGATTGAGGGTGTGTGTGTATGTGAAAAAGACATACTCTTGCCGGTACTCTGACTTCCAAAGACGGCTGCGAGGTTGTAGTTGAAGCCAGCATCCCCGAGACCCCATTTGTCGCTAACGAAGGTTGACAGAGCTTCACTACGTTGCCGAGATGGATCAAATTGTATAGTCTTGTTAGTTTAGGCTGAAGAAAATGGTTTGTCACCGGAGGAAGTCCAGACTAGGGGGGACTGCAAGGGGGACGGTACCTGAACTTTTGCTGCTCGTCAATAAGGTGCAGTCTCGGCTGTACCTCCTTTGGCTTGCCGGAAGGGATGGGTGCGTCGAGGACATCAGGCACGGCTGCATCCTGCGAGAGATGATCGACATCAGGCACTTCGTCCATGATGGTGGCGTTGTCTATGTGGTCTATAGGATGGGGCAGTGGGTAAGAGAGAGAAAAAGAGTAGGACACAAAGTACGGATGGAATGGGATGGGATGAGATGGGATGGGAACAAAAAGAGATGGGGTTTGGGCTGCAAAAGTAATGGAGCGAAGACAGGTTTTGGCCAAAGGAAAAAGAAAGAATGGGCTGCGTGTCACTGGGCGAGACGGGGAAATACGATCCAGGGCACAACACGCCAAAGTCAGCCCTGCACCCATTCGCCCATGCATACTTGATTATTTCCTCCCATGCCAGAAGGTTTCGCCCGCATGTCTTTCGCGATGGTATCGCATACCCCACCGTTCTTCAGCCGCGGCGCTAAAGTAACCATGCCTACTCGCAGTTCCCATCGCCCAGTCTTGCTCAGCTCAGCCAGGGCTAGAGGTGCAGCTATGAGGCCAGCAAAGGCAATAGTCAAGGTCAAGGAGAATGTAAATGCAGGTACCCATGCTTGGTTTTGCCACCAACCGTATCGATACATTTATTATTGTGGTGCTGTGCTAAAGATGCACTTTGTCGTGCTCTCTACAAAGAGAAGACTGCGGTGGCTCCATGCCTGACAAGAAAGAGGCCCCAAGGTCGTCTATCCGACCTCGAGGGTCGCGACCGCAAAGATTCCATTGACATCGTGCTCTGGGATCTTGCCCCTCCACATCCTCAACGACGGGAATGTATCCTTCCAGTCCAGTCCATCAAACAGCTTGACCGCCTCCTCGTTCGACGTTGGCACATCCACATCAAACTGCAATGGGACATGGTACGGCGACTGCCTCTCGGCCTGCACGACCTCAACTCCCAGCTTGACCAGCAGCAGCTTCGCGACTTCGGGGGTACTGGCGTACAGGGGTCCAACCCTGTAAGAGGTTTCTGCTGGGCGCACACATCCGAACCCGAGTATCTTGGGCTTGCCGCTCTTTTCATCCACAGTACCATCCGTCGACAACACCGCGACTCCAAACCGATGAAGCTCAGGGTTGAACGTATGGAATTGCGCCCATTCTTTAATGAATTCGGGTCGCTTCAATCCCGCATACCGTTGTTCGAGGGCCTGAACCTGGTCCCAGTCAACCAGATCGTCCGACAGGTGAACTAATCCAGGTACTCCACCCCTAGCAACCTTCTCTGCTAAATCACGCTCAAGGTTCTCGACCAAATCCTTGGCCGACCCGTGGCGGCGCTCATTTCTCCAGGCCACATTCGTGAACCCAGACTTCTTATAGTTCTCTACCTGGGCCAACACACCATCGAGCCCGATACTTTGGCGATCATGGCCCGCGTGTTCGAGGGCCTTTTGGAAGGTCGCCATTCCGTATCCCTTGCCACGGTGACGGGGCAAAACAATGTAGAATCCGAGCCAGGCTTGATCCTTGCCGTATCTGATAAGGCTCACGATGGAGACGATTTCCGTCTTGGTAGGAGCCTGTTTGTCGGCAATTCTTCCGTAAAAGAAGCCCTCGGGGTCGGCTTTGTGATAGAGGTCCCGGATGTCTTGACCTTTCACACTGGGGTTCCATTGCTCCTGAACCGCCCAGGTGTAGAAGAGATCGAAGGCTTGTTCTTGCGTGCATCGGTCGAGGATAAGACCCTCTGGATGTGATGCTCCATTGGACTTGAACGGAGTGTCAACGGCTGAAATCGCCTGTGCGGACATTTTTGTTGTCTTGCTCCCGGCGGAAAGGAAAGTGGGTATGATGAGGTTAAGGATGAGAAGAGAATGAATGAGTCATAAGAAGAAAAGAGCAGACTAAAGTGCATGTCCACCTCCTCTTCCTCAGCCCTCCTCCCCCCCCCCCCCCCCTTTCCATCATCCGTTGCGTATATCATGCAATCGGACCAGGGGAAATTGGGCGGAAAGGCATGAGAAAACCCTCATCTCTTTGGAGCGTGATCACGAGAAAGAAGAAGGCGTCCCATCTATCTACTGCTGCTGACATGGTCTAGTTGTTCATTACCTTATAATCCTGATCTATTATCAGTATTGCGCGTTCTTCTTGTGCTCGACCCTCCCATGCCGATGAAAATGGCCATACCCCGCCTATCCTTTTGTAAGTCTTCATTCGGTCGCATCGGGCGAGCAGCGCAAGGCGGCGCATGCTTTCCACTCGCGGGCCACTAGTCTACCACCGCTACGGCAACCAAAAACAGCAATGCGAAACGATACACGTGCAAAAGCACAACTCCATCATTGTTCAAGTGTTGAAAACTCCCACGCCCCCAACATTTGCCAGCTATGCATGATGAACAATTCACAACCCATATCGACTGTCGCAGTTTGTACCCATTCAAGATCGAACATACGCCTCAGCCCTATTCACGGCTCCAGCGCGCATGTTTATATTAAAAAAAAAAAAAAAACAAAGACTCTCCTCGTATAACCTCATGAAAGGTTGATTCAGATCATCGTGCCTGAGATATCTCTTATCCGGCCTCGACAAGTCGTTTTTAAGGAGATCACCCGACGATTCTCATTTGTTTCGACGCGTGCAAAAAACGCGACCATTCCTCAAAAAGGCGAACAAGTGAGACATTTAAGCTCATCCACAACAAGCAGTCCAGGGGGGGACTTCTGGATCGAGCATTCCTGTTTCAGAGGTCACGACCGTGAGAGTTGGCCTACAAGGCGACGTCCGTCGAAGAGAACAGAGGATAATGAAACAGCGGTTAAAGAGAATGAAAAAAAGACGGGGGAGGATCTGCAGACTCCATCTGAGGCCAGTCACTGTCACTACAGGAAGCGCATTGGGGGGGACTTTGTAAAAAAAAACTCCCTTCTGACAGAAAAAAAAAATAAGACGCGTCCGTTCATGATACATTCAGGGTGTTTGAGCTGAGCTGTGTGGAGAAATAAAGTTTTTACGTCCGAATGGCACACTGTATGTACACACCATTTACCCCCATCCTCGAAAGAGCATTGGCAATAGTGTTGAAAAAAAAAAAGATTCATGAAGGAAGGACATATGGGAATAAAAATACAAAAAAAACGTTTATTGTCTCGTTCAAAACTAGAAAGGCCCCCAAACCCCCATGGGAGCATGGGATGAGGATGAAGCTGACAAGAACAAAAAAAAAAAAACAAAGACAAAAAAAAGTGCCTTTCCTGTCAAGCTTGCAAGAGCGCTGATGACGAAGACGATGCGTCGGGAAGATCCTGTGCTTGGGAATGTCCCTTGGCTCCCCAAAGAAGCTGCTCGATGGCTCGAAAGTTGCTGGTCTGCATAAAATGCGGCCCATAAAGCGCCAGCAGCAGCTCAATCGAAACTTGGGCTGGATGTCGGATCGATAGCAAGAAGGACCATTGTGTGGGTGCAGTCTTAACCATTGAACGGAGATGGACTATTTTGTTGATAAAAGCATGCGCATGTTAAAGGCACGTTCTGTAAGCAAAGATAAAAAAAAAAAAAAAAAAAAAAAAAAGGCAGAGAAACACCTACTCTGAAGATTGATGACAATGTTCAGTTGCTCTCGCATCCGATGGAGGATTCGCGTGCATTCGTCCTTGGATTTTGCTTCCTCTATGGGCCACGGGTCCATAATATTACTTCGCGACTCTTTCAGCGATTGAAGACTTCCCTGGTGAGGGGTTACGGTACCATCCTTCCAGGGTTTGTACTCGGACATGTCTGATCCCTCCGTAATGGCATGAGCTGTTCGTAGAGATCAGTAGCGATAAAAAATAAATAACAAAGACGAGTGAATAAACAATTCTCTGGCAAACCCCCCCCCCCCTCATTGACACAGGTACACTCCAACTTACACCGAACGATTGCTGTTGCGCGATGTTTCTTCTTCAACAGCAAATCCAGCTCATTTGGGACAGATTGCGACGATTGATTCACTGATGCTACCTTCGCTGTCGCTTTAGCCACTCCTGCCGGTGCTGCTGCACTTGAAGGTGATGATGATAATGATGGCGTCGTGAATAAGCTGGGGAGCGCCGGCTTTGCATTTGCGGACGCCGTAAAAATAGGCTTGGAGGTGAAGATCTTGTTTCTGGCAGGTCTCCGGATCGTGTCGGGTATCATTTGTTGTACGCGTTGAATTCGCAGCTCTTCCTCCCACAGTCCCCTCAAAAACTGCGTTGGACATGAATATTGTCGTACTATTTTGATGTGCGCGGATGATTTGTTGAATGGTCCAAACGTCTCCTTCCTCTCCTCAGCGGACAGGCACTCAGTCGTTTCATACACATCATCCGAGGTCAAATTCGAGTCCTTGTCCCCTTCTGCCTTCTCAAATGCCTTCTTGCACATATCGTGCTCAGAGATCCATGAGACATCTACACGGCCGCTCATCACATCCCAAAAGCTCCTAATCGTCAAAAGCTTCACATATGGTGCCGGCGAGAGACTAGACGTCCATTTGGTAGGGTGTTGATGAATTTTGCGCTTTTTGATCGACTCAATCCAGCCTGGATGATGGTCTACTGCACGGGCGCTTGTGCTTAGTGGTCGGGACAGCTCAATGGCAGCCCCGAATATCCGCTTACGGCATTGACATGCGTCTTCGGGCGCATGGCGTTGATGGCAGATGCTGCTACTGCTACCATCATCCACGAGGCAAGAATGAGGTGTGCGACATAGACGACGACGTCTATATTTGGTGGAGTGAACATTGCTTGGATTGCTGGGAATCGACCAGGAGAGAACGATATCGGATGGATTAAAGTCCAGGCGTCGGTCCTGCTTCAGTGACCAGCCACTCAATGATTGCTGTCCCAGCTGTCGATCGAGACAGGGCAGGGAAGAGGAAGTCGATCGCGGGGATGCTGCCAAGGTTGCTCGTGTGCCGCTGGTTTTCCTTCTTCTCTTGATATCAGCATAGCTGGAGCCACTTACACTCGTTGACCTCTTCTTCGCACCCATGGCCAAGGAATCCCCGTCGTCATCACTATCAGAGCCGCCCGATGTGTACCGCCCATCCTTCTTCTTGTTATTCCTCTGACCACGACCTCGAGCTGAGGATTGATTTTCTCCGAAGAGATCGAGGCCCTTGGACAGGGGGGTGCGCATTGTTAAGGTGTTGTGGTTATTTGGAAGAAAGATTGGCTGCGCAAAGAACACAAATGTGCTCGAGGAAAAAGAGGCGTTGCTGGTGCTGCTGACGCTGACACAGACATTGGGGTTTGTGTTGTCGGACAGGTAGCGTGAGCAGCTTTGTTGATGTTTATGGTTCTGCAGATGTGGTTGAGATGCGTCTCGTTTGTGTTCAAGCCCTTGTTCATCGTGCTGCTGGTCCTGCAAACTCTGACGTGGGTTAACGCTAGTGCGATCCAGATCCTCGGTCGTTGCGGTAGGGTTGCTGCATGGCGGGTATATGATATGTGGATGGTGAGCCAGTTTCGGGCTCTCGACCTTGTCAAGCACATCGTCCCTGTGGGTTTGTGGCTCCGACAGTTCTTTGGGGGGTGCCTGCTGCTTTTCTGCTGACGTTCGCTCATCGTGTTGGAGAGTCGTGCCTGCGCCTCGGACAAATGACGAATAAGAATTAAGAGAGCGCTCTTGTGCGGTTGGTTCTGGGCCTGGCGTTGGAAGATGTGAGGAGAGGACGGGCACGAGGTGCTGCAGCAACGGCTCTTTTGGTAGATCAAGGGGTTCAGGATGGTTTAGGAGGGCAGAACTGAGGGGGGCTGCTGCTGCTGCCGCTGCTGCCGCCGCTGCTGCCGCTGTTGACTCGGCATCGGTGTTTTTGACCCTACTGCAACTACTACCCATACTCGCCGTGGCTGTCTCTTCATTTTTGGCCTCGCTCTTGGCGATAGCAAATGTGTTTTTGTTGATGGCGGTCGAGGTGTGATGGCAAAAGAAGGTGTCGAGGAAGGACGACTGGAAGGTCGAGGACAGTTCACAGGTCAGGCCAGAGGGAAGCGAGTCAGAGTCAGAGTCGGTTGAGGCAGATGGGTGGGCTGATGGTGATGGCGATGGGTCAGAGGGAAAGGAATCGAGCTGCATCCCAGGAAAAAGAGGTGGAGATGAGAAGGGTTGATGTCGAACAGGAGCGGAAGGGATGGGGCGTGCGGTCGAGGGCCAGAATAAAGATGACGGTGTGAAGTGGAGTGTGAAATAGAGTGCGGGGCGTCGAGGAGAGTCAGTGGAAGTGGAAAAGAGTTACAGCGCCCGTCAGGAAGAGCGAGAAAGGGAGGGAGAGAAGGAAGAGAGAAGGAAGAAAGACGGCGAGAGAGAGAGAGAGAGAGAGAAAGAGAAAGAGAAAGAGAACGAGACAAAGGGGCCCATTGCACGACAAACAAAAAAACAAAACGAGCAGAGCAAAGTAAACTGCAAACAAACAAAGTCCCCTCCCGCATAGACTACTACTCTACCTCGAGCCTTGGAGACCCACCCGCCTTTTGCATACAGCCGGCAGGAGCGATGGTGGCTGCCCACAAGAAGCAAGCATGACGCCCGTTGCTGGCCGCACCAATCGGCAGCGATCGATGGGTGCAATTGGCACAAACCTCCGCTCGACACTAGTGGCTAGCACGATAGCACAACCCTGTTTTTTATTTTGTCGTACGCGAGTGGACAGTGCGCGTTTGCAGTGCAGCTCATCTCCCCTCTTCTCTCTGTATATCTTGATTGGTGTCTGGACGTATCTTCATAGCCATGTTTTTAGGAGGGCTGTATTTTCATCTGCGCATAGTCTAGCTATACACAAACACACTCATGCATATAATTGCAAACAAGCACCTACTCATACTTTCCTGTTACTACCAGATGGCGGTCGATCTCCGTCATGTCCGCTTCTCTCTCTCTTTTTTTTTTTTTTACGTCTTCGCGTCCCACTCTCTCGGACACATTGACCATGCTGAATCCACTGACCGTTTCCCGGTTTCACTGGCAAGTTCCTTCGGGTCTTTCTCACCACTCTCAGGTCTGATATTGTCGAATGTCATTGGACAGTTCCAACAGTATTAATTAGTTTGAAACAGTCAAGCCCAGTAGGAAAAGGAGATAGATCTTCATGGATTCATGTCGCGTTGGGATCATCATCAGCGCTGATCCTTTGGTAGAGTCAAGGAAGGTATTGCCTCGGCTAAAAGCGCGTGTACTGTACATGTTACACGAACTGAACCAGACCGGACTGGACTGGACTAGACTAGACTAGACTAAATACTTGATCAACAACCCTATTTTCCATTCCATCGTCATTCTTTAGGTCTTACTCCTTCGTACTTTTCATTCATTTATCCCTCCCCCGGTGTGGATGATTGTAGGGGCTAGCTAGCTCGCTAGAAGAAAGAAGGAAGCGTCAACTGCTCGACTGTTTGCTCAAGCGCTCAAGTGCTCAGAGGCTCGACTGTTCGATGGGAGCACAGTTGTGGCATGTAGAGTGACATCGTGAAACGGTTTGTTGACAAGGTCTGGGAGGGAAGACACGAGGGAGAGCATGGGCGCAAGGACTGAGCCGAAGAAGCTGTCACTCGGCAGGGCAGCGATCAGCTGGGGGGGGGGGGGGGGGGAGAGGAATGCCTGGAGGGGGGTAATAGGATGACCACCACATCATGTTCCTCGTCATATCATCCACCGCAGATACCTTGTGCTTACAGTAAAAAAGGGGGCGACGTTGAATAAACAGCCCTCGTGGATGTCCCTCCCTCCCCGGCTGCTTTTCTACTTACACACACACACCCCTCGCATCCCTCTGGGGCATCCCTCCTCCCCTTCCTCCCTCTTTCCTCTGCTCTTGCTTCTTCTCGACCCCTCCCCCTTTGCGCTCCCCACACTCCTCCGTCCCCTATCCCCCCTCAAGCACTTGAACACTTGGCACTCCAAAGACTGTTGTGTGTCTGATACGCGACTCAATTGCTGCCCTAGACCACCACTCTCTAGCCCTTTCTTCTTTTTTCACTGGTTTCGTATATTCACTCCATCCATCCCATTGGTCCACAACCTACCACCCTTTGCCACCAATAATAGTATTCCACACCTCATCTCCCCTCGCTCTATTTCCTTTTTTCTCTTTTTCGTCTTCCTGCTTCGCCCATGAATATCGAGGTCGAGAGGCAGGACCTGCATGTTGCCGTCATTCCCGAAGTGATGGTCGAGTTTGCAACCGTCGATGATCTTGAAGACAATGAAAAACCAGGCGAGGGAGAGCTTGCCACAGCTCTGTCTGTGTCGCCACCAACCTCCCGTTCAACTGATGGACCACCGCGAGCATTAGCATTAGCATTAGCATCAGCAGCAACATCAGGACCGATTGGCCGGAACGACGACGACGACAATGATGGACCGAGGTAAATAACGCAGCAGATAGCATGGAAACCAACCTTGGCCTTCGTCATTTTGTTCGAACTTTGATGTACAGAGGGCGCAAAAGCAAAAAAAAAATTGTCAAGCGTTCGATACTATTTCGAGGTGGTTTTTTTTTTTGGCGGTTAACTCTAAAACCCGTAGTGCCGTCCTTGGAACAGAAACAAAATCTCCGTCTTTTTATTGAATGCACGCTAATGTCTTGTACTAGAACAGAAAGTGGCGGGCTTTTCCGTCCCAGGGAAAAAGAGAAAAAGAACGCCAAGAAATGAAAAAGAAAAGAGAAACCGCACTCAAACACTCACTTTTTTTTTATTTTATTTTTTTATCCTTCTTTTCTTCTCTTTTCCCCTCAACCTCTCTGTCCACCCCTTGACTATATACCACAAACCCCCCCCCCCAATGCCTCTCGGATACAGCCCCATGGACAAGGACGAATTCGCATACCCGACCAACCTGGGTATCGAAACTGCAGAGACATCTAAAAACCTGGATATCCCCAACATCTCAGGGAAGGACATCTACAGCGACCACAACAACGGCGGCCTACCCAACGCAGAAGACAGAGGCCATTTCAGGCGCAACAATTTCAGCTCGGGCTCGGATCTGGTCCAAGTCTCGGTCGAGGACCTCTTGATCTCAGAGGAGCAGAACCGGACCATCAAGGCGAGCAAAAGCCGGGGACGACAGCATATGCCGAAAGGGGCAGGAGGAAGTCAGCAGCAACAGCAGCAGCAACAGCAGCTAGAGCCGTTGGTGCGGCCGACATCAACATCTTTATCGAATTCTTCCAATACCAACCCTATTACTACGACCATTATTACGGCCACCATCCGTACGACGGGCGGGAAGACGAGGTCCATTCACTTTGATGACGAGCAGGACGTAGAGACCAAGTCACCGAACCCAACGCAGCGGACGGACATGGAACAGAACCAGGATGCACAAAAGCTGATGGCGGCGCCACAGCCGCAGCAGCAGCAGCAGAGGGCCCAGCAGACTCGACGGATTTCACACCCCCCGGAACCCAAGATCCTGACGCCTGCACAGCAACGTGAGGCCGAGGTCGATGGGTATATCCAAAAGGCGATTGAACTACACGAGAACAACCAGCTGGAGGAGGCCACAAAGTATTTCGGATTGGCGGCACGGTATGAGAATCCACTGGGACAGTTGATGTTTGGGCTCTCGCTGAGGCATGGATGGGTAAGTTTTGTTTTGTCTGTGCTCTGCAAAAAACGCCTACATCATGATGAGCCTGTATACTCATTTGCCTTTTTTTTTTTTTTTTATTCTTCTGTCTTGTCGAGTAGGGCTGTAAACCGGACCCGAAGGAGGCGATTATATACCTTCAGCGGGCAGCAGAGTATGCAATGGGAGAATTGAACGAGCTCAATCCAGCATCAGCATCATCATCATCATCACCACTACCACCGCCACCACCATCTGCTCCTGCTACTGCCACCACAGGCCTGACTGAAAAGAGGCCTCCTACACCGGATGGAGCACCACAACCACACCTGCAGGACCAGTTCTCACCAAAGTCAACATCATCGTCATCACTCACCGAAAAGCAAGGGCAGCACGAATACAATACAGAAATATCGACAACAACCACTGCGGGGGCGTCGCATCAGAACCTACGTCGGATGGGTAGCATGGATCGAATGGAAGCCATGGCGACGGCCCGGAAGGAGCTGGTCATGGCCCTGTACGAACTGGGCATGTCCTACCTTAAGGGATGGGGCGTCTCCAAGGACAAGGCCGTTGCCTTTACATACTTCAAGATTGCGGCCGATCTGGTAAGTAAAAAAGCATCAGCACTTCCTCCCTCCCCTCCCCCGACACTGCAAAAGGGGCGTTTGATACAGGTGTTTTCGAGAGAACCATTAGCTCAATTTTCTGCTGTTCAATTTTATTCTATTACAAAAAAAAAAAAAAAAAAGGGTGATGCGGATGCACAGAACGAAACAGCACTATGCTACTACGAAGGTATCGGCGTCGACAAGGACATGTACGAATCCGCCCGCTATTACCGTATGGCCTCTGCTCAAGGAGCTTCACAACTCGGCAATTCCTGGATCTGGAAACCCAAATACGACCAATATTGCGCTGCCGAGAACGCCGGCATCGCCGTCGGCACCAGTAGCCCCGCCCCCAAAAAGGATCGATCCAAGAAATTGGCCGCCGCGATCTCGACCGCCATCCACGGGGGTTCGAGATCCAGTATCAGCTCTTCGACAATCTCACCCCCGACCTCGCCTTCGATCCCGTCACCGCATTATAGCATCTCTAGCATCGCCTCGGGCTTGGCGTCTGTGACGGCCGCGACCGTGGGAACTGGAGCGGTCGTGCCCCAGAAACACAGTAGCACCATCCGTCAATCACTTATCTCCCCGCCAGTGTCGCCCCCGTTCGGTGCAGTCGCTACTTCTCAACCGCAGCAGCAGCGACACTCGCTATCAGCCTCGGTCGTGTCCTTGTCTCCAACAACACCGACCTCGCCAGCATCGTTCACATCCTCTGTCGCATCGGTACCCATGTCCCCATCGACCTCAATCACAGCAGCAGCAGCCTCGTCTCCTTTGTCTTCCCCCTTGTCTCCAACTCCGGGTTCTGTAGAACCGGTCGAGAAGAAGAAAAGTCGATGGAGTATATGGGGCACTCAGCGATCCACCTCAACAGTTGTTACCTCCCACTAGATACTGCAGTGTATGTACATAAATAAAAAACCAATCATTCCTTTTTTTTTTTTCTTTTTTTTTTTCAAGACAAATGTCCCATTAATTGTCATGCTAGTACCCAGGAATAGAGAGATCACTCTTGCAAGTCCTGGAAATACCCTTTCGATCCCCTAACTTGTTGCTCAAAAACCAACCTGCCTGAGGAGATCTCAAAGAACCCCCCCCCCCTCTCCCGTGGACGACGTCGAATCACTCCATTTACGTACCAGGATTTGGCCGTGGGGACGCCGATACCGACGCCGACGCCAACGACGACAAAGACGACGACGAAGAAGAAGAAGAAGAAGACGAAGTGGGAGTTGAAATCAAAGTTGAAGTCGAAGGCGAGACAGCATTGATCTTTACCGCAGGATCCGACAACAACGCATTGCTACCACTCGTGTTTGGCTGTGGCGATATTCCCGCCGGTGGTGGCGGTGGTGGTGATGGTGACGCGACCATCATCGCTTTCTGTACTTCTGGCACGACAGCCAAAATACCTCCACTCATGTTCGTCCTCGGAGAGGTGTCCAGCACCCTTGGGGACGTTACTGAAACGATCCCTGATCCCACATGTCGATGCATATTCATGGGCGTCGAATCCAACCCTCCATTCCTGTTCTCCATCAAGATCCTCCGCTGATAGCTTCCGCCTCCCAGCACGACTGGTCCTGATGCTGAAGAGGATCGCGCCAGTTGAGGCATGGGTCGTATGGGGACACTACTATGGCTACCGCCGCCGTGGGGGTTCCCAGCCAAAGACGAAACCGAATACGGATTCGAATTTGTAGTAGTGCTAGGTGAAGATGAGCTCGCTTGCAGGAGTGGCCGTTGACTCGAAGACGAAGCCGAAGACAAGGACGGGCGGGCGTCTACACCGGGTATATTATTATTATTGTTGTTGTTGCTGTTGCCACTGCTGCTGCTGCTGTTGCTGCTGCTTTCTCCCATGCCATCCTGAGTCGCGTTCCTCCGTTTTTTGGCCGATTCCTTCAGGTCCTCCCAACGTTGCTTGTATTTCTTCATGAGCGAGTTCAGCTTCGAGTTTTCGAGCTTGAGCTTCAGGTTTTCTTCTTCCAGTTCCAAAAGCCGTGTCTGCATCGTTGCTGGGTTCGAATTCGTTTGGGCGCCGGGGAGTGTTGAGCCAGGCATAGGTGTGCCGATGGACATGGAAGGGACCGTGTTGCTCGTCGCCGCCGCCGCCGCCACCACCACCGCCTGTAGTTTCTGTGCCATCGCGTTTCCTTTTTCTATCATTAGCAATAAACGCACAGGGACATCGTCAGTTGAAAGAATAAAATAAAAAAAATAAAATAAAAAAAATAAAAAAAAAATAAAAAAAAAATAAAAAGTGTCTACAATAATTCCTTCCGCAAACAGCTCTGCATCCACATTAAAACGCAACTACCGCATACCTGCAGACAAGTCCTGGATCGACTGCTTCACCGGTCTCAGAACATCCTGACTCCTGATCAGCTGCATCGCCGACCGCTGCAGATCCTTCTGCCACACACTCATCTGCATGACCCCCTCCAGATTCTTCTCCAGTTTCAAGTTCCGTCTCGACAGCTTATCCAACGTTATCTTCAGCTGCTGGTTCTCAATCGCATACTCCTCCAACGTCTTGGACGGACTCCTCGTCGCTATCTCTGCTTTCCTCTGAGCACTCGACGACGACGACGACGACCCCGGTCGACCGGTCACCACCGAACCAGAGGAGGACCCTGAATCGGATCGGACCCGTGAATGGCCCCTTATCTGTGAATTTGCCACAGAGGGTGCATCGATAATAAAGAACGACTCGTGCATCGAGGAAGGATCGACGCCACGGAGTTTCGATGACCGGGACTGAGCCTGGTTAGCAATCAGGGTTTGTGGGAGTGGGGCCCTGGTGGGATCATTCTGGTTGGCATAGAGTCCATCCATGGGAGTGAAAGGCGATGGTGGCGGATCTTCGGAGGAAGGCGAGTTCAGGAGCATGGGATCGTCGCCGTCCAAGGGGATGGAGGTGAAGGCAACGGGACTGGAGATTTTCAGGACCAGGTTTTCGACCGCATCCCAGAATTTGTTGAACGGATCCGAATCATCTTTCTAGAAACGCGGAGCAAACCACAGCGGGGGGCATGACAAAGCCGTATTAGTAATCTATCCATTATATGAGTAGTGAAGCAAAATAATAAAATAAAATAAAATAAAAAACAATAAAGAACATCCTGCACTTACAACATGGTTCTTGATAAGCGTGAAGGACTCCTCGATGATCGCCGACGAGGAATTACTCGAAGGCTCCGATGTCGTAATATGTTCTCCATCCTCTTCCTTCTCCTTCTCCCCCAGATCAAGGTCTCCCAACCCCGACTTGTTCCTCAAATTAATATGCCTCTGTCCAAGTCCACCAGTATTCCCCTGTTGATGTCCTGAATCCCCACTCTCTCGCCGCCGCCGACCTGAATTCGTCCCCCCCGACCCAGACCCGGTTCCAGATCCAGATCCAGAAGCTCCAGTCCCTGTAGATGCAGTAGCAGACGACGTAGGGTGATGGCTTCCGTCGCCTTTTGTCCGTGCGACGCCCGATTGTTTCTGAGGTGGTATAGATAAAGCGGCAGCAGCAGCAGCGGCGGCCTCTGCAACAGCTGCGGCCTTGGCAATCCGACGCTGAAGATCTTTTCCTTGGCGGATGTGGTTCGCGTTCATGAGTTTGAGTGTCCGGCTAACTTCTTGGTTCTGGGTATCATGTGTTGCGAGCAAGAATTGGTCTAATACAATGAGTATACCGCGCAGAAGAAAAGTCCAGGGATCAGTGAGCGTTTTTTTTTTTTTTTTTTTCGGCCGAGTGTTCAAAAGAAAAGAGAAAAAAAAGGATGAGGATACGGATACGGGGGGAAGGGAATAGATTACCAGCAGCCTTGAAGTGCATGTCGACGGCTTCTGCCCATTGACTGCGTTCTTGGTGTTCTTCAGCAGCATTGGCGTATCGATGTGCCTAAGTGGATTCACCGAGGTGTTAGTGTACTCGTGGGGTCTCGTATTATTTATTCGTATTCCACGATGGTCGTACCAGGCTGACTGCAGTGTCCTCCATAGTTTTAAAATATTCTGTTTCGGGCAAAAGTTCAAGTACAAGAAGTGAATGCCGCAGAGTGAAGGAAAGAGAGAGAAAGAGAGAAGAAGTTGACGATGATGCTGCGGAGAAGGATGCGGTGTGCTGGAATGGAAAGAAACGGAATGTGTGGATGTGTGCGAAGGCGAAAGTGAAGACCTGCTGCCTTTGCCGCCTACCAGACAGACTCGTCATCTATGGTCACGTTGGCGAGGGACGGGGTTTTTTTTATTTGGGCGAATGCAGCATTCAATTGCAACGTGGATGCCTAGCAGGGTAATAAAGCGACCGATCAAGAACCGCCACGATGCCATTGTTTCTTTATTACTGAACGGAGCAAATCATCGACCGTTCTGTCATTTACGGCTTTACTACAGTCTTGGGATAGATGACCTCGCCCGAGGACTTGACCACACGCACAAAGTACTCTGGAGCGATAATACCATCGCCATCCTTTCCATCCGAGAGGATCACATTATTCGGCGACCTATAGAACTTGACTCCATCTATACGACATGCAAATACATTGTTTCACGAATCAGCCTTTTTTTTCTTCAATGCTGTCTAATCCGAGTGGTAAAAACGAAGGAGTTGTTTGCTTGGTTATTCTTGCGCTGTAGTTACCTCGAAGAGCCTTGGCAGTATCGATGTAGATGTAGAGACTGGACTGGCTTCTCATCCCACTGATCACACCGTGCTCACCCAGAAGTCCGGCTGCCATGTGGATATGGTTCCTGCCCATCCTTGACAACCCTTGCGCACCTTTTCAAAAACAACGACGGCGACGAAGTTTTTTTTTTTGTTAAAAAAAAAGAAAAAGAAAAATGATCCTTGGCTTCGAAAGGCACTGCGACTAGAATCCGCTATGAATGCACTTACTGATCAAGGGCCACTTTGAGAGCATGGTCCCATGAACCACAATGGGTACCTGCGACGCATCTGTAATATCCTCTAATCCAAGATCCGCAACCTATTTGACAATAGTACATCAGTCAACTTTTCTCATTCTTCTCATCATCATCATTATCATACATACCACAGAGAAAAAGATACATCCATCCCCAACGGCCCATCCGTTCTGCTTACCTGGACTATGCTATGGCCCTGCACCGCACGAATATATTCCTTCTTGCCATCGCCATTCTCAGTACCCAAGAACTGAAACCGCTTCTTCTCATTCATATCTACGACCTCCACAACCTCCTCCAGTGTATATCCCTTGAATCTCGGATGTCCTAGAATATCTACCACCTTGACATATCCATCAGGGCGAATGGCGATTCCCTGGGATTGGGCGTTGTGCCGCAGCAGCCATGCGAGGGATTTGGAAAGTCGGACGATGCGTGAGTCAGTTCGAGGGGCTCGGTTTCGGTGGGGGCCCCTGTCCTTGTTGGCACCCCCGTTGTTATTACTCCTACAGCCGGCGATGGCCGAGGATGTAGATGTTTGAGAAGACATTTGTTTTTTTGTTTTTTTTAGTATGTTTATCGACGAACCGGGTCTCGGAAAAGGATTGTGAAGCAGAGGAAAATTGGAGGGTGAAAGAAAAAGTGAGGGCGGCAAAAGTAAAGGACTGGATGCCAGATCAGAGGGACTGCGGGGAGTTGGTGCATCGCAATCGCAAGCCACGGAAAAGGAGAGGGGGGAAATGCAGGGTGAGATTTGGATGCCAAAATTGGTGGCGCAAAATAGAGCAAGCAAGAAGCATCATTTTGGATTATGGTTGATTTAGGTGCACAGGGCTTCTCTTTCTTGTTTTATTCCACAAAAGACATTGTTGTATCTCTTTCTTTCAAGTTTTGTTTGCAAGACTACTACTGTACAAGGGATGAAGGCATTAATGACGAACAAAAAAAAAACGAACAAAAACGAACAAAAAACAATTGCAGAAAGAAAACTAATGGTATGATGAAACAACATGCACGAAAAAAAAAAAAAAAAAAAAAAAAGCAAAGAGAAAAAAAAAAGAAAAAAAAAAAAAAAAGGCTTAAAGGACCTCAACCGCAGGCGATGAAGGGCTAGGCATAGCATTCACAAGATCCGTGAGCTTAGGAAACGCTGCATGGGCCAACAATCCAAACGCAGCAGCCTCCTGTTGCTGCTGCTGCTCAAACTCGATGGGCTGCGAAAAGTCCATCTCCTCCTCATCGGCCATATCGGACCACGACTTTGCCGACGACACCAATGACCAATTCGGCTGCATCTTCTTGGCCCCATAGTCATCATCCATTTGGAAGATCGAATCCGACTCGCCAAAAGACGAGTGCACGCGATGAGAACCATTGATGGACGAGGAATCGGCCAAGGATGATTGGAAGGCACTGGCGGACGAGGACGACATCGAAGATGACGATGACTCATCCGAAGCAAAGTTCGAGGCAGGACTGTAGATCTCGCCGCAGTCCTCCATCGAGGTATCCTTGCGGACGATGGTGTCAATACGGTGAAGGAGCTCCAAGGCCTCGAAGCAGTCAGCGCGCTCGTTGGGATCGACACAGAGCACGCGGTGCAAGAAGTGGAGTGCTGATGCAGACAACTCGGGAAACATACCATCGAGTACCTTGGAGTCCTCGACGTACGCGGCAAACGTGGGATCAGCATTAGCACGCGACATCTTCCAGGGGTTGCGACCAAATCTCAAATTCAGAAAGATGATGCCCAAAGACCAGACATCAGATTTGGCAGGGAGATAAGGGCGACGACTTGTCGAGGGCTGCTGCTCAGGGGCCATGTAAAAGGAGCTGCCGCATCCAAAATCGGACGAGACGCGATCCTTGGTAGCAAGACCGAAATCTGCCAACTTGAGCGATCCATCGCCAGCGACGAGGATGTTCTCGGGCTTGAGGTCACGATGGAAGACCTGGTGGCTGTGAGCGTGGATCAACGAAGAGATGATCTGGTCCATGGCATCGAGGACTGAACTGTCCTGGTGGACATTCAGATGACGGCCACCCGGGATCTTGGGGGCAGCCACGAAGCCCATGCCAGAGTCAGCGGCGGCGGCGTGCTGGGAGGTGATGGCATCGTAGAGGTCACCACCGGAGCAGTACTCCATAATCAAGTAGAGCGAGTCCTTGGTCTCGATGACGGCGGACATGTCGACGACGTTGGGGTGCTGGCCGTCCTTGGCGGAGGAGAGCGAGAGATGGATGTCGATCTCCTGGCGCTGGATGAGCAACTGAGCGGGAGAAAGACCCCTCTTGGAGAGGCACTTTACGGCTTTGTACTCGGGTGTGAAGTCGGGGCTGCTGGAGACGGACTTGGCGAGATAGATGCAGCCATAGGTGCCGTAACCGAGGATGTCGAGGATGTGGTAGGAGAGGCGGTTGGGCCGGTCGACGAGCAGGGACCCGACCAATGACCAGGCGTCCGTAGACGCGGACTGAGGCTCCAGGGCGGAAGACATGTGCAAGACGAGGGGGTATTCGTTGGTTGGTTGGGTTGCGGGTCTGTTCTTAATTGGGTTCGTACTTGTGTGACCACGGGCTGGGATTTGTCAGGTGGGATAGGAATCGGATGGTGTAAGACGGGACTAGACAACAGACAGACGGTTCGATACGATTCGATACTATATAAAAGAGCTTGGTTTGCTGGATGGGTTTCTGGATATTTCAATTAATGCGACTCTTGAATGGATTTAGCCAGCAAGGGATATGAAGAGCGTTGGTGCTGAAGCTGATTCTGATGCGAAGGAGGCGGAGGAAGTAAAGGAGACGCGGGTGCGGGTGCGGGTGCGGATGCGGGTGCGAAAGCAGGGCTTGCTTGCGGTGCTGGAAGCGGACTGTACAGGGTAGATCATGGTTTGGTGGGCTCTGGAGTGCGATAAGTTAGAGGGGTTGTTGAAGGTCAACAGTGGGGATGTGCTGTGTTGGGGCCTCGGTGAGAGAGGGGTGGGTTTAGTGATAGGTGGCCATGTT